GCTTTCTTCGGTTGGCGGTACATTCGGTAACAATACTTACTAGTTACTGTAGTGTTTTTTGTATACAGCACATATTCGTATTAATTTTTAATTGACTTCAAGTCGGCTTCCAGTAATTGATTACCTGAAATGAGCTTCTAAGTCAAGTCCAAAAAGTCAGCTTGGATGTCCCAGCAGTTTAAAAATTTTGACTTTTATGGAAACAGAGTCAAAAGTCAAGTCAAGCTACTGTTTACTAATTCAAGTTTTTGGCATCCCTACCAACAGGAGCTGGTCAAGCTGATTAAGTTCATCCCGAAGAACGCAGCGGATAGCCATGCAGTATGCAAGTACTGTAAAAAAGATTACGTTTCCAGTAAGATGCTGAAACACCACTTGCGCTCACCATACTCCAGCTGCCGACGGAAACCGTTTGCTTGCAAACTCTGTGAGGTGCGTCAAATAACCACTCTAAGCAACCATATTCGCAAACTCCAGAAATTTCATTTTAAACTTTAATTATTACGAGCGCATTATTCTTCCCGATCTTCTCGAACTGATATCATTATTCCAGCAAGTAAGAACATCCGGAAGTTACAACTCCTACTTAGTTTGCTGTCACGTAGCTTGTACCTATTTTACAACAGGTACGGTACAGAGAATTTTTAAATTTGTTAACCACCTTGAGATTTGCTGCATATCTGTAGTTCTGATGGTTGGTTAAAGCTCGGAACCTTTCCAACAATGGAAATCGTACAAATTAATATAAATTTCGATTCATTGCAAATTGTTTGATTCTTCTGGATTCAAGGAATCAGTAGTGAACGGTCTAAAATCTAGAACGCTCACTACTGAGTACTCTGTACTTCTAATTTCTTCAAATTTGAGTACGAGTATTGTCTTCGCTGTTTTTGCACATTTTTTCAACTCATGAACCCATCCAGTAAAAGATACGTATCTCAAAAAAATTTTAAATATGAGTAATACGTATGTAATATAAAATTTCTGAACTTAATTTTTTTCAAAATTAATTTTTTCAAAATTTTGAGTGAAAATTCGGGACATGTTTTTCGGAAGAAACAAGAATAAGATTCGGAAGAACGACTTCTTACGCGAACATAAAGCTTTGCCATTAGCGTTTTAAAATCTCACCTTTTCGTTCTCAGACAGAAATATTCATTTCAGTATTGAGTCAACAGCAAAATCACGATTCCATGTTCCAGGATAGTACCAAGTATCACAATTTCGTCTCTGGATCTGCAAATTTGCACGAACTCGTCGAATCGCTCGTGTGAAAGTTTGTCCGACTTTGTTTGCAAAGACATTTCCAATATCAGCTATTCAAAAATTCAGTCGCAAGAGATTAATTTACCAATAGCCAACGAACATGCATTAAACTTTCACAAACTGACAGTAACACTCCATTTAGACTGATTCAGTCATTAGTGATTCATAAAATTAATGGAAATACAAAAAGCGGGGTATAGCAGATAATTTAAGCAGATATAGGAATGATGATGAGACTTGTTTACTTGCGAGCCTGAAGCCTGCTAAGGTCACGGATAGTCGCCAGCCAGGCAGATTGCTCCCGCCCGTTAAGTAATACTGTTCAAAATCAAGAATATACGAGTTTCACTAACAAGCCACGACAATAATAACTGATCCCGAGGACCCGAAGAAACAAAACAGAAAAATTTGCTTGGCTTTTCATTTTTTGAGAAACCGAAACTCCGAAAGCAGCCTTTTCTATCGGGAGGTGGCGCTAGCTCTTGCTACATCGTCTTGAGGCCTGAGGTTTCAACTTTCAACAAGGGCGACGGGCACCATTGTGTCTTTAGCGCATGTGGCCATTGTGCAGCTAAAGCTAGTCATGCACACATCGCTCCAGTTTAGTTTGCGTACTTAATTAATGGGCGCTTGAACACTTCTTTGACTTCTGTCCTCTGCCTTCGTCAGTTTTCGTCCCTTACAATATTTTTAAACTTTGTTTTCAATGTTGTGTTGAATATTATTTTATTAGTTGAATTTTTATGAGCTGTTCTTATTTTTTTATTTTTTGATTATTTATCGGAATGGCAGCATCGCATAATTCATTGTTGTTGACCTTTACCCCGATTCCTGCGGCTTCGGAGATGTTTATGCACTTGGTAAGCCCTTACCATAGCGACGATGCGCGTGACCAGCATGAACCATTCCGAACTTTTTTGGACTCACACTGCAAAATAGCGCCTATAATCGTTCTCGTATTTTCTCAAAATTTTGAACAGAACTGAGCCGTAACAATTTGGGTAGTTGGGATAAATTTATAATGGGAGCTTTGGCAACCAAATGGTGTTTCCTTTATAATATTACCAGTATTTGTGGTTTTCTATATCGTCTGCCTCCGTATCTTTTGACCCTTTGTCGGCTCCGTCAATGACAAACTGACAAAGCCGATTTTCTGATGAAGCCGATATTCTGCTATACTTTTTCCAACCCCATACGTGATATTAGTACAGAGTATAATTTCTTTGGTAGAGGTGGAAAGCTGATAAATATTCTAATTGGGAACACATTGGGAAAAAAATGAAGAAACGAGGTGTTTAAAATTTTCGTTAGCCGTTAGGACAGGATTTTCACAGTATTTTCCTTCCATTGTGTTCGTTATATGTAAACACCTAGGCGAACCAAACGTAACGAGCAGGAGTTTGTGTAAGATCAGGTTGTTTTCGGGTTTTTTACGTTTTTGTAAAGTTGTAGCCAGCCTCGGTATGCGCGCAATTTTATTGAACTCTTCCTCAAGAATGCTTTTCGTTTTACAGGCGACGTTTTCAACTCGCAATAATTGCATCCGACACATCACCAATCTTCACCCGGATCGCAAATCCGAATACAAATCCTTAATAGTGCTGAACGCGCCGGTCTCCCAAGCGGATGACGAAGCACCGGAAGTTGAAGAGGATGACATGTCTCCACCCACCATGCTGGGCACATTCCTCTCCCCGGACCGTCTGACGTGAATTTCTCCGTCCGCAGCAACAATTCCGGCGGCGACGCGGACAGTACGGACCGTGACGAGGCCATCTCGGAAGCCTACTCACCGGAGAACTATTCGGCCTTCTCGCCCGACATGGACCACCATGAACAGCCGATGCCGTTGCGCCTGAGCCGCTTCGAAGATCCCCTGGACCTGAGTATTCCCAAATCGAAGCGAAGTGAATGCTTCAACGAGTGTGGTGATGGTCCACTGGACTTGAGCATGAAGAAACCAAAGAATGACAATGGTCGGGGCCGCTGTCTCACTGCCGACCAACTGGTTTTCGCGCAGTCAGCTGCAAGCGCAAGTGCCCGTGCACACGCACATGGTCGACCATTTTGGTGGAAGCAAGAAGCACGGTGCCAGCATGATTACGGTGGCTAGTTTAATGGAGCGGACAGTACCGCGGAATGATATCCGCAGCCCGGTGCCGATTGCGCCTATGCCTCTGAAGAGTAGCGCCAATGTTAAACGGATGAGCCAAGAAGGAGAGCGGCCGGGAAAACGGGATCGGCCGTTTATTTGTCCTTACTGCGGGATTGGATTCACAATTCGAGGTAAAGCTCAAGTGCTTCACAAATTTAAATTATTTTGCCATGACTCAAAGATGAACAGGCTAACGCACTTCCGTAACCTTGTAATCGGTATGGTGTGGTAATTATTTTATGGTTTTATTTTATAGGCAATATGTATCGGCATTTCCGCCACAAACATCCGGAACATAATTCAAAGCGGCGCGGTAAGAAAGGCGATTCGGAGAGCGACGCTAAAGAACTAGATAGCACACTGGACTCTGCGCAAGTCGGGCTGATTTCCATGGCCACTCCGAGTCCTGCTCAACCAGTGTTGTTTAATGGCGACATCAAGCACGACGATGAAGATATAGAATTGTCTGACCCGGTTCACCGCCCGCTTTCCATTGACGAGCACGGCAGTCATGAAGAACCCCAGCCTGTGCATTCCGACGTCGGGCAGGATTCCGATCGTGATGGTTCGCACAATCAGGATGAGACGTCGTCGAATAACTCCAAGAAGCGTCTGAAGATCAACTCCTACTCGGCATCGCCTCATAACCACGTCTGCTCGGAATGCGGTGCGGCGTTTCCTTGGCAGAGTTCATTGGAGCGTCACATGTTCACGCATACCGGGATGAAGCCGTTCGCGTGTAAGTGGTGTGACCTGCGTTTCTCCATCAAGTCCAACTGTGAGCGCCATTGTCTGCGTATCCATGGGAAGAGTCTGAATAAGGCGCGCAAAGAACGCCGCAATCCTGGAAATCCGATTAAGTGTCCGCTGTGTGCGGAGACGTTTGCCTATAAGATTAACTGCGAACGACACTGTCTGGATGTGCACAAGCAGCATTACGAGAATCTGGTGACCAGCAGTGGAGCGGAAGGCAGCGTGGAAGGTGATCAGCCGGCATCGATGGGCAAGGTGAAACGACAGAAGGGATCCCGAAAGGGCAGTGATGCGGCCAAGTCAATGATGTATTATCCCCTGTATGAAGTGTCCGTCATCGTTCGACAACACGGAAGATTTGCAGTTGCATGAAGAAAATAATCACTTCAGCATGGACATGCATGTGGATGATCAGCATGATCAGGACAGTAATTCGTCCTACAGCGGCAGTCTGGTCGTGGACGCTTGAGCCAGTTAAGCGGACCAAATTTTTTGGGATTAGTATTTGAAGCATTTCTTGTTTATTCGTGATAAGCACGTATTTCCTGTACGAGAACATATCCAATGCAGATTTACACATTCCTGTGAGGAGAAGCACATTTCTCCGGTAGTTATTCGTTTATTTTGGTGGAGACGTTTTATTTTTTCTCTTAACCATGTTTTGTTGCTTCAGGTCCCAGTTCTTTACTTATTCTTTGTCGGGTTACATTTGTATCGGTTTGTGTTGAGCGGTGGAATGGGATTTTGTCCATTGTATATAGTTTTTCCATTTTGGTGTATTAGGTACGTTTAATTTTGTTACCGTCGGGCACATGTCTGCAAGTCAACATTCCTGTTTAAACGTTGTAATTCCGGCTGTATTTCTTCCGATTTATAAATATTCAGCAGATACACTGAAGATCTTTCGTTGTTTGCAAAAACACCAGTCTTGCGTAAGCATGCTCTGGTTCAAGAAAACTGCTACTACATACCTACCTCATATACCTAGCATGAAACACTGTCTAATGCTTATTACATAAAACTCGCATGGTCAACCATTTCAAACAGCGCAGAACAGATAAAACTCTTAAGAGTAGAATATCAAACCAAAATAAAATTAATATTAAACCTCCCGCAGGAATTAAGCCTCAATCGGCTTGAGTAACTCCTGCTGAGAGGGCGGCAGTGGAAGGGAATTAGTTCGATTCTTCTTAAAGAACCCGGTGAAAATTTTAGCCTGTTTCTTCTCTTCCTTTTCCTCCGTTACCGGCCCCACACCATTTTCCATTTCCTCCAGACTGCCTTCCTCCGTTCGCACTTCCATCACTCGCGATTTGCAGCACCGATTATAAGCCGTCAAGCCCAAGAACCATAAGAAGAGCGGAATAAACAACATAATCGATCCGCACACCGGCAGCACCGAACCTAAATCCGCATCCGGCTGCGGCAGACTGTATCGCAGCAGAACAATGGCAATTCCTGTATTCTGTACTCCCGTCTCCACGGAGATGGCAATCACTTGCTCCTTACTGCGCTTGGAGATAACTGCCAATGTGGCACCAAAAACGTATCCACACCATGGGACAATCAATCCGGCCAACATGGTGCGCCAGTTCATCACGTAGAACATGTACAGATTGGCGTAAACACCGAAGGTGAAAATGAACAGCATCATCAGGATGGTGAAGGGGCGGATGCACTTCACGGCTTGATTGGCCCATTGTGGACGGTAACGACGGATCAGTACACCGATGGCCAGCGGGCCGGTCAGCGCGATCAGACTGGTGAGAATGTTGGAGAAGGGGATGCGAATCTGGAGATTGCCGAAGAGGGAGCGTCCCAGAGTGAACAGCCAGAACGGCATCATTCCTAGAAGCATTCAAATTGTGAGACCTACGCATATATAATACGCGGATGTAAAATTGATCATGCGCAGAAACACCGTCAACACCCGCAAGCAACGTTTACGATGTTATTCGAATGCGTAGTTAATAGTACAGGTGCATTGGCCACTAATCGTAAGGAAATCAACAAGTATCAATATCAATAAATTATCAATAAATAAATTATCAATAAATTCTGCCTAGTCAATTGATTATACAAGGAACAATCTGTATAAGCTTCCATGAACTACCGCAATACACCTTTTCTTGCATTTTTAGACAGTAACTGCCATATTGATCTGCAGAACACCATGCTCTACCAACAACGTCTTACGTAAACTCCTTCTCCATTTAATTAAAGCGGACTGTATACAAGCAAAATATGTAGTTGGTAGCAAACTTTTCGATGTAAATTAAACCTCTTGTCAGGTTTTCTAAATACTGCAAGCTTACTGGAATAACCACAAAGAAGTAGGTGAAATTTTCACCGACATCTGCTTCATGAAGTTGCACAAAAACGAATTTCCTAGGTCAGCCTTAATATTGCTAGACTCGCAAATGATTTTCGACACGCACCACCAAACCAGTCACTTTCTGCCAAACTCGTTTTAGCTCATTACGGTGTCACTCACAATCAACACAACATATATTGATTTCAGCATAATGGAAACCGGAAAACTTTTCCCTGAACCGGGGGTAAAGAATACTTTATCGCGTAGTCTAACTGAATTGATTTCTCAAGAAGCGCATGTTTTAGTTCAGCCAATTGTTATGTAGTTCAACCAAAGAAATCAACGAATCGCTGCTCGATTTTAATTACTAATGCATAGAGGAGATTTTTCACACCTAAAGCCAACGCAGTGCTGAGGAAAGTCATCGTTATGCTGAGATTGGTGTCTCCTTCTAACAGTAGTGTCCAAAAGTTTGAAGCGCCACCTCCAGGCGAACATCCCATGGTAAACAAACCAAGCTGGAGATTTGGCTCTTGAAACAATGCCATTGCGACCCCGTACGCAATCTATAACAATCAGTTTGAGTAAAAAATAAATCTCCCAGAAGAAGAACCAAATTCGAAGGTCCAAACATAACAGTAAGTATATAAAACATTGGTACTAGTACTGATTCTGCCATAAAAAGAACGAAATCCAACTCATGACCATGTAATCGAGTAAAGAGTGTCAAAAACGAGTGCTGTAAATTCCTTACCAATGGCATAAACATGTACTGGCTAGTAAAGCCAATGCCGATCGCACAGGGCTTCTTTAAATTTTCCTTCACCACCTCCAGATCCAAGTGACAGCCCATGTTAATAGTGTTGATCCCCACAAGGATAGCGATAATAGCCACAAAAGCCGTATCTAATTTGGAGGGTGCCCGAATAATACTGACCGGGAACACATCCACCAGTTCCGTTTCTTTTCCTGCATCTTTTTCATCCTGCGTGGTGGCGGTAATGAGCAGATTATCCCGACCTAGAAATTTCCCCCGCACCCATATTGTGCGAGAGAAATCCTCGCGGCAGTGCAACTGCTCTTCGCCCTCACCCTCGAGTTCAATAATATCCGATCGAGCTGGACGAATTTGTAATAAGATAACTTTCCCTGCAGTTACCGCTTCAGCCGAGCACACACACTCCACGGTGACATTGGCGGTGGTTTCTTCGTGGACTTTTTCCAGACCATATTCAATGGACGGGTTGAATGTACAGTTCAATCTGCGATGTCCCACACTGGATGAACGGATCCCGTTTAGTGCTTGGGAGATGGCGTAGGGAATCAGCATAAGTAGGAGAGTACCGATTACACAGATTAGATGCATTTTTACGCCGCCGGATACGGTTAATTGTCTGCACTCAAATCAACGAACACGCTCAACCAGTTGGTAGCTGCAAAAAACACGCCACTATAACAACACGGCGATCTTTAATCGTGTACTCGTAAGTACAAAAAAACGAGAAATGCACGCTGAGATATGCATCGGCGCGAACGGTAATTACGCACTACGAACGGCTGGTTCAAATAAATATTCGTTCTAACGTAAGCGTTTTTGTGTGCAGTACTGTAAGAATTCACGTGCGCCTAGATACAAAACAGACAGCTACTTATCTGAAACGAGAAGCATTACTTTATAAGAATTCTAAAAACCCATGAAAGAAGATTTCTAGTAAAAAACGCGACCACCAAAAAAGCACACGACCACTGTTATTTCTGATTGTGTAATCTTGGAATTACACATAAAAATTACATAAATTCCATTGTTACCGTTCACATGAAACGTAGAGTACAGCTGATCGGGCTCTTTACGCATATTTATACAACGCATGCGCAGCCAGCTTACACCCGCCCAACATCAGCGCAACGACAAAAAATAAAACGCGGTTATAACGAAAACATTACAAGTAATATTCTTGGCTAAAGATTATCTTGTAAAAACTTTGCAAACCATTGACAAAAAGGACAGCCGATGTCCAGATGGTCACCTAAATCGTTTGTCCCAACAACTGATTGCATCACACTAAGCACAAAAAGTGGTCCCGAACGATCCGACAGCTGATTATCAATCTAACATAATAAACCAATCTAACACAAAAATGCGGAGATTAATGATATATCAAACGAATTCATGGATTAGCACAAATAATCTGACCTGAAATCGAAAAAACTTTACACGGCCATATTCTATTCATCACCCAACGAATAAGCTTATGTAAATTTCACTATCCCTCATCAAACAAAGACGGCGGAACATATCATAGCGCTATAAGGATTTCCGCCTTGTGCCTCAACAGTAAACACGATAACCAAACAGCAGTTCGCACTTAAAAAGTTTTATCGCGGCTTCTCAAACGCAAATTACGCAATATCTAAAACAGTACATGCAGCTTATACAGTACATGCATTTTAATTATCGTAACTCTCAAGTCATTTACTAACAGCAGCAAAAATTTCCAAAATATTTGTGCTACCGCCTGTATACGTAAAATATCTGTACTATCGCATCTATCTATTTATCAAGCGTCAGCGAAAGAAATCGTCGGTCAAATATTGCTTAAAAACAATAATCTTGACCATAAATCAACATAACATATCTCAAGCCTATAAAACCGCTAAAACAGGATAACACTAATAATACTCATATTAAATTTGCAATATAGTTATAAATTACCTAATAGGCTAATACTCACAGAAAATGGCCGTGTGGAGTAGTTATGACGCTGAGGAAGTTTTAAGCTCTATTCTCGCACTGTGTTAACTTTACTCGTGTCATTTATGAATCCATACTTTAACTCCCGTACAGAACTTGGTCGTCAAGCGCGAACATTAATTCAACAAAAAGGAAAAAGTCCAATTTTCAATATGATTTGAGGTCGGTGAAACCGTGAATAAATGCATGAGGTTAAATGCGGCTAACATGCTGACACGAGAAAGTGCAAGTGAGCAAATTACTTGCTCAAACGAACAGAACGACTAATACTTGCACGAAACCAATGCATATAACTGATATAAGTAACTATCTCGACGACGACCAACTTCGAAAAACCAGTTCCAGCGCTGTCAAAAGTCATTCACAGACGTGCGTAACAATTGTAAAGTGCACGTAATCGATATTAAGCAATTTACCGTAATTAACAGTGACACAAGACATAAATCTACATAACGTTACCGCATCAAGCAAACGATATGAAAGAGAAGTGCATGTTCTCAAGAATACCATCTAAGGAGCCCTCGTATCCCTTATAAACTATCTAACCGGAAAATCAAATCAATAGGTAACAATTCATTGTTATTCACACGTAATACCATTCTGCTTTAATTAATAATAGCGTCATTGTCAGTTAAACACTGCTAAATGTTCTACGTACATTCACTAGAAACGACGCTAAAAAAATAAATAATATAAACTGTCTTACTGATGCAGAAAACGCGCTGGTATCCTTAAATTTAAGCAAATATTGCACCAACACAGCAAGGAAGGGGGAAACTTGAAATGATGTGCTTAAAAAGATCTTCCACAATGACTCCTGTATTGCACACTTATTACAGTCTATCTGACTATCAGTTCACTGCGTCACGGTTACAGTATCTGTACATACATGTACATCGATAAAGGCACTTAAACACTAACCTGGTTTTCACAACATCATCCTGGGATTTAAAAAAATTTCATTAAACTGAGCATCACCCCAACACCGTGCATCAGCATTTGACTTCTAGAGAGCCTTCACTGTCTTCTACGCACACGATACCTGTGTCAACAAATGCTAGTGACGCATGAACGGAACAGCCAACTTCGGCGAACCCCGTCTAGTTCGCTGACGCTGACAGTTCAGCAGACGAATCAAGTATCCACCACCAGGTTAAACAGGATCCGCCCGACCTAAGTCAAGCACTTACCGTTTCTTTATGTCGACTGTTAGACAACCGAGCCAGTAGGATAAGCGACGGATTCCGTATAATAAAGCTCAGCAAACTTAATCTGCAAAGAATTTTCAATCCACATCAGGCACGTTTTTCCACCAACGAGTTTAGGATGTAACAATAAAATGTTTCTTCTCACAGCTTTCCTAACACCAATATAACTCCTTGTTAAAATAAAGATCACTGTTGAATGTTGATCAGCCAAAACTTGGGGATTTGAAGAATGACCAAGAAGCACACTTACAGTATTAATTTTGCTTCACAGGTGAGAAACTGAGAAACAAACAAGCGATGAAACGTACGCATGAAACGTTTCCAGCTGATACGTTCGTGCAACTGAGATACATAACGCAAACACTGATTAAAAAAGCATATCGACATCGGATTAAAATTTTATCACAATTATAAGAAATTCGTATAAAATCATACTGGTTAAGTCGTAAGGAACATCCCAAGTCCAAAATTAGCACAAATGAGGAAAGAAGAAAGTGAATCCATATGGCCGTAATACAGCTGACAGGTTCGTACTTCATAGGCACTTATACAGTAGCTAATTTCTGAAGGACCTATCCCTAATATTGCCTACGACATACCAGTTACGTAACAGAGCCGGATCAGCCGGAAGTAGTTTTTCAGGGAACTGGCTTACGGAGGAAGGGCAACCGAAAGCCAACTGTAATAAGATAAACCGTTTGTCTGAATTTGTGTGGCGTTTGTTTGTAAAATAAATACACTTCAATGATTTTAAATTTTAAAACGGCAAAATAATTGTTCTTGTTATGATTTTTGCTGATTCAGTGAATAAATCACTGGATCAACTTTGCGTGTAATAATTATTTCAAAACTGTTAGAGATAAATTATTTATTTATCAAACAACAGACACTTCGATAATTACGAGCATAATGTCACTAAACGCATGAGTTTAGTGATATTATTATGTTACGAGGAACATAAAACGAAATCGTAAATACAGATTTTATGCAAGCACAAGGATTTACGTGAATTGAGGCAAGCTCAATGCCCACCATTAGCTAACCAAGCGTCAGCAACTTCGATTATCATTTCTTTGGTAAACAACGTCTGGGAAAGTGCTGCCTCATGAAAATTCGCAAAAACTCGTTCTGATTTTTCTGATTTTAGGAGATGATTGAGGGTGGTATAATACCGGCAGTCCGCAGTCGCCAGAGTGTACAACTAAATTTTTATATCTGATATTTATGTGATAGCTGAGTAGTTCCTCGATCTGCATGGAAAATAAGATCTATGCATAAAACCAAGTTCTGCATCTATATTAAGTTATAACTAATGATCGCAAGCGTGTCATAATCCCAATTCGTTTTTTTATTGATGCTATTAAACTCTAATAATTTTATTAACAAAGCTGTCATTCGAACTAACAAAAACAAACCTTAGTTCATGGCTCATTCTGGTCAGCACTGCACTACCGGCGCTGGTCGCGCATGTGGCAAAGGTGACCTTTGTAGCAAAGGATCAGCGGACTGCAAACAGGTGTCAGCGGCATTTCTTGAGAGTCGGATTATTTCAGATGCCATTGAGCATTCACCCAAAGAACTTTTGAAGGTTTGTAAATATAGTACATTGTTGTCGTGAGTTAGATTTTGTCTAGTGCGTTACAGCAGGAGCTGATAATGTATACGAGTAGTACATGCGGTACAACTGAGTACATAACAACTACGGGTAGCCTCTAAAGCGCTTATTTTTGCAACTTACTTAAAAAAGCTTATTCAAAATCGAGATTTTTAGAGACCGCATTAAAGCCATAGCTATAGGTATAGTGATAAGACTAACACTCTACTGCCGAGAAAAGAAACAAGACGGGAGAATCAATGCGAACTTCTCTATTTTTCAATACGCTGAAAAGTTGCAAATGTTGGTAGGTCTGTTACGAGGGAAAACTTGCTGTCGTGCCTGGGAAAGAGCTCGCGCCTGTTCAAGTGATCAAGCAGCCTACTGTGCAGTGGTCAGCCAGAAGTGATCAGCTGTACACCCTTGTGGAATTGGGTGTGCTTCAAAATTTCTTACTGTTAGATATGACGAGATTTTGTAACCAACACTTACGGTTTTTACGTTTTATCTTACAATTAGGTACGTTCTGCGACAGTTTTCCAGTGTTCTATTCGCGCTAGTAACGTTGGTTTATAATTGCCTAACACCCCAAATATTCCTCAAGCCTCCATGCATATTCGTTTGCAGATTTAGACGCTCCAAGTGCCACGGACTCTTCTTTAAGATCTGTTCTGCATTGGTTAATCTACAACATACCCGGGAAAATTTAACTCAAGGCCATGAATATGCATCGTACATGGGAAGTGCTCCTTTTCCAAACTCCGGTACAGTATATTTTTTTATTACGAGGTGTCCATGCAGTGGCTATCCGTTTTACATGCGATACTTCCCTTTTATATGTAACTGTCCAGTCTACCCCGAACGGGCTTGTATTATAATATTGCAACGGCAACTTCTAAGCTGCCACTAGTGGAGTGGGTTAATCCACCCGTACCACGATAAAACGAGGTTTGATGGTTCGTCGGTGATGTTGCGAGTTAGCGAATTACCCAAAAATCAGTTATGCAATTGCGAACAGGTTAACCGATACCGGCGCGATTGTCAAAGTGCACAAACATTTTTAATCAGCTGAAAAGTCATTGGGGAAGAGCAAGGGCAAGGGCAAGAGCAAGAATGATTTCAGAACATTCAGACAATCTCAGAAGTCTAGAAAAAATCCACGTTAGAACTGGTCATCTCGTACAAGTACACATTCAGATGTTTCCGGTTGAAATAGCACCAATGAGATGTACATCTTCACTACAGATCTCATTTGTACGGCTACAAAATGTAGTTAAACATACATTTTTTTTGTTTTGCAGGTCTGCACCGATATGTGTTTCTAGTGTTTCCACAGACCGCGTCGTTTAAAATACCCCCGCTGATTGCCACTCCAGACTTTTCCGAACGATTGCGATTCGATATAAAAAACTTTGTACGGCAACGTAATCTCGGTCCACCCTTAGCGGGAAATTTCTATGTTGCCCAGGCTGATGCTTATGCTACCGAATTTTGGAATAAACGTAACGCTTAGTTATATCTGTCGCTTAAATACGTTTACTTAATTATAGATATTTTAATATGTAGATTGATTCTAAACGCCCGGCCATGAATATAAATTTAATTTACCTATCTGGGCAAGAATTGCAACATTACCGCAACATTTTATAATGCCATGTTCGTTAGTCATTCATTCGTTATAAAATGTCATGTTCGTTAGTAGGTGATACTTTAATAAAATACTGTATGCACTATGCAGTATGCTCGGCTTTATTGGATTACAATTAAACAAAAGTAGGTACAGGTACCTGCAGTATATTTGTATACTGCAGACAACAGAAAGAACATTTCAGATTCACTGATGAATGAATGGAAGCGGTTGTAGCGGTCACAAAACTGACGTTTCTGCGATTTGCATCGAATTACATAGTATACGAATATCGCAGTGATGTTATAATATTAATAATCACTAACTAACGAGTACCAAATGCGCGCCCTTGCAGTTTGCACACTCTTAAGCCCAAAAACATGGGTAGGCCTACAGAACGTACTCCATAAACTTTCGTTTTAAAATGCTTAAATTATTTCCACTTTAGTTTGGTTGGTCGATGCCGGTGAGTTGGATGTTAACTTTGTTGTTTTTGTACGCCTGATAAGCCGCTCGCATTTCCTCTACAGCGGGAGCAATTATAATAAACATGGCCGCTATTGTCACCCATCCAAAGACCATGTTGATCCAGTTTGAGAAAACAACATCAGTAAAGACCCCCGCCTGTAAGGAAGTGGCATTACGCACTACGAGATTTCTTGGCCGAAATGCATTGCAAGAGTTGCTTACTACGACCATTGCCGCTGGCCATACAATCGCCAAAATGAATGTGAACGATGTTCCCAAACCGTTGGCTGCCCATGCCAATTTCTTGAAAGTAGTGTAGACGCTCTGAAAGGTTGGACGATTGTCCAGTTTGTTTCCCTCGACCAAACCCAAATCACTGCGCGAAGAAAGCACATACAGGCACATTTGTAACAAAACTGTCTTATCACTTTCGTCATACTTTTGGTACATTTCCGCCCATGGATGCAATGGATTGTCAATGTCGTACGTGTAGTTCCAAATGTCGTGCACTTCAATGGGTGGTTTAGTGCAGTAGCTGACCAGTACGCAGATCAGCCCGCCTCCTAATATGGCCACCAAATTACCGCCGAGCATGGCGAAATCTTCACCGCTATTCTGGTAGAATGTCGATGGAGCCAAGCCGTTTTCCAGGCGGGCAGCCAATCCAAGCCAAACTGCCATGCCTAGCAAGTGCAAATCTCGTATAACCACAATTTTGAAAGGTTAGGACAAATGTGAAAGCTTTTACCCGCAATCAATCCTCCAATTCCCCCCGCAATCATGCCCTCCGAAGTCAGCCTCTCCCAGAACATACTCAAGGAAATCGGAATAACGGCTGAGCCGATCACCACTCCCATGAACTCGTACAACCAGCCCAGGCGAATTTTCAGTACATCTATCACAAGGGTCAATGGAATGAGGCCGAAACTGCACAGGATAAGGCACCAATTTTTTAACCCGTCCATGTACTCCGTGTACCGGCGGTATTCACCATGCGTCGGGCATTTAAAATCGGGTTTCACAGCCATTTTACTCTCCGATCGCGCGCTGTACAAAATTTCGTGTAAAATGTAATCATATTAGAGAATAGGCGAAGCGACAGTCTTACCTATCATCCAAACTGCAATCTTTGCATTTGGTTTTACTTTGACAATGGCACTGTAAAGAAAAGAACGATAGAATTAAGTTCAGTAAGAGCGGCGACTGTTGATATCCTAAATGTACAAGGTAGAGTACCTTGTCAACAGGGTTCGCCATACGGCCTCTGGCCTTGCCGCACAGAACGCACGAATTGATGTCGTCAACCAATCGGAACGGCTAAAGATTGTCATGGCTTATAAGAAATCAACAGCGAATTGCGAGAACCAGTAAGCGTTTGTCAGCTAACCTTCCAATAAACTTGGTACAAATCATGTACAATAATGGAAGTAACAGCCATGACCTCAGCGGAAGCCGTCGAAATGACGGCTAACAACAGCGCCAACAGAATGATGAAAGCGCCCTGCGTGCCTAATAGTGTTTGCGCAACAATGGCAGGTACCAAACCGGCGTCCTGGTCATCAGGACGCAGCATCGGTGTGCCACGCTCTGAGCTCAGCGACAAATATCCCAGGCCCATTGCTACAAAAGAAAAAAGACTACAATAGTTTATTTTCGTTTTGCGTGTCAACCCGGCCGCTTACTCGTTGACATGCCAAAAGGAACCGCAAACCACACCAGTCCTCCAGCTAAGTACCCGTACACGACCTGCCGCGGCTTGCTGGCTACAGCAATCTGCCAATAACTCTGATCGACGAAAACGGTACCAAAATTCCCTACAATATTGATAATGCCGAATATGAAGCCGGACTGCGAAATCATGGTGGGGTAGGCACGATCGCGGTTGCCTTCGGGACCGTTGATGCAGCTGATCAGCTCGTATACCGATTTTATTGATCCTGAAAGAAGTGTTAAGTGTTTGTAACAAAACAGTGGGTTGTTCAAACTTTCACAATATTTACCCAAGCCGTTATTGACATTTCGAACATAAAACACTTGGGAGGCAAAATACATGATGACCACCAAAATAATCCCAGCACAGCAGTAGGACACGTAAAATAATGCACCTGTGCAGAGAGCGGAGTGAATGCATATTTGACCTTTGACAGATGTTTGCTAGTTGCTACCCGTCTGTTTATTTGATTATTTACCCATTCCTCCAATTAAAGTGTAGCAAGAAACAATAATTGCAATGGCAATACTGGCAAAAGCCGCCGAACAGTCTTTAATCAGAGCCACGGCCACAGCCGCGCCTCCCGCCATCAACATGGCGGTGACAATCAGGTTCGTTGCCAGTGCAAAGCACACATAGACAATGTGTGTTGTTGATCCGAAGCGCGAGTGGATGACGCGGAGAAAGGTTTTTGCACCCGGTGCGCGTATTCGCAGTTGAATGGCCAACATAGCGAACAGGAGGATCTGAATGGTTGCACCCGACGCGTACCTGTAAAACAAATAGAAGTATTATAGCGACAGCTTATCCTAATAATTTTGAGGGATCAGCGCATTATGCACTACTCATTGATAATCTGAGCATGGGTCAAAACGTAAAAGGTGAAATGTGTGCCAACTCACCAAAATCCACCAGAGACACCAAATTTACTAGCCACATTGCTTGACTGCAGCAGTGTAGCCGCCCATGTCCTACAAAGGTCACCCATAACAGCACCTGCTTGCGTAGCTTCTCGGTGATGTAACCGCATTAACGGTAATCCTGTATGAGTACGTCATATGACCACAGTCATATTATAACTCATATACTGTACCATTGAGCCACAATCGTTGCGGCTGTCAGACCTCCCGAAATGGATCCACCGGCATCAAAAGCGGTTTCGATTGAATTCTGAAATGCACATATAATCCAATATAATTCAATTTGTCAAATATAATATGTAACTGATGTTAGAAAGTGCGCTTTCGCAGAAGGTCTACCAACTGCCACAAGTTACTCGATGGCACAAAATGCTTCCGTGCGTGTCCCTTGACTAAAGGTTCTGTCCCACTTAATCAGCGGTCACATTTAGGTGATGCAATTCGTACCGAATTATTCAAATGATTTTTTGTGATACCATAAAGCATATTTTTTAATGTGATAAGGATGTCCACGATCCTATTTTCCAAAGTGTTTAATATCGTGATCATTGTAACTTTTTACTGATTAAAATGCTAATAATGGTGAAACCAATTTGAAGTAATTACAATCGTAACGTGATCGTATTATAACCAATAAACGTTTGCTTCGTTATTCGTAGACTTTATAACATTTCTGGGTGCCTTCGTTTAACCGGCAGACCACGTAATACCTGAGTGGTTTGTTGGCTGATGTGTTATTGATCGACCGTGAAACACTCATATTAATTTTTGCATATCGCAGTTACTCAAAAGAAATATTTTGCGGTTATGTATGCGTAAACGGCATGCGATTCATGCGGTCTGGAGGTCTTATTTTCTGAATATAAGCGTAGTACTGTAATTCATACAGTCTGCTATCACGCATATTGCGTGGTTGCAGTACCCGAGGAACATTTGCTCATATTTAGAAAATTAAAAACAGCAACAGCGGTTTAGCTAGCCCATATTACATGTTAACGTTCAGTACCACAGAACCGAGCTGAAAGAAAACTATTGCATGTTACAAATAGCGGCAACTAACATTTCGTAATTAATTTGGTTAATGTGATGACTTTATCACTACGGTCAAGGCACATCATCAACATGGCTATGGCTGTCAACTGAATATCATAGCAAATCAGGCAAAGGCTGAATCAGGCAAAGGCTTATTAGCTTCCTCTTAAAACTTAGTTATTAGATTTCTCAATAAAATTGCTTTGTTTCTGTTGAATGTTACTGCAAAATGAGCCGCTTGCTGAAATTCAAATTATCTGTGTCCCCAGTAAACCTGTACGCATTAGTGGATTAAGAAATCCCCGGGTCATAAGTAAATACAGTACATATACCCGGTGCAAAAAAGGCGTTAAAGTTACAGGAAACCGGATATTCGGAATCTGTTTCAGATCGTGATAGATTGTGTGAACCTGATATGTGCAGCGATGAGGGTTCCTCCTTGGATATTTATTTGAAAAAGCCGTAATTACGCCTATTTGGTGACATTTGACTCTCAAGTACGTTAGGAAAGCTAAAATATCTCGTGCACGGTACACTTAATTTATAAGCCCGATCAATATGTAAGTGATACCTTTGTCAATGAAATTTTATCATTCTCGTATCTAGCTAGCTCTGACTCGTGGATAGCAAGCTACTATACGGCATATTCAAACAACGTTAAATGCTAAGAAATCTGTTTTGCGGTGAGACTTGCTTTTATTATTTTGTGACAACAAATTCACTTTGACACTAACCTTGTCACGGTAAACATACTTCCGGATCACCATAAAGCTTTCCGCCACAAGGATTGATCCAACAAGAATTCCCAGGAGCATAAGAATTGCTTGCCATAGTTCTATACTGGGTCGGAAGACTTCAGCAGATTTGATGGATGCGGCGGATTTATTGGCTAGCCGGCTGCATGTCTGTGTGGTCTTGTAGTAGGGGACTTTTGCTGCTGATTTGGCAGTTGTTGAGGTGCCAGCTGTAGTTGCTTTAGCGGACACTGCAGAACTGGTGTCCGTTGATGATTCAGTCTGCGTACTACCCGATGCACCGGTGGTCGAATCAGAGAATAGTTGGCTCGATGTATCAGTTGCTGATGGTGGTGTAGTGGTCAACCCGGATGTGTCGCCTGTGACACTAACGCCATTCGCCACTGTTGTCTGTGCGGCGGCCGGTGTGCCAGGATTGACCAGTTGCGCATCTGGAACGGCCACTTTATTGCTGAGGGTTTGTGCATTTGGCGTTATCGATGAAAAATCTGGCGAACTTGAAGCCACAATGGGAATTGTTGTATTCGCCGGTATAATTTGGAAGGTGGCATAATTAGCCTGGTGCAGTGTTATGGCCAGCAAAACGATAGAATTTGCTGTATACATGTTGGGATCTAAAAAATGAAATACGATGAAAATGAGATATTAAAGGAAAAATTAAACTGAACTCCCGATAATTGCTGTTACATTTGGGGTATACCGGCACTGCAGGTAGTCGGTCTTCATACTTAGCAAATCGACGGTATGGATAGTTGGGCAGTTACGCTGGTGTTCCCGTTGACGTATCGGATATCGACTGGGTTGCTCATGTTACGCCACATGTTCGATGTTCGATGAAGCCAATGGGAGATGCATAATTCAGACGTCGATGACAGAAATATGGTTTGTGAATGACTTTCGTTTTCTTAAGGTCCTTTCTCGCCATTAATGGCATAGGGGAAATAAACAATTTGACTCTCTAATTGTTACAAACGTAACAGCAGAGACGGATTGTCAGCAAAATGAATAAGCAAAATTATCAGCAAAATTAATAAATGTACGAGCCATACGCCTTCCACAACTGCTTAAAGTTTTCCAAGCAAATCGGATGTAAAGGGAACCTCAGTTTATAATTAATAGAGCTGGGAAATTATTTCAGTTGACTGACCAGAAAATTTTGTGGCCGCAGCCCGCTGCGACGCATACTTTGCAGTATGAATATATATTTGCGCAGTCTTCAAGAAATTGTTGCGGCAAAAATAATTACAGCGGCACACTGTCACACTGCAGTGAGCAGCTATTTAAGTTTGCTGACTCGCAAATATTAGGGACATTAACAATACTTAAATTAGTGCCTTGCTGCATGAACAAAATTTTGTTGCAAACACATTTGCCCAGAGAATGTACAGTAATGCCGAAGTAAAAATCGGTTGGTTATTAACTTATTTGATGGAAGTGGAGTTACCGTTGTTAAATCCGTGGGACTTCGGAATGCTGGTCAGTCAATCTTACTGTACGTTTAGGTACGTTTTTCTTGTACTTCATGTATGATATGTCATAGATTTCGAAACAGCTAAATTCTCTTTCATCGCAGATAGAGAATTACCGCGTATAGTCAGTTACCGGTATGTATTTGTAGAACTTCGTGTTTTGCCCAACATTCCTAGGGCTTTTTATTTTGTCCTTTGAGATGATTCCGACGCACCGTGACATATGAAATCGCAAATTTAATATTTGTTGTCCCGTGTCCTAGAGAGATGATGTTGCCCTAAAAACGCGTGCACCTATATATAATTTACTGAAAAGAAAATACTCATAAATCTTTTGTTAAAGCCACGCCTCAGTGACTTTGAGTGCGTGTATGTAGTCTCCGTTCAACGCATTTTTTTTGTGTTGTCTGCTTATCATACTACAAAATACAAGACACAGCAATTTGCAGGAGGGAGAAACGATGAACCTGACGACGGGCGTTATTTAACTGTATCGACTGGATATCTATACATGTGACGGGAACCGTACTCACTGCGCGTGATCCGCGGCACATCGACATTCCCCCACGAGTGACTCCTGGGATAATGCGCTCAATAAGCAGATAGATCAAACAAAACTCTTCGCAAATTTCTTGATCTACGACTCATCATCCAACTTGACAATAAAATTAATCGGTGACTTTGATCCGTTCATCGGCATTTACGGAAAGCATATTTACGTAATCCAGCCATCATGCATCCCATTTCTGGGAAAGTACACGCACAATGTACGAACAAAGACGATGGGAATCAATGCCTGGATCATTTATTGAACATTAGCGCATCCTTTCCGGCGTTAACTGCATTTTTTGCATTTATTCCTGACCGGCTAATCATATTCTGTCGTGTGTCGAATGGGATGCCGGCAATGTGAAAAAATGTATTACAGCGTCGTTATCCTTGGATGCAGCCTGATAGCCATGCATACAATATCCGCTGACCAGTGCGAATTGCGCTTTGTCCTGCTAGCACCTACGGCCATGAGTTCGCTGCTGGTCAGAGAAATGGAACGCAGTCTGACGACCGTGCAGCGCCGGCCCAATACACTCTACCAGTTGGTGGATCTATCGGCTAATGTGTCGTCTGCGCCGCTCAGCGGAACAGGCGGGAGGGTAATTGTAGACGAGCCGGAAGTTGGCCGGTTGGCCAGTTATTACTATGGAGTAGGAAAAAGTGCACCTTTTCTGGCACTTCCGCTGCTTAGCGAACCCATGGCGGTGGATGTGGCCGGCTTGGCCCGCGGTAAGGAGATGGCGCTGTAACTGTCTCGCCCACGTTAACAGCTTTCAGCTAACGCAGGGTTTTTCCTATACTGATTAAATTTGCATGCACAAATTCACGATTTCCCTTTTAATGCTAAGAACATGCTAATAAATTTATAGCAATATCCATATTTTATTTTGTTAAGCAATTGCCTTCTGGCGCCAGGATGATAATATTTGCATACGCGGTGCCTACAAGGTCACTAAAATTTAAACAATATGAAAAATCGTAGAAAACAACTTGCAAATATCGTAAAATATCTAAAACGGAATGAATAGTATGCCTCTGTAGCTAGCTGGTCGCTATCGTACGAGATCTTATTGCAAGATGAACAAGATGCTGTATGGCATAACTTTTCATTTCAATGGTATACACAATATATACGTCAAACCAGTTAAGTGCATGAAGTAAAAACCATAATTAAGCAAATTGCCATTGCAATGTTTCATCTTGTATTGTTAGATATTCCCAGAAATTTAATGCTTTATACGTATACCTGAAAACTGAAAGTGAACAACAGCTGTTTTTCATACGTACAAATAAAACTAATGAGTACGATCTAAGCGCGGTCACACTGGAGGCGGTGAATGTGCATCATTCACCCATTTGTCTGCAACAAACATGCATATAATATGTAGATTTACATTTGTCTAAACTTGGCCAAATAATACAAATATGTCAAATTATCCCGGCTAAATGGAACTTATTGATTTTTCAAATTCTGTCGCATGAGCCCCTATCACCACAGTACGTATCCAATACAGTATTAGCAAATAAACGCGCATCATTGTTTTCAGAATGGCGAGTCCCTGTGATAAGGAGGTAAGTGCGGTGAATATAGCATATTGCTGAATGTTTATAAAGTGATTATGCTTTTCCATGGTGAAAATTACTTCCTGTGCTAGTGTTTGGAGTAGTCGACGCAATTTGCGCCTGCCACCAGATGCCCTCGTGGTCAATAGTGAAATCGGATACATTGCCGACGTCGCTCAAGCCCTTCTTGCCTTCTTCCGACTGCACCTCTTCAGCAACGTTGCAATAATATGTGACGCCCAGGAAAAGGACATCTTCCTTCGACAAACCTGTGATTATTCCCTATTAGTCTTCAGACAAGAGAAATTCGATGTGATCTATGTGGAAATCCCGGAAAATCAACGCGGAAATGATAGATGTGGCGATGCGCTTCAGAAAGCGAAAGTTGCTGCGCGCGGTGAGCATCCTTTGCGTATATAGTAGATGTTGTAACATGTTGCGTTAGCTTTAGTTTACCCACTCCCGCAGATATTCCAGACATGTCATTTCTTGTAATCAGTTAATACCTTCCGTGTTCTATTGATTCAACATTAATAAAAAGAGAGTTTACATGTTCGGCAAATAACCAAAATGACAAAAATACGCTTATCATTTTCCTAGGAATTTCCTGAAGTAATACTGCAGTATAAGCTACCAGGTTCAGCTTTTGTATTACATTACATCGTTCCACAAGCAAAATATAAATATAACATCGCGTGTCATTTGCTTTTAGCGTTTACTTTCGTATTGCCGGATGTGTTGTTAAAGTCATGCTTGGTAAGATATCCAAGGATTCTCCGCTATAACATGCCCAGTTTCCCTAACAGCCGTGTGTGTAGGAAAGTGCAGCACAAATGGGCTTTTCGGATGGAAGTTATGTAAGTGGAAAAAATGGCGACACATTATGAAAATTTTCTCACTAGTTTACCTAACTTTCGTTAGGTTTTTGTTGCGGTTAAATCTCCGACAATAAAAGAATCCTTACTTGCGACAAATACGCCAACAAATACATCGGCAAATACGGTATCTGTTTCTAGCCAGTCATTCTGAATCGTCATGTCTGTTTGTCTGAATTGCCATTAAAGCCTTCAATTCTGACTTCAGGGTTTATCAACCGTGCCACCGCCAACAAACCTTTTTTCTCAAGTATTCTTTGTTTATTCCAATTCGGCGGCACTGGACGACATTACGGAGATGTCACAAAAACTTGCCAAAATTAAGATCAATCCAGCGCTGTTCTCACACCAAGTAAGTTGTCTCTCTAATGTACAACGCAACACATTGTAAATTAACGTTTGTCCCACTAAAAACCCCGTGCTCTGTAAATCGTTGCTGTTGCAGGAAATACTAACATTGGCGTCCGTTCAACGCACTATGGATTTATTTTCTAAGGTACCTTGCACATGGATTCTGCTTGTGTATTTTCATCATGTAAAAAACTATTAAAAATTTAGTAACTGAAGCCGTAGCGATGCTTTGCGAGATATATGTTTTCATGAGGATTTATAAAAAGAGTAAAGTAGTACCATAAAACCAAATTAAAATGAACCTATACAGGCTCTGGAGCAAGAACAGAGCCCAAAACAGTCCATTAACCACAACACCTGGAACTGTTCCATTCCTGCATCCTATGTTTTTCTTATCCGCGGCATGCAAAGTGCACTTTTGGCGTCCAGAAGGGCCGCATCGAAATCCCTGGTGACTTTCCAAAGAGTTGCCGCAGCCGACGCGGATGCTTCATTGGCGGTAAGGATTAGCTGAGCTCTGCATATTTTCGTTTGAGTTCCGGTACGAAGTTTGACCGAGCGTTTGTGCGTCATTGTGTCTCAGAGCTTCAGAGCTTTTTCGGCCAAAAGTGCATCGGTAAAGAAATTCTAGTGCTGAAGACAACTGTAAGCAAGAAAATGAAATTAATTTTCCCCATTTTCCGATTTGTGTGCATAAATCTTTTTGTATTAATCACACAATTCGCATCGATTCATTTTTCGGAATTTTCGGGGCACTCCGGCAGAGTTGTATCCCTTACGGCTACTTGTAAAAATTTACCAGGTTCTGCATCCAAGAATTATTGACTTTTTTGTCAACCTAACACTTGGAAAATCTGTACACCTTAAATATACAGACGAAGTGCATATTTTGCTTATTCTGTATTAATTCTGTAAGATCAATGTCACGACCACGAGATTTTGTAGGTGTTTGCCGAATTCGATCCGAGTAGCGCGCAGGGACTGAATGTGGTGATGGACCGAGACACTTTTATTGCAACATGGCCGGGTGGTACTTTTCCGCCGCCTAACGTGCCCTTCTGTGGCTTCCGCAACGATGCTGATCAATGCCAAGCAGCAGGTATACCCATCCCATATTAGCTAGTTTTATAAAGCTTATCGGACAAAGTGAACGACTGCAGCACCGATCGAGCAGCACCGTACTCTGTATAAGAACAACTGTAGTCGATCATCATAAATTTGTTCGATATTCATGCATAACTTAACATAAGGCATAAAAATAAAGTGCTAGGTAAATGTTCCAACTGGGATAATGATCGAGGACATAAATTAGGCAAAATCTATCATGTATTGCTTACATATTTACATTACCTGCCTGGTTTCCAGATAATACCATTATGGCCATTATTGCCGCGCCTTGTGTTCTGATCATCATAGGCATTGCTTACTTATTGCACCAGCGGAAAAAAGAAGCCGGGTACGCAATATGTACAGTAGTAAAAACTAATGAAAACGGGGGTGACATTGACTTAAATTAAAATGCAACTACCTTAGAGAAGAAACCAAGAAACCGGCTGTAGCGGCAGAATCCAACCAATTCGAGCAGCTGGACCCATCCAAATGGGAAATCAAAGAAGAAGAATTACGTCCGGCGATTAACCAGACGATGGCCAAATCGCTAAGGGCGCTGTCACGCATCTCCCTAAACGCCTCTGTCGTCGGCTCCACCGCAACGCAGATACAAAAGATGCAACCCGAAGTGCACATCTTTATGGGGCGTAATGTATGGGTCAAGTCCAGGGAATTGTCGTACAGTTTTGTTCCGGAAGGCGAAACACTAATCTATATTCAAAAGGTAAAACGGAGCTGAAATCCGTGGTGCTTACGTATTTAGCTTCCATAATTAAGCAAAAGGATTATTTAAGAAAATATATGATTATATACAATTTCGTTTGTGCAGAGTGCAGAGGACTAGTAATTATATCAAACTTGTACAGTACAATCTCGCAAGTTTTATATACGTATATCTACATAGTTTTTACACGTTATGCGTTACTGTGGTTAGGCACGGCGTCTCAATCACGCAAGTATGGCGCAGTTTTTGGGTGTGGTGCTATCAAGTGATCCCTTGGTGTACGAAATGAAAATGGTTATGGAATACTATCAACGAGGAAGCCTTCAAGATCTCATCGGACAGGAGGACATGGATTTTTCCTTTCCGCTGAAAGCCGTATTTATTCGTGACATTGTTGCGGTGAGCTGCATAATGCAACATCTGAAACATAATACGACATGTGATTTGCACTACTAGGGTAGTCTTTTCTCGTTACAGGCGATGACCTTTGTGCACAATTCTTTTATTGCCTGCCATGGCTCACTAAAAAGCCCTAATTGCTTAATCAGTGAACGATTTACAATCAAGATTACCGATTATGGATTAAATGTCTTTCCTGTTCATCCACCAGCCGTTGAAGCCGATGAATATCTGTACCATGGGCTTCTGTGGACAGCACCGGAGATTCTGCGAGGACCGATCATTCGTGTGCGCAAGGGAAGCAAAGAAGGGGATGTGTACAGTTTTGCCATTATTTTGCAAGAAATCCTCACCCAAACCGAGCCGTACTACGATTTCCAGACGAATTCTGCCTTATTGCCAAAAGGTCACGCACATGCGAGCCCGCACAGTAAAATGTCGTGTGCCTTGTCGTGTGTCGTGTCGTGTACTTCCTAACAGGCACAAACGTTTGCAACTTGCTAAGAGAATTTTTTTCGCAAAAACGGAAACAGTATTTTTAACTGGTGCATAAAAACGGTTCTAAAACAAAAAATCCTGTTAACTTGACACATGATAGGGTCCAGTGATACAATGATTCAGTTTAACGCAATCTACATAATAGGTTGTTTTTTTCCTTACATTCATTTTGTAATTTTATCTGGGCTCTATTAAAATTGAGTAATTTTCTTGTGCAGAAGTCGTCCACCTACTAATTCAGAAATCTGGAAAACCTCACCGTCCGGAAGTGCCATCTGATAAATGCTCACCGGAATTAATGGCCGTAATGCGCACATGCTGGGCGGAAAATCCCGCCGAACGTCCAACCTTCAAAGCGTTAGGCGCCACCCTGGACCGAACACCGGGATTTGCTGGCAAGCAGACCTACCTCGACTACATTCTGGGCAAAATGGAGGAGTACAATAACCAACTAGAGCACCGAGTGCGAGAAGCCACTTCCGGTTTGATTGAGGAAAAAAAGAAATCGGAGGAAATTCTTGCCCAAATGTTGCCTAAGTATGCATATATGCAGTTCCCACCTAGCTGCGCGCACATGACGTTGACAACGCTCGTACGTTTCACGGAATCGATCAAGGCGCTTATTTATTTATGGTTTTCGATTAACAGGGCCATATTGGAAAAGTTCAAGCGGGGAATAATTATTGAGCCCGAGTCGTTCGACCATGTTACGTTGGGGATTACCGCGATAATAGATTTCGCCATGATTGCCCACAACAGTACTCCGTACCAGATAGTGGCCTTCCTCAACGAACTTTTTATTAGATTCGACGCAGTTATAGATCGTTTTGATGTCTATAAGGTAATATAGAATGAATGTTGGTATTTAAACCTGTCTGAGTTAATAAATGGTTATGCAGGTTGAAACGATTCAAGATTCCTATGTGGTAAGGAACATTACAAAATGTTCAGTGCTATTTAATGCAGCCAGCGTAACACAGTACCATCATAATGGGATGACCTTTCTATTGTTCTGTTGTTTAAATTAACTAGAAAATTTTAAAGCCGTGAATCGTGAAGCTCGTGTGAATGGAAAACACATCTATTACCGTAGCTTTGATTATCTGTGACCGTTGCAGATTGCTAGCGGGCTTCCAGATCGAAATGGTCGCGCCCATGCTTCTGAAATCGGTACTACTTCGCTCGATATGTTGGATACCGTTAAAACCATTAAGATCAAGCATATGGAGAATCATGATGTGGAGATGAAAGTGGGAATTCATACCGGTAATCTAAGGGCGATTCTCTTACGTCAGGCCATTGTGCTCAATGACCTTTACGTGATGTGTCGATTATATCGATAAGCCTGTATCATAAAGTGCGCTTACTACCACAAAATCGTTGATAGGCATGCTGGCAGCCGGTGTGATTGGTTTGAAAGCACCCAGATACTGTTTGTAAGTAATTCTAAGTCAAGCAGCACCGGCAATAAATATAACGTATTATTATGCAAGGGTCATGAATTGTTTCCTTAATAGATTTGGAGATACAATCAATACAGCATCTAGGATGTGCTCTACTGGCGAAGGTATAATGCACGAACTGAGATGCATGATTAGAAAAAGACATTTTCCATGCCCACATTTTAATTAAACGGCGTCCTCTGTACAAAAATGCTCGAACTGTAGGCGCTGCTGCAATTCCAAAAATTTAACATGTAATTGTCTGCTTATATAATACTTCTATACATACTTGGTTTTCAGCTCAACGTGTACAAATCAGTGAATTCACAAAATCCTTTCTGGAAGACTACGACAAAGATAGGTTTAGCATAGCCTTTCGCGGTGAAGCGGAAGTCAAGGTAATTAGTGATATTACCAAAGAGTGCATGCACCTGTGTGCGATAAGTACAATTATTAACAAACTTAAAAACTACTTTCATAAAAGCATGGCGGTTGATGCTGAAACTGTTAAATCTAACAGTTTGTATTTGCAGGGCAAAGGGAAGATGCGGACATTTTATATTGATAAACCAGGAAGGTCATAGCAATATAAACGTTTGTTGGTTCTAAATTCTTTCTGTACAGAGATTCAGAACATTGCTTTACTGCTTGTTGAGAAATTTTTTATAACGCATTTGATTTGCCCGGGGTTGTTGGGCGGTCAGTTATATGTCTGAGAAACAAAAACAGTCTTAACTGTAACAACAGAATCTTATATATCAAATACATAGTTATATACCGTATTTTATATATCAAATACGTACATTTTTCAGGCATTAATTTAACGCTTTTATTATAGGGCAAAATTTACCATAAGTGCCCCATTTTTCCGGTTGAGAAATTTATTTGCACAATGAGAAAAGTGAAAAGCATTCAGCATTATGAATTTAGCGTTACAAAAAGGATTCCAGGTTTGGGACAGTGATTCGGCTATCGCAGAAGCTTCTTGGAATACACTTAAAAACATTTCTGTACGAGTAGTGTCGAACTCACAAAAAAACCGGGGTAAAAATGTTACCCCTGATGCTGTTTACTAAATAAAGGCATGACATGATTAAAAACCGGACAGGTCGAAACTCATAGAGCAAATCTTAGTACTCAAAAAACAAGCGAAATGCAGGAGTTTGCACGGCTGTAATTACGCATTTATTCTTTCTAAGCCGCGGCCATAACGTACTGTTCCCGAGGTGCTTCTTCGGCCGAGGACTGCAGTGTACCGCTATTCAAATGGAAGCGGTCAACGCCGACTTCCTTCCAGATACTGACCAAATCATCCACAAATTTGTCCATCATGGGCTCCGTATGGAACGGAGTCGGAGCTAATCGAAGGCGTTCTTCGCCGCGCGCTACAGTGGGATAATTGATCGCTTGCACGTAGTGACCGAAGGTGTGCATCAGCCGGTTGGATACTTCCGTCGACAGTTTGGGATCGCCAACCTAAGACACCAGATTGTATTGACTGGAAAACTGCAACACATTTTACGTATTGGCTCTGTGAACAATATGTGTATGAATTATAAAGAAACGACAGGCACACTGGTAAATTAAATCGTTGCTTACGTGGATCGGGATGATATGTGACGGAGTGCTCAAAGCCGGAATGTAAGCGGATTTCAGCGCATTACGAATGTATTTAACGTTCTCCTGGTGTCGAGCCCGTAATTGCCGGCCCTCTTCGGACGCCAGCACCCGGATGGCCGTCAGAGCTCCCACCAGAACGGTCGGGGGCAGCGACGTGGTGAAGATGAAGCCACTGGCATAACTACGAACGGTATCCACCAGAGTAGCGTCACTCGCAATGTAACCTCCAATATTGCCGAACGCTTTGCCTGCAATTGGCACACGCATATACACGTAATATAATCAATTACAAAACAATTTTTTTGAAAAGTCAGCGCAGATAGGTATATAATGTATGTGCAGATAGGTATATAAGCTTGATTCTAAGGACGGACATGTGTTAACGAATGTTCGATGCGAAGTAGCGTAAAAAGAGCCTTGAAATAGTTCTTACCAAGAGTTCCGGAAATGATATCCATTTTGGCCATGCATCCGTCGCGATCACCCACACCTCCGCCATTATCACCATACAATCCCACGGCGTGTACTTCGTCCACGAAGTTCAATGCGCCGTGCTCGTGTCCAATGTCACACATTTTTTCTAGAGGCGTGATCGCACCTGCCCAAACGAAAAATATATATCAAACCATAAAAACCTCATGATAGGAAAATTCCTTAAAATTACTTAACTTATGTGTACCGTACTTTTGCCATTGTCAAAAACTGAATGACAAGTATTTACCTGTCATACTATGGACCGTTTCGAAGGCCACAATTTTTGGCCTTCCTAGTTCAGAGTTGTGCAGTTTTTCCCGTAAATGTCCAGGGTCGTTATGGCGGAAGACATGCTTAGGCGCGCGACTGGTTCGAATACCATGGATCATGGATGCGTGATTGCCCGCGTCGGAATAAACATGCACGCCTAAATACGCAGAAATTGGCAGATGCTGAACAGAAGTGAACCTTGCTAAAATTTTTACGTTATTTATATTTCATAAAGAGGTGCTTTTTACGGGATGCAGTACTATTACTTTCACCCCGACCATTTTTCGTCGACCACCACCAACAACAGTTACCGTAGAACAACTCTGTATTTCTGGAATAATGTTACATAATGCATACCGGGGAGCATTTGACCCAGAGTGTGAAGAGTCGACTCATTGGCCACATAACACGATGTAAAAAGCAACGCCGCGGGTTTCTTATGCAGTTTTGCCAGTTCGCTTTCCAGTTCTTCGTGCATAGTGGAATTGCCGCTGATGTTGCGTGTTCCTCCAGCACCGGAGCCATGCTTCGACAAGGCGGTACTGAAAAAAAGAACGGATGTACTTTTAGTTGAGAGATACGTATCAAGAATAAAAACTTATGTATGCGCATTGCAAAAGACACTTGCTTTTTTTGCAGGTAAAAAGCCTTTTGCGCTGCCAGGTTATTATAATGTAATTACACTTCGCACAAGAAACTTGATAACTATTCCCGAGTAATCTTTAGAAGCAATCTCCCTGATTTATTCCAGACAGACTGCACGCGCCAACACACATACATACCTACATCTGATCTTGGACAATGTTCTGCTGCTCCCAGCAGTGGGAACTGGACTTTGTTACACTTTTCACCGACTTTTGCGACTACCGGCCGTTGGCGCCAAAATGTGTTGCATATTAATACCATATACATTGACCAGTTTAATTTATCCAAACGGTTTACAGGTAAATACATACATCAGTAACGCAAATATTGCAGTGTACGTACTGTTTTAAACGTTTATAAAATCGTACCAAACACGTATTACAACGACCAACAGAGAAAATGGCTCTTTCTATTGGCATTAAAACACACTTAAACTATAACGATCGTTTCCAAATGTTGCAAAGCTTATTGGATCAGTGCATGAATACGGTCACAATCCAAGTGTACATCATAATAATAATTATATACAGTTAAATTAGAACGATAAATGGGCTGTTGGTTTGTTGCGTTACAAATATGTGATGACGTATAGATATCAATTAAATTACAAAATATTTATAAATTTAAAGTCCGCTATCTAGAAGCTATAATAATTCTTGCAATAAACTCACTTTAGGGTGAAACTTCCAAGAAAAAGATGGACTTTTTTAAAACTGCTTTTACCTGACAGCTTCCAGTACTTTTGGATGACGACTCATCCCTAAGTAGTCGTTGCTGCACCAGACAGTAATGTTCTTCTCATCTCCGGTGAATTCGCGTCCATAGGGAAAATTTTGCGCACTACGATTGACCTTTTTAAAGATGCGATACGAATGGTCGTTCTTCTTGTCATCAATTTTCTTTTGCATGAACTTTCCGTAATCAAACGCTTGGGTGTTGTTAAAACTGAGCTGTTGTTTCTTTGATTCGCTTTCCACTGCTTTCGTTTTCTTCTGCTCTGGATCTCCATAATCTTCCACGCTAATGACCTCTTCGTTCTTAACACGCACCACGCTGATGCTGTTCTGCGTCAAGAAAGGGCATTTGCTGCACGCCGCCGGATTCGTCGCCAGTGTGTTGCTGGACACTCCTACAAATTAAACATTTCTGTAAATTCAAAAACATAATGCTAGTGACTCGTGAATACGTTCGACATGCGTATTACAATCTGCATATACTTTTTGAAAACTGATTTTGCACTGAATTCGAAATTTGGGAAGAAACTACTACACAAAGTGAACTTGCCGTTTGGTGCGCTGGTATGGGCGTGAATTTTTTGCATATAAGACGTGAAAACCGGGCATTTCTCTCCATAATACTTAGCTAAAAGGGGTCCGCAACTGCCGACTACACTGGATGGTAATCGGCTAAGCAGAGGGCAAGTCAGCTTCATTTTATTAATTTACTGTGAATGCAATAAATAATTTGTATGAAAATGTGAACGGGGCATTGGATTCGTTAAAGTTATTATTGCAGAGAAAACCGTTGATCGTCTTAACCAGGGCATGGATTAGCGAAAACAGTGCCTGTTTGTACAATATTTCACGCAGACAATGTCCGTCGCTATCGCCGTGTGGATCAGTTGACCTCGTGGACATTAGCCGCCACGTAACCCGCAACTGGTGCGATAAATTTCAAAGATACTAAAAAAAATGTATCCATTTAAATGAAACTGCTGCCTGTTGAATTTGTGCCATCCAATTGCAACAACCAAGATTGTTTTTTACCGGTTACATCGTATTTGCTATCCATGCAGTTTTACATAAGCAGGGCTTATTCACACTTCCACAGACCTGCGGTGTTGCGTTACAAAAACTTCGATTGTTTTTGCATTCTGGGCATTTCCTCAATACATTTATTTCCCCATCCAAACACCTGGCTGCATTAGCAGACGCCCTAGCGAGAAACGCAGCAACTATTTGTACATATTTTGAAATCGGTCGTACGTTGAATAACCCGATGCGTTTCTATAATATCACCGCACGCTGGTGCTTCTCCTAATGCAGCAAGGTGTCCGGAGTGCGAAATATTATGTGGTATTACTGTACATACTGTAATACCAAAGAACTCGTGCTTCTATGTACTATAAAATGCAGGAGAATCGCGTTAGTGAAAGCTCCATAATCTGTATAGACAGCTGAAATGTATGAATCTGTTTTTTAATAACTTTTATAATACTATGCATTGGCGGGAATTCCGTGAGGCAAATAAACCTGTACATGTCTTACCTCTTTGAAAGATTCTTTTGAAATATATCATATTACCACAACTGCAAGCACAAACAACTGTTATTATAGTCGTAGAACGCGTTCGGTTCGCTGAATAAAGATAAGATGAACTGCTAATTCAAAAAAAATACTTAGAATAGTGGAAATAATTGATATAAGTAAGCATGTGTATATAAATAATCCGTGTCCCTTCTGTTATATATGATACCGATAGCGTCTTTATTATTATGCTGTTGATCATGTTTTTGCTTTTCCTGTGGGGCTAAATCTCATGCACTTCAAATACCAAATACCGATTTCTGTTATCTTTTTTCTGGCAACAAACGGATGCTAGCAGCGAAAGCAAGCGTCACTTCCTTAATTTATCTTTGAATCCTTGAACAACACCATAAAATTTGATAAGTAATATTACTGCTCTGGTAAAAATAAGGATAAATATGATGCAATGCGGTTTGGCACAATAAACTAATATGTTCTCTTGTTTCATTACTAATGCATTTGTGCACAGACTTTACGAAGTAGTAACAGTAAAAGATAAGGTGCAATTAATGGAGTAATCAACTACGAAATCACGTTTCTGCAGTAAATTCGTAATCTAATTTATCATTTGTAACGAAGCTGTACAGTATTTATATTTGTGATGGCGTATGGAGTTTTTGCATTCCATTTATCCCGCTAATTGTAAAAAGCGGTTAATTAGAACTTAGAAGTTATGATATGTATGATCATCAAATTAAGTGATGCAGGGGTTAAAACTCAAAAGTTACAAAAAAAAACCTCAGATTTATAGCTGATCAGGGGCAGTGTTACGGACGCGTTTATTTCAGGTTTTTTTTAACAATCGTTTATATGGCACACAGTTGAATTATCCGAATAATTTGCGCCCATCGTGAACATGTGCACGTCCTATACGAAATACTCCGTGAGAGATTTTTGCACCACATCTGAGAATAGAGTATACAGTATTCCAGAGTATACAACATTTCCGGACACACTGCGGTATGAGATGCACTATGTAAAAGATCATGACCATACTGTATGGGTGATGCATCCGATCTGACATCAAATTAAATTCAAATGCTAAAAACGAGACTAGAGTTTATTACTCATATGGTCTATCCAGACCGCAGCCAGGCAAATGCCAAAACAGATGGCAGATATAAATTTTTACAACACCGGAAAAGTTATTAGTCATTTCCATTGGATTTACGGTTCCGTTTTCAAATCCCCTCACACTATTCGAATCTTGCTTGATTTACAGATTCATTTATTTCCATCACAGAACGTTTTATTCTTACACTTTTGAATTATATTCGCATGCCATTATATCCTTCTAATACAACCGTATATCCATATTGTCCAAATCACTGTTGCATAGTATTGTCGTATTGTCACAATTAGGTTTTCTTAAAAGATGAACACTTAATATTAACATCGCCTATGTAAGTTGGAAATTGTTTGTAACATTGGTATCAGCCAAAAAATTTTACGGATAACCATGAATTCCTATTTTTTTTCGCGCGCTATATCCTTGTATACCATTGCTTTGGTTATCTGGAATTTTTCGTTATTACTCCCCGTGCACGGAAAGGGGAAATTATACCGGCAAAATAATTTGGCACATAAAATCGTCAACGAAGGTAAGGGGTAAGCCAGCTCGTCTCATTTTCGGTATGTTTATTTCGTATTTTAGGAATTTTTAATAACATAAGCACTGCAATAATTAGAGATCGCGCATCTGTTTAGTGTAATATATCGCTAAAACTTGTGTACAATACTACTCTAGTATACTATAGCTGCGTATCCGAATCCGTTATTGGGTATAGTCTATTGTATTTATGCCAGCAAATAACGGGATAAAAAACGAAAAAATAAACTCAAACGTTAAACATAATTAACGTTAAACTCCAGCAAAAAACGAAAAATACAGTACTTGTTTTCTGAGTCATGAACAGGTGTTTTCTAGATGTGAGGTTGTAATGCATAATAATGCTACCGTAATTGTTAGCTGGGACTCAAATGCATTGTATTTCAGCATGTAATGATGTTGGTGAAGTTGAAAGTAAGGATCCATGCCGCCCGATGTGTGCATGTATCGATGGGCGGTTAATTTGTGCGGAAATACTTTGTTCGAAAAAAGTGCCGGATAGTTGTGCAAAGGTTACGCCAGTAACAAGATGCTGTCCGTCTTATGTTTGCTGTAAGTCTTTTGGTGAATAAGTTAGATTAAAACTGCTTACCATTTGTTGTTTTCGAATAAAAACTTAAATATCCGTACAGGGATTTGCTATATATTGAAAGGAACGTTTGAGCCCCTCTTGCATAACAGTATGCCAATTATTTTTGTACAATTCTAATAGCTACATAAATTAACTAAAAATACTAAAAACTTCCTCAGCTAGGCAATCAGTTTGACACTTTTCTTATATCAGAACGTACCCTTACATATTAATTAAGGTTCATTCGCGTTTATGGTTTGTCATATTTCAGATGATGATGAAGGTTCATCGTTTATGCGATATCCTTTACCGCGCGTGGTCGTTCCGACTGAATTGCAAATATTCCAAGCAAAACAGCACGATAAAAAATCTGACAAAAGCGAAAAGCTGCTGTAAACCGCAAACCATACAATTTGTGGTATACACCGATTTTGCTAGCATTGGTTATTTTATCGTGTATACATAGCCTACATGTACATAGATCATCATCGGCCATCAGCTGACGAATCTTGGCAATGATTGCATTCTTATGTGAGAAGTAGGTCCACGCACACGGCTGCTACCGCCAAAGTCTATTGTTTCATACGATTATCAAATTTGTTTGTGATTTGCATCACACGACAATGCCATTTAATTTTATGCCAATTTTATTTATTGCCGACAAGGAGGCGCCGCCTATGCAAATTCGCCAAAGCGAGCGCACGGTGTGCGATCACGCTCCAGGAGCCTGCACACACTTTCGGCCCTAATTACAGCATAGTATCTGTTGACGTTCTTTCGGTGTGCGTGGTCTAATAATTTTTATTATAACCCAACTTTTATTAAAGCAGGGCACATAGTTATCTTAACCCTTTGTTTATATAATGCTTTATTTGCTGATCCTGCACATAAATACTGGTGACAGGTACAAAATGCGAAGAATTTGACCTTTCCTGTTAGTATTAGATGTGCTGTTATTCACCCTTTTCTTGCATATTCAAAAGCGAATATCTGGTCAGATAGGTGTTTAAACAAACGGCTTTTTAATTGTACGGTTAATATTTTTTCAATAGGATATGTTGTGCCATATTTGAAATTGCTGGAATTAAATACCGGTGAATCGGTTACCTTATCCACTTGTAGTGTTTAGTGTATACGTAATGATCCCTACTATATGCATTGAGCATCATTGGCTATTAAAAGTAGAAAATAATTATATATTGACTTGAAACCCAAACGTTAACCAGAAGAAACCAGAAATCTGGAAATTTAAAAACTCACATTGTTTAGCGATACTATTTGTATCAGTTGTATCGCTGTAATAAATTTTTTATTATTCGAATTAAATCTGCTCTAACGTCTTTTGTTGCCGTTCAATGATCGATAATATTATCATCATTATCATGTGTGTGTACAAATATGACGTTAGTAATGCGAAGCGCGTCGTAAAAGCGTGCTAATTATAGATTAGACACTTTAGTTTGTTTGGTGAAGTGAATTAGTCATACTTAAATTAATGCAGACAGTCCGCTTGTTCAGTCAATTTGTTAACCGTGATTTAAACATCATTGTGGCATATTATTCACATATGCTCATAAATCCGGTTGCAATTTCAGTTTCTTTGGCGGACGGACAGTGACAGGAACATACTAGTAAAATATGGCAAGATTGTATACCGTCATAATTGAAGAATGACAAATCACAAATTCGAAATTCATAGTCAGTTTTTTTCGCAGGTGAGTCATTCGCCCAGACGACAACCCGGTAATTAAGGTGGTGGGGCTACCACATTAGCAAATGCCACAATTGAGATATTTCACACAGCATACATTTGTAGCCATATCTTTGCGTCGTGTCCATCGTGAGATCAGCAATGTTTGGCAGTTTTTCACTCTTTACTGGTTATCAAACTGTATCCTCAGAGTCAAGTTTCAGATATCTTCTGATGCTTCGTGGGTTATAGCAGTCCGGTATGGAGAATCCCAAACGCTTTACGCATTGCCGGCTATATATAACAATAATCAATCCCTGATTCATCCATAACACGACATCAAGCAATAAAAGATAACGATAATTATCGTTATTATGCAACACTAATTATTTGGTGTTGCAGCTATGGGCACGCTTATTCAAGAGTATTTTCTCGTTCAAGACGTAAAGGTCGCGCCATACGGCTTCGGAATACCGTAAATAACGCAATACTGTAAATTGTACTTAAAGAAAAAGCTGTTTTAAACTTTTAAGAGACAAAAATGGATGTACCACATCACAAAAAAAAGTTTAGCGTCTTGCAATATATTGCATAAAAAAATTAAAGGTCACAAAAGCGTTTCATTTAAGTAATATTACGCGAGTTTTCGAACGGTTTATTAGTTTTATTCACATTCTCTCTCCAGTCGGACTGGATCATTGCTGCACCGCGGCCTACCGTGACGGTTAAATCAAAACTAATATTCGCCTATTTAAAGAAAATGGGCGCTGTGTTTTATTACCTGCATTTGAGATGATCAAAAATGTTTCCCAGGGTATCATGACATCTGGCGCAGGCCACTAATAAATACAAATGTCAGTTTATTTATAATATGCATTTGCAATAGAAAGTCATAAAGGGGTGCTTACCAACACATACTGCAATATCATCAGCAGTGTCATCATTGCTGTTGACCTCTGCGTTGCATAGTGAGTTGGAAGATATTAAATAAGCCACCACGTATGCGGCAACCATCCATTTCATATTTAAAAAACCCATCGCACCGATCGTGAATATCAATCTAGTATATCATCTACAAGTATTCGCTGCAGAAACTTTAAGACTTCGCACGAAGTTTTTCAGTGAAGTTCTGAACTAAGTCAGACACAAGCAACCTCAATGGAATTTATATATGAAAAACCAAATCATCTTTTCCCTCATGTCTAAGTATTAGGGAAGTCCGGTCAATAATTATCGTTTGTCACTGCTTTATTACTGGTAATGAAGGCAAATCGTTTGCCGAATATTCCGAGTGATTCATCACTCAGAATTGTCCATTTACGTTTTCGGCAGTGTGGCACCTTGTCGACGCCACGGATGACAAAAAATGCGATCTAATACACCTGTAACTGTCGCCGACCACAACGCCATTCCGCCGGCGGTTTGTTCACGCACTCAGTGGCTGCGCATCCACCATTCACCTGTCGCTCACGGATTTGATAATTAAACGGATGGTTTGCTGGCTATTGACAATTTAAATCGTTAAAAACACAAATTATGTCGTAATCCTGGCGTATATGCCCAACCACAAATTCATCCAAACCAGTTTGTCTTCTCCAGAATTTACATTCCGTAAGTACTGCTAACAATTTACATTTACAAATTTGTAGGTAGTATTGCAGTTGCAGTTTGCAGTTATTCACCGTTGCATTTGTAGTTATAATTCAATTGCTCGAAGAAATTACAAAATACAATTTGTAGGTAGTATTTGCAGTTGCAGTTTGCAGTTATTCACCGTTGCATTTGTAGTTATAATTCAATTGCTCGAAGAAATTACAAAATACAGAGTACTGTTAAATATGTAACAGCTGAACTGATCGAAATTACTCGTATTTGCAGTTTGCAGTTGTTTGCAGTTGTTTGCGTCGCTATGTCTAATTGTGGACTGGACATAATTATTTGTAGGCTACAAATAATTATGTCCAGTCCACAATTAGACATAGCGACGACTGACGACGACATTCTGAACGTTACAGTTGTATTTAATGCAGAATTGTTAGCAATTAAATGTGTCACGTGCACACTCTATTACAGGCTCTCGAATGTATATCTACTTATATCATGTCAAAACACAATCACTAGGAAAATTAGGAATGATCATGTCAGAAATTCACAAAAGGGCAATCGCAAACCCTGAGACCATTCATTCGACAGAACAACAAACACAACCTTCTGTTACACCGCGTACCGGCGTACGTATTATTGTCCACGGGAAACGCCCTCGGCTTCTAACTCGCTTAAAAATCGCACCACTCTCTCTTCTCTCTCCACCTGCATCATAGCGCTGCACATGGCCAGCAGTTTCTTAATTCCAATCCATAATCTCTGGTTCTTCAGCTGTTTGCCGATGTACTTCAAGTCATCCGCAGCGAAGATGTCCAAATTCTCTAACACCTTCACAATCTGATCGCCAGTGGAGATATTGCTTACATGCACTGTCCGCGTGAAGATGGGCGCTAAACGCAGCTCCTCCAACACGCCTCGGCATGCGGTGGTCCCAAGTACCAGCAGTTTGTGGTTCTTTGGTGGAGGATCGTTCATCAGTACCAGGAGGGCTTGTAAAACCAAATTACTAAAACGCGGACCAATCGGAGCATAGTCAATCAGGCCCTCGATATCATCGACTAGGACACAGGATAGCTCCGACTTGTACGCATCGTCAAAGACTTTCTTAATAGCCATACATTTGGCCGTTTCCGTGAAGCCGATCATATCGCGGGGCGTGCATACTTTCATAAACGGGAACTGAGAGTCTTTGCAGATTTTCGCGGCCAGGCAGGATTTTCCGGATGAAGGAGCGCCTTCCAGCAGCAGACTGATGAGGCCTTCGCGGCTGGATGCTTTGACGGTTTGAATGTACAGATTGCCCAGCTCCAGAACAGCAGTCACTGAGTCGTCGTACACAATAATGCCATTCTTTATGTAACGGTCCAGAACTTCTTCGTTAAGACCAAACGCCGGTTTAATGTCATGCTCCAAGGCATGGAGAAAATCGTTGCGATTGACTTTGAATTTATCAAGTGCATCCTCATCCACCAATGCCTAATACAAGCAAAATGCACAGAAATTTTCAAGAAAACAACTTTAAAGTAAGCTAATAAATCATTCAATAATACTGTAAATATTACCAGAGAGCTCAGTTTTGCATTTGCTTACCTTTTGGCCTACTTTGACTAGCCGATTCATTGCCACAGACTGGGCAGCTCGCACCAGACCTTCCAGTTCCGCACCGCTAAAATTCTTTGTTTTTTCCGCAAGCTCTTTAATATCCACGTCCGGTCCTAAATTGTTCTGCTCTCGCATACGAGCGGTGTGAATATTTAAAATCTGCACTCGGCCATACTCGTCCGGCAAGCTAATTTCCATCTGGATTTCCATGCGCCCTGGTCGAATCAGAGCCTCATCGATCATATCTTTCCTGTTTGTCATGCCGATCACCAGAATATTGTTCAACTGATCCACACCATCCATTTTAGCCAGCAACTACATCAGAAAAAAACTTTCGATCAAAAAAAGGGACGCACTCTTCCCGAAAATTGCTCAATTCGGAGTCAAACTGATCTCTAATGCGAATTATTTAGCGGTGATTTGTACCTGATTTACGATGGTGTCATGGACAGCTGTATTACCCGCAACAGACCCTCGAGCTTTGCAAATGGCATCAATTTCATCGAAGATGATGATATGCAGCTGACTGTGCGGACCCATGCGTTTCTCTTCTTCTTCAGCGGCAGCGAAGAGCTTTCGAATGTTCGCCTCCGATTCACCGACATACTTATCCAAAATTGACGGTCCGCTCACAATCTGCGGCTCCCTGGCATTCAGCATTTTGCCAATTTGGCGGGCGATCAAAGTTTTACCGGTTCCGGGTGGACCATACAGCAGCATACCGCGACAATGTTTAATCCCTAATTTCTCAATGAGATCAGGCGGTACAACGCGGGAAGCAAATGCTCGTCGAAAGATGGTGGAGAATTCCTTATCAAGCCCACCGATGCCCATTTTTTCGAAGTTCCAGTCAGGGTTCAAGATGTTCGTACGCTGAACACGCCTGTAAAATCAGAATTCAACTCTTGAACGAATGTAATGGAATCAGATAAGTTCACTATGCTGCTCAGCAGAGACTACCAAAGTACTAACAGATCAATACGTGAATGGCAAATCTTCCATAATTTCGAAAAGATGATTATTGCAATACACAACTACATGATACGTGCAATATGATATTTGATAACACCGATGCATCATCGCTTCGCAAAACAAACTGCAAAGAATGAGTACTTTAACGCAGACCATAGCAATAACCGTTAAAATAAGTTTTATGAAGTAGAATGATTCGTATAATCTTACAATTAGCAAATGGTATATAAGCTTAATAACTAAAGATGCACGTCAAGAACTACGAATGTTTATAGCGGATTAACGCGCACGGACATTAATTATTCAACTTGCGTATATCGAATTACGCTTTGCACAGTCGTTAAATTCGCTTTCGACACGCGTTTAAGCGTTGTGCTTCATTTTATCCAAAACATTTTCAACAGTATCACGGATAATCTGTATGTAAAACCTGCTGAAATAATGTGGCACCCCTATTGATCTATCAAGCATGGCCAAAGCCAACACACCGCATCATGTTCAAGCTAAGGCAAATAAAGACTTACGCAAGCGATTTGCCCGTCAGGGTAATAACAGCTCCCTCAGCCTTCTCGAAATTGACTTGGATATTGGGTGTTGTCACTCCAATCCCGTCCGCTGGCTGTATCAAATACCATCAAGAGCTAAGCTGATTTTCAATGCATTTTATAGTAGACATCGTGACTTATTACGACTAGAAGTACTGTAGGACTAGGTACTTACCTCCGACGATTTTGCCTTCTGCTTGTCATTGCCGGTTACGGCGTTCAGATCGATAACTGTAAAATATCACAATCATCAAATTACTGCAAGGACAACCGTTCACTGATGGAATCCCATAAAATGAGGAACAACTTCTCAATCCCGCAAACAAGACGGGACGCTCAGTACTCAGTCAACATAATAAACATTTCCAGATTATCATTTAATTCGATCGTATTTTGAAATCTAAAAGGTCAATCAAACCGAAGTAGTCTAAATGTTCACAAAGTCTAAATGTTCACAAAGCAGCAGATAAGGACTCAAAGCAGCGGATAAGGATCGCACAACATATGTAAAAAAGAACCCACTTAGAATACAACCATGGCTATGAGGAACAGGTCACTTCCATTTTGCACTTACCGCCTAGAGATTTGACGAGTAAACGTAGCGGCGGTTTACCGCCATGGCTAAAGACAAGCAGTTGTCCTTTGGTCACTGCAAGGCTGGGGAACTGCTGCTGGAAATCCATTGCCATTTTATCCGTATCAAGTGGATCTTGTGTAACTCTGCAAGATTAATTTTCCCATTAGAAAGAATTAATTAGAAAAGCATATGCTGATGAATCCTTTTACACTAGTACAGTAACAGAACGTGCCAATCCTGTCTGGCTCTAGCGTGAAAAAGCGGATACCTATACAGCTGTACAGTACTTTCAAAAGCAGCTCGTAAAATCTACATAGATCTCAAGATGTGCTTTTTTTCGGACTGTCATACTCAGCCACCACAATTACAAACTTCGCACATAATTTGGGTAAAACTGATGTATGAATCAGTAGGAGAATCTGGTTACTCACTTGGCTTTTGAATAAAAATCGATTTCCAAAGTTACTGATGCCAGATATTGTTCGGGATAGAAAGCAAATGCGCGGGCATGAACGTGCTGTCCAATGGAAATTAATGCCCATTTTCTCTGCGAAACAAAAATCAGCACTGTTAAGGATGACAAACCACACCAAGCGCCCGTAGTTACCTGAGGATCGCCAAAACCAATTTCTCCGGGTTTCACAGCGGCATCTGGTCTGATCGTGAATATGAAGTCTTTTCCATTGGCTTGTAGTAGGATATGCCTATTAAAAATATTCTAAAATTATGGTCCGGGCCCCGATTAACATTCTTTTTAAAAACCAGCTTGGCTTTTGAGAGTTTATTAAGACACACATTTGGTTATGCTTAAACATTTACTCGACTGTAATGCAACTTAAAAAATTCCATAACGCGACACTAGCATTTTCCATCTACAACCGGAAATGATTTCGAAAAAAGTACGACTCGCATCACAAATTTGTAGACTGAACTTGCACGTTCACGGCCCTTAAACAGCAGCCATAACTTTCCGGGTCATTTAGTTTATTCATCTAGTCCAGCAACAGTGGTGTGATTATGGACGAATTGGCCGTAATGGCATTTCCGCACCGGCAGCACCACGCAAACGTCAACTCTATTAATCTGCAAAGGAGAGCCAATTCATCCGCTCAGCAGTAGCGGTTCACTGCTAACTCTTTTCTTTTTCACGATAAGTAGTCATTAACCACTGTATCTTTTCCCAGTAACCTCATCAGATTCTGCCCATCCTCTGTTCGTGCTTCCGACTATCGCCCATCAGTTTTAACCAAGTAAAAAAGCCGCGCCAGCGTTTTTTGTCAGCCTCATGCCGCCAACCCATTCCCGTGCAGCCCGGGCCGTATATCGATTTCCGCGGGAAGATTCACTCTGTGAATAGACTGACTAGGGCCGAGAGACTCGTTGTTGCGATCAACTTGTTTCGCGACCCTTTCACAAGCCCGAGCTGTTGACGCAGCCAGGAACACGTCAGCCCTGCCCAGTTGCCTTTATGCACACAACGGTCTGCAGATAAAAAATGTACGCAGCGAGGAAACACTTAATGCTACCCGATCGATTTCCTTAAAATTCTCTATGAAGAAGAACGGATTACTACAACTTAACCTGCCGTACATGATCGCATTGATAACCGCATGAAGAAACCACGTTACCCAAATTACATGGGAAACAAAAGAACTCAACAACGTGGTACAGGAATATTCACAAAATTCCTTTACAGTTCTACGATTCATACGTTGAAATTGCAATTTCTGATAAATTTTTCAACTTCTCATCGCAAGGGATACTGTACTACCGAAAAAATGCTCAAGCGCACAAGAAAGTTGCAAAAACATTTATGTTCAGAAGAATTTTTCAATTTTTGTTACAAAATAAAAGAAATAAATATTTATGTAAAAAATTAACACGTTCCGTCAGTGTTTGCACATTTCACAAAGCTAAATCTCAGATATATATAAGAACAGAAAGAAGCCTTACTGCACTCGGGAATCCCAGTCGGCGGCATTAACAATGGCACAATTGGTGTACACGAGATCTTGACTGGGACTCTTAGAGGCCAGAAAATTCCGCATTTGCGCCATGGTCGTCTTTATCTACCACAAGAGGAATGCTCACACAAGGCGCAACGCAAATTTTAGTCGCGAATATCTTGCTAAAATACCTGCCGATGGTTTATATTACTCTACACTCACCCGTCAGCTGGTATTCACCGTGATGCTGGCGCTGCCAAGCTGGAAAGGAATGATAATGTTAGTGCACGACCACGCACACAACGCAGAAATGGATCCAGAGGTTGTTGTGATCGATAGGATGACGACAGCTCCACGCTCGCCTCACTGCGTACAATATACGAGCGACTAGCTGCTAGCCACTAAACCATAGCGCAAGAAAAAAACAGAGGGACGACGGAATTATATGGGTGTGATTATACAACAAACTCCGGAAGGTGGAAACGGGGGAGAGAAAACTGAAAACAATCGATTTTTTGGGATAAGACGGCATACGCAGCCATCACTTGCGACAGCGTATGCGTACGCGCTTGCGCCTGTTGTTAAGTCTCGAGAGAGGCTACGCTAATTTACGTATACGCGTGTGCGAATCAGCAACTGCGTCTGCGTGCTATAGACTGTAGACAGCTTTGGAATTTTGGATTACTGATTACAAAACCAGAAACCAGTCTGGGTAATACCGTTAACTCGCTTACAAGTTTGATTCAATCTGTGGTTCTCTTGATTGTTTCTTATTATATTTTAATTTTATGATACTTTTGGATCTGTTATCCAGGAAAACACGTACACGATCTTCAAAACACACGCTGGCTCGATATCTGGGAAACGGATCCTTGGATTAGCAGCTTGAACTTGGCGAGTTTCGTGCACACCAGAAAATTTGTGAAACTGCAAATCCAATCTGGTTTGGGCTGTCCAGCATCATCCTTATTGACGAGGGCCTAAGTGACCATAACCGTAGTCATCTGGGTTATGGCAACAGAAATGAACAGAGACGAGAGTGATCGCTGCATCCAAATTGCCCAGCGAAGTATCGAAGCAGGTGATCTCGAGAAGGCTGTTCGCTTCCTGGAAAAATCGATAAAACTGTTCCCCACTTCACGTGCCCAAGGTAAACGCTTTTTCCGCTGAATTTGCTTTAATCGGCTACATGTGCTGCTCATTAGATCTCTTGGACGAGGTGGCCCAGCTTCGTCAGGAGCGACAGGACCGTCCGGATGACAACCAGGAGAACAATCCGGACGAACCGTCCCCTGAGCAGCCATCACGATCTCGTTCCTCCTCCCACCCTCGTCAGCGTCGTAAACCTCCGGCCTCTCCGGAATTTGCTGAATCTCGTCCCGGATCGGATACTCACAAAGAGTACACCGACGAACAGAATCAGGCTGTGATCCGCGTGAAAAAGTGTACGACATTCTATGAAGTGCTCCAAGTGGAGAAGACCAACTTCTCCGAAGCGGTGCTGAAAAAGCAGTACAGAAAATTGGCCTTAGTATTACACCCGGATAAAAATAAAGCGCCACATGCTGGTGAGGCGTTCAAGATTGTCGGAAAAGCTTACGCTGTGTTGTCAAATCCCCAGAAAAAGGTGGATTATGACACCCATGGAGAAAATTACGAGACAACGCGGTATGAACAATCATCCGCGCGCCGTACGGGTCGACGACGGTATTACCGTAGTGGGAATTTCATGTTCTACGAGGACGATGTGTCGGCCGATGACATCTTCAATATGTTCTTCGGAACGGGGTTCCAGAGGTTCAATCAGGAGGCGGACGATGACCGGGCCGACTATTCGCGTCAAGGCAATGCTGGTGGAGGCCAACAGCGCCAAACCAGCATCGTGACGTTGCTGTTGCAGTTGTCCCCGCTGCTCTTGTTCCTTGGGTTAAGCGCCCTGAGTTCCTGGACATACACGGAGCCCATGTTCAGTCTCCATCAGTCGGTCAAATATCCCAATCCGAAAAATACTCGCGATTTAGGAGTAAGATTTTACTACAAGGACGACTTGGACAAGCTGACCAGTAAAGATTGGTATAATATCGAGAGAAATGTGGAGGAAGTGTATATGAGCAATTTGAAAGAGAACTGCATGCGGGAACGGGCGTACAAGGAGAATGTTATCTGGCGAGGAAAGTAAGTAGACATTGTTTTGACTGCAGCTTAAGCTGAATTTTACGGTATTTAATAGAAAAATTTGATGCGGATGTAATTTCACCTGGTGTAATAATTTTGTGATCATATAGTTGTATTACGAACAGTGACAGTGAAATATAGATATTACATCTTTAACATTTTGGATCGGCTCTGGGTTTAGTGGGTGACACTGCAGTAGAAATCGTTCAAGGATTTGAATTTCCTTTTCAGGTTGTACGGCGATGTGAAATTAATCAACAAAGGCAAAGACTTGACCACGCCATCGTGTGACAATTTAGCTTCTGCATATGAAAAATTAGCGCATGCAGCTTGATACAGCGCTCTAAGGAAGGAAATGTGGATGTACAATCATTACAAAAGATGGCAGTCAGAAATTCCTTTGGTTCCCCCACTGATTAGCGTCTGTGACATTTCCCATTTTGATAAATGACAGATCATAGTACCGTACTCTCGTGTGTCTCTGGAACTGATTGTCAAATGTTTTGTTTATTGGTTTCGTGTTGTTTTTATCATTTTTCCCGGTGTGAGGCGTTGCTTTTGCCCAAAGTTAAGTTTCTGACGATATTACGTCAGGTGATGCTTTTGCTCTGATAACATAAGCCCTCTTTTTGGTAATATTATGGTCACATTGGAAGTTATTGTGAGCTACTGTGCTTTATATTATTTTAAAATGAACTCTGAATATCCATGGACAGCATGAGACGGTGACATATGTTCCACGAATCACAATGTCCGTAGTTTACTGAAAACTGGATATTGACGTAGATACCTGCCTATATTAAAGTGACTGAATAATTTTATTCGAATTAAGAAACGTAAAGTTCGGAATTCGAATTAAGAAACGGCAACCGTGAATACGGATTACGGAGGCAGAAACCAGCACTTCCTTCATACAAGTTTATAACCAACGTTTTACCAATTTCTTTCCACAGGTGGCAACTGCACAGTAATACCCGTCCCTCGCAAGTGATTCGCCTTGAATGCAATCGGTACACAGTTGCAAAATACAAAGTATTACGATACAATTAATTTTTAAATAATTATACAAACGTATATACGTACTTATACGCATACGCTGCATGCATCCAATAACTACGGTCTAGCGACTTGTGAGCTGATCGCTCGTAGGTATCTTTGTTAAAATAAGGATAGACTTATATTACATTATCAACTACGGACTGCAGAGATAGGTATAGGCGTTTTGCATGACTTTTGTATAATTGATTTCGACAGAAGTAACGATAACACGAAGTGCAGCCGTGCTGCAGCATACGGCACATGAGTGCAAAGTTGAGGAACTGGTAACTCGGTTACAAGCTTAAGACTAACGTTTTTGGTTTGCGGCCTGGTTGCAAATTATAATCCAGTTAAAAGAATTATGGCATCCCTAAGTTGTTTGTTGTCTTTTCTGGGCTCCTGTCAAAGTTCTTTTGCGGCAACCGGGATTCTCCTTGTCCTCTTTCTGCTAGCTCGCACGCTGTATATTTTTGGGAAAAATGTGTATGTGTATTTCTTAGCAGAACGTCTGGGTAAAACTGTCGACTTCAGAAAATTCGGAAAATGGGCAGGTATGGCTGAAACTCGAAGGCCTGGATTTCAATATACGAGTAAAAGAATGCATCACATAGTTTGTTTTCCTTTGGCAGTTGTTACCGGCGCTACAGATGGTATCGGAAAGGGATATGCACTTGACGTAAGCAACTGATTGTTTTCTTAATTAAACATGCTCCGTGCCGCCTGCTGTTTAGTGGTTGATGAAATAGCCTTTACTGACCACGTGTTTTTTACCTCTGATACAATTAGAACTTCTATCATTTATTAATATTCCTGAGATCTCAAATATGTATATCCCTTAAAAGCTTTGGCTTTTCTCACTGTCCCTTTATTTTTGTAGCTTGCACGAAGAGGATGCGATATCGTTTTGATTAGCCGGAGTGAAGATAAACTGAACAGTGTCGCAAAGGAAATTGGTAAATACGTTGAAACTGATAGAACAGTATGGCATACCATATAATGATATACCTTATCAATAGAAATTCACTCGCCACTGGCCACGCATGTGAGCCGGGGACTTTCTGAAATGTCACACTATTCAGTCGAACTAAGGTGCACATTTGTACTGAACGATAATGATTATCGAGCCTGTTGTATATTATAGCTTCAAAGCATGATGTTCTCACGCGTATTGTTGTGGCTGATTTTGGTTCCGACGAACGGATATACGAAAAAATCCGCACGGAACTGGAAGGTTTGGAGATCGGCACGCTGGGTATGCAAAGCTATCATGTGCTATCGGCATCGTACTTCGATGTTGTTTATGACTTGTGAGTGCTGTAATTTTATTTTGGATTGTCATTACAGTCAACAACGTCGGCATGGCCTTGCTGTATCCAGACATCTTCCATCGTGCTCCCGGTGGCATTGATGCTATGTTGAAAATGATCCGCGTTAACTGTGTTGCGCAAACTATGGTAAGCATAACCAAAATAAGCCAAAAACTGTGCTTTAGGTGGTGATTCGTAGATACAAGTTTCCGTTAATCTTTAGTATCCCACAAAAATTTCTTCCTTATAAACTTCTAACCTACTGATTACGCTTACGTTCCTTTGGATGGAGTCTTCTGTATGCGGAAGTCTTTTTTCATGAAAATAATATAAATTATAGAATATTTAATATATGTGAGCTGTTTATATGGATGCAGTGTTTATTTGAATACGCAATGTAACTACGAGTACGGCTATTAAGTTATAATAACATGTACTCGTATAAATTCCACAGATGACCAGAATTATTCTGCCTCAAATGGTTGCAAGAAACAAAGGCATAATCATTCATTTATCATCTGCCGCCGGAAACATCCCTATTCCGCTTCTGGCCGAATATTCCGCTACTAAAGCTTACAACGATTTTCTGGGAAGAGCCCTCCAGCACGAATATAACGATAAAGGGATAATTTCTCAAGTAAAAAATCTGTGCACCGATGACTATGTTTGTCGCATAATTCATGGTGCGGCAATCAAAACACTGTTACTTCATGGTTAGGTGATCTTCCCTTACGGAGTGGCAACTAATATGTCAGGAAGAAGCAAGACCAACCTGTTTATGCTGAATGCCGAAGCATATGCCCGAAGTTGTCTTAATTCCGTGGGATTTTTTTCACGGACCAACGGACATCCTTCACACTGCATCCAGGTTACTGAGCGTCACGTCAGTTAGTCAGTGTTTTTGTTAAGTGCAACCCGTGATCTGTTGTTTAGAACTGGATATTTGAGCATCTGCCGTCTGGAATATTTTCGAAGGTCCTGCGCAAAATTATGGAGAAAGGACGAACCAGACACATTAACAAATTGAAAGAAACTGGCGAATACAAAGGAGAATAAATAAATGATTTTGACTCTCCGCGTTTTAACGTTTTCCCTTATTCTGTTGCAGTACTTATACTCAAATGCGGCATTTATGTGATAGTTTTGTGGCGTTTTCGATAGCGAAGCTTTCATTATAAGTTGGCATAATTTCTCTACCCAAAATGCCGCTTATAAATATTTCAGGAGATATGTTGAGACTAAAAAAATGAAAATAGACTACTGCTTTGCGGCTGTAGAGCCCATTGGCCGGTAATTTACACAACAATAATAATATGAGTTCCGTCAGATATAAACCTGACACATGTGCAATAGTTTTCGGTCTACATGGACAGTACTTTCGTAAATACTGACGCTTATGGTCTTGTTAAAAAAAGTCGGAGCGCTAACTAAAACTGAATATTTTTTTTCAAACTATGTACGATTTCACAGAGTTTGATTTGCTATCGTCGAATATCGCAAGTAACCGGAGCCTTCTGGAGTAAAGGTCTTGCAACAGATTTGAATGTTGTCGTTCATGTACTGTATAAGAAAGTGCTCGTCAGTCGTCAGACTCAGCCGGGACAAATCTTGGCCACTGACCACGGGTATTTTTTGGTTGACTTCGCATAAAATGTGTTATACTTGCAGCCTGCTGCACGGATATACATTGCACAGTTAACTGAGTTAATTAACCAGAGTATGTACGTCTATCCGAGTAGAGTATGCAGTGTTTGCATACTGCATTACACCATAACCGTTAAATGGTCGGTCGCATAGTTGCAATGATACATATGTTAGAGCCTTAGAAGGGTTTCTTACTGTCCCAGTGCGAGCCGGAAAACGGCGTTGGGAACTTGAGCGACCTCAAAGCGCCACAGACGAGCCGGAATCAGTAATTTTCAATACTCCTATGATAAGCTAATAATTTAATCTAAACATTTCAGAATTAGCTTGATTTTTTTCCGACCAGTCGATCAGTAAGCACAATTAACAATCAGCATTAATGCAACGCTGATTAAGGTACGTATCACAAAATACTAAAACGTCTCGTTATCTGATTGTTCTCTTGTATCATGAAACAACTGTATTAATTCGCAGTTTTCGACAGCGCACATTAAAACAGGATTCAACGTGGCAGCTGTACTCTGTAGCCTGTATTATAATTTTTGTCACAATTATGCAAGCCCACAAAAGAGCGCAACAACGAAACTACAAGCTAGATCTTCATTATTTAAACATAAACTCAACCGCAATTTCATCTAACCTACCATTACCTGCAAGTACTACTAATATCATTATTATCATTTCTGATCATTTAATCTGAATTTTTAGAACTGATAGAATCTTAGATGCTTATCTTTTGTAAGGTGTACAAGGTCGCCAGATCACATGAAATAAAACCTGTCTTAGGTTAGAAACTGCAATACGCACAGAAATGTAAGTAAAGTCAGATTAATATTAACATTATTTGAAGCAACTATACAAGTACTCAATGGGACAAAGAGCACACGTACGAGTACAACCTAACTTTGTTACAATAATGAGATTTCTGAATATCTAAAGTTACAATATCGCAGCATCAAGCACTGAAAGCTTGACTTTTACATACTTATAAATCTTGATAGTAATTTTCGCAGCTGTTTTATTTCTAGCGCAATTTTATGTAAAAGTTTATTCCATCCACGCAAGCCTAAATCAGCAATTACCTCTTCAATAAGAGAGGTTGTGCCGGCAAGTTTGGCGCCTTCCAAAGTATACAGCAATAACGCCCTCGGCAGAATGTGGCAGATGCAATTGATTTTCCTTAATCTGCTATTCCCTGCTTTTTTTATTTCCGTGGAATTGCTGGGGAATGCGGCAGCTGTACGTCGATCCAAGGTACCAAAAGGTAATTCAAGTTTTGCAGTTAATTAAAGGGAGACTTTCTGTAGAGGTACATATCTCCAATCTGCGCATCCAGTGGTAGGCACAAAGCGGCATATTTTGCGGTAAATCCGCAAGTTTCATTATTGTTCACTTTCGCAGTAAAACTCGATATTTTCTAGGATGGCAACGACGGTTGGATAAGGACATTTTCAATAAACTGCGCAAACGGCTTGTGTGCACGCGAACGGAATTGCGAAAAACGGCGCAATTATTCCAGGGCGATATTATCATTGATAGCGCCTTTATGGATGGGTCGCTCACCTTTACCGGTGAACTGCAACCCGAACAATATTGGCCCAGAGGAACACCGGTGCCTTACAAAATATCTGACAATTTCGGTATAAAGCAGATGATCACAAACACATACCTGTGTGTTGCTGCGCGTAAATTTAAAATAGCTGAATTATAATAATACTGGTACCTGTTCTTCGTATATCTGTAGTATGCTTCATAGGACTATTAAGAATCTCATTACAGAAATAGTTGTTTTGCATAAATATTCACAGTCGCATTCCAGATGTGTCACAACAAATCATGATACGGAAAGCAATGGATGATTTAACACGGCAGGTTTCGGGATGCATTTATTTTAAAGAACGTGACGATGAGCCGGATTACATATACATCGTCTACCCTCCAGTTAGGTATGAAGCTCTGATGATTATTTTAAATGGCTTTGTTATTATTTATCAAGAATTGAATTAACCATTGTTTTCCCTCAATGTTTATCGTTCTGCTACAGCACAATGTGCAGCTCCATAATTGGACGGCGGACTGGTGAGCAGGTACTGAATCTTGGAGAACATTGCATGTTACATGGGACTATTCAGCACGAGCTCATGCACGCACTGGGCATCTTTCATGAGCAATCGCGCCCCGATCGCGATCAACATATCGTCATATTTGAAGAGAATATTATACCGGGTAAATAACGTTGCATAAAAAAAAGTGGTACGACCAGCGTGAATGCTGCTTTTCAGTTGTGCGGTATTATGAGTATAAACTTTCTAAAAAACAATAGGATACAGCACTGCACCTAACAAAATTAATTGTGAGTACAGAAATATATAGAGCCTTTTGTAGTTGTTTTGAGTTTTCTTACTTAAGCGAATGCATCGAACAGGAACGCAAAGCAACTTCCAAATCCTTCCCAAGATGGCAACATATGGCGTTCCTTACGATATCGGCTCCGTTATGCACTATGGTTGGAATGACCTTTCTGTTGACTCGGAAAAACCAACGATTCTGCCTCGAGACGAAAACGCTAAAGCTAAAATGGGACAACGGGACGGCATGACAATGTACGATGCAGTTAAACTGATGGTCGCTTACAACTGTCCAGTGCCGATGTCGACTACAATGGCGTCAACCGCGCCGGTATCGTCGACGAGAACAACACTACCTGCATCCACAAAGAAGTCCACAGGTGCTTTGAGTTTGCCGGTAATACAGATTGATGACATTTCTGCAACTGAATGCAGAAGTCTTAACAGCAGAAACTGTGACGTTTCCTCGCAGTCCAACGATTGCAAAGATTCTATCCTACACATTGCCTGTGGAATTTCGGCAACAAACGATGAAATTCAGGGAGTTTTCCGAAAGTTTGCAACTCTCCGCAAAAGTCGCCCCTTGACGATAGAAATGCAGGGCAACCGAGTGCTAACCGAACATCTTTTTGAGTCGGTTCGAAATTATGTTATTGAATTAACAGTTGGCTATCATAATGGAATCACCGGAAATATTTTAAAAAATTTAAACCTCCCACATCTTCTTGGGCTGGGATTCTGGCAGTGTCAAAATATTAATATTCCGGATGACGCGTTGTATTCATACAAGAATCTGCGAATGCTGGAATTCGGCGACAGCACAGTTGATTTCATGAGTCAAACCGCAATATCGAGTTTACCAAACTTGAAATTATTAGCGTTGGAGTATGATGTGGAGCCCCCCTTTCGGTTATCACAAGCAAAGTATATATGGAAGTTACACTGCAGCTGCGATTATCAATGGCTCCGCGACATTCTAATTGATAAACCGTTTTTGATAGCGGAAAAACAATGGGGCGAAATACATCAGTACGGAAATCGCGGAAGTATACCGTATACAAAAAAGAGTATTTTTATCCCAGTTGATTGTGCCAGAAGTACAGAGAGGGCAATTTATTATAACGCTGTGGGTACGTTCTCGACAAATGTGCAGTGTTAAATCTTTTAATTTTATTGCTAATATTGCAAATACATTCCAAGAAGTGTCTATATCTTCATTTATAAATGCTGCACACCCTTTATTTATGTCATACGAAAAGCCAGTAAAACGAGGAACATTTCGCCAGACTTGTAAACTTCGATTTCGAACAGAGGAAAAACCAGGAAACTTTAAAACAAAAGCGTTAACTAATTTCCTACTAAAAGACTACAAAGGGTTTTTATCATCCCATAAATAATCCGTTAACGAGGTCCGCATACGAGCCGCTTGCTGCCAGGAAAAATTTGGGAACCACTGAAATCCAGTTAGCCGTTCCACATCTTTTATAGTGGCTGAGTTGGTCAAAAAGTAGAATCGCTCCGGCTGTATTTAGCAATAGTTTATGGTTAGTGGATGAAAACATACACTGGCTATGCCAGTATTAAAGGATCGGAGGCATTATTTTGTATCTCATTTCCATATCCCACTTCTTCGCAAGATTCAACATTGGAAAATATAAATCGAAGTTAATTTAACACACGCTAAGCAACTGCCGCGCCGCTTGCTTTAATATTATTATGTAAAATAAAGTAAAGCAATAAACTCTGGCCTTAAATTTAAATAATCTATGCATTTTTTCTACCTGGCATGGTTTCTGCGTTTGCATGTGGTGTGGTAAAATGAACGAAATAACTTCATGTGAACATTCGTCTTCCAAACAGTATTCTTTCGTCCGTTGTCTCCAAGCCACCAAATAAAAATGAGTCGGAACAGTGTTGTCGAGCACATCCTTTTCTGTAGTGGTATCCCGAGACCTTCACAGGACAACTTCGAGCTTATCTTGTATATTTACAAAGTATGTGAGGTTCCAATTTCAACGCTTTTATTGTAACTATACCATACCGCAAATAACTGTCTGCAACGCCAAACGGCGGTTTCCGGTCCCATGCAGGTCCAACGTAAATGTGCATCGGTGTCTCCTTTCTGTTCCAGCTAGCTACCAGTTGAAGCAAGCGCCTCCAGTATTCTTCATAAAACGATCGGTACATCGGCACTATATTGGTGTGCAGAATGGATTCAATTCGCGAGGTGTTTGTGGTTGCCAGTTCTACCGTTTAAATATTTTCATCACAACCCAAACAAATACATTTGTGTATAGATTAAAAACTGTTCTTCGACTTCAGTGCCATATCAATTCCGATCTGTTGTAAATTCTCTAAGCTGACATCCGCTGATTGCTTACCTGGCGGAAATAGCGAAACAGGTACAACTTTGTCAGTAGCATTTGTGTTAGGAACATTCAAACCAGCACACGGAAAGGAAAACGCGGCACTAGAGTTGACCCTTGGATCTTTATAGATGCAGTCAACTCCTTTTCCACTCTAAGCGATCATGCTCATTACGAAATGCAGAGAAAAATCTAATCCACTTGTCCCGTATTTACAAGTAACGATTTTTAATCATATACGTGATACCACGTATGTTTACCGTCTGCTAAAACAACTTACTTTCAAACTTTCCTGGAGTTCATTTCCAGAAACTGGTGGTAGTTCAAAAGATACCCAGGATGCGATTTGACGAATTGTGTTGTACCCAGTGTCGCTGTCAGAGTTGGAAAGATAACTGATATCCGTATCCAGAACACCACCGGAAGTCCCGGCAGGCCGAGGATTATAGTCTTTTCTGGGAACATCGCTCGGTAACGTGCTTAAAGTAACCTGTGAATTTACCTCTGCAATTATCTGAATGGAACTCGCTTTTTCGTGTTTTTAATTAATTACTGCAACGACCCATGTTGTTATTTTTAAATTGCTTAATTAGCACTCATGAATCTCTCTTCTCTCTATGATTTGCATTTAAAGTTTTGCAAACTGTAGTACATTTATGGTCTGGCTTACCTCTTCGCGACAACCTTCTTTGCAAACTACACCGGCCCTGACGTTTTGCTGCGGATAGGAAATAAAATTCACCGGGTAAAAATTGGTCGATTCGTTGTGGTAGGCATGCATTGTCTCCTCTTTTGCCTCGCGTATTATGTGGCGCAAACTGCCAAGCGTTCCGTTATTAGCTACACACTGAATATTCAGCAGATCACATAATAAATTGAACAGCTCCACATTTTCAAATGGTTCAACCGTGGTTTTTGTTTTAAACGATGGCCCATACGCCATGAAAATGGATTGCATTTTGTCGTACAGGTTATCCCAGCCATGCATTTGGAAGCGGTCAATGCATGTCTGATTGCTTTCGGGTGGAAAGAGGATATCCGAAATATTGGGCAGAATTATGACTGGAGCAATGATGGCCGAGTTGACGTAATGCAGTCGTACTGGCAAGTCTTCCTTCTTGTAAACCTGATAAGGAGAGTTCTGCGATGGGCAAGACAGCGATGACACCGCTTGATCGACGTCGGCATTTTTTGCCAGAGTCACCCGGTTCATGGCACCATTAGACTACAAAGTTATGTATGTTTATTTGGTCTGTATTACCCATAATTATGTGACCTCCATGTGATTAACTGAGAATAGTCAAAACGCTCAACAATAATTTCGGTATGCAATGATGCAAATTTTGAATTTCCTAATTAATTTACCCTGTAAGCATCCACAGGATTGGCGCGCTCGGCATGCGGATCCACAGTACTTAGGCACTGCGCGATTCCATGGTCCGACAGGACAATAAGGTCCACACAATCCACAAGACCGGCTTCTGTCAGCCCATTCATGAGCATCGTCATATAATTTTCCACTTGTTGCAAAGCATTTTGGAATTTCGCGCTGTTTTCCAACGCCGCATGGCCTGCGCAAATTCAACATACAACTGGTTTGTAAGGTCTGTTTAAATCTTAGTCGTAAATAGATGCGTATGCTAAAGATTATTTCGCACACTGACAATCTATATTTGTCGTTTAAGATTGCACGCATTTTGAATTGAACCCTCCAAAAATGTTTTTATATTTTACTTATTTGGTGGATTATTTTAGCATCGAATGCGCACTGCCAGCCTACCGGACGAGTCCGGCTCTCGTAGATACGCTAAAATCATATCCGGACGTTGCTCTACTGGAAGACGAATCCAGTTTATAACGGTGTTGGCTATGGAATCAAAAGGCTCCACATCGGAATACGTGGTCCAGTTCGTTGGACGAACGCCATTTATGACAACCTAATTTTAATCACGAATAAAAATCATTTCGACCAATTAATGAACAAACAGATGCCCTTCGAAGCCAAGCGCTAGACAGGTAAAGTTCCAATAGAAAACTTAACTGTTAATATCCAAGTATAAGTTACGTATTTACAACACATTTATATTATACAAGCCGGAAAAGTTACAGAATGGCTACCGTCATTGGTCAAACTTACGTCGCCTCCTGGCCAATATTTTGTGAAAACCTTTCTCCCTTGTTGTTGCGCAACTTCCCAAATTGGATGACCTTTCCAGAAGTCACTAACTGCATGACTCGGTCGATAGTTGACAAAGAACGAGGTGTTGTCCGCTGAATAAAATGTCTGGTCTATTATTCCGTGTGACTCGGGATACAGGCCTGTGACGATGGAGTAATGATTTGGATAGGTGCTGGTAGGGAACACCGGGCGCATGTGTTTGGCGTGCAGCGCCTGCTGAAATAGGAACGCAACGGAAGGAACGTGAGGAACAAAGCGCGTAGCAAATCCATCCAGGGACTGCACCAGTAAGAGTGGACGGTCAAATCCATACCTGCGCAAAATAAAATTATCTTGCAACAGCTAGATTTCTGTTGGCTTATGCTGCACGCGCTATACTTACAATTAGTATTATAACATATAAAACGTAACAACACTACTACTGTATTGGTTTTACGCACTGGGCAGTTACAGGTTCTCGTATGCATACTGACACGGTATATTAAAAACACGGGTATTAAAAGTTGAATTACTCCGACTTTTTTACTCAAATAATATGTCAACGATAATCTCCGTATATACTTTTTTGCACAACGTTCAAAATTTGGAGCTCCCTGGCTGACTGTTTCCTGCCAGGAATTACCAGATGGCGATTGCCTAGAATCGTACGACGACACGCGCAAGCTGGACGGATTTGCCAGTTCACCGCAAAACACGAAACAAACGATTTGCAGAAATAAACTTGATACTCCGATCATCTTATAATGCCCAGAAGGAATAAAACTTTTGATGTATCAGCTCAGTGTTTAACGCATCTCTAATCGGAACACCCCTTGATCGGTTGGACATGTGCCTTAATTTCCAGAGTTCAGAACTGATGCTGCGCAGTATGAATTCGGTTTCGGATCCAGATTTGCTTCGAACATGTCGATCGCCGCAGTTACTATGAGTATGAACTGTAGCTGCATGGATCGACAATATCAAATGAGTCACGCAATACGTGCCAATTTATCCCGCTTGTCAGAATAATTGTAAAAACATATAAAACACTAGCGCATACCAAATAGATGCACTGTATCTGTCTATTTGCGCGTTATACGAATATCTGTATATCTATATATCCGTATGTCTGTCTGACATTTGCGTGGGATAAAAATGTAACTTTGGTGTTCCACAATTTCCGTACGACACCAAAAAACAGTAATAAAATTTTTAATTGAGCGCAAGTTAAAGCCTTCGAGCATTCTGGCATTCGAGGGTTTTTGGTGGTAAGAAGTTAAGCAAGTGCAAAAATGTTCTACGTACGAGTACAATAGAAGCACCGGTTGTCCTTGGACTTTTTAAACTGCAATACGTATCGACTATTATGCATTGCACGTGCTTTTTAAGTATGGTTGCACCGTCAGCGAATTCAGTCGTACGTTTATGTGATTTCTCCAAACCCTTTCTCGCAGCAGTCTTTTGTGTAGAAGTAGTGAAATCAAATCCCTTGTAGACATCCGAAATATTGCGTCGTGCGTACATTGGTGCGTTCTCAAGGTTCGAAGACCTTGATATGAAGATGCATAGAGTTTATGACAGCATATTTAATTTAGCTACAAAAATCTTGCTTCAACGTTGCACAAAAAAAAATCGGAAACCTTCCGTAGAGGTATGAATATACTAAGCCAATGAACTGATCGGTGACCTTTCAACTGATGGACTGTTCGGTGACCTTTCAGCCCTTGCAGTAATTGCAGACGCATGTTCCAAACTGCCAAATCCCGTCACACCTACATCGGTCGTCACAGATTCCACGCTTGGATCGAAGTAGCTCCATTGCGCTGGGGTCATCTTGATTCTTGAATAGTCGCAGAAATCACAGTCATCCACAAGAACGATACAACTACACAGAGAATGAAAAAGCAGCTTAGGATCTTCGCAAAGGCCATGATAAAGTCTAGACCGTTCGTTTGTAAATCCTTGCAGCACGTAAGTACTGCAACCTTTCCTGTGCAGAAGTTAATGTGGTAGGCCTACGCGGTACGATCCGAATGCCTGACAGTGGGCCTGCACAGTATTATGTAACGTGATGGTTCTTTGATGCCGGTCTTTCATACGCAAGCAAAAATTTTTGGAATGTTGGGCTACCAATTGTTTGCTTCTAATGTCTATATAATGTCCCGACCTCCTAATTACGCGTCATATCCGGGCAGTTAAGCAAGGATAGCTGCAAAATTTGTACGAAAGTTTTTTAGCGACATATCTTCAATACGTAAATGTGATATGAACACTTCCTGAATTTATTCAGCAAAAGCGATTACCGACGAGATAAATGACTTCGACGAACCGGGTTTTAACCATGAATTCCGCAAACTTACCGATACATATAATCATACTTTATATTTGCCTTTATATCAGGCATATCGATACCGGTACCTGACCGGCTGACCGTAACTTAATAATTATTATTTACTGCCGATTTGTTTAGGTCGTAACACCGGAGCGACCCCCGTGGACTGATTGTAAGGACGACATCCGCATTGGCAGAATAGTTACAGAATACTTTCAAAACGTTTTCTGCATGCTGACCATGCGGCAGAAGATGTTAATAATTATTATCTGATCATACAGACACATTTCGAGTTTAAAGTTACATATTTAGGGTGCAGTCAGTTTATGATAACGATGCCCTTTCATGCGGGTCCAAACAAGCTGCCTGCACAAAATCGCAAAGGAACTGCCTGCGCCTCCAACGAGGCTTTGACAAATAATTAAGATGAAGTAATAAAAAACGCAGGTGGAGGAGTACTATAATTATTTCAAATCATATACATCCGATATATAAGTAATAAATAACATTAGCAAAACCCAGCAAATTATATGTTTAAGCCCAGAATTTATTTAAAAGTTATCGTTGCAATTTAGACTGCTGCTACGATCAATACGAGAATTTATGTGGTCAACATATAGGCAACCTAAGTTCAATTGCAATATTCATAATTCAATGGAGCAAATAAATGTCCAGTGCATACTGATATAATATCAAGAATCAGAATTCGTTCTTTTACAGAATTCATTCTTTCATTTGGCATCCTTATCAATAATTCGTACTTATCGTTTCTCGTTAACTCTGAAATGTTATGCCAGGTGTAAAACATCCGGCCATGCATATCGTTACGTAATGCAGATTTAATTACAGTACCTGCAGTGCGCACTGTATTGTGTGTACAATATCTACGATCAACCGGTTATACGGGTGACTACAAAAAGTATGGTTTCACCGTTCACGTGTGCAGTATACAGTTAAAGTACCGTAACTGACGTTACTGAACTTGGAGTTGAAGTCCATATGCCGATACGGCAATACCGATACGGTATTATGCCGATACGGCAATACCTACTGTAGCGTTAAAATTAGTTGGTGTGACTTTATCGATCATGGGAGTCTAGTGTCGCCTCCGATAAATTTACGGTGTTGCACCACGCGGTGCATCGACTCCAAGCTGTCAAAACTGGATCACGATAGAGGAAAAACTGTGCTATAGCTACACTGGGTGGTTTCCGGAAAAAGCTTTCCAACACCAGGTTTTGGTCTACTACATGATCTGTGTGCCAGCTGACTGGTGGCAAAACTGTGAAAATCTTAAGCTTTATACACATCGCGCGCGTCTGTTGTTAGTCAGTATGGAATATCCTGAAATTTTCAATGTCGACGAGGATGAATTCTTGATTGGCGCAGTCCGTGATCCATTTGATCTGATTCAGCTAAACAAACTGCATTCATTATGGAACAGCCAAGGCGCCTTGGAATGGTCATCCGGTGTCAACGATTTTCCTCTCTTCAGTTTGATAGATCCAGATGGGTGTTTGGTAGGAAAACTTAACGGTCGCATCGTCAGCATTCTCATTGCGATAAATTACTCCAAAACTAACTCATTCATCGGCGCTTTCATAACGGATCCCAAACTACGAAATAGGGGTTACGGCACGCGCTTGTGGGAGGCTGCTTTGGCGCATTGCGGCAAACGCTGCATTGGTATGTACGCCGTTGAGACAATGGTTAAGCGGTACCAACGCGATGGATTCCAGTCAATGGGAAAGGTACTAATCTACAAGATTGGTCAACTGGATCGTTTTGATGATCCAGAAGATGACAGCATCACGGATGCCAACACGGTGCCACTCCAGGAATTGACTGTATTCAATCAAAGCACCGGTCTGGCTCATCTGCCGGGAAATTTCCTGCAAGCGTGGATGCGGCAGCCGGGAGCCGTTGCGGTAGCCTATAAATCACGAGACGGACTCTTGGGATATGGAATAATTCGTCGGTGTTATGCCAATGGAATGTGGAAGATTGGACCGTTGGTGGCGACGGATGGCAGAGCTGCGGAAAAGATCCTCCATGTTCTGCTCAGCAGAGCACCGGATGCCCGTGGTGTCCTGATGGAAGTTTTCGCTGACAATAAGCCGGCAGTTGAATTGGTAGAGGGGTTATGTGGCACCGTGCTGGAGGAAAATGTGATAATGTACCGCAGTATTACTGGCAGTGAAGTTCACTCAAATTTTACCTCTTGCATTTATGCAGTTACATCTGGTGTGATCGGTTAAATTGCTAATCAACATGATTGATTGCAGACTCACGTGAATGCATAGTTATTGTGGCAGGTCACTCCAAAGATAAATTATTGTACTGTATTTGTACTGGCAAGTTTAATAGATTAATTCCTGACAGGAAGAGTTAAATAAAAAAAAACAGATTCATTATATACGATCGAAAAGTGAAGTGTTATATAGTTTGAGTTCGGAACAGATGGGCAGTGCAAGAGTCTGCACTCGGCTTTGCCGGAACTAACCATAAGCTACCCTAGGTGTGCACCGGAAGCTGGCGGAAAAATTCTCCTTGAAACAGATTCTTTGGAAATGACATTAATTTTTCATTTCTAGGTTTACAACATTCCAGGTAAAGATCTTAGAGAAGCAGAAAGGTGAAAGCAAAAAGCGAAAGTTATACCTAACGGTAAGCATGCAACCATTTGTATGAGTACGAGTTTGCCTGTTCCGTTGAGTTGCTCGAATAACTCACGTTACGTCATGCAGACTCCATGTCACTGCCGCGGGCCACATCTGCTACGTGCATTACCAAACGTTGCATGATCTGATCGTGCTCAAGTCGGTTATTGTGTCGCGAATAAAGTGAAACGAAAGTTAAATGTGTAAAATAAAAGCCCGTATTAGCTGGAAACCGCAGCATTCGTGCTCCATACTCGTTCGAAGTTAAGACTGCATAATACAGCTGTTCAAGGTTACATCACAGGTGTCATCACAGGTATCACACAGTTTTCCCTGTGCAAGTGTACATCGAAATGATCCAAGAGCTGAAACGCAGATTCCGCTGAATATGAAATTCCGAGCGATGTGGAGCGTGAATTTGTTGTAACGGAAACAGCCTGTGCTAATAATTATAAGACCGCCTAACTTTTAAATTAATTGTTGTGCTTTGCAAAACCTTGTGAACCGAAAATCGTCTGTGTCGGCATTCTCTCTGAATCATAAAAATTAAATCGTATCACGCTTTATTAACAAAACCATTATCACTTAAACACCAAATGTTTAGTTTCGAAGCGACCGCCTGTTTGCAGTTAGGGTAAGGTTGTTGCAACAGTTTCCACTTCGGTCCCGGCGGCCACTCTGGTGTCCCAACACCGAGCCAGCGTTCTCCCGCATTTATGTACAAATACAACCGTTTCCATGCGTCTGTCGCCACAATACGGCTGTTATCATACGCATCAATCCGAGTCATCTCCATATCCACCTTCGGCATCACTTCCCAGTCGGTGTCATTCCATCGCAGCACTTCCTGATTCCGTCTTACACACCACACACTGGCGTCTTTACCCACGGTCACCCACTGCGCATAACCCGCGAATTCCCGCCAGGAATCATTGCCATAATGCCAGATTGTATCGTTGCTATCGACGGCCATAGCCTCATACTGGTCGAGTGGGGATATTTGTACTAGTTTCGATCCGTTAAAAGTCGCTATGGTGCCCATCACTGTCCAGTTTTGCCCGACCATCCGCCGTACTTCACCGTCAACGGTGACGACCCAGACGGAATTGTCGAATCCCACACCGACGTTCTGCATTTTATTCTGATATTTCTCAGCATCCACCCAAGACCAGTCGTGTAGTCCCCATACCCAACGCCACAGATTCTTGTCATCCGTTACACACCATACTTGATCATCCCGCGCAGCGATCTGATCGCATAAACGCGGCATACGAGTCCATATTTGTCCGCCCGTCTGCTCCAGATGGGTCGTAATGTAAATCATGGCAATTAGAAGTCTGATTAAGGAATGCATGATTGAAATGAATGTAAGTAGTTTTATTATTAAGCGGTGATATAAGAGTAAAATCAGCGGGAAATGCGGTAGATCGATGCTCAGTCGCGTATCAACATCCGCACCATTTGGCTTGCGTAAAAGGTGAATGTCATAATCTTAATTTGGTGTTCTAAGCAAAATGATTAAAAAAAATTTCGTTCTCGGCGAAAAAGCATCGTAGAAAAATTTTTCTTCCGGCAGTTTGCTTGTAGTCATACCCAGTTCTCTTACAGTATTACTTCGCGCGTTAGCAGTACGTATGTACTGTACTGTACAAGTACAGTACTTATGGTTACAAAACAATACAAGTATATTATACTGTAGCCTGTAGGTGCAATACATTTCACATTGTATACTAAAATATACTAACATTGAAATACGTAAAAAATGCTAACATTATTTACCAACATTAAAGTACGTAAAAAATGCATAATATCACCGAACACTATTATTGCGTTTAGTAGTGATATTATGATAATGTGAATGTCTTCAACAATAAAAATAATGCATCTCTCATTTATATTGTACAAATTAATCTAACAAGAAGTTCATCAACAGCTGCGTAATGTTGTAAGACATGTGGACATTAAATTAAATTAGCAAATTTCCAGATTGTACAGTATTCGAACAATTGTTATTTATTATGCAGATCACCGCCTATTTCAAACACACACGTATAGGTGCTTTTTTCAGAATTTTATTGCAGTAGATACATATCTGAAACCGGCTTATTAGATAGTCCCGTTACTGCGCAAGGACGTAGCAAAGTGTATTGTACAAGTACATTGTACACAACGTCGCCGACCTGCTTGGCCTTGCACCATTTAACATTTTTCTCGCTACTGTCTCTTTATTTTACCAGTGGTACAATTATTTTATAATAATTAGAAACTCAGCAATTTTTACAACATCAAAATTTCATTAAACTTTCTGCTCCTTCCGTCGTTCCCATTAACGATGCCGCGTTACCACGCTGTATCTCTAGTGACAATTAGATCTTTGGCGTAAAAATTCATGAGAACGGGTTTCGCGTGGTTGTTGCTAGAGTCGTTTGCCCAGTGCTTTAATAATGGCGATAGCGGACGGTCCCCAAGGGCCCGTTGATTCGAAATCTATCGGCGCAAAGACGTATCTGCCTCTTAGGTTAAGTACAACTAAAACCGGGACTTCTTTTCTTCCGCTTCCAACGCCGCTGCACCTGCGTTTGCTGCCGTAGAATTGATGTGGGAAGGCGCAGCCATGTCCACACAAGTGACATCGTGATTTCTGATTGCTTCTTAACACAGTTTGAAGTGTTGGTTTGAAATAAAATAAGTCAGTGACATCCCACGCTAACGTAAGCACATCTTTCTCTGCCAGGCGAACGTTTAGAATTGTACCTGTCCAGCTGTATAACTGTATTTCAAACCTCAAGGGGCGTTTTTATTAATTAGCAGCACATTTCCACTTTAAAAAACAAAATCGTCAAGGACAGTTTTCAAACAGAATGCCTGAGGCTGACCGGTATATGTTATTACGAGTATAAAAGTATTTTCATATATGTAAGTATTGTATATGAAACATTTTTCCAATTGTAGGCCCGTGTAGGGTAATTCCTCGACAGTCGGCGGCGGAAATTGTAGTACGGGTCAAGATAGTCTAAAGACTGCCCGCTCAGGAGGTTAGCAAGCAACTTTTTGAAACTACATACCAGCGTAGGTACATCAGATAGGTTTAAAAAGCCCTGTACATACATAGTCGAAAAACTTATATTTAGGTTTAGGGAGTCTCATCCACTGCGAAACATTTCCTTCTCACCGATTCTCCCTTTCTCTTGACTTGTAAGAATCCTTACAAATGCGGTTTTTTTCAATCGTTTGAACAACTGGGATTTTTCCAGTAAGATCGGAATTGAAGGCAGCGTGCAGTATGGTTGACACACATCCATTATAGTTGCCAGTTGGGTTAGTGATTACAAATTTACGACTTCTTGGTCGGGTCGAGGATCTGTGCATGTGGAGGCCGTTGTAATCGTTTGCTGCGGTCATTTCCTTTTGTCCGGTGTCGCATTATTCTAAAATTATTGGATAGAAGGAACTAAAACCTGCGAGAACTATGAATGTCAACGATATCCTACGTTTTAAGGTACTGTACTTGGATGGCAGTGGTACCGAGACCGTCTCAAAGCATCTGCGTTGTTGCAGATCACACGAATTGACAAAAGGATGAAAAGTTTTCAATCCCAAAAATTATATCATTATTATACGTTCTTTGCCGTTTAGAATAAGGAAATCTTTTTCTTAAGTTGTTGGTTTGGCGTAGAATGCACATGTATGAATCTACAAAGCTCTGGTATGAATCTGTAGACAAAAAAGCCTGGGAAGCATGGTGATGACGAGACTGCGGATAAGGAGCTCGGATCGCCTGCCAAAAGCCGTAAGATCGCCAATGGAGAGAAAGAACCGATTCCCAGTAGCCCCGGCGACCTTCCCGCCGATTTCTTCGACGCGGAAACGCAGGAAATTATGAAGAAAATTGAATCAGCGCCTAGTGTATGTAATTCGAATGTCTCGTATTATTTTGTCTTCACTTGATATTCTTAGTCGTTTCGTTCGCAACTTTGGGTACGGATTTAACATGTAATTTTTGGTAGGCGGAACCGTTTGATGACACTGCATTGCGGAAGATGCTCAATGCGTTCGAGAGAAAAGCATTAAAGAACCAAGAGCATCGCGTAAAATATTCTGATGATCCGGCCAAGTACGTGCTTGTGAATTAGAACAGTGTATTGTACGGTACTGTACTACTCGTATGCTTTTACGCAGCGGTTTTAATGTCCCATAGGTTTATGGATTCTGAGATCGAATTGAATGATGCTGTTCAAGAACTGCACATTATTGCTACACAGCCGGACCTCTATTCCGTCGTTCTCCAGATGAATACAATGCAGACTTTGACGCAGCTTCTTTCTCATGAAAACACAGGTGAAGTGCACTTGCAAGTATCTGTACATAAAGCTCAAGCGCTTGAATACTATTTTTTTCCATCAAGGTTGAATGTCTTTGCATCATTTCACCTGTATTTTGTTAAAATTTATTACGCTTTCGTTGTTCATTATTCTTCAGACGTTTGATGTTGTAGATATCTCAATAGCAGTCGTTGATTTGCTTCAAGAGCTAACCGATGTGGACACACTAACTGAATCTGTGGAGGATGCTACGAAACTTGTCGATGCGATTGTAAACTGCTTGATGTCTACCTGAAGCTGTAACCCGTTTTAAAGGCCTTTTTGTTATTAGCTGCAGCAGCAAGTCGTCGCTAGTCTGTTGCAAAACATGGAGCGACTCGATGAATCTGTGAAAGAGGAAGCCGACGGCGTGCACAACACGTTGTCCGTAATGGAAAATATTCTGGAATTTAAACCTGAAAGCTCGGAAAGCCTGGCAAGAATGGGCTTGTTAAGATGGCTTCTGAAACGAATAAAGGTAGGCAGTGAATATTCGTATGTATTTCTGAGGAGAACTGCAAAATATATATTGCGGAATGTGTTTTGATGATATATTTTAGATGAAAGCTTTCGATGTTAATAAATTATATGCGAGTGAAATCCTATCCATTTTACTGCAAATCAAAGAAAATCGGAAAATGTTGGGCGAAAAACTTGTTGGTGAACGCACGGACACGGATGGAATTGACATTTTGTTGCACCAGTTAGCGGTATGTTATTCTTATTGTAGCTTTGAAAATTCGGTTGCAATACTGTTAAGCTGTCGGTAACAGGTTTTTAAGCGCCACGATCCCGGCACGGGAGAAGAATACGAAATGATGGAAAATTTATTCGACTGTCTGTGTTCAGCTCTGATGTACCCTCCAAACAGAAAACTGTTTTTGGACGGTGAAGGTTTACAGTTAATGAATCTGATGTTAAGGTCAGTGAGGACTGAGGTGTAAGTCAGTTGCCTGTTGCTACTTGCTCGAGTGTCTTTGTTTTACGTTTTAAGCTTTTTTCTGCATTTGTCGCATTGGTCCTACTTCTGCCTTAGAGAAAAGAAGCAGTCACGGAATAGCGCAATTAAAGTTCTGGATTATGCGCTGTCCAGCGACGAGGGAGTCGATCTATGCGATAAATTCATTGAAATCCTTGGTTTACGGACAATATTCCCTTTATTTATGAAGCCGCCCAAGCAACATAAGAAGCGTGGTCCAACACGGGATGAAACGGAAGGTGCGTGGGAGTAAAAGCTGGCAAAAATTATAAAAAAACCGGCAGAAATTGTGCTCAATTATAGAATACCTTTGCGCGATTATGGCATCGTTGGCGAGAAATTCGCGTGGCGATAAACGTGAGCGCTTTATGGGAAAATTTTTGGAGAACGATCTGGAGAAAGTGGAGCGGCTGATGGAACTGCATTTTCAGTATTCAGACAAAGTTGCACAAGAAGAGGCTAACATAGCACGCGAAAAACGTGCGTTACGGGAAACGGGGGCTGAAGTTGACGATGATACCGAAGTGGAATTTGACCTCAGACGATTGGAAAATGGACTTTTTACGCTGCAGAGGATTGATATTGGGATTGTCGAAGTTTACGACGATGCCGCCGCAGAAGTGAGTTCACACTGAAATTAACCCAAAGTTTTATCGACTTCAGATACCGGTTGCAGAAATTTTCGGAAAAATTAAGTTAGAAGTCAAACAGGTTATGAGCCCTTATCTTTGCTTTTGTGTCTGTTAGAATACCTAAGTGTCCATTGAGTATTTTGCTGGTGTACTCGTATCGCATATTTAAAGTCTGGCGTTTTAAGGATGAGTGAGTTTTGCTTTTTTCAGGTCAGAAAACGGATCGATCGAATTATTTCGATGCGAAATTCCAGTCGATCTACCGTTACCAATGTCGTTAAAGGTATGGAAATTTCATTTCAGTCGTTTGGTAAAATTTAACGGACTATGTCTTTTTCAGAATATGTGAAGGAAATTGCTGACGATAAAAATGACTCAAGTAAACAGCGAGATCTCAAACGATTGACGCTCCTTGTACAACGTTTCATGGATTCTCCATCGTAATCGCGTTAGAGTTCGTGTGTACACATTTGATGGAGATTTTCCATTTTGTTAATTTTATTTGAGTGATTTTTACAGCTAACTTGTTGGTTAATTTCTATGGCGTGGCTTTGCCGGATAGAACGTTTCCTTCCATAATCTTGAGAATAAAACCGATAACGGTAGTCCATCAGCCGGACCTGCTTTCTTTATCGAGCATAATTTGAAATTAACGACGACACTTTCCTCCGGCACATGTGTATTCTAGAGCATAAATAGCTTCTTCCAGTCCGGCATCCGCTGCTCGTTTTATCAGAACTTCGGCTTCCCTACCAATGTGGACGCTTTTTGTTAGGCATAATGCAACACAACCGAATTTTCTTTTAAGAAAACTATGAAAAGCGTAACAATATTGGTAAAACACCGAGTAAAAATTACAGTACCCAGGCTGGAGTGATTCGTGAGTGCGATGCACATGGGAGAGTGCTAAATTGTATCCTGCCCGGTGGTCTCCGTTATCGGAAGCACGACGAAACCACTTGGAAGCGTGCTCTTTGTTTTGTGTAATTCCAACACCTATAACAGTTCAATTTGCATTTTTAAAATGTCCCCGTAATAAAACGGTATTAAAACCATCGTATTGACTGAGCACCAGTTGAGACCTGCAGTGAGGGTTAGCCCCTTTACTCCTTAGCTTTTTATCAAAAAGCTACTGTCGTAAGTTTTAGGCCAGGTCACGTCTGAGAACGGGACCGTTTCTCGGTAAATCCCGGTCCGTCTACCATAGGTACAGTATAAAACACTAGCGTAATGCGGTCCAAAGGTAAGATTGTAGTATGTTTTGTTCGCATCACCTTGCAGAAAGTGTTGAGCGACCATATGCTGGGAATCGGCGTCGCCGGCATGAGCATGCAGTAAAGCGCACAGAAAACCAATTTCGTCTGCGAAATAAGGAATTGCGGCTAAACATAGAATGGCTGCGATAATCAAGTAACGAGATCCCCAGGAGTCCTGCGTTATTTCTTTTGGGGGATTCACTGTCCGTGGTCTGAACTCATCTAGCACGCTAAAATGTATGGTATCTTCTGACGAACCAGCATTCTTTCTTGCGGGGACCATTTTGCAGTTCGTACATGTTTAAACGTCAGAGTGAGTAAGAAACAGGTACTAGTATTTAAAACTCAGTTACAACAGACCTAGTCACACCCTCAAATTTTGGGGAAAATTAGTGTGTAATACATACTGCTTAGCGCTCAACGTTCAGAATTGTTTACGTTGCTAACTGTAAAATTAATGAACGGAGTTACGTACTACATAGTACATACGCGGCACCTCCACGAACTCAGTAAAGGTTAAAGTAGGTGTAGATATAATTATGCCTTTTTCTTAGATGCGTACCAAACACAGTTTGTAAATACCTAAGTTTAGTACAGTACTGTTTATTGTACAGGTAGTATACTTACCAACTAACAGCATAGTGTTCTATATTTTCGATGCATATCGTTGATGTTGTCATCTTATGCCATTACCGCCCTACAATTAATAGTGTAGAGTGCAGACTACGACGTCAGTAATCTGCACTATTGTAGAGCGGCACTGGTCGCCTAAAGCGTGGCGTGCAAAAATTACTTTGTATAACATTTTTTCACTTTAGCCAAAGCGTTTCTATCAACCAAAGGTCCGAGGCGAATTTGAACTACGAGTAAACTTAACGTGAACACTCTCTGTAAATAAGTAAATTGTTATCGAGAACATCGCTGTTGTCCAACTTATCGTTGAGCGCTGATTAATTACTGTACTTATGTAAATGTTGTCTTTGATTGCGTCTGCAAACATGTCTAAGACTGGAGGTTGACCGCGCTGCAGCAATCATATGCTAGAAATATGATTCATTGTTTGCAGATGGGAACTAAAGCGCCCCTGGAAGTATTTGTCACAAAATAATCCAAAAGGTCTGTGTGCCAAGTAGTTTATTCGAAATACTAACAATAAGAAACTTACATTACGATTCCGTATTGCTTATTACTTGTGCGAAGAAAAATGCTTATAAAACATTCGTTCAAAACGGACGTCTTTCGACCCAAGCGTCTAAAAAAACAAACATTCGAGAGCATAAAAAAATTAAGTAGATATAAAGCAGGTACCAGGGTATTTATTAAAAATTGCGTTACAAGTCAGAAACATTTCTCGCATCGTTAGTCATGTTAGTCGTTTAATAGTTTTGCAATGTTTACTGACGCGCTTTTCGGAAGAGTTTCTCTTTTACGTCTGTTCTTCGTGTTGACACTGCGCCTGACCTTCTTTGCCGGTTTCATCGAAACCGGAAAGAGCAACAAGAACAAGCCACTGCCAGATCCGAAAGCCAAGAACAAACTTCCTACCATTACCGAATAAGCTAGAAGGGAAGGCACCACTGTAGGTACAAAGTGGTCCAAGTCCTTTATACTTAACATTTTTAAAAGGCTACCATACAGAATCGGTTAAATATATATGTCTATCTGTAGGATATACTGTAGATTTTAGATCTGCAGTACTAGTGGTGTATAATTTCGCATTTTGCTATCCGATATTCAGGTTTTTTAGCCGATTTTGTTTGATTCCCTTCGCGGCATAGTTACAAATATAAATATCACAGTAGGTTTTCTACAATTAAGGATTTAAAGATACAGAGCTTACTATGAAAATCTGAATGTGGTAGATATACAAAGACCTTCATTAACTGTAATGGAAAAGAAATCCTGTGCGTGTAGAGCGGTTGTGCGGCTAGAGCATTTCCACACTGGTTGTTCCGGAAAGTTTTCAGTCTCCCAGAAGCTTTTCCCATTTTGAAAACAAAACATTACAGCGATGAGCGCGTGCCTGGCAAATCCTACTCTAGGGCGTCCTTGGGAAAATCCTTGTGATATCCTACTCTAGGGTTTACAGAGATACAGAGCTGTAGACGCTGTTACTTGTTACTTACCTTAAGCTGTTAGTGTAATATTAAACGCAGACATTAATATGCCAATGCCACGGTGACATCAGTTTGACCGGCATATTCATTTATGGCATATCTGTCTAGAACCTGCTACACTATAAATAATAATCTGCACTATAGCTCGCCAAAGTAAGTACCAGACCAGCAAATCATCGTGACATCATCTGCTACAGTATGTTACCCCTCATGATCTGCAGTGCTAGCTGCATAGTGCTCAATTAACCCGTTCTGACATCATCTGAGGTAATAACAAACCAATAACAGAGAGCAGACGCTCCAGAAAACTTGACTGCGTGTGATTTCTTTACTGCTTCGCGAATTTGCGTTCGCTACAGAGAACAGACACCCTTGCACCGCCTCCGAAGATTCGCTATTCATAGAAGTACCGTATATAAGCTGTCTAGACTTCCGTTCCCGGAAGTGCGGTTCACAATTGGAATCCAACAGTGATAATAGCAAAATCTACTAGTTCAACAAATTAATCTGCTTGTGTTTACGCTCCATTTCGAACTTTGATCCTGTTTTTCCTCGCATCCACACTTCGGAAAGGTAAGTAACCCTTCTACAAATCCTGCAGTATGCATGAACCTTACCATTAATAATTTTTGCTGAATTCGCTTACCATTATCGGTTTACTTAATTCGGTAAATTTTTTTATTTGCAATTTCAGTAACCACCCAGTTACAGTACGTTGCATTCTTTTACAAAGCTCCTTGCAACGATGGAAAATCTTGGAAAACAGTGGATGGAATTCATGCGCCGGCAGTCGGCCCGGACGGCCATGGATCCGCACGCAAAGACCAAGGCAGCCGTCGCCTTGGCCGTTATGCTCTTCATCGCCTATGGTCTGCCCAAGGCCCACGCCGGTCCCGTTTCCTGTGGCGCATGTGTAACATTCGCCTGTCAAGCGTGCGCCTCCCTCGTGGCTGCCGGTGGTGCCTGTGCCACACTGACAGCGGTTCCACCTTTACTCTGTGCCTGCCTGCTGGCATATGGTGGACTAGGTTGCGTCATCGCTGCGGGAACGTGCGTGGCTATATGCCTTACACCCACTATATGACGATATTTGCCGTAATAGTGACAACGGCTGGCATTTTGCTGTAAATGTACTGATTTTTAAATCCAGTTTGGTTGTTATAATAGTTTTTTATAACTACCCCATTTGATTTTAAGTTTTCTAATTTGCTACTGTTGCTACATACAACTTATTGTACATGGTGGGTGCAATTGCGCAAGAACTATCTTGTTTGCTTCTGTTGCTTTCTGTTCTTCTGTTCTGTTTGGAAAAGGCGACCACAAAGTTCGATAAGCTGTCGCAAAATAAAGTATTGTTAGCTATCAGCTATCTGCTGCGAAATCCGAAAATTCCATTACAAAAGCAGGCAGATTGCAAATAGCCGTGTGCTCCGAAATGACCAAAAATCGTGGTCAGTGGTGGTCCGTGGTCACTGGTGACCGTTACTTACATAAGTTACATTAACAACGGCAGCGGCAGTCACCTTAATAAACCCTAGAATGCCTACTGTAGTAAGTACTTATATTATTGCCGTCACTAGTTACTTATTGCGTACATCACGGAATCATGACATCATAGATAGATTGTGGTCTTCCTGTTTGTTACAAAATACAAATACGTACTGTCAAGGCAGATTTCAATACAGGCAACCCCACTGAGGGCGGGATTTGCAATGACGAAAGCGCTAGCGTAGCCCAAATTGCCGAAGAACACCGTAAAAGCGAGAGTTTTTTAAGCTTTTCAAAGCTTTTTTGTGTTTCTTTAGTCGTTTTCACTCTTTTATTGCAGTTGGGATTTTATTTCTAATATAAAATAAGCAATGGGAAGAGGCAACATGATTAAGTACGGTGCGGCAAGTTGCAAAGCGGCTGTTGGCAACTTGGTTTCTACCGGTATACGGCAAAATTATTACTGCACGAGTTGGTTTTATTGATTTATTCCAACGAAACTTTTCAAACTCTAAGAAAAAAATGAAGCAGATACTGAACTGAACAATGTGAAAAATTAAAGAACTAATTGGTAATAATTTACATGGAGAATACCGAGATATAGTCACGCATCGGTAATTTACTCGTAATATGAACAGTTGCACACAGTACCGCACAGTGCACACTGGGGAAAATTATTAAAAAATAGTGGGAAATTGATTTTAAGTCATGCACGTTACACATTTAAAGGTTTTTTTATTTATAAAAATAGAGGAAGTTAATACGCATATTTTGCAGTTCGAATCCCATTCAACAGAAACAGAAAAAGGGGAGCAAACCGATTTTTCCCAGCATTTTACTATAGCCGCTCTAATATGCGAGCTACTCTAGTGATGACGTAACGAGTCAGTGGTATTGCGAGTGCACAATAAATATCAATAATAAATAATAATAATATCATATCAGTGGTATTGCGAGTGCACAATAAGGGGGGATCCATAAATTACGTACGCAGCGAACCAGGGAGGGAGGGGTCCAAAAAGCGTGACAAGCTGTGACGGCCTCGACGAACCCAGGGGGGAGGGGGTGGTCAGCTCCATATATTACGATTGAACGAACCAGGGGGGAGGGGTCAAGCAAATGTGACGGACCGCTACGAAGGGGGAGGGAGGGGTGAAAAAATCGTGGTTTTCTGCGTACGTAATTTATGGATGCCCCCTAAATATATTATTGTGCACTCGTATTGCCTGTATTGAGATCTGCCCTGGTACTGTACATTAATGCTGTTGTAACTTTAACACAAAACAGTATTCAGCAGTTAAAAAATCATAAAGGCTAAAGAGCGAAATATACTTAGTGATATGTACCAGGTTAGGTTTGACAAATTATTTGATATCGACTATCGAGAGGCATTCTGTGGTTGTTAAGATTTGTTGATGTTGCCTGCTGCGCAGTGAAATGCATTAACCGCCCGCCGGTGATGTGAAATCCAAATGTGTAGCAGCATGGATCGAGGCATACAGCCCGTTGTTCATTCTTCGCCGCAAATCCGTTCAGCCAGTGGGTTATCGCAGACCGTTCTGCAAGGATGCAAATCATCCTTGATTACATCACAGGCCATAACATCCAGCGGATCGCCGGGACTGAATCAGATTTTCAACGGCGGCGTACCCGTGGGCACGGTTGTGGTTCTCGAGGATAGACCATGTCATCTGTACAGTCGTCACTTTATGCTGCTGTTTGCCGCGGAGGGTTTATCCGTTGGTCATCGCGTATGTGTAGCCGCAGCGCGGTCGGTGGAGATTAAAGAGTTTATCTCGGATATTCCTCGGAAAGTTACGGGGGAGGAGAGTTCTGGTCTGAATGAAGGTTTGCGGAATCCACTTCCTGAGTCTATTGGAGATCGCCAAGGTAATGGGATTACTTGATAATTTACTAATTTAAATCTTATTTGGAATAAATCACAGTTTCGTTTTTAATTAAACTTCTAATCGAATAATTATTCGATCATTTTGGTTGCCCAGATAATAATTCATACCGCCCTTCGTGCAGCCTGGCTCTGGATTTGTGCGACAAGACGGGTCTACGAAAAGAGATCCTCCCGCTTTTTTGTTTCCCGTTATTAAGGACAGAACGCTAAATTAAATATTGTATATTAGAAGCACGCGTTTTTTATTCTAATTTTGTTTCGCAAAACTAGATATGTTGCTTCTGAATTACAAAATGTGAGGTGATTATTTCAGTTTTTGCTTTGCTGCTGGATTTGGAAAATGCGGTACTTGAAGTATAGTTAGTAACTTGATACTCTCATTTTCTGACTTTTGTAGGGGATGGTTTAAAAATTGCCTTCCGGTATGAAAGCCTTCCGAAAATTGATTCCGTACTGGGCGCATCCCATGCCTCCGCGCCATCTGAACCGCAGTATGATTTGGGAAGAAAAATTGACGCTTCTCAAGTGGAAACAGTCGGCTATTTCACGCATTCGCATTCTTCATCGCCCGCTGTTCCATCCAGAATACACAGGCTTCTGGAGTGGATTCTTAATGAAGCTGGCAAAATTCCTCGCCAAAATGTCCTTCGAGTTTGCCTGCCCGCTGTAGATTCTCCGCTATGGAATTTCCATGATTCTCATGAATTTTTCCGATTCCTTTTTCAGCTGCGAACTCTCGCCCGGCAAAATAGTTTAATAATCTCCTTAAGCATATCCCACTCGTTGCACTCTCCAGCTGATTTGTTCCGGATACGGCGATTAAGCGACGCATACGTTGTTCTGGAGACATTAAAGAGCGAGAAAAAGCACGCGCTGTATCGCGACTATCAGGCGCTATTCCGCATTGAAAAAACCTTCGCTGTCAATGTTCTTCGTCCGCCGGTAATTTTGGATTGTGAATATGGGCTTAAAATTAAAAGGAGGAGAGTTCTACTGGAAAGGCTACACCTACCGCCAGCATTACCAGAAACCGCGCAGCGAGAAACCACGGATCATCCCAGTGGAATCAGAAGCACCATCGGTGGCCTTGTTGGTAATCAGCTTGGATGCCAGGCTGCGACGGAGCGTAATTTGGATTTCTAATAAGGAATTTATTTTTCTAAAGTATTACTGGATATTTTATTTTGAGTGCGTTTAACACTTCCATGTGCCTTTTCAAATCGGTGATGTCTTCGCTTTATTTTTAATTGTTATTAACTTGTGATTTTTTAACTCGATGGTGTTATTTCTCACAGTTAATTTTGAAAGCATTTGTTTCCGGTTGTGGAAACTGGAAACCCTTTGTTCTGTAGTTCTATGTATTTGTTGTTAGTTCTAAATTCTGATTGTGTTCAAATGCGTTAACCTTTTAACGTGTTGGATGTATCGAATGGTAGAGCTGGTTGAATGACTGGACTTGGATCAAAATTTTATTTCATATAAAAGCAACAAGTACTTCTGCGCATATAAAAGGATCGATATGTTACAAAAACGGAAAAGTAGAAGATATAAAAAACAAAAAGGCAAACAAAGTTGATGATCTCTTCATCTATCCTTGGTTTCCTTGGGCGAATCGATTGAAACCAGGGAATGGACTTGGAGAGCCGGACCGTGCAACAGTGTTGGACTGTTGACTGACCGAGCGACCAAAAGTATTGGCAGCCGGAGTAGGAAGAACACCGGGTGTCAAACTCATAGGACTCATGCGATTCATGGTCATCGACTGCCGTTGCCCTCCTATAGTCTGGGTCTTCGTTTGTGACCCCGTCCGTTGTCCTCCCGAGAGAAACTGGTTGCTGGTCGGTGTGAAAGTCTGTCGATATGGAGACACTCCGGCAATCTGATTGCTAGTGACGCTAGCTGTCGGCGGGATTTGATTGCCTCGGAATGGTGCGGATTGCGGTGCGACAGGAGTGCCAACGGGGCGTGGTAGGCTGGGAACTGGCTGCTGTGCCCCTCCGAGAGCACTACTGCGTGGTGGTTGTGTAGGCGGCGGCACCGGGCGGGAGGTGGTAGCGGGAGGGATGGAATATCCACGGGATGGCTGGACAGCGACAACGCTCGGTCGTGACGGTTGTGGTGCGGGGACAACAGGTGGGCGCACGGCGGCCGGTGCTACTACGGCACGGGGAGGTTCGGCAACGGCACCAAGTTGTTGGGTGACTTGCTGCAATATGAAGAAGTTACAGAACAGTTTGTTGTTATCGATAACCATAGTATTATACCGAATCATCAAGAAGCACCCATTCGTCATGATAAAGACGAGAGTTGGAATAGTCATAAAAGTTTTGAGCTCTGCAAGGACAAGATAATGTGTCACAACATGGGCAAATTTTGATAAGTTTTCTGAAATGCAGAAAAAAACAAACTTACTTAGAACAGTCCACATTGAAGAACCAGTCACTGTAAACAGTTGAACTGTTGAGGCATTTTTACAGCATCAAGTCGCACTGCGTGTCTTGTTGCAAAAACGTGTAATTTTAACTTGATTTCTATCGTAAAGCGTGTTTACTCTGTCCTTACATGCGCGTTCGTCCTTACAGCGACCAGGTGATTATACGAGTAAAAGTTCTTACCATGTAAGGGTGATCTGATTAAAAACGGTCATATTTGGACAAATGTAGCTCCACATGATATTATTAAGATCACACCGACGGATCACTTGGCACTGGAAATCGGCATCAGCATAGAAACCGGCTTGATTGACCTTTTCACAGGAAAACGACTGGATGTCGGGAATATCAGCACGAATGGGATAGTCCTTGCCCGCTACTGCGCTGATCAACAGCTCCGACAGGGCTTGAGCATCCAAGGCGGATTTGCGGCCCAGAGAGTCCAACGCCTGCCACACTTCGGGCACTTGCAAGTTGCGCATGCCTACCGCTGACCACTGGGGATTCGGGTTGAAGGCCACACCGAACAGAAAGCCGGCACTGGGACGATTTGCGTTGGTAGCGGCAATATCTGTGACAAGCAGCAACCACTTTATTAACATGAAAATTTGTAGCGGAGTGCTCTCATACCGGCCAAATTGCGTCCCACGGGTGATGCCGGGGCTGGGGGATTTGGATTCGATACCGGACGCAGTGCAGCCACAGGAGGCGCAACAGGTGCCGGTGGCATCGTCGGCAGTGGCTCAGTAACGGCAACAGGAGTGACCGTATCTGGTTCAATGGCATCACTTCCTGCTGGAACGATCGATACCGTCGGACCGGCTCCGGGACCGGAAGCGCTAGTAACGGGCGCTTCAGCGGATGACAACGTTTCTGTTTCAGCTATGGAGGCATCCGTCGCCTGGGGAGCAACGGGAGCAGCGGTGACGTTAGCGTCACTTCCGGCGTCTGGTGTGGTAGTCTAGAACGAAACAGCATCTGAGTTGTTTAGATTTTCAATTTCTTGCCGAGGATAAAGAACAGCCGGCTTGTTCCCTATGCTACCTTACCGGAAGACTAGAATTTGCGTTCGTGCCGTTGGATGACGATTCTACGGTTGCACTGGCGGCTGGAGTGTTTGTATCCGGAACTGATGAATTGTTTGAGAGCACTGCACTGGAATTAGCTGTGGATGCATTGTTGCTGTCAACAGGGACCGTGGCGTTTAAGGCCGGTACCGGCGATGTTTCGTTAACCGCCTGTTATATAGTAATGAAAAATTATACATAAACATTTGCATTCAGCTGTCAGTGGCTTTCCAGAATTTTGCCAACGCACACGATGGCCTTCTTAACGTCCTTGCTCTTACCGTTTGACTGGCAGCGTAACCAATTAAAACGAAGAAAATCAAGCCTAATGGGTTAAGGAAGTCCATTTCGGAACAAGATTAATGCGGGAGATTGTAGAATACAGAATCAAAACGTGATACGTCAATATCTATAGGTGGTAACTGATAAAGGATGACAATAATCAGCAAAATACAATACGTATTACCGATTCTTATAGGTACTGTAGATCGTTGGGCACTGTGCACTGAAAAAGCAAGCAGGTACAGTTTTGCAAATGCAGTTGCAAGTGAATTCGGCGATGGCAATGATCTTCGACAACCTTCCGTTGCTTATTAAATATCGAAGATCTGGAGGATTTTATTGTTGTCGTCTCCATTGCCGGTAGCCTTCCGGCAACGTTTTATGCAGAGTATGGTGCGGGGATTATACGTAATAACTCAGGTAGGTGTAGCATCGATCCAAAAATACTGTCAGTTATGCGAGCATCGTCAGTTGAGATCCAACGAAGTAGAGTAGGTGTTAAGTAACTCATACTGCGAAAATTATAAGAACCTGCTAACAGCTATTGCACTGTACTGGTATGTACATTGTAGTGTCATACAGAAACTTACATTGTGGGCTACTGTCGGTTGTTTTCCTACCGGCTCACTCGAAGGTAGTATAAATTAACGTAAAGTACAGATAGGTACAGTATTCTAATCTTTTTATTTGATGATCTATTGATTTTATTAAGGAATTATACTTGCATTTGTATCACTACGATAACTGATGATATCTCGTCCGTTTATCTTTAGTGCTGTTAAAGAGTACGGTGGATATATCAAAAAGTATCACCAATTTTAAAACAAAAAAATACTTGCAGATACACAGTACTTCTATCTATATAATATTTGGTAACCGGAAAGCTGACCAGTGAAGTACCGGAAACTGGAGTTTCTCATCCGTCTTGGAATTATTATGATCGTCTACAACAGACAGGATTAGTGTTCATTTGCGAAAGCTTCCTTATAAGTTTACTTATTATTTATAGTCTTTGAAACTGTAAACATCTGCAGTAGCTTTTGGCTTTATAAAAAGTAGTAAACAATACGGGTCGGGCATATCTGTGCGCAGAGCTGTTGCAATTGATCATGACTGCTGATCAAGTTTTTGGCGCGCATCGACGGAATTTTTCTCACCTTTTTCCAAAGAATCAACCACGTAATCATTACGAGAACAATAGGATTAGTGATAAAACGAATGCCAAATCAAGTGAAGACATGCAGAAGTGCGCGAGTGCTTCAAATTTCAATTTTGATTACTTGCAGTACATATTCCGCAAAACCCCGGTTGTCCTTTTGGCAGATATAAGGACTAGTCCGGTAAAAGAAATAGAACTGGGACTGATAAAAAATTAAAGCTCTTTTTACGTAGAGAACGCTAAATTTATTTTCAGTACAGTACAGTATACTCTGGACTTGAAGAGCGATGCACTTGAAAATACGATATATATACAATATAATTATCTACAGTATAATAAGATATTTTTATACGGTTACTTATGTATTGTATTATACCAATATACGGTATTTATACTATATATGTAATTATGTACTGTAGTTATATCTACAAGCTCAACCGAGGCCGGAGCCTCGGCCTCCGGCCTCGGTTGAGAATTTTTAGAATTGAAGAAAGTAATGGGGTAGTTTTAAAAATATTTAGGAAAAGGAATTTAACTGGATTGGAAATGCGGTTTGTTTTGAATTTTCATTGTCGTCATTAAGTACTCAATGCTACAGAATTCAGCTAAGTTAGTTAGTTATTTCGGTAGACGGTTGAAAGTGTAAAATTTCTTTTTGCTTTACTGTGTTTTCCCGTTATGGTATAACCACGTCGCAAGGCGTAAAGCGAAATTGCGCTTAGCATTAGTAACCTCGTGTTACGCAATCAGTAATTGAATTATTACGTTGATATCTTATTATAAATATAATAAACAGAGCTATAAAATTAATATAAAGAGGCAACCATAAATATTAAACATATACATGTACTAATGAAAGTGCCATCGTTAAAATCGTCGTCCACAAAGAAGGTCGAGCCAAATAGCATATCGGCCAAAAAAAATTATTATTAACATATCGACCGAATCCCTGCTCCTCTGTCTGACTGAAAAAATTCCCTTTTTTATATGACCGGCGAAATCCTTTACATCTCCGTCTAACCGCCGAAAATCCCATCCTTACTATCTGACCGGCGAAAATCCCTGTACTTTTATCTAACCGGCGAAGATCCCTGTACTTCTACCTGATCAGCGAAAATCTTTGTAGTTTTATCTGACCGGCGAAAACTGGTGTATTTCTATCTGATCAGCGAAAATCTTTGTAATTCTATCTGACCGACGAAAATCCTGTATTTCTATCTGACCGGCGAAAATTCCTTACGTCTATCTGATCGGCGAAAATCCCTGTATTTCTATCTGACCGGCGAAAATCCCTGAATTTCTATCTGACCGACGGAAATCCCTATACTTCTATCTGACCGGCGAAAACCCTGTGTTTCTATCTGGCCGGCAAAAATCCCTGTATTTCTATTTGACCGGCGAAAATCCCTGTACGCCTATCTGACCGGCGAAAATTCCTGTACTTCTATCTCACCGGCGAAAATCCCGGTACTTCTATATGACCGGCGAAAATCCCTGTATTTCTATCTGGCCGGGGAAAATCCTGTATTTCTATCTGACCGGCGAAAATCCCTGTTTTTGTATCTGACCGGCGATAATCCCTGCATTTCTATCTGACCGGCGGAAATTCCTATACTTCTACCTGACCGGCGAAAATCCCTGTATTTTTATCTGATCGGCGAAAATCCCTTCCCTTATCTCTCACCAATTATACATTTCTGCCAATCAGCTATTAGTTACCTTATGTTAAGCCAATCAGCGAAATTCGTTTTGGTCATGCTTTGTTATTCGAATGACGAGAAGATCGAAAAACTAAAGTCAAAAGGACAAATAACATGATTTAATTGAGCGCTTTTTAAGCTATCGTGGGAAAATCAGCGCCGAAAGGATAGGAGAAAAATGATGAAAAACGGCCAAGTTAGCTCTTTATATAAATAATAGTAATTGTAAAAATATGTACATGACTACATCTATAACCAGGCTACCCCCACGCTAGTGTCACATCAATCAGTCTGTTTTACGTAACGCTTTTTTGCATTTCTGTATTTCCACTATATCCACAATATTAACAGTATTAACTAACCGTATAGTGCTCTTTGGCTCCTAAGTGTCGTTGTACCGCATGCTATTAGTCCGCGGTTTTCGTTCGAAACGTTTCGCATTTCCGCCAATCCTTTTTTTTAATTTCTAACAATAAGCCAATCAGCGACATTCGTTTCGAATGCGTTTTGTCAATCGGAGGACGAAATGATCGAAAAACAAAAGTCGTTGACGCAAACTACATGCTTTTAGGCGCTTTTCGAGCTATCGTGTAAAAATAAGTATTGAACGATGTAAGAGTAACTGTTTCAAAATAATAATTATTTTCCTCTGCTGCATTCAAAACTTGCATTCCCGTAGAATGAACCAACCGAGTGGACAAACCGAGTACGTATGTGTGTGTCAGTGTGTATTTGCTAAATGTATGCCCTTTGGCTTAACAAAGCCTCTATTAGAGGCTTTGAGCAGAAAACACCATAACCATACCTTAACCATCCCTTATCGTTTAGTTGGACGACCGCCATCGAGGTAGCAGTGTACAAAGTATTCAGCGAAGGCGCATAGCTGACTCTGGGTCCCTTCAGATTTAATTTGTTTTCTCGCACTGCGTGAAACGATCTCTTTCCAAAAAATTACATTTACATTCAAAAATATTTTCTCTATTCAAAAGTGTATATCTGGGAAGTTAAATTGGGCAGGTGTTAAGGGGAGCCTTTGAAAGTCCATCACCATACGACACGTTTGTATGGTATTCACACTACCATACGCTCGCACTTAACCATATAGTCTGGTTAAGTGTATGGCTATGGTTAAGTGGAGCAGTTGCTCAAAGCTTCTATTAATATGCATAATTATACTGTAGTATACATATGTTCGTACATATGCCATGAGTCAGCGGTTTAGGTTCGAAAGTTACGCATTTCCGCCAATCCTCTGTTACTTTCTAATGATCGACCTATCAGCGAAATTCGCTTTGGAGCCGTTTCGTAAATCGGAGGATGAAAAGATCGAAAAACGAAAGTCGTTGCCGCAAACTACATGATTTTAGGGATTTTTTGAGCTATCGTGTAATAATTAGTGTCGAACGGTGTAGGAGGAGATGTTGGCCGAAAAAACGGCTCAGTTAGCTTTGTATATATAATAGTAAATACTTAAGCGATAAATTTCTTCTGTACCTTGCTTATACCCATTAGCTAGGCTATTTATTACCTATCAAAAATCAATCATCAAATCAAAACAATTTACTGCTAAAGTCGTAAACTATAACATTGCTAATAATCTGCTCAAAAAATAATTTCATAGCAGCCCGAATTAACACGTAATATATTTAATATTTGCCTATTCAAAACTGCATTTGTTTAACTGTAACTGCGGTACGTGTGATAACTGTAGAAGTAATGTATTACTAGATTGTATCTATATAATGGACTGTACTGTACTTTTTTTACACGTGTACTAATGAGAGCCCGAGTCTTTGGTGGTCCCTATGGCAGTGCACTTTATTTCAATAGCGCGAATAACAATATCAAGGTCTAGTTACAGTTAACAGTACCAAGTACAGTATTACAAAAGCAGCATTACCACGTTGAATCGCTACAGAAATATTAGACAATTTGGGCAAAGCTGCGAGCCTGCGACCGTAATAGTACCAGTTACAGTAGCGCTATTTTGCTATATAGTGCATCTTTGGCGAAATAGCCGCTACTGCCATTGGTATTGCTACTGCCGCAACTTGCCCGAATTGTCTATTCGGTTTCAAATACTCAAGACTACGAATCTCGCCGGTTTCCGACCTTGGCAATCCTCTTTGCCGATGTACCCCAACTGCCAAGTGTTTCGAAGCCGATCGACAGCGACCTCGTATAGTTATATATATCGTCGTGACAGGAAACTATATTTCCTTGCTTTCCCGGCTCCAGCCAGGTCAGCTGCCGCTCCGGCATTTGCACTTGTATGATCCAAGTAAGAACGGGCGACCATGCCATCAACGGTTACATCCCATGCCAAGCAAAGTCCCCTTGTCCCTGGGATGGTGGTGATTCCACGTCAGGGGGTGGTTCGTTTTCGTGGTGCATGCCTCTTGGTTCCTTTCGAGCGGTGATACCTGCGGAAACCAGTGCCCGGCGCAGGATGTCGTTGATGCAGTCCTGTCTAGCTAGACCGTCTTCCTGCTGAAAACTTGCAATTCAAACCATGATGACCTTCCGTGGAGACTTCGCTTCCGCAGGCCTGCATTGATGATCGGATGACGCCGGTGTGCCATCTCTAATTGCGAAGGCGACCCGAAACTACTCGTTGTCGATCCAGGAGGTTACCGACTGAGGACGAGGGAAGCGCGTGGGTCCAATAGCCTGACTCCGGAGTTGCAGATAGGAGAAGCATGGCACTTCATGCTTCTGTACAGTGTACGGTAGTAACGTACTGTGCTTACCTGCAAGTGCGTGCATACGCGCATCTTGTGGCATTTGTGCATTGCATCCTCTGCACGACTGGCGCATCGATTTTTGATTGATCGACCGACCGATCATAACAACTTGGAAAAACCGGGGAGAAAGATTTCACCAGAACCTATCGTCCTGTATATTTTTATACTATTTTTCGTTAATTTTGTCCATAATCCTAATTTTGTTGATCTAGTTGTTTGCTATCCTTAATAAATTATCAAAGGTCAGTATTTGTATATGATGATCATTTTTTATCTTTCTGACAATCAGCGAGCTCAAGTCTTGAATGATCTGATCCTGTTCGTTTCTAATTCTGACTCCTGAAGCAGTTAGTCTGTTAGTTTTGTTTAGTTTCATTTAATCCTATTCCTAGCACACGGTTTTTGAACTAATTAGTGTTATGGTGTTTTATTGAGCATTCCGTGTTTACAATCATACGTTGAGATTATGAGGCACATTCTAATTTTCAGTGCAATTGCCAGGCTATGCATTCTGTTTGTTTGTAAATGTCGCCTCGTTTTATTACTTCGGTTCTTGCAAATGCATGGTAAGAGCGCTAACCATTACCAGCGGTTGTTATGATTTCCCTGTATGGATAGTATGATGGTGATTGTGTGTACAAAGAATTTGGTGTTCACTTCTCAGCATGGACATGAAGAATTTCAAGATTGAAAAAAAATTTACTGCGCCTTTGTCGCTTGTTGCGAAGGATCTGCAGTTAACGTGTTGTCGCGCTTTTAGGAATAGTTAGATGAAAAGTTTTCTTTACAGAGGCGAGTTGTTGATTTGGCATACTTTGCCACTGGGGCGACTGGAAATCCATGGCGGCCACAGATAGTGATGCTTCTTTGGGAAGCGCTGGTAAGTAAGTTTTCAGTTTTTGCAATTCAGTTACTTCAGTAATTTGGAATCTCTCGGTGCAGGCTGTGCAGTGTGCAGCCGTTTTGTCGTGTCGTCTTACCTTGGTTAATTTGTTGTTGCCAGTATAAGAAAGAATAAGAATATGTGGTTATCAACATCTGCGTATACTGCAACGGTGCTGTATAGAATTATAGAAAATAGAGCACAGTCAGCACACCGCAGATTTGTTTAACAGTGAACTTATTTAACAGGCGAGAATGACGCGAATACTGCAGCTGAGCTGGAGCCAGTGAAAAATGGGATGCATGGCACTGATTCGCGGAAACCCGAAGCACTTTCCAAAGGGAAAACCAAAGAGGAGTCCGACGAAGAAGGGGTGCGTGCATGCGTTGCAAATTAAAGTCTAAACATAAATTACAGTCTAAACGAAGATCAGTATTGCATCAGTATAAAGTTAACTGGCTTTCTTGTGCACTTAGGAAGCCTGAGCGAAGATCAATACGTTCTGTCTGCAGTCGTGCAAGCAAATTACAAGTTATCTCAGAATAGTTCAGAACTTAATTAGTTCCTGATGTAATGTACAGCCAATATTAATTATTATTATTACCAGTACAGTGTTACTTGATACTGATTTATGTAAGGTGGTTATTGAAACGTTACAGGAGGCGTCGGATGATGGCGAAATCGACACCAGTACCGAGAAGAACAACGGTGAAGAGGGTGAACTGGAGGAAGGGGAAGTGGATGATGATGAGGACGGTGGTGGCCAGCAGAAGAACTCGGTCTGCAAGTACTTCTACAAAGGCCAGTGCACGTGGGGCTCGCACTGCCGATTCATGCATCCCGGCTCGGTGGATAAAGGCAATTACAGCCTTTTTGAGAATGCACCAGCGAAAAACCCCCCACCGGAGCCAGTTCATTCCCTCAAGCCCCCGGGACCACCGTTAATGGTGCCGCAACCCGGTGTGCGCCCGCCCATGGTCCTGCCGCCACGGCGTCGTAATAGTCCCCAGTTGATCCCCCCTGTTCTGCCCTTGCGGATGCCCTTGCCAGGTGTACTGCCGCCGCGACTCCCCATGGACTTTTTCCCACCCATTCCGGAACCGCCGCGGGCGGAGACTATGTGGGAGCGCGGACTGCGACAGGCCAAGACGCTAGCGCAGGCAGCGGCCAGGAAACGGGACGCTATCGAGGACAAAATGCATGGACTGGATGAGAAATTTGATCCGGAGTTCGAGTAAGCTTGCTGCATTTGATTTTGCCTGCTGTGTGAATCGGTCGGGTTTGAAAACACTACTTTTATTTAATGGCGATGCTGTAGAGACGAGCATTTTGGTGAAACCAATTACGCTTTCCCGGAGCAGCAGCAACCACAACAGCGAGGTTTCCCTTCGTTCCCGATGCGACCCGATTTTGATCCTATGCAAAGGAACCGTCGTATGAACGAGTAAGAATTTTGCAGACTGTTTCTGATGGTTTATATGCAATTAAAAACTGTTTTCAGCTTCGGTCGTTTCGAGCGTCGCCGCAGTCCTCCGATCGATAATCGTGAGAACATGATGGATCGTCGTCCACGTGAACCTATGATGCGCCAGCGGGGAGCCGACGAATGGCATGATCCCTGGATGCGGTCGGCTGGTGGAGGTGGTGGTGGCCGTAACCGGCCTGTGCAACGCTGGAATAACCGTAACCGCTCCAAATCCGAATCACACTCAAAATCGCGTTCTCGCTCCAGATCTGGTAGTCCCTCTCAAAAGAAATCTCTTAATTCCAGGTTAGACCGTTCTCAGAATGAACAACATACGTTCTGGTCAGTTATTTAGAATACTAAAAACAGTTATGAATAGTGCGAACAAACTTTCAATTTCATATCATGTACTTTCAGAAGCAACTCCAAGGACAAACAGGCTCGGAAACGTAGTGGCTCAGCAAGCAGCAGCATGCGTGCAAAGCAGCGAGAACGCGATCGACGCAACGCCACGCGCCAACGGGCGCCATCGGGTAGTCCTATTAGTTCATCTCATAGTTCCTTGTCACGCTCTTCATCTCCAAAATCACCTGCAGCTCCGCAAAAGGCTGGCCGCGCGAGCAGCCATGAATCGGTAAACATCATTGTAGAATTTTAGCTGCATTACTGCAAATTTGTAATAACTTTGGCACTTCCATTCCGTAACCTTTCGGTTTTCTTCGTTTATGTGAATAGCATTACTGAACAGGGTAATTTATCTGTACTTTGTAAGTAGTAATTTTTAGTAAGCTGTTTGAACAACAACTTCGCCGACGTTGATAAGCCACAGTATTTGGAGAATTTCTTATTTGGTAGGATGCGCGGGCGCGTCGATCGCCGGGTAGTCGTCTTTCACAGCAAGAGCGTGCCTCTTCTCGTAAGCATTACCAGGCTGACGAGCGCAATAAAGCGTCTCCATCGCTCAGTAGCGTCTCATCCCGCAACCATGAGGAGGATGACGGACCACGAACGCCACCTCCGGATCCAGAAGAGGGTGACGAGGAATCGCCCAGAGAAGAGGTTCAGCGTTTCGGCTATGATCGCGATGAAGTGGACCGGAAACGGACCGCTCGCTCGCGGTCGAAGCGCTCCCCATCCCAGTCACCAGTCAGTGATGATGATAATGATGAACGCCGCCCAAATCAGGAGGCGTCAGTTGATGTCGATCAACCGGTGAAGAAGAAGATTAAAAAAGGGCACAAACCGGTCAAGTTGACTTTAAATAACAAGGTTAGTTTACGAAAACGTTTACCTGAATTGGGATGGGTAGTATTGAAATTGTGTTTTTTTGTGTAGACGGAGCGACGTGCTGCCAATGCGGCATTCGGAGCGGTGGAGGAAGAGATGGATGAAGATTCAGCTGTCCAGCTGAACGTCAAGCCTCGTGCTCGTAAGTGTGCTTACTGCTCGTGCTCGGTTACAGTGAAACTGTTTCTGTGGAACGTATGCATTATTAATGCAGTGCTTGTGTACGTATTTTGCAGAGTCGAATATTAGCGAGCGAGATCAAGACCGCTCCAGTCCCCTTTCCGAAGCGGAGGAGGACTCCAGCCCCAAGCGTGCTCCTGTAGTAGCGCCCTCTGGATCGGAGGAGAAAGCCAATAAACGAGAAGAACTGCTGCGGCAGTTGCGGGCGGTGGAAGAGGCTATTGCACGGAAAAAAGCTACAAAGGTGGCAGATTGATGATGCACCATTGTCCACATTTAGATGGATCTTTTTATTTTGAACATTTTGTGTACTATTCATCTTTGGTTTGACACGGCTTTGTTGACTGAAATTGTGGTTGTTGATGTATTTTTTGGAATTTTTTTTTGCGCGACGGCCCTCTTTACTTATTTTTTCGCTTATTTTCGGTGTCTCAATAATTTGTTATCCTGAAAGACAGCTCGGTTTGTTATAAATACCGTATCTAGTGGTCTGTGTCGTGCCTAAACGTGAAGGAATTTTAAATTTTAGAGGTTTGACTATGAAGCCTTAGTTAATCTCGTTTGGGTAGAACTTACCATGAGGGTAAGAAGTACTGTAGGTGTGGCTTTTTTGGAGATGTTAGCCTGTTCATGCAGAATGCGCAGCAGTTATGCAATAATGAACATAAGGAACACAGAGCGAAATAAAAAAAACTTGAACGTAAACACTAGCAGGCACGGAGCAGTGCTCACATATTCTAGAGCTCCCGGAAAGGTAAGTGAATGAAGTTATTGGTATCAAAAATTACAAACTGCTAACAATTACCAAAGAAAATTAATACTGCTAATATCCACCAAGTATCAAACAAGATCAATAGGAATTTTGACTCCGGTCAAAAAAGTACTTGCGTACATAGATTTTTATTTGTTCTTCCAAATATTTTCTGTGTTTCACAAACTCTTTAAGCTCTTTTATCGAGGTCTTTTTTGTACGGCTACGCTCCGTTCCCCGTCACTGACGCGCACTCTTTTTGCTTCTTTTCCAGTGCCTAAACATAAAACATCTCATAGGTTCATAAAACATAAAATTAATGGCACATTCGACATCACAATTTACCACATACGTTTATTGCAACTAACAATAATTAAGCCAAATACAGCACGAGCTAAATACATAATTCCTTTATGTAATATCGAAATCAAATAGAAAAATATTTTAGTTTTCCTTTCGCAAGGCAATACAGACCTATGCCTGTATGATGCGCAAAAAATTACGGACACAGTCAAAGTTAAATTTCACTATAATATGTAAAGTATAATCACATAAAATGGTGAACACTGCGACTTACGGGGACAAGGTCCGAAAAGAGTTGACAAAAGGTCGCGTTACCGAGATTCCAGCTGATGCTTGATCGGGCCAAATTACGTTTATCTTCGTCCTGGAACAAGTAAGTCTGGGATGAAATAAAAGTTCACATGCGCCGATCTCTCAATAAGTACATCGATGTGGCCATCTTACGGTGGAATTTATCGCTCCGACAGTAGATCCTTTACCAGTCTGAAAAATGGTAAAGTTTAGATAAATACTGTGAAAATAATACCCAAGAGTTTCGCTGGAATTCGTTGTATGGAAAGGATAAAAGGAAGGGAAATTATACTACGGCACACAACTCTTGAGAGTGGAATCGACTAATATGTGTCATGCTAGCTATGATGCGGCGAAGTTCAGCATTTTAGCTTCCTTAATTCAAACAAGTTCAAGTGCGTATGTTCGATACTGTACCATAAAGCTGAGCAATCCGTGCAAAATAGTGCCAGCATTCCAGGCCGGGTTCCACTTTTCCGGATGATAATCGGAGATACTCAAGCACAGCCGCTTATTTGCCGCGAAACGGCCGTTTGGCGTCAGGATGAAAATGGCCGGTGGTTTGAAGGGATATTCCGAGGGGAAAATCAGTCGGCCCAAATAATATCCGCCGTCGTACGGTGTTTGCTCCGGGCCACGCAGCACGTAGTACCATTCCAAGAGATTATTCGGATTAGGAGCGGCGGATACGTATGGCACCGGGTCTAATTTACAAATAAATAGTAAATTTCACACTGTCAAGTATAGGTTTCGATAACTCTCGCGCACGCTTTATAATTCGTCCAGCAACGGAGAAAATTTTTTCAAAGCATAATAGCAGTGCAATTAGAGAGGGATAGTACACAACTAAACTATGCGGAATTGCCCGCTTTTCTGATTTCGATCAGTTGAGCGGCCCCAGTAAAATTTTCTGAATATAGACTGATTATAAACTGATAATAGTATACGTGCTGTAAACAAAACGGCATTGTACTGAAATTAACAAGATTTTCTTTAAATTTTCAAATATCAGCCGCGGAGAAAACTGTTTGTTGATGCCACCATCGGTTTACCTTGAAGTAGTTCAATGAATTCCTTCTGGAGACGTGTGGTTGCAAATTGTTCCGCCATCTCACTGCTTCGAAATGTTGCAGTCCCTGAAGTTTGGAGCGCATCCAGTGATCCGTACTTTTACGGTATTTCAAATCGTTAGGTAATCGCCGCAACCATATGACAAATCCCACTGGCAGTTTGTCGTTCGGGACTTCCTGGAAAGTTTCCAATATAAAACTGGAAATCCGAACAATGTGGATGTGCTCCTTGCAGGGATCTTACTAGATATTAGGGAAGAAAACGTGCACGATACGACTAGCATCCATATGCGTCTATATGTAAATAAGTGGTCAAGTGGAAATTCGAAAAGCCCGTGGGCATTGAGGGTGTGCTGTCCGACTACCACCCGGTGGGGTACAGAAGATGGTGGTCAAATGAGCGCCGTAGTTCTACAATCGGAACGTCAGTATGCTGAACTTGAAGTACCCAATGGCAATGACACTTCCGCTTCGTGCAATTGGGCGCACGAAATTCGAAAACCGTGATATTAGATTTTGTAGGTCGTTGTTACCGATACCGCATTCACTGCCATCGCTGTGCATAACAGAATGTCCTATTACTTAATAAAAAATTCCATAATAATATAATTGCTCTAGTCGTGTTCGTCTATATTGTAACCTGCGCTTAATACATATAGAATAACTAAGGATGATTGTCGGATGTTAATAACAGTAAGGATTCGACGACAGAATGTAAGGTCATAATGCAGCGATTATGATACGAATTCGGAAACTAGTTGGCCTGTGTTCATGTTTGCTGTTGCACTTAATTGTTACGTTTTACGTTGCTCATGTAATGTTGAAACTGGCTGCTTAATGTTATATCGAAAGTAAGCAGCCAAGAAATTTACGCATACTCAAGTATATGGTCAGAATTATGTAAGAGTTTCAGATTTGGTAATTAACAGAAGAACAAGAAATTTTTCATCATGACTTGACAAAGATTGGATACATGCTGGGGGCAGTATCAAAAAAAGCTTGCCTAGTGACCTTTCGCTCGTTTACGCAAATGTGGTATACTATTACACAGACGCACCTCTTCTTCATCGTAATATTTTGGTTGATTTAACATACAGAATTCTAAAAATACTGCCTGTATCTGTAAATGTAACCCATCGTGTAAAGCTACTCGTACATCTAAAGCGCCTCATCTCTATATTAAAATACGTAACCATATCAGTAATTGCTCTTAGGCACGCTCCCAGGTACGGATTGCGGAGTAATTGAATTAATTAAGTGTTCACCTGATGCTAGTGGCCTTAAACAACATGGAACGATCCTGAAATGGGGTAATGCAGAAATTGTGGGAATGTGCTCCCCGTAAACTGTTCTTTGGTGATATTGATATTTATTGATCTTATGAGCTTGAAACGTCATATGAAAAATGTCTGCAGGGATTCTAAACGGAGCGGTATATAGCAGTTGTGGTAAAGCTGTATGTGCAAAATTAGAACATAAACGTTTCCCTGCGGTTATTTTGCCAAATGTTTAAATGTATCAAAAATAATTTTTTAAAATGTACTGGAAATGACTGCATATAGCAATAATACCACATGCAGTTGTAACATCAGTGCCAGCCATTATGATGTGCACGTTCCGAATTTGATGCCGACGCAAAATACAATGGATATCTGGCTGGTCGTTAACACATGCCAGTTAAGCGGTGCCTGTATACTGTTTACGCTGTTGTTATGTTCCCTGATTATGCAGAATCAACTGCGTAGCGGTGCTGGTTTCCTCGTATTCCATCAGGTAATTACTGAAGGTCAGATGGCATCGATCCATTATTTCGTGTACATTCTCACATCGTACCAGTACAATCTCAACACGCATACGTTCTACTTGAGCGATGAATTTTGCCGGCAATATTACCTTTACTACATGGTCAACACGGCGGCCGGACAACTTGGGATCTTCAATCTGGCGGTCAACCGTTATGTCGCGCTCTTCCATCCGCTGCAGTATAAGCGTTTCGTGACGAAAAAAGCACTGGCTTTGGCTATCGTTATGTGCTGGGTTTTTGGGATTGCTTGTCATATTTACTTCTACATGGGTGGCGCCGGCGGATTCGTAGGTGAGGGGCAGCAATCAAACAATACTAATTGCATGTGTACGAATGTGGTGGTCAATGCTGCATAAAAACAACAAATTAATTTTGCGAAAAATAAATTAAACTGGTGCTTCATAAAGATAAAACTGGCGGGTTTGGTGAAATTTTTTTACTTGTCAGCGAGTCAAAAACTGTTCAGATGGCGTTTGTTCAGCCTGATTTTCCCGGAATCCGATTCCCCGCGTTCCGTTACATAGGAAAACGTTTTTTGTTCAATTTTGAAATTGGTGCTTCATAAAGATAAAATTGGCGGGTTTGGTAAAAAATTAAACAAAAACTATATTTTTGTTGAAAGTCTTTTCTACTTGCGTAAAACAGGCAGTCACATATTTATTTACCGTTAATACTTTCATTTTTTTACGTTTTTTTTAAATGTTGCTTGCAATTAAATTGGAATTAATTCATTCACAGCGACACCACCGTTCGGCAACTGTGGCTTCGCCGGTCAAGGTTTAGCCTTTAAAATTTCAACGATTGCCAGCACATACTGCCCTCTCGGGGCGGCAGCCGGCGTCTATATTGTTCTGTTCGTCAAAATGGCCATATCGCATAAATCCGGGAACAACCACCTAATCGGCTCCGTTACTGATTCCAGAGCAGCTAAACGGTTGGCGCGGCGGTATATGCTAACCAAGATTCTCTTCGTGTCCTCGCTTCTCTACTGCGCGTGTTTTGCTCTGATTCCCATCCTGCAAGGGTTCTTCCCTAAGCTGTATTTTGCCAATCCCATGACGCGCTTGTGGATAAGGATGGTGTTCTTTACTGGTTACATTTTAACACCGGTATAAAAAATTCCCGAAGTTTGTTTGTTGTATGAAATACATTACGAATTTAATCTTATACAGTGACAGTGTGCACGTTGATACAATGCGGGCTTGCACTTGCAGATCGTTTTTTTCGTAATGAACGTGGAATATCGTCTGGGTGTGGTGAAGCTTTTCCGGTTCATTAGTTTCCAGAAAACAACCTCAAACCAAATCGACAATGATCCCGATCGCGATCCGCCTTTCCCGAATAATTCGAAATCAACAAAATCGACACATTCTGGAGGATCAGATCGACTTCACGCTTTGCATGTACTAAAAGTGCCCCAAACATGAACAGGCTTAATTTACGTTTTCGTGTGCTCGCACACAAAGGTCGCAATATACGCTCAAAGGAAAATATTGTTTAGCGAGTTACTGTACAGATACAGTATAAAGCTTTGTGCATAAAGCTTTGTACAGTATATTAAGCTTTGTGCATTATTTGCTGCATGTGAGGACGTATTGTATAAAAAATAATTGTATACATTAGCTACCAGCGTGGAAATCATCTTTAAAAGTTGGTGTGCAGTTTCAATTTGCCTTTTTGCATGGAATGCTTGTAATAAAAAACCCGGTTAGACCAAAAGTACAATGTATATAGAAATAAAAGGGTTTCTCGCGTTTTTCATTAGACGAAATTTGTAATGCGGTATCCGAAGTATATCACATGTTTGCAATCCTGCAAACACTTTGACGCTCCTTTTTGTTCAGCTGGAATACTGACGGTGATTAGCACTATTATTTGCCTTTTTTTTTGTTTGTCAGCAGTTGAGAGACTGGAGATAACCACGGCAAACTTTAAAACAATAACATTTTGCGAGAATCAGAAACGTATTAATATCAAAATAACCATTATGTACGCGAAGGTTAAACATCACAGATATTGTGACTAAACTGATTGAACCCGAATAAATCACACGGCATCAACCATACAGAATATCCTCCGAGAAGGCACCAGCCATGCGCACACTGTCTTTCTTCATACACGCATACAACCTCTGCACACCGGGTCGGTTGAAACTAAAAGGCCGAGGTGCGATGGTCCGCAATAAGAATTCCTTCACCTCCACTTTGGGCAGCACTGCTTTTCTGTTTTGCAGCTGCTGCATGGACACTTCCGTGGAGTCTAAGGTCGGCGTCCGCTGGTCGAATGTTTTGAGGATGTGCTGTCCCAGTGGACTACGAGATGCACCCGGAACGGGGGTCAATTGTCGCGAATTGGTTAGGCTCTTTATAAACTGATGAAACTGCTCTTTCTCTGGTAAATCGTCAGATCGTTTGGCAGTATCCAGTAACGAGCGGTACGTGTGGACACTCTGTTCATTGCTCGCTACGTTTTTGATGAATTTCTAAAATTATGTCCAAGTATGAATATCCCCTTAAGGAATTTTTGTCCGGCTATGTAAATTCACTATATTCGACGTAGAATACGTAATTCAATCCATACAACACAGTCTATGTAGACTATACAAGCACTAAAAACATTGCAATGCCACATTCTGTTTAGCATAATCATTGCGTGTAAGTGTTTGTTATTTCTGGCACCAGTATATACCTCAAAATCCACCCAGTTAAAAATATGATCCGAGAGGATTCGCGACAGCGATTTTGTCAGCATCGTTTGATCAACCGGTAATCGAAGATCAGCCTCGTGCATTTCTTTTATCAGTTTAATCAGCACCGCTTCAGCAAACACAGGCAATAAATGCCGAAACACGTCACCAACGGTCGTGTTTAAAAATGATAATACCTATAAATATCGAGGATTTCAAACCGCCAAATGAACGAATTAAATTACTGTACCTTTTCAGCTTCAACGCGCTCATCGAATAATCTTTTCTGTCGTCGAACTGGTTTGCACTCTGCGGTTTCCCATGCAGTCGACCAAGCGCTATCAGCATGCGACATCCTTTCGCTCAGATGTCCTAAAACGAGAACATCTGAACAATGATTATGGAACAGAAATTTGCCAAGAAATTAAAATAAAGGTGAAGGCTTTATCTAAATATGAAAATTCAGACAACAAAGACAGGTACAGTAGCTGGATGAGATACCTGCGCTTGCATGTTCTGGATCTTCTTCCCAGTCTCTCGGTGAATGCCAGCGCACAAAGTCCTCGAAACAGCATCCCGGGTTTGCCGCCTAAAGATCATAAAAAACCCAGTTCAACATTGTTGAAATATTGCTGTACAAGAACCGACAAAGAACTGGCTAACAAATTGGCAAAAGTTGTTTAAGAAGACTGACCTTAAAAGCTGACATATCAGATACAAGCGCTGCACTTTGTAATTTAATCCGTAGCGCCCGTCCCACTTCGTCGTCATCCGTGGCCGCCAGGCGTTCCAAATGAGCCGCGGCTGCATCCTCCGTCATCGGCGCGACCTCCTGCGTTACCGGGATAAATACTGGCGTAACACCATCACTCAGCAGCTTCAGGCTGGTATGCTCGTGCAGTCTGCCTTCCGGCTTGACACTGATATTTTTTTCTTTCTCCTCCACCATCGTCTCCTCCCCAAACACCTCTTCGCAGTCGTAAAACTCTTCATCTTCATCCTCGGTAACCAAATCCTCTCCATCCAGGGTCGTAATGGAATCCACTGAACTTTTATTCGCCGGGATAATCAACCGTTCCGGACTCTTCCGCGAAAATGTGACCTGTTTTTTCGGGTTGGCTTGTCGGCTCTGCTGGCGCTTTTCTATACAGCAGTTCAGCATCTGGAGTTTCTGGTGAAGCAGGCAGGTTCCGTGGTTAGGGTAGCCTGGTTGAATATCGGTTAAAAGAAAAGAATTTTCCCATCGGTAACGGAGTTCAAGCAGCACTTCGTGCCACAGATAGGCGACGGCTAATAGTCCGCCAAGGTTTTCAAGCACATAATAAACGGCTAAGGACAGCCTGTACGGAAAACTGTTGTAGGGAGCGGATTTCAGATTGCCGAAGACCTGAATTAAATAATTACAGATACTCGTACAGCTCAAATAAAAAATTCTTCTATTATAGACTTACTTGTTCAGAATCTGCAGTACTGCCAGCTGAATTACTGTTTTCCAGATCTTTGGCTAAGCCTGAATCAGGAAAGAGGTATGCCAGAATCTCGTTCAACGGTTCTTCCGCAATGGGAACATCGAGATGATAGCGGGGAATTCGCTTGTACAAAGCTGTCGACAAATGGGTTCGCTCCGGACCAGTTAAACGTTTCAAGGCGTTTTTCGCGGTGTCGACATTTTGAGCTTGGGAATTCGCGTCTGAATCCAAGTACTCCAGCAAAGATTGCACTGTTTCTTGGTGATGCGTCTGCTTGGCAAATTTTCTTAACGCGTCCGCTAAAATACCCGATGAAAAAAATCATTTATTACGGTCATGGCAACCCAAAAACTATAAGAAGGAACAACTAGCAGCACTAATTTCTTATTAAGCAAACTTGGAAGAACCAATCAATCTTACATTAGTAACTCAATTTTCAACCACTCTGTTTTTAAATACAGTTCTCAGTTCTTACAGAGTCTCTGCGAAGCTTTGTCGTTCAAAAATAACTGGACAGCCCACTTCGGCGCTTGCAACGGATCCAAATCCCTTAACACAACTTTCAATGTACAATAAATGCATAACTGTCATACGTTTAATATAGAAGTATCAAAATTTTATACTTACGAATGCACCGTAGTGTCTTCCAAGGCATCAGCATTGGCGTTAGGCCAAGTTGCGAGCAGATCAATGTAACTGCAGAAAACATTTTCCAACTCAGGCAATGCAATCTGATTAGACGAGGGCAATCGCAAAGCAAGTAAAGAGTTACAAATTATCATATTCCATTGATCCGAACGGGAGCTCTCCTAGTTTTGGTGTTTTTGCCTTGATCATATCCTCATCCTCTTCATCCGCGCTGACCGCATCCGGTCGCAAGGTGACAGTGAGCTGCACGGATGCTTTCACGAGTATCGAGCTATCCATGATTCCCTAAAGTTAGTTCAAGATTGACTGTATTTTAGTAACAACTAACAGTAAGCACTTTACCACATTTTCTAGTTTATCAAATTTATCGGTCACTGTCTACTGTCAATAATTTAAACCAGTTCTTCCAAAAACATTTAGTTCCTAATGCCGGGTAATCTTAATTAAGTATCAACAGCTTCATCATTTAGTCAGGGCTCACAATTTTTTCTTTGAAAATTTCCATTAGGCCTGAGAGGTTTCGGAGGCGATCAGGAATCTTTTCCAGATCAATGATATCGTAAACGGTACGAAATCCACCAATTTCTGATACACCGAAAAACATTTGCCGTTGCTGAACGTCGAACTGTACAAAGACGGGCAGTGGACTAAAAGTAATTGAGAAAACAAATGCAAAACAAGAAAAGCAAAACCTGCAAGTTTTATATGAGTACCATCGCGTATTAGATGCAGCAATGGAAATGCAGCTGTTGAGAAGTTTTAAGCGATCTTCAGACACCGTAGAATCGATATCGTTGAATGCGGAAGGTGACAGCACCAAAAAATCAGCTATCCCAAACCTAGAACATCATAACTGAAAAACAAAGCAAAATCCACAAAACTTGTGCACTCGATCACAATCAAAAAACACGTACCATTTTGCAAGAGGATGTAAAGCCGGAGACAGAGGGAAATCATTTTCTGTGGATAGTAGTTGTTCAAAGATAGCTGGAAAATCACCCACGGAAAACGATGCTACAATGTAAAAAAACCAACGTGTACACGACTAGTATAGCTTAAAAATGTCCTTAAAATATACAATTCGTTATAGCACGAGTTGCTCCTGGCCATAATTCTTAAAAATTATTCATACAAACAAGAGAATTTCCGGTGGATCATCCATAAACAGACTGAATTAAACCATTTCAATTCCCAGAAAGATTAGAAAATTTAAAACGAAGACCGCCGCAACTTACTTTTCAGAAGCATATGACGCTTGGGATCGTTCAGACCTGGAGATTTTTCTCTGGTTGCGCTAGCATCCTTGGAAATGCTGTCCGGTTCATCCGCCACACAGAGTCGATATCTCTTCACATGGAACTCAAAATCCGGGACATCCGCTATGCTCGTGGATACTTCTTTCCATCGCCCAGTGGTGAAACTATCCTAAAATGCCAGGAAAATCAATAATGCAAAAGCAAATTCAGACACACGAAAAAATGGAACAATTAAAGCATTTTATACAACAACTTCAACACCAAGATTCAAAATGTAAATAAGGCTATTGTAAACTTGCGGGAAAAAGAAACTGTTTCTGATAAGTAGAAATACTGCAGTGGTGCAATAGCAATACGATTTTCATATTTTATCTAAACGTAATTTCTATTATCCACAATCAACCATACTTTGGGAAATTTGGTTTCCGGTGAGTAACGAGGCAGTTTCCATTCATGAATGACGTCTTCTAGTCTTGCGATAATCCTGCCAAATTAACTTCGCAGTTACTTAATTGTGTTAGCACGGCAATGAAGACGGAGAACGACAATTTGTATTTTGGTCAAACTGCGATCGCTCTCAAGAGAAAACTCAAGGCAAAGCAGAGAGCACAACAAACAGATCCTGCGACTTCCGCTTACCTTTCCCAATCTGAAGCGGTCGTGAAGTCCGTAATTTCGAAAACATCTGTGGTCTAGAAACAAGGAACGAACGCTTAAACACAGAGGGAGTGCGAAATTGAACGAAGCACTCTCACTAACATCCATTGCATCGTCCTTGTGGCGATACTTGACTTTAGAGTCCATTTGGGATAACATTTCTCACGCTTCCGCTAAATGGTCACAAAATTAGAAACCGTTACTGATCGATCAAAATAATTATGACAGGCATTACTAATAAGATCCTTTCATGATTAATTTACAAATATCCATCAAAATCATTCTAAAAATTTGATACCTTCCTTTTTGAGACCATTTAAAAAAATCCAAACAAGCAAGCAATTACACGCATTGCACTGATTGCAGCACGCGCCGCTGTACAAACTGGCGGTGAAGGTGCCTCCCGCGGGATGGCGTCAGCTGGCTACTTTTCTGAGTTATCGGTGTTTTCAAATTTGGCATACTGCACAGTGCACAATGCATATCAACAAAAGAAATAATAATCGTGCTACATATATTTACTCGTTAGGTGTGTAGTACTATGTACTTAGAAAACTCTTCAACTGATTCTCTGATCTTACGTATTTAACTGAATAATATAATGATTATCATAATTTCAGCTTTTGGTTTTAGAATCTTTTGTTTTGGATTCCCTTATGGCCGGGTATCGGAATATTACAAGCACTCCTTTTTTAGCACTCTGTTTATCACAGGCACCTAAGCACATGTAATAGTATTAGTTTCAGACTTTCAGATATTAGCAGATATACAGATATTTGGAAGGTTTTTTCGAAAAAAGAACTATCTTAGACTGTCAAACTTCCTGCCGATAATGGGATGATTTGGCCTGTCGGACAAATCTATAGAACGACCTCAAAACACATCTTCCAATTCCATGTTATGACCGAAAGGTCATCCGGCCATCTGCAACCTTTTTCAGCTCGTTTGCTGGTTTCCTTTCTGGTCGCTTTGGGCATTGTGGAATTCTTCCGACTTACACTATGGCTTCCGTTAACCAGCTTCTTGGGCCGCAGCTTTAGCGAATACAGTATTACAGGGTGTCACGTATGACGGTATGAGTAGAAAGTTAGTACTAGTAGATATGTCGGTTATAGAAAGTTTTTTTCGCATACCGGCGCTAGCTCGAGTATGTATTGTACAGCCATGGTCTGATTCGTTTACGTAGCTAACTGAGAGCGGGCGGGGTGGATGCCTGCATAAGAATTAATAATAAAATATGTAAAAAAATTGAGTTCACATATAAATTATCATTTATTAAAAATGGGTTATAATAAATGTAGGTGGAAGGGGGGGGGGCTTTAACGTACGGTTTCCTTTCTTTTTCTCTTATTATACTGTAATGATCGACGGGAAAAGTTTTCATAAGGCTCTGTAAAGAGAATACAGATAGAGAAATTATTGAAATACTCTGCGAGAACAGTTACTTCATGTTCCGGAAAACGCAAAATACACATTTTCGCTTGCGCTTGCACGCAAAATTAAAGTAAAAACTGTAATATCTTTTGTTCCAATCACTCATTGATTTACGCCAAATTAAAGAGGTATACGGATGTAGAGTAGAGTATTGATACCTGAGAGTTGAGATTAACGACTAATATAACAAAACCTATTTACTTAATTTGCATTCCGTGTAATGCATCGGTAAAAACAAAGAAAAGTCCTAGTTGTTCAATTATTGTAATACTGTTTTGACGGTACCTCGTTCGGTAATCATATTGCATTGATAAAAATGATTTGTGGCCACCTGTTACTTACGTCTTGTTCTCGATCTACTGCAACCGTTTGCGTTACGTTCTTAAAACATTTGACAAAGGGCACTTGTCACCTTCTGCGTTCGATGCCGTTATTCAATGGCAGCAGCGTTACATGGAATGTCGCGCATACATTAGAGGTGCAAACAGTGTTTTTTCTAAAAAAATAACCGAAGCTGCATATGTTTCACGTTCTTATTAGCAACGACGCTGACATTGACGCTTCCGGCCAGTTGAAGTAACAGTGGCTACCGCGATATATTAATGCGCTTACATAAGGGGCACTGTACGAAAGCGAAAGTGTCCGTGAACAAAGGAATGCACGAGGTTAATCGATACTTCACCAATTCCGTACGCTGTGGAAATAATTATTACGATTCTTCGCAGTCAATGCACAACGATGACTTAATAAGCAGTGTGTTAAGGTGTTTTACACTTTATCATCCAAAAACACCAAGTATAAAACTAAAGAAACGATCGAACCAGGAAATCATAACAACACGCTTCGTTTGTTCTTTTCTTTTCCTCATTTTTAAGTATTAGATCGTCAGCTCGAGAAGAATGAGGAATATCATTGTTGCGACCTTCGCTGCACTGATCGCAACCGGTAAGACGATAGCGGACATACGAGTAATATACCGGCAACACTAGCACTGACCGATAACCCGAATAACATGTTTTATTTCTTTTGTTACGACAATATTTTTACGACATTTAAGATATTTTTTTAACCAAAAATTAGCGGTATCAGATCAATTTATCCGAACATCCAGTTCTGTCTTGTAAAATTGCGTTCTGATAAACTGAAGTACGCGTATTTTGTTAACGTTAAATTGGCATGCCGTACAGTTTTGCGAAAGCGAAAATTAACAGGTTGCTGCTAGCGCTGTCGGTTGCATTAACAGCATTCTGAAATCAAATATCCTTTGCTGCATTTTTTTAAAGTTTAATTTGATCTTGTATTTCATTTAATGGATGTAAAAGCTAAATTGTGTATAGCAACGGGGAAACAGGTGCTAATTTTGCATTAATGTGTAAACCTTGCAATTGGTAACAACAGCAATGACCTTTTTGTTAAGGGCCCGCACTGGCCTCCTATGGCGGCGGTGGCGGCGGTTACAGCGGCGGCGGTTACAGCGGCGGTGGCGGCGGCGGCGGCGGCGGCGGCGGCGGTGGCTTCCCTCTTGGCATCTGGGCCAACTACAATCTGAACAACATGGTGCGAGCCATCTATTCCGACGATGATAACAGCGTTAGCGGCGGCGGTGGCGGATACGGTTCCTCGAGCGGCGGCTACGGTTCCTCGAGCGGCGGTTACGGTAACTCCATGAGCTCCATGTACGGCAGCGGCATGGGCTCCAACACCGCCTTCAACCTGGGCTACGACAATGCTCTGTACCAGTTCTATGGTGTCCCGTCCAGCAACGGTTTGCCGCTGTCGTGGTTGAGCGGCGGTAACAGTGGATCGAGCTACGGCAGTAACAGCAACAGCTACGGCAGCTCCAGCGGTGGGCGTTATAAGCGCCAGGCTAACCGTGGCCGTGGACGCGGTCGCGGCCGTGGTGTCCGCCGCAACCGCCCGCTGCGACGGGTGCAGCGTTCCAGGATTAACCGCAATCGCGGCCGACCCCTGCGCATGCGCGGAATGCGCAACCGTAACCGTGGAATGAGAATGTAAATTTTTGTGTCGTAACTTTTTTATAACGTTCCCGATCAGGAAAGGTCATACATTGTGATCATTTCATCCACAGACGAAGCTCCTAATTTATACATTTTTTTAAAGATGCACCATTGATATGTTTATACGAAATTCGTGAACCGTACTATCGATACTGGAAACCGGAAGCGAGAAAACATACCCCAATTTATCTAAGCAAGTTTCAAAGTAGATTAGCCATATTTGCGCGCAAGGTGACTCTCAAAAAAGGTTGCGCGGTTATGTACGCTAACAAATCGAATAAACACATTCGAACCAAAGTATCAAAAATCGTACCGTCACATTAAAATCAACTGCTGCTATGGAACTTCCCAATATCACAAAATGATAACAGATATTATTTCCGCCAACATCAAACAACATTTTCTGAACAACCAGATTCTATTTGTTATTTATAAATTTATATATAGCTGCATTACGTCTATAAATTATCGAACCATATAAGAAGCATTTGAATAGAAAATTTAAGTATTAAAATGCGGCAGGTCAGTAATACTCGAGAGACTATCTGTATAAAAACAGATCAAAATGTTTCATCATCATGGTCATGCAACATGTACAATGAAGAGCATTTGACGCCGCTGTCAGGTGACGACCCGGAATGGTGTTCGTTTGATCCGCTACTGTTACTGGAGGAGGACTTTAGAGTCATGGCGGTTTTGGGTAACAGCGGAGGAGCAGTGAGATTAGGCATATTCGGCCCCAGCAGCTGTGCAATTTCCGTCTCGGCCAGCAAGTCCGAAGTGTCTTTTCCGGCACTATTCGAACTTCCATGGGGGGCCAATAAACTTTCAATAACATCGAGAAGCAGTGCGTTCTGTCTCAGTAATTCATCGATTCGATTCTGCAATGAAAACTCATTTAAATGATATATGTGCCGTGTTATTAATCGAAAAAACATTTCAAGATCCTTAATAAACAAATCGCTGCTAGCATCAAGCGTCTTTCGAACAATACATGGTCGGGGAGCAAATACTTATGCAAAACGCTTTATAGAGCAACAGTAAATGTATACATGCGCAAATGTAAAATATTCGGTTCTGAAAAATTTTGAGCACGTAACAAGTCTTTTTAGTTTTCTCGACATCACGAATTTACAAAATCAGTCCATAGAAGTGTATGATACCGGTGAATGCATAATTATTCATATTGCGCAACAAATACGCGTATATTATTATAGCATCAAAAGGGAAATCAGGATTTGTGTAATCGTAGTTCATGAAATTCTACCGAGAGCGTTTCGAATTCTGTCCTAAACGATACCAGTGCTTGAATTGTGTACGCAAAACTGCTAAAACGTAAAAACCTGATGCAAAAATTACCTGTGCATCAATTCGCGCCGCCGTTTCGGATGCCAGCTGACTTTTTAAGAAATTTATCTGAGATTTAGCCACCCGGCCTTTCTGCAGCTCATGTTCCAGACGGACTTGTACGACGGATACCGGCGAATGTGCCGTCTGCCCGTTGGCATCAGCCGCTGACGCTGTCACTGATGATCCAGCTGGGAGAACGATTTCTGAGACGGAAGTGGGCAAGCGGAAATGGGAGTCGTATGGACTCGACTGGACGGCACCCGCCAAATTGCTACCCACCGTGTCGTTGCCTGAACTAGTGCCTGCAAAGACAGCGAGGTTCAACTGGAGAACGGTAATGAGCAGTTTCGTTAGCTCGGCGTAGAACGACGCCTGGCCAGCGCTACAGCGACATACTATGCTTTTCAATTATTTTTCATCAGAGCACCGTCACCTTGCCAGTGCTTTTCTATTGTTGTATTCTTTTCGTTTAGCATGCAATAACGCCGGCACCATGTTATGTGTACTGACGGACCTGATAATGCCAAGGATAATCGCTGAGCATTCAAGTGCTTGTAGTTATGACCCATTTCCGATACACTTTTCTTCATCGGAGCGAAATGCCCATCGACACCGTTGATGTATTTGCCGCATCCTTCGGCTCCGCGGTTGGTTTCGGCGACTGACAAGAACGATGGCGGATGACCAATGGTGTGCGAATGGGGAATCTGCAGCGTGCCGCCACCGGAAGTGTCGCCCAAGAGACTACGCCGTTCACTGCGACTGGGAGAGCAATCAACACTATTGGGTTTAGATAACTGCTGTTTCTTTTGCTGTTGCTGCAGCTGATGGCACACTTCGAAGGCTTGGCCAATTGTCTTCACAATTTGTACCGCTTCAGCCTATTCACAGAAAATTTTCTTATTCCAAAAATGTTCGTTGTTTGCTTTTTAGGCCGGTTTGTCGTGGAGTAGGCGAATATTTATTGATAATAATTCAGATCACAGCGACTGTTAAAAAGTGATAACAATTAAGTATATTTCTGCTTAATAATGTTCATATAAAATCTTGTCAATGTTAACGGCTGAAATATATCAGTATGTCACTGGATGTGCATGAAGCTGTGGAAACAGCGCCGAATTGGGTAGAATTCTCTTTGCCTGTTTTTGAAGACAAAGTGCACTTGCCTTTTTATAAGCTTTGAACACAATGCACCGCAAATGATCGTTCTGATTTTCCCGGGCAATATAGCTGAATACATTGAGATCCTGAGAGTCGTGTGAGACATAAAAAATCCTGGAAAAACAAAACCATGAGCCTCGGATTAAGCACTCTGAATCGACGATGCCTACAGACGATCAATGTAGGGCCGGCACAGTAGCAGGGCTGAAACTGTGCAAAAGAGCACCAACGTAAACGTTCGACGATCAGGTTTCAAATACAAAACCAAAAGAGATTAACGCTTGATCTTTCCCCATTTTAAAACTGTCAAAGAACGACCTGAATAAAATCTGTATATTGAAAAGAAGAAAGAAGTAATATCTTAAAAGGTTAAGCTATATTTAAAACCGATAAATCACACGAAAGCAACCAATGTAATTTGATCGCAGAATACAAATTTTAATGCGGATGAAGCTATATACGGTTATGTGAAATGTAATTGAAAAAATATCCATCACATATTTGTACAGATAACTTTTTTCATCAGCAAACATCTGCACAACACGTCATAGATATAATCTATGAATATGAGCGCAGCGAATTAAATAGCAAAACGCGCTTCCGGAAGGCGATACCTGTGAATAGGATGATGAAGGATCGTCTTCTCGTCATTGTCAAAGGCCACCAAGTTATCCAACTTATCATATTCCACCCGGCCGAATCCCAGGCGATGCTGGCCGTTATTCTGGCTACAGACACGCACACCCTCCACACTGACTTTTATGTCCACTTTCCGCTTGCCAGTGCCCTTGGTCTTGTGCTCGAACTATGCAATTAAAATGATTATTTTCATTAAATCGCGGCAGCAGTGCGTGATTTGCCGGGGGGATGTGGTTGTTTCATCCAGAAATTGCACTTGCGTGTGTATGTTGATTTTTTATTACGCTTTACTGTAATGCGATTGTGCTGCAGAGTGTATACGCACCCGGACGCGGCGCATGGCGGCCACGATTTCCAATCGAGTTTGTGGCCGCGGAATATCCATCACACCAACCAACTGCAAATCACAATGGAAGCATTTCTTTCGACCACACAGAGAATGTTTACTTTTCCACTCTGCAAATTTGGTTTGCCATATGCAATGCAAACGGGGATACTGCCGCTTTTAATTTCTTCTAAAGGAAATTTGCGGTTTTTTTCACTTCAGAAGGCGAAAAACTAAAACAAATTATTTATAGATTTCCACTAGAATTCTACAATCGACAGGAAACTTTCACATATTTCATAAACTTATTATTAGTACTGAAGGCTTTAAAACAGATAAAAAGCTAAGCCTATGAAATAATTGCGCCGTATTTCGTATGAATATTTCACTCGATGCCGATGGGCTGATAATTTCGATAGAAGTTTTCATTAGCAATAAGCGATTCTAGCTGTACTTAACAATCTCCGTAAGTGGCGAGAAAGAAAGATATCCGAGTCGGTAAAATATTTGCAGTTGATTGCACAAAGTGCAAATAAACTGGTAAAGTAAAATCACTTTCCGGTGCGTAAAGCGGAAGACAAATCATCGACCGTATTTGACCGAACTTTCATGAAAAAGCCATATATAATGCATTTTCCCTGTTTAAGTTTGCGTACACATAACTGTATTATGCATATTGAAAAACAGCACTACGCATCAAACAAAATTAATAGTTGTCTCCATGAAAAGGTGAAAAACCAACCCTCCGACGAAAGGAGTACGCCGTACGATAAAGAGCAAAATTTAATGGCACTCGATTTTCATGGAAACTTCTATAAAGAAAGTGGAATTCTGAATTACTTCATTTTGCATACTCAACTTTTTAAAAATTAAAAATTATGTGTTTCATTTGTAATATTTTTCCAGACTTGTAAATTTGTTTTTCAAGTTACTGAAGCGGAATCTTAGCTTGTTGTAATATGTCTTAAAGAATTATAGTATAAGAGTAAATTTAAGTAATTATCGAATGGCAAAATATAAGATACATATATAAATATATGGAGCTATACGATTTATTGTACTGTATCTGTATGTGCGTACCCTGTAGAGGTAACAGAGCTGGCATATAGTATATAATTACCTTTGCCTCAAAATTAATGCCGGTATGGAAAGCTTCGTCGGGGTAAATAACCGTATCATCCACATCACGTTTAGCATTTGCGGGCACATTTGAGTGTTTCAACGACGGAAAAAACCTCCCCATCAGCCTCTTACTCCCAAACCTTGCCGACATGCGTCCACGATTGGCAATCAACGGTGGTGATTCCATTTCCGCGTACAAATTGCACTTCCCTCTTTAAATAAATCCTGTTCCGGGTTGCAATCTGCAAAATTTATTGCAAAATGATTTTTTCATCTGATTTCGGTATTCGATAAACTGGCTTGTAATGGAATTTTCTGAGCGGCAACTGATAAGATGCACCAAGTGACAGTGTAGCGCGGGGTTAATCAACCGGCAAATCTCCGCCACTATCTCAACGCCCGAATGGAAATCGATGCTCAAAAAGAAGTGACTTTTATTGCATCAAAAGAGAGCTTAATTTGTAATGAAGACAAGCAAAAGTTACACTCTCCCTGTCCGGACGAGTCAGAAACCCAGTGGGTGGAGCAGCCTGGGAATCAATCGGATGCCAGCGCACCGGAAGCGCGCCCAGATAGTGCCCGGCGGATAATGCGTACGCCGGGTGAGCATGCGCCACGCCGAATAATAATCATATTTTTCTAGCTAGCATCTTAAAAAGTGCTTGCAGATAACTTGTGCATTTGTCAGCTGACATGTAAATTGGACGCTGAATACAATCACAAGAATCAGCGTTAAGAGGGTCCTTTCTGCTTCATCTACATACTTAACGACGTGATGATGAAAAAAATTACTAAATGATTGGCTTGATGGGATTTTAACGCACACATTCACACTGTAGGCAGAATAAACAGGCTAATATGCAAGTTGCAGCCTATTGTACTTCCCAAGGAGCAGGATTTCAGGCCTGTATGGTACTTCCGGTGATGAACCATATCAAAACTTTATTCGCATACTGCAAGGGATAACGCATGCCAGCAGCAAATCTTTGATGCAAAACAGCTCCTTCCAGTAACAGTGTTGTAGCAAACAAAATTCATCAGTACATTACAACAAACATAATTTTTGTAGATTTCAAAATCAATTGTTAAAAATGATAAAAAATTAGTTCGCCGTTCCATTAATACCGGGATTCTTATTGTTAGTATGAGTAAAAGAATTTATGGACAGACAGTCTCTGGGCCATCTTTTTACGAGTAAACTAACTTGTAGATGAGGAAGCAAAGCAAGTACTGCATGAACAAATTCGTTCATAAAGCAATATCTGGCTCCATACGAGTTTCGCATTCGGAGCAGAGTTAATTACTGTGGTTCGTTATAACAAATACAATTGACAAGGTATGAATTGCAAGTCAACACATATGCCGCTGTATACGATTAACCAAAGCATGTGTAAACAGCTGGCACACCATGCGATAACCCAAAAATGTCACAGCTTCTCAAATCTCCACGTCTGTCATCCCATTATTATCTTGTCACTATTTCGCTTTCATACAGCTGTATAACTATTAACAACAGAGTACATGGTTTAAAAAACCAGAACCTACTAAACGCAATTGTTTTCAAGGTTGGGATACGGACGCTACATGTCAGCCCATTATTACTTGTAAGTTCCAATTGCTTTTAGGAGAAGGTGTTGATCGAAAAAAGGTGGTACAGTTCGATAATTTGAAAATGTGATTGCATTAAAACCGATGGGTCAGAAAGCTACGTATCTCGCTGGTCAGTTCGATCGAGCCATCAAAATTTTGGAACAAACCGCTAACCTTAATTTACAAGTTCCGTGCAATACTTATTAAAAACTGCTAGCACATATTTATAATTATGACGATTGTACATACCTTATTGGTACTGCCGTACAGCAAGTGGCGCTAATCCAGCCGGAAGTTAGGAAACAGGGATCATAACAAAAACTTCCTTATCCGGATGGGTACCAAAAAGTATTTTTACCGTACTTAACGATCGCTAACCATACGAATTTCTGGTAATTTCACGCATGACGGGACAAAACTACCGCGTCCAGAAGTGGCAACTGGCAAGCTTTTAATAGCGTATGCTTAACAGTATACCTCGAGTTGAACAAGTGAACTCAACAAAAACGACGTGGTCAAGAACAGCAAGCTCGGCACGTTTTCCAAACAACAGCGCTTCCACGTTTGTTCCTCAAAGGGGTTCTTGACGATAATAGTGCAGAATGGAGAAAGTGTTGAGCAATTAAAGACAGACTGCTAATATGATGGGCTGTTTTGAATGACAGTAGATTGAGTAGAAGTAGTAGTTTAACGGCATACAGAGAGGAGAAAAGCAGCAGTATTCGTATCGGCTGATCGCTATTGCGCCATCGCTGCCCCATCCATATCATTATTTGATCCGTTATAAACGAAGAGCAGACCATTGCATCATAATGATCATATGCAACTATTCGGTATACGCATCTTGTATTGTACGCCGTACATCTTTACGCATAACAAATAAACCAGGGTTTTGCGCTAAATTTCCTCCATTCTCTCGACCTCAGGATTCAGACTTACTGCATGGCATTTACAGCGAGATATTTGTTCAGATGCTCAGTCTTCTGTACGCCGTGCGGGAGTCTGAGATTGAGCGGGAACAGGCAGCGCGATGACGAAACTGTACGCTCCACAGGCATCCGACTGAACCGAGTGTGGAGTTACATGCCCGAAACGTAAAACGTCCTCCTGGGATTCGGCGTAATGCACGTTTCTGTGACGATTTTGTCAGTCGGTTGGAGAATGATAGCCCGGCAGTTTCCCTTGGACGATGGTGTACAGCGCACATATGTGTAGTTTTTATATCCCTTTGTGACCGTGAATGTGCTCATAAAAGTTAAGAAATTTCTTTTGTGTGACAAGTATATTCCTAATGTCATGGTCAGCGTTGCCTCACAGTTGGGAAAGTAAGTCCCTAGCGAGGATATCGTCGATTTGTGTTGTACCATGCAAAGGGCCACTTGGAGTCCTTGGGATTTGTACGAATAATAATAATATTAGTAATAGTGTTTGCACTTGATCGCAAAAGACCCAAATAAATCATTATTATTTATAATATTACAGTGAATTCACGAATACAGTAAGTATTAAAGTGAAAGTGGATCTGTGGAGATGTAAGAGTGTGTTTCATAACTTCGTACCATATAAAAACCTTTTTTATTAATAGTGTTTGTGTTGTACGAGTATTATTTCGATTATTGGATATAAAACGATAAACCGGAAGCGTGAAGGATGAGAACACTATCTGTACTGGCCAGTGGCCATCACAGTGGCGACTAGCGACAATCCATGCATTGCAGTAGATTCTTTAAATTTAATTGCACGAGGTGTATGGTCATGCGTATTAGTTCTAATAATGCACTTTTCATACAAAATCATGCTTCCCCGATAGTAAAGATCGAAGCTTAAATGACATGCTTACAAAATTAATGGCTCAGTTAAAAGAAGTGAAAGGAACAGGCTGAGCATTACGTACCGGTTTTGCTTATGCTTATGGAACTTCCATGGTTGCACGCAACCGCTCACCTGAACCAATTTAAACATTCATACCGTGTCGATGTCACTGTCAGTCCCGACTACTGCGAATGCAGAACAAATTTATATTTATGTACACTCTGCGAGTATGAATAAACGATTTTACTCTGTCATAAATATGCAATAAGGAATAATTCAAAATAACACTGAATTCAAAATAAATTTTGCTTGTAAAAATTTAATATTATGGTTAGGAATAAGGTTAAGATACGTAGCTCGTATTTGTTGAAGACGAATCCGCTGTTGGGCTTTGGCACCGTTTGCACTTTGCAGTCTACTAATTGTTTAAATAAAGAGTGCCGATACTCTCACATGTAGTAATACGATAGCAATTACAAAAAAATATTACATATTACTCGAAATCACGGTTTCACCGGCGCGTCGAAACTGCATTCGTCATATATCGACTCGTACAAATTCCTGGACAGATTTTAATTAACACCGCGAAATGGCCATTTCCACAACGAACAGTACAGTAATGATTGCTAATAAAGATGAGCGCCTGAAATTAAATGTCCATTTGAGCCACTTGGTTTGCAGCGCCAAAACATAATCTCAGCGTGAAGACTTCCACTCGACGCCGGTGAATAAGCTCTTCCATATCCGCCGCACAGCGACACTAACCATGTAATTGTCTCCACATGCATCAAAATCGATGCCCCTGTTATCTTTACGTCGTTCTATTCCTTTTCTTAAAATGCAATTCTCTCAAGAATTCTTTAAAACTGATTGTAAGAATGCTGCCGATGCTTGTGCCAGCGATATTTTTATTACTGACAAAAAAGCTGTTCTGTCATACACCGTTTAATTATTGTTCACTTGTTTTGCTGTTTCCAAGCACTGAACAGCGGATATAAAAAACGCATAATATTGTTCATTATAAAAAAGGAGCGAAAAGAAAACAATGTGCAGTCGATCATAAAGTACTTACATCCATAAACTAAATTATCATAAATCAATGGATTCCAAGTCCTTATAAATTATTACTAAATTAACACTTCCGGCCAATTATCCTTTCACTGTAAAAAATTTCCATATATAACGACACTGACGCAGATCAGGTTTTCGGCAACAGAATGGAATGCACATAATTTCGAAGAATAATCAATATTTCGGCCACCAAAACTCACAATCACACTGCCTGCTCCGCGAGCTCAATATTCATATTAATATTGTAAACCAAGCAAAAAAAGTACAAATTACAAACTCTAACAAGCGCGGCAACCATGTGCGTAACAGGAAAAGATTCGTATAAATTGTCTCAAAATGAAATGAGCAACAATGAATAACAACGAGGTAAAACGGCAAAACAACATAAAATTTAAATATATTAAAACACCGACAGTAGGACACTAAATTACCGATCAGCAACAGCACTGCCTACTGCGCCCTAAACATTACAACCGGGCTCCACCGCGGCATCGTAAAGCCGGAAATGGATCATTGCAGAAGTTCTCACGAAGGTACGCGTACCAACGCACCGTAAACAATGCAGGTGACAATTACGACAATCCCCAGAACGGCCAGGATTATGTAAGACGTTTGCTGTGAAGACAAATTAATACAGATGCAATTCTACATGTTGCGTACAGTACAAATGCTTTTCTTCAAATTTATCATATGTTCGACACATGATACCATGGTGTTATGCAGAAAGCTGCGATAAACTAAATAACTCTACAAAACTACAAACACCTGATCTACAAAACTCCTGATCTACAAAAGTGAAAGTCAGGGACATCAAATCCAAATATTTGTACGGTTAGAAATTAATTCAAATTATCAATTAGGATAAGGTCTATACGAGCACCCTATATCCATATATGTTTTATGCAAATTTCAAACGGTACGGTAGTCGGATGGGTTACCTTGACAGATTCGCCAAAATTTCGCTTTTTCTCTATTTGGCGCTGATGCTGTTTAACGTCTTTCTGAACGACTTTACGGTCGTGATGTCCTGAAACGAAAAACTCATAATCAACATGCAACCTTAATTCGAAATAACACAACACAACCAACCATGCAAATTCGTAATTATTTTTTGCCTGTACGCAGAGTGAATACATTCCGGTAGTGAATATTGCATTTTAATGATTTTATAAAAGTTTAACAAATTCTCCTGTAGTAGGTTAGTTTACTTAGTTAGTACTTAGTACAGAAGTATCAGACCACGACATTATCCCCACAGGAGAATTCGTCAAACTTCATGTGCAGTACCTTAAAATGCAAAAAATATTTCAAAAAGCCGGCAATGCAATATAAATGCATTGTATTTTTGCTTAGGTCAAAAAATATGACCGAATAGCATGGCAACAAATAAATACTTTTTCTGTTTCAGAAGGTGTAGTTTGTACCTATAGAAAAACGGGGTGCGAAAGGGGGTGCCTAACTGCCTATAGTTAACGGGGCTACGGGAGTGAAAGGGTTTCACCCATATTATTAATTATCTATGGACGGTTACGGTTAGTTCGCGTGTCGAAACGAACGTGTTCGTGTGAAACGAAGCAGCGCTTTCCTTTTTATCAGGAAGTTTTCCTTACCAATTTTCCGCCTATAATCGTCCACTGGGGCGCCTTTAAAATTTTTCGCGTCCCGCGCCATTCCTTTGAAAACAATACTGATTCCGGATTAGTGTTCTGCAACATAAATTTTTACATAATACGTATAAGCGATTTACCACGATGTGCCTTCTAAGTTGCAGTGGCTTTATCCAGTCAACAGTTTACACCACCGAAATGCATTTAAGGATTGCGATTACGGCTGAATAGTGAACACCGGCAGTGTTTTTTCCGAACACTGTTTCACAGCAGATAGGTACATCTTTTTAAGAACGTCGAACGATCTTTGAAGTCTCGAATGTATGAAGTAATTAGTTATTAGTAATTCAGTTTAACAGATTTACTAACCTGTGTTCTGCTTCAATTTGCATCAGTTTTTCAGCCCTGCAGAAGTGCAGATTACAAAAATTATGGTTGAACAAACATCACTAAAGCTTAAAACCAACAGCAATTATTCTGTAAACATAAAAATGATAAAACTAACAGGTAAACGGCACGAAAACCACAAAACTAATTAAACCGTAAAAACTAAAAAGAGGGTGCGAAACTGCGAAACTTGCGAAGCAAAACTGAAAACTGAAATAAAAAGGGAGATCGAGCCGCACAGTTAAAAACGGCAGTAATAACGAATCAGCTGTTTAGCTCATTAACCTAAAACTGAAGCAAAAGTTTTAAACAATACAATGAATAGACGGAAAACAAAAACAAAAACCAAAACAGAAGTTATGCATAAAAAAATAAAAAATAGAAAATCCCTGGATCTGCCACGCTCTACTGAAAAGTCTGAAACCACTGTAATAATTGGCTGGTCTTAGCTCCTCCCATCACAGCGCTATATGAAGGAAGCCGCCGCTCGATGCAGTTTACAGTTTACACATGAGAGCTTCTGTTTGCGAGAAAGTTTGAAGTTCAGTCTTTCACGTTTTCGCTTTTATTGAGATTTTTAACTTTTGTCAAACAAGACGAGTATTCATAGTGATACTGGTAAAATTTTGAATTAAAAAAAGACTTTGTAAATCTGGCACACGACATTACCTCTATTGAAGTTTGTTATCTTCTGCGCAAGAAACATGGATCGAAGGGAAGAACAACAAATAGAAATTGACAGCCTATTGTCGATTTACCCTGACGAGCTGACAGGTTCGTGTGCGCTGGTGTTACTTATCTTTGCAGGCTTACTTATCTTGACGGCTTTTCGGAATTTTTCTGGATTTTGTGGGTTTCACGCTTAATGAAAGCTAGCCCAGTTCGCTTAACAACCTATGACGAAGTTTTTTGACAGTTCTCACTTCCGAAAACTCCGATCCGGAAATCCCAGAAATCGCGGTGGATCCCGGTGATGAAAGAATTCAGTTTACATTAAAGATTTCGTCGTCTGAAGCAGCGGTGGGAAATTCAGGTTTGAAACTACACTGATCTGATAATACTGATTGCAGAATCTGATTTAAACTTCCGTGATCTAGCGGTGTCACATTAACATCTGTTTTCTCACATTTTCTGATTTTCTCCATTTATTTGTGTTGTTGGTAACATACATACAAACACCGTTAGTGAACGATTGCGGATTCGTTTCCGGCGATGATATGCACATTGCACAGTACGAATCACCACGAGAGTTGAGCTTTAATGCGTTTACTAAACTTTTGGTAGAACTTACGAGAAGTACAGTATTTCATGCTTTTTTAAATGTTTTACTAGTTATTAGTAACCAGTTCAATATTGGTACTGTGGTAACTTCCGGTCGCCGGTGTAATAAAAAATCACGTTTTTATTTTTTGATATTTTTGAAAAACATAAAACGAATTTGGAAAGTTCTTACTAGCATGATAACTGATTCCTCTAGCTGGATCTGTGATAACTACGCTGTGGAAGTTCGTTTTTCCGGATGAGTATCCAGATGTTGCGCCTGAAATACGCTTGATCGATCCTGGAGAAATGCCGCCGGATTCCAAGGACGAACTTTCTAAAGTCGCTGATGCAGCAGTGCGTTTATTCAGTTTCATTTTTCGACATGCCATCACCTTCTGCGACGGATTACTTACCATCACTAATCGCTGACCGAATTCTTCCAGGCACAAGAGAGCATCGGTATGGCATCGGTTTTTACCGTTGTTTCTGCCGTACAGGATTACCTTAACAAGCATGCTGAAGATTGCCTGAATCGTTTTAAAGAGATGTCTTTGCGGGCCAAGCGGGAAGAAGAAGAGGAAGAAAGGGTACGCGGATAAGTTCTGCTATGGTTATTGCTGCTTACGGCTACGGCTTGTTATGGATAAAAACTTTATTAACTTTCCTCATGGCATAATTCGAGCTACAAATTTATCATAAGAGGATTACATTGCCGCCGTAGCAGTACTACTCTAGTATCTAATTATACGTTTGCGGTTTAAAAATTTATTGCTGTCTTTTATTTCAACAGCGGAAAATTGAAGGAACTAGAGTCAATGTGGAGAGTTTTATTGTATGGAAGGCTAAGTTTGATGCCGAACGTACAAAGAAAACAAAAACTCCGGAAACGACGGCAGTGAAACGCTTAACCGGTATTTACAAAAATGAGTATAACATTAACTCGAATTCGTTTATTTACGAGTCACTTGTTTATTTCTCTTGTAATATACACTTGTTTTTCTTTTGCTTATCAAAGGTCGCCAGATGTTCGAACAAAACACTAATCTGGATAGTTCCGATCAGCAGCTAATGGAAGAAGGTAGCCTTAATTTTAATTCGACTGTTGGTTTGACAGTTGTGAGTTTGCCCCTTGTCTCTTTGTCTGTTGTGAATTTGAAACCAAATTTTGTTATTATTCAAGGACAGTATTTGGTTTATGCTTGTTTAATGTTATTATGCGTATTATGGAGGAGCTTGTCTTTGCATTGTTCCGCCAGCTGCGTTTTTACGAATTTTTTTTTGTCTAGGAGAAGAGTGTGCGGATATTGATGAACGAGAAGAGACTGGACAAGGGGATGATGATTTCGACCGAGAATTATTCGAACAAGAACTACTTAATGAGGAAAACGATAATTAACAATTTTGTCGTTTTTAGCGGTTTTCTCTGCTTTACTTTTGATACGCTTTTCTACAGTTTACTTATGACGTAAACATCATTGCTACTTACTTTTACTGGTACTGTAGAGATGCCGGTATTATAGTGTAGCCTTTTAGATACTATTAAAATTTAGAATAATAAAATATATTTTATGAATAAATATATTTTATGTGTTTTTAGTTTTGGACTGCAGTTACTTACGTTCGTTCTTGTGGCGGAGTCGCACTATGTCTACGGCATTTGTAGTACACATAGAAATACTTCTATGTATCTGTAAACTCGTATTATTAAACAGTAAGAAAGATAGAAAATACTTCAAATAATACGAAGTATATGTATACGAGAGCTTGCCACAAGGAGCTTGATGGAAGTACGCAATACGCATACTCTTGGCTCTACTTCTTGAAGGTCCCGAGTTTGGGAACGTTAATATTATTTTGTTTTTTTGTATGATTATTGATGTGTGCACAAACCACCAAAGTGCAAAACGTTTGTCCTGCATTCATCTCATTTCCTCGTGCTGAGCTGTTTGAACATCAGCTGATCCAACCGATACCTCTCGAATATCGTTTCAGCAGTACGATCCCTGTTATAATACTCTCGTTATGCGTCTACAGACAATGAAACACTGGGAAATAACCTACCGCTTCAGTTTTTCCTCTCCTCTGCTTCGCGACTGTTTATTTCCTTACGAGTTTGTTGAACCTGGGGTTGTGAGTGGTAGCGCCGAAGCCAGAGTGGTGCACCGTTTTTTACTTTGTTTTACACGAATTTCTGAATTGAATTTGGACACTTTTTGTTTTATTTTCCAAGGCTCGTTTTTTAGGATTAAAATTGTGAATACTTTTTTAATTTTTTTAGGTTTTACATCATCACTAATTTTGATTCGACCAGATCTGGAAAGGTAAGAAAGCAACAGAGACTACGAGTCAACCGCCTTTGCCCAATCCTTGCAGAGACAATCACCATGCACTCTTTAGTCTTTTAGTTCATTTGTTGCACCGTTTCTCGCAGCAACGTTTTTTTCTCCTGAATTTTATTCGTATTAATACTTTGTATTTCCCTGATGTCGATGTCGTTCAGTTTTGGGTGGCTTTTGTAGGTTCATTTTTATGATGTAAGAGCGTATTTCGGACTGCTGTGTCGTATACACGGTACGCTTCTGCTTGTTATAATCGTGTTTTGGCTTCACTCGGAACTTGACGTGTAGATTGTTGCGGTAAATGCGTACGGCAGTACAGGCTGTCGATGTTGTCAGCCAGTTTGTTTTTAGTTACGATAAGTTATTACTTATTCGTTTCTTAATTTTTCAGTTTATATTTTACATTTTAGGTTTTCGATCTGAATTTGCCAACTTCAGGTTAGGAACTAGGAAGATTTTGTTTTTTCATTATCTTTGTAGTAATGTACCCAACCGGGTCTTCCATTCAGCCAGTTAGTAATAGTATGGAACAGCGCCTTGCCGAAATGTATCCCTGGGTGAACCAGCAGGAAACTCCGATTCCTGTGGGTTGGAGTACCAAAGACAGGCACACGTACATAACCATCGTCGGAGCCAATGGATTACGGTTGCAGTACAAGGGTATGTGAAAAAATGATGAAACGGCTTATGGTTTCAAAGCAGTTATGCAGTATTTTAAATCTTCTCACTGGCTGTACTGTGTACTTATTGTCACGCACGTGAAGCCTGATTTTTACTCTTTTGGTTTGTCTGCTATTGATCCTTACTTCATGATCATATTTATCAGGGTATTACATTTTGTAGTTTTTGATGAATCTAATTGTTTTCTTGTTACTTCGCTTGAGAAACATACGGTCGAAAATAATCAAAAGTCGCTTTATTTAAGCCTTTGGTGCTGCGACACGACAGGACGAATCGATATTGATTTCTTCCGTTGTTTGTCATCACTCACAGGTCCGGGAAAGTCACAAAAAGACGCTTCTGCTATCCGCGCCACTCACCCGATTCCCGCATCCTGTGGCCTGTTTTATTTCGAAGTGAAGGTGATCAGCAAGGGCAAAGAAGGCTATATTGGCGTGGGTTTGTGTTTGGAAGATGTTAATCTCAATCGTCTGCCCGGCTGGGATAAAGGCTCTTTTGGTTATCACGGCGATGATGGACACTCATTCTGGAGCTCCGGTACGGGACGCTCGTACGGACCCACGTTCACTACCAATGATGTCATTGGCTGCGGAGTGGATTTGGTGAACAATTCGTGCTTCTACACCAAGAACGGACTCATGCTGGGAGTGGCCTTTGAAAACTTGCCATCCAATTTGTACCCTTGTGTTGGACTACAGTCGGTGGGAGAAAACGTGGAGACGAATTTCGGTCAGACGGAATTTATGTTTGACTTGACGGATCTGCGGAAGGTACTGAATGTCAACCGTTTCTGATTAAGAACGGAATCTTTAGCTTTTTGCCTTAGAAATTTGGAGTGCTGGTGTATCACAGTTTTTCTTAAATCTTTCGTACTCGTAGTAATGGCTCATTTTAAACTTACTTTATCCATTCGAATATCACTGTATATTTCGTTGTAATTTGTTTGCAGGAACTGAGAAAACAGTCTCGCGATATGATCGCCAAATACCATCCTAAATTGACACGTGGTGAATGGGAACAGGCCATGCAGAGGTCGGTTGATGATGGTCTAATTTTTTTATGGTCGAAGCATGATGTTATAATTATTCTTATCTATCTGATTATATAAATGATCAGCACAGTACCATGCGTAATGCAATTTTGAAGACTGATTAAGAAATTACAGCAGATATTGGTGTATTTTCAGGATCGTTTCGGATTATCTGGTGCATAACGGGTATTATTCCGCCGCTGAATCCTTCGCCAAATCTACCGGTATCGAAATTAAGGAACAGATAACCTCCATGTCGAACCGGCAGACTATCCAAAAACTGATTCTGGATGGCAAGATCAGTGAGGCCATTGCCCTGACGCAGGATCTCTATCCCGGCCTGTTGGAAAAGAATCCCAATTTGCTCTTCCGATTGAAAGTTCGCCAGTTTATTGAAATGGTTACCGGATGCGATCCGGGGCATGCGTCTGATTCGGTGACGTCCACCCACAGCAGTGGACTGTCTAAATCCCTGCGGCACAGCCGGACACCCAGTCCCAATCCCCGAGACATCCATCGGAAGCACGATCACTCGAACGGATCTGTCAAGGAAGAGCGACCCAATGGCCTGGGGGTGGTGTACGATAATCTAATGGAGACAGAGATTGTTTCCGAAGATGGATCTTTGGACAATGATATGGATGTGGATTGTTTGACGAGCAATGGTTTGTACGGTGTTGTCATTAAGTGCAACCGCCATGAGCATTATGACATGTGCAATAATTCTCAGGGGCAAGTGATTACCATGTGAATGGTGCTACGCAAAGCAACGGTACGCCACAAGCCATGGATTTCGAAGACGAAGACGAGGAAAATCGCGTTCCTGTGGGTAATCCTATTCTCCTTACCAGGATCCTCACTTTCGGCAAGCAGCTGCAAGAATTCTACACTGATATGCGAATGGACCAAGGCAGAGACAGCGAAAACCAAAAATTACTATCGGTTAGCTTTAGCGCGTTTAAAATGGACAATGCGGACTTAGTTTAGCACATTGTTTATTCTGGGTTTTGTTGCACAGGATGCGTTTAGCTTTATCGCATACGAAGACCCATGGAAGTCACCTAATCGTCATATGTTGGAACAGCTGCAGAGGGAACCGGTTTGTGCCGCACTGAACAGCGCCATTTTAGGTACTGTACGTATGTGGTTAACAGTGAACACGGAAGCTTTTAATAGCGAATTGATTACGCAATGTCGCTAGCAGCTTGACTTACATTCATTCGCGCTCTAACTGCCGTTTGAACGGTGCGCTTAGTATGCAGTACAGTTTATTGTCAAGTGTTGCATGGTAAAATATTAGATACTTGCGTCGTGATGCCGTGCGTTGGAAACATACAGTATTGTAGATGCTACAAATTGTGAATTGTCGGCTTTGCTTTAGTAACTTGTTAATTTTGTTATAGTTTTGCTTTTGCGCGTAATACATTGAGCAGTATGTACCGATGAGGCCAAAAGGGCTCTAATTTGGTTGTTTTATGTTTTGAATCTTTATAGAAAACTTTTTTTCGTAGCTCGTGCGGTAAGCAGTAAGCAAGATGCAGAAGCTAATCAATAATTTCAATAGAATTATTGAAAATCTCAATAATTTAACGCTCAATTATGATCTCGAGAACAGACGCCTCATTGCCCCGCGGAATCTCCGGCGACAGGCGTTGAATTGTTTACGTTGCACTTTTTCGGAGTATATCTGTAAAAACGATGTTTTATAAAAAATAATGTTAGGTTATATTCAGCCATGCTTCTCAATACTGTTTGAAATAATGTGATGTTTTCCTCCAATCGAAACTTCCTTTTTTCGACAGGTGCTGATCGGCAGTCATCTCACCCTGCCTTGAAGATTATTGTTGCCCATTTGAAACGCCTGTTCCCGCTGATGGCCAAAAAGGGCAGCGGTGCTATTGCCTTTACCAATGTCTTTGAACTGCTGCGATCTCTAGAAACCCCACAGCCGGCTCTGACAGGCAGCGGTTCCGGACCTTCCGGTCGAAGTTATTCGAGTTATGCGTCAGCTAGATTGCTGCCCATGTCGACTGATGCCAACATCACTCTATGAGAAAAGCCGTGTAGAATGGTTCTAGCAAGTTCTTGATGGTTTTATTACATGTATGATCATTATCAGCCGGTTTATTACACGACAATTAGGCTCTGTATCATGGCGGTTATGGTAGGTGTTTAATGTCTGGATACGGGATTTCTTGTTTTTCTTTTTTATTTTTGATGGTTCTTTGTTTTTAAATGCTTGTGGATGTGATTGTGGAGTAACACGGCTTGGATCTGTTTTGTGGGTTGCTGGCAAGTGGCAACGGATATTGGAGTCAATGGAGTGGATGCAGATCTTGCGGTTATGAATAATATGAAAAGCATAAATCAACAGATGCCTGTTCAAATCGCATGAAATTTCTGATTAGACTTAGCACCAGCATAAAAGTACAGTACAGTATTAATTTTCCACCTTTGACATGGAACACAGTCACGACGTTTCCCTTTTACAACACTTTGGAGTCAGTTTGGACATATCCGAAATAAAGCAAAATCGGTTTACTCGGCAACACAAAACCATCGGTATTTTAAACAATCACAACAGAAACAGAAGAAAAGCTTAGTTCAGTTGAAACAATGCAAGTTTACTACGACTTCTGGTCAGCAGAAGCTTTAACAAGGTCGTTACGCTCAGTACTGTCGTCGTTTTCAGCATCGCCCAAATCATCGTCAGAATGATAAAAAGCTGTTTTTTATAGTCCACTGAATTAACTTTACGTGTCTTCTTCACATAATCCCAGGAAGCGCAGTCATTACCATGGTCTTTCACACTGATGCCGGTTTTCAGCAGATTATCACGCAGTTCATCGCAATACTTGAGAAGATTCCCACCCGAGATCTCGCCTTTTTTCCCCGTCGAGCCTCTCCCCGGACGGCACTGCGAAATCGTATTACATCGTCCATTAGCTTGGCCACATCAAGATCCAGTGCACTGCGAACGGATCCAAAGTCACTGGCTCCACCTGCATCCACAATCATGTTAAACAGATTGGCCCGGATCGGCATCGTAACACCGAGATTCAACAGGAACTTGTTCAGATAGTTGGCCACGGCGGGGACAGCGCCGGACAGTGGCATGGCTTTGTCCAGTCGAGAGATCTTTGGTCGTTCCGGGTTCAGTATTATCGGATAAACCTGATCCACCAATTCCGAGAGAGCCTGCATGGCTTCCGGTACGTCAAAATCGTTGAATAAATGGAAGGAAACTCTCTCTTGCACTTCCGTCAGCTTTGCAAACATGGCTCTATCATCAATTTCACCCACCAGATGATCGAATACGCCCAAATGGTAAAAATCAGCGTTATTCAGAAATGTCATCCAACGAGCATATGTGCTTATAGCCGCCTTCGTAGACTTCTCCGAAAACCGACAGTTTGATCTGGAATATACATTGCCAACCCAAAATGTAATTTCGAGAGGCCCACGTAAGCAATAAGCTTTATTAAGCGTTCGCTGTTTCTAATGGCGCAATTACAAACAAGAACAATTGACTAATTGCGATAGTGCACTGTAACAGCAAGAACTTTTACCGTTTTACGGTACTTACCTGTAATGATGCTGCATACAGAATATTCTGAAAGCCTGTGGGTCGTCGCTTGCCAAGAAGTCTTTAATGGTGACATAGTTCTTCAAACTTTTGGACATCTTCGTATCATCGTCTAAAACCACATGACCTGTGTGCATCCAGTGGCTAACCCAGCGATCCACATCATGGAACGCGCAGCACTGGATCTCCTCGTTTTCATGGTGAGGAAACGTAAGATCCATTCCTCCCGAATGAAGGTCAATCTACCAAAAAGTTCTTTAAGAATTTTTACCTCCACAAACGCACGATAGTTACTTAAGTGCTACTTTACAACGACTGAACAGTTAAAAAGAAAAACTGCAGTATGCAGTTATAAAAAAATTATGACCCAAGTTACGCCTTCTTTTGTTTTGAAGGAAGATTAGGACGATAGCGTGATAAGCAGGACTTAAAAACGAAAAGTATACGAATATAAAGTGATACAGTTCATAGAGCGATGCCGGTATAAATCCATGAAATGTTCCAAGTAAAGGGTAAATATTACCCTATGCACTACAAATGCACAGCGGAATTTTCAAGTAAGTAACTAACTGTAAGTACCTTACTACCGAGGAAATGAGATGCCAGTGTAGAACATTCAATGTGCCAGCCCGGTCGGCCTGGGATAGGTGAGAACGGGACGGGCCAACTAGGCTCATTCGACTTGGCGCCTTTCCACAAGGCGAAATCAGCCGGAGAGCGCTTTTTTAGTGGACATTTCATCCGGTCGCATAAAGGAGGGATCTAATGTTTGACGAAATTTCCCACCTCTTCCGTATGCTTTAGCGTCGAAATATACACTCCCTGTAACAACAAGATAATTTACAAAACATAATTTACCGGCGCTCCGAATCAATGTAAGGCCCACAAGAAGTGAATTATTATCATTATTTACTGCACCACAAATTAACACTAAGGCGTACCGTCGTCCACAACGTAAGCTAACCCCTTTTTAAGCAGATCCTCGACGAACAAAATGATCTGTGGCATGTGGCGCGTAACATCGGCGACAATCGTGGGATCCATGATGCCCAGTGAACGCATGTCGTCAAAGAACTCCCTTTCATACTTGTTGGCCACACTTAACCAGTCAGACTTAGCCTAAAAAGGCTGAAATCCATGAAAACGAGGTTAATCATTAAAAAACGAAAGTATAAGGCAAACACTCAAACATTCAGTAAAGTAACTACGAAGTATTCGACGCGTGTGTAATCTTGCCGTAGACGCTTAATATACAGTTTTCTGTTATACTTCAAATTTTATGGAAGTTAATATTACTAATTTAAGGGAAAATAACTTTAACAGTTTAAAACTATGCCACTGTGGTCTGCACAGTAAACTGTAAGGAGTGACAATGAGTGTACCTGGTCGGAGCGTTCAGTGCTCAAAGCTTCGCTTCCTTGCCGCTGCCCCTTCATCGCTTGCGCTCGTTGTATGATTTTATCGTCGATATTCGTAATGTTCATCATGAAGACAACATTATATCCGCCGAACTGCTGTAGGATCCTTCGGATGATGTCGAACTGGACGTAAGTGTAAGCATGTCCCATATGAGCGCTGTCGTACACCGTTGGTCCGCAGCAATACCAAGTCAAATTCGGACTGTGTGTAGGAGTAACGGTCTCCAGTTTCCCCGTCATGGAATTTTTCACCTTGAACGGAACGGGACCACATCTCGGGGCCAGAAGGCTGAACGATCGCCGGATAAGATATGAATCCAACAATAATTTGCTTAAGATACTCATAGTATAGACCGGTAACCAATGCCAAATTCCACGAAAGGCCGGAAAGAAGCAAATCAGCCAAAAACTGCGCACTGATGGAATTTGGCGGTATTAATAAGCAGCAGCAAGAATACCTTCCATCGCATTCAGCGCGCAGGTTGTGCGCTTATCAAGAACCCACACGCTGACTCAAATTATCGTCTTTAACGTCGCTTGTTTATGAATAATTACTGTATGAATAACTTCATAAAATTTCATACTGCGTTGCAAAAAAAGGCAAAGATAGTACTGGAAGTAAAAAAAAGTGTGCCTGACAATGAGGCCCTGGCACTGCCTGCCATTCGGGATGTTTACGGTTACTGACAAGTGACAGAAATATTTCACTCAGCTGACTGGATTAATTTCGATATTAGACTGTCCGACGGCGGTAAGCATTGCATTTCTGATAATGCTGAAGCGACCGCCTAGTGATACGCTGCCAGCCCCGTGAAAACTAAGTTGCGTAAGCAACTCTAGTCGTCGTAAGCGGGCGGTGCTGTTATTGTACTTCTGTCGTCACTGGCAACCGCCATTGCGCGTAGGCTAGGCATTAGGTACAGTATCTCTGCTTCTGGTTGCTCTTCGGAGATTGAAACCGTCAGATCTTCATTCTTCAGTTGTTTTTTACTTTTTAGGAGCCACTTTATTTTGATCTTCGGCATCCCATGTTTTGCTCCTGTGACTTGTCAAACTCTTAAGCGATTCTTATCGTGACAGTTAGCACGAGTACGTACGTACAAATACTTGGTAGACCTGATTTGAATTTGATTACAATGGCACCTGGAATTCTTGCACCTGCAAGGATCTTGTGTTGTGGTAAGCGCTCTTCCTTCGTCGCCGTATAACTTACGATTACATTTAAAATTAGTAGCGAACCCTGGAACTACTTCTAGGACCGTTTCGGGTCCAGTAGAAGACGCGGGTTGCGTGAATTAATCCAATGTGTGCTTTCTAGAACATGGATTAAATGCTGTGCGATCGTTTTCGGCGTCAGCGATGCTCCAGCGGAACAGAGTATTGTCAAAAGGAAAACCTATGTACATTCACAAATGGCGCGAAGAGTAAGCAGTTTTTGCAAATTTCAGCCTTGTCAGATCCCGTATGCATTATGAATGTAGCGTAGTCGGCTGCAATTATTATTCGATTTGTATCATTATTACCGCCGGCTGGCTTTATGGAGTTTCCAATTGCATTTGCATTTTCAGTCGGGACATTCCCCGAACAGGTACGGAGTATGGTCCTCTGACTGATCTACCCGATTTTCGATTCCTCGACGGCAGCCCTGCTCCATTATCTCGCGGTCAGCATGCTCGCCTTTTAAAATCGGAGGAATATGCACAGCGCAGCATCTTTTTAACGAAAGAGATCGACTCAGCCGTCGCAACGCATGCCGAAATGGAACAACAACGGCAAGCAGAGCGGGATGCCATTATTCAGAATAAACTTAGAGCCAAAAGCGAACAAGTACGCAACATGTTTGCTCCTTTACGTAAAAAAATTTTGAAGAACGATCCACAATATTCCGCCGAAAGATGACGGATTTTTTGGTTTGATTTACGGGATCGTTACTTCGTTAACTTTTAGAGAATCTTGTTTTTCATGTTTGTGTTACAGGGGTGCTACTCCAAGTTCGGGCAGTTTGGTAAAATAAATTATAAAGAATTCCAGTTGGTCTTTTCGTTTCTTGTTTTGCACTTTTCGAGTGCAACTTTTTATGGCAAATTTAACATTACTAAAATCGGATCCCTTAAATCTGTCAGGAACGAGTTGTGCGCTTAATAAGGGGGAGGGGCAGTGGGCGTTTTAGGATGGTTATAACATCCTTCATAAAAAATTCCCCAAACGATATTTTTGCACGGAATTTTTTGGAAACGTTCGAGTGGCCCAAAAGGTCTCTGTTTTGGGTTACGAAAAGATTCTCGCATCATCGGTGGTTGAGATTACCTCGAAACAACTTGTAACTCCCATAGGCTTGTATGTTATAACATACCTACCGAAAGATGGGGTTGCCTAGCACAGAGGCGTAAGTAACGTCGAGCTGATATATTTCGCGGATGGAACATGGTCCACATTAAACGATTTTAATGTTTCAATAAATATCTACTGCGTGGGTCGGGAGAGGAAAGCACCGGATAATTGGAAGGCAAAGCTAACAAAGCGACAGGAAAAAAAAGTGATGGTTGCCGTGAGATTGTTAAACCAGCTTGTCTCTGGCTTACTGGGGGCACTGAAACGTTTAAACTGTCACTCAGTATCCTACAGATGAGACTTCATAAAAAATTGTCGTCGAAAACTTCACTAGGTTGCAGGACAAGCGTGTACAAAGGGTCACTCTCCACTTTAACTATGCCCACAGTTATATCCCAAAGGTCACGTAGGTTTGATTGGAATCGAACGCCTAGGATACAGTTCGCAAGAGCCTTAAATGACGAACACGTCAGACTTATTTAGTTTAAATAAAGACGTCAGTGCAATTTTTAAGCGATTTATGATTCGGAGGAAGGCTCCCAAGGTACATGAGTCGAACACCATTTTGAAACTGGTCTGCTCTAGTTTCGGATGCACTGCAATTCGAAACACGATCTCAGCGTAAGCAGCGATAGCCCAAAAGATAGTAGATACATACGGCAATACTACAAAAATGTAATGAGTTAGCCATTAGTAGTTGGTGACTTGTGGCAGGTTTTGGAAAAAGGTGCCCGAACTTAGCGTAGCACCCCTTTATTATTATTCAGCATTAAATTAGTGGACAATATACGGCGTTAAAACAAATTAAAAGCATGCGTTTGTAAGTGAGTACCATAAACCCTGAGCAAACCATAACCACAAAATTAAATTCTTTGAAAACTAACTGACAACTTTGCAACATTCAACCAATCAAAAACGCTGCACGGAAAGCGTGGGATGAAAATCCCATTGAAAGACCCTGAGATAAAAAGGACGGTTTCAGCTTCCGATCACGAGTTTTCGAAACACTATTGACCGCCGTGTCCAGCCGGTCGAGATGCCACTGCATCATTCAGATCAATCTCTTCCAAACCATCCCATTCATCCTGTTCGTACGTAGTGGTCAGCAATGCAGCGGTTACCGCTGTGTTCGCCACATCGTTCTCCATTGTGTGACTATTAATTACTGCATCCAGATGAGCCAACTTCCGATTCTGGTCGATAAGTTTCAGTACAACGTGGAACACCACGCCGCCCATACAGATTACCAAACCCACAAAATTCATAGGACTTATCTTGTCACCATTGTACTGATATGCAAGAGCAAACTGCAGAATTTCCTAAAAACAGAACACAAAGTCAGTAAGCACAGAGCAGATTACCGGAAGGTAAACTGTTTGTCAACAGACAACAATGTACCTTTGTTATACCAGATACACTCAGAGTTATGGAAGAGGTATGAGTTAACAGCACGTATTCGCTGACTTCCATAAGAAATCCCGCAACACCGCCACCGGCGGTCAGCAGAAGCGTCCGGATTGTCTCATCCCGATTATGAAAGGCCTGGGCTTCCAGAACAGTTTTTCCTGTGGAAAAAAAATAACAAACTGGAAACCATATCCAACTTTTACTTGTTTTATCAGCAAAATTACTGCTGATTCTGGATACGGATGTGCTACGTCAAATGTATTGAACTGGATATCCTATCATAACCTATCCCGTACCTTACCGCTTTTGACTTTATGTACATGTACAAGTACTCGTATGCCTATTTGCTGTATTGCTTGCAAATTACAAGCATAACCACGTTCGGTAGACTGACTACTCGAGTACGTACTTTAAATGGCAATAATAAGCCAAAAAAAATACTTCTGTATATGCAGATCGTTCCCGTACGTAGTGCTGTACTTCAACACTAGCGAAGGCTAAATCTAAGAAGTAAAAGTGCGCCGCACCTTCAAAAATCACAGCAAAAGGCAGCAATGACAGGAACATCCACGGCTGGATATGGAAAATCATATCAATAGGATTGCTCAAGTTATAATCCTTCTTCTGAGTTAATACTTGGGACAGCGTCCACCTAATTCCAGATAATACTGAGGCTCCCATTACCAAAGAAAATCCGAAAAGATTGAACTGGGTAGATTCAAACGTGAAGAGAAACAGGCCGCAGGATATTAGTATAACGACACCCAGTAAGGACCATTTCTGCAAATTGAATGAAATAATACGCACGTCAGGTCTTGTGAATTAACAAAATTGTTATAGAAAACTTTCACACAGACAGCACTTACAAATTTTTCCAGTCTGAGAACCAACGCAAAAATCAAAATAAAAACAATGGTGGACGATTTGGTCATCGTGTACCTGCGTATCAGAAAAATTATTAAAGTGAGGTTCCAACAGAATACGATAAACAGACCCACAATGAGATTGTAATGAAGACAAGACTCCAATTTGATAATCCAATATCCAATGCCGCTGCGACTCCGGGAGGCCCCATCCGTGTAATAAATGTCCCGCAAGGCATGCATGGCCGTTTCGCGCCTGATGAAAGGCACCACAAGCCGCGAACCAGCGCGGCTAACACGAATTTGATAGCAAAATGCCCAGTTACTATCGACAGGGGAAATTCAAAAATCTGAAACAAAAAAATTTCCTACAACACTAACAACAGATATACACTGTACAGCATAATGAATTCTGCGCAACAGCTTTCCGAGTTGATGTCAATTAAAAAGTAAAACTGCTCCGCTTCAAAATAGGTCTATCTCTCGTTTCAATAATTTGCAGCATCTAAAAATTATTACCGATTTGTTACTAAACGGCAAAGATTTTCCTACCTGAATAAATTTTTTCTGGTAAAATGTCAAACCGATGGAGAAGATATAATAGAGTAAAATGAGAAGAACAGTTTTAATGGCGTAAATCAGGAACCATTTGGAAAAGATGCCTTCTCTGCGAAGATCATCCACCGCGGATGTCGTAACAGACAGCCTTCTCAAAGGATCATGGAGCGATTTCGCCTTGGACGGCATGACAGTCAGCGTGATTCCCACAGGTGTGCTCGTATTGCAGGAACCGAACAGGTTCCTGAATGTCTTTACTAGCTTATCACGACGTTTGCGAGCATACGCCAGCATGCGCTTCTGGACCATGCTGCAGTAAGCAGTTCACAGAGTCCGCACGGACGTTCGACGAATTCCGATGGACCCCAAGTAATCAGGAAGATAGAGGGTTTCGCAGATAGCCATCAAGACCAGCCATCCGAAAACGGGTGCAAATTGATCCACCAAACGACAAATTAGAGATTAAAATCACCTATGATAATATGGTAAATCTGGATTGGAAAACAATAAAGTGTTTCTCAGTGCGTGGTGTTTTCGAAACTGGTCCTTATTTCGGCAATTGTAGCTCCATCGATAAAATCGGAACAGTTGAAGTAACAATTATCGAGGACAAACCAGGCAGGGGCGCACAGTCAGCAACGGAAATGCAAAAAATTACAGCTTTTAATAATACATTCATTACACTGGGGTGATAAACAAGGCTGGTTGACATGTGAGTCAGCCTCCAAGCAAACAGACACACTATATTCACAAACAAAAACTGCAGTTTCTGTTTTTCGCAAACACGATGGACTGCATCAATACAGTGCTAATAATTACACGGTGTCACCAGACCGTAAAAATAAAAAATTAAAAGTTTTACACTTTTAATTTTTAGTCTTTAATTTAAAACACTAAAAATACTTTGTGCCATTATGCGGCGTATGCCGCGACTCTTTGTATTACTGTAATGGCGCATAGCATGGCAACCTGTTTGACATAATAAAATTATATAATTTTTAAGTATCATAATTTAAGTACGTACAGTTTTATAAAACCATACGTCTATTACTGTAATAGTGTAAGTAATTTAAGTGTAAATCCCTAGTACCGAACATTTTTCGTAATTATAATACCTTCTTAACTCCGTTTAAATTACACTGCTTGGATGAACTTGCATTAACAAAACGGAGAAAGATTACAAATAACACATTAATCGTTTTAAAGTTTAATGTATGTATGTCGGGTATGCGAGCATTATAAAACTTATTAGTGAAAGCATTGCTGTTTTTACAAATTCGCAATCATGATTTGCGGTGACGACTTACATCTATAGATAAGAGTATAGATATGAGTCTAATACTTCTAGTGGTATGTACATTTCACATGGTCTGTACATATACAGTCACTGCAATGCTGTAAAACCAAGCGTAACCGAGTTTTTGATAGGGGGGGACGGGGACGGATAGGAGCTGCAGCATACAGAGCGTGTGTACCAACTTCTTCCGATATACTCTCTCTATGTTGAAACATCGGGTGAAATCAGAGCGCTCCCCGACCACCGAGCAGAAACTCAGTTACGCTTGCTTTCGGTAAATTTCAGTCTGCTGCAGGGACTGTATACAGACCATAATTTCAGCATTTACTTACAAACATCTTTGGATGTATGTACCGGTATTCGCCAGCAATTTGTTTGTGGTCCTGTGCAAAACAGTCTCAACAAAAAAGTATAGCTACTCAATATTTGAAGTTTGCAGTACTTGCCTGTAATTGTAAGTTACACGATGATGTCAATCGTGATTGCGAATTGTAAAAACAGCAATGCTTTCACTAATCGTAATAAGTTTTTATAATGCGCGCATAATGCGCGCATATTTTATTCTATAGATATAGATACATGATGGCTTACACAAGGAAAATTTTATCGAAATAACCAAATAGAAACCAATTAAAATAATTCATTTTTAAGTTTCAAATTTCAAATCATTTCATTCCAAATCAAATTCATTTCAAATCATTTCAAAAACGGCCTAAAGTCGTTTGAATTTCAACCCTACATGATGCATCCACTACTTGTATAATTATTGTAGTTAATCACAATGCGTCTATGGTTCTTTTTACAGCGTTACAACACATATAAATTATGTTAAATTTCAATATAGATATATTATACTTATCATTTTGTATTGTAAGATAAGCTGATTAGCTGACTCTGATAACATACGAAGTTACGAACGCAGAAATACTATTTGCCCGATATGACTCATCGTCTTACGTATTTTGAATCGGCTGTATGTCATTTGCTGGCTCACTGCGAGCGAGACGGTCACGGAAGCGCATTCACCAGTTGGGAAAGCTGCGAAGCCCAAAGGTTTACCGTTCAGGAGGTACAATACTTGCTTCATTTACATACTGGTATAATATCTATATTTTTCAAGTGTGAAACTGTTTGTGCCATTTAATTGCTGAGTAATTTGTAATAATTTGTTATTTGTTGGATTGCTTACTTTTTCGTCAAGAAGCTAGACGCTAGACGGAAGGTTGCTTGACGGATAAGGTTAATTTCGCCACTCCTCGAATCGTAACTGCAGGTAAGTTGAAGTGTAATCTACTTTCATTACGAGTATCGTATTGTGGTTTATCGTATTGTGGTTTAGCAGACTGTAAATTTACTATCATTTTTGAATTTTTCGATGGAATACAAGTACTTCGTACCGTAATTCTTGTTCATTTTAGACATTCTTAAGTGAATCTCTTATTAAATTTGAGCAGTTGGCAATCGTATTCCTCCAGGAAAATGTCGTGGATATCAAAAGCATTTGGTGGGGGAAAAAAGAAGGATGACCCAGTGACGCCTCAGGATGCCATTCAAAGGCTTCGCGAAACCGAGGAAATGCTAACCAAGAAATCAGATTTTCTTGAAAACAAGGTTCAACAAGAAATTTCCTTAGCGAAAAAGCACGGAACCAAGAATAAGCGAGGTAGGCGAATAAAAATACTTGACGTCATTATCAGGGGCTAAAAGCAGCTGATTTTTTTAGCAGCAATTGCTGCCTTGAAGCGGAAGAAGCGATATGAGAAGCAGCTGCAACAAATTGATGGCACCCTTTCTACCATTGAGTTCCAGAGGGAAGCCCTTGAAAATGCCAACACGAATACGGAAGTTTTGAAGATTATGGGGGTCGCGGCCAAAGCCTTGAAATCAGCACACCAGAACATGTACGTGGGTGTTTATAGAACTGCGGCCGTAGTTGTTTCCTTGTTTCGGCCGGTTAATCATAACTGGATAAACAGGGAAATTTTCCTTCACGCTGTTTCCAGAGCAAAACAGTCGTTTTTACAGTGTATGGTGAATGTTGTTTATAACATTAATATTTTGAATTTTCTATTTTGCCATAATAATTTGAATGACTTGAAAAATCTTTGCTCAGTTTTTTAACATCTTGTATTTTTTTTAATGGTAAACGGTACCGCATGCTTATAAAGTTTCGGCCCATTTGCTTCAGGTTTAAATGTAATCTGCCACATTTTTACAGTTTTTTTAGGAAAAAGGAGTTAAAATAGCGTGTCTGATACAAATGTTTAATTGTTATGGCTGACAATGTACGAGTTGAGGTTAAGTGGTTAGCGGCGGACAGCGTAAACCGTCACACTTGGATGAGTATTGCAGAATGATGTTACAACTTGTAAATATTTGCATGTCAAGGAGAAAATGAATCACTTTAACGTCGTCACACGGATGAACACTTTCGGGCATAATTTGTGATTTTGGCCATTTGTTTCGCTGCAGGGATGTGGATCAGGTGCATGATCTTATGGACGAAGTCGCCGAACAGCAGGAGATTGCCAACGAAATTTCGGAAGCCATATCGCATCCGGTTGGTTTCGGGAACGATGTTGATGAGGTAAGCAAAGAAAAAGAGATTAAGAATAAGAAAGCGGTTCCGTTCAATTGGCTGATCCGCGTTTACATTAATTAATATAATTCAGGCTGAGCTGGAGGCGGAATTGGAAGAACTTGAACAAGAAGAACTCGATAAACAGTTGCTGGATGTCACGCCCGCCACCAAAGATTCACTTCCGGCTGTCCCCACGTCCGAACCGGCTGCTGCAAGTAAGTGCTTCTGCACGATTCGTTGAATATTTCCGGACCTTTTTATTTGGAAGTGGTTGTTTATTATTAGACATTATTATGATTTTTTTATTTGATTGGCATTTAATATTTTCAGTAAAACTTGTAAGGCGATGAGCTTTAATCCGATCTACTTTTATCTCTGTAAACGTTGTAGGTCGTGCTCGGGCTCCCGCTCGTCCCACGAAAGTGGCCGACCACGAGGATGATGATATGAAAGAATTGGCACAATGGGCTAGCTAAACGCTTTCTGCTAAATCAGTCCTTTTTTCCTTTTTATGGATATTAATTTTGGCTTTTTGCTGATTGTCGTAGTTTTGTCGTATTTTGGTTCATGACAGACCGTTTATCACGTCTTGCATTATTCCCGCTGCTCCGTTATCATGGACGACAACTGCTTTAATTATTACGTGATTTTGAAATCGTGTTGAACAACCTGCATACTATATGCAGCTGACCTTGTTGAGTGGCCGCTGTTCTAAACAGGTTTATTGCTTTGCTTTTATTTTTGCTTGCAGGTTGTAACGAACGTTAATGCAATACATGGTTTTCTTTTGCTTTGTCATTTCGGGAATTCAGACGGTGTTTGTGATCCGATTCCAAAGAGTAAAAAACAGTTTATATGTGTAAACGCATTAAGTAATGATAAGTTTGAACTTCAATACTAACCATAAGGGCAAGTTAATTTTTTCGCGAGTAGTAGCAGAAAAACAGTTCATGATCTCCATCATGCAGTTTATAGCCGTACGGTGTGCTGCCTTTCAGTTCGCAGGTGGAAAACCAATGATTTTCGCAGTCCAGATGGATGTAGTGCATTTCCGCGTTCATCCCAAACACTTCCTGGCACACTCCGCGTTTCGGCATCAAAATGAAGCTGCGCTCCACCGGCAGGAACATGGGCTTAAATGGACTGGAGTCATCACGACAGCAGTACTTGTAAATTGTGTTGTGATTGTATTTGCCATCAGGAAGCGTGCCGACCGCGAAGTTTTTGTTGTAGTAATCATCGTCATCATGTTCATATGTGCCTTCGCTGAATCCAAACGGACAAGGACTTTTCTTGGATTTGTAGATGCAGTACGAGCCCATTGGCCATTCACTGCGCGGGGCGTTTGGATCATTGAATTCCTTCATGCAGAAATCAAGGGCAACATCGTTGGCCCAGACTTGACTGGAAGTGCGGGAGGCAAATCCCGGTGACCTGAAAACATACGAATCGGCATTATTCTGCGGTCAGTTTCATAATTTTAATCAACCAAACGCACCAGCTGTTATCAGGAGTATTCACGTTTGCCGTGTCATGGAATCGTTTTCCGTACAGCCAGTCAAATTGGCACTCTTCGTTGGTCTTGAGTAAACCGTAGTAACCCGTTGGCCAGTGCTTCGGCGCCGGGATTTCTCTCATCAGTTCGTGCAGCGCCTGTTCCGCTCCAAGCCACGTTGGATACTTCTCCAGACCGTATGTAATAGCCTGCTTCAAATTAGCCATCGTGTCTGTACTGCGTACACCCGGACAGATTTGATCGGCCGAGCGCGGCAAATACTTGGCATCCATAAATGACTCGAGGCTGCGCAAACGCAGACTGACCGGTTCCGGGAACGTTTCCGTCCCGGAGGTGAAGTTTAGCGTGTTGCCGTAGGCATGGAATTCCTGAATGTACTCCCTTGCGGACTTCTTAGCGGCTAAGGTCACACGGGCGGTGAACAGCTGAAACCAGCCGGCTTCGTAGAAGATGCTTCCGGTGTAGTCGGTCTGCATGGCCCGGATCAGCTCCACCGTATCCACTTCGGAGTGTTCATAGTCTTTGGTACCGACCGTGAGACCGACGATAGCGTGGGTGCCCCATTGTTTGAAAAAGCGGAACAAGTCGTCGTCGGTTTGGCGAGTTGCTAGCCGGCAGAGGGCCGCGGTGAAGTACTCGTCCAGTTCGATTTCGAGAAGGTCACGGTCACTCTTGAAACCGCTTTCCCCGAAGACGCAGACTGCTTTCTTGAATAAGATGCTCTTATTGCGCTGCTCCAAGAGTTCGACGGCACGCTCGAACCCCAGACTAACGCCTCCCGTGTGAGTCAAGAGTTCTGGACCCTGTAACAGATCAGATACATTAATCATTACGTCGCACGCGGACGTTAGATTGTGGAGTGTGCCGCTATAATAATGACCAATAATCGTTCTTAAAGCCAGCCAAATCACTTTACGAATTTTATTTTATTTGAATTAAACTTATTGTTAAAAAAGCTAAATTACTGATTTACTGCTAAATATCAGTCTGACTATTTTACGGTTGCCGTATGTGCATGCGTAACCGGATGTAAAATTAATATCGTTTAATTGTACGTATTTTTTTAAAGTCGTACCACCCCAGTTCCTTCCAGATTAAGGCTTGTGCTGAAGGAGTCAACATAATCCCGGCTGTCCAGAATCAGACTCTCCTCGACCGTTCGCGAGCATACCGTTCCGACCGGCACACAGTTGGCCTGATCGGGACAGTCGGAATTTGGGTTGCCCTGGTTGGTGGTTTTGAGCACCTTCACCGTTCGCTTCAGCCCGGGATCCATGCCGCCCTTCCCCAGATCCCCTCCATGGGGATTACCCTGGACCAGATCATAGGCGGTGCCCAGGAAGACACCGCCACGGTTGTGATTCTGAGGATGGATGACTTTGGACAGGATGCGGGATTCGATTTCCAAGCCTTCCGGTTCGGTTAGATGTTTCGGTAGGCGTTTGGCTACCGCACTGGTCATCAGCAATGCAGCGGAAAGAAGTAATACTTTGTAAAACAACATGTCTGGATTGTGGGATAATGGTGTTGGACTGCTCAAACTGCTGAGCGATGACCAAGCGGTTAGGAAAATTGCAACGCTTCCTTAAAATGAATGCAGCATCGCTTCATTAATATTGGTCACTGTGACAGCTTGTTTGTGCACGAGGTGCATAATATAATCGAACAAGCGCAGTTTACGGTCATTCTTTATTTTTAATAACGTTGTTCTAAATCCCTGTTGTTTATTTATCAGTTTTTCTTTCTAGTTAATTTGTATATAACATTATCATGCCAAAGAAATCTTATATCTGTATAACGACAGCGATAGTTTATCAAAAATCGCACTTTTGCTATCGACAATTTGCAGCCGGAAATTTTTGCTTTGTTGTGGAAATGATAAGTGCGTATCGCACAAATACAATTATACTGTACCTACTCGTACGTCACGGTTCTCTATATAATATTACTTTAAAACTCTAGCAGATAAGACGGTTAAGAAATCAGGGCTGTTACAAATTAATTTTTAAAAAAGCTGAACAATGTATCACATCTACCGGTGCAAAGTTACAAACACGCATACATAAGCTAGCTTGATGTTGGTACCAGAAACCGGGCATGGTACCGCAATACACGTCTTTATACTCTTTTTTTGGAATGTACTACCAGTACCTACCCTACTCTTTTTTGAATGTCCGCATTTTCAGAGACATACATGAACTTGACTTTGTTTTTGTTCTAGTACTTTAATTTTGTACTCCTAAAATGCTCCCGGCATATAAAGCGGGCGACAAATGAGGGTTCTCGTTTTACCTACCATCTAGATGCAGATTCCCCGGAAACCCATGGTCACTCGCTGACCTGACTGAGTTACAGTACTAACATTTATGTACACCGTAAAGTGTGTAATTCTTTTGCAATAAAAACTGTGTCTCTGGTAGTAACTCTGAACCTACATCAATTCATCCATACTGGGCTAAAAAAGGCTTGTGCAAATGCTACGTATCTATAACTTATGTATAACACAATACATAAGTGCAGTTGTGCACAGGCACGTATAGTCGTATACTATATTATTTTTTAGGGTATATATATTTATATATATGATAGTTTTGGGATCCACATTTATCAGCGGTAATGGTATATAATTATAATGAAATATTGACCTCAAACGGATCAGTGCGCAACATTGACTTGCGTGCTGTAATCGACCTTCTGTAACCGACCGCTGTAATCGCTTTGCACAGGGTGCAGCTGGTTGTAAAGGATAGCGTAGCGCAAAACAGCCGAGCTCCTCTTCCCTTTCTTGGCACACCCTCACGCCCAACATCGAACTTGTGATTAATTCGGTTTAACATTTTGGTTACGCTCCAGTAGGCCATCCAACTTCCTGAGCATATCCTGCACCTCCTGCCGATCGTAATCCGTAATGGGCGGGGCTTTCTCAAAGGTGTCCTGCATCTTAGCGTTGATGGCGCTGGTGTACGGCCCCTCCATCACCGGCGGAGCCAACTGATGGTTGGCGCCGGTGGCCGTATTGAGTGTCGTTCCGCGGTCACCCGCAATGAGGTCCGGATGCTGATCCACATGGGAACTGACGGGCGGGAGGCTAGAGAGGTCTTTGTTCACGGTAATTCCCGAGTCGGTCCTTATATCACTGATTAGGCCACGCCGGTTCATTCTGCAAAGTGCGTTCCACGCACGCTATTTGATCCTGCAATGGAATAATGGCTGCGGTTCAGTATAAGTGCGAATTACGCGGCAGCTGAGGTTAAAATAACGCCTTTCGAAAGGGCATCACATGTACTAGAAGTAGGTAATTGTATGACGGGGAATATCCGGGACATAATTACGGCACATTAACAATAATAAACCCCGCCTAAAATACGGTCATTGGACGTCCTACACATCTGCCCGGGCTTGCTGTCGCTAGCGCAATGTAACTGGAAAAAAGATTCCGTACCGTTGTTAGAAAGGAAATGTTGTGATTATTTCTTAGAATCTCCTGTCCTACTGCTCTTTTCCCCGCCAGAAATAATTAATTTCCAAAAGGTCAATCACATTTAACATGGAAAACCTCCTAGTATGCGTAGACGATTAAGGGCTTCTTTCGCGTTCGCTGATTTTACACTTAAAATGACGTTTATGAGTAGTCGCACATTGTCATCAATTAAAAGATTAGGACCAAATTGCGTATTTCATCACTTAACAGTCAGGTAAACCTATGGATTTTTTAGAAATTTACTCACCCATCGCCTGCGGTACAGTACGCAGGAACGTCACTTCCACGATCACATAGCAACTTTTTATTGATGTCTGTGCTAGTCAGTACATTATCCTCTCTCCTCGCAAAAACAATGAGCAAAACAGAAGACTCCTCTCAAAACATCCTCAAACATATGCCTGTCTTCGTATATATTTTGCTCAGAGTTTACAAACAAAAAGAGGACAGTTACAAAATGGGGCAAATCTAATTTTAAAACTTAATTTAAGTAACTGAGCAAAATATGTACAAAATATTGCGCCAAGCTTCGATGTTGTGGGTAATTAGATTTAATTAGATTGTATCAATTGTATTACAAATTTAATTTGAATAGTTTGCGCATGACTCTAATTTTGTGGTAGCTATATTAAGGAAATCAAAATAATTCTTGAAGTTTAAAATTTAAAAAATGTTGATAACTTTTTTGACAATTTCACACTTCGTATGAATGAATTAAACTTTATAAATGTCAGAAATCACGGAGTGGTATTGAATGACGTTGTTAGTTATAATAATTTACAAACCACTGTCCATCACTGTCATTTTAATTTTAATAACTAATACACACATACCATACACATTGGTGCGCATGCCATCCCTGCTGTCTAAAGGTCAACGCAACTTGTCAACAGTGGCAATATCGCCGGGGAGTGGGCTGTACGTTCGTTCGTAGTTCTTACTTAACGAACGTTGTCTATAAACATTCGCACGGCACAAATGATTTATGAAACGCCTCTGCCATTAGCCTGCAAACTGCACAGGTTGTTTGCGATGTCCTACATAGTAAATATTGGGATTTTTTATATTTTAATTAGTGTTAACGATCGGCAAACATAAATACATATAGGAGAAGTGTATATTTTATAAATCGTGAAAGACAGAGTATATTTCACTGGTAGAAGTATGCAGACATATTTATGCAACTGAAAATGTGCGATACAAGTATAGTCTATGAATTTGCGGAATTACATTTACGAATGAAATTATCAATGTTTATTCCATATTATTATAATTTACGAAATATATACATGTAACGAGCCAACTTTACGCGCGTTGTAGCATACTGCATGTAAAGAGTATATATTGTAGCGTGCACATTATGAGTTAAAAAACACAGGAGCAGGATTTTGGGTAAATAAAAAAGATTTGCAGTGCACATAGGATCATTGTCGGCAACGAGATAGTTAATGGGTTCTGCTGTGCAGTACTATCAACAAAATTCCCTTAGCGAGGGTCCGTGAAGAAATTGTAACCTACTGTACTGAATACAGGGTTTCATTTTACTTATTATAAAAATTCAGTATTTGACTGCTGACTGGTGAGTGCTAAAATGTCCTTATTTTTATAGTCATTTTAAATCGTTAACAAATATGTAACAAACGGTGAACTGATCCCAGGATGACGTCAATGCGGCGTGTATTGACAGATAGCCCGCTGTGCGAGAACTCAGCGCTAGGGGCTTACTTAATGTCAATGTGCATGATAGTCCGGCACACATGCCCCGTAAACCTTGTGCTTTAACCAAAAAATTGTCCTCATCACCCTATCACTCGACACATTCCCGATTCCTGAAAAGCGGAACAACAAACGAGCTGATCTGTTTTATCACAAGGATACACAAAGATGAGTTGTAGTTCCATGAGTAATTAGTAACAACGGATTTTACCAAGTACATTCAATGTATACGCAGGCAATTTTTGGCACTTTACGCATACATGGACACTTTGAAATAAAATGGAATGACATAAAGCTAGGTGTGAGCTGTATAATGCATAGAAAGTTTTACTGTACCGGTGTTTGCAACTGAGTTTTTATTTGTAATTTCATATACATGTTAAATTTGTTAATGTTTCGCATACTCTATTTGTATACTCGCACGCATTCAAGTAGGGACATTTTTATGAGACGTAGAATTAAACAAAAATTCCCAAACAAAGCCAAACACAAAACCTAATAAAAAAGTCTAACCTAACCTAACCTAACCTAATGAAAAGGAAAAAGCGATCAAAACGACACTGTATAATCAAAGGTGATAAGGTGGTGGACTTTCCCACTACTGAAACACGAAGTACAGAGCTACGAGTATATGCTTAAAAGCGCTGCTGTTTCGTGTTACGTAACGTACACGCAGAAATAAAACTGCAAGGCGTCTGACATGGCTGTAATTTGCCAGTAGAATCAATATTCAATGTAGTTTAGGTAAAACAACAGTACTGGATTACCTTTTTCAATTACCAAGAGAAATTGTTGTTATTCTCTTTTTGTCAACAAGGTCAGCGGGGTCTCTTTCATATCGTTCTTATACCAAGCAGCTGGCTGACGAAGGTGTGCCGGTAATTATGGTTAGTCTATTGCATCGTAATCACAAGATGATAACTCCATTACATTCTTCCATTTTGATGGATCAGCCATGCTTGTTACAAGAATTAAAAACATCTAATGAAAAACACCGTAGTGTGTTATTGTTGACTTCTTTATGATTGTGCTTAAAGCTGCATTAAACAGGGATGGGCCGGATGTGTAAAACTACGCGCTTGGTGTGTAACACTGATCATGCATTTTTCATCAAGAAACAACGTAGGTATTCGATAATGCCCTGAATGTGCAAATTCTGATCCATATTTAAAATTTAAGGACAAAACATGTCATGGTTTCCCTTTATCAGATAAAATATGTATCATGTTTACATCGTAACCTTTATGGTGGAAGACGAAAACATGGCATTATTACAGAATTAAACGTCTGACCATTAGTTCTGAATGGTACGCACTACAGATCTATCTATCGCTGGCTCCGGCGTGTCTACCGCGACATTGTGGCTTATTTAATAAAACAAGCATCAACGCATGACCGTATTCCGGTCAGAGCTATTCTGGTCCCCAACGAGAACGACTCAGACTTTGAGAAGCGTTGAGACCGGATACGCATGTACAGGCAGGATTTCATCACCTAATCATACACAACACAAACCACAAAACCGCAGTGCACATGGCGATGTTTACGGGAACTTAGAACATTAACGGCCCGATTTATCCCGTCAATTAGCTTCGTTATTATGGACAATCTCCTGTGCAATCATTGGTACATAAACGCAAATCACTGTTAAGAGCGCAAAATACATCCGTGCGTCAAGTGGTGTATTTGAGGAAAACGCCTGAGGGAACGCACAAATTAAAGCTGGAAAGGGAAAGTATAAAACTCTAGATAGTAACGGCACCTTTTTTAGAAACAATAATGATGTCATATAGTACTACGAAACGATTTTTCGGTACAGTACATCTAACAGGAGTTTTTGGGATTCAGTATTTTTACCGCTCTTTTCGAGAGAAGTTAGCTGAGAATTTCGTGTCTCGCTTACAGAGTCATCGGTAGCGAAATGCATACATATTATTCTAGAATAAAACCGTAAACCGTGCAATCAATTATTTCCACAAATAATTACCACGCAGTAGCGTTATTCTCACGGTGCACACTTTCCTGAAATGGCATGAAAAACAAGCGTAGTCAACAGCACCATTTAATACTCGTATGCATTTATGTGTAGAATGACCGGGAAATCGGCGCATTCATATAGTGCTTATCGATTCTTCGGTGTAAAAATTCCCATCAATGTCACAGCCTGATACATTCCCCCGAATGGGCGAACTCGCCACTGGCGCGATTATAGGCCATAATAGCCGCACGCCCGCTACTGCATTATAAACTTCCAGGGAACAATTTCATATTTTTCCCACTGCTGTTGCTGTCGCTTTTATATAAGAATCATCATTTATTCATATTGCTTCCCTCGTGTTTCATCCCTTTAACCAAATAGGCCATTTCACACGGATGGTGTGTATTTACGATCAAGTCAACAGATTTTGTTTCAGCGCCCGCTAAGAGCGATTTTCTATTACGCTGGCCGCTCGCCAAGAACACCGTCCTGTGGGGACGAGAGTCGACAGTCTGTGTTAGGCCCAGCTAAATAATGATATCCGACAGGCTGAAGCGGCAGTAATGATCTGTTCCGGTTTAAATGCCGGCTGCAGCGGAAATGAGAAAATGTTTTTTCCCAGTGTGTGTTTGCGGCCGGGGCACATGCTGATTTAATTATCCGTCGGCTTGCGTCTTGGTACGGTTTCTTGACATTGACAATGGCACGGGGTCTTCCGATACGCGCGTACTGTAGTGGGAAATGGTGGCATCAAACCGCCGTAATTAATTAGAAGGACAAAGCCCACGTCAGCGCGTAGCCTGCTACGTGCTGTTGGCGCGCGCGTAATCAACACACCGTGTGCATTTAATGGACTGAATCCGCTAATCCCATCGCGAGGTTTTTTCCAGCTAACTGCACATTCTTCATCAAACCGTACTGATTTAATCAAGAGCATCGTTCATGATGCTTTGATTAGGCGATGATGAAGAGATTAGGCTGAAGAGTGCAACACTCGCGAGCACGCGCTGTCGTGACCGTAATTAAAGCGTGTTCCTAAATCTGTAAATCCCTTTTCGGGAAAGCACTCGCCGCGATGCTAACAAAACGTGCAAATGAGGACTCTTACGCAACAACGTTTTCTTTGACACAAAAAACTAGCTTTTTTTTAAAAAATCCAACATTTTGCTGGACGAAAAACCCGGGCCTGTTTCAAAATGGCTTTTTAACATTAATAAATTTTGAAAATTTTTTCCAACACGCACATTATTTTTTTTCTTGTTCTCGATGTGTTAATATTGACCGCTGTGTTTGCTCATGTTTCTTAAACATCAATTGAAAAGGATGCATACAAACGAGAAGTGACGGTACAATTCTTTTCTAGCTGAATGGATTACGTCTGTATTAGCCATCACGGAAATCCAGGCACATCGAATGTCACTAGGAAACCCGGTATAATTATTGGGAAAACTCGATTGCATAGCGTCGCCGAGGGAAATTTCCCGCACTGAGTTTACCGCGTAAAGAGAGCGCCGGGCATCCACAGCGACAAGTAATATCCATCATAATTTACATTTCCGGATGACAGAACTACCTGTCATCCTGGGACCGTTCGGGCTCACTGCGCCGAACACATTGGGACACATGCACAGTGCAGGAAGAGAGAGTGAGAGAGAAAAAACACATATGCACATTGATCTGGCTAGTTGCACATGAGGAAGTAGTTCAAGGCCAAAGCACACACATACGGCGCACGAATACCCAATGACTAGGAACGGAATTATGTTACTCATTGTACCGGGCTGCCGTTTCCTCACGGGTGAACTTTATCTAAGCGGACATGCTGTGTCTACAGGGACAGCGTGTTGAGAGATTTAAACATGAAGATGATCGGGAAAAGTTGGGTGCCGGCGTTTGATTTGTGTAATAAATTTTCGGAAGTGTGCGGTTGTGAGTAAATATTTTGTACCGACTTGTGACAGTTAGTGGAATGTAAAGAGCCTGTACCAATAATTCTGCTAACCTACAGAGTACAGACTGACTGTGTAAGGGGTATTGCGCGATGAAATCATGCTGACGTTCAATTACTGTATGCTAATGCAAATCAGGAATGCACTTCAGTGAATATTGCAAGCAGATCGACTGAATCTAAGAAATATGACGTTACGGTTTTTCCGTTGAATTTTAATTAGCTAGATTTCAATACTATATATTAAACACCAAATTAACAATTTTACTTATAATCACGTCCACTTCATGAAATTACGAATGTCAGTCTGTGACCTTGTCGAATAGCTGGGATGTTTTGTAACTTTCTGTTTTTTACATCTTGTAATTTTGTGGGCTTATTAGGCTGCTTTGCTGTGTCGACCTGCTTCAGGCAATACAGGAGCAACTTTTTGAAGTAACATATACGCAAATTACTTAGGTCTGCATAAAACTATAGCCCTGTGGCATTCTTTGTTTTGCATATCTGAAATCATATATGTATGCATACTCATCCGCCAAGAAAATGCAATTACACCGCATAGAATGCACGAATGATCAGATTTCAGGTTACACAAACCCAGATTGTTGTTGTTGCCGTACTGTGACCTATTTTGACCAGATAGATTTATGTAGTTTAATTCGCAGGATTTGCTTTCCAGCACTTTCCATCCCATCAGCCTGACACGAATTTATCGCGGGATGCATTAGCGGCATGCACAGCGCGCTCCTAACCTGGCAGTGTGTGTATCTGTGTGGACTGTGGAGATTGCAAGGCGATTTATTATCTTAGCTACTTACGATTAAAGGTGATCGATTTTTTTTTATCCGCGTTAGGCTTAACTGTCAGTGGCAGTAGTACAGTCATGCCGCTCCCAGTATGCAAGCACGAGTGCGCGTGACCCTTAAGGGTTTTGTGGAAAACTGTTGGGATTGTTGCTCATGCATACAGTCCAAGTGTTGACATTGGCTTTTTAATAAATGGGGACATGAATGTTAGAATATTTATTTTATAATGTTCTACATATTGCTCATCTTTGTCTACTGTGCCGAAACGTGATGAGAATCCATCTTGTCGACCTGCTTAGTTGAAATCTCATTAGTACGCATCAAACACTGGATATGACTGACATCCAGTCTGTACTATTTCGCAAAACTAGAACAAAACAGCAGCGATGTCCGAGTAATAAAAAAAAACTTATAAATGTATTTCTACATGCTACTTTTATTATTTCTGTAAATTTTCGCTGAGTTTACCGGTATAAATTTCAAATATCAAAGTTGCGATAGCTGTAAACCGTTTAGTTCAGTAAACACATCCATGCCAATTACGGTGAAATAAACCCATAACGTCAGCAAAATAGTTTGCGTAACCTTTCTAAGGTTACCTGTTTCCCAAAAAACTACGCAAAAAAGACATAATTTTCCGCAGCTAATTACTAGAATAGTTTGATCAGGTTTATCAGCAGCGTCTATTCCCAAAATTTAATGTGTATGTACGCATGGAACGGTCGATTTCGCCGCTACACAGACGCTCAGCTGCCGGGATCAACGTCACACTACAGAACTACTGTATACCGTCATCTGCGGTATGTACGTGCACGGGACTAAACGAATGGGCGGAAGCGGTGATTTGGTTGGGTAGCCGGCTGCATACAGCCGCCGGCACATACATACACACGCAAGGGCATACTCGCGGCCTGCATGATCCCCTCATTTAATTTCCGGATGAAAACGCTTCACACACATGCTACCGTGCCGCACGCGGTGATCTTTATAAAAGCCGATTGCATGCGCATCACTTGGACATTTTCAAACTCTCGAGCGAACGACACTACCCGGCTTTTTTCTTTCCAGAGCTGATAAACTGCAAGTTCGTTAAGATTTACATAAACTGGTCTGTTAACCGTTTTGTATGGATGTGCGTTTCGGCGCATTAGTGAAAATATTTTGGTCAGATTCCTATATAAACATTAAGAGTCCGTCTGGGTCCATTTTTGTGTTTGTGTGTTTTTAAGGCGAAGGCCATTCGGGCAGATCGAGACGGGCCGCGCTAATTATAGCATCCCCGTCAGCATTGGACTATTCCATCAAGTGGACACTGTTAAGATAACGAGAGGTAGGGTTTTTCGATTCAATTTGGGTTATGTTGAGGATTACTGGCAGTTTGTTTTCCCAGGCACTGCATATAAATATCGGTCTGCTTGTCAGTTGATAATTTTCTGTCTCTTCGATTTGACCGCTGCAATAATAAAATTATTATTTGGTTATATTTTTCTTTCAGCATCTACAGCCTAATTTGTGTTTATTTTTTGTGTATAAGTGCGAAACTTAGATCTTTCATTCTTAATTAAGCCTTTTTATCGTGATATGGTCGGGGAGCGCAGCGGTGCGCATGCTTTCCCAAGAATGCAGCGGTGCGTAATTGAATTTGCGGCATTGTAGCAAACTTTTGCGTGCTTCCATGCCTTTTACATAATATCGTTGACCTGCATGCAGTTCCCATAATTAAATTATAAATCATCAAATCAAATTATACTCCAACCGGTATAGTGTACAAACCATTTGCGTTGGCGCATTTATGCATACCGGAAATCTGTGGAATTCATTTAGTGGAGTTCTGTGTGAATGTGTATGCGGTAATCATCTCGCTAACTGCTAATGCACACGCAATATACTTGAAAATATGGGTTAAGTGCCGGTTTTCATCTGGTGGGTGTTTTCTAACCTGAAAAAGCGATTGATCATGTAACTTGTGCATATTTCTTCCTAAGGGGAATTTGATGAACCGGCGCTCTGTGCAGCGTACTCGAGATAATTATTCCGAATTTACGGGAACACGTTCTTCCAATCAGTTGTGTAAATATAGATTTCTACGTGTGTACGCTGCTGTGATTAGCTAAGGAACCGAAAACATTTGTGCGAAAGTAGACGAGAATACAAAAAAATTGTATTATTGTACTGTATACGCACAGCATGTTTCCGGCAATGCTACTGTTCCAGGTCCAATTTAAACAAAATAACTCAGACGCGCAGAATTAAACTGCTTTTTTGCTCTCATTCCGATTTTTTAGTATTAATGATAAATTTATTTTAGCGCAATGATAATTTTTACTACTTTGGTTACTGAAAAGTTGAACTTGATTCATCTAAGCTGATAGTTTTAATGTGTCTTCTGAAGCCAAAATGCCGACAATGAGTTCACGTGCCAAATGACGCGCGCAGTTATTCATCCGTGCTACTTGTACAGCACAATGAATTCTTGATGAGGGTACAAGTGTAATTCCATACCCCTGGTGAATCACACAATGTCATACACACACCGCGCGTTCCTACTCATTTATAATGCATGTTCGCTGCTATTTTCAAATCCTTTGCGTGCAATGTGTCCCGGCGCCTGTACAATACGGAAACACATTAGAGTGGTGTATATCAACATATAAAAATGACACCTAATTTCAGGCACACTATGGCAATAATCCCTGAAAGTGAACGCCAGCATTTGGCCCAGTTATACGACTTCGGTCACCGTCCTCGTCACCGTACCGCCAGCACATCGTCCAACAGTCCGGACAGCACGGGGTCATCGCGGGACTCATCGGAAACCCGCTACAAACAGATCCGCAAACAATCCTCCCCCGCCTATTTGTCGGCCGGCAGCAGCCATTATCCGGCCACCGCCAAGAGCACACCCTCCCCAGTCCGTTCACCGGTCTCCCTGACCTCTTCCAACGGCCACCATCGTCGCTCCCAGTCGGTACGGGTGCCGGGCGGACGCTATAAAGCAAATAAACCGGCGCCGCTCAATCTCGACCTCCTGTCGCTGGATGCCGCCCTGACCCGGCCGCGAGCCAGTTCGACGTTCGTCGACAAAGGTCAAGACGATGCCGCGGGCCTGTACCGGCTGCGCAATTTCGAAGTGACCTCCAAGGGCGTGGTCAATCGCGGCGATTCATACCGGGCCAAGAGTTACAGTTCCCTGAACACGCCGGTCCACAATGGAACGTTTATGGAATTCCCCCGGGGTGAGCGGCTGTCGGTGTCCAGTGCGTATTCCACCGGGGAGACAAGTCTAAGCGGAGAGACCAATTCACCGCAGAATCCTCGCTATAGGGTGTTGATGTTGGGCGCGCCAGGTGTGGGAAAGTCAGCATTGACTAATCAGTTTTTGACGTCCGAATACATGAATGCCTACGAGACATCGTTTACGGGTAAGTGAAGCGGTTGTGCGGTAATATGCCGGTAATAGCGATATCGCATCAGCGACAAGTTTTGAGTCACCAGCTCATTATATGCCTGATTTTTAATTACTGTAGTTAGTACACCAGATGAATGTTCCATTAGTCATGTAACATCGCAAAGAATCCAGTTACAATTTGCGCATTCAAATCGTTAATCTTGCAAAGCTACGGTAATTCTATAACTTTTCAGGCGCCTTTACTGTGCATAAATGTATATGCATTTGAAAAGGGCAATTTTTGTTGGATGCACTAACGATTTTTCGGAATCAGTTTAGCTAGTTCAGATCGTACCATTTGTAACGAGATGCAGAAAAAGGAGAGTAGTAAAATGTAACAAGAAACGCAAAACACTGCTGTAGTCTGCATCCAGTACACTGTGGACAATAGAGTTTTGTGCGGCAGATTTTCTGATCGCAGCATGTTAAAAGTGCGCTGCAGTTCTTTAGTTTAAATTATCATAGTTTTTAAATCAAACTGCAATCAGAATGCAGTAAATAAATTTCTGCATAAAGCCCAATAGAGTCAAAAAAGGCACGTAGCGCTAACTATTTTTACGAAATAATATGCATTAAGCTGGCATATTTGGCCCGTCAATGACCATTAGCCAGCAAACTAGCGCACTGACGTAAATCGATAATTCTTTCCTCAAGGAAAATCAAGACCATTTTAGTTGAAATTTGTCAAGGAATTGAAATTCATTTTTCTCGGTCCCTCTCATGGCTTCTTTGACCGGCAAACTTTTTCTCCTGAGCGGAGCTGTCCATCATAGTGCGCTTCATTTCTAAGCCCAGCCGGCAAGTTTTGATAGTTGTTTGACGTCATCATTTTGGAAACCGAATCTCGGGCCGTCGCAATGCATCTGCAGCACGTACGGCTTAATAATTTTTGCTCGTTTCTTCCATTAATTGTAGGGTCATCTTCGTTGGATAGGCATGAAGTATTCTTAGCCGCCATAGACAGATTTTTTGTTTAGTTTTCTTCCGCTGCTGACGTCATGGCATAATTAATGTTTCGCATGGTCTGATATAAGTGTGTCAGGCTGCATATGTTTGCACAATTTCCTTCCCAATATACACTTTTACGCTAGCATAAGAGCGCCATGCTTCGTCTCGCTCTTACGAAGCAGGGCATCGCACTGTAAACGATAGTATAAACAGAATTATTGTCCCATAAATTATTGCCTAATTGGTTTACGATAATTAGGCTAATCACTGGGCAGAATTCCATACGAAACTCTGGGTGTTGTACAGCCAAAAAACATTGCATTTACGCAATACCATACACAACCATCAGTTTTCTCATTTCAGCCCGTTATATGATTCTTGGTAATAAATTTATTATTATGTAATATTAATGGTAACAAATTGTGGGGCAGCGATGTAATGACATGTGGGATGCGTGCGACTGGAGTAGAAAAGTTAATTCACAGATTCCTCATGTTGAACTTTTTACGCAAATGTGTGCCATTAGACTGCATTGACCTTTCTTCAGTAGATGACGAAATGACCACAGAGAAATCCGTCTCCGTCTTACTGGATGCCGTGGAATCTGAATTGGATTTCATAGATCCGGACCCAACCGCATCTTATGTAAGTGCATTGGATCATCTTGTTCAAAAGGTATATATTACGATAAGAATTCGATCAACGAGACTCTCAGTGCACAGAAAAGCAAATGGAAAACTTACCCAACACTACACGTAGGCAGAGAGCTGGGACATACCGGAAGTTAGTTGTAACAGTCCATATTTGACTTTTGAGGAGCACCACTCCTGCAGTGCCCTCGAAGAAAAACTTTGGTTGGAAAAATCATTACTTCCAGGAAATATTTTTACTGGGTTGAATGATTTTCACTTAAGAATGCATAATTTAAATTAATTATATTTTTGTACAGCAGACAACTGGCACTTGTGCACTATCATTTTCTTGAAAAAAAAATCATTAATTAAAGTTACCGTCATTTAATTATATTTTATTGATTTGTTTGAATTTTGGCAAAGTGAGTCCGTTACAAATGCGCAAAAACGCGCAACATCCACATTAATTCTTCAGTTGCCACAACATTTATTTGGATACACTCGGCACGGCAGATATGATGTAAGCACAAACCCAATATAAATTTTTTCCCCGCTGGTTTTATTGAGCTTCCGATTAAATAGCTGGTAGCTTGGGACGGTAGGTGTCATAAGCTGCTGCACCATATAAGGTTTCTATTACACGCCAGCGAAAAACACAAACAACCGCGAAATGATACACCGGTTTCCGGTAAACTGCCATCAAACACCGCAGCAACGTGTTACGCGCGTCATCCCGGCGCCGTGATCCAGGGAAGCGGCGTAAGCGTAATGCTTGAAAATGCCAGGCGCCTGTTGTGTACAGTACAGTATTGTGTTAAAGCACGGTGTACCGCTTATTGTTTGGTTAATACTCCGCGCAATCTACATGGAAAATGTCATGGATAAGAATCCACTGGGAGAAATCCATGCCACTTGAGCAGATGACAGCTTATATATGCGGTCACCAAGGACGTCTTCAATCGATTATGTTAGACGCTTATAATCAACTGCCGGTTGTTATCGCACTAGATCATTTCAAAATGAACGATACAAAACGACCATTGTGCACAATCTTCACCCAAACAGCTCAGCATTTGTCCCCGTGAATAAGAGATTTTAAACTCTTTTTGTGACCTTGTGGGTTTCTCAGCACTACATCCGCAACTCAGTGTCAATGCAGGGGAATATTTTCATGAACCAAGTTCAATCGGAACTTCTTGTTAAAGCCAGCGATCATCCCGATTTTTGCAGTCTGGAAAGCCGGCACTGGGAATTGTTAGGCCTTTTAAGTAAAGCCTTTTCTTGGCATTAAAACCAAATAGAACGCTATACCGATAAAAAAGCCTGGCCCGGTGAAATGACAGTTGACAGTTACTGTTCGCGGGCGCTGACCCATGCTGTGGATGATATAAAAGCGAATTACGTCATACACTCCCTGTCATCGTTAGCGGGAATTATTACTGACAAAGCCTCCCAGCACAACGCGCATTCAGCATGGGTTAGCGGGAATGAAGAGAAAATGATAAATTTCTCTGAGTCTTTTATATGCAGCAAGAGTGTGGTCTGAGGTCTTACGGCGATTTTGTTTTGATGGTGTATTGTTGCAGATGGATGATAAACTGTGGGAATCCAACCCGGTGGACGCCCACGTTATCGTGTACAGTGTGGCCGATCGATCGTCCTTCGAAAAGGCTATTGATATCCTGTTTGAGCTGAAGCAGTCCGAAGTAACCAAGCATCAGGCCATTATTCTCGTCGGCAACAAATCCGATTTGGTCCGTGCACGAATCGTTTCCAAAGACGGTACGTGCAGTGTATATTACAACAATCACGTATATTCTATAGGCTGCAGGGTTTAACTGACGTCGTAAACGGTTGATTTATCCACAATTCCTATGACTATACGGCACACAATTAATGCTTACATAAGTGCTAAGGGACCACTTTATAACTATGATATTCCACATTGAGCTAAGATTATACAACTTTGATAGTTGATAATCTGCTGTAATAAAGCGGAATAATTATTCATATCTGTATGTTTAAATGCTTTTATAAAAAGAGTTAGGACAAGGTTGTTATGCAACCTTATTCAGATAACCACCCGGAAATGGCGTTCCGGTATATTAGTGTTTTTGGAATTTATTCCATAACAGCTTAGTCGGTATTGTGTTTCCATCTATATTTCATTACATCATTTTGACACTTGATCGTAATGCCACATTTGTAAGAGGAACAATAGCTTGACCTTTCGTTTGGACGCCGCAGTAGCGGGTGCGCTTGTTCATTAAATGATCGGGACTAACATCGCTAATAAAACTCCGCAGGCTGCTAATCAGCTTATGTAACTCTGACGTACATATCCAAAGTGCAGTTTTGCAATGCACCACCGAATTGCGCTTAACCATACAAAAAGCACTACAAGGATTACAATGAAAAATGGGGATTAACTGCAGGGCGTTTAATGTGAATCTGATTTTACAGAGGGCAAGTCCATCGCAGCGTCCTACGACTGCAAATTCACCGAGACTTCTGCCGGACTCAATCATCAAGTCGATGAACTATTGGTGGGGATTCTCTCGCAGATCCGCCTGAAGGAGAAGCAGTCGGCCAAGAAGAACAAGAACCGGAAAGTGTTGAAGTACAAAGGCCGCGCCAAGGAGAAACGCTCGCTAACCAGCAGCTACGAGAAAGCCATGGGTTTGCTATCGAAGCTGCTTTCGCGGAACAGTCTTTCCAAATCCTGTGGAAATCTCCATGTGCTATAAATTATTGATGTGGCATCGACTCTCCGAGACACCGCGGGCCTGGTTTTGTCCCGAGGGGAAACGGACAGGACGATAAATTTCGACAAAATGTTCTCTATTACTCTTTGTAAATGACCACATTTATTCAGTGGTGTAAAGCGTCGGGATGGAAGGATGGAGGGAGAAACGTCAACAGAACACGGCATGGCAAGCACATGGCCGCTTGGCACTCGGCAACGTTTGTGTGCAAGTTCAAAAAACTCGCACACACAGAGACACACGGATATAGATCCGGTTTGCGGCGGCAATCGCGCGCGGGGACCAATCACACATCACGGAAATGTCATGAGCTACAAAACTCCTGGACTTATGGGTATATTAATGGCACTGGCAATTAACCAACCGACGACGCATGTTATCCATGATGTACAATCACGTTCGCACGCCAGCTACTCGTCTCATTATCGCCTTTCGGCCAGAGCGAACAAAACCGCAAAGAACTCTTGGCTTTATTTTTAGCTAAAACCACTGTGCGTGTGTGTGTTGTTTTTTTGTTGGCACAAGCCGTTGGGATGAAAGTGAGATGGGCAGATAAAGATAAATTGATACGTATTGAATTTTTGGAATTGTTGTTTCTGGTTTGAGTTGACGACCGACGACGCTCAAGGCTGACAAACGGCTGAGGTTCGGACTTTTTGGCTGGTGTGTGTGTTTCCGTCACAGAACCGATATTTTTATGCTTGTACATACTAACTTAAATAATTTTGAATGGGTTGGCTTGGGTGAGTTACTGACCGGAAGTGTGCTTCTCTTTTGCGCGGCTCAAAAGGCCATGTGTATTTTGTACATATGTCAAGATCATCGCCAAATTGGCTATTTTACGTTTGTACGCTCGCTTGTCTTCTGTCAACAAACTGTTCATCGGATACTGCTCCATTAGTGAAATTAATACACCAAATTCTCCAGCAACTCGGCGTTTTTGGCGTTAGGTTATCCATATTTGTAGTTGCATTTCCGCTAGTTCGGAATGTTATGGAGAATTTCTCAGCTGGCGGACGAAGTATTTTTCCGGACAAGGCGCGAAAACAGCCATAGTTGATAAGTGAAACTGAACACGCTACAATTACGTTTGCCGTGATATACTCACACATCCGTACACACTCGTAAAACACCAAATTGACCTTTAAATTAATAGTGTAATGCATTTCGTGCAGCGCATTCGATCCAATAAAAGCCTCTTATGTAAAAAATTCTTACTCACGATTTTCCCAATACAGATAGGTAAAGTATTTTGGCTCGTATTCTTCTACATAGAATGCGCATTTGAATGACCAATACAGAGCGTACGCTACATGGAGCACACATCTCGTGACAACCGAAACATCTATCACGGCAGGGAACCAACGGAACCAATCCCAAAAACGCATAAAGCAACTTTGCCGCACCTCGTCGTTTCAGACAAAAACGTCATTCTTTTTCAATAATGTAGGCCAAGCGTGAGAATGTGGGATGGATTGTTCTGTGCAGATGATTACTAGGTTCGTAACCTTTGCCACAACATCACATGCGGTGGCAGGTCGGTTGATTGAATGGGTGTGCCCATTCGGGTGACTGCCGATCGGCATATAGTATGATTAGCAACTACTGTATCATTCAGTATCAGAAGTTTTCCATAAATCCTTCGGCTCCGTGTGCAGCATGGTATTCTAAACCTAAGAATCTAAGAAACCTAAGAAAATTCTGCCAGAAGCACAAGAACGCTGGAAACTATAACAAAGAAAACGGTGTGCATGTGCACTGCACAGTGGTAGTTAGTAGGAGTATTAAACAGGGCTCCAGTTTTTAATACATAATGTATATATAGTAGTGGTTTTGGACCCGATTCCGGCGGTTTTATTGATGAATGCTGCACCTTGTTCAATACCGCATAAGGTTATTCTGGCTGCGATCAATTGGGGATGAGTTTCCCACGCGGATACTCTGTCCGATATAAAATGTTCTCAAATATCCTGATGTTTTATACTGTTTTATGAGCGTTAACCACCCACGAGATCAAGAGTACTACAGCAGCAACATGTAGCAAATACGAAAGAATAATTCACGTGATGGATCTGATGCAGACGACGCATTAAATGCTATTTGTATAAACTGTAAATAATGTAACAGGACTCGGTCCACCAAAATTGTTGTAATATCTACATATATGAATAACAGTTACCTGCGTAGGCTGACGAACATGAAAACTCTGAAAACTGTATTGAACTACGTATAAATATGAAATGGAGCGTAAGATGAAGTCTTCTACCGGCTAATGTAATATGTGAAATTTTGGTCGTATAGCTGCTGTACAGATAGTGCTTCAATTCCTCAACGTGTTCTACGCAAACATGTGTTAAACATCGACATGAAAACCAATATTAGTCTGGGTTGTGCAAAAAACAATTCAGCTGGTGAAAATGACTGTTCGAAGCGAAATCCCAAATCCTCCAGTCTGTGTGCCGCCGGTTTATTGTATGTTCTGCAGCTTGCAGGAGAATACGTATCCATGTCACCAGGTGGAACCGAAAAAAACACGCACTCAATGTTGCTGTCCATATGGGCAGCTATACTGACGATACATAACTTATATTTTGCTGGTGAATATGCGTACGACCGGACTCGGGATCGTGACAGAAACGGGAGTCGATTGGAATTTTTTGAGATACTGGAGGGAACTTTTCGCTCATCCGTGTTATTAGCGGGACCGTTAAGTGCACTGTTGTGCTTATGTAAAATCGGAAAAATTCAGCAGTTAATTCAATTGTTAAAAGGAGGAAATTTCACCCTGAAGCGATGCAGATCGATCGTCCGGTTTACGGAAATAGTCTGTCTTATTTGGGGACTGTGCTGCTGTTTAGGTGTGGTGTACAGTGTACTGCACACTTTTTACCTCTTGTACATGCCAAATAATCCAGAAGAGGTTGAAACTTGGTTTGTCTTTGCAAAGAAAACGATAGCTGGCGAACCCGACCATCCTGCTTTAGGAGACGTGATACGTATGACCTTTGGAAAATTACTATGCACGCTACAGCTATTAGCGCCGCAAATGATCATTCTGCTTGGTATAATTATGCTAGCATGTTTATGGAAAAAGCTGAATGCTGACCTTTCTCAAATCACAACAGAAACACCAACAGAGCAGTTACGCCTCATAAATAAACAATACCGGGATAGCCATCGTATTCTGCACGTGCTAAATGAAGCGTTTTCGATGATAATTTTGGTGAATTGTGCAGTAGAATTGCTGATCAACGTCGCAATTGTGGCTTATTTATTACGCATCGGTGAAAGCCGTCAAGACGACAGCATCCAAAGAATTGTTTTTGAAGCAATCGGGGCGGGTAATATGATCTTTAGAATTTCGGCATCGATTTTTTGTGATGAACAGGTATGTGTTCCCTCTTTTTCATTCGGTATTCAGAGCTGTATATATACTAGTAAAAGTTCCTGAAAATCAACCGGGATGCAGTAGCTAAGTTTTATAAGACAATACAGTGCGATCTTGTAAGCTGCTTTTAGTGAGTTCTCAACTACAGAGTAAACTCGTGTTATTTACCGAGGATAATTCCATGTTTGCGTACGTACATGTACAGTAACATACTCCAGATAAATCTTAAATGCATAAATATGACCTGCATCCATTTATTTATGTGTAGATTTATTTATATGATTTGTGCCCAGTTAATTCTCTTTCACTGTAATGTACTGTCTATATTAAAGTGGAATTAAATATCTGTTGACGTTAAGGCAAAAGCAATGCGAGATCGTATCAAAGAAAACCTCCTCTTCGTGGACAACAAGAACAAGGAAAGGGTCGATTACACAAAGGAATTTTGCAACGAAATAGCCAACAACGATAATGCGCTCTCTAGCGCTGGCTGCTTTTTGCTGAATAAAGAATATGTTGTCAAAGTATGTCCCACATAACTTAACGATTGTGCAGTACAAAATACTGCTATAAACTACCAATGATCTATGCTGATTTCAGTGCTGTGGATTGCTGCTGACGTATTTTCTGTTGGTGTACCAGGCATGGGAAGGAAAGCACGACAATGCGGAATTATCGAAATTAATTCTTAACAGCACTGCTGTTCTTCAAGAAAAAATAGATAACTTAATACGGCATGCACCAGTACATTGATTTATTTTCGTAAACTTTTTGGTGGCCATGTTACGGTATCACCAATTTAAAGTCTTGCAGAATATGACGAGCACTATTCTTCGCTCTGAATGTATTCAGTGCAACTTATTACAACTGAAACCAATATGTCGAATTTCTCGACGAATATATATATCATTTCGAAATCAAACCATACGCTCCTGACGTACCGGAAGTATGTACGGTTAAACACCTTACGCATACAACAATTTTCACAAACTTGCTTGAGAACGTTAACGAGCAGGTAAATAAATATTCAGGTGTCCACTCGATAGTAAAAAAGTGCGCAATATATACTATTATTGTTTTTGGGGATTTATGGGGAGAGAATAATACGAGATTCAATAGACTTTACAAAGTAAATCCAATTATGTAATGGCGAATAATTCAGGTATAGATTCAGGTATGGATATCTACTTTTGTACAATGCAATTTTACAAAAGCAGAAAAAGATATTTCGTTACGCCCTGTTGTTGCTGCTGCTAGTGCGAAATCTTCCGATCCACAGCATATTTGGTTGAACGTTGATTTTTTCGCTCTCACAGTCTACAACGCACCAGCAAACTTTAAGATTTTGCAGAGCAGATGCATATGGCAGTTGGTCTGAACGAGCAGAGACTGATTTCGTTGACACCGCAGAATCACGTAAACCGCCGGTAGCGTAGACTTCGGACGAATTAATTGCAAGGTTATACATCGCGATCAACAGTTTGTAAAAGGTGACATCACGATTGCGGTGTTACTCGACAGAAATATTCCCAAAAGTCAAGTTCGTAACGAAACTAGTTTGCCGGTATATAAGCGCCAAACGACCAACACTCCTAATTGGGCATTTCTTTCATCACATCAAATCATGCGCATGTTGTGGTTAACCGTGGCCGGTGTGGCCCTCGCCGCCTGTGTGGGTGAGTCCAGATTTCATTAATCGTAAATTATCTTAAATGGCTAAAATTAAGATAGCCATTTTCCCCCGCTAAATAGCGTAAGTAAAGTTTTATTGGTAGTTAAATTTAATTAGGAAACGAAAGCAACATTTCGTTTCGCAATGCTACACAATTTCATAAGTACCATTACAGTTCTTGTATAAAAACAAAACAGTTTATATTTTTATGTTTTGTTTTTAAAGGAATCTGGATTATCTAAATTTTCTGATGTTTTTACAGGCATAATCCAGGGTCAGAGTTATAGTGGCGGTAGCAGCGGTGGTAGTTACGGAGGCGGCGGTGGTGGTGGATACGGCGGTGGCGGCGGCTGGGGAGGTGGCGGCGGTTACGGAGATGGTTTCTATGGCGGTGGATTAGGCTTTGGTCTGGGCTACCCGTTCATCTGGCCATGGATGTTCGGATGGCCCTGGTTGGGCGCCTGGGGCTTGGGAGGTTTCGGATACGGTGGTTTCGGCGGCTATGGCGGTTTCGGTGGCTATGGTGGTTTTGGAGATTTTGGATTCTTCAAGAAGAAGAAGAAATAAGCGCCCAAGTCATTTCTCAGTTTTGTGATGATCCTCTTTATTTATTGCTGTTTTTAAATTTTTTTATTGTGAAAAGATTTAATATAAGAATATGGTTGGAATAAAAAGAAAACAATAATAATAATCTGCAGGGTGTTAACGCATTGGGTGGAAAGGCGGTTTACCGGAAGCGGCTTTCGCTTTCGTTTCGCTTTTATTCACACGTTGTTCGAAGACCTTATGAGAGCGGTGAAAGAACACGCAAACAAAACACGAATGAACAACGAGCGTTGCCACCGGTAACTGAGCAAGGTCGGAGCGAAGACAACAAAACAAAGAATTGTTGGTCCTGAATCGTAACAGAAAATCAAGTGCAAGACATGCGCCGTGTGCTTTTCATTGCAATCAATCAAACACAAAACTAGAACTGTCGTTTTATTGAACACAAAATACAACGCTCACACGTCGAACGCGCTTCCCGCAAGTCCGCATCAACCATTCGGACGGGGCAACTATCCAGGTATTCCCAGATTCTTGATCATGTCCGAGTACTCTTGCATCTTATTGCGGGCATGCTCGTCCAGTCCGGGCCAACGAAACTGCAAAAACCGAAGCGTCTTGGATGATATTCGTCTACTACAGATGCAGCAAAGGGGAAAAACAAAATCAACAAAGGATATCGGAAGGCACGCTTAAGTTTTCTACCGGAATCGCTTTACGGCTGAAAGCAAATCATACTCGTAGCCGTTTGATGGTGCGCCGGAAGAGGTAGGCATTGAGCGCCGCAGCTGCTGCCAAGAAGACCAATGTGTCCGAGTGCTCTCGGATTTTGTTAAGAAATCGATGATACCAGTAAACTGGATGCACTACCGTTTCGACAACGAATGACCAATCTGCAACATTCAATCACACGCCATCAGAACAAACCCACAGCACAGATTCTCAGAACAAACGAATAATAACAAGTTCCACAGCGTCTACAGACAATGATAAAGAAACCAATTTATCAAACGTAATTATATTTTGTAATTTTGGCCAGTAAAAAAGCCATATATATCTTCAACGAAAATAACTTGTTCAGTGGCTCGTTCAAATTATACTTTAACGCATCCAACTCACCTTGCAAATATCGCTTCCGAACTCTGTCAACAAATGCTTTGAGATTACGGAACTTGTCGGTGGTCTCGCGATCGGAAAAGAATTCTTTATTTAAATGTTTGCTCTTCCAAGGCACATAAAACATCACTGAAAGATAGGCGAAAGCGGTTGCATCCACCGCGGACGGCCTATAAAAAAGAAACAAACGTAAAACCGCACGTGAATATACCATAAATTTGTACACGTCACTAACTTTAATCCAAAGAGAAAGGTTTTATCGGACAGTTTGACGGAAAGATCTTCCAGGCACCGCTTGGCTTTTTTCATAATCTATGGAAAACGGAAGTCAGGATAGTGGCTACTTACAGACTGAACCGAAAACTGAGCTGTACCTGCGAACGAATCTGATCAACATTATCAGGGTTGAGCAAGGCATCTGGAGTCAAATGCAGTCGCGCTCGGACTTTCTTCCGCTGCTGATGCATCCACACGAACTGGCCGTAATACGACAGTTCCTTCTGATAAAACGGCAACGTCACATGCCGAAAGACTTCGTCATCCACCCACCACAAATAATCCTAATGGTCAAGCAAAGATACACGAACGCGCAGTCATTGTGGGGATGGAGAGCTTCGGCGCGCGGTGCCACTTACAAGCAAGGGCAGCAATGCTGATCGAAGATATGTTTCCAGTGCGTAGGCATCGGCGTATTCGTAGCTCGTCATCTGGCTTGCTTCGTACGGACAACGATACCCCTAGAAATTCTTTTAGCTGCATATAGAACGCAAAATTAATAATCCACGACTTGCTTACCTCGGTTTGCAAAAATCTAACGACATTTTCAGCTCCGTGGTACTCGTATCCGTTTGGGATTGTGAGAATGGGATAGGTCTGACTGGCGGTTTTCCACGGAGCGCTGTCAACCATCAAACTCACAGGAACGTCGGATAAACGAGCAAAAGTCTAAAAAATATGTAACTCTGCATGAAGAATTCTTTCTTGTAGCTTTTAGTTAAAGAGAAACAGTTTCGTGCCGTGCAGAACCGCTCAAAACGACTTACGATGGCTCGCAGGCATTCTGGATCCACCGATGGTATATCCCAGCTGCCTTTCCATACTGTCAGCTGATACTTTCCATCTTTCGCAGGCATTTTGCCATGAAACGGAGATTACTAACAATAAGTGCATAAATGTCAAAATTTGAAACAGGACTAGCGCACACCAAGAGTCTAGCAAATATAACCAGTTTCACTGGAGAGAAAACAAAGAGTAAAACACGAAAGTGACGAAACGGAAAAATAAATTTATAACGAGCTTTATCAAATGTAACAGAAAGTGTTAGACGCCCGCGCCACCGGTGATAGTCACGTTCACCAAATACAAAAATTCCACCAAAAGCCGGACTGTGATTTGTGAAAGCTTCTGCAGAGAGGACGAAAGTTACTAACGTTGACTAATAAGTAATAACGTTAATAGCATTTACAAATAATTACTGTACTTACGTTTTTATGCTGACTGGTTTAATAACTCTTACATGCTTACTGGTTTCTACATCGCGGTCGCTTATTAATAAAGCTGCTCACTGACCATTTGCCATTACGTACTTTGACTGTTGCTTATAGGTTATTCGCGTTCGAAACGGCGGGCGCATTTGGACCGCTCACAAAGAAATTTGTCAAAGAGCTGTCGCGAAAGATTAGCGATTGTACTGGTAATCCTCGTTCAGGAGAGTTTTTGCGTCAGAAAATCAGTATAGAGTTACAATACAACGGGGAAATGCAGTCCCTGTTCTTGGAACATTTAATGACACTGTTGATAATGAGGATGTTTTTGCTTCTTGCTAATCGTGAATAATGGCAAAGACCTAACGTGATCAATGCACACATGATAAGACAAATAAAATATTCGATATACAAGTACGTAGGTTATTAATTTTCTCACTGTCAGTTTACATACAGTACAGTACCTACTCGAGCGTACTCTGGAAACTTCACTCTTATCGCCGGATGTCGATTTGTATCGGCATATTACAAGCAAAACCCTACAGTAGTTTGCAATAAATTTGCCACAATAAGCAGCCGGTAAATAATTTTTATAGATACTTAATCCATTTGCCTAGATTGACGTTCGCACGTAATCCATATATAAATTCTAAGAGACGATATTATATAGATAGTTATACCCATTAACAAATTAAGCATTTATCTCATGAAGATCTGATGCAATCATGCAGCGTGCACCACTTGGTTGTTAAAACCGCATATACAATTTTCAAAATACAAAGCAAACCTCCATACGGCACACAGAGCATACTGCGCCAAAAAATCTTTGAAAAGTCACAATCATCAGTCACTTTTTATCCCTGGAAACCGATATTGACCGGCTGACCACCCATGAAGCCCTGCTGCTGCAGAGGCATCTGATTGTTGCCATACAGCGCCGAATTGAAACCAGACGCACTGGGAAGCATTGCTCCGTTGAACTGACCGGATGCGCCGCCAATGGGCATGGCGCTCATTCCCGTTGGGGAGAGGGCTCCGTTGGGCTGTTGCATGAACAACTGCTGGGGTTGTTGACCCATTCCCTGAAGCATGGGCATGGTGTTGGTGGCCATGGCGGGGAAGGTCATCGGCTGGGGCGTCTGCATTAAGGACTGCATGTTGGACTGCCGCGATTGCAGTTGGTTGAGGCCCTGCTGTACACCGCTGCCCATCAGCGGGGGGATCAACTGACCGGCTGCCTGGGGCGATCCGATATGGGGCTGCATAATATTGGTCAAAGCTGTAAAGCAAAGCAAAATCAGACTGGAAAACACTGCGTAAATGAAAGGTATAGTGGTATACTATGTACATTAATTCTTTTATACCTGACCAGCTGTAAAATATTGCAATTGGAAGTTACAGTTAAGGTCAAGTACTGCTTCGGTATTTACTTAGCCTTCATTCAGCGGTACGAAATTTTATTTTTTAGACTAGAAAATTATGTCTCTTTGTGGTGACGGCTGATCAATATTTCATCGCGATTGGTTACCTCCGCCGGAACCGAAGAGCGAGGACATGTCCCCTTGGGCGGGTACAAAATTTTGTTGCAGCGGCGCTTGACCTTGCGTTTGCGGTTGCTGGGCGAACTGGTTCATGGTGGTCGGCTGCATCTGGTTAGGTGTATTCCCTTTTAGCAGCTGTCCCAGCTGCATTGGAAAAGACTGACCTTGCATAAATGGTCCGGCGACCGGGAAGCGGCCCGCTGGATCCGTTGGTCCGGCAGGCGAAAACTGCTGAAAGTTCGTCTTCTGCAATATTCATGCGCCTGACACCGGTGCACATAAGCCTACTCTTACTTACAATCAATAAATTTATTATCCTTTTTCATGATTAAATTAACTGCCTGTACCTCTTGCGGGAATCCAGCCGACTTCGAAATCTGCTCAGCGGCGTCCCATTTAGGTGACGTTGTCTGGGTGGCTGCTTCCTGTTTTTCCCGTTCTTCCTTGGCTAACTGCTTTTTATAGGCTTCTTCCAAGTGGAATTCTCTTTTTAACTGCCGTTTGCGCTCCTCTGTCAGCTCGCTAACGCCCATGTCATCCTTGGTAACACTGGACCGGCCTTCCGGGCGCGGTCTGGTGGTGGGAATGAAGGAGCTGCTGAGAGTGGTGGAGACCGGTGCGGCGGTAGTCGTCGTTGAAGCCAGCGTAGTGCTGATTGTCGTTTCAGCGAACGCGTAGATAACGCAGCACGCCTGGAGAATTAGTGAAATAACACATGCTTTGTGCATTTTCATGAAATTTTTTTCAGATGGAAGATACCAATGGCTTAATAAACAAAAAATAAAGCAAGAAATTTTCAGATCAAATATTTAGGATTGAAAACTCGCTAAGCTTTCAGTCGGTATGGTTGACCGGCAGCCGGGCACGTGTATAATATATTCATATGACACTGATGCTAAGGGGTCACATAAATGAACGTTCTGGGAGGTCTGTGTGCAGTGTGGTTTTGAAACAAAGAACAAGACATACAATTTAGTAGACTGCTGTAGTGCCTCTTTTGAACAGTGTACGTTTACGTCCTTGGCCAATTGTTATAGTTATTGCATCAGTTTGGTGCCCGGATCTATTGTCACACCTTTCAGACAAGTGACCTTGCAGTTCCGGCACTGTCTGCTCCGCATAAACGATGAGCCACTTTACTGGATCCACAGATGACCGACTTTTTTCTGCGTTAGTAGAAACAAACATCGTCCACACATTTTGTAAAACACGTATTTTGTAAAATAATTATTTTTCAAACATGTAACGTACAAAAACAATGAAAATAACAACAAGCAATAACAAAAACTCAGGAACTCAAATTCTAGTTGATACTTGCCAAATAAGGCAAAAGGGAGAATGTGTGTGCGTGAAAAAAAACCTTTACCGCAGCTCTAAAGTAGATCAAATTCATCTACGATCGGTAATTGACATTTCGCTTAACGTGGGCCAGTCGAGCCGAACGTCGAACAGGCGGAGGTTCTGTCGAAACTGAAGAAGCCACACTGCCGCGACTGCTACCTTCGTCATCGCTACTACTATGACCATCCGAACCGCTATTCGTCGCAGTGGAAGGGCTGGATCTGTTAGCGTTAACGGACCCGTTCGAGCCATCTTCATGGTTCCAACTACCGCTTCGGAGCTAAAAAAACGCGCTTACAGTTAAAACACACAATGTAATCGTTACAATTATCTACAATTACAAACATATGTAAAATTCATCACGCACTGATCTCGATTAACTGTCAAAACCATAAAGAACAATTTTTGCCATGAAATAATCACTGAATAAAATTACGTAGTACTTATAAAGCAGTTTGCTGATTTTGGCAAAATTACTATATGGCTATAAACAGCAAATTGCGACAAAAATTCATCAACTCAATAAAAAGGGCTTCAACTGTTACTAACAGAAAGCATCCTTACACTCAAAATGGGAGAATTCACCACACTATTTGTAAGAGTCCGGAAACCAGTCGTAGCCTCACTCAGCGTAGACAAGCCTTCACCGAAGCTCTCCAATGAACGTGCCGTTTGGAGCACAACAGTTTTTCCGACTTGTCCCAATGTAACTAAAGCTTCCTTTTCCCAGATGGTTGCCACTCGTACATCAGACCAGAACACCACCAATACCGACGCAACATACAAAGAGATTATTTCCCATTCTTCATTGAACGGTTCCGGTCGCAGATACCCGATATGTAGTATAATGGACAACAGAAAAGGTACAAAATGAGACAATACGGCATGCTCCATGGTGGGCCGGAAAGATCTTGTAAGGGCAAAGACGATTTCACATCTACAAATTATGATAACGCATAACACTCACTGGTTAAATCCAAATCGGAAATCGAATCAATTGCAGACAAAAACTACCGCTGATGGTAACTCCAATAAAAAGCGCCCAGCAAGCGATTTCTTTTTAATTTAATTCTGAAATACTGTCACAATTGTGAGCTACATTATGATTACGAGAACTACTTGTACAGATATTTTTCAGATTAAGGTTAAAACAGGCAGCTAACACAAGACTTTGAAGCACCTCGATGAAGTCTGATGTGCATTCTAATTAATTTACACATTCATTTACATTTACACAATAAGAATCGCTAGGTGGATACCGGTAAATAGGTAGATACGGACGTACATAAATCCAACGAAAATGATGAAAAGGAATGGTAATTTGGGGAAAACGACAACTTCTTGCACATGTTGGAATATAAGATCATCAACAAGAGCTCCAATGCAAACAGACTGCACAACAATTAGGATTTTGAGAAAAGCAATCTTTTTGGCGGAATTGTTAACTGAGGAATGTCGAAATAATGGCGCCCAGCATGATTTATACATGCGTAATCCCAGGAATAAAAAGAGGAATGTATAAACAGCCGATGGATGGAGTTTGACATTGTCTGGTGAGAATTTATCAAGAGCAGCATCATTTATCGTCATGTTCCTGTTGAATCACATTCACCACACAAGATCTCCCATTCGCCCATTGCCATTTTCCGCATCGCTATGATCGTGTTTAACAGTTCCTTGCGTTTTCTAACGCGAATGTCATTCCTTAAAAACACAATTATGAATTCTTCAGTTCAACAAAATAAAACTAAAGAAAAGCGCTGAAGCACTTATTATTCTTTCAAATATGTAAACCTTTATCAAACCGATGTAAATTTTGTCTTCGCAAGATGTTTAAAATAAATGATGTTGCCTATCGGGAAGCTTAATCGGCTGCCATACTTCGAAAAACATCAACTTTTTCACCCAGCAACAGTAAAATTTCTCAAACAATTATCAAGAAAATCTACTAACTAGCGAAACTAAAAAAAACGGCCTTTAATACAACAAAGAACAAGAATATCTACTTACCACTCCAGTCGCACATTTTTCCCAACGAACGACCTCTCCGTGCACTGGAATTATCATAGTGAACTCTTTCTTTGATTATCACCGATTCACCGGAAAGTACGAGGAAACGCTGCATCACAATCCACAATCACACATAAAACTCTGGTGGACAGTCCAGCCGATTTTGGGCAACAAATAAGAACTGTCTACATTTCTTGCAAGTCTTAATGCCGCAGCGGTAGGAAACAATCTCACCGTTAGGCTGCGTGGTCTGACAGAATTTCAAGCCGCACGGATACCAAACAATGCATAAGTTGTAAGAACAAACACACGGCTGTCCACTGAGTCCCAACGCAATATCACAAGCGGGAATTCCCTCAAATTTAGTGGGTAATGTGGTGTTGCGAGCGGCTAACGATTCTTCGGGAATTAGGAAAAATGTTTGGACCAGTGTTCTTCTACACAGAGGAAAGGCGTGGGATACACTGACAGAACTGAAAGTCGCTTGCATGTAAAACGATTGCGGCGGTAGCTCTTCTTCTGGTCGGCGTACAGTGTGCGGATTTTTCTGGCGCAGCTTAGAGATGGCATCAGAGGAAATATATTCCTCACTGCCCAGTGGGACGATAAAACAAAATTCCTGAAAACAATCAACAAAGATAAACGCTGCGCTTTCTGTAGTATACAATACATACTACGATAACCGTTTGCACACAAATAATTTATATACCCACAACGAATTAACGAGTACGAATTTCTTCCAAGTTTTCTGGAATTGCTCAAAATCATTTTGAAATTATCAAAATGCCTGCGCTTGGCTGAAAATGCTCATATTACAGTACTGACCGTTAACCAACTCCAAATTCAAAATTCTTAGCAAAGGCAACCATTGCTTTTACTGATCCTAACCATTACACCTATGCATCTACAGTACTTCATCAATATTTTCTTTAAAGAATTACTGCCGAATTAATCAAAGTGCGAGTCATACACCGACCATTTAAAGTCTTGGAATACAGAAATTGCAACTATTAAATTTAAAAAAGAAACCTGTTTGTTCATTTGTCCCTTATTGGTGGTAGGAGGAAGCAAAAGATGAAAGCCCTGCATGGCCGTTGGGAAATCAATCAGGTGGTTAATGGATGTTCCATCGAACTGCTTAAAGCTCAACTTTATGGTATCATCTGTCACATTCGCGTCGAAGGTTTCCTAATAAGACATGCAGCATTAGAAACAATCTAAATCTGCCGTTTTGGAACAAGTATACTCGTACATATATCTAAATTCAGAGAATGCATACTCGTACAAGATATCAAATGCCGCAACATCAAAGCCTTCCTCACAAACGATTCACGGAAACAACGCATAAGCAGTACTAACAGTAAGCACATGCAGTTCCTTACTTGCAAAACATCGCCGCCTTTGTTTGCAATGTTCACCACTAATGGCTCCGAACTGGCGTTCAAAATCATGAGAAATCCACTCCATAGCCAGACAAAAACAATATTATTCTGAATGGCAATGGACGCGCTCAACATCCTTTATTTAACTGATCCTAATATGAACGGCCAAAACGATCCTCTTTGCAAATCAATTAGATTTCAGTCATTGTATACTAGTTTCCGAAGCCGCAAGCCTGGCAGATACTGAGAGCAAGTATTTGTATTTTGTATTGCAAATACAAGGAAAGCAGCTGATAAATATACCCTAATTATAACGTTAAAGTTTAAATACAAAAAAACAAAACGAGCACGAAGCCCAAGTTCTAAACTGCCAGACAGAAAAGTGACAAGAAGCAAGAAGGGACTGCGCAGAACACTGCCCCGCAGGGTGGGTAGTTAGTAACAGCGATATCTCTAGTTTCGGACAAAAAAAGGCGAATTCCAGATAGGAAGTCGTATTATTAGTGCTCTGTATATCTACAATAAATAACTAGCGAAAGCTCCCAGTGCTCTTTGATTCCATTTTTTGCTTCCATACTTTAATGGTTTGATATGAATGGTAACAGCTAATGGTCCGAAATGACTCCGAATGTTTTCAATGCGAACAGCATGTCTCGTTTCGGTACCGTAGATGTAGTACGAACAGGGACACAGTACAGTGTAAGTACAGTTAGCACATATCTTTGGTAATTGGTGATACATAATTTACTTGATTATATCTATATCTATATCCTGTTATGGCTATAAACACATACTATCAAATTCATTTGATCTGGTCAAGAAATTAAACGTATACTTTATTTACAAGTACTGAGAAAACTAATTACAAAACTTAACCTGCGCGCAGTTTGCCATCAAAGTACTTATAAACAGGCGCGGTCAGTGTACATGAGGCGTTCCAACCCATTCCCAGAAATTTACAGTTAATTTACATTTTGTTGAAAAAAATGAATTTTTCTCACTAATATTATTTCTCTGAAAATGAATTTCGCTCAGGAACAGTGCACTGAAAAAATATCGGTTCCCGCGATCCTTTCCTTTTGACACAAAATCGATCCTCCAGGGCCTTTTGTATTTCTAGGAACGATTTGCCTTTTGTTTCTATTAGCATCTTCGACAGGAATATGGTCAAAGTTGCGGTAACTCCGGTAAAGATCGTAAACGTCCATTCCATTAAATGAGCTTGCATTATGGGGAAAACCGCTGTAATAATCGTCGATATAGATAGACATACGATGTACGTTAAGGCCGATGCCGACTGTCTCGAGGTCATGCCGAACATTTCAGCCGGTAGCAGGAACGGCACACTTGCCGGTCCCAGCGCAAAGAACACCATGAAAAGTATCATGGCCACCAAATTGCCATACTGGCAGGTGAAACATACTTCGTATTTCGTCAGTGCCGCGAACGCCACCATGGCCGCCGTACACAGCGAACAACCAAACAGGCCGCCGAGGAGCATAATCCGTCTTCCAACAATGTCCAACAGCCGCGAACCGAGAAGGGCAATCACGGCTGATAGCGCCGTGAGGATAATTGTTCCGTAGGATGCTAGCGCTTTGGTTATTCCACACTGTCGAAACATCTCCGTTGAGTAGACATAAACCGCTAAGTAGCCGGTAAACCGCTGGGCGGCAATGGCCAGTAAACATATGGCCGTAGTTTTCCGTAAAAACCCGTCACGAAATAGGTCCAACATGGATATTTTGTAGATGGTTAGTTTTCGGGCTTCTTCTAATTCACTTTCGATAAGGCGAATGTCGGCTTCCACGTTCTGCCGTCCACGAAGACGTTGCAGAGTGCTTTCGGTTTTCCCGGTATGTTGCATTTTCCTGCAGAGCCAGCGCGGACTCTCCGGCAAGAAATAATATGATACAACGAAAAGGATGCTTGGTAAAAGGAGTATCCATGACATATGCTGCCAGTTGGCCGAAGTTCCGAGTATCTGCGGCAATCCGACAATGTCCGCAATTAGTACCCCAATACTGAATGATGCTGTAACAACGACGTTCAAAGCTCCGCGATGTTTATCAGGACTTATTTCAGATACGTATACGCCACAGGCTGAGCATCCGAAACCGTTTCCCAGACCGAAAATAAGTCGTCCTGTGAAGCAAAAGTATAATGTATTTAACATGCTCGAAAGGACATCAATTTTATTGTGAAAAGCGTTATGTTTATGGTCGATGTCCTTTATGGTTATTTTAGTCTGGTTTGACCTAGTGAAATCGTTTAAAATTATTAGTACGGTGCGGACACCGAAAGCGTACAATTATATAAGTCGATTAGTTCTCAAGCCACATTAGCTGTGTTTCTTACCTGCAATGAATAACTCGTGTGATCTAGCAGCAACACTGAATCCAGCTGTGAGACTCCCCACCATTTCCAGCAGGTTGCACAACAGAAGTGTCCTGCGGAATCCTAGCCCTTCCACTAGATAATTGGTGACCAATGCTCCCACGGACACGCCCAACATGACCCCACATCCGACCATACTCCATATGGCACCGAGTTTACCGTTTTCTCGCAGATGCAGGGACGTCTCGTTTTCAGCATTAGCAAAGCACCAAAGAATAGCGTTTGTTTGCGTATCATTCATGCTAGTGACCCCGACCGTGGCAAAATGGTCCGTTATGCGAGCGCACTCAATTTGGCGAATCCAGTTGATGATTAGATCCTGGGGGACATTCACCTGAGCAGCAATGTAGCCTCCTGCAAACCATGTGGAAAGCGCCGCCATAAGGGACGCGAAAAATGTTGTAGCTGTTAAAGGGTCACGGTTGACGGCAACAGCCTTTTGTCCCATTGTATTGTGCATGGAGACGTCGTCGCAGTGAGAATGTATTTTGCTTATGGTGCAATATCTGGACTGTTAGCGCACTATATCAGTACTGGTATCAATTTTTCGTTTGCGCTTATATAGGTATTCATGTACACCCTACCATCCCAAACGTTAATGCGGCGCTGCGGTGTTTAATTTATTGTATGTACTTATAGATTGTATCTGTATATCTTCTCCAAGAAGTGCCGAGCAAGTCGGTAAATACTGCAAGCGATGTGCATAAAAACAGCTATGTGAAGATACGAATATAGTATACGGTCTATACAGAACACGTCATTATGTGGCTGGATCGTTGCAGCGCGTAAAAAATTGTTCCCAGTATAGCGATTTGATTGACGACAGTGTTTGAATATGTTTTCGAGCAAGCCATCGAAAGATAAGCGGTAACAGTTAGGTACCGGCAGTTAGCGGCCTTGAATTCTCAAGATTTGCGATTAAAGCGTAGCTAATTTTATCAGAAAGCCCGGAAATGGTAGCAGGACTAGACACTGTATGTTATCGATTCGTTGCAATAATGGCGTGCCGAGTATTGCAGTTTTACGTAAGCTATTGCAAATACATAAAGTACAATAGCTATCGCTAAATAAAATAATTAAAAGGGCAATGCAACCTTTTAGCCAAATGCTGTGCGCCTTTCATTTGGGCAAATGCTAATTACATAACATTATTATGTTGACGGTGGTTTCCGAATGGAAGCATTGGCCAGTGCTGCACAATCTGTTGGTGGGGTCGGAGCACAGAAGGGCACGGTGTCATCCCAGTTGGTATAGGTCATGTTAGCGGTGGTGAAGCAGTAACGAGTCAGTACATTATTCACTGTGCTTGCTACATAATCCTTTGTGGATTTATCCAACGCGGACGGCTTGCTGCGGAGGTTGATCCAGAATAACGGAGAGTCGCAATATAGCGATGTTGTGACAGGATTAGCGCACCGGTACGCGATTTCAATCAGGTTATAGTCAGTGTACAGGATGCTATAGTTCAGGTTTGCTAAAATAAAACCCACCAGATCTTTACTAAGACAGTAGGACACCATAAAATAAAAATGCCAGAAACAACCTATTTACAGAAATAAAATGATATCGCATACTGGAACATAAATTATCACGACCTTTCTGAGCTGATTGTACGTTTCGTGAAACTGCGGACTTACTGCGGGTTCCGGTTCCTCCAATGGACTGTGGCAACCAAGCCGCCACTGACTCTGTTCCGTCGGTTGTAACGTTAGCGACAATGCACATGCCAATGCATTGGTAACTGCTTCCAGGTGGTTTAATGGAAAATGTGATTGTCCAGTTGAACGCGATGGTCACACCGGTCACTGAATTCGTTGTGGCGTTCAACGGGGTGTAAATGTTAATGCAGTTGTAATCGGAAGTGCCAGGAGCATAGAACATGTATTCATACCATACACCGGCAATCTACACGAATGTTTGATTTAGTATATGGCGTATCGTGAATGCGATTACAGTATATCATTATTATATGCATGCTATAAAAGTAATGCAGCACTTGAAAATAAAACTGAATTATGGAATTCGTGATTTACCCGCAAAGGATCTATCGAGACTCCGGAAGGATACAGAGGCATTCTGCAGTTTTGAGAAATTGCTGCTCCCACCAAACACCCAAAAAGCACCGTCAAGACTTTTGCGTACGCCATCTTATTAAAAAGGTAGAGCACTGCAATGTTTTATTCAAAGTGTGACCGTAAATCGTTTGCGTAGTGTTCCTTTATATGGTACTTTGAACATCCTTTCAAACCTTCTGGTCAGCATTTTACCGTACGCAAATTATGGAGTGTGTCACGTTTCCGTATTATGTATAACATAAACTGAGGTTTCAGTTAAATTACCGGTCGCAAAGTGTCAGCGCAGCTGCTAGAACCATACGTACGTCATTTTGAGCGATATTTCCGCATGTTGTCCGTTAAAACTGGAATAATTTTGTCAAGAATGCTTTTCTTTGCACAATTTAGAGTCCTTAAAAGTGAGGACCAGCACTTTAAGACGACGAAACGACTTGTATTGGTGCACACCCACTTACTTTCGGAATGGAATGCCTACGTACACAGCCTTTAAACGTGGCAATAATTATAAATTTTTGACTATCCGTGTTTATCGCCATTGCCCATTGGCTTTTTTACTGTTTTTATACGATTACTTGTATTGCACAATGAATAGAGCTATGTAAAACGAATACCAAAATTTTAGACTGATTAAACAAAAACATCTGCCCGTCAAGTGCATTAGCACTTTGGTGGTAATACGAGGATAAGGGCAATCTCGTATCGTACAAGGATAATTAAGCTTTTCATTACAGAAGTGTACATATATACCGTACTAATGTCTGTGCTCTATAAATTATTAAATCTTGTGTTCGAGTACGATAATCTCGTACTATGCGTAATTAAACTGATTTAGTGGTGACCGGAGCGGCGGAGCTACGTCCTTGAATTGTGATGTTTGTTATTCTTATGACTGATTATCTACCTGCGTAAATTTTTCGGATTCGGTTGCAAAATTGTTAATACAATGTCTGCATCTTCACCCATTTTTAAATTGTTGTCAACTATAGCTCCTAATGGTACTTCTCCAGGATAAATACAATACTGAATAAGACAGCTGGAGGTGTTTTAGAGAATTCCAAAATACCAAAAAATTATTGATTCATTGGAATCTAACAAGAAAAATCTTTGCATCCGGCAAGATTCTTGCGACGAACGTCAAACTCCGTTACGATTACGTACAAAATATTCTACCGGTAGTTTACACCCAGTATTGTTCCTGATTCCTATGCCGGTACGGATTTCGCAGTTCATTCATAACCGCGTTGCGGTTGACTAATACATTCAGGGAGTCTGGGGGTCGTCGTGGCTCCCGATTCGGTGATAAGTTGCGCAGAGTCTCTGTCCGGGCGTCATAGAGGGGCGATGTGGGAGCACTATGCGGTCGGTGCCACGTATCATGTACCGGTTCCATATCGATATACGTTTCTACCGGCTTCACAGAAGCCAGTGAAGTAGCCGATGTCCGCGTATCACGGTCGATCCACGTGTTAACTTTGCCGTTGTCGTAGGAGTCCGTCTTGAATGGCTTCAGGAGTTTTTCGCGCAGCTGGAAGGAATCGGTGGTAGTGATCTGTCGTTGCATGCTCAGTCGTGGACTGTTCGGCCGAGGAGGACGTATTGACTGCAATGCAATAAAAGCGACAATTGCAAAAAAAAGGTTGACCGTTTGGAATCTTAAGCAGGGAAGCATTCATCGCTTTAAGCGATCTATTGGACGTGTGCGTACTTCCAAAAGTTCTTCTAAGCGCAATGTTTTATGGTCATCCAGAGTCGGCGTTATCATGCACGAATTCAGCAAGAATTCGCACACCATGGATGCCTGAAAAGATGCACAACTTTCGTAAATGCAGCGCCACTCAAATGTATTTTGGGCATAACTAAAATGTGGGCACCCGCTTTCAAAAATCGGAATTATGTAATGTACATATTATCGCAATACACCAGTCTTAAAGTTACTTTTTTAGATTCTAGAATGTTGATTGCACATACAATTCCAAACAGACCCATGGCAGAGCCAACATGGATGAGCATCAATATTATTGAAAACCTCCCGGCTTTTCCATGTACATCGAACACTATGCGAATGCCCCAGAATTTCACCACATCTCGTCGAAAAACATTGTCGCGATCATAATAGTAATAAGGATGCCTACAAAAAAACCATGTATGCAACACAATTATTATGATGCATTTTGAGCATACAAACTTTAATAATGCTGTTGCATAAGTACAATATGAGTACGTATATACGCGCCTTCGAAAATTACTAAACAAGAATTGATCATGAGTATTTTACTGAGTGGATGAGTGGTATGGTTAATCTTATCAAGAAACAAAATCTATAATACGCGTATAACTACAGAAAAAACCTGAGACAACGAGATCGAAAAAAACATAACATAATAAAAAAGGCCCAAAAGGGTATCGTGGATTTCCGATGGGAAAAGAAACTAAACTTGAACTGTCTGATAAACTAAACTTGAACAACCAAGATTTCGATCCTGCAAGTTGCGGTATCTAAACATCGTTCACCGTAATAAGGCCTGGTGTGCTCAGTGTGTAGTTTGTACTTCACAATATCTCCAGTATTTAATTTGTACGAGTATTTTACAGAGAGAACTTTACCGAATTTGAAATTTAAAGAAATAACCCAAACAATCAACACAACTATATTCGCTGTATTCGCCGCGCAATTAACAGCCACCTTGTGATTAAGTTAGAATTTGATCTGCGACTGTAGACCACAAGAAACGCGGAGGCGAAGCCGAGGCAGTTTCTTGTAATTTATAATATCGAGCAGATTATAGCAGATAGAGATACAATATTTCTCATTAAAAGATACACATTTCGCTAGTATTATGCCAACCGGAAGTTCCAGCCGGTGCTAACTTTAGCATGCTGGTCATCCAAACGCTTGAAAGAGTATTTAGGACGACAATATTCCTCATCATAGTCAAGATCGCATTTCCACTCAATGTTGAAAGAGATCACTCCTCCCTAGAATAATTCAATCAAAACTTACAAGTGCATACAAGTGTAAACAAGGCAATGTGAGAAGACAAGTTCGCCATAAATTAGAATTCCCCGTGGAAATGCGATACGACAAAAAAGCAACAGAAAACTCTCGAGTCCTTTACATGTGAATCGATTTGAAACATTCAGTTAAAACACCGTACCGGTCAAAAATATAATATACATATCATGATATCTGTAGGTGCATCGAATCTCTGCTAGAAAGTGTTTTTTGTGTTTTTCGTCAACAGTGAACACTGAGCGGTTTCGATTTCCAAAGAAAATAGCAAAACCAGTCCGTACCTTAACGGCTATCTTGGCCACGTCGAGATCTTTCTCGGCATCTTTTACAATTTGTACTAGAGGAAAAATTGGACAATATGGATCGTCCTTTGGGTGGTAGCGACACTCTTTTAAGTATTCTGCTGAGAAGTGTGACAGCATATTGGATCTACGAAAACGAATGAACACATATATAATGAATGATTAAATGTATTTAATCATCGTTAATTGTGGGTGCACATCCCTCCCATTTTTCGTGTTTATGGCCATTTGTCGGCTTTCATTGGTTTGTTAGTGGCTTCGTTTCCTCCGAGTTGGAGATTCTGAGATGTTTCCTTGTTGCTGGAGAGTCGTGTGCTGTGTTGAAATCAGTTTTTGCAGTTTTGGCAAGGGAATTTTTCTCCCTCCCGCCCATTCCCATTGCATTGTTCTTGTTTGGTTGTTTTTGTTACATTCATTTCACCTGTATTGTTCATATTGATGGTTGTTTTATTAAAGGGGGGCTGACGGGCCTGCGCCCAGAAGTCTTCCAGTTCCGGCAACAATATGCTCATTTTCATGGAAGACACCCACAATTAATTGATCGTAAAGCGGACGTGCGTACATATGATTTCATAAAACGTTTTTGCTGATTCGTAACTTCACTGACCTGCGCACATCGAATCTGGGAAAATTGATATAATTTTTGACCATGATGGTGACGGTGTCGAAACCGCTTAGGGTTGGTTTACTACAACCGAAAAGAAAACACATATTTTGCGCAAATTTTATAGTCATTAATTATCGCATTCCGCTTTTGTTTGGCCACTGGCTATTTACCTGGGAGGTGTGTCCACTTCAACCGGACACCAACCACGAATTTGGCAAGTGGAGGTCGTTCGGTTACAAATCCCGGTTTGGATGCCGTTTCCGTATTTGACCTCCTTATCTCGCGTGCAGTGAGAATCCCGGGTGCAATCTCTGCCTTCTCCCGTTCCAGAGCCAATATCCTGGGGCTAGAGTACTTTATTACACGCGCCAATGCTGCTCATTTGTAAGATTTATTTTGACTGCACATGCATGTTCACTTGAAGGTGAATGGTCAATAGTTTCAGCGACTCATCCTTGGGCAAAACTTGATGTTTAATGGTCCTCTCCAATGGTTTAACTCCCAACTATAGAATTAAAGACAGGAAATATTCTGCATACCTCGGCACAAATTCCTTGGGTTTGGTTGTAGGTGTAAACAAAATTTGTTGCGATGAAAATTGCGTTATTCTCCTAGAAAAACCAGCGCCATGTACGGTATGTACAGCAGTATATGTAACTCAAGGTACGTTATTTGACGCGTTTCTATCAAGTAAATGAATTTTCACGAAGACTATTTTGATCTAATCGTAATATCCGAATAATATTAAGAAAGAAATTCAAAGAATATCAAAGCTCCATGCAACTACAGTAGTATTGTTGCTACAGCCTTAATACAAGCCCATCCAACAATTCTTTGACCGCTGTAAGCGCAGCGCATATAAATCGCGCACAGTAATGCAAATACGCATCGTAGTGTAGTGGCAGATATATTTATAAATATTCAACCAACAATAATATATTAGATCACAATTAATCACCGATAAAGCATCATCACAATTAAAATTATCAGGTTAATCAACAAAACCAAACAGATCGCAGTTAGAATTATCACAGTTAAATTATCAGTAATTACAAAAGAAACAGATCAGTTTATGAAGTTATGAAATATGAACTACCATCCATAAAACGAAATATGGAACGAAATATCAGTACTCAATTCGAGCGCCACCCGCGTGGAAGACCTTCTCATATGGCACTGGAATAGATTTGTAAAGATTCTGGCAGAGTTTTGTTGTGGCAGACATCACCCAGGCTTCTTTTATCAGATGACGCAACTGCAGCACGCATGCAGATTTGTTGCTTATTTACGCTGAATACAGTTTTTATTGATTTCACAAGAAGCGGTAACATCACTGTTCACAAGAAGCGGTAACATCATCACGCTGAATACGCAGACCCATGTGGCGTGACGTGTCGAAGCACATTAAATGGCTCAAGCCCACGTTTCTTTAAATTCCCGCTTACAGCGGTCAAAGAATTGTTGGATGGGCTTGTACGTACAACTGGAGAGACAAATTGTCAACTTTTTACGGCGGTATCGGGTTTAATAGCTTGAATGCAGCGGCTCTGCAGCTGATGTAGAAATTAAATATCGCCGTACGTAATCATTACAGTTTTATACACTACAATACTCTTACCGTACCACTGGTGGAATGACGTAATCTTGGCTGTCCCAGACTTCTTCTCGCCCATTCCGGTGACGCCTTAAGATGCCCTTTACTTTAGAAATGATGCTGCTGTCGGGTTCATCGATTGACTGATAGCTTTTTGAATGAACCAATACATATCTAAATCAAACCAGAAGCGGTAAATAATCAGGGATATGCCTTAAATGAGTTACCTCCGAGTGAGAAATACTGTGTATGAGTTACAAATGTGGAAATAGTAGCGAAATAACTAGTTCTGTTGCAATAGTAACTTCCGTAAATAATATAGCGACGACAGGAAGAACGGATGTTATCATAAGTTCTCAACACGAACTTGCGTGATGTCGCACCAATGCTTCAATATCTAGCCCCGGCAAATTAATTTCTCGCACTACTGGGACAGGGTTCACTTTATATTAGTAGTAGAATCCATATAAAACCTTGTGCATGCTTTTATCTCATTTGTCAGTGCACGATTTTTTCTTAGTTTGTGATATATACGGACTTCGTGATATATACGGAATTTGTGATTTGTGATATATACGGAATTCTCATATAAAAATGGGCGATAAAGTTTATTTACAGTAATCAAATTACGATGTTGTGGCAGAGCATCAACTTGCAAATATGACGGCTTGCTTGAGTTTTGATGCCATATGCGCTGGTCGATTATAATTTCTGTTGATTAATTATAAAAAACTTGTTTTCTTTTGTCGATTTATTTTATCTTTTGAACAGCATAACTACCTACTTTGCTTGCAACTTTATGAGAGTACAATTTTATATTACGAAATATGCATTGGTGAGCATGACCAGCCATATCCGGTTTATTTTATATATTTGCAGGTTTGATAATTCACCATAAGTTTTCGATTCAGAGTTAATAAACGTGTGCAATTTTCCCGTAGGATGACCGCGAATGCATTTATTGTTGTTTTCTTCGCTATTCAAGCCGACTGAGTGGGTTCGATAATTGTATTGTACTCGTATATCAGTTACCAAATCAAAAGCACAGATGCACTCGGACACATAATTTGGTTATAGCTCCCTGCACATACAAAAGTTTATAAGCTAATAATGTCATTGGCAAATTAAGCACAGCCATGTCCGGCATTTCGGCGAGCATTACAAGGCGGAGGAGATTTAAATATTAAATCATTTTTATGAATATTCTGCATATTTTTTTGCGCAGTACTTACCCAATAACATACACTAGAACAAGTACGCGCATCAGCGTGTAGATCATTCCCAGATATCTGCAGCGGACAAGAAGCGTTCTTGGAGTGTGATACCTGCGCCAAAAAAATGCCACAACATTACAAAGTATACAATACAAATTTCTTTATCCAAAACCTTAAAACTGCAAATCCATTTCGAAAATGCGTATCGTACTCGAGCAGGGACGGTGAGACGCGGAAGTAGAAAAGCTTAATCCTGTTCCAGAATGTTGAACCGGACATTGCGCGATAGGTTGTTTATTGCAAGCGGAATGCAGCGTGTTTTGTGACCGTGTAGTATACGTGTTGCCGTTGCGCTGGAATTAAACTGACACCAAAGGGGAACACATCTCATATCCCGAATCAGATGGACAACTGATAAATTGCCGCTGTTTTAATTGGGGGATCAGATGTTGCTCTAGAGTCGTTGAATGAACAAAACGATCCGTTGAGTAGCGGCATAAAACGCAGGATTTCATGATCAGGGTTACTTGTTAGATTTGTCGCTTTTCATGATGTGCATTGATACGATGCCGTATTTTTTATTTTACGATGCAGTAGTAGTAAACATTCCCACTGGCATATTCTCGGGGCGTTTGACACGAATGTCAGCCCCGCACAACAGCCTTAACGATTTGTCCAGGGTTTATTTTAGGAAAAATGTTTGACGGCGTTGAACCTCGCTTGAGCTGCATACAAGTCGTGTTACGGCGCGTTTGAAACTTTCGTTCATGATGTCCATGCAATTACACAACCGGAAAATGAGAGGGATAAACGGTCGTCAGTGGTTGCATCCAAAATATTAATCACAACTTGTCCTGCAAGTTCAGTTGGCGTAACATCTGGTAACTCATCGTCGATCCTAAAAATATGTCGAGTATCGCGGACAAAACTCGGGGGAGGATGCAGAGACACTCGGCGTTAGCGCAGTATTGCGATGACAACAAACATGTGTACAAGTACGAGATATTCGCGATGCGCAGACTTTATTTCCCTGGAGCGCGGTGCCGGAATATCAAGTGAAATATCAAAGCTTAATGAAATATAATCGGTGTCGTGACAGTGAAAATAAATAAGAATGACGGTACTTCCATACAAGTATACATGGTATTATGTAATGCAAACTACATATTAGCGTATGCAGCAGGAAGCGTTCGGGGGGATTGAAACTGAAACATCAGCGAGTAAACTCTACGAAAAACGGAAAATATTCGTGCCGTGTAGAGTTAGTCCGGGGCGCACGTCTTCGGGAAAATCGTTGTCGTCCAGCCAGCACAGAATGCACCGTGCAAGTGCAGTACCGCACACTGATGCCGACAACGGGATTGTCCGTATCGTAATTGAATTTAATAGTAATTTAAAACGAGCACTCACATATGCAAATACGGTAATTGTTTCCTTCCCATTGGATTTGTCTGCACATTTCATTAAAAGAGAGCCAGAAACGGTTGCGTAGTGGTCGAAACATTTGGATTCTGCAATGGGTGCCTAACCGAAATACAATTGCATAATTACAAATACAGTACTAACGCTGGATTCAGAGGGTGTAAAACTGTCTGCCCCAGGCTTTCATGCCTCAAGTACTGTACATCTTCTATTATAATCCAGTCCTTTAAGGTGGTCCCATTTGGAGTTTGTGCGTCTATTTCCAAAAGAAAGTTATTCAAAATTGCGAATACAGAGAAAATTTGAATAAAATTGTCTGCCATATTGTTTGCTAGCATGCAGTGAGTTACAAGTTAGCATAATTACTGCACTTAAATGTCGCCGCTGGACGCAGCATCGGCTAACTTTCACAAAAGACAACAACTTTCGAAAAAGACAGCGTAATAAAACCATTATGGTAAAACACTGTTTATCAGCCTACAAAGAAATCGCATTGTCCTAAAAGTCCACTGGACACGGGGACACTTTAAGGATTAATAATATTTGGTCAACAATACATAATAATTATGGTACCGCACAAGCACGAGGAAATGTTGTTTCCGGGTGGCAGTCGCAGTCAAACCTGTCCGTACGGCCGGGTACTACGGACCTTTCGCAAACGTCTACGGTGACAGTCTACCCTACGAGGCTACGAGTAGCGTCTAAACAACTTTTACTGTACTAAGTTTTACGCAGTCAAGACTCTAGGCTCATTGCAAGTCTGCCACCAAACAGATTTGAAATTTTAAATCGTTATTAATTTTCTCTTTCCCTCTTTCGGTATCGCATCAGTTTCATGGGAAGAAACTCCTTGGTTTGATTGGCGTTGCTTCCGAGTATCCGTATTCGTGGATTGGTCGGGACTTATCATTTATGATTCATCTGGACTGGACTTACTGGAGTGCATCTCCTGGCTGGTAGTCGTATTGTGTTGTTTTTTCTACATCTCCCGTATAAATTCATCTGAGAAATGGTAAGGCCAGGATTCTTACAAGAGCATAAAGAATTTGTTTCGTTGTTTAATAATTTGCTCTAATCCTGACAGGGAGAGAGAAAGGGCCAGAACAAGTACTACCCGCCCGACTGGCGTCCAGAACTCGGCGGATTGAACAAATTCCATGGCACTCATGCCTTGGCGGAACGCGCCAGCAAGATCCATCTGGGCATCCTTACAATTAGGTACTAATGAAAGATTGGAAATTTCTAGTGCTTTTGCGAGTCTTTAAGGGTGTCAGATCTCGTTTTGCGGAATGTGAGGTTATTGCGGATCGTGTGTTCTGGCTGTGTGTTTTTCTGTGCTTGTATCTTGTGTTTTTAATTTTTCAGTACGAATTGTATTCATTTAGGTTTGAGATGCCATTCAACATCTGGTGCGATGGATGTGGTAACCATATCGGAATGGGTGTGAGGTACAACGCCGAGAAACGGAAAGTTGGAATGTATTACACCACCCCGCTATGGGAGTTCCGGATGAAATGTCATTTGTGTGATAATTATTTCGAATTTCGCACGGATCCCAAGGTATGTGTTCTGTATATTGTTCATGAGTGCTGTACGAGTACGGAGTACTCATTTCGCGCAATTCTTAGAAAATATACCTGCTTAATTTTATATAATGCTGTACTGGCTGAAATTACTACAGAATGGAACCTCATTACTTAGCGCACTGTCAGAAGATTGAATTTACGCCACACGTTATACTGATCTGCGCTTGTAGAATTTCGATTATGAAGTGGTCAGCGGCGCGCGACGTCAGGAACGACGTTGGGATCCCGAAAGCACCGAAGCAGTGGTGGCTACGGATAAAGCCACGTCACAAAAATTGCTTACCGATGCCATGTTCAAGCTGGAACATGGAAAGGATGACCAGATTAAGGCTGCGACCACGAAGCCTGTCATCGACCAGTTGACGGATTATCAGTCCCGCATGAAAGACGATTATGAACAAAATTCCTTACTACGGAGCGCTTTCCGGGTATGAGTGTGATGCGTCCGATTTAATTTAATAGTGTAGATTTTAGATCTGCGTTTTTGACCGGATTGATTAGAATGATGTTTCATGTTATTATGTGGTAAGTATTGATTCACTACCATAGAGACTAGTAATGTTAAGAAAAAACACTATAGACTATAGAGTATAGATACGTTGAACTATTCATGCCTGACAAGTGAGCGGAAGGAGTTTAGTCATTTTACGTTTCATGTTGTGGTGCGCATGCTTGTTAATTTCTGTTGTGCGTACAGATATATGTTATCGATTGTTCTTCTGCAGTCCGAGAAGAAAAAGATAAAATTAGCCGAGGATATCGACAGAAATTTGATTAAAAAGAGCAGCCTTAGCATTAGCCTTGTGCCGGAAACGGAAGAAGATCGCCGCACTGCGTCGTTAATGAAGTACATGCAGAGTGAATCAATGGAAGAACGTCAGAAACGAAAACGTGAGGAGATCGATGAGCGACCGGTACTGCCATCCAGTGTCGCCTCACCTCTGCCGACGACCGTGATGAAGAATCTCTCCTTCCACTTGATGGAGCCCGAGAAGCTTCCATCTCCTTCGGCCTTGGGTATTGTCCTTAAAGGGCAAAAAGTCCAAACGGAACAAAGAGATCGTGTTAGCGGCGAGGGATCCGCTTCTACTCATTGTCAGATGCAACCAGGAAAGTCTTCGCTGTCGTTGGTAATGGACGGATATGGGAGTTCCGACAGCGACTAAATATGGAAAAATTGTTTTAAAAGTGTTTACAACTGTGATATTATTTTTATATTGTGAGATTTGAGCAGATGGTCGGTTTCACCTTTTAATGGTCGGTTGTACGTACGGTCCGTAGACTCCGTACGTAATAGCAACTAAATGCTTGAGTAAAGAAAAAGTATGTGTATTGTAAATGAGCAACGGTATAAATTTTGGCACCCTCCGTTATGATTTTGTGACCATTAATATTTAATGTGCAGTGCCGATTAACCTTTTTTATCGTTTCTCTTTTAACAGCGGCAATAGGAGTACGAGTGCTGAAACATTTTACATGATAAAACATTTTAGTTGTTTAGTTGTGTTTATTAAAAATGGACAGATCCAAATCCCAAGCGAGATCGGTGTCAAGTTTTGCATAAATTTTCATGATTTACCCGCACGATAGCGTTGCGCCCGCCCTGTGGCGACAGCAGTATGCCCACATTGAATCCGCAAGTAAAATTTTGAGTTCTGCAAAAAGCCATAAAAACACAAACGGTTTTCTGCGTTCTTATGCCTTGTAGAATACGTCAAATATTGTTGGATTTCCCAGTTTTTGTAATAGAAAATTGTTTCAGGGTTATATCTAAAACATTTCTAACAGACCATTATCGAGAATTATGAATAAAATAGCCTATTTTGGAATCAGCGCAACGAGCAGCGCGCTGGCAATCGTAGTTGCCAAAGCATACAGATACACTCGTACACGCGAATTCATGTTCCCGCGCGCACACCATATTCCTAGTGCCATCGTTCTTCCTTTTGTTCTTCCAATCACTTGGATTTCATGATGGTGCTCTTGCCATACAACTCCTGACAGTAATAAGTCGAGGAAACAAACTTGGATTTCCTGGAGCTATGACGAATTACTGACTTAATTTGATTTAATCTGCACGCAGTGCCATAAGGTAAGAATGCCAATAATAATTATTTTTATCTAATTCTGATATTGGCAAATTTAAATTTTATTTTACAACACGTATGGGCTTTTAAAATTTTTTGATAAGTTTTGACAAAACCAGTTAATAATTCATTAAATTATAAATCAAATCTAAAAAAAGCAAAAAAATTGGACAGTTTACTACTGGGACGGCCCTCTTTTTTTGATTGGCGGAACATGTTTCAGCAAGTTCATTTCGTTCACTGCTAGTGAAGAAGCAGCTTGTCGTTGCGGAAGCAAAAGTTAGTTGATCAGTCTGAATTTTTTAACTCCAGATGTGATTTCTGACTTTTCAATTGTTCTTCCATTTTTCTGAATAAAACGATGGATTATGGTAAAAATTGCTTTTTTTACAGTGTAGTAACAGTTTGCTAACCTTAAACGTGATCAGTTGCAGATACTTTCGAAAACCTGGATATCCATGCCTTTCAGCATACACACAGTGTGAACTGAGAAGAAAACGTCCAATTCTGGTGAGTCTTACGATAAATGACTAACAGTTAAGAGGTTTAACTCAACTTTAACTGTCTTATTTGATTACTTAAATGATTACCTAAATCAGAACTTTTGAATCCTAACGTTTTTGATACTTATATACAATTTGCAGCATCGTTTTCCAAATAATTCTTCTATCGTAGTTTCTGCGCATTGCTGATGTTTCCTGTGGCCGAAATAGCATACTGGCTTTCAGACGGGAATGTCTCTGCATTAAATTATTCAGGTAATCTATTACGGCATAAACTCTGACAGCATAAATTTGGGAAATCCAGAAATTACAGTGGCTAATGAGTAGCAGGCTCTCGTCAAATTCCTCAATGTTTTTTGTATATACTGCAGGGAATATCAGCTGCATGACTCTTGGATTTCCGTAGCTTGTGAAGATGGTTAAAAGCGGTATAACTTCAGCAGGTATGCAAACTTGTTCGTGGTTGTAAATTTTAATGGTCAAATAAAGTAAGGCACTTTTTTATTAATGTCCTGGCGTTGCATAATGAAGGGATCACAACGCTTGCTACTTTCAAACACATTTTCACAAGTATGTATTGGTTTTCGCAGATTCTAAGCGTGAGCGCGCAACCAAAACAGGAACGGCATCTTCGTTACGACTTTTTCAAAGGTAATATTTTTGGAATTCCAGATTTACAGGAAATTTATTAAAAATCAGCCTCTCAAAAATTTTGTTTTTAAAACGTTACTGATTACAGATTTGGAGGAGAATTTACTGATAGACGACGCGTTGGTTCGACCGGGTTTGGGGAGACCAGTTCCTTTTTCAAATATAGTAGCAACTGCAAGATACGATACACCAAAGAAAACTCTTAAGTACCTTGGATGGCTTCACTTGGATATCCGTGTCAGTTTTATAAACAAGTGATAATTTTCATTATTGTTTTAGCGTTTGATTTGTGACGGCAAAGAATCTGAATTTTGGAAATCCAAAACGTTGATTTTGATGTTAAAGTTTTTCACAAATTAATAATATTTTCCGGTGAATGAGTGTCATTTCTTTAAGGAGAATAAAACCGTAAACTGCAAATGCTATGGTGGGGCAGATTCTAAGAAGTAACCGTATAGAACTGCAGGGCAAATGTGATAAAAATGATTTTTGTTGCGTAAATTATGCCATATATAAGCTGCAAATGATGTACAGATGATGTGCATTTCATCCCGAAAAAACACACCGGAAGTCCCTAAAACGCATCTTCGCGATACTTCCGCTGCAATTTTCGAAGACCAACTAACTACACAAATTCCACACTCGAAATTGCGTAAAATTTAGTATAAATTAACCTAAAATTCATAAATTTTCTGCAATTACTATCATGCGGGTTATACTTTTGAGTTGGTTTAGCGGGTGTCGGGAAATTCTGAGCACAAAAGAAATACAATCAGAATACGGAATGACAATGATAAATTGTGTCATTTCGTGATTTATGGTGACTTGTGAAGTATTGTTGTTGGATTGTAACGGAGCGCTGTTTTATGGCTTGTAAAAGTGCAAGCGTAGCGTGAAGTACAGAAGTAACGGGCAGAGATCAGAAAATTCAATAACTTATGCAAATATTTACCCATCGGCAATGCTTAGTAATTTCAAATCTCTTCTGTTAGTGTTGAATGTTTGTAAATCATGGCCGACCGGCAACAAGGTTCAAGTTTGTGTTAAGTTTGTTTAACGCGCATATTTTATACGGAAGTGGATTTGCTGATTATTTTAGTTTTTAGAACTGAAGCTGAAAAATAAGCGCTGTAATTACCACCTATTACGAGTATGTCTACAAGATTACTGAAATTTAAGCTTCCGATTCCACATGTAATAATAATTACACATTTACACTGCAGAGTGCGGACTCTTCTTACTCCACCGCCAAATGACACTCGTTGGTTGAATAAGTAAATTATTTTAAAGAATTGTATATGAAATATGAATAAATAAGCAATTCCATTTGCAGAAGTATGGTCACAAAATCTTTGAACATATTCGAGGCACAATCCCAATGGATCCACAGCAGGACGTTGACAAACACGATCAAGAAAAACGTTAAAATACGACCACAAAATTAATCACAATACGGGTATGTAGTGATTACTGAATAGTACAATACAGTACCATAGCAGGTATGTATGTACAAGCCCATCCAACAATTCTTTGACCGCTGTAAGCGGGAATTTAAAGAAACGTGGGCTTGAGCCATTTAATGTGCTTCGACACGTCACGCCACATGGGTCTGCGTATTCAGCGTAAATAAGCAACAAATCTGCATGTGTTGCAGTTACTGTATCTGTGATATACAACGTAATATGTTTAGCATTATTTATTGCCATCATAATTTATATTAATTTTATGCTTTTGTATCAGTATTATCTTTGCTTTGCAATACAATATCGCGGTGGTACTTAATATCCATATTGCTTTCAAATTACTGATTGCAACATGCCCGGGCTAAAGATGATTGATTCCACGTTGGTCTAATAATGGTCTATTAATTGCGATCTAATATATTATTATTGGTTGAATATTTATAAATATATCTGCCACTACGCTACGATGCGTATTTGCATTACTGTGCGCGATTTATATGCGCTGCGCTTACAGCGGTCAAAGAATTGTTGGATGGGCTTGTAGAAAGGACGGTATAGGGTACTTACTTACTCGTACAGTACGTGCAATATGGAAAACCGTATTGTAGAGAGCAGCCGGCACTCATGGTCAGGCCCGACAGTGCGCACTACGGTTGTTTTCGGTTTGAAAGTGCGGTCATTTCAAAACGGAGCCATACCGAGTGCCACTGCCGATTCGTAATCGAAAACCAAGAACATTGTTTTTTTCGTTGAAAGTGGCCTAATTTAGGTGTTAATTGAAGTATAAATTTGCAAAGATAAGACATTTGCTGTAGAATTACTTACATTTTTGCCTTTTGCGATCGATTTTGAAGGCGGGTGGTTTTGCCTTGTGACTTGAGAACTGATGTGAGGTAATTAAAGTGTATTGCTGATTGCAGCTCTTGCTGTCATTTTTGCATCCAGCATCCCTTCATTATTTCCTGTAACTGTGGAATATCGATGATTATTAATAGTGACAATCTTTGAGAATCGTCCTTCGATCGAGCAGGTATGTTAAATTATCGCGCTGTAGCTAACGTATGCAGTATCGTATGGTCGAATTACGACCTACAGCTTGCTTACGTTAGCATGACATTCGCAACCGTTTCACTGTGGCTGTCAGTGAGAGTTGACCATGTTCCAATTTAATTTTGATAGTTCCTTCCTTACTGCTTACAAAACTTTTCCATTTTTGAGAACGATATCTGCTTCAGTTGATAGAATTAATTTTATTACACTTGTAAGCCCGAATGTCTTGCCAGCTACTGGATGGATAGAAGAGCTGCAGGTTTATCATAATTCACAAATGAAATCAGTTTTTCTTCGCAGACCGCAGTGATCTGTGGATGGACAGCTGAAGTTCTTCGTCAGCTTTTACTACTGTAGCTTTCAAAGCCTTCGTGAGCAAAAGTAAGTACCACTGGTCAGGATAAGCAATATTGTGACATCGTAAAAATTAGTTCAGTAATTACGATTTACGGCACTTACAATTTGCACGTACAGTACCTACATCGTGCGTGCACCTATTTACGATTAAAGTACTCGTACTGCTTGTTTTTTAACCTCACTGTTTACCTCAGATGAAAGATCTTGGGTTTAAAAAGTTACCATACTTCAGTATAGAAAGCTTCGAAATTAAAGGTTTAGGCACCGAATTTTTTATAGGATATTCAAATAACAATAACCGTAATATGGTTTTTACCACTATCGGTTGCCTCTAGCTCGGTCAAAAAAAGAACTGCAAAGAGTACAATAGCCGTTCTTTTGGGAAATTACTAGTACAGTATTTATATAACTGCGTAATGCATTTATCGTACGGTAGGAGGCACGAGACTAGATTAGTAACCATAAGTAGTTTTTACGGTAGATGAAGATAAATTATGTACGCGCACAGTACTTCAGTGCGCCATTCAAAATATTGTTGATTATTAGTATTAATTATTATCTGCACGACCTTTACTAAAACATACAGCTAAAGGCTTAAAGCATGGCAGCAGATTCGTTTGCGCTAGTTGATGTTTTGCCATGCTTAAAGTACTTTTTAAGTACGTCTGCATTAGTCAGTATTAATATACAGTAAAAAATTCAATAAATAATACAAATACTTGTACGTATGGATAATTCATAATTCCGTCTTCGCAAAGAAATCCTTACAATATTTTTGTATAATCATTTACTCATAGTTTTTTTCCATGAAATTGTTGGCTACCAATGGGCATCTGGGATCACAAATTCAGTGTGTATTTTTTAGCATCATCGGATTGAATACTAGTAATCGCAAATATTTTGGACCACAGTTAAAACTTTACCATTAGTAGAAGTGAACTTCACAAGTCATTTACATACAAACCCGATCTTGCAGTTTGGATAATACATACAAACGGTATAATGGATACGGTATAATAGATACGGTGCATACATTTCTGTTAAAAATTATACGGTACGTATAAAATTATACCACCATGAAATTACGGAGAAGTGATACCGAAAGGGTGATCGATAACGTAACGTTATTTTTACATGATAAAACGTTCTGTCAGGCTTTTCTTGTAGACATATTATATTTGCTCGGTAGCTTTAATATGACAATTTTATTTGAAAATTGCGGAACATGTGGAATCAACAGGAAAGTTTAAATTATAGGATCGTGCATTATTCGTGCTTCAGAGGCGGAACGCATTGCTGAATAACGTAAGCTTGGTTGTGGTAATAGGATCTTAAGGAAAAGGATTGTTATCGAATGACTCGTTTTCCTTAGACATTACTTTTGCCCATGCAGAACAGTCATTTGACCTTCATAAAATTATGATTTCAGTGACCGACCGGCAGGCCACCGCTCCACTTCCTCTGCTCCCAAATCCGGCTCCATCCACGGCCAGAAATTTGTCTTTACGTGCCCAAAAGAAAATTCTTGGTTCAGTGGCTACTAAGAACGTTGTGAAATTGTTCATTGACGACCGGTCAGCGCACTTGCTCGATATTCTCCACCAACTGACTCGCGAATACACGAACAATAAGCGCCGTGCCGATAAATTGCTCAACTACACCATAAAAACCGCAATAAAACTGGCTGTACTGATTCGCAATGAACAACTGACCGACGCGCAGCTGGTCCGCTGCGGGGAGTTTCGACGTAAATTCCATCAGGCGGCTGTGACATTTATCAGCTTTCACGAGGTGGACTTTTCCTTTGATAAGGTATACTTGCGGGAGATTATGAAGGATTGCGGGGAGCTGTTGAAAGGTGTCGTTGAAATGCATCTAACCGGCAAATCACTGCATCGTATTGATGAAGTGTTCAAGTTCTATGGAGATGATGTTTGGTTGGAGTGGTTGTTTCTGGATAGTCGGCATCGTGATAGTCTGCACGCGGCGGTTATGGATTTGCATCAGCTATTGCGAGATGGCGTCATTTAAGGAGAATTCTGGAAATTGTTTTAAACATCCATTGTGTCTTTCTTGCCTCGGCGATCCCGTAATTTTGTACTTACTGATCAGATTAATTTTATTGTCTGCACGAATTCCTTCTGCCTACCTTTTTATGTGCCTTCCAAGTTGCAACGTCATTCTAAATTTTGATGCGCAATAACTTTCACACAAAATTTTGTAGTAAACTCGAATTTTTGTCGATTAGCGAATGTCAACCTCCAAAGTCCAAATTTAGTATTAAAAACTTGGGAAACATATAGATATCAGAATTAGCGAACAAAGCCAAGCAAGGTATTTAACCGTAAAGCACGCACGATAAAATAGTTGTTGAATTGAACGCTCACCAGCGGTATGCAGATATAGTACAGTAAATACTTTTATTACTTGTTAGCAAGCACACATAGTTATTCAAAATTTAATGGAATGTTTTGATGGAAAATATGGAATTTTTTAAGACTAAACAGGACTTAAACTGACCATGCGTTGGCAAGTCCATAAGATGATTAGAAACAGTTTATTACGTTTTAGACGGTAAGTTTGTAGAATATGAAGATAATAGAGTACAGTATTATTTTAGATTTCGTTGATCATAGTTTCCCGCTGTAGATCGAGCGGAAGTCAATTTTTGAAACACTACTTGTACATCCTGCTTGTGTTTATTTGAAACGGTGAAAAGCGTTTAAGTAGTAAGTAAGTACAACTAACGTTAGAACCGCCTGAAAACTGGCTTGTATGTATGGGTCGTAACGTGTTTGAGCGAGCTGGTGTGCGGCACGCGTGTAGGTGCCAGCTGCCTCGCATGTACATATACAAGTGGCCAATCTGACTGCCCGTTGATCTCCAAAATTTTGAAAACTTCTCTTTCGTACATCTTCAACGGATCTTTAATCGACATATCAGAAGATGAAGAATTAAATTTAAAACTTTTTGTATCTAGCAAGTAGATATTTATGGCGAATCAAGAAAGTTATGGCCGTTTTGGTTTCTCGTAGACTTAGCATAGGCCCGTGAAAGGAGGCGGTGGCTTGCATCCTATGTTAAGTCTACGAGAAACCAAAACAGTCATAACTTTCTTGATTCGCCATAAATATCCACTTGCAAAATACCAAAAAGTTTTAAATTGAATTTTCCATCTTCTGATATGTCGACTGGGAAGATCCGTTGAGAAGCAAACGAAAAACGAGCGTTTGAAATTTCGAGGTTGACTGGCAGCTGGATCGGCTACTTGTATGTATGCATGCAAAGAAGTGGAGTTACAGGCATACACGTAAGGGCCTTACGTGGATGGATTTTTGGCACCGCCTTCACACACGCATACATCTAATTTGCGCGGCAGCGAATCGCCGCGGTGTGGGTTCGGTCATGACGTAACTTGTATAGATGGATCCTTACTTGTCGGCCATACAAGTAACCAACGCACATGGTCTATTATGACTGTACTGTACATACTACAAGCCCATCCAACAATTCTTTGACCGCTGTAAGCGGGAATTTAAAGAAACGTGGGCTTGAGCCATTTAATGTGCTTCGACACGTCACGCCACATGGGTCTGCGTATTCAGCGTAAATAAGCAACAAATCTGCATGTGTTGCAGTTACTGTATCTGTGATATACAACGTAATATGTTTAGCATTATTTATTGCCATCATAATTTATATTAATTTTATGCTTTTGTATCAGTATTATCTTTGCTTTGCAATACAATATCGCGGTGGTACTTAATATCCATATTGCTTTCAAATTACTGATTGCAACATGCCCGGGCTAAAGATGATTGATTCCACGTTGGTCTAATAATGGTCTATTAATTGCGATCTAATATATTATTATTGGTTGAATATTTATAAATATATCTGCCACTACGCTACGATGCGTATTTGCATTACTGTGCGCGATTTATATGCGCTGCGCTTACAGCGGTCAAAGAATTGTTGGATGGGCTTGTACATATTCAACCTTTGTTAAGTTCCGTTCGCTGTTATGCGGCAAAAACCCTTATTACTTGTACAACGTAGAGGAAAAGGCACGAACAAAAATTCTTTTCCATAGTTTGGTCAAACAAAACAATACTAATGTAGATATTTACTGGATTTCTGTTTTGAAGGTGAGATTGTCGCGGATGTGTAGCCTTCATCTGTACAATAATAAATGGGGGCACCGGAAAATCTGTTATGGCAGGCCAGATGAACAGCAGTTCGACGGGTCCGAAATTCCTAAATAGTCCAGCCAAGGTGGGCCCTATCCACCTTGGTCTAACCATTCCGTAAAACGACATTTCGGCATGAGACATTGTGTGTAGTAACTTACATTTTACGATTATACATTTTACGAGTAGTAATATCATGGTACCATATTACTACCATTGGCACGTAACAAAATATACTTACCATTAGTATTGTACACATGGTAATAAAATAAATTATTTTATAGTATTGTATACCAGTACGGTACAGTATTGCACAGAGTACAATCACTTAATAATAATTATTATTATAATAATAATATTAATTATTATACAATTATTGGTGACCACTCCGTACACACCCTTTCACACCCTTTTACTCCGTGCACAACCTTTTGCACTACCTTTTATTCCGTGCACAACCTTTTTGAGCACTACCTTTTACTCCGTACACAACCATTCGGCACTACCTTTATCTGCGTGCATCACCTTTTCATTTTTTTAAAAATTTTTTCACAACAAAGTTATTCCTGGAACTGTCGTTTTTTCGTTAACAGCAGTTGTTGCTGCATATTTCACAGCATCATCGGCAGTTACAAAATCGAATTCCCATGCATATGAGAAAATAGTTCTAGGCGCCCTTGTGCCGGTTTTTCTTCGCAGGGTTTGGACAGTGCCGCTTTTGAAGGAGCCTGTCCGTAATATAGATTTCTGTAGTAACATAGATTACAAGTACAGTATATATATAAAAGTTTGGTAGTGCACCGAGTGAATGGTAGTGTCAAAGGCTGTGCACGGAATGAAAGGTAGTGCCCGAAAAGGTTGTGCACGGAATAAAAGGTAGTGCAAAAGGTTGTGTACGGAGTAAAAGGCTGTGAAAGGTGCGTACGGAGTGGTCACCAAATCTTTAATCCGCCGATAGGAGCGAAGGTAGCGAGAAACTGTTATGAGTCAGACCCTCTCTGGTCCTTCGGTGCTGACGTGGGAAACTTTTAGGCTTGACTCCTTATGAGACGCCTTACATCAGCTCCGCCCTGATTGGCGAGAATGCTACTGGGCTCCTCGCCGCGCTGCTGGCTGGCCTCCGTACGAGCACTAAACTGTGGCCCGGGCAAGTGGGCCAGCTACCTATAGTCCGTAGCATTCATACTACGTACTTTTCACATAGACTGCAGTTTTCACGCCAAAATTAATGTACAGTAGTTTCTGTAACCAGTACGTAGTAGGTGTGTAACTGTGTATGTAGAAATTGTATGTACTGTACAAGAAGGCGTACCAAACGAGTAGTAAGAGCATATCTTGTTTGGTCATTCATAGTGAAATCATTTGGCTGTTTAGCAGGCTAGAGTCTCGCTCGTTGTCGGAATTAACCAGACTACAATTAAGCCAGTCTGAGTTCTCAGCCAGACAAACGGACCATGGAAAACCGCGCTAATGTATTTACCGCACGTTTGAATCTACTGCACATTTCACACATAACGATGCCGCGGGCAAACTCGTTGCACTGGCGGCTGAATTGTGAATACCTATGACTTCTAAAATAACACGTACTAGTGACACTTGAAAAAATTCTAACATGAGTCTCCGTAAGGTGCCAGAGCCGGTGCCGATCCATTTCTTCTAAAAACAGTACAAGCCCGAATAACGGAATACAATTTATGGCAGTATGCATTAGGACTGAACAGGCGCTAAGAAATGGCGCTAAGAACATTGCCACAACACTACGTCGGGAGACTGTGGTCGTGAGAAGTGGCTCGAGATCGAAGCCTTCCCCTATAGTTTTTTTAATTTGCCCATTATTCGGCGGATCATCGAATTCGCCAAGCGCAAATAGAGGCATGCGCCGGTACCGTACACAAACACTCAATGAAACCATTTCGGGTTAAGTTTGGGATAAACCAGCAGCGTCGTCGTCTCGACGATCCACTCATGTACGCCCTGGTGCGGCCGGAACAGGCACTGCACAAATCCTCCATCCGCTTGTGTAACGGAAGCAAAATACAGTCTAGCTTGTACCAGCTGTCCGGAGCTGTTGGTGACACCTTCCACGCCGGAGTAGATGTCACGCGGTGGTTCTTTGACGGCCCGCGGGAGCCTGTATGGCTCCTCCCAGGGACCGGTGACGATGCGGCCGTGGTGGACCCACATCAGATGGTTCTCCAGATTTGTGAGGACGCCGTGCGGGAGGGGCAGCCGGATCCCGCAGGACACCGTAACGCGCTGACCCTCGACGGCGCTCACGTAGGCGGCGTCGGGCGCGGCGAAGACATCGTCGCGGTGCGTGATCAGTGGCAGGAGCTGGAAGCGCTGCAGGATGCGGCGGTGGGGCGTGTACGGGCCAGCGTGTCCGTCGACGCACTTCACGAGGCCGCCGGAGCGCAAGGTGACGTTGCGGACGACGAAGATCAGGGTGTCGTTGACGCGGCGGAAATTGTAGGACTGTCCCGTGGTGTCTGTATCAGACCTGGACAGTTATGGAAAATATACCCACCGTTAGAGTTACGAGTTACAGGGAGCATGCGAGTTACGCTACGAGTTACGCTATTCATGCAAGTGAAACCGAGCGCTGAGTTATACCGCTGAGTTACGCTACCATAGACAATATTGGTGGAGGTTATACATATACAATATATACAAAGTTACAAACTTCCGCGAGTTACGTTAAAGTTAAGTTTTTTGGGTAGCGAGTTACGATTCAGAGTTACGTTAAAACTCAAAAACTCTCAAAAAACTCGCGTTAACTTAAAGAGTTAAGTTATAACTGACCAGGTCTGGTCCGTATCCTGCAGCGGACGCGGTTCCCCGGCTTCGAAGACGACCCGGTCCTGGTGCAGCCAGAGCACGTCGCGCCAGTCGACGCCGGTCGGAACGCGGCAGTGGAACGTCGCGTCCTCTCCAAGGCGCGGTCGGACCACCGCGCTGTCCGCCACGACATCGCTCGGGGCCAGGCGCGGCAAGATGATGCGATCGTCCTGTCGGCTGTGCAGCAACGCCTCCGCCACGATGCCGTTCACTAAGGAGCCATCCAGTTTAATTCTGCTGTTTCACTTCTAAGCTTAAGGGAAGTAACCCGGATACATGCTGTCAGTTTCGTGCACATGTACAAGTACTTTCCCTTTCACACACTTCAAAAACACCACCTTGCTTTGTTTTACGGCATTCTATAGCCAGATGATTTGTATACACTGGTGTGAAAACCGTTTGTGCGCGCAATTTCCGATTCGGGAGTTATGGCTGTGAAAATTCCCAAAAGGTTTAATTGCATTTAAGTACCAAAGGTCATTATAAACCGATCTTCCTTAAATTTTGCCACACAAATGGATGTAAGTCTGAAGATCGGTTTTACACCGAACCAGATCTGCGACATTTTTTCAAATTCCGAAAAAACTGAAAAAATTCATTTTAAAATGAGAAAAAAATGCCGAGCTGTGGTACCGTGTAAGAACGATCTTCATGCATATACGTGCAATTATATGCGAAATTTAAAAAAGATTGGTCCATAATGAGACTTTTGGTACACCCGAAAGCATTTAAACTTTTTGGAATGTCCTTACAGCCATAACCCCCGAACCGGATGTTGCGCGGCACAAACGGTTTTTGTGCCAGTGTATACAGTTCATCTGGCTACAGAATGTCATAAAACAAAGCAAAAAGGTGTTTGGGAGTGCGCGTGAGAGTGAGAGTTTTTCATGCCTGTACACAAATCTGACACCATGTACCGGGCCATTTCCCTTAAAGTAACCGAAATATAGGGGGAATTCAACAGCTGATGCCAGCACTCCCTGTACGTGCTGCCGTCAGCCGGCTGGAGTTTTACGTTGTGGCTAAACATGGTGCTTATGTACCGCGCCTGATTTAACCGTATGTATTGCCGTAACGTCACACTCCAGGCGGCTGACGACATCAAGTACAGGAGTGCTGGCCTCATCAGTAAAATTCCCCCTACATGAAAAAAATCGAAGTATGAATAATGCAGCGTATTCTGAAAGGAGTAAATATCGAAAGCCATCCACGGCCATATAACCATACTGTATAACCATCAGCCATATAACCATCACACACACACACGGAATTCATTCTGGGTATTTAACGTAATAACATTAGTACCGGAAATATAACATAATTCAGATACACACATCGTAAAATAACTGTGAACTTGTCTCGTCTCGCCGTCTCGTACACACCAGTCTGACTCGGGAAGATCAAAATGCGGCTGCGGCGGCATGTCCAGAAACCTGTAGTCCTCCACGACGAACGCTCCAGTGCCGTTTTTCCATCCAATCAGCGCCGTAATGACCCCCGTGACCACCATTTGGAGATCCAGATTCTTTCCCACAACGATGATTCGCTGTGATTCATCCTCTATATATAGGGTGTCAGTGTCACTAATGTAGCGTGGTAGCACAATCTGTCCATGAATTTCAAAGTCTTCGTGCATTTCCCGCAAGATGTTGGGCTTTAACTCCATCTCCTTGTAGAGTGTTCCAATCAGGCATACTGTCTCGTTCTCCACGACGTCGCTCACGGTACATACTCTGTACTTGTACCCTGTAGTGGATAAATCAGTAGTTGCAGATAAAAGGACTCCACAGAGCACGTCATTTGGATTGCCAACGCTTTGGACTTACCCCATGTCGCTTCAACCACCGATAACATGCGAGGTCTCAGCACAGTCAATCGCTGATAATACAACTGAGCAAACTGAGCATTAACTGTTGTCGCATAGCGAGTACGAAAAGATTCGCTTTTATCAATAATATTACCACCCTTCCGGGACATTATAACTCAGAAAAAAGGTGAACCAACTTATAACAAAAACATGTGGTAATAGTCAGTGGCGAATCTAGGCGAGTTTGGACGGGAGGGCTAGAGAACTCGCACCAAAGGGGGGAGTATTCTCTCGCGTTTTCGGCGACCTCGGGCGTAAAAAAATTCGCAACGTACCCCCCTCTTAAGAATTTTTTTGACGTCCAAGTTACGGGGGGGGGCATTAGCCCCGGGAGCCCCCCCTTAAATTCGCCACTGGTAATAGTAGGCAGATGAACGTTCTAATAAATATGGAAACATGTGGTTCATAACGGTCACAAAGACTCCATGCTGCAAGTAATTGCGGAACACAGCTGCCATACGAGGGCGATATGCAGTACGTTGTAGTGTAATGTTTTCTTGTGGTCGCCACAAAAAAATCTCATGATGCCGGTAGTGTAATGTTTTCTTGTGGCCGCCACAAAAAAACTCATTATACCTGTAGTGTAATGTTTTCTTGTGGCCGCCACAAAAAAATTTCATGATGCTGGTATTGTGCTGTTTTCTTGTGGCCGCCACAAAAAAACTCATTATACCTGTAGTGTGCTGTTTTCTTGTGGCCGCCACAAAAAAATTTCATGATGCTGGTATTGTGCTGTTTTCTTGTGGCCGCCACAAAAAAATTTCATGATGCTGGTATTGTGCTGTTTTCTTGTGGCCGCCACAAAAAAACTCATTGCATTACGAGACATGTGTTTGTCACTACAAATATATTAACATCTCACATTAGTGCGATTTTTGTGGCGGCCACAGAAAAACGCATAGTAGCAATGCGGTGGGAATTTTGTGACAACCAGACTTTGACCATCTTTTGGTTGTGCTGAAAATTTTCCCCATCTTTTCCAGCCCATACCATTTTTTAGATGAAAAGGGGATGGGATGAGGACAAGCAGCGGATGGGCTGAGATGGGATGAAAAGGTTGGAAGATGGGATGGGATCAAGAAAAACGATTTTTAAATAAATTTTTTAAATTTTCATAACTTTCTTCGCTAAAAACTCACCGAAATTCATCTTTTCAGTCGAAAAAATACAAAATTTCCGCGCTCCGCGCGGATTTTAAGCTGTCTGTTGTTCAAGCTTCTAAATTCGCCAGGAAATTTTGGGCTACGGGTTGAGTTTTACACGTTAATTTTTCGCTTTTTTTAATCTTCAACAATTTATAGCACTGAAAATTGTTAAAAAAAATGGGCTGAAAATGGGGCCTCAAAGCTGGACAGGGCTGGTAAACTAAGGTAGCTGGAGATGGGCTGGGATGGAAGTTGCGCACGGCAGATGGGGATGAAATGGGGATGGGAAAAGTCGAAGATGGGCAAACTCTGGTGACAACCACACAAACAGATATGTTTGCATTATGACAGACTTTTTGTGGCCGCCACAAAAAAAACTCATTATGCCTGTAATGTGGTGTTTTCTTGTGGCCGCCACAAAAAAAACTCATTATGCCTGTAATGTGGTGTTTTCTTGTGGCCGCCACAAAAAAACTCACTATGCCTGTAATGTGGTGTTTTCTTGTGGCCGCCACAAAAAAACTTCATTATGCCTGTAGTGTAATGTTTTTTTGTGGCCGCCACAAAAAATCTCATTATGCCGGTAGTGTAATGTTTTTTTGTGGTCGCCACAAAAAATCTCATGATGCCGGTAGTGTAATGTTTTTTTGTGGTCGCCACAAAAAAATCTCATTATGCATGGGATGAGATAATTGGATCAAAATGACATTTTGATCGACAACCGCTCTGGATGGCGGTTGTCTAGAGAAATTGGCTTTGACCACGGGTAAATGTACAACTTAACAAGGAACGAACTGTTAACGAAGTTGTGACCCCTATGAAAATCGTAATCTAAGAAAACGTTAGTACTGTTATCGGGTTAATGTTGGGTTTTCGGTTGACAGACTGGAACCATCACGTATAAGCAACATGTGTACTTCTTGTGGCGGCCACCAGAAAACGTCAGATACACGCATAATGAGATTTTGTGTGGCGCACGCACCCAAACCCACAAACGCAAGGAGAGGGACAGGAGGGTCCGGGTGGCGGTACCGGAGGCGGTGGTGTGCCTACACCATCCCCCAGTGGCGGAGGCGGTGCCGTTACCAGCCCGGTCAAACTTCTTCCAGACCAATTATCAGTTCACGTCAACGGCCTGCACGACGGGATCGGTGGTGGGCACCGTTTCCGCACAGTTCTTTGGCGACGGATTGCAGTAAGCATTATAAGACTGCTGATAGCTCGCACCTTACCAGTAGCCCTCGTCTAAATGCGCTTTGTACCAGGTACTCCATACAAGGTGGTAACGCGTTTTTCGCAATAAATCTCGTCAATGGACAGATAACCATCAGCAATCCACCGCCTCCTGGTACGGTGCAGTCATAAACAGGCTTAACCTTTATGCATTCATTAATAACAATGACAAAGTTTAGTATTTAGCAGAAATTACAGACAATATCGATTCACCTCCTACTTTACTGCAGGCTGGTTTTGGTTCCAGTTTAAACACTTGTTTTATTTTATACAGGAACCTGGTCGCAGACGTTAACGGTAAATGGGTCTACACACAAGTAGTGGATATTTATATATATATATATATATATATATATATATATATATTTAAAGGAGACTATGTAAAATGGATGTACATTCAAGATGAGCATTACATTACGTAGGTTGTAATGTCAACGGCCTGCACGACGGGATCGGTGGTGGGCACCGGTGGTAAAATGGATGTACATTCAAGATGAGCATTAACGTCCGTACCACCTTCACTACCAAACTACGGTACTTACTTACTTTTACTGATTCCGGTTCTAACGCGGTGCAAACTGCAAAGAGTTGTGAGAATCTCAGAATTTTGAGTTTTTCAGCGTTTGGCATTCACTGTTTCACACTCGTAAACTGATTTATGGGTTTCTTGCTGAGTCTTGCACGATATTTGGACTGAGTTTTACAAGGAATACACTTTCAGTTTCAGAGTTTTTGCTTTGGTACCTCACGTTGGACTTACTTCGGAGCAGCTTTTCTGGTGTTCTGCATTGTTGGCAAGTCGCTGCCGCGTTAGCGTTGGGCTTCAGAGCATTCTCATCCAAACAGAAAGTACCACGCGCTTTCCATAATGGCTGATCATCTTACTCAGTTCGAACAAATCGGCCAGGCATTTGTGAAGCACTATTACACACTGTTCGATAATCAACAGTCGCGGACCGAAAGCCTGATCAATATGTACTATGTAAGTTGTGGTTCTTGATTTGGTCGTCTTGTCGATACTGCGGACTGTGAAATGAAATTAATATGGGACTAGTCACTGACTCACTGGTGACGGCACCACAAGTCTTTGGTCGCATGGTAATTTTACGGTCCTGAATCCAGACTCAAAGCTATGCAAGCGCCGCACTTGGGATGCTGTTAGAGCGTTGTTTCTGGTGCTGTGTCATGTCGGATGGAGAGTGGAGTTTGAATAACCTTGCAACGGATTGTATTCTGTTGATGGTTTTAAACACTTACCATTTTCGTGGTATTTGACTGCATTCGACAATAGCATGTGATAATTTATGGGTAATTGTGTTGCAGCAACAAGGATGCTTTCAGACCTTCGAAGGCAATCAGGCTGCCGGTCACGATGCCATCAGGCAGAAGCTCGCGGTAGGTTTCTAAGGGTAAAACCGCAAAACCATCCGGTAGAATTTATTTGGAACGTCACAAATGTGATAAATAGGTAGCAGATATGTTTGCGAGCATTGAACAGTTTGGGTTGTAGGCGCTGACCTTCCAAAGAATTGCCAGGAGCATCACATCGGTGGATTGTCAGCCGCTCCCGGATGGTATCATGGTGGTGGTTCTCGGACAGCTGAAGGTTTGCTCTTAAATCAACTATTTTAAAAGCTGTCGGCGACTTTTCTACATAGTTGAGAACTCCTGTATTTGACCAGATTTTAGTTTGAATGTAATTTACGTTCTTCTTTGAAATTCATTCACCATGATATTACAAAGCGAACAGTTTTTGCAAACTTGACGAGTTAGCTTCGCGAGGGTTTTCCAGAAGTTTCTTGATTGCAGACGGATGAAGATCAGCCGCAGTCCTATGTGGAAAGCTTTGTTTTGAAAGCGAGCGGCGGGAATTATTTCATCACCAACAATGTTTTCCGTCTTGTTCTGCACCATATGTGATTTTAAGGATTAAGTGATGGATATTGGGACGTGCAAAATTGTTCTGCCCGCGGAGCGGCTCCGTCATTGATGAATTTCTTGATAAGGAAACTTATTAGACACTAAGATGTTTATTTGATTCGTTTTGTAATTCTGGCTCTTATGGGTGTTTTTGTTTTGTGTTTCGGCACGATGCATGCGTATACCATGTTCTTTTAAAGTACTTTTTCTTGCACTGCGAATGCTATTCGAATGCTTGTGCTATCTAGCCAGTCTTCGCCCTGACTGCATTGCGAAGTTTTTGACCCAAAAAACGTTTATTATGCTGTAATTTCGGACACAATATTGCCAATTCACTTCCATGACATTTTGCAAAGCCATGTTTTATTTGAAATTTCGGCATAAAATTCATAACAGTAAAAGATCGGTGGAAAACGCAGTAAGATTAACTGACATAAACATGAACTACAAAGTACCATAACATTTCGAAATCAAAAAAATGAAAAAATACGCGCCAAGAAAAGTTATTTATTCTTTTCCTGTTCAGCTTTCTTTTTAGCTGCTTCTTCTTCCTTCTCTTTTTCGATCTCATTGACAATTTTTTCCAATTTCTCATGATCCAGCATCTGCGAAAACAACACATATCATATGACTGGCGTCAGTTGATTCAGAAGTCAGAACGAAATGAATCATGCAGTTACAGTCCCTCTTCATTAAATTAGCAAGTGGTAAAGCATTAAAACAGGAAAATCAAAAGCATAGGAAACGGAAGCTAACCTCCATTGGTTTATCTCGTTTAAGAACAGCGATTTCGATATTTTTGGCGCTGGACTGCACGACCTCCATCAAACCGCGAATAGCCAGACGGACAACCTGGTCGTCGGAGTTTGCGACGTCATCGTTATATTGCTTCTCTAAAAACTCCTCCACTGTCTTGGAATTTCGTCCTATAGCACTGGCCTGTAATGGACAGAATTATTTCGTATTTCAAGTGCAGTAATTAAAAGCCCTTACGTACAAGTAATTAAGAATCATCTGGACCAAATGGAATTAATTTAACAAGCTTACTCAGTTCATCTTAACAAATTTTAAGGTAGAAGTATCTATATTTGCAAAATTAAACACTCTATGCAGTATGTACCTACCTTCCATTCGTAGTACGAACCAGAAGGATCGGAGAGGTACAAATGTGGTGAACCGTCGAAATCGAAACCGGCCATCAACACTGATAAGCCAAATGGACGGCGTCCACGGCTCTGGGTGTATTTCTGCAATATGTATAAACATCGCAAGCGTTGTCCTATTACCCTGGAGGTATAATCTTTTACGGTATCCGGATACACAAGCGCTTAATCATTGAATTTGTAATATAGATATATTCAATAACAAGCCAGTACCTGCATTATTCCAGCGACGTATCGGGCAATATATTCCATTGTAACGGGATCCTCCACTGTTAATTTGTGACTCTGGCATTCCACTCTGGCTTTGTCAACCAAAATTCGAGCGTCCGCTGTGAGACCTGGCGCAACAAATAAGACCAGCGGATCCAGAAAAATCCGGCAAAAATACGCCCGTGTATGTAATTCTATCTATAACCACTTACCAGCAAAGCACATCACGACGTGATCGTCCAACAAACAGATCTTCCGAACTGTGCGATCGATCTGCAACTTCGGTACGGCCTTTTTCTCCACTCCGAGAACAACAATATTTTTCCCTCGAATACCAATCTACGACACGAAGGAAAGCTGGAACATTGCGAACTTCACTTTGTGTCAACAAATAACAAAAACATCAAAATTCAAGAAGGAGAACCGCAGTCGAAAACTAAGTAAACTGTAAAGACTAGCAAGCCTTGTAGATGTGCAACAAACTTTATGTAGTAGTCACTAGTACAGTACTTGGTTAGAAAACACTGTCTGACTTACACTGTTTATGCAAAACGAAGAAATGAAACAGTTCACCAAAGCTTCGTCAATAAAACCTTAAGGTATCAACTACTACCAAGAAAACTTTGCTGAATATAAAAAACAATGACGCTAAACTCTAAAGTTCTAAACAACGTAAACGGTAACTTACGGCTGTAGAGCCTCTCTTGACTGCCTCTTGTGCGTACTCCACTTGAAACAAATGCCCATCCGGGGAGAAGACTGTTACGGCACGATCATACCGATTGCCAGCCATTCTGAAGTACTCCGCGGAAGAAGATCTGTTGGAACCTGGAATCGAGTTCGATATGAGATTGCAGCTGGCAAGGGAACGCGATTCAAATTTCGACTAGAGGATTTCCCGAAGGCAGTCAATCAGGCAAGATCAACAGTTCTCTGCGCACTTTCATGTTTCCACAGTTAAAACTTTAATTACACTTACGAATTCGGCTATCCCACTAGCAGCTTCCAAGGTACATCGAAATTCAGTTGAGATTTCCAGCGAAATCTGAGATGTTTCACATAAATTCAAGCAGCAAAAGTGCAAAACGAAACTCACATTCAGTGACTATACCGAACTTTTTCAATGCACTGCCAAAGTGAATAATATTTAAAGTGTCGAGGGAAAATCGAATTTACTGAAAATCAAGCGTAACTGGCATTCGACTGGGTGATCGGGGAGACGATACGCTGCTGCATACGCTACGTTGCGTACACTTTACGGAACGCACTTCACACACGCAACTTTCCGTATCATGTCTGACAATTTTATTAGCAGTTTCGATTAAAATTTAAACCAAAAAATAGCAATCCAAAACATTGTAAACGCTTGCATAATATTATTCATTCACCCTTGAGAATTTTCAACTTTCGCTTCTTAGAATCGTCACTTTTTGACCATTTTTGCCAACCTTATCGTTCATCAACTTGACATAAAAATGAATCCGTATTTGGAAATAATAAGTTGCACTTTTACGAAAAATTTCGGTCCAAGAGCAATCAGCAAGGCATGGGGACCGTAAATTACATTTTCTGGTAACGAAATCCTCCATGGCGTATTTTTCAGCGAAAGCAAGAAGTAATTGGCGCGGAGAAAGGTAAAGGACTTCGTCAATCTGTTTCTGGAATATCCGCTCAAGACTGCACATCATGTCATAAAAGACACCCCAACAAAGTTCAAACCTCCGTCGTCTTTCATTTCTGTCAGTTGGGCAAAATCAGGAGTCCCTTTCGAAGAATCTAACCAAAATAGCTCCAACCGACAAGAATCACACACTTCGGCCTCCAGCTCTTTTCTTTTATTTGTGAATCCGCTCAAATAGTAAACGACATTTTTGACAATGTTATCTAGCTGGAACCCTTTCGGTAAAGGTTCTAGTTCTGGAATAACTGGATCTGATTGTGACAGCAGCGCCAGGGTCTTAGCCGCATCGAGCTTTTTCGAGTACTCTTCGGACAAGTCGAAAATGTTCATTGAACCAATAACATTCTCATCGTCGATTTGCTCGATATTCGTTTTCAAATGCTCGCAAGCTTTCTGGATATTATGGAACGACAGAATTCGAAAAATAACCAGCATGTTCTCAACTGTTGGATTGATACAGGATCCTCCCAGTTGTCGACACCGTGCGAAGTACCTCTAGAAAACAAAGAATCATGGAAAAGCTATAAAGAGTTTGCCTAGTATGGTAGAGTATTACCTCGTGCATATCGTTGTTTAAATTCTTCGTTTGAACGTAAAGCATGCCTTCAGCGAGAAGTTCGGTAGAAAGCCTCTTTATGCTATCCAGGGTGACAACGAGGTGGTTAATTGTACGGTTGCAGAGCCTGTCTTTCTGGTGAACAGTTTTCTTCCAACGCACCAATCGATCAATATCCGCTTGGATCTTGTCAAGTACATCATTCTCGAAGCGAATGGGAGTGCGCCCAGGATGAGGATCGGCCAAAGATGAGTTCATGTGATCGATGCAGCCGTTAAAAAACTCACAATACCGCCGCGTGCAAAGGGTTTTACTCATACGCCCGGCATCCTCAAGCATTTCCAGTGTGCGTGCGCTTGATGCTGACAGCAGTACAGCCGCATAGTTTACCCTCTGTTGATTGAAGCCATCGGGATAAACCATGGGCTTTTTCAGTTTGGGATGCATTCTAATTCCTTTGCGATCAGTGTGAGTATCGATGTCGTACATTTGCCGAAAATGACCGAAATCGACATGGAGAACATTACCGTCTTCGTCAGTATAGAAGTTTCCGCTCTCATCGATGAACTATTAATAATTAATAACAACATTAAATGGTTGGAAAATATCGAGAGGTGTAACCTGCGTTATTACCTTAAGCTGTCGGCTACAAATTCCACCCATTTCACTGTTGCGTTTAAACATTCCATTCCGGACGTTTTTCCAGTCGTGTGGTGGGTCAATAATGATGTATCTCGGCTTTCCGTTAACTGTGACAGTTGGAGTATCATATTTTTCGAAATCAAATCCGAATTTTGTAATGGCTTGAATGTTGCTTGTACCGGCATCCACGATAAACCCGCGCGTTTGTATTCCAGTCTGATCCAAAAGTTCAATTCCTTCCTCTATAATCTTTTTCAGAATGAAGCCAGGAGTCTGAGAATTAGACAGAAAAATGCCAATCGGTTGAAATAGCTTTCGCTTTATACTTCGCACCAACAACCAGGGCGTGATCGGCAGGCTTCATGAGTTGTTCTTCCGTGAGTTCTGCGTTATGTTTACCAAAGTCCACCGTACCCAAAACACGATCTTCAGAATGCACGTATCGATAGTTTTTCCTGCTGAGCTGCAGTTCATCGAGGGTCATCATGAAATCCTGCTCGCCTTTAGGTCGCTTTTCAGCCCATTTTTCTACACAATGGAGCACTAGCTTATCGAAACCGGTGTCTTTGGAGAAACGGGCTACACGCAATCGTATTGTTTCCGGATGCGGCAACGGAATTCCACGATCGCGCAGAAATGCGTAAGCTCTCGGGCTATAAAGTGCAAGCGCACAGCGAAATCCATATAATCAGATTTATACTTGGTTCTGTCGAATTTATTTTTGCGAGAAATGTCCATAAATTCGGTCAAAAGGTTACGCGACTCTGCAGGCACTAGCTTGGATTCTTCCAACTCTTTAACCATTACCCGCAATCGTTCCAGTTCGTCGTCTTGCTTGCGTATTTTTGATTCCCGTCGACTGACGCGTGCTCTCAGCGCGTTCTGGGTTTTAGATGCGGACTCGGAGCGACTTCGCAGGGTTTTCACGTAATCCGCAGTTGACAGGTACTGCTTCCGGTATTCCTTGCATGATAAACAACATGACCTTTTTCCCAGGTAAGCTAGTTCGCAACCAGCATTCGCTTCGTACGACGGACATAAATTGCTGGTGCCAGATGAGTTGATGCCAGATCCACGACTGTTTGAAAGCTGGAAATCTGAGTCACAGTGATCTCGTTACCGGTATACAACTTGTTGCGAATGCGCAGTGTGATATGCAGCGTGCTTTGGATTCCAATCGTGAAAATGTTCTCAAAGGTCACCGGATTAACACGAAGAACGACAACAGCATTCTCGCTTTCCACTACAAATGCGACCCAAAACGGAGGAAGGCGCAGTAAGTCCAGATTATTTTCCAGCATTTTAAAGCTGAACACGACATTTTCAAGGTCAATTTCAACTGGCTCACACGTGGACAATCCTCCAAAGCTAGCGTTAAGTTCACTTATGCTGTCGTTCAAATTCTTCTTCTTATCTACACGTGAGAGCTCACCAGATGAATTCATTTGCTGCTTGCCGCGCCCTACAAGCAGCGGTTCCGAGCGCCCAATTTTGGTGATTCAGCTGCTTTCCGCTGACAAATTTCAAGGGGGAAGCTCTGATTTTCTTCCGCCGGGATATGCCCAAGAAGGATCGACGGTACTGCTGTTGATCTAAGTCGGAGACCTCCTTTCGCCGTAGTTTCGTAGCAATCATTGTGGAAATGATCTGAGCACAGATAAGAATGACGTGTAGGCTTCCATGATGGGCCCTGTCGTGCAAAAGCTATCCAAAGGGCAGACCGCACACCGTCAGCGCTCGCATCAGGAAATTTGTGGAATGTTTGCAAGCATTCAGCCGCTGCCAGACTTGCTGACTTGAAATTCGGGCAGGCAATACATTTGCGTCCGCCCATTATCTCTGCAATCATGCAAAATATTTTTTCTTTCGAGTGCCCAGATGCGTTTATTTATGAGCATATCGAATTACCCCAATACTGCTTGCAGAACATGATCTTTGGAATTTGTGGTTTATTGGGGATAGGGCACAATATTTCTGTAAGGCCTATGTCTTTTAATGCATCAAATCTGATTGTAGCATATGTTTACTGAACGCAACCATAACTTACTAGAAAACAAGAAACTTTATTTCAAGCAAGAAGCAAAAATTCAGGCCAACAAGCAACGACAACTCAAGATAACAGTTTTACTGCAGCTGCTGAAATTTTGCAAGCGCCGGCTTATCATGCGCTCGCGCATCGGCTAATTCAAGACAGCGAACTTTCAGCTTTACCACGTTCTCAAAACCCATATTCTTAATGGCAAAATCAGTGTTGCTTTCCTCTTCTTCGTCAAACTTTTTACGTGCAACATCAATGTTTGTGCAGCGATCATCGAGTACGCTCAACAAAAATCCCCAGCGCACGTCTTGCTGGCGCTGCAACTCTTCCTGACTCACATATTCCGGGAAAAGCACCCCTGGGGCGTTCACCAGGGAACGAAAATCTGATGGCAGATTTTCCGGAATGGTGCCGGTGGCCACTTGCTTTCGCCAGCACACATGAGCCTTTGCGATTGGCGTAAGTCTGATGCGCTTTTCGAATAGAACAATAAAACGTTCAGACCAATATTCAATCCAGCCATCACACGTAGCCTGATTTGCAATTGTTGCCAGAACTTCATCGGGAGTAACTTTGCTTTTGGTCAACTGATGTTGATACAAGATGTTCTGATGGGTCAAATCTCTGTTATGCTTCGAAATCTCGGCGATCTTAGCCGCATCTCGCTGTTGGTCTTTTTTCAGCGTAATAATTTCCGCTTCCATCTCGTCTTTCGTCTTTTCAGGGATTCTCGGGATTCGGTAAGACATTCTACAGAATTACAGAAATTAAGACCATTAATACCGTGTCCTAGGCAATGTCGGTCGCGGACTAAACATAACAAAATTTTGATGTCCACTGTATTTGAAATTAGCACACTACTCATTTGCTTTTTCTTATGTACTGCTCACTTTAAGTGTATTGTTTCATATTCCGGTCACCGGTCACTGGTGCGACCGCACATGTGGCGCACTACATGAACAAGTGCTAATCGGATTGCCTTTAGCTACCCGTCAAATGTGCAGTTCGTTGAGCAGGTCCACTCCAACTTCACATTCTCAGGGGTCAATTAAATTTCATTTGCATAAGATAATAAACGAAAAGGCCCGGTGTTTTGCGTCTCACCCGATTCAGAGTTTCTGGTATCTATTTTGTTTTCCATAGAAATTCATTGATGTTTACGGTTAGATTTCATGAAAAAAATCGTTTTTATAAAAATTAATAATCACTGTGAACTTCATTTTGTCAGAAAATTTAACTACTTGGTGATCGGAATATGAAACCATACGCTAAAAGTGACCGGAATATGAGGAAAAGCGAAGTACCAAAATAAACACAAATCAAAAAAACTGAGTGTTTAAAGCGCATAAAAAATAATTGTATTGGTGGCCACGTTGCTACCGCCCATAGTAACGGTAGGATGTCAGGGAGCCGGCAGTCCGAAATTTTCTCCGCAGTAGGAATCTGCCCCGGGCAAGATTTACGGACGCCTATCGGAAAGTATCGGCCATCACAAAAGTTGCACCTTATCGCTTCACTGTGCATTGTGTATTGGTGCGGATGACGTAATTTTGGTCTCGTGGTTTTTTGGTCACGTGTTTTTTAAAAAAAATTGAAAATGCCACTTTCCTCTCAGTGTACTCATATTATAAAAACACAAAATGCATGCACTTTGTGTTTTTACATACTGACACTGGTGTACAGTGCGGTTATGCGTGCATGCACGAAGTGAAAGGACGGAAAAGAACGGATACAAGTTCAAGAACCTCTGGAGTACCTGTTGCGCAGTCACGTACTTGCCGTATGACGAAGAGAAGAAATGAGTACGATGTCAATGTGGCAAAACAGAATAGATACGCGAAGACACAATCCAAGGATAACACGTCTATTGACACGGCTTTATTTATTTCTTTAATATTGCGTTTTCCAACATCCGCTACGTTAATTTCGAAAAAAGTCAGATCTTCAAGAAAGATAAGATCTACCGATCGAAAAGACGCAATCAATTCGGAAAACGTCATGGGGCACTGCGTCACACACCAGAGCATGTATACAAACTTACAATACCGCAGAGTGTATATTATCTATTTTTGTGCTCCCCGATCACCGAGTCGAATGCCAGTTACGCTTGATTTTCAGTAAATTCGATTTTCCCTCGACACTTTAAATATTAGTCACTTTGGCACTGCTATGTATGTATGTATTGTACAAAAGTGCATTGTCAGACCCACGGTTAATGCGGCGCCGGACTGGGTGAGTTCATCGGTCGGACTGTAAACCGTTACACCGGATTCGACAAAGCCGGCCCGAGACCGAAATAACCCAAAGCCTCAAACCAAACTTTCATACCAAATTTTGGTTAAAATTAGCATGCATATCTTCAATTGCTATCACAACATTCAAAATAAGAAGAAAAGTCGAAATTCGACAATATACTAGTGTACGCAAACGATCAAAATGTTGAGAGAATGGTTAAGCAAGTCATTGCTGCAGTTCGGCAAAATGCACAGTTGACTTCCGGTCTGTCAGCGTGCTGAGCATCGAGCGAGTGCACAAATCGAGCTTTCGAGCATACAGTACAGTACGTCTCGTAAGTTGGGTTGTTTGAGTGATGATCTTATCTCAGTTATCGGTAACAACTTTTGAAGTGTAACAACTTATCTTGTGCAACCTTGTGCTGTTCACTGGGCGAAATTCGAAAAATTCTATGCTTACTGCATAGTAACGTGCAAGAGCGTCTTGAAGTTTCCTTGCGACATGCAGCGCTCTTCGAAATTTGGGATGTAACACTCGTTCCGTGGAGAATTTCTGCATCATGAGCGAAGGGTACGTTTGGATGGCTCGGCCTCGCAACTATCTGCGGGAACGCCGGGATTTCGCACTAGACCGCCATTCAACGGCAAAACACCCACTGATCATCGCTCCGAAACCTGTAGCCTCGTCAGAAACCTCGGTGGGAGTCCCCAATGGCCCGCTTCTCCGTTCCACCTCCTCGGCGCCGAAAACGACCAGCAGTACGTCCAGCAGCCCTCGCGTTTCGGTGCCAGCGGGTTTCATTGATCCTTTATCACAGATGGCTCTGGGGGATGATTTGGGGGCATTCCGTGGAGAAAGCAACAAGAAGGCAGAGGATAGGGAGAGACTCTTGGGGCCATGGGCCGCAAAAAAGGAAAACATTCTCAGCAAGTTTGCTACGACGGAGAAACTAACACTGACATCCAGTTACCTTTCCGACAATGATCGTGTAGTGACAGTTACGAAATCGAGCGCAGTGGCTGACAAAATTCAGGTAAAGCTGTAGGCTTAACATTTTTTGGTTGTAGTATTCATGTTTGCGCGCTAGCAGTTTTCGGCAATAACCATAGCAGGTAGCAAAATTTGAACAGCTCCAACAATTTGCAGTTACCTATTGCCATGCATCCATCATTTGATTTTTTGCACATGTCGAATTGTTGTTAGAACTGCAAAGTTATTGATTTTTGTTATTATTTATCGTCATGTTGCGTCGTTTAATGTTCCTGGACGTTTTCGGTTCGTAAATGAGTGGTTTTGACAGAGTCGGTTGGAGCAGTTGGATAATTTCGAAGCCGGATCCATGAAGGAAATGATGAATTTATCCCAGCAGGAGTACATTAGCAAAATCGATCAGCTGCACAATAAATTGCAGCAGGCCTGGCGCGAAGATCAGCGTGTGACGGCCTTGAAGATATCCATTCAGCTGGCGAAATTATTGTCCGACACGTATCCGCTACAGTTTTATCCCAGTAAATTTGTCCTGCTGACGGATGTGCTGGAAACATTTGGACAGCTAATTTATGATCGAATTCTGGATAAATCGGGTACGGTGTTCGGCGACTCCTCCCCGGATCGGACACCGGAAGCAGCCAAGGAAACCTGCAGGAATTGGTTTTTCAAGGTTGCCAGCATTCGCGAGCTACTACCTAGATTATATGTGGAGATTTCTATTATGCGATGTAGCTCATTTCTGGAGGATAAAACGACATATTTGGAAATTATACCTAGGTAATATTCTGTGGGTTATTTTGAAAAATCTTCCACAATTTCACTAACGTGAGCATGCTGATAATTTCCTTTTTGTACAGTTATTCTCAAGCTTGAACAAGTTGCTTGAGAGAATTTCCAATTTGAATTTACTGTGTATCAGTAATAAGTAAACTTGTTTTGTTAACAACATCCAGGTTTGCGAAAATGATCCGCGGGATCGGTGATCACCTCGTCGCTTCGTATATGCGCTGCTACCTAGCGCGAATGATTTTGCAGGTGGCGCCGGAAAGTGTGCCACATTTTTTTATCCTTATTGAGGATTTTGTGATAACGACTCAGCAGTTGCACAGAGAGAAGATGCTGGAATCCCGGTTGTCGGAACAAAAACTGAACATGTCATCCTACCTGTTGCTTCACCAGCCAGCGCTGGAATGGATAACAGAATGCTATGCTAAGCAAACCGGAGCCAGAGGAATGGAGCAGTTACTTGCCTTGGCTGAAGGCAGCCGTTATTCAGGATTATTGTTGAACTGCGTTATGACCAGTTTTAAAGCCGATCTCGTTGCTCAAAAAACCCATGTTCATCTGTGCCTTAATTCGTAATTCCAGTGATGAAGTCTTCCCTACACATATCCTCTGCCGCACATTAGGTATGCATCAATTGCGTATGGATTGAACGTTGGTCGCCCACTCACATATTTTCACTTAAGTTATAAAATTTGGACGTTTGTTGTTTCAGGTTCCTGTTAGACGGTTGTTAAATTAAGATTGATTAGATAAAACTTTTAGACAGAAATGCGTGCAACTGACTTGTACATATCCTATTACGATTCAGCTGTCATGTGCGCATCAACACCGTGCAAATAAGCTTTTGTGTTTGCCAGGTTTGTGCTTACTGGGAGCGGACACGGATCCCAAAGAGCGGAAAAAGATTATGAATGAAATCTGGTCCATGATTGTTGAACAAAAGGATTCCCAAAGCTACATTTCGGCTGCCGAAATTTGGGTGGAGTTTGCCGCCAAGTTCTTCACTGTCAAAGAAGTTAATCGCATTTTAAGTGACATCATATCGCGCCTACTTCCCGATCGTGCGTACGAAAGCTGTGCCAATACTCTGCTACAAATTACCGAGAAAATTGTTCGCCATACTAGAAGTTTCACTCTGTTACTGAGCATGGATAAATTTATGCCCTTTCTGGATTTACTGCAAAAGGAAGACATCCGGATGAGTGCTGCTAAATTGCTGCTTGATTCCTATTTAAAATTTGAGCGAGACAGCACATCGGATCCTGTGGTGTTGAACGGTGCCATGTTTGCATGCAAAGTGATACACGATGGGATTTCGTCGCTTTCTTCGGATGACGAAAAGCGGGCAGCGGCAGGTATTATTGACTTGAAATAGTTTAATACTAGCGGTGGTTGTTAACCACATTATTGCACGAGCGCGAGCGCCAATACCACTGAGTAGTGGTACTGGGTTTGTCGAATTGGAAAAGTGAGCGGTGACGCTCTTCGTGGCGTCAGACAAATTTAAGCTCTTGACGATCAGTTATTGCAGCATCTCGCGCTCGGTGCAAAATATGACATCGACCAACCAAGTGCTTAGCTGCTGTATAACGGAATTGCCGTGCTAAACTTAAGCGTATGTGTAATAATCATTTCCGGCCAATTGAATATACGATATCTTAAACGAATACCAGAAATCTATAAAGAATGGTACAGCAGTACAGCTGCTGACTATGTATCGGATGGAATTAGATAAGCTGAATCGTTTTGTATTATGAAATTAGTAAAACACTGAAATTTTTTGGAGGAACAGTATTCGTCTAAGATGCTGGCAAATCATTGATCTTGCAGCTTTGATATGTGGTTTTATTCGGCGAGTGGATTTCGGGAAAGATTTTGAGCGACAGTTATCGTTTTATGGAGAATGCCGCGAAGCCTTCCACAATCTGGACGACGTGGCGGAGTTCCTTGTACACTGCGTGAACCATCTGGCCATGTCCACCCGGGCAATCCAGAAAGGCCAGCACAATCGGCGGACCGCAGCCTTTGTACGAGCCTGTGTAGCGTTTTCGTTTATTACCGTTCCTTCCTTGTACCACATTCCCAGCCAACTTCATTTGTACCTTGAGTGTGCCCAAGTAGCCTTGGCGAATCAGTGTGTCGGCCAAGTAGAGGCCTTGATCAAGGCAGCCATCCAGCTGTTTAATAGTTCCAAGGACGAACTGGAATCCTTCGCCACGAAAATGCATCCGGTGCATCGCATTGTCATTGAATTTGCCAGCGACTTGTTGGGGTTACTGTTAATTGTCCCGGATCCGCCTGAACAAGGCATGTTGTACCTGGTGAGAGGGTTGATGAACAGTATTCAGGGATTCGATCTCGAAGTGAGGATGGCATTACAGGTATCGTTAAGAAGCTATAAAGATTAATTAATTCAAGTTAAAACATGCAAGTGCGTGGCTTGCTACTTCTTAGTACATAGACATTAATGTTGTTAGTAGCCGGAGAGTGCTCAAGGCTTTTGTCATCGCTAAATTGGCCGTACTTGCGACATTGAAGGATGTCGCTTGGTTGGACTTAGTCAAACAGAATACTGCAGCCTGCTTGACATTCTGCTTTGGCATTTAACTGTTTTGTTCCCCCTGGTGGCACATAACGAGATCGATTGCTTCGCCTATTTGGCGGCATAGACGCATTTGTTAGTGTTGGCTCATAGTGCCTTAGCGGATGCTCGATTGTTTACTCACGTCTCACGGGCAGTGTTTTTTTACTCCGTACAGCTACAACTGTTGGTGTATTGTTCCGCTGCGGAACAGGAAGATTACATCTACCATGTGGACGGTGTGGACTCCAATGATCGCCTGTACGGCGGGGATCCGGATTTCGTCACGGAGATCCAGGAGATGGGTGGTGTCTGTCTGTCCCACCTGATCAGCATTGTTAATGAGCTGAAGTGTGCCAAGCAGGCGGGGCAGGCGGCGAAGTTGGCGCTGGATGTGATCGATGTCCTAATGAGCCATGGGGATGTGGGGCGTGTGAAGGGAGCTCTGAAAGTGATGATCGGTGTGGTGAAGAGCGCCGGACAGCAATTGCCAGCTTCAGACGGGAAAAGGTGGCAGAGTTTGCGTAGTGTAATACGGAGTAGGCCCTGGGCAAGTGATATTGGTGATTTGCTCTAAAAGAGATTGTGCAAAGAGGTTGCTCTAAAAGAGGTTTTCCTTTGTGCAGAGTAATTTTTTCTGAATGTTGGGGTAGGGTTATGGATGTTGGTTTGCGTTGTGCTTTCTTTCTAGTCACTGTTCCATTGATTCATTTTGTAATTTGGTTTTACATTGCCGTTTAATTTAAAGCGTTGGTAAATTTCTCTGCGGTGGTGTTGAACTTTTAACCATCGAAAAACATAAAAACCAGGGTAAACCATACCCTAATCAGTGATTATGTGTGTGGACGGTATTAAAGAGTAATATGGTTTTCAGTACTTAGTTAGTAACCGTTTGCAGGAGAGCTGAAAGAGTGGGGAATCCACTGCTTTAACGATGCTAATTTCAGGAGCAAGCAATGCCTCTAGTTCAAGCAGGTAGAAGACCTCGCTACAAATAGAGACATACGAGAGCTACGAAAGCGAAATGAACCATGTTAATCAGCAGAAAATTTATTTTAAAAAGGCTCAATAAAAGGCAAGTGAACAAGCACCAAAACGTGTTTCCAGAAGATAATAATATCATTTGCAGGCTTGCAGCAACATACTGCACGTATTTAAGTGATGAGATAAATCTGAATTCGCAGGCATAAAAGTTTGTATTGTACAAATACGATTTATAATGCTGTATTAATTGAAGAATTTGTATCAATTGTGCGTGTGTAATATGTAGTATTTGCAGTCTCGGTTATTTGCCGGTTTAAAGGAAACTGCTCAGCGCTCATACTATTACTAAACTGCTACTGGGAAAAATATTGGACAACTTTAAAATTAAGTGATCAAAAACGATGTGAAATTCCCCTGCTAAGGTTGTGCTTACTTGGAAGAATTAAGTGAGATACAGTTGACGTTAACGTTGGTAAGCCGTCGCAATCATCATTTGCAGCAAGGACAAATTGCTTAAGTAAAAGCATTAAGATTTAATCCGCCGCGGCTTAATGCGAAGTACATTTGGCTGCCGGAAGTAAGCTGGAGCACTAAAGCATTAGGATGCCGACGCACCCGGCAACCGGCCCGCCTAACTGATTATTTGGCTCGACAATAAAACGCTGGGTTGCACGGCATTGGCCGGCTGTATAAGAAAGGGTCGACCGGCGCATGCGGCTTTCCTGCATGCTCGCAGAATCATATCCTCCTTCTTCCGGAACAAACGGATTTCCAGCCATCAGCAAGCCATAACATTCTATCTCCTGTTGTAATCTGTTGGCCGGCGCCGATTCCTCTGTGCAGCGGGTATATATTGTATTGTGTACATGAGCAGCTGTCGTTTTTTTCTGTGCGGGACTCGTTTCCTTCGTTTAGATATATGCACAAATAATTCAGTGGTATCTCAATTTGCAAATTTGCTCCTCGCTCATTCAAGTGTTTCCCTTTTCTGTTGACTATACAGACTTGTGTGAGGAACGGATAGTCAGCCATCTGTCGCAAATCACTATCCACATTAACCGTACTTCCGGTAGACTTTCCCCGGCAAACATATCATCACCAATCATCCCCTCCATACACGGGACAGCTGCGCTTTTCTTGCGCTGGTAATCCGCTAGCGCACAGCACTATATTCCACATGCGGACAAGAATTTAACATTTTAAAGCCCCTCGGATAGCGCCGTTTTCTTGCCAATTAGTATTTATGTTATGTCCATTGTGCCATAAACTGCAAGATTTGATTTGAGAATTATCTCGGTTGGTTTCGTAATCAAGAGGTAAGGACAGCTTTGTCAGTTATAAATGTGTTTTTACTGGTGCTTCCGAATTTGCTTACAACTGCTTGCACATAGCGAAACAGGGATAACGACACATCACTGCCGGTAGCTCGTATACACCGCCAGCTGAAATGCAATGGTGCAGCAAAACAGATTCAGAAAAAACAGAATAGACTAAAATATAACGGAAACTAAGAACACACTGAAATATAACGGAAACTACATACATATGTACTTCTGTATAAAACTAAAATTCGTAAAGAAACTGCTCTCCGTTTCTGCGTGATTGATGCATTTGGATATCCTTTTAAAAATCGATTTGTTATCAGTTGAGTAATGGCATGACCGGTAAATGTCCAGTTTCCGTGTCACGGTCAGAGGGCTTAATTGTGCTTAGTGTAGCGGTAAATTGTTCAGGATACGTTAGCTTTTTGGCTTTCGGCACGATTTGTACTTTTAAATTGGTTTGAATAATTTTTTCGTTGGTATAACGTATTCGAGACATTCGAGAAAGCTCTACGCAGAGTTAACGTTGTACAAAACTGAAATTAATTTGGTTGAAGGGGTTAGAGAAGGACAGCAAATTTGTGGTGTATATACAGCAATTGTGTTACACGAGTAAAATGTAGATGCCAGTATGTATTGGATAGTGGCAGCATATACTCGTAATTTATGAGTTGTTTCTGTCGCAGAAAGAAAAAGTGTATGATACTTTCTGTGATCATTTCTGAAATTAAAATTTTCCACGATCGTTTTATACCTAACAATCAATGCAATCAATGCAATGCAATGAAATCTGAATTTGATATAAGTTTACCCATATTCGCTATATACATATTACTGACATTGATATAAGAATGTTACTGGGATTAACACTAGAGTATTGTTTGAAGACATTTTTCTGCTACATAAAACATAGGTCAACAGCGATCCTAGTGACTTTTGTTATGTGATTCGCAAACTTTACACCGCGCCACTCAAATTTGTATTGTAAATTTTTGGTGTCAAACACAGAGCCGAAGATGCTGGTATACAAATCAATGTTTCCCGCTTAATGGATTATCCACCGCAGTAGTCCGGGGTTATCTGATACTGATTCCTGTTGCAGAATTTGATTAGCACACAGTACACATCGTCCCACACAAAGTCAAGCGGACTTTTTGAGGATGCCGTACATGATAATCAGCTGCAGCACGCCCTCGGAGTACTTCACATCCAATGGCCCGACGACCGTGGGTGATGCCAGCTCCGACAGTAATTTAATGGCCTATCTGCGCGCCGCACCCAGCCCATATGGAACATACGACTGCGCCCAGGGGCCGCGTTGGGTGCTGGATAAACTGGAAGCACGCGGCTACCGGGTGGTGGCCATGTCCAGCATCACCAAAACCAACGGTAACCGCATTACCAGTTTCTGGACGCTGTACGCCGCGCCGCCCATGCAGCATAGCAACTCGCAACAAAGAGGATAATTTTTCATTCAAAGCGCCTGCACCGTCTTCAGCAGTTTCTACATCAGTTACTTCTGTCGCCATTTTCCCTGCTTCGTTCGTAATGGTGATGTCTTACCTCGTGCTGATTAAATATTTTCAACCAAAAATATGAATGCGTGACTTGTAATTATTGCACTATAAAATTATTTGCGGGGATCGTATCGTTCTTACTTGTCGCAGCGAAGCATCGCTATGTGTTGTAGGTGCATCTCTACGAGTTTCTTTTGTTTTATACTAAATATACGCTTCCAGCGGAAATTATTGCAATACGAGTATACATCGGCATTTTAGTTTTTATTGGGCTTTGAACTTTCGATATTAAGCGTTTGGCTACGTCGTTCAAATGACGAATATGTTCATATGTTAGCGTTGTGTTTCTGCAATTTAATAAAATTTATCGACGTAAAAAATACGTCTTATAGTAAATCAGTTACATATGAGTATTTATGTGAATATTTATTGTGGTCACCAAATGTTTGATCTGATACTTATATACCATTAGATATACTGCGCATATCTGCATGCTGCAGAAAAATTAATTGTAAACTGAAATGCTGCGAAAACGAAGGCAGCGCATATGACACACATCAAAAGGGTTACGGCATGTGTAAAACAGTACATCTTCTTCTATCGACCCCATACTGCGTCCAATGTTCGTAATTTTTTTATTGGCCTAGTACCAGGTTTATAGAGTATCCTGTTGCACATTTACCATAAATTGTTGTCCTTTCTGCACCATTGTTGAGCCAGCATGTTTCTGCAGCTGTCCAACGCGATTCTCCCTCGTTAGAATTGCGGGTTATCAGATCATGATCGATTTCGAAGTCTCTTGAGTTTCCCCAATGAACATTGATCAGATTGCACACACGCCGCTGGCGCGGGAAGTTTTTTTAGTGCGATGAGTGCCCGGTGTGCCGGTCAAGTCCAATTGTAATCTTTAGTTTCATCCTGCCGCTGCTACGGGCGCCGACAGATCATAAGTGTACGGGATGGCTGTGTGAGTTTCCATCCGAATGAACCGGCATCCCTATTGATTAAATGCCCAAAGAAATAAACCGCAGAGTTTATGTAGATGATGCCGGCAATTGAAAGTTGTGAATGTTTTTAATTTTCTGCATGATAGATGGATGACTTGTCTGGGAATTCGACGGTCTATCATGTCGGCGCTGGGCTTATCCGGTCGGCTGGTCGATAAGAGGGCTTGGTTGATTTTTTTGTGGACATTCATGTGGAAAGCACACTTCCGGTCCGAGTAATTCGTGTAGTTTATACGGATACCATCGGGCATTTTTTATCCACCGCGCGAGCCAATCAAAGCTTGCATTGCTGTTGCGTCCTAAGTTGTAACATCGCTTGCGTGCTTCTACCGGCCTTTGAGACTTGAGTAAAAAACGGGAAACGCATCTGACCTGAAACAAGCGCATAGTGATTTGTACCAGCAGGCACAACATGCTGCTGAGAACGTAAAGCGCCACAGCAGTCACGGTAGGTAGGGTCTGAATAATAATAATCAATAATTATAACAGCTACAGCTTTAGTAATATAGGTATATTCCTTTTTAAATTAACTTAAATCTTTCATACAGTTAACGTTAGCTCATATTTGTATCGCATTATGGATAAATTTATGTCTAATGGATTATGCAAAGTAGTAGTGAAAGTACAACGGAAAATTAAAGATTAAAGGTGCGAGAAAACTGGCTCTTCAAGAAACAACAAATAACTATGCAACATGTGCAACTATGAATATACCATAAAGTATATTTTAACTATACTGTGTATTATACTCAGTATTTAGCGATAAAATAGCTAACCAACTCATTCAAGGTAAACTTATCAAGCAAGGCACTCATTCATTAATAAATTCTTGCCGATCTGGAAAACTCCTCCGACCGTCTTCGGCGCTGCGCATCCTTTTTTTCGAGAATTCCTCAGTCATCAATGCTGTGACACGTTGTCCATTATAAATTAAAGAACCCTATTTGTCGTCGGTGACGAGGGCACATAGACCGGGTCAAAATTCAGAAAAGTATTATTTTTTGTAGAAAGGCAGTATATAACTACCATAGTACTATGCTCAAAAACGCTTCATCTTCAATAGATGCCCCTTACTAAGGTAAGAAGGGGCATATCTTCAATGGTCAATAGGGCGTGGTCAAGTAAAAAAAGTAAACTGTAATTATCAGCTTCGAGTGGTTTGTTTTAAATTAGCAGTAAAAACATTCGTGCAAAAAAATCTTTTTACAAAATATAAGCAGATCAGACGCACTTCTGAACGAATTTTAAAATATGAAAAGATAAAATTCATATGAAAAGATGGTAAATAAGCTGCAAGACTCAACAGTCAGCGCAACTTCGATCTGCCATTTTGTAATTACGAAAGTAAATCTGAAGAACTTTGCGCAACAAGAAAAAACGCTTCTAATGGTAAGAAGTACGTCTAAAACTTAAATTCAACTGTCACAAGATCTGCAAAACTATTAATAGAATATTCCTAACATTTTCCTCGAACCCAAAATGGTGGCGAAGACCTCTCCAATGGACCGGTGGCAGCATCTGCGGCTTCGAAACTCGACAGCGATCATCTACCGCTTCTTCACGAACGATAACGTACAAATCTCGGGGAATTAAGTCTGCGGTATTCTGTTTTTACGGTAGTACAAATATTTACGGTAGCTGCGTTCGCTTGGACAAAGTTCGATCAAGCCACGGTCGCTCTAAACGTCGGATAAACTCCCGTTCCTCGGACACGCCCTCAGCAAAGACGGAGTCCAGACCGATGATGTAAAGGTAGCGGCCACTGCGCAACATGACATCCGAGAACTGCACGACAACTTCCTCAGATCGGCCAACTACTACCGGAAATTTATATGTACGGAATTATGCCCAGAAAACACCCTCGCGAGCACGTAGTACCTACTACCTACCACTCAAACTGTCCGAAGAAACTTTCAACGATACCGGCTTTAACAGGCTCGTGCGTTTGGGAGACGTCGAAAGAGAAGGACAGCAGGAACTGGGTGTCCTGTTTTGCACTTGACCAGCGCGAGATTTCACTTCATATGCTCTGTATGTACAAGTACTAGTTCATACTTTAAATGCCTGTCCTGTCGAACGCGTACCGTTCAGTGTTCCAGAATTTCAAAGGACAAAGAGTGGACGGAAAATTAAGGAATGGGCATTCAAACCTATTCCATAACGCACTGCGTTTGAATCGGTACTCATGCAAGTTGGCGCAAACAGAGTTTGCTCAAAATATATCGAAATTAACACATGCAGTTTGGCATCGAAGTTGAAACGGGAATGTTTTCTGAACATCCAGCCATTTGGCAAAAAGTTACGCTTGAAGGTCAATTCGGAAGTACCGTAACAAAACAAAAGAAACAAACAAAACAACTAACTAAATAACTTGCAAAACAAAAGAAATAGCTTTAAAACAAGAAACAACAACAAAATAATAATAATTAAAACAAGCAGCAAACAACAACAACTAAATAACTTGCAAAACAAAAGAAATAATTTTATCAAGGGCAGCCTTGGCTTCAGAGACGGAGCTGAAACATTCTTTCTCGTGGTCCATATGATCGTTCCCAGGGAAATCGTTCCGCTCTTTAATTTCAAATACATTCTGGCTTCCGACCTTCTCCTCCCGGTTGCTTTAGACGTAAGGAGCAACTGCATACAACCCCTGCACTGTTTGCAGTGAAAAAGTGAAACTTATAGCGTATCATTCCAGTAGTTAGAGTAGTAACCCGGCTTTAACACTTGCATTTGCATGCTCCATGGCCAGGAAGTTTAACTTAGCATTTACCATCCATTCCAATCTTCCAAAATTTCTGTGATGTAGAAGACCGTGATAATTAGTCTCATACTGTTGGTTGTACTGTACCTTACTGACCAGTGTGAGAATTCGACTGACAATGTTTTACAAACCCGGCGTCGTTTTTTGTTCATGCACAAACATCCTGCACGAACATGTATGCGCTTTTATTTAATTTTATTTCGCAGCTCTAATGAGATCAGTTTTCTGAGGAAACTCATTGTTAGAATTTGAAGGGGATCTCTTAAAAAATTGCAATGAGCGGGGTAAAAACTTTCGTAACTCAGAACCGCAATCATCATAAATGCATTCACAACGGTTCCCAACAAAACCTCGAATTCGTTAAAAAATTTCCTTGCATTGTAGCACACCGGTCGGTCGGTCGTCGGTTCATACGGCAGTTGCGGAAAGCATGGGAAGATCAATTATTGCATAAACTCCAAGTTGGCCGTCAGAACCTACGAATCAAATCACCGTTTCAACATCAAGGACATTTCGGTGTTCTTGATTTAGGACGCAGAGGATTGTTCTAATAGCGATGTAAGGTGTTCTTTAGGTATCATTTGCCTGCGTTAGGTCCCTATTGCAAGTGGGACTGTTTTGGATTACGTCTAAATTAGGCTATTTATTTGTTGCACTCTAGATGTGGTCGAACGTAAATATTTTAATCACCTGTTTTTTGACAAATCGTTTTGTATGTCGCAGGCGGCTGAAGGTTACTTTGACTCGCACAGCGATGCGAAGGAAAGTTGGGACGCTTTACCGCGTGATCGGTGTCGGCTTCGGATCGCTCCAGCGGATTTCCTTCCGTCCTGCGCTGCAATAACGGTGTCGTGACTGTCTTCGGTTCGCTCGTCTGCGCGGTATGGGCCGTTTCGCTGATGCCAACCCCAAATATGGTGTACAGAAAAATTTTTCGGAATTTTTTACTCATGGCATTGTATAGTATCGGGTTTATTGCACTAAAATTAAAGACGAGGGTACTGTACAAGAATGTAACGCAGATTGCTATGCGCTACTATTGTACCGAATTAGAGAAAAACGTAACTTGTAAACCGGTTTATTCATTGATTTCATTATGATAATTGCAATATTTTTACGAATGGTGAAAAAGAACCGCATTGTCATCGATATCTTAAAAAATTGAACTTAAAATAAATATGGTCGCATAATTATAATTAACACGTTCACGGCTCTAACCAGAGCCCCGTCACCGGCTATAAAATTTAAAAAATTTAATTTTTTTGTTTGAAGATGGAGTACTATTAGGGTAAGCATAAAAAATATTTTCAGCTGCTGTCGCCAACAGGCGTGGACAAAATAAAATTAAGAAGGAAATTCCACACGATGATGTAACGGCGTAGCCTAAAGGCCACCACCACATCTGGCACATCATACGCTGTACCGTTACTGGAAAATATTTTTTATGATTACCCTAATGTTGCTCTATCTTCACACAATAGATGGAAATTTTTGAATTTACAGCGGAGGCCGGGAATTTTTGAATTTTGAATGTCGGGGCCCTGGCAAAAGGTCGTGCACGTGGATGTATGCAGAACATATGACTGCGCGCGTACGAAATGCCTACCTGTTCATGTAGACCAAAGTCTGCAAAAAACAAAGATATCGGTGAACTGTATAAGCGGTCAGCTGCGATCTAGACTAATAGTTATCCCTTATAAGTTATCACTATGCGTATGCATATGCCTCAAATGAATAAACAATAATATATATACTGTACCTATGTACAATACATACCTTGGCGAAAAGTAGATACCAGATGTCTACGAATCGTTTCCCAGGCTCGTACACGAAGGAATTGTAAACCAACAGCCCTCGATATGGTAGCCATAATATAGCGAACAGTGTGACAACCACCACAAGCATCCGCACAATCTGCACGAGAAAGGAGGGACATTATGGAGCATCATAGTTTGCAGGATACCGTTGGTTCATACATTTGTGATATGGAGCTTTTTAATTAATACTACCGTACACGGTACACTACTACTTACTTTATCGATACTTCTATACCATTCTTACTCTGCCGTAATACAATACTATTGGAACGTTTTCAAAACAAGTGAAACCAGAAATACAGCTAATCACAGACAATGGCTTATATAGACACTAATTTTAATTGAAATAGGTAGTAATCTGTTTATCTGTCTGTTGAGAAGCCAAGAAATCTTTGTAAACTTGCGAATCCTGGCTTTTCGAACAATGGAAGTATTCAAAACAATTTATAATTAGTAATTCGTAATTAGTAAGGAATTTAAGCTATGAATTCTGTCATCCATGCTACGATAAAAGCGATGCAAACATTGTGGGCGAATCAACACTACTCTACCAGTACTTAATTACAGCTGTTAGAATTACAGCAGGTTGGGTTTTTACGAAAGCTGCTAAGGAAACGAAAAGGTATTAATCACATATTAAACCATACCTGTACGCGTGCTTTATCTTGCTGAGATGCTTTCGAATCTGCTGCATTACCGGCATTTTTCGGAGTTATTACGCTCGGTGGCGTAGCTCCGTTAGCGTTGCAACCGTTCAAGCGAGAGAGTTTGGTTTTGGATTTAAATGCACCCTTTCCCAAATTCTTATGCATTTTTGCGCTTTTTCTCAAGGTAAGCCCAATTCGAATGTACAGAACTACCGAGACCACAAGAGGCGAAATGTAGAAAAACAATAAATCCGCCATGAACATATATACATATTGTTCGCGTTCCAACCGGAAGTAGCACTTGTACAGGACTGGATAGCCAGGATGTAATTCTGCTTTAATGGTTGTTAATCCCAGCCACTGGGCACAGTACAGTATTGCGAAAATCCAGATGCCGACAATGATTTTTTTAGCGCGGCCTACAGAGCAGACTTTTTGGGCTAATAAAGGGTGGCAAATGCCTGTAAATTAAACAAATACAAGTAAGCGTAAGCAGAATCACATAAAACTTATCTCGCCATGTCTGAAATAATCTTAGAAAAATAATTAAAATTTTATCCAGGCATCAGATGGAACGCTCTACCGAAGCATGATTTCACAATAATTTCCGACATGCATCATCATTAGCAAAGTAATTGCTTTGGCTTGTGAAAGCAGTTAAATTTAAACAAAAAACATATTCAAGTTCACATGCTGGATCGTCAATCAGATTCAGCCTTAACATTGGATTAATTTACCGCAACCATCTCTAGATCTACCGTTTGATAACTCTAAATTGAAGTATAAATAAAATAAAACCTTTTAACGAATTTTTGTTAACTATTCCACTACATATCTGCAAATTGCACGTCACGTAAGCACACGGTTACAGAAAAACAAAACTTAGTACTGGGTAGTAATGGTAGCAGTTTATGAGCATAGACTGATGATTTTTCTTTCGCTGACTTTCCAGACACTTACCGATATATCGTTCGATTGTAAAGCACAATATACTGAAACCACAAAGCATAACAAATCATAAATAAAATGTCATTTGCTTTTCTGTTATGGAATCATTCTATATGAAGGATTTACTTCTCGAACCTTAAACTGCTGGCATTAATACCAAGGAAATTGCCGAACTGAAGTATGGAGCAACCTGCATGCCCGAGAACCCACTGTCCCTTATAAAGGTAATGAGAAAGCAGCTGCTCTGGCATAGCCGAAAAGAGAACCATCAGATCCGCTATTGACAATGATGTCTGAAAAGAAGCCAAGCCATACTTATATTAATTAAACCATGTAACGCAGATGAGTACATGAATGTTGTATGTCCATAACCCACACAGATACGTCAACAGCCAGAACCCAGATCTTCAACAATCGTAAGGGTCGAGCGGTTGACCTTTAAATTTGTGCGGAGTTTAGATTGTCATGAATATAAAATGTGTACGTACTGAAAAAGACTGGGTTAGGTGCCACAATAAGATACTTAATACGATTAACTGAAGAAATTAATTTCTAATTCTTTTCTAGTATACCCATATTTGTCTAAATGTCACACTGCATTAATGCAGCCATACTTCTTCAAACAAAAAAATATGCAGGCGTTAATTGATACTACAAGATAAACGTTGTTAATCCGGGAAATCAGGTTTGATCGTATAAATGTTACAAAGATATTACGAGTACATAAAAATTAATAATAATGTCTTATTGATTTCTGAGAAGTGGAAGGCATGTCTTACAGAGAAATGATTTCTCGGTAAGACATGCTTTCCACTTGCAGTTTAATTGTTTGACTTACTAAATAACAATAAGTCGGAGTATGCATGCTTTTAGTTCGGCGCACGACAATGGCAAGAGAAATATTTCCAAACACTCCCGTAAAAAAAATCAACACATGCATAATAGTGGCCACAATTCGATACTCCACAGGAAAAAATGTTGGAAGTGCAGATTTCGGATTAGCGGACTGATTAACGGACGTGATGTTGATAATGCCAATAAGCACATCCGTGGTGTTGAGCATTTCCACTCAGCGCTTTTGCAGACGTTTTTGCGCATAATATCTCCCACAGCTAAAGAGGAATAATTATGCGACTGCATAAAATATCCTAAATAATACCATCCATTCAAACTGATCCGTGCAGATAAAAAAATCCAAATGATTGAAATCAGCGTCAACACGATCGACAGTGGCAGCAAGCCGGCGATTTTCCCGTTCAAATGATGTATTGACCATCACAAAGACATCCAATCCAGTTTATCCTTGGGGGTACGGAGCGATCAGTCACCATTCAGCCATGTCTGCTACAGTCAAAAATCTAACATCAGTACTGGAATTACTTTGAATTTAGAGGCTGCAGAAATTGGAAGCTGCTTTAGATGGCAAGATAATTACGGCCAAAACGAACGGCCAAGTAAAATGGATGAAGTACGTAGTTCATGTGCGAGCTAGCTCACCATATTAATAGTAGAAGTACAGATAATTAATCGGTAATACGAGATTATACAAAGGTCACTTGAAATGCCGGAGATATTCCGCTGCGAGTGTATTACATCAATAATTCTCCTGTAAAGTCGAAACCTAAGACAGAAAAACAGACACAGTTGGTACCGCAACAGCCAACATGCCCTCACTGTGCCGGTGCATGCCAAACTGGCCATCAGATATCGGCAGGGAAACGTGCAGCGGAAATGGTCCTAAAAGTAGCGGGTACGAACGGTGCACACCGGGAGCAGATAAGTGAACGCCCTGTGCGCGTATCATTATAAATCTAAATTATAAATAACACATTCATGCTGAGGAAGGATAGCATATATGAATGCAAACCACCTCAGAGTACGGCGCGCACCCACACAGTAGGATAGCGCTTATCATGGAGGAGCAGCTACAATGACAACATACCCGATAACCAAGTATCCAAAGGGGAAATCGTTGTCAATCATAGCTAGGTATTATGGCTTATTGGCTGCTGCGGATGCTGATTAGGCATCCGTCAAATATGATTTGGGATTTCATCGACTACACTGTGGTTACGGGCGTCCTTAAGAACGCGCGCGTATTCAAAATAACATTATTACTGTCGCCATCGTGTGCCGGCGCTGGGGCGCGCGCACAAGCTGTGCCACCTCGATCTTCCCAACCGGAACTCTGGCCGGTCGCTCACGCGCAGACCAATGCAATCCGCAATTCCGCTACATTGCGCCCGGATGCGCGTTTCGCGGCTTAATCCACTGTGCCCGTTCAACAGTGCTTCCTGTTGTGTGTTACGTTTGATTATCCTTTTGGATGGTTTAACATGTTTGCGAACACTATTCAAACAGATAATGATAACCGTACCGGTGTTGTTATGTTATTGATTATAAAATCGGTTAACTTAATTAGGGGAAGCGGTAAATTTGAACTAAACTTAAAGCTATAATAGAACAGCAATAAATTCGAGTGCACCCTTCACAGGAGAAAACTTTAAATTAATGTCAAAATGTGAAAAAATTAATCCGCACGCAGCTTTTGCGACAATCAAATACGCTGGAATTTCATTATTCTGGAATGGACACCCCGGCACATGTCTCATCAGCACATCGTAAAGAATAAGGTCACGGCGTGCGGAGTTGTATTTTTAGAGTTATTAGGCTCAAATATCATAACTAATTTTCGTGGCTACTAGATTACTTTAAAAGCGGTTTAGTATGCCAACTTTTTGCTGTAGTGGTATGTGAATCATGTTTTTAATTTTTTAAAAAACTTTCACCGACTAGCCAACATATCAACCGGTGAGCATGCACGCTTCAATCGAGAAGGAATTTATCAATTTTCAAACGTCTTGGGAGTGTGATCGTAAGTTTTGCAGTCTGCAGGTCTGTTTTAGTAAACAACCTAAGAAACGATTTCTGCAGATTCTCATGTGAATAACAGTGACTGATTGATATTCGGCATACGTCCAAGGACAGATGAATGATGTCGTAACAATTAACAATATCAATCGTAGACCGGTATCGTTTGCTTCCTCTTTGCCATGCCCTGAAGTTTTCTCGGGCATGATCGCTTGTCAAGGGCTAAACTTTGTATGCGCGGTAATTAATGGCTGGAAAAGATCGAAGTTTCATATATCACGGCCTGTGTTTTCCTGATCAAGCTAACTTCAAAAAATCGATCTACGGGTAAAGCGCTGCATGTGTCAAGTGTGACGCAACGCACATACACTGATACACAGTACACTGTAAGATGCTACCGTATCCGGCAACAATGTGTGCGTAATTCGCTACAGGAAATCGATTCTTAATCACAGCCTGCAATACCAGTCTGAAGAAGATCTTTTCTGACCACTCCTCAGCCATGTTGACGCCCTGATAATACGCTTTCCTAGATTAAAAACTTCAATTACTGTATATATGTGTGATTACAATGGCACTCAGTAAATTATACGTGTTAGTGTATTTAAAAAATACATACACAGTACCTTATGAATACATGATCGTTAAAAACATGAACACAAAATAAACATCTTAACGGCGTGACATTTCACGAAGAGGCTTTAGTCAAACTACTACGCGGAGCAAAAACTTGATGATCCAGACGACAAGCTGATAATTGCCATTTGTTTTTCCACATTAACTGACACGCTGTGTTCTTTGTGTTGGTGTTATATGTAGCCTGCAGTCCTTGAACAAACTGCTGGGACCCTATCATATTATCGTGTCGAAGTTGAAGCTGACATCCACTGATCGTCGGCTGACAAGTGTGCGCTGAGTGTGTTGCGGGGAAAATGCGGCACATCCGGCGCCGTGTGGGTGTCAGCAGGTCACACTCTTAATCAAACACAATGTGACACCTGAGATTTTCCAGCACGACACGGCCCGATAAGAGTTTGTGATTAATATATTTATTAATAAAATGTCAGAGGAAAAATGCCGCTGTGGACCAGAGTGGCAGCCGATAGTTTAATGATCCCATAGGAATATTGGGATCAATTCCAGCGGTGGGCCAAATGCATACAGTTTTGCCATAATTTGTTCGCCATATCCGTCATCAAGTATCATTTACACAGTTGCATGTGCGGTACTAGGCCACCGATCGCACTGGTAATTGTTTCCGGTTACCTCCTCATTCGGAAAATTATCATTCGGCAGTGGCGTTGACACAGCAAATTAAAAAAACTGTTTTGATTAATATGAGAAAAAAGGTAGAAAAGGCTCCGTAGCGCTTTTCTTCTAATTGGTTCTTGCACTGCCTAATGCCTGTTTTTGAAAAAACAGGGTACAATAAGTCATCATACGAGCTGCCCACTAACTACCATTTTATGCCTAAGATAAGAAGGATTTCAACTCTTCTTTCACGGGTGATTGGACATCACTTACAATTTAAAACTAAGGCGTTACTGTATTTAAGAGTCTCATGGGATTACGATTAATCCGCCATATGGGACAACTCTCATGATTGAAGGTTATATCTTCATTGATCTTAATATCTATCGTATGCCCCGGTCTGGTGGAATGAACTTTGCAAAATGAAATCTTAATGGCATTGCCAATTCCACACCAATTTATGTAGCGTTTAGTAAGGCAGCCGAACACGGTGGGCAGCATCGTAAAACGATGCCGATAGCGGTGCATTATAGTTTAGAGTTCCTGGTATTATACTGTATTTACTGGCAGGTTACGCCTAATCGCCATATTATAGCCTTAAGATTGAAGCTACAAACGTTATCACAAAATACTACATTCATCATGCTTCATGCGCATCGGTTATCAGAATTCCCTTTTCCCAAAGCGTTTCGTAAAAGCCCATTAATACATCATCATGTCAATCATGTTTCTGTGTAGATGTGCACCATGAAATCAAGTGATGAAATTTTGACTTGTCGTCGCTGTTAATATCGTAAACACCCGTGAAATTCCATGTTCGTAATTTACTTTGAGCCATTTGGCGGCATTGCTTAAAACATAAAGCACCTTTATGACTTACTTCAGTTTTTGACTAAATTAAACTCGTCATATATTTCTGCCCTGCGCGGATTTTGCGTCATCATTATGCTAATTTGTGCGTTTAACAAATAGCAGCGTAACACTTCATTAATTTTTAAGTTTACGATAAATCATTTACAAAAATGTTACACAAGGAGATTTGGGAAAAATACAAAAACGAAAGGCAGTTTTGCAACGGTACTTTCTTTAACTCCTTTGTATTTTTGAATCTGGTACTTTCACATCTATGAAATGTTTTAACGATGATACCCGTTTTCTTACCTCCTGCAGATTCGTCAGAAATCCTGTCACAAATAGGGGATCCAGTTAATTAAACAGTTCGCCTTGAGTAGCACAGTAGTCAACCAATGTCCATATAACCTTTAATGACTACAGAGAATGACAATTTAATTGCGGCATCGCTCAGTCTTTTGTACAAATGTAGCTCACCGGCAAAATTGCAGTAAAATTCGTAATTTTGTAATACAATAAGTTCAGAAGCACACGCGCTGCTGTGACTGCAGTTTGATATCGTAATTGACTAATCAGTCATAATATTTTCGATAACACCGTGTCTAACAAATTGGGGTAATCAAGCGCGCTACAGATCGAGAAAGTGAGAACGTCTCATCATTAAAACGGAAAGGTTTCTCATCGAACAGGAAGATTTTGGATCGTATATAGAAACAACAGCTGGTGTACGATTCCCCATTGATTTACATCCCGGTTGGTCGATATGCGGGTGTATTTATTAAGCGTATCGTCGCACAGCAGCGCTAACAGTATTGTCAAACAATATTGCCAAGCGTTGGCGATGAAACTTGTAATTCGATCTCCAATATTTTGTAAATTTGTTATTAAACTTCCGGCAGCATACTTGCAATCCAATAAGCATCATGAACGTACTCGTGTTATTGAGATTTCATATGAGTTAGACATACCCGACAGTATATGGCTTTTATTGGGAAGAAAAATGGTGCTAGACGCTTAAAACTGGCACGGAAATAGTGTTGTTGTAATTATGGTAATCAGTATGCCGCCTTACATTATCCTGAGTACAAATATTGCCTGGAAAAAAATGAAACCAGGGAGTATGCAACGCTGTGACAACGGGAGTACGTAAATACACATATGCAACCAAAAATCTCATGCGATCACGCATTTATATCGCAGTGTAAACAAGATCTGTTTGATGGACAAAAGACATTCTTAATGGACTAGGAAAGGCCTTTGGCAGCATCGATCGCGGTTGCTGGAGTGTTAGCGGTGGAGAACCCCAATAATCAGCCGATTTCAATGAGAACAATGGCTGTGGTTTTACCGCCTTCACCGGAGAAATGATCTGTGAAGTGAAATTGTCGGGATGGCAATCGAAACGTCAATGAAGTCAGTCCACAAACGCGCTCTCGTTCCGGTGACTTAGTACAAATATACGCGGACATAGGTGTTATTGGAAATTCATTTTACACGTACAGTGTTGCAAAAATCGGCACGCAAAACGTTACCGGTCAACCCATGCCGGGTTTTTTTTGCGCAGCTCACACTGAGATCGTTAATTTATATAACCATCTGGGAAGATATCAAAGACGAAGGGAGTATTTTACTCATTATATTCCACGTATGACAAAACATTCATATAATTATGTTGTACTCTGTAGCTCGAGTCCCACGTTTGCCATTAAAAAATTAATTGAATAAGAATCGGCTATAAGCCCTTCCTGCCCCGTTCACTATTATGCACTCCGGCCCTTTTCAGTTATTTATGATAGCTATGTTTAACCTCGAAAATTTTTTGTTCAATATACGTATTGTTTAATACTTTAACCCCATTTGTTCGTGGGCTGTGGATATTTATTTACAAAGCAATTTGTTTGGCTAAAAGTTTTTGACAATTTTTCTGTCAGTCCACGCTCTAATTTGGCATTCACAGTTCATTATGTGAATGCGCGTTATCTTTGGGTAGGTACTAGGTTACAGAACAGAAAACGCCTGTATACACACCTGTTACTGAAATAGTGTCAGACGAGATTATTACTAAAAGTAATGTAAAATACTCGAACATATGATGCTTTTCCGCAGAACTGATAGTTCTTACAATTAGTACGAAACCGAATAAAGGCCGGTATTACAAGGCCTTAAACAATTAGCTTTTTGCAGTGATGTCTATAGTTTTTTCACTATACGGGATGCGTGCATTATGCAACTGAAAACGGGAGCGGGAGCCTCCGCTGAAACTGGGTGCAAAAAGGGTTGCCTACAGGCTACAGTAACCGGGAGAGGAGTGCGTATAGTATCATCCAGATAAATAATATGAATTGCGCCGAATTCAAACTAAGAAGTAAGTTGAAGGCTGGGGGAAATTTTATTAACAGTCTGAATGAGCATAAAATTTCAAGAATTATCTTTAATTTTGAGAATTATCTTTAATTTAAAAGAATTATCTTTAATTTTGATCTAAATTTCCGTTAAAGTCCGATCGGATCGCTGTTATATCAATTGCATGTTTTTCACTCGCTTTGTGCAAGTTGTTTTCGGTGTTTATGAAGGCTCGTCACGTGGGAAACGGTGGTTGTTGGCATCCATATAGTGTGCTGACCTTTCAGTTTAGGAACCCGCATTACGATTGCTCACACCATCACATATGCGGATGCACGGTAGTGTGCCAGCAGATTGGTCAAATTTCAGAACCACATAATTATATTAAAATTCGAACCCCATATCAAGGTCAGATGTGTAGATCATTTAAGTAGTCACTCAGTGACCTTTATGGCGACGAGTCGTCGAGCATTCAATACAGGCTATAGAGAACGTCTATAATATTTCCTCGAGTTTAACGTATTTTCACCAAATCTTCAGGTTGCAAACGTGTGGTAGACACGCTTATTCCTCATGTTTAATTTAGCTGCTTACAACACCGATTTCAGTGGACTATTGTCTACAGTAATGCAGACAAACCGAGTACTGGGCCGGGTAGGATACCGGGGCACTGGCTAAAAAGCACAGCAAGTCGATTGCCAGAACTTTCAATAACATGACTGCACGAAAAGACGCGCATATAATTAAAAATTTTATCTGCTATTGAGTTTAATGCGCAATGTCCTAATTTCACGGTTTGTACTTTGCGGTGTCTTCGGCTTGCAGTTTCCAACTTTTCATTAACCATCTACAGCAGTTTTTTAGGCACCTCAAAAACACTCGATGCCCGCTTGCAGCAGTAGTATGCGCAATTCCAGTGGGTGTGTGCACTGTGCACGGCACTACCATAGTATTAACTCACAAAACCGGTTTTTTTGTCGAGCACCGCTTTGCGTCCTTTGCTACAATACATCGAATGCCCATAAGCAGAGGATCGATCAGCTTCCGGTCTGAAAGGGGGTATCGTATGCAGGGATACGAGTGCAGTACATTTGGACTGGTTAGATGCATATCGTATGTTTGTTCCGCAAAAGCGGTCTCGCCGTTGGTTTATGAGTTCGCGTTATGAAACGGGCTGTGATACCTTACAGTACAGTACGTAGATACGTACCGTGCTGCAGCCAACGTGGTTGTGCGGCAGTGCCATACTCGCTTCAACGAACCTTGACGTTTGAACCATAGCAAAATTTGGTTCTGCATTCAGCTATTATCCTTTGCAAATTTCGTCATTTTGCCTTAGCTTGCTCATCACCCGCACTAGCTACTGGGATTTAGTTTAGTGATTTGTGATTAGTTAGCATTTTCAACTTAAAGCTTCTAGCACAAGCGAGATACATATACTGTACGAACCGACCGGAAGTTTTGGAAGTCCGTTTTTAAAATTGTTACTGCATTTCTATCCAGGTGAGTGGCAACCATACTTCATCCTAACTAATCTGCTGCATTGTTCTTTCAAATTTCGCTGCGTTATTGTGGAGGATTTCTGTGATATATATATAAGAGTTCCAGTAGTCTGCACTAACAATATAAGTACAGTAACATTTTCACCAAAGTATTCCGATTATTGCGATGTATTTATACGATATATCCGTAGTATGCGCACTTCTGTGCAAGTGCGTGAAGTACACCAGCATTGTCGTATTTCCTATTTGAAGACTGCAGTACCAGTAAGGTGTTTTTTGCTGGAAAGTGAAAATTAATCTAATACTGATATTAATGTGCCATTAAACTCAGAAGGTCCATTTGCAAAAACCCCATGCTTTACAATTTACATTAAGCATTTTACGTATGGTGCTGCTCGATACTGATATACTGACGTACGTAACGAATCAGTGTCCCAGTATAGTGCCGAAAGTTTTAGGCGTACTCTGTAGACTATTGTAGAGTCGGCTGTTGAAGCTCGAGCTCACTGGAACAGCGAGCCATTTATTAGCTGTTGATAACTTGATATTATGTAAGTTTAATAGCACATGAGAAAGTTAACACATTTTTTGCTTTGCCTGAAGGAAGATGGTCTGCTCATAAATTTACTTGGATATTATGTATCGCTTTCCTTGTCGAACATTCTAAATTCACAGACAGTTTTTGCCCTACTCGAAATCATCGTCAAGCCAATTATGTCAAGCCGGCCTGTGTTTCTCTACAGCATTTGAAAAGCAACATGATGTTTCAGTACGAGGACGAGCTTAGTACATGTGATAGACAAGTTTTTCCAGGCAGTTCTATTGCCCGCTTTGATATGTTAGTCGTTAGTTATCTGTATTGCAGGCTTGCAACTACCCCGTTGTGATACCACAGCTTGTAGTGGGTTACGGGCGACCTCCCCACCATGCCGCGAGTACAGTCTGGAAGTAATCCCTTTCCGCCTGCAGATCCACAATTTGAAAGCCCTAATTCTTACCCGGCATACCAACCACAACCGCCACAACCAACAGGGCAGACAGTGTATTACCATAATCAACAACCTGGTAATGCTTCAGGACTTTTGTTGGAAATAATTATCTGCCATAATGTAGTATTATAATGAATGATGTTGAAAACAAATGTAATAAAATAGCGGGCTACAGATATATTCACCTTGTTACAAATGCGGATTACTTTGTGACAATCACATTGGGTCCTATAAATTATACTCGTACATTACGAAGGAATAGCGTTACTTCACCATATTATTATATGCTGTATATCACTGTGCACCGGTCTCAGTCCTGTATTATTAGTGTTTTACCCCCGGCATCTTGTTCTTTTTTATGACTGTGTCTCTGTTTTCATTTAGGATATGAGCAAAATGTGGTGTATACACAGCAGGGTCCCGGAGTGGTTTACACACAACCCGGAATGGTCCAGATCAACACGGTGATGCAGCCCGGTCAGATGATACCACCAGGACAGGTCGTGTGGGTGGCTATGCCAGAACCCATACCTGGTTGTCCGCCCGGATTGGAATACTTGTACGCCATGGATTCGCTGGATGTTAAGCAGAAAAAAGAGTGGTTGGAAGGTATGAATTTATTGCTTTTTTCAAAGACGATTTTATGGGTTTCTAACGATATCTAATATCCATATCGATATTTTGCATGGAATACGTATTTACTGGTTTATCGATTATCATTCATTTATTTGTTTTGATAAAAATGTTGTTAACAGTGTTCAGTGGATTCGAGACATCCAACAAATATGTGATCCGAGACAAAATGGGGCAATACGTGTATTTCGCCGTGGAAAATTCGGATTTTTGCTCCCGGCAATGTTTGGGTACTCTTCGACCTTTTGATCTGGGTGTGTACGATAATGCGCAACGGCAGGTGATGAATATTCATCGGCCGTACAACTGTACCGGATGTTGCTGTCCGTGCTGCTTGCAGGTACGTACATAATCGGAACTCGGTCTGTCACAGTAATTTTTCGAAATTAATTCACGAACTCAAGATACTACTGTAGTGATTTGCCCCGGGACTACACTTATCCCTTACGAATGCGGCTCATAATTATGATTATAATAATTATAGATCTTAATAAAATATAAGTAAACAAACGAGAACCGAGCTACCTTTCACCACTTTTATCATCAGAACAACATAAAATCAAAAGTAACAAAAGTAGCCAATATCATCTGAAGGCAACTGTTTGTCACAAATCACAATCATCTCACATTCATCCTAAATAGGAAAAAAGCACAGTAAGTATGTAGCCTATTCAGTACACCCTGCTACACTACTCAACACCGTATTTAGCGATTCTTTCGGCATTTTATGCACAATAAATTAGAAGTCACTCATACAACTGATTTGGCTACTCACTATAATTCATACCAGAGTAATTATATTTTCGGAATGTTTTATCGCATATTAACTACGAGTGCAGTTATTGAACCAAATCATTTGAATACGCTGTCTGCAGACCATGCAAGTAGAGGCTCCACCGGGCAATCCGATTGGCCAAATTGAAGAAAACTGGTCGTTCTGTCTGCCGCGATTCACCATAAAAAACAGGAACGGCGAGCCGGTTCTGAAGATCGAGGGACCGTGTTGCACTTCCAGCTGTTGTGGCAATGATGTTAAATTCAAGGTATGCATACATTACTTACGAGTATTAACAGTGTGTATTTGCCAGTTGGTATTTGGACCCAACATTCGCTCTGTGAAAAGTTTCCCCATAATTAAATTTTTTAGGTTGTAACGGCCGATGGGAAAGCAGAAATAGGTGAAATCTCGAAAAAGTGGGGAGGCCTTAAGGAGTTCTATACTGATGCCGACACCTTCGGAATTACATTTCCATTGGATATGGACGTGCATGTTAAAGCAACACTGGTTGCAGCATGTTTCCTGATTGTACGTTTAGTCTTTTATATTTTATGGAGCGATTTGAATTTGTAGTACTCAGATTATCTTTAGCATAGTCATTAAGGTAACCTTTAGGATTATGGTCTTCAGGATTATAGTCGATTTCGGCCGTGCATATATACATTATATATGGCTTTCGGTTTTGCAGGATTTCATGTACTACGAACAAAGTGGCAACAACAACAATTGAAAGAGATGAACCGCTACGCTTGGAGTGGCAGCGGTTATAATTAATCTGATTTATTTTTTACGCATTTGTACGCTTAAGTTTGTATTGTATTTACTGCTACTGTTTTGGTGGATTTTGAAACAATGTTGTCGCACTTTTGATCACGACGGTTTAGATTTTGGAGGTACAAATACTTTGCTTCAAACGATTCGCACACTGCAAACATGTTCAATTTTTGCCCCCGTAAATGTAATTACCTGTTAAGTCACTTTATTTGGTTGTTGATTTTACTGTAAATTAATTTCAGTTAATTGTGAATTATTAAAGATGACGTCATTGTTGTACACTGACATGAGTGTTTTGCTAAATTTTGGCATTGAAAAGTTAATATTTTATGAGTAGTACGACAAAAGTCAACTACCAATATCTTGATATCTGCATTCAAATCGTCGTATTTTACAACACGCTGTTGTTACAGTTTTACTACAGATTTTCCTACATTGTGATAAGCTAACCATAAGACCTACTAATCATAAATGCACATCCGTGATTTACAGGCATACTTATATGTATTTTATTATACGGTACTGCTACTTCTGCTTCCCCGCATCACGTATGCTACAAAATCTTTCGTAAATTTTACCACATCTGCTGGGAAATATTACTTAATCCGTGACATAATTTCAATATTCCGGTTTGTTGAAACAACGATATCGTACGCGCAGTGGACGTCCGGTGCAACCAACTTCGGTCGAGGGATCTCTTGCTCTGAGTAAGCATCTGGACTTTCCGTGACAGGACTTTTTGACAGCTTCCAGTGCCACAGTAGAGCGACATTTTCGCTGATAGCTTCCCGTTACTTCTCGCGGGCCGTAATAGGCGCTATATATCATTATCAGCGGCCGGGTGGGACTCAAAACACAGTTAAGTGGCTGTTCACTACCATGGTCCAGAATAATATTCGTTACATTCACACCTTTCTCGATGGTTGTGAAGGAATGCGATGTGGCTTTTCTCTGTGCCGCCGTTTGCGTCCAAATTGATAGCAAAACTAGGATGGCAGATAATAGCGTTTTCTCATGCATGTTTAGCAACCAAGCACAAAACAATATCGTAATGATAAAATCTTTCAGTTTTATTAGGTTAAATAATTTCAGTGATACTGTCTCGTTAAAAACCCTAGGAAGAGTCTAGTTTACTCGTATTTATAAGCACTGTATCCGCTCGGTAACGTTGCACCACAGAGTGCGGTGTTAAAATTAATGGTTTCATTACACTTTAACGCTCTCAGTGGTTGTTAAGCAAATATTAGTACTTCTACCTGTACTCTCCATACGTAGATCTCCGTATATTCATGAGATGCGCAGTGACCGGAAGTATGGCTCTGTAATCAGTTCTTCATCTCATATCTGCCTTTTTGGCTCACTGTTCGGTACAGCAAGTTTTCTTAATCGATGGTATCAGATACAAGTACTGTACTAGAGTATGATAAATCTGACACCAACCAGTCCACTTCGTATGAAATATAGCCGCTAACGTTGCAAAAAATCAACCTTCAGGGCCACATCAAACGCCTTGGTTACTATCCACCGACTACTTTTGCATTTGTACAACCATGCGTTTTCGAATTCAAATGTCACAATTTCATTTCGTTAAATTAGTATATCAAATTTTTCAATTTGTGCAAAATTTTTGTAATGGTTCCAGATAGATCTAGAGTTCAGATCTGCCCAGTTTCCAGCAAGAGTACAACAATTTTCCAGAAACAACTCGGCACTGCCGAATCGAAGTTAGAGCTGCCGAAGAGTGCTTTTAGCTGGCAGTTGGTAGTACCGGTATCTGCGCCCTTGTTAGTAGCTATTTTAAGAGCAGTTCGGTTTTCAGACCACGAACTCGAAGATCAGATTCAGCAAAGATGTGCAATAACTGCAAGCCTGCTGTAACATTATGGCTCTTAAAAAATTTAACGCAAGCCAAGTACGTCTCGCCGAAACGTATGCGCGACAACCTAAAAACACGTATCAATGTCGTCTAAAATGTTAAACATAGAAATACACCATCTCTGGTTCGCAAAAATGTATCCAGCTATTGAAGTAGCTTTTGAGATCATACTTTGAGCGAGGATCACACTTTCACAGGAGAAACTGAAGTGGTGTTAATTACGCAAATTTCCTTAGCCAGTACACACCCGGCACTGGTAAAAAAATCGCTTAATAGGAAGTGTTTTTCTGAACGTCAAGAGATATGTAATAAGCCATTGTTGGAGCGAATGAGGCTGTATGGCAGCAAGTGGAATTAAATGGTTTTCTGATAAATTATGGATACAAAACCAGGTTTGCGCATGGTGAAAATTAAAATACTTTAATAATTCTACGACCTTTTCTACTCTACCCTAGACGACAAGATCGCAACTCGCAAGTAACAATCTCGAGAATCATTTTGCTAGCATCAAGTACAGATCCTGTGTATTGCTCGTTATACGGTTATACCGGCACGTTTATGTATTGTAAGTTAAGTTTTATCTATAGAAAATATTAGCAGCAGTTTTATGTGATACTTCATCTGTTAGTCTATAAAATATACGTATTGCCAAACCCGTTTTAGGTGGCTCTGGCACTGTCAGCGTTACTCGCTCACGCTTCTGTCATCTTCTATAAATGCCTGTACAATATTATAGGAACTTCCCATTAAAGGCCTAGTGGATTTTTTACGGCGATTTTATAAACCGAATTTTACTAATCCGAGTTCGCCAACTGATACGAAGTTCTTACTTCTTACTAAGCTTTATTTTCAACAGAAACTCATATTAGTGTATCACCGCCTTATCCCTTTCCGGGCCAGGCAGCGCAGCCGCATTATGGACAGGGTGCACCAGGACAACCGTATGTGCCTCTGAGGCCGACAACCACCGTTATTTACTCCTCTGCTCCTACTCCAGTCCTCTTGTCACTGGACCCTGTCACCGTTACGTAAGCAGCGGGTTATTAAAAAATTTCACTTACGAGATAACTATAACAAACAATGCTTTGGCATGGGTTGACGGTTGACCATACGTGAGTATTTTGAGCGTATTCACCGAAACTCAAAGATAAAAATAACATTATTCGGTGTTGCATTTGCATTTGTTGTTTTCTAGGTGTCCACACTGTGGTCAACAAGTTATGACCGTTACGCAGTATGAAAACGGTTTAGCAACATACCTCGCAATTGGCGCGTGCATCTGTTTCTGTGAGTTGTTGAACTTGCCGATGGAATCAGCTAGTGCTTTAATTTTTACCAACGGAAATTACTTCATTTCAGTGTGCATTCTGGGTTGCTGCTTAATTCCTTTATGGTAATAAGGATTGAATCATTTACATTATAAATTTTGTACAAACGAGTAACTAATAAATTTATTTGAGTTTTGTTTAGTATTGACGGACTAAAGGATGCTGTCCATTATTGTCCCAAGTGCCAACACGTTATTGGACGAACTTCCCGTTTATAGGTTACTTATTATTAGAGAATATATAGACACTGAGTTTGCGCTGGTAATATTTAAAGGTCTCATAGGGATATGTCAGGATATGTCTGAAAGTGTTTGTGTATTGAAGCCCGCATGTGAAATGCAATACATAAGAAAAATTCTTATCGTTTTGTTAATTAATAAATTATACAAACGCTGATTCGATGATTTGATTTGTAGCAATTGTTAACAAGGTGAATTTTTAACGCTATGTCGGTCGAATAAGTCCACCAGCAACGATTCCCAGTTGGCCGGTATGGTCCAGTCTGGCTTCCCAGCGAAACTTTTCAGGCGTTCCTTGGACTAGCAGGCATAAATTGTGCTTGGCTGTGCTAGAAAAATCTTTGCTTTCCTGCAAAGTTATGGTTGTATAACAATAATATACGTACAGTACACCTTATGGCTTATGCATTGTGGCAGAGTGGCAGCTGCACAAGTAAAGGTACGCGACTACGCGTATTTTATTTACCTGAATCACTTTCACAATGTTCATGCCATAAAGCCTTTCGTATTCCTTTTCCACGTTTACGAGATCTTTTTCTGCCCGTAGCAAAAATATCCGGAGAAGATCTTTAATTTTGGTCTGTTCGTTGGCCTCACTCTCCATGACTTTGTTGATTTGTTTGGCAAAAAATAATTCTTTACACCGCACTAAACTAACTAAAATGCAAAAATATACATGCAGAGAATCGCATATAGCAAACAATGCAAATTAGGATGGTATCTCTTAACGCACTTATGGCCAGTAGAATGGGAACAAGAGGTCCTTGCAGCCGGAAATGGACAATATCCTCGATTTCGGTGTTAGCTATGCTGGGCATGAGCATAATGGTATCGAATAGCTGCGCGTGGCTTCTCGTGGCGAAAATGTCAGCAAATATCCCGATATCCTCATTCTGCCCGGCCTCATATAAGGCTTTGGCGTCGCTTTCAATTTGATCCTTTTCCACTACATACGAATCGCTGTGTGTACCCTAGGCAGAAAAGTTTTTGATAGATTCCAGTACTTAGTGCAATAATTATGGAAAAACAACTTCGTCTGCAACAAAATGTATGATACCAGTTGAGTTTAGTGTTAATGTTAACTCAACTTAACTGTTAAGTCATGTTGCGCAACAGCGCACATTGTTAGTGTATAAAAAAGCGACCTTAAGTGTGCTCTGCGTAGTACTTTAATTGTACTGCACCTCTGCAAACGACACCAGCATCCGTAAAACTTCCCCTTCGTAATGGTGCGACAAATCGTTCGAAAATTTCAACATAAAGACTGCAATTACAGACGCCCAATAAAATATAGGTATTTTCCAAGTCGAGAGTTCCAAAAAGCACGGTCGTAGTTTACGCTTATTGAAAGGTTTCTTACTTTTTTCGTAAGCTTCGTTCACTAGTTTCCGTTCTGGGTCGTACATCGTATACAGAATCTCCAAAATCACTAGGTCATCCTAAACGTTTCGTCTGCTATTATATACAGTCAATACTTAATAATATGTTTCGGTGCTCTGGTTTACCTGGATATTTCTATGCAGTTCTTCGGCAATGTAAAGAACATGGGGCAGAACCAGGGCGGCAATTACTGGGTGGTCATCAAGTAGGTCATGTTCTTGTAAATCTGCTGCTAAACCCTAAAATGAAGAGCTAAGAAGTAATGACTACCGGCTTACAGCTGTTGTTGTATTTTTCAGATGTTTTTCCTTTCTAATATAACAGTGTAGAACTATTAACAAGGCAGGTTCAACCAACGCCGCGCTCCAGCAGTATTAACGAAGTATTATATATTATATATATTAGCAGACCTCAAGCATATCCAGCTTTATCATTCCCAGTCTGGTATTGCTTTAACAATTTTTTTGGTTCGAAGTCCAAAGAGATAAGCAATAACCAATAACAACACATACCGTTGGACTTATGCGAGCGATGTTTGAATGCTACGCTTACTAGTCACGCATTACCGATAAAATGCATTTATCGTAAGACGATTTGCATGAGCGGCACTTGAGACTCGAAGAGCAGCTGAGGGATAAAGAATGAGAAATAACAGGAAATGATACTTCAAGAATTTTGACTAAAAGAACCTCATATTTTTCTTACAAAATAATTGTCGCTTTAAATTTTCTACAGAGAAGCTACGTATTACGCTGCTAATTGCACGTATAAGTGGGAAACAATTAGCGCGATGGATCAGAATGTTTTGCACCATTCTTCTGAAAAATATGCTGGGATATTTTTCGCAAAGAAGGTTTCGCCTTTGTCAAAAATTAATTAATTAAGAAAATCCATTAACTAATTAAGCAGATCAGTTGCTAATTGAGTGTCAGTTCATTTTGTAGCGCTGAATTTGACTGGAAACGTTTACCGTTGTTAGCCTACATGGTAAAGCACATTTCTGAATTAATTAACGCAGTGTAAACTGTAATTGTAATTAACGTACGTACAGATAAATTACCTAATAGTCTGATAATGGATTAATTTTTAATTGCTCATTTAGACGTTTATATATATGTATCAAAGTGTATGTGCGTAGTAGACTATTGTTTTCATGACTTGCACGCCTGATGCCGTGATGCGTATTTGCAAAACGGAGCTGTTCACGCGGGTATTTGTAAAAACGTGCCGTATCTTTCCTTCGACCCGTTAAAAAGCAGATCGGTTCGGAATGTTATGAATCATAATCCTGGTCAAAACAATACCAGACCGGAGATAAGAAAGCCAGAGGTGATTGAGGACGCGTATTATATGTACAAATACAGTCTGTATACAATAAATACATACAGTAACAGCGGCGGTGGGACAACTTCAGTTTGCTTTTGAACATGTACAGTACCTTCTCGAACAGTTCTTCGTACATTTCCACCACATCTGCTCTTTGTGAAGCTGTTAGACAGAGTAATGATTCCACTAATTGTGGCGATTCCACATCTGCAACCAGTTTCCGTACGAATAATTCGTCCCATACTTATAACGTACACGTTTGGTAAAAACGTTCTAAATATCTCATTTCTGCCAGGTCAAATGCAGATTGAAACAAAATAGCGTTATGCAATAACGAAGGACAGGGTCAGTGTAAAAAATAGCCAATGACTATGTGCTTACCATTGCACGAACCGGTAAGTGCTTATACAGACTGTGTATATTTTTAAAAAGTTTGGCATTAAATTATTCAAGTCGTACGCCCCTGTGATAAATAAATCTACGTAAAATGCGCGTTTAAGCGGCAAAACACGCGGCTGTTCAGCTGTTTTCCTGTCTTCTACGATCCTATGTGTTAATAGGCGGTAATCCACGTCAGACGCGCGTCTTAACATTTTGATTTACCATAGGGGCGCGGGAGCAGTTAAAGTTTATAGACAGTTTAAATGGGATGCGCTGTGTTTACATAATTTACAAGAAGTCAATACTATAAACAGTTTTGATATCTATTGTAAATACTCACTTTTCATATGGTGAAGCAGCGAATGCAGGTGATGCGCTTCTGCACGAAGATCGCTGATATCTATCCGCGGGACAATGGCCGGAGCATGACGAATATAGGGACCCATTTGGCCGGCAACCTTATTGCTTGTTTGGGGATCGGGATGTTTTTCCCTGTCGAATGCTTCGACTGCCATAAGACCTTCTGCCATTGTGTAGCTTTGAATTCTCTTTAGGATTATCTTGGATTATCGTTTCAGATTGAATCACACATTAATAGTTTCACAAAATTAACTTTTGGCAAACCGAATTTAAATGGTACTTTCCGACAAGATTTGGCACTTCCCAGCCAGATATAAAGTATTCTGAAAATCGCTCATAATTGTGGAAAAGCGTTTTGCTTTTTGCTCACATTCTTGTTTATTTGCCTCTAGGTTAATGTCGTGGACGTACATCATACATCCGTAAACAATGAATCAGCCAAAGTATTTATTTCCCGAAGCGTTTGTACTAGAGATGGCAACGGCTCAGCCGAAGCCGTTTGAGCCGCGGCTAAGCCGGCTTCGGCTGAGCCGGCTCGACCCAAAAATGCAGCCGCAGCCGATGTCAGCCGAGCCGATTGAGCCGGCTCGGAGTCTCAGCCAGCCGCGAGCCAGCCGTAAGCCGATGTCGGCTAACGGCTTGCGTATTGTCGGGAAAAATGCGTCAGCAGGTAAAATTTTAGCTCTTTTGGACCGTTCAAAGCCGAGTTTGAGTCTTGAAACTCGATAATCTTATAAAAAAGCGCTGAATTTTTGCTTTAAAGATCCCTTTTCCCATTAGAAACTGATCAAAAACAGTTTTTCGCTTAAAAAAGAACAGAAAAAATTGTAAACATTTCTTTTTATTGAAAAAAAGACTCGAGTTTTTCCGCGCTAAAAAGCTATCGGCTAAGCCGGCTCGGAGCCGGCTTAGCCGGCTCGCGTTCAAAGCCGAGCCGTTTGAGCCGGCTCGGGTAGGTGAGCCGACTCTTCCGAGCCGGCTCGCTATTTTAGCCAGCCGCAGCCAGCCGATAAGCCGTTAAGCCAGCCGTTGCCATCTCTAGTTTGTACACACGTGCGGATAAACAAGCAAATGCTGGCATTGGCAACTATTAAAGTCGCGCGATGCTGTCTCGCAGTCCATGTATATTTTTCAAAGTGCTTTTATATTTTGTCAGAGCTGATGCTCACAGTTTCCAAATCCGAATCCAAAAACCTTAACCTTCTCTTTCATTTTAATTGAGATTTGTTTAAAAAGATTACATACAAGTAATATGAGCTGCTTAACTGCTGCAGACAATTTATTTACAACGATAGCGTACCAGCAATATTGTCATTTATGGGACACAAATATAAATATGCAAACCAAGAAAAGCACTTTTGTCCACGTCACAGGCAAAACGGAACCAGCCAATAAACCGTTGCCCATCTTCGTTGCGTAATTTATGCGCACTTTCTAGCTTTGTGATCCTTTTTCAAAACTGCATTTTACTTTACTGTAGCTTGTAAGCATATTACTGCGGTCTGTAACAAAAATCTTCCCAACGCATTTAATGTAGCTCCCTTCAAGCACGGTATTAATAAATTAAAATGTTAATTAAAATGTGTGAAAACTACAGCTCTTTTAGTTTTTCGTTTGTCAAAATCTCAAATTCGAGCAATTATGCGGGCCACGGCAGTGGGTTTCTCTCCGTCGCTTTTAGAACCAATCCCTGCCTCGTGATGTTTACCAAATTTAAATGACTTCCATCTACCAAAATCAGCTGCTCTGCCGCCATTTAACTAAAACTTGGTCTTTATGTTTCGACCAGTTTATGTATTTTCTTCAGACCGAACTGTGATCACCGTAGGAACAGGGTAGGAACAGGCACAGGTTCAGGTACTGATGGCTCGGAGACGAAGAGCAGAACATGATTAGTTCAGAAACAAGACGGAGTTACAGACTACCGTACTTATGGTTAGGTGCTAAACAAAACTATTTCAAACATAACAGCACTAGTATGCGAAAGGAACATCACGGAAAACGTGAGGAACCTGCTGATAAGCCTCCTGATCTTAACACATTTCTGTACGATGTACGTTCAAATAAGCTGCTTATTTGAGTTGCCATCTCAAAAAAACTACTCTGGAGTAGTTTCTTTATTTTGCTTATTCTGGGCGGGATATGCAAGTTCTGCATATTTGCGTCACGCAAAATGGACCAACTGCCGTAAAGGGGAGGTCGTTGTGACGTGAACAAAAGTGCTTATCTGGGTTTGCATATTTATATTTGTGTCCCATAATTCTTATCGGCGTATATGAACACTTTTCAGCGCAGTAGCAAATTACTTCGGTAACGCAAAGAAATTACAGCAGAAACTACACGAAAAACTGGCGATTACTTAAGATCGAATATCTCTTCCCCGTTGCATCCGCTTTTATTGCAATTGCATACAGTGACTTTTGCTCCTGTTACTTCTGAAAAGCGCATACATTAAAATTTAATGGCTTAGATGCATATGCTTTGAACTAACGGAAAGAAACTATCATGACGTCGTAGTGCTCACCTGTTTCCTTGCACTCATCATCGCCAACCGAAACGTTTGCTATACCACGATATTTCCCGCAACCCCGAGATGCTGCTTGACCTACAACAAGACAATTTTTCCGATTTACAAGTTAGAAGCAATATCACTCTACTCACGATTCGCGGCATTTACTGACTTACCGCTGCCAACTTTCGTAACAGATTTCCAACAAAATGTTTCGTTATCCGCGCTACATGTTTGTTTCATGTCGGCCCCTGGTTTCAGGCATTGCGGCTGGTCGGCAGAGCAAATGTAGCACTCCATCGTACCCGCAGCGCCAGCGTCCAGAATGGCTGAAAATGTGTATTGTACTTAAAACGTTTCTGCAACATCAATTTTGTTTTACATTATCTTACCAGTGACGGAAGCCAGAACTACTATACCAAGTATAATACCGCATTTTGCCATATTTGAGCAAATTAAGAAAATCTGAGAAACTTAAAGTACAAACTTAGGCGCGCAAAGACAAAAAACCCAAAGAATAACCGCACAGATAAGTATTGCTTGCTAAAGTGTAAACGGTTTAATCAACAAGTTTTGAAGTACTTTTTGATGTCAACGATTGCGCTATTATCGTACTATTATCGTACACTATGGAGGCAAAATTTTCTTGTCGGGGCCTGAGAAGAAATTTCCATTAAAGTTTGATATCCTGAACGATCCAATCTGTTTGTAGGCAGTCTTTTCTGAGAGCGAAATTTCGCCAGCCATATATAGAGGAGATCGGGAGTTTCCATGATTTGGTTTCTTACAACAAAACCGCAGCTTAATAGTTAATGTTTTAGATCTGTCGCTTTGTCAGTTATACTACAGAGCTGTAGCTGGGCGCCTTGAAATTAGTGTGCATATCACAAGCAAAAGGCAAGATTTTCCAAGATTGTCCGTGTAAAGTCCGTTGCACTTCTGCCAATTCGCCGTGCATCTTTTAGCGTTTTAGAAAGAAAGCGTTTTAGCGACGCCTGCTGCTTTACAATTTGCATTACAGTACGTATTTTAGTGACGTTAGAACCGTGCGGGCTTGTCTTATGCATTTTTAATTAATGCATGTAAAGAATGACCTTCGCGTGGCTCAAAAGCATTGACTTGTGAGCTTTAAAAAAAACTATGCACTGATTTTCTTGGGTTTAGACGATTGGCTACTATAAGTAAAATTTTTACATTTTACTAGCAGACCCCGCGCAAATTGCGCGTAGTAATTAATGCGATGGACAAATCATAACCCACTGCAAAAATTAAGACTACATGCAGTACAGGTTTTATAGACGAAGCCGTCAAAGCGTAAAATTTCATAATACACCAAAGTCCACAACATGAAATGAAACATGAAAATTAATGTGAAATTTTCCTCCCAAAGGCGGATAAATTTGCTCACAACGCGTACCAGAAAATTTATATTAAAATAATGTTATAAATTTTTGGCTGGAGATCATATCTTCGCATTAAATCTCATAAAGTTAAATCCCTATGTGTCAAATCCCTATATAGGCTGCGTTGAGTCGTCGGAACCAACAAAGACTTCCGCCTAGTTCAGCAAACCGTTTGAAATTTAAAAAAAATTGCGTGCGACTGCACTATGATTCCGGTACGATTATGTGCACGGTTTGCTAATGTTCCGACTAAAGACGTCAAGCAAAAATTCTTGCAGATTGTGTACTGTAATCCAATAGAATTATCCCCAATGTATCGCAAAGCCAGCATATTCTGAACCACACGATTTCAACCTGACATCTCTTCTGCCGCTGGAAAATCCGCGCTAGGCACCAGGGACAAGCAGGTTTTTTTTAAAAATGAGTTTATGTGACATGAAGATGAGCCAAAATATTAAGGCTTTTGTTTGACAGTGAAGCACAAATACTAATGTACGTAAACGTAAACAGTACCCGACATATAAGAAATCCAGTTCCGGTTTAGTTGTGCAAATTGTTTTTGGCGAAATACAAAATTAATACTATTGGGGAAACCCAAAGTCCCGTAACCAACATTTGTCATACTTTTTAACATTGAATGTTTGTTTAACAGAATATTAACTTTTCTGGACAGCTTTGGCAAATTATTTAAGCATTGTGACCTTTTGTTATATTATACTCGGCTAATTGTAAAATGTCTCGTTTGATCAAATTTCTGAATATTGGAGTAGGCACGCTAATCATTAGCTGCTTGAGCATCAATGCATTGACGACCCCTTTGAACGGCTCCAGAGGAAATTTAAACCTTCCTAATGTGCGATGCTTTGTGCGCGAAAACTATCGGATTCCTCAAGCAGGAAAAATTGTGGTGGTATTTCATAACGCTGGAAACTGCACGTGCCAAGGGGCCGCGGATCAAGCCAGCATTCGACGTGGTAAATACGGAAGTAAAAAATTCCATGCCGTTTTAGTGGTTACGCACAAGCTCATACAGAAATTGTACTTATTGCACATCGCAGAATACAAATTAGTTAAACCCACAAGTCTCATGTTAATGTTTCAAATAACAGCCAGCGATGGTAATTTGGGCGCATTAATAAATGCTTCCTAGACTACATACTCGGTTACTCAAATTGCTTCTGATTTCAGGAATCGCCGATTTTGTCCCACAGTGCATTTCCGGTGGTACCGGGTTTAACAAAACGCAGAAATGGAATTTCATGAATCAATGGTGGTGTGTGGATCAAACTGGAAATCCCCGTACTGAACCCGCAGACATCAAGCCAGATCTCATACCGAGATGTTGACCGCCACCACCACGATACAGCTGAAAATGCTTGGAAGTTTAACGATGGGTTCTTTCATTTTATATTTATATATAGAATGTAAATTATATTATGTAGATAGCAAGCTTTAATAAAGCTTTGCGATAAAAAATTACTTATAACATAAACAATCTCATGATGTGATTACATATAAAAGTACTCGTCAATTTAAGTCGTTGTCTGCGTTTGACCGCATCAGGCCGGCAGGTATAAAGGAAAAGCGCCTAAATTTGACTGAATGATAGTGAATACTACGTATATTGATTTATACTTCTTTATATCTGTAGTATAAAAAGGGTCACCTTGATATAATATAATTCACAAATTCCGCTCTTCCAAATTTCTTATTGCTGCTGCCTTCTGTAATTAGGGAAGCTGATTTTTGGCAAGAATGGAACGTGAAACAACGTTGGATAATAACTAAATCTTGTGAGGTTTGCTTTTCAATCCTTCTAGATACTTCCGCACTTGATGGAACGTGCGTAATACTGGATCATAAAGTATCACCGAATTTAGTGAGCAGGCTGTGGTTACTCGCACACTATCCAGAAAGGGCAGAAGGCAAATAGTTATGAATATTATTAAATTTTACTATATTTACACTGTACTTCTATACACAGCATTCGAACAAGACAGTCAGCATATAAGTCTGCAATTGTGCGGTGATAGAAGTTTTTTATATATGGCGTGACCTTTAACGTACATTTATTGTTGATATTATAAGCACGAAAGTTTTGTTTTCCGTGTAGCGGCAATATTGCGCTGTTTTTCATTCATACATAAAACGCATGCTTCCAGTGAACAACACTTGTAAGCTGCATCATAATTTGCCTGTCAAAGCACTACTGATCTGACTAATCTGCCGAATAAGCTCAAAACCTTAGTGTTATTTCCATATCTTGACGCGTTCCTGGAACTTTTGACCAGTGATGATGGGTAATTATTTCTGAACCCGGAATGTATAAGAAGAAAAGCCACATAAATATTGCAAAATCATAGAGCCGAAAATTCTATTGTGCAAAATATCGTATAAATTACTACTAAAGTGGAAGTCGGTCAAATATATACTAGAACGCATGCGATACACAACTCTAGGTCTGTGATAGTTTTGTCGGAAACTTTCCTACTGGACTCGCGGATTTCAATTTTTCATTTAGTGGATCAGCACAAAAACATGGAACAACAGCGCAGGATTTTAGTCATCTGTGTTGTTGGACTCTCTTTCCATGGCTTAGCAGCTGCACTCTGCTTTAGAACCGGTCTGATAACTGTGACAACCGCAAATGGACCCAGGGAGATTTCGGGATGGCAAAATGTTGGCGGCTGTACATGTGCGGAAGCTCGGGCAAGAGCTCTGAACGTCGATAAGCGGAGTAAGTGGTTTAAAACTGGCTCTCGATGTTCGTCGTCCATTAAATTTATCAAAAACAGTACCATATTACATGGAAAAAATGTATTTGTCGCAAATCAAATTGTGTGTAATCGTATGCACATAATACGCTATATATTTTAAATGCGTTATAGTACTTAATAATTTTATCGATAGGGATTATAAAACGTCGTAATCTCTTGGATAATCATAAGCGATTGGTTGAACCTTCAAGTTAATTTAAATGTCATGCCAAGTGAAGCGAAGATGATGATATTATTCTATTATTTCATGTATATGATTAATATCAATGCATTCACTTGCAGCGGTTGGACAACTCACGCCTAATTGCGACGACTCCAACCCCGACCGCTTCCAAGTGTACCAGCACTGGGGCGCTGTGGGATCTGCGTGGTGTGTCGATCCCGTAACGGGAAACCAGAATTCAGAAACAAGGTTCCGAGGCGTCGGTAACATTCCCTGCATGCCTTCAGCTGCATAACCACACTTCTGCTACGGAAAATCATACGTTGCTGCACTTGCGCGACTTTATATTGGTTCCTAAAGATCAAACGATTTTGCTTAAGAAATTCAAACAAAATCATTGATCCCGTCAGATTTTGTTGTTTGTCGAGATTAAAAGCCCATTCCTTTAGCATTAGTTTAGCTGCTTTAATTTCTTTAGCTTGCTGCCGTTGCAACCACAAAAATCGCATATTGAGTTTCCGTTGTCTCTGATTACGTCTTTGCGTGCTAATTGTTAGGATGATAATCATGTCGGTAAATAGTCAAATGAACAAGGAAAAAATTTTAAGTCCTGCTTTAACTAATGATTACTATTCGTAATTATTTAACTAATTATTACTGGTCACACGCGTATCTCGAAATGTGCTTAAAATTGGTGCAAAATGGTAAGGTTTCATTTAGTTTAAGCGCGCACCAGGTGGAAATTACGTTCTTCCCTTGGAAAGTCAAGTTTTGAGCTTTGGGCATGTAGGAAGCATTTTTGAAGTTGTAGAGACATTACGAAAGTTTTGATTCGTTATGACGACACTTCCATCAGAAGATGGATGTCTACCAAAAACAATTGAAAAAGATGGTAAAAGCAGTTGTAACATCTTAATTAAGCGACTAAGCTGCGCTCCGGTCTGCCAATGCACGCCAAAGTGCATTTTCATAGTTAAATTAGCGATAGTTTCCGTCAGTGCAAAATCATATAACGGAAATGAAGTTAACATTTATTTAGCGTTCCTAAGACGCACTATATACTGCACTATAGCCGAAGCAAACCCAACCGAAGTGTTAGAAAACTATACGAGCTTAATTAATTAACAACAACATTAACAATATTACGAACAATTATATGAGGCAACACTACACAAACTACCTTATAATTTTGGACTAAGAAGATAATAAACGTATTAAGATTTATTTACAACAACTTTAAAAATACAAGAAGCTAGTAAGAAGTATTATTTTGTTTGCGTATTTGAACCGTCCACATACAACTGTATTTCGGTAATTCTATCACCAAACCACATTATTATATAATGTCCAGGCATCGGTTAATTATAATTGGCGGCTATCTGCTGCTGCCAGCCAGTTACAACAACTGGCTACAGTTGTAAGCAGTATTGTGTAACGCTTTTTTAAGCCCCCGAGGAGAATGACGACTGCATATACACGTAAAAGAATTATTGAGAATTTTACATCCAAAATTCTGTACGATCCCATACGAATTTCAAAAATGGCGAACACCAAATTCCTGGTCGCTAGTGTTTTGTTCTGCCTCTGTATCGAGGCCATATTGGCCAAGCCGCCCAAGACATGCATGGACCAGGGAGACGTTTTTGTGGCCGGTTCCAACAAGAGAATCCAAGGATGGACGAACGTCGGCGGCTGCACATGCGAGAGAGCCAGGAAGGAGGCTGATAAGCCAGGAAGTAAGAATTCTTAATTTTCCATTCTAGGAGCCCGTAAATTAACGCTGTGCACTGTTGAACCGTAAGGCGGCAGTTTGCATTCGACAATCTACCGTTAAATTAAAGCTTGTGCATCTACCTAGATGTAATGTGATTCGGATCTGTACACACGTAAACACTGCCAAATAATAGGTTTTCGAGCTTCGTTATGACTGTTAAGAGCGCAAACTGTTCACAGGATTTAAGCACAAGCGGTAGTGCAACCTTTATTGTACATAATCATTTTCTATACTCTACTCGTAGGGATTGGAGGGTACATTCCCCAGTGCGACGCAAGTGGCAAATTTCAACGTCGGCAAGGTTGGGGTAGTACCGGCAGTTCATGGTGAGCAAGAGTTGTCCTACATGTACAAAAACGTTTTAGGGTATTATGATTTGATCGGGAGTATGGTTTAAAAATGAACTGAAAAAGTGCTCCACAATAACTAAACAAATCCTTCAGAGGTATGATACTCGAACATAACGTAAGTATTAAAACTGCGTTGTCTTGTGCAGGTGTGTGGACGATCGCGGAAACCAAATCTCGGAAGTGAAACCACCGGGACGAAGCTCCAACGTCAAACTGAACTGCTAAACTACAAATGCATATTTTGCTGTAATGCGAACCTGTCTTCGTAAGGCGTGTTCTATATGCAACCTTTTGCACTCTCGATGCTTCCGAATTGCTTGCCCGGTAGCTTGTAAATTTCTGAACTTCGAGTGCTTGACGTGCCGCGTATAAAATTTACGACAGCGTAAGTTAATTCGTGTACAATGTTAATTCGTTAATTCGTATACAAAAACAGTTTTACAAAAACAACAAAAGCTCATTTAACGCCGCCACCTCTTCCATTGTTCCGAGTGGGAAGCGGCATTGCCTCGCTGAATTTCACGCGACAAACGTCGGCGTGGAAATTCCTGAAAGCGAGGTTCACCCGTATGCATCTGGATTCCGAAATCGCTTGCCGATTTCTTTCACTAAGGCGGTGGCCGACTTTCTGAGCTTCCGACGCAAGAAGTGAAGTTGCCAATGATTTACCAAGTAACATCTACATACGCGGAGTTCAGAGAATTCCCGACCATGAAGGGCAATCATTTACTTCGAAATTAAAACATTTTGTGTTTGCGGTTTTAGTTATTTGACCTCACAGAACTTTTCAAAGAAGCACGACAACGTGCAACACAATAAATACTCTTATCGTTCCTGTTCTAAGTATTCTTAAGTACTGTATTTGCAATTACTGTAGTCTTGTGTTATCACTATTGCTGCCCATCATAAATAAATTAGTACGAGTAGTACTGCGCAGAAATATTTACATGATGGGCATAAATACTCACAAACAAATGCATACTGTCATAATATATTACCAGTCGATTGTGCATGCCTCAAAACACTCAACTGCGTCTGCAACCACGGCCATATACAGCAACTACATACATAAACACTTCAGCGAAAACATTGGCTTTGCTGTGGAGGGGTTCGTAGCATAGATCCAGGAATTAAATACTTATAAACTGCGACAACTAAATAGTAGCGTAGCCTACGTAAGCAGTTCTCTGTACTGTAGATATATTCTAGGTCTTATAAGTTATAACATATCTGTTAACTTACTACTGACATCTGACAGTGTCTCTCTGTGGTAATTTTAAAAGAGTTTTCCAAAATCGTGGAAACCTATGTTTGCAGTGGTTACTCGCTACAGAAGCACAACCGTTACAATAATATTTAATTATTTCTACCTCGAATATTCTGGCGATATTTTTATTGTAATTTCAGACAATCAGTGGCATATCTGATGCGTATTTGGATTTGGTGGAATTCTGTGTGCAACGGTGAGTAATCTCAGAAATCTTGACCTTTGCAATGTCGCATATCGACAGTATCAAGTACTATATATCAACAAACATTTCGTTTGTGTGTACGAAGATACCTGGAGCGCTTTTCTCTGCCAGTTAACCTGAACGGTAGTTTTCGAGGATTTTGCAGATGTTGAGCCGCGATAATAAGACTTCACTGCAGCTAGATTAAAACTTAACTGATAAAATTGACGGCTTTCCCACAATTGTACAGAGCCAGTATATATATCGGGAAACCGTTTCCTGTATAATTACTAAATTCTGTTGCAGACTTGCAGTGTCCCATTTCTTATTTTCAAAATACACCACAGAAATGGCGTGTCTTAAGCTGATCCTTAGCCTTGCCCTTGTCTTTTGTTTACTTGACCACATTGTCTGCGAAGAAAAGAAATGCTTGGAAAGGGCGGATATCACCGTGGCGGGTAGTAATAACAAAATCCAAGGATGGAAGAACGTCGGCGGCTGCACGTGCACGGAGGCTCGTAACTTAGTCAACAAACCCGGAAGTGAGCAGTGTGCCAGTGACCAACCGACTGATGATAAAAATGTAAATTTTAATCTGTTTTTACATAATGTCATTGTGTCCGCAGGGATCGGAGGCTATGTCCCTCAATGCGACGAACACGGTAAATTCCATCGCCGACAAGGGTGGGGTGGTGTCGGGTCTGAATGGTACGTGCAGGCTTTTTAATGAAAGTGTTTCTCTGCCCAAATTATTTGAATCTGACATGCGAGCGTTTCCTTGGATCAGTTGCATTATAAAAAGTACTTTGCATTATAAAAAGTACTAGCTTACCACTGTTAGCTACGAGTATTATCAGTATTTTCGCATTGTGGGATTTTTGCAGGTGTGTGGATGAGCACGGCCACCAGATTTCCGAAACCAATTTCCGTGGTAGCCATCCGAACCTCAACTGCTGAGTGCCGATCCCGATCAGTCTTCATGATCCCACAACAGAAACGAAGATTCACACCTTTTTCTGTCTGAACTACAGCTGTTCTAAGTTCACATTAAGTAATAATGCAAAAATTTGATGTTTGTTTTGAATTGTTGACATCGCAATGCAGCAGCTGCCCACTCTGATGTGCACTCCGAAATTATTCACAGGTATCCTAACACCTGGTAACTGTTACGAATGAGTACTGGAAGAAAAACGACGGAAAACCGGAATTTATAGCTGATTTCGTTCCATTCGTACCGCTTAATAATTTGAAAACTGAAAACACAAACAAATGACAAGGTTTTCGTGTTGTGCTGTTGTGTGTGTTGCATCTGCAGTGTATATTTTGTGTTCACTGAAATTTGAAATAACCATAAATGTGCCGGCGAATTGAGGCGAAAGAACCACTTCATGGCGGGCAATACCTCAGCGACGGCTTGACCTAACCCAATCCAAAAAGCTAATGGTAAGCCCCGCACAAAAGCATTGCGTCCGCCCTGTGGCGACAGCAGTATACCAACATTGAATCCGCAAGTAAAATTTTGAGTTCTGCAAAATGCCATTTTAAAACCGATAATTTACAGGAGGTTTTCTGCATTTTTATGGCCTTGTAGAATTCGATTAATATTGTTGGATTTCCCAGTATTTGTTATACAAAAACCGTTTGCGGGTTATATTTATAATATTAGGGCTTTTTTGAAAGACCACGATGTAGAACTCGTGAAAAACAAAGCCTTGTTATGGTATCCAAGAGCAAGTAGTAGTTCTCATAGCCAGACGCATGTACGCGCGCTCAGGTTTGCGCGCGAGCTAGCACCATGACGAGCCTTTTCCAACATCGTCATTCTTCCTTTCACTTCCTCTGACTTTGTGCTTCATGATGATCCACTTACCATATAACTCTGCCAATCATTCATTTGGGAAAAAACTTGGATTTCCAGGAACTACGTTAAACTGCTGACTCAATTTTCTTTAACCCGGACGATTGCCATCAGGTAAAACTGACTATACTAATTGTTATCGGTTAAACCTCATACTGGAAAATTTATTTTAATTTTTCTAAGTGTTTAGAATAAATGTTTTGTTTATTTTTGCAAAAACAATTGCACATTCAGTGAAATTATGAATAACTACGTATGTGAAATTAGGCAGTTTCATGCGGAGACCACCCTCTTTTTTTGATTGGTCAAGCATATTTCAGCTCGTTCATTTCTGTTCACTGGCAATGTCAGTGAACAAGCAGCTTGCCGTTGCAAGGTTTAAGTCAGTTGATCAGTTTTGAACTTTTTTAGCTACGTCCGCCATTTTTGCAGGTCTCCAAAATATTTCACACACTTATTCCAGGATTTTCTTTCAAAACGTTGGGTTTTTTAAAACAGTTATTTTAATAAGGCAGTAGAACAACACTTTAAACATGAATCGTACTTTGCAGGTGCTTTCGACAACACGGATTTCCAAGTCTTTCAGCCTACGCACAGTGAAAAAGAAACGTCCCTTACGGGTAAGTTATTACGGGAATGAAAACAGTGTTACTCCGTGTTTTTAAAAGTTATACGAAGTCTGCAACAATATTTCGAAATATTGTTCATTCTTTCATAGGTGGCGCCAGTTTTGCTAATGCCAGCAAACGTCAAGCGCCTGCGCTCCAGTGCACTCACACTGTTGTGGTTTGAAGTGGCAGCAGTAACCTGTCTACTCTCAAACGGTAAGCTTCTTTGCGTTCCAGTTTATGTGTTTTTTTTAAAAACGTAAATTTTGGAATTCCGGAATCTTAGTGATTAATGAACGGTAGACGCGCGAGAGATGCTTAGTGTTATTCGTTTGCATTTGCTCATGTTGCAGAAAAATATCTGAGTGACTCTTGGATATCCATAATACTTAAGAGATGATTTAACAGTGGAGCAACTTGAGGTACGCAAAATAATTTTTTCTAAAAAATCTGGTTGTGAATAGAGAAAATAAAATTATAAGTTTTCTGTGGTTGGATAATTTAACCACAGAGAACTTGCAGATTTTTTGAATTTTAGTTACAGACATTTTAAAATTTTTTTATTTATGCACGTATTCTTTTTGCAGGTTTTATACGCAAACAGCAAACGCCGTCACAAGTCACATAGCGATTAAATTCATGTTAAGTTTGGATTTCCAGATTTTTATAGTGATTGATCTTATTACAGTGCTTTTTATAGTGTTTTTATTAGCTGACGCTGAAAAGGGTGCAATCAGTGTAGGGATGCTTATTTCTTCAGTTGCTACGTTAGCAAATTGCTTCAAAGCTCTTAGAAATCCACAAATGATAAATAAAAAAAATAAGTCGTGTGTATTTATGTGCTTTTGCCGTTTGCAGGACGAAGTTTGCCTGAAAATACTCGGACTTCCAAGAAGATTTCTAAAACGATCGTACGGCAGCACAATGTAAGAACAAATTTTAGAAAATTGTTTCCCTTGCGATGATTTTAAGGTTTATCAAAAAATAATTTATGGTTATTATGGTTATTTTTAATTTAATTTAAAATAAGATCATGATTTTAAAAGCAGTGTGCTATACAGCGCGCAACATTCTTCTGGGTCCGATGCACAAGCTCGCAAAATAGGAGCGCTATCATCGCTACGATTCAAAAATTGTTCTTGGATTTCCCAAATTTCCTGATTGAAAATGTTAGAGGAAGAATAAAAAATCCGTTTGTGATAAGTACTTACGTTGAGTTAGCATTTCTCATGATTTATTTAATTTTAGATTTTATGGAAAATTCTGGGAAAGAGGCTGCGCCGGATTTCGGGGACTGAAAAAATCGCTGGAAAGAGGATTGTTTTCGATGGTTTAATTTGGATATCCGTGTCTGTTTGCAACCTCCAGAATCTATAAAAATTTTCAGTAGATCTTGGCCGTGCTCTGTTTTTATTTCGGTAAATAATTTAAAGGATTTCCAAACTTGCTCTTCGTTTCAGAATTTTTGTTCGGTATTTTTAGTTCTTAGGTAAACCTATTTTTTTTGTGTAGGGAGAATAAAAGTGTGCTTTGCGTACGGTGATGGTGGTACAGACTATCCATAAATTATAGTACTTCCCTGAACTGCAGTACCAATGCATTAAAAAAGGTTTCTGTTGCGCAAATGCGCCGTATATAAGTCGCAATTAGTCCGCATATCATCCCGTAAAAACATACCGGAAGTCCCTAAAACGCGCCTTTGCGACACTTCCGCTGCAGTTTTGAGATGACCAACTCACTACAAAAATTCCACACTGGGATTTGCGTAAATTTTATTGTAAATAAGCCTAAAATTGATGGATTTTCAGCAATTACTTTCATACGGGAGCAATTATCGGCTGATTTGGCGTATTTCCGCCAAATTAGTTTCCGTATTCTTTTGCACTTTGCAGACCCTGTTGGGTATTTAGGCTTTAGCTGTAACAGCTTTCTTATATTAGTAAAATTCTGTATAAGCATTCTTTCTTTTGCGCACTCGTGGTTGATTGCGGAAAAATAGCATTATTAAGGATTACGCGCCTGCCTGTAGAAAATGAATTTGAAGCCAAAAAGATATGTTAAACATCTATTAATATTTTAATACCAATTACGACTTGGCGAGTATTTGTTAGGTGGATTCAAGTTATTTTCGGAGTCCACACGAAGTAGGAATTGTTAATTACTAAAACTAATGTACATCTGCCAGCAGTTGTAAATTAGTCTTTTAGTAGACTTTTAGCCTTTTACGTACTGCAGTCTTCTACGTTAATTTCACGATACTGTATTCGTGGTAGTGGGAAACTGAATAAATAATGAATAAATTATAAATGGATAAATCTATATTTCTATCTATCAATATCCATATTCTTTTGCGCTCGTAAGTTAGAAGCTATAAACAACTCAGATATTCAAGCCCAATAACGCTCAATTTATTGAAGCTCCCGTATAGTTTAGTAAAAGCCAGTCTAAACACATCAATGATCAAACCAATATAATATTATGATGTCTCAATTCGCCTTCGAAAGGATTCAATAGTGCAATTCACACAACTACACAAAGTACCTCTACAGTTGCACAGTAATATTCAAAATCATCAAAGCCATCCGCTGGATACATTAGTGCTTCTTCGTCTGAACGATTGTGACGGTACTGTCAGGGATCTTATACTGCTGATCAAAATCCGCAGGGATGGGCATGTTCAGTTGGGCTGCCAGCTGAAGCATTTCCTCGCGGTTTCTAATGGCTTTCTCACGAGCAGCAGCAGCTTCACGTGCAGGACGATGTTTGTCTTCATATTCCTTCAGACGCTGTTCTTTTTTCTCCAGTCGACGATTACGATAGAAACCATAACCTAATCCAGCAATCAGTGCAGTCCATCGCGCCACGCGGATCGCAGGGGAAATCGCAGCGGGAGGCAAAAGGGGTTTTGGTGGAGGTTTCGTCGGAGGTTTCTGGGTAATTATCGCGGTACGCCGCGCCAAGCTCATGCCTTCCTCCGACATCCTGTATACGAACACATGTAATCAGTAAGAACGATACACAGCTTAAATTTTCGGTTTACCTTGTAGGGCTCACAATCCCTTCGAAGAAATCAAAAAATGTTAAGTTTTCAAATACTACTTACTACTATCGTAGTATCGTCCAGTTTTAAAAATGATTTTTATTTCAATTTCCGCTACAAATGTAAGTCGCCCAGTGGTGATCAGCTCGTCTCGAATCACATGCGAAGGCGAAGTGGCTCGTACGGTGACTCTGACGAGGATTGACGGAATCACACTTAGTCAGCGCGACTTCGACTGGCTACTCTTTTAGCGTGAGTCGGTCGCTTTTATTTTCGGACTTGCAAAAAAGGATTGATTTTCTTTTTCATGAGGCAGAATGCGGCGCATTTGGGTAAACATAAGATGCCATGTTTTATGATGCATATGCAAAATATTGTTTGTTTACAAAATAGTCTTCTACATCGGTATATAAAAGCGATAATTCCGTGCAAATGCTGTGGTTGCTATCAAGTAGTATCAAGCCATTTTGAAACCAAGGAGCGAATCCGAGCGATCGCCTCCTATTGAGTTATTATTTCGTACTGGATTTTGGATCACCTGGAGTGCCACTCTGCCGTTTCCAGTGGATATTTCGTCGAATCCAGTTGGTCGTAAACGACGAAAGCTGATTAGGTAATTAGTACTAATTACCGACTTACAGAACGTACATTACAAGGAATGGGAACGACTGCAAGCCGCTAATGCTGTAAAAATTAACGGAAACATGAATTACTTACTGTGTTGCTGCTTATTATTATCTTATACTTCTAGAAGTCGGTAAAAGATTAAACTGATTAAACATTCAATACAGACGGATCAGATAGATAAAGTCATAAAGGAAGATGATTCGAAAAATACGACTGATGATTTTCAAACATTGCTAACACAGTAACACTGAAGAGTCCCTTGTTAGAAGTAGATGTTTGTTCTGCAAATCCAAATTTGCAAATGCAAATTTTTGTCCGGTGAAACTTGAGAAATTTATTGTTGAGGAGACAAGTTTGTGCCTCGTATTTATGCTTTTCTTTGTTAGGCAACAAACTGAACAAAAATCAGTGTTTGAAATTTTGGACGGTTCGGCTTTTGGGATGTAGATTATTTCTCGGAACAAGAAATAAATAGTAATGGTGGTTTAATTTCTTAACGTAGGTTTTTTACTTTCTCTACTCGTAGCTGCAGTTGTGTAAGCTTATAAAAAGCCTCTTTAAGGTTTAATTCATTGTCCTTTCTCTGATAAGTAATCGTAATTGTAAGTAGTATGTAACTGTGTATTTATTGGCCAGTAGAATTAGAGATAGTTACGGGAAATGTGGTGTATAACAGTACAGTTCAAATATATTTACATTGGGATTTGTTGATACTTTTTTAACTCTTAATGATTAATTTGAACTCTTTTGTGGATACTTGTATATCGTCACTAGCATTGGTATACGTAATAAAATACGTAAGTATTTAGTTCCTATTTTCGCAGTTTGTGTGCACAATTTGAATTAGCCTAAAATGACAGCAGGCCTGCATTTGGGGCCGTAATGTTTGTTTATTCTTTATTATTAAGTACTTACAGTAGTATCCCGCATAACGCATTCAATAATCTGCTTAAATCTCGGTTTTGTTGATGATTACGAGTGCCGGTATTCGCATACATGCGTTTGTAATGAAAAGCGTCAACACTTCAATAATTAATCAAATAAAGGGATTTTTAATACCTCCCGTCAATAATGGCAAATGATTGCGTAAGTTACTAACAATAAGTCTGGGATTATAGTTAGGTAATGCGGATTGCGTATTTTATTTTCTTACACGTACCGGTACTTTTGTGATAATTTGAGGAACTGTCGGAGTCCGATGAACTTACAATTAGTGATGGGAACTTGTTCAACAGCAATATCTGTCTAATAGCATTAATGCATGGAACATTTGTGTATATTACAATTGTATTTAGTTATAGCTACTGTATATATTTTGTCTGTATCTGTGTTATGGTATTGCTATTCGTCCAAAATGAAAGTGGTTTATTTGTAAAGTATGCAGTCGAGATCTGTATACGGTAGACCGTAGTACAGTACGTCAACCCTTTTTATGAGCTGTTAACCAGTTGTATGGTAAAATGCAGGACTCATATGGCCGGATTTGGACTACAAGTAGTAATCTGCGACTGCTGTTGTACGATGTCAACTTACTCGGTGTTATTTTGTGTGACGGAAATGAATCAAATTGCCTTGACCCTGATGTAACGTTTTTTAATGTACGGATACCGCGCGGACGTAGGTTGTAGTCCAGCGGCAGCGCAGACAGCTACCCTAATGTTTTTAGACACTACTCTAGTGAATGGTTTACGGTGAAGTACGGTGCATGTGTAAAGTTACTTAAATGTAAGTAATAAGAAAATTTGTGCACTGTGTAAAGGCATTAGGCGGCTTAATTTCCGTTCCAAGGTGCACAGGCGTGGGTTTGCATCGTAATCATTCATGACATCAATTGATCAGCTCAAATTTTGAACAGTGCATGAAGCGAAGCCGCATTCCGAAATGACCATCGATTTAGTAGCAGTTAATTCGGCGTGCTGATTTATGAGTGCTGGTCCAGTCTGGTTGTGGTTTTCTATTGGATAAACCGAATTTGTATTTCATTTTTATCGTTTTATTTTCTAAAGGAAAAATAACGGTGATCTCTGGAGGAATTACCTTGGCTCGGCGCAGTTATTATTGGAAATATTGTGCTGTATCGCTGATCAATAGTATATTGGTGCGATTGACGGACTGAGAGCTCTAAACGCTGATCCTTCCTGTATGGTTATTGATGTTCCGGAGGCCTGGTACGTATTCGCAAAAATTGATTGCGGTAGCGGTGTAAACTACAGATAAAATTGCTTGCCAGTGAAGCAGTATAGACTATTTGGAAAATTGGGTTATCCCTTAATGCTTGCGTTTCATTTAATTTTCCCATGTGTTTTTGTAAAGTCAGATGGTACTTGATTAATTTTACTATGTCATGCACCTTATGGTTAATGACCATCTGGAGAACGCTTCGTGGATCTCGAGTATGTGAGATCAGTCGATCGGTTGTGGGTGTGAATGTTTTATTGTAATGGACCACTGTTTAAAATTATCGGGAATTCCCTTAATTGGGTAGAAATGCATGTTTGCGTGCATTCAACCGGTTTAAATTTAAAACGAGTAATCGTTTTACGCCTGCTGGTTTAACTAGCCAGGTCTCTACAAAGTTTCATGAATGGTACGTTACAGTACTGCTTTTTGTGTCTGTCTGCAGACTCTGCACTCGTAATCGTACGGTGTATGTTTTGTTTTGTGGTTTCCTGATCGCTGTACAGTTACTGTAGTGGCTACTTATTGCAGCAGTTTGTAACTTTGTATATTACATACGGTATATTGTAGTGGTATATATCAGGAAGATTATGTTTTGAAAAATTTATTTTTACAGGGCTCCGCATAATTGATTTTTATCGCACGTACGGCTTGCAGCTTTAAAATTACAAATAATAATCTTGAAAGTGTACTCCAGTGTTGCATGAGTATTAATTTGAACTAACCAAACTACAGAATATTTAAATTTTTCATTAATCCTCATTTTACGCTTTCAGCAGAGGCGGATTGTACATACACGCGCAGTTGAAAATTTTTTTTAAAGTATCACATTACTTAAGAGAGAGTGCTGGAGCCTGGAGCTTGTGGTGTTGATCCCGGTGTGTTTTGCTTAGGCTGGCAGTTTGTGCACGATCTGTCAATAGTGTGAGAGGCACTGCAGATATATTGGGCCTTCCCTGCGGTGCCGTCCTCGTTGCGTATCCCCGATTTTTATCGCGAATACCGTTGCGTTTTATGGACGATCTCTTCACTTGTGATCTCTTCGGCAAAGCGCATCGCTAAATCCGGGATGAAACCAGATACAATTGGTGATATTTGTTAATCGGGAGGTGCTAGCAATAGGTTGATGCGGCTCTTAATCCGATGGATAATGATTACCGAGATCCTTAACAACTGATAATCGACGATCGGTTGGACGACGCCTGCCAAGTGACGAGCATTCCGCACGGTTTAGGCTATGCACGGTATGATGAGAAATATATTTCGCACTGTTTCTGTTCGTCGACCAGTTTAGCGGGTTATTTATTGTGTGTTGAGCTTGTTCACGCGTAGCGATGGTTTTAAATTGATGAAGAGGAAAAAGTTGGCCTGATGCTATGAGAAGAACGCAGGAAATTGATATCTTTCATTCATTTTTTTGTGTGTGAAGTCAGTACTGCAATGGATAATTTGCACAGAATACTAACATTGTCCTCGACTGATTTCGGCGGTATTTTTGAGTGCGTTTCCATACGTGCCGCTCGAGTGCGCGAACACTACAGTCTGTAGTAATTGTTTGCTGTGGACTACAACAAAAGTTTTAAAAATGGAAAACGCTTGGACTTTTCGAAGCTTTACAAATATTGGAAATGACATTTTAAAATGTTAGTCGAAAAGAGCATTCTTGTAAAAAGTTAATACTTTTACCACCGCTTGATATTTTGGTGGTCCTTTAGTTTGGCCATGATTTTTGTATTTACATAACTGTTGGATCTGCGAATAATTTTAAACGGTAAGACTATAGTATGTATAAATTATCTGCAATGTACGCCACCCGGGATTTTTGCTGCTAACTTCAGTAGTGCTGGTTAAGAACGAATGTGATTGGTGTTGCGTATGGTCAGATTGGGGAAAATGCTTATAGGGCACTTAAAGAACTTTCAAAATCAATAATTTTCACATTAATCAATAGCGGCTTCTTTGACAGCGCTTATTATTCCATATCAAATAACCAGCCGTTCCTGTTGCTTTTGCAGTTCTCGTTGTTGATCGGTTGTGTTTGGTTTCGACAGGTTTTAAAGCACGACCTTCGCCATGACGTACTTGTATCTTCCAATGCAGGAACGGGGCAGTAGTCCCAACGGCACGTCCCATTTTGCGCACAGTTTTTGCCGGACACATTTGTACAAAGGCATTTTGGTCATATTATTGTTTCTGGTGTTGTTTGAATTCTCGTCCATGTTCCTGTCCCCAGAAAAATCCCCCTGGATGCCGGCATCAATTTCCCGCTACACGTTGTCCCAATGGAGTATCCGTAATACGATTGTGATTGATCCCCGGGTGCTTTCCTGTAATAAGAGCGGATGTTATGATCAGTTTGGTAACGCCTATGATGTGGTTACGGAACCAGCAGCGGCCACTCACAAGGGTAACTTGACCAGTGGGAAGAACTGGACGGATGCGTTGGTGCGCGCTGTATCCGGGTTGTCGCAGTGTCCGTCAACACCGCCGAAACTTGTTGGTCCGGTAAAAGTTTTGCTGGAAAAGCTGTCTGAAGACGGAATTCTAAAATACAATCCTGAGCTGGAGCCCGGTGGAAGATTTCGACCAAGAGATTGTATGTCGCGACATAAAGTTGCGGTTATTCTGCCATTTCGGGATCGTGGCGAACATTTACGTAAGACCAATGTGGTTATTGTGTTTTGATGAGAAACATCACGGCTGTATTGCAGGAAATTTATCGATCGTAGTTAATGAATGGATTTATTGATCTGTGTATGTTGAATATGTTCGCAAATTTTTGCAGGGGTGTTTCTCAATAATATGCATCCCATTCTTCAGCGACAACAACTGGATTATGGGATTTTTGTTGTGGAGCAATCAAGCACAGGCAAATTCAATCGAGGTAAGGGATGGTGTACACAGCGATCCTTTTTCTCGTGCTGCGTGACATTGATGGAGTTGAGTGGATCTAAGTGCATATACAGCCGTTTGCTTATGAGATCCGTGTAAAACTGCTAGCGTCATATGGCTGCTTGTTCAACCGTACAAAATAATCGATAGGTATAGTAGGCAAAAACCATAGCTCATGCCAGTTATTTTTGTGAGAAAAGATCCGTACGCATAAATTGTGGGGGGATTTATGAGTTTTTGTGGCAGCCTCCTATGTCCTCTGGGTTATGAAGATTGCGGAAGAGAAAATACAATTTAATTATCGAAGAGAGATGGCATTACAGCATCAGTTTGATGTGTACGTTTCGTAGCAGGTTTTGATCGAATTGCCCATTGCGTGTACGTTTCGTAGCAGGTTTTGATCGAATTGCCCATTGCGGCATTTTGTAACATTTCTGCGAGACCGACCCTAGACGCCGAAATTGATGTGCGCGACTGACGCGAATTTGAATAATGTAATTTGACGTTATTAACTGGATCAGGTTTTATTTGTCCATTTTCAGTTGAACTGAAATAGCACAGGATGTTGCCTGTGCATCAACATTTTAAGATATGTCCTGTAAGCGTTTTCGTTATTCTAAATTCTTAAGTCACCCCAACTGTATTTTTTTAATGGCTGTAGTAGGGAATATATAAACATGGGGCGCAGTGCGTAGACAGCGTAGTCATGATGTAGCATTTTTGCACAGAGTGTACGAAACTGGTTATAATATCATACGTCTTGCTTAAGCACAGTAATATAAGTACGAGCAGGGATTCTTTAGACTCATTCCTAACAATCGTAATTTCATTGCTGTTGCTTTCTCGCATCGCAGGTAATCGCATTTTATGTGTTTTTTTGTGCTACTTATGACGACGTAATTTTTTGAAGGTGATGTTGTTTTTAAACACATGTCAAGTGCTGTCTTGATTTATGCTTTTGGAATTTTTTGAGGCATGCCATTGATACAATTGTAGCACATTTGCATACTCAGCCGTTACAGTCTGGTTTGTCCTTGAATACAGGTACGCTGATGAATGTGGGCTACCTCGAAGCGAAAAAATCCTATGAATACGACTGTTTTATTTTCCATGATGTCGATTTACTACCGGAAAATGATCGGAATCTCTACTCGTGCCCTAATCAACCGCGACACATGTCGGTGGCCATTGACAAATTTAATTATCACTTACCGTATAACACCATTCTCGGAGGTGTGTCAGCCTTCACGGACAAACAGTTCTCAACCATCAACGGATTCCCCAATGTGTATTGGGGATGGGGTACGAGATGCTCACCGTAAATATTTTTTATTAATATTGTAGTAAGTTTTACTTCCGGTTAATTTTTTCGCAATTTTGTATTGTACTCGTTTTCCAAAATATGCTGACATTCGTAAAACTTGCACATCATGGCTAACAGGCAGGGGTTTCGAGGTGAAACCCCTGCCCCCCCCCCTACTCATTGTAGGTGAAAACGAAAGTACAGTATCTGTTCACCTGAAAGTTATTTGAGGTGACTTGAGTACCGGCGTTTTTGACACGGTCAAGTGATACTTGTGAACGTTTCTTGCAGTACTTAATTGCCCTGTGCTACCATATTTCCGTTCACACAGGTGGCGAAGATGATGATCTATCTTTACGTGTGCGGAGTAGTGGTTTCAACATAAGCCGATATCCGGCTGAGTTGGCACGTTATAAAATGATCAAACATGGCTCTGATCCTTCCAATCCGGCCAATCCCATCCGTTTTGATCTGCTACGCGCCGCAGCCAAACGCTTCAGCACGGACGGATTGTCGAATCTCAAGTATAAAGTATTGGACTCCAGACTAAAGCCTTTGTACACATGGTTACTTGTGGATATTAATGCTCCTTCGTAATGGCCGCTAGTACTTTGGCGCGCATCCACTGTCCGAGCTGCTACCGGCAGCGCGTGATTATCGTTGCCTAGCGGCTTCCTAGGTACATAAAAATATCCTTTGGAAGTGAAACTCGCTGTCCAAAAACGGCGTATATAATGCTCAATTGTGAATCCGGGAATGTTTCCCTTTCCATGACGTACGTGGTGCGTGTATGTACATGATTATGGAAGGACTTGAATGCCGTGATCCAAGGAAACTCCACTGGTGGATATTATGTTTTTCTTGAATTTCCATACCAAAGCGTTCTCATGTTTCGACTAAATATGAGATGGTCCTTTTTTTGCATCAGTATTTCATTACATGGTTCCTCTGATTCGGTTTTGTTTCCTAAAAGAATGTGACTAATGATAATACCTGGTTGATTATAGAGTACAGTAATTCGAAGTTTGGGATTTTTTTGCGGAGCTCAATCGCCATAATGTTCTAATTTATTATTACTTGGCATTTTATGCTGATCTGTAGTTCGGTCACCTGTTCTTGTAGTACGTACTGTACCTAATGACGTTGCTATGTTTTTTTTGCGAATGATTTTGCCTCTTTAGTGATTTTATTTGTCGATAGACAAGGTTTTTGCAATTTGAAAGTGATAGATAGGCAAAGAAATTAAACAGATTTTGCTTGATAAGCTGACTGTTGGCGTTTGCTGTGTTTCTTTGTGTTCATACAGAGTAGACTACGACACAGTATACGAGTCTGTTAACTTGCATGAACACACTGCAATTATTATTATCATATCATATTATTATTATCATATTATATAATTAAAGTTTTATTACATACCTCGTATGGTGAGATTTTACTGCATATCGCAAACGGCATAGATTTTAAATTTTTCCGATAATGTGATCGTTTCGGTCGAAACAGCTGTATGAAAACATTCCAAAATGTTGTATGCAACGCTTCAAAATAATTGGACGCTGTCCGTTTCATAAAGCAATAATAAAACCAATGCAAATGCAGTTGCAAATAATTTTAATCGTAATGTACAGTAAGTAAGACCCACGGTTAGCACTCAACTTAGCAGTACATAAAACTAAACGTAGTAAGTACAATCTCTCTATTGTTTATACTGCGGGTTTGCATCCAGTATCCATAACAAGCGTTAATTAAGATTAGCGTTGACAAGCGTTAATTCAGATTAAAAATATTTTTTGCTTCTGTTTTATCACATGAACCGAATTTTTATTTATGTCCTGGGTTTGATTTCAGTAATACTCTGTATATTGGATTCTTCATGAAATATTAAATCTGTAAGTTACAACAAGCGGCCAGTAAGCCAGTTGATGTTAAATAATGGAAAATTCAAAACAAAGAGCGTCAAATATGACACATTATGTTACACTATACCACATTATATGACACAAGACACATTATGTTTTTGGGGAAAATTTTTTGTGAAAATTTCCTCAACAAAATTTTCCTGTTTTTTAGAATTAAAAATCAATATGAATGATATCCCTTATGTACTCGTAATAATTGATTCCATTCCCCCATAGGGGGAGCGCTTTCCTGAAAGTCGTACATTTGAACTCACAGTCACGACGCATCTCTATTTATCGTTAACAGTTAATACAGGATTCAGTATTATTTAAATTTTAATTTAATTTGACCGTAGATCTTATTGTTCTGTATCTGTTCCATAAACGTTCCAACTTCAGTCGTTTCCACTGAATTGCGGTTTCTGGAGTAATCTAGATTTTTTGTGGTCTTGAATCGTGTTCAAACGCAATGGGTGGACCAACGCGAAGAAAGAAGTTTCACCGCGGCGATGCTAGGGAAACCAAGGCTAACAAGACTAAACGGCGTGCACGAGACTTGGATCAGATCTACGAGGATCTCCAACCACAAACTGTGAAGCGATTAAAGACTGAGCAGCCTCTAGATCTGGATCTTCCTGGAGGTGGACAGCATTACTGCGTTGAGTGCGCGTAAGTTTAGACGTGAAACAGTAATTACCTGACGACGAACCCTCAGCGAACCACTCTTCGCTGCTTCAAAGTTTTCCTTTTATAGATAGAATTTCTTGTAGCTTTCTTGTTTTCTAGGCGCTATTTCGTGGATACCGGTGCTCTAGGGGTCCACCAGAAAAGCAAAGTTCATAAGCAGAGGTATTTTGCAAAATTGGATCATTGCATTGCTTTTCATTTAATGAACATTTTCGTGCAGGGTCCGCGAGCTGAAAACTGTACCGTTTTCCCAGAAGGAGGCGGAAGCAGCTGCTGGCATGGGTTCCTATTTCGCCCCCCAGCCTAGGCCGGAAACGATAGCATCCCCAGCATTCTCCATGGATATTGCATCTCCGTCAAGTGAACTGAGCGAAAACACCAAGTTTGCCAAACAGATCGAAGATATAAAGCTGTTCTAGCGTCTGCCGCTTTGCTTGACTTCGTTTGAGTGGAATTTAATTGTTTTATCCTTTCTGCAAGTTCAATTAAAAGAGAGCTATAAACTGTTGAATGTTGACCTGTGGATGAGATTTATTGCGGAATATTGGTATTACTCTATTTCACAGATAACATCAGCAAGAGAACATTAAAGAACGGCTGCTGATTCTTCGCCAGATGTTCGCAGTTATTAGTAAATAATGTACTGGTTTAGTATTTTGTTTGCAGGCATCAGCAGATGACGTGATCTCGAGCCGGAAAATTAGCGTTTAGGATGTAGATGTGAACTGTACCAGATATTGAAACACTACAGTACGAGTACTGTACTGTTGAAATTAATGTGAATTTCTCTCGCAAATTGCTTTTTGATAGTTATCCTTTTTCTGCACAACTAGTACGAAATTTTAAAACACACATACTGCAGTGCAATTATTGTTTTTTTTGTTCTACAAATATTAACACCGAAATTCACATTTTCACTGAAACAATATTTGTGTTTAGTTATTCATAGCTGATCGAAATGTCGAAAAAAATTTTGATTTACTGATGTCGAAAAAATTTTGTCCAAATAAAGGTTTGAATCTCTTTAATTAGTGTGCAGTACTTTTACTGTATACTGTTATGAGTGGATGAGTTGTGGTTGTACTGCAGATGGCGCATTTCGGCATTGCCGTAGTTATTGATCATTCCCACTCGTTTTCCGAATCAGAACAGGTGAGAGCATCCCGTGGACATGCGCGCCGGTAAGTGGTCTATTTTATCGATCACATTTTTCCACCTACTTAAAACGCGCAGAGTGAACCTGTGTTGGGAAATCTGCCCCATCATGGTTGTTATTATTACTGCACAAAAGTTTGGGAGAATCTGATAAGTTTACAGTGTAATTACGTTTTCCAAAATGGGTTTGGATTTACATTGATCCTTTGTGCATGACAAACTCCTACGACTAGTAGGCTCTAAGCCGATGTCAGATTAAATACCTTTTTTTTATAAACTGCGTTTTCCGTTTGTTTGTCTGAAGTCCGGTAACTCTGTACAGGCGGTAGCCGCTCAGAGTCACAATTCGTCGACGTGAAAATGGACGCCGAAGCCAAACACTGGACTGCTTTGGCCAACGGTACATCGCGCGATGCCCGTGCGGCTCAGGTGTTTCTGAAATTCCTGGTGCCTTTGGAACGAACATGCCAGCTGATCGAACAGTCCAATCTGAAGGATATTTCCGAACTGGCGGAAAGCGCGGCTGTACAATTGACGGATCTTTGGCAGGAATCGCAGATAGCGGCGTTTCCGGAGGATCGTATGCGCATCCTTTTCAGCTATTTCGGTAGGAAATTTGCCGAAAAACAAATAATTTTTCACATAGCAAAGTTTACTTTTTTTGTTAGAACAATCGATAGTGCAGGCCATTCAAAATGCCAGCGCAACTGTTAACGTGTGGTCCGGTAGTTTCTACGAGGTGGAAGAGTTTTTAACTGACTGCCGCGATGTCTGTGATAAGTGGTTGGACTTGTGTCGGAATTTGACGGAAGAAATGTGGGCCGAATTTTCCCGGCGGAGCTGGACATCGGGGCCGGTCACGTGTCAGTTGCTGGAAACGATGAAGGCTCGCGTCAGAGAGGTATTAAGGAATCCAAACTATTGAGCTTTAAGTACTAAGTTAAAGTCCAAAATGAGCAGAAATGTTTGTTTTACGGCCAAGTGCTTTGTCTGGATAGTCTGCTCACAATAGAGGAAAGTAAATGTTTAATGTAATTTTAAATTTCGAGACATATGCGTACGTGCTTTGAATGAGCCGATACACGAACTGGAAATAAATGTTATCGCGGTGATTTTGCCTACAGTGTGTCAAATACGGTCACAGCGGTGTTTGAGTACTGTACTACCGTACTGATCATGAGATATATATCTATTATCATTTAGATATGGGATATTCGTACGGTGGTGCGCGATGCCGAAGATCTTTTGGGTTCTTTTGGGAAACGGTCACCTCTGGAACCTCTTATTAGCAGCGGTGCGGCTTGCTTCGACCTTTCGACATCTGGAAACGCGGCGTGGGCCAATGCTACCTATCAGTTCGAAGCCCGAATTCGAAGCTACGACGAAGCGATTGTTGAGCATCTGCGGAATGCCTTGAGAAAGGTCACATCCACTCCACTGCAGGCAAAATCATCTTCCTTCTTGAACAGACCCTTACAAAAGATGTTTACCGTTGCGGTGTTAACTTTTTAGATGTTCGTCGAATTTCAAAAATTTGCCAGCTTTTTGAAACGACCAAGGATTAGGAAGGATTTGTTGCCGGAAAGAGAAATCATGTTGTCGCAACTGGGTGATATTATATCTGATTATGAGCAAGAGTTTGCAAAAAGTGACGCGTCTACGTATATGAATCAGTCGAAAACGGTTTCAAGGATGATTTGGCTGCGCCAAGTAAACTTAAAGGTAACAGTCTTCAATCTGTATAGCGGCTTCTGTTTGCAAAATGGCCTATTAGGATTGAAGCCGAACTAGCCATGGCCTTAATGGATGTTATTATACTCAGATCGAAGAAACGGACACAGGACTGGTTAACGCGCTGTCTGATTTGCCCAAATTCGATAAAGTGTACGCACGATTGACGGCACTCAAAGACAATGTTAAGGAGACTTTGCAGAGGGTTTTCGACGAATGGTGCGATGATCTGATGCGGATGTTGCAAGATCCCAGAGGCGATTTAAGGTAGCTTAGTAAAGGTCACACCGATTATGATTATAACCTTGTCAAACTAAAATTCAATACCAATGGATTATATTTGGTTAGTTTGGATACTTCCGGTCATCTCATGAAAATCGAGCAGCAAGACGGAAGGCTAACGGTGAACTTCAGCGATCGCCTGGTTATGTTGATCCGGGAAGTGCGCTGGTTGGAGAGCGTCGGGTATCGAGTGCCAGCGGAGATTATGGAGCGATGCCAGTTGGCGAAGAAATTCCATGAATCAGGGATTGTGTTAATGCAAGTGGCGCATTTCTATAATACCATTGATCAGCAGATGATTCCTTGTCAAAAGCCCATGATGATTGAGTCGGCAGAACGCTTCGAACAAATTATTCGCCACGGAAAGGGTAATGCGTCTGGAGGTGGTGCGGAAATTCGATGGAGCGATACAAAACGGGTGGAAGCTTATGTTAACGATGTGCACGATGCAACTATGGAGTATGTAACCTTTTTAAAATTAATACTGATTTTTAGGTTAATAATTGACTAAGCTTTCGTTTTATTTTATTGCTCTCTTACGAACTGTAACTTTTGACTTATGTGTTAACAGTACAATATTTCCAGATTTACCCAAGAAAATCGCCGTTTGCGTTCTCTGCACCAGAAGGTCATCTCTCTGATTGCGCAGATGAGTGGAACAAGCCTCTCGCAGAAGACAACTGAGTGGAAAAAATTACTGAACGAAATTCATAAAATTGTGACGTCAGTTGCGGTTGATGCCCAGGTAAAATTTGCTGTCGCCACTATGGAATTATCAGCCATAATTTTGAAACTCGATACAACATTTTGCAGAGGTATCCGCCGGAAAATATGCTGTCATGGCGTGTCCACATCGATAACCAAATTGTTAAAGCCATTGAGATTCAGCTGCGACGTAGTCTTTTGGCTTTGGCTGAAAATCTCCCGGAACAGCAGGTTGACTTTGTCTATCGCAACCGGATGCTGCAAGTTAAGCCATCCATTCCCGAACTGCGGCAAACCTTCTCACAGCACATGCAGAAATTATTTGCTGTTCCGGCAACGTTGAAACCGCTCAGCGAGATAAGTGAGAAACGCGGATTATTCAAACAAGCGGCACAAAATTGTCATATAGAAGCGGCGATGGCTCAACGGAATTTTGATGATGTTTTAAAGAGGATCGGCGAAGAAATGGAAGAATATAGGGTATTGACACTTTTCCTTTGTTTTACTAAAAGTAAATTTGCAACGTTAGGCTATCTAAGTGTGCTATCGCAGTTCATCAATTCAATGCATTTACAATCTTTATTTTTATGTACAGTGCAACTAACAGTAAGTATTGGGAAAATTGAAAGCGCATTAAAATTATTTTCTGTTTTAGCCCTATGTGATATTGGGTGCCGTTGATATACCTGCACTAGTGAATTCACGTGTCAGTGTTGTCCAAGACTGGGATCAGGAATTCAAAGCGCTGAAGTATCGAGGTTTATTAGTGGACCAAATCCCTACGTTAGTTTGCCCCATCTCCGCGGTACAACTGTTTTTGCTGTAATAATGACATCGAATTTGCGGCAGGCAAACGAAAGTGGATAGCATGACCATCAATTTAGGCGGTCTGCGGATGGCCATTGATGGCCTTCTGCAGAATACTTACGATGCGCTTGTGGACAGTCTTCGGAAATCCATTGCCGACGATATTCAAACGGCGGCGGATTTCGTGACAGAAGCAACGGCCTTGCTGGCTAGCCGGCCGGCAACGACGGAGGAATTAAATAAGCTGTCTACAGAGTACTATCGTCTGCTTAAAGTTTCGGAAGAAGTAAGTATATGGAAGTGTGCAGGGTTGCTGCTGTATTTGTCTTGCACAATTATACTTACAGTCAGTTAAAATATGATGTGTTGCTTCTAGATAAAGCCTCGCTTTTCCATTGTTGAAGAAAAGGGTGCGCTCTTGAAATCAGTTGGTGCAAGAAATATCGAGAAGTCCGAGAGTGTCCTTCGCTCGTGGAATGGGATAATGGAAATGCTGGAAGATCACAAATCTGTCATGAGAGACCAGGTAGGGAAACAGATTGCTTCTTCGGTAAATACTAACAAAATTATCGTTGACATTTTAAAGTTCGTCCTGTCAAATGCAAACAATAATATTAATTTGATATTCATGAAAAAATTACAAACAAGAAGGGTTTTAAGGTCATCTGTGCAGTAATATTGGGTTCCAAATTTGTACATATAGCTGAATGCAGCAATTCTGAATGCCCTGATCCTGTTTACAAAAATTAGACATATTTCTTTTACTCGTTGTTGTGCGTACGTCCAAATCATTTGGTGGAAAACAAATCGAGACGTTCTTAAAGGCCACTGTGTGGCACTATTGTAGCATTAATCTGCTGTCAGAGGGGGTTGTTGCGACCGTATGCGCTCCTGAACCATCCCGATTCGATATTTGTTCATATGCTTTATTGAAAAAATGATGCAAGAGTGCTTTTGTAACGCAGACGGCATCCTTGCGTTTGCTGATTGAAAAAGATGTTAAAAAATTCAATGACGATGTGGAGAAATTCGCCGCGCGTTGGCAACTGAATCGGCCCAGTGTTTCTCTTCTGGATGATCTCAGCATTTTTCAAATGGGCCAAGTAGCGGAGAACATCCGGACTCGACGGGATGACCTGCAGGTTATGGCTAAACGATACGATGAAATCCTGTAGGTCATTTTATGGAATGAAGCAGAATGGAGTACATTGTATTCTGATGTTGCCATTCCTGTGGCATTGTAGAGCACAATGTAATCAGCTGGATATGGACATTCTGCCCAACAACGCTATCCCGGAATTACTTAAGGAAATGGACGCAGCTGAAAAATCCTGGAAGGATATTCTGGAATTTGTCGAGCAGCTGGATGGATTTTTGAAGGAAGACTGGTTAATTTTCCGGAATAAATTGTACCTGTTTGAGGACTTTCTCAAAACATGGACGATAAAGTATGTTGCATGTACTCGGCGCCTGTGGTAAATGAGTATCAAATAGTAGTCGTAATTACGTTAAATTTATTCCACAGAATGCAACCGGTGGTTCCTACTTCGTTCACCTTACGGATCCAGGCGGAAATGGACAGGTTCCGGGCTGCTTTACCCGTGCTTAAGACGTGTCGAGGAGATGCGTTTTCTGATGAGCACTGGGGAGAATTGTTTAGGATATTGTCACTGAACAATACCAACCTGGATATGCTGACCTTTGGTGACTTCCTCCGGTCCACCGAGGCACTGGGAAATAACGCCCAGACCATACGGGATCTGGCTAGTCGTGCACAAGCAGAGATATCCATCCGTGAAGCGTTGCGGGAACTGGAAATATGGGGCGCCACCGCCGGTTTTAGCCTGACCGCTTACAAGGATGCCGCAAATAATTCCATTTCGATTGTTAAGGAGTGGACCATTCTGCTGTCCTCTGTAAGATGAAATCTTCGTTTGACGGTATCAGTAACTCATGTACCGATGTGATTAACCTGATTAAGGGCTTTAAAAATATCTGAAATTATTTTACAAGGCAACAGCATTGTAGATTGGTACAGTACTAAGGTAATGCGGTCAAGGTTATCGTGCAACGGAGAATAAAAAGTGTCGCGCTTTTAGGTTGGAGAAAAACAGCGGCTAATCCAGTCAACGAAAGATTCCCAGCACTACGGGAAATTTTCGGACCGCATTGCTGTATGGGAGCAGCGTCTCGGTGATCTCAGCTTTCTCCTGGAAACTTTACACCAAATCCAGCGAAAATGGATCTATCTGGAGCCGATTTGCTCTAGAAACACTATCCCGTCTGAGGAAGGTCGCTTTAAGCGCGCCGACAGCGACTTCCGGTCAGTAATGAAAGACGTCGCCAAGGATTCACGTCTGTTGTCGTGGATGCGACCTGGCCTCAAGGGATTACTGCCCGGTGTGCTGGACCAGCTGCAGCGCTGCCAGAAAGCGCTGAGTGATTTCCTCGAGACGAAACGTTTGGCATTCCCAAGATTTTATTTCATTGGTGACGAAGATCTACTAGAAATTCTCGGACAGAGTGGGAATCCGAAAGTTGTGCAAACGCATGTTAAGAAACTGTTTGCCGGTGTTCGGTCGGTGGCTTTCAATCCCGGTGATACGGAAATCATTGCCGTGACTTCGCCGGAAGGGGAAGTGATGAAACTGTCTGGCCCGGTTAAAATTACCGGATTTGTAGAGGTACATATTGTGTGATCACTATCAGTATTGTTTTGCGCACTTATTTTGTTAATAGGATATTGTACTGTACTTATGGCATAATCATAGAATTCTCCAAGAGAATATGTTGTTTAACTGCTTGTTTCGGGGGCAGGTATGGCTGGCGGCATTATCGGAAGAACTGAAGCGCACTCTGCAGATCTCATTAAAAAACTGCTTGCTGGAATCCGCCAAAAAAGATTTGATTTTTGCCTATCCCGCCCAAGTACGGCTTTAACATCAGCGGTTATAAACCTTAAGCTGGTACTTTCTGTCAATGATGGTGTTTTTTGTGCAGATTTTAAGACTGGTCGATAGAATCCGGTTCACGAAAGAAGTTGAGGCAACACTCCGGTCAGGAAAAAGCGATCTGACTCAACTGCGATCTGACCAACAGCAAAAGGTGACTGACTCGAGCAATTTGATAGAAGTATCGCTAAATTTTGCGTCCCTTGATCTGCGTTTGTGTTTGTTGCAGTTAAATGATTTGACAGGGATACAGTACAACAATGCCACGGAAGTCAAAACCGCTACTGTTCAGTCGTTGATTTTGGACACAATACACCGACTGGAAGTTCTGGAAACATTAGTAACCGCTAAAGTGAACAGTATCGAAAGCTGGTTGTGGCAGAAGCAACTTCGGTAATTTCGAAACATAAAATTCAAATACGATCTGCTAACCCGGTGTTGTTTTACAGGTTTTACAGTGAGGCAAATTCCAACGTGGTCGTTCGCATGGTGGATGCTGAATTCGACTACAGCTTCGAGTACCAGGGATGCTTTCCCGGACTGGTACACACGCCGTTGACCGATAAATGTTTCCTAACATTAACTCAAGGTAATTATCTGTATATGAACAAAATAGTCTTACTTGTGTTAATGTTGTGTCACATGGTATTGTATTTAGCGATGTTGATGGGGCTGGGTGGAAATCCCTATGGGCCCGCCGGCACGGGAAAAACTGAATCGGTCAAAGAGCTTGGAGCACAGCTGGGTCGACAAGTGCTAGTATTTAACTGCGATGAGGTTTGTTTTTCATCTGTGAAAATTATTCACATAAAACTATTTTCGCAATCACTGTAGGGCATCGATCCTAAATCCATGGGACGCATCTTCATCGGATTGTTGAAATGCGGTGCATGGGGGTGTTTCGACGAATTCAACCGACTTGATGAGCTAACTTTATCCGCTATCTCTACACAAATTTTAGCCATTCAAGCAGCATTGAAGGACTCATCCAAACAACTGGAACTTCTCGAACGCAAAGTGGATATCAACAAAAATGCCGGTATTTTCATTACTTTGAACCCGGCTTCAAAAGGATACGGCGGACGGGTTAGATTACCGGATAACTTGAAGCAGCTCTTCCGACCGGTGGCCATGACCGTACCGGATGCGCAACTGATAGCCGAAGTTGTTTTACTGTCCGAAGGATTCCAGTCTGCCAGAATTCTGGGGAAAAAGCTGACAACTTTATACAGCTGCTCCAAGTGGGTTTGACCAGATAGTGGCAAAAGATATCTGGTAAAACTTTTTGATTTAGGGAACTTTTATCGAAGCAACAACATTACGACTGGGGTTTACGGGCCATCAAGTCCACGGTCCAGATGGGCGGACGAGCCATTGCGCGACATCGAATTCAGTCCAAAGAAGAGCGCGTCAGTGAGACAGAGGAAACGGCCATTTTGGTTCATGCGCTAAGATCGAACGTGGTATCCAAATTAACCGCTTTAGACCAGAAGCGTTTTGAGGAAATGGTGCGGGATATTTTCCCCGGTTCAGGTGGTAGCCAAGCGGGGAATGCGGAGCTGGAAGCGGCACTCACCGCTGCGTTCGCGGAGTTACGCCTGGTAGTCAATGATGCGCAGGTGAATTGTTCTGGAAGCGCTGCTGAGATTTCCCAGTTTTGTAAGATTTGCCTGCAGGTTCAAAAGGCTTTGGAACTGTCGGCACAATTAGCGCAGCGGATGGGTGTGGTAGTTGTTGGGCCTGCAGGATCGGGCAAGACGACCATATGGAAACTGTTGACCACTGCCATGAAAACGCTACAGACACCGGTCACTTTCCACCTTTTAAATCCCACGTCCATACCAAAAGCACAGGCATGTAGACCTCTGAGGAAGTCGTGATCAATTACCGCTAAGTGCTCTCACTATTTCTTATAAATAGTTGTATCTTGCTGGCCATATACCTAGTTTCTTATTATAGCTGCTTGGTTCGGTGGATGAATCCACGCGCGAATGGACAGATGGCGTATTAACAAGTTGCGTGCGAGAAGTCCTTAAAGAAGCCACTGAACATCCAGCCTGGATTGTGTTTGATGGCGACATTGATCCTGACTGGATTGAGTCGCTGAATTCGGTTCTCGACGACAATCGGTTGCTGACACTGGCTTCTGGGGAACGACTGCGGTTTCCGGCTAATGTCAACTTCCTCTTCGAAACTAACGATCTGTCAGCGGCTTCGCCAGCTACCGTGTCGCGAATGGGAATGATTTTTCTTAGGTACCAGATTCAATCTACAATGACTCCGAACTGTCAGACCAATTGTTTGTTTACTTCAGCTCCGAGAACGTGGTCATGAGAACCATTGTGGAAGCGTGGATTAAGAAACAGCCGGAAACTTCTCAAACTGTCTTAGAGGAATTTACCACTTCACTGCTGTTTCAGATAATTGAAATGTTTAAAAATAAGGTGATCTTCTTCTTTTTTCGGAAAACTACCGCTTTAATTACCAGTTTAAAAATATACATTTTTAGGAAGACCAAGCCGCTACTTTGACAGAAGTCGCCTTGTGTACCAATATTTTGTCTCATCTCGTGGATATCACTGATCGCGCTGACCTGGTTGTCCGTACGGTGCAGAGCCTGGGTGGATTATTGAAAAATCAACAGCAGAGCGATTTCGTTGTTGCGGTACTGAGTTCGCTTTGCATACGGAAAATTTACCATTCGTACAGTGTAATTATATCTTAGATGCTGAAACTGGCTGGTTATGAGCCCGTAGACATGCATCGGCCCATTAATGTGTTCTACGACCCTGACCATGGCATGCTCAGATCGTTCCGAGTAAAGGTCAGTGACGTCAGGTATTACTTCACGGATGGAGTTTAGTTTGAGCTTGTTTGATTTAGTCAGTAGAAGTATTACATTTTTTGTAAAGTTTGCTCGGTGCTGCGTTTGTTTGATGGTTGTTGATTTGCTTGATATTTCGGGATTTTAAAATTCCATAGGATCTGAAAGCGCTGGAAGTCACTGAACCATATTTTCCCTGCATCACACAACAACTGGCCATCTCGCGCATTTTACCATGGATAGCGTCTGGGGAGAGTCTGCTGTTCTTTGGTCCCCCTTTATGTGGAAAAAGCCGTGTTTTACAGCAGATTTTTCAGCAGCTGCAGATTCGCAGTGTTATCGTTATCTACTGCAGCAGTTCCACCTCGGGCCAGGTCATTATTCAGAAGCTGAAGCAGAACTGTTTGTCGATACCGGCTGCTAATGGGCGGATTATGCGCCCCAAAGGCTCCGACAGATTGGTGGTCTGTGTTAAGAATTTGCACGTTGTTAAAAGGGATCGTTGGGGTCATTCGCAAGTCGAGGCGTTACTGCGCCAGGTACAGAGTAGAATAGTTTTCGGTTTACTCAAGCCATCTTCCTATTGCGCAGCCATATGCCCTTGAGTATATGCAATACACACACTTTCTGTTATAGATGATTTCTCAAGGAGGATTTTACGACTCTAATGCGGATTGGATTCAATTGGACGGTGTGCAGTTTATTGCAACAAGCCATAACGAGAGCAGCGGAATTATTTCCGATCGTCTGACTTCCGTCATGCGAGTGACGTATTTGGGGTGACTAAGTTTTTAGGATTTTTGAAAAACGTTGTGATATTTTTGATAAACTGGAAGGTTCAATCTGTAGCAATCCTGATATGGAAGATCTGCAAGCCATATCGACCGGTTATCTGCAGATAGTTCTTACCAGCAACAGTAAAAGCCATCCTGTTTGGTCGCAGCTACGGAATATCGAAAAGTTGGCTACCACAGTGACATTAGTTTTCACCAAGGTCTGTCCTGATTGCGCCGTTTTTATACTCGTAATTTAAAAATGTTTTGCATTGCGATTTTGCACATTAGTTGTTTGAGCGTTTCGGCCAGAATGGTCCGTTGCACTATTCCGTGACCTTGAAAGATTTGGTTCTATGGATCAGCAATCTCGTTCGTTACGATTGGGCCGATCAGAACGGAACGGCCTTACTGTCAGCAGCGGCCTTTGAAGCATCACGCGTGTTTCGGGATAAACTGATGACATCCAGTGACGGCGCCTTCTTTGATGCAGCACTACTAAGCTGTTTCAAACGCGACTGGCCGACCGCAGGTATCGACCTCGACACGCTGTTCAGCAGCATGGGTGCGTCTGCGGGAGGCGTGGTAGACGGGGCTCCTCTGCCGAAGTTCGGACGTCCACTTGGAAAGACCAAGGAAGAGGAAGTGCGCTTGTCTATTGCAAACGCAGTGCGAAGAATAAGTATGGCCGAACGAAAGCTGTTGTGACACAAATTATGCTGATATTGTTTTTTTTTCAGATCGGGAATCGGTTGATATGGAAGTTTATGTCCACTCTGACGTAGTCAAGGGCGTATTGCGGACTGACCATTGGTTGGGTGTGCCGGGCGGCTCCGTATTGTTAATGGGACCGAGCGGATGTGGGCGGCGGTCGATGGCTGTCATCGCCTGTAAATCCCAGCAGGCGCTGGTCTGTCGGCCGAAAATCGTCAGGGATTATTCCCTGCGCAACTTTCGAGTGGATCTGAAGAAGGTATAAAGTACATGAGCAAGCCAGTCAGTTATATTTCTTTTTAAGAGCTGAGGTGGTAATTTCCATGGTTTCTGTGCTGTCATCAAAATAACTTTGTGCAAGTAAAATTAAATATCGAGAAAATGCAAAAAAAATTTAATTGAACAGTTCTAATCGTTTATTGCCCACAGGAACTAGAAGTTGCTTACAAACGGAATGAGAACACGGTGTTCATTCTTGAAGACTATCAGCTGACCGACCCGCTATTTTTGGAAATACTCTGCACGATTCTACAAAGTGGAGAAATCGACTATCCAGGTTTGTACACGGATGAGGAATTGGAAAAGTTGTATGGAAGCGTTGCGGAAGAGCTGGCGCAAGAGGGATTTGATGGAACACCGGCAGCCTTTATAAACAATCGTGAGAATATTCCAGACATTCAAATTCTCTATAGCTCGATGTAAAAGTGTTCTACGTCAACAGGGATTCGGAGGAACTTTCACTGTATCTTCACTCTGGAAACAAACACCCGCCGGGCACCGGTGCTGTTTGAGCGCATTCCAGTCTTGACGACAATATTCCACATTGTTTGGATGGAGAGCCTGGCTACATCAGTTCTTGCAACGGTAGAATAGCATACCAAGTTGCAATTTAATGGAATTTGCCATACTTAAGATTTTACTTTCCAGATCCCGGAAACGATCATGGTTGCAGGAAGTCCCACTACAGACCGTCCGAATGTTGAGTCACCTCAATTAGCAGCTTTTTTGACTCTGATTCATCAAAACAGCCCAGAAAAACTGCGCTCGACCTCACGATTTATTCAGTTAATTCGGACATACCGTGCCGTTAGAGAAACGATGCTGGCCGACAACCGGAAGGCTAGCGAACGGTTCCAGGCCGGCCTGGATCAATTGAATAAGGCACAGAACGCTGTGATGGGACTGAAACGGGAAGTCACGCAGCAGCATAACGCCTTGGCAGATAAGCAAGAAGAAGCTCGCAGGTGGGTACGTCCAGTGGTGCCGAATGCCAGTAATGACGATAAGTAACAAAATCGGATGATATATAATTCTCGCACCACAAACGTGCAGTGCACAATTAGCATCAGGAAACCGTAATAGCAGGGCTTCAGGGTTCGGCCTCACACATTTTTGTGCTGTTGTACATGTGGCTAATTACACTTGGCCGTGTGCGGTATGTGACATAGTAACTGCAATTAAGTAGCAAGTGATGTAATCAGCTGAAAATTGTTTACAATTTTTTAGAGCTATGGATGAGATTCGAGAAAGCATGGCAGGCGCGAACACACAGAAGGAGGAAGTGACGGTACTACGTGCGGACTTGGAAGCGGAAAAGGTCAAATTGCAACAGCGGGAGCAGCTGATCGCCAAAGAACTGCAAGATGTACTCCCCATGTTAGAAGCGGCTAAGCAGTCCGTAACAGCCATTAAAACAACCGATCTCAGTGAAATTAAATCACTTCGAGCGCCACCGGCGGTTATCCATAATATCTTGGAAGGTGTGTTGAAGCTGTTTGGAAACAAGGATACATCATGGTCTGGAATGCGCGCGTAGGTCGCTTCAGGATCTTTATCACGAAATTTGTAGGGGTTTGGTGTTTCAACAGTACTTTGCTCCAGGTTTCTTAGCCCGACGATTAAAGAGGAAATCGTGCACTTTAACGCCGACAAGGTGTCCAAGGAGCACCTTAAGCTAACGCAGCAGCTGCTCGAGAAATATCGAACTTCCTTCGAAGAGGAAACAGCTAAAAGGGCCTCCGCGGCTGCAGCGCCATTGGCCGCTTGGGTGCGCGCTTGTTGTCGCTATGCCGAAGTTCATGAGAAGATTGCTCCGCTGGCCCAGGAAAAACGAAAATTAGAAAGGTCAGATTATGGACTTTGGAAACTTGCCAGATATACTGTATATAGGTTTTCAGATATTGCTTTAGAACTTTCATAAACCATCCGGTGATCACGTTTAAGTGCCACAAGTTGTAGTCAAGTGTCTTGTTCGGTATCTGCTGTTATTGTATGTCGTTAACTGGAATAATTTCCGCTAAGCGAAAATCAAAGTTTTTTAGCGGTCAGCCGAACTAGTCTTTTTTAATGTAACAATTATTCTAGCTGGTAAAGCATAATTGCTTACTTGTAGTTATTAATGAATTAATTTTTGGCTCTAGAGTGGAAGCGTGCGACATACCTAGCATAAACCTCGAAAACTTATAATAATACCGTAGTTTCTTTAAATTTTATTATTGATGGATCCCGGTACCCCTGTTGCAGTACAATCGAAATGCACGCAAAAAGGGTCACTAGCGCGGATAAGGATTTGGGCAACCTGAGCACCCGGATCGACATGCTGCAAGCCAGATTTCAGCAACTGACGGAAGAGGCTGCGTTCATGAAGCTGGAACTGAACCGTTTGACAGAGCGCCTCAAAGTAGCGGAATTTCTCGTGGAGAAGCTGGAAAGCGAATACTCGCGGTGGTCAAGTCAGGTACATCACCGCTCTGCTGGATATTGTTTTTTTTTTCACTTTTTGCTTTTAAACATTTCAGTTGAAAAATTATGCCGAAGCCGCAAAAGCTGTTCAAAACAACGCCCTTATTGCCGCCGGTTTTATCGTTTACTTGGCATCCTGCAGCGAAGACGAGCGTTTGGCTTATGTAAATTCCTGGAAAGACAACTTAAAGTACGATAATTTTTTAGATAAATAGATTTGGAAATTTGGCTCGGCTTATCAGTTGCATCTGAATTTATAATCGGAAATACTATTATGCCGCTGATCCACAAGAAGGAAGAAAGGGTCTGTGAATTATATACTTTCCACACAGTCATGTTAACGGAAGTTGTGCTTTCGTTGATGTCTCATACAGTAGTTTAAACTGGAACAGGCAATGTCATCAGCATGCTGCTTTAATGGCCTTGGTTTTAACTTAAAGTGAAAAAGTTTTGAATGGCTTTAATTGTTTTGTTTAGAGTGGAGTCTTTTGACTTGGCTGATCATTTGACAACAGAGACAACGCGCCTAGAATGGCGTACGCAGGGTTTGGCGGCGGATACGCTATCTGTGGAGAACGCTGTTATCCTCCAGTGCGCTCTATCAACCTGTTTGATTGTCGATCCGACCGGAAATATTCTGGTCTGGCTCAAAGCATCACTGAAATCAAAGAAGTATTTTAACCTTCTTACTTGTTAGTATTGTTGCATCTTCAGATTATTTCATCAAACAGTTTTTCGAATAATTTAGCGCGGAGGTGGTGGACCAAGAGGATGCCAACTTTCAGTCGGCTGTGGAGATGGCCGTCCGTTTTGGTAAATCACTGATCGTTGAGGTGGCTGATGCTGTGGACGGGTTTCTGGTGGCACTGCTGCGCCGTGACCTTATAAAGCAGGGAAGTCGAATGCAGGTGGAAATGGGCGATAAATTAATTGATTATCATCCGCAATTCCGCTTGTATCTCATTTCCCGCAATCCTTCGATTGAATCACAACTGCATCCACAAGTAAGTAACTGTTTATGTTGCTTTTTTAGGATATCTTTAGTGCTCAGGATTGCTGTACTTTGAGGGTTGCTAAAATTAAAGCTTTACATTTCATTTTGATTTGCAGATTGCATCGTTAATCAACGTCGTCAGTTTTACGGCTACTCGCGCCGGCTTAGCCAATCAGCTGTTGAGTCTCGTGATCGAAAGCAAGCTGCCGCAAGTTGAACAGCGCCGTCGCGCTTTGGTCCAAGAGCAGGAGTCGCTTCGCGTCCAACTAACAGAACTGGAAAACGCTCTGCTGTTAGAATTGTCCAACAGCCAAGGGAATATTCTTGAAAATACTGAATTGCGGGAATCTTTGGCAAAGACGAAATCCTCGTCGGATACTGTTGAGAAAAATCTTAACGAATCCAAGAAAATTAAGGAGACGCTCGACCGCGATCAGGCGATCTTCTCCGTACTGGCTACAAAATGTTGCAGTATTTATTTCGCTCTGCAACACCTGCACCAACTGAACGACTTGTATCGGTTCAGTTTGCAGACCTTTATCGACATTTTCCGTAAAGCTGTGGAGAATTTGGCCAAAAACGAAGAAGTGAAGGATCAGCTGCAGAAATTCTGTGCGGTGGCATTTTACCAAGTCATTCATTACGTCTATCATCACGTCGCACGCGCGGTTTTTAAGAAAGACCGGCTGACCTTTCTTTTGCTTTTGATCAAATCTGTGCGACCGGAACTGATTAAGAACGAAGAGTGGGATTTTCTTCTGTCGCTTAAAACTAGAGCGTCTTTTGCTACGGATCAAGCGGTAAATGCGCCTTGGTTAGAGAAGGATAAACAGGGTATGTTAGCGGAAGTTGTAAGAAGGTTACCGGGGGTACGGGACGCCTTGGATCTGCAAGACGCGACCGGTTGGAGCAAATTCATGGCACATTCGCACTGTGAGACAGCGCTTCCGGCTGGGGCAAAACTGACACCGTTCCAACAGGTGTTGATCATCGCCGTCCTGCGACCCGATCGAATGATCAGTGTCCTGACAGGATTTGTGGGGAAAGGGCTGAAGCTTCCAGATCTGGCGGCGGATACGACATTGAAAACAGTTTTTGGGGAAAGCAAAGAAACTATACCGATTCTCATTCTGGTTTCCGCTGGTTCTGATCCGTCACAAGAAATTCTCGGCTTAGCACAAGAACGAAATGTTCAGTGCCAACAGGTAATAAAAACGCTAGATCGTTGTAAAAATTACTTGTTGCATCAATCATGTCGATTGAGTGAACGAATTTTGGTTCAGTAAGTGCATGTTCCCGCAAAAGTTACGACGTCCATTTTTTGAAATACAGATAGTGTTAGAACATTGGGTTTCCCATCCTCTAAATCTTTGGAAGTACTGAATGTTTTTTACGCAATTTGAACAGTTCGCAATGGGCCACAAAGAGGATGAAAACGCAGCCGATGCGATTAAAGAAGCAGCAAAAAAGGGATTTTGGTTATACCTGAAGAATCTGCATTTGTTGCCGACATTTTTCAACCGAATACTAAAGGAGGTTAAGGACGCTGGTCAGCCGTCTCCATCTTTCCGTTTATGGATAACAACAGAAGCGATTAGCAATATCCCATCACTCTTGCTGGAAACATCGCTCAAGTGTGTTTACGAAGGTTAGTAAACTACGAAATTTATAAGTACTCAAAATTCCCAGTTGGTCGTTAGTAAAACGGTGGACTCACAAGTCAGTGTGGAGTAATTTAGTAACTGGAGTTTGGCGCTTGACTGATGACATTACGTACAAATACAATACCACTTAAACACTGCAAATGGGGTATTGTCAGGGCTGATGTCTTTCAAGTCTATTGGTAGTGTAGTTAAGTCTCATAAACGTTCACCGAATTTTGTAGTTCATGTTGTGTATATATTTGCAGTTTTGTTGATACCGTATTTGACTTCTTTCTTTTAATTTCTAGCACCTCCCGGCGTTAAGCAAAACATTCTGCGTTCTATCAAAGAATCGTCCGAATTGTTCAAACCTCTTTCCGGGTCTTCATCCGTTCGTCCGGGTTTGATTTTGTATTGGCTCAACGCCATTCTCCAGGAACGTCGCAACTACCTGCCGGTGGGGTGGACCAAGTTTTACGAATTCACCAGTAGTGATTTAAACGCTGCACTTCGGATAATTGGCAAATACGGAAAGGGTGCAAAAAGTGGTGGCTACTTGGAAGAGTACATTCGCGGCTTATTGGAGATTGTCATTTATGGCGGCCGTGTTGATTCGCCATGCGATTACAACATGCTGTCCTCATTCGTTCGCAGCTATTTTTCGGGGGATTCCCTATCGAAAGATGATCTGGGAAGAGAACTGAGTGGAAAATTTCAGCCCAGTTTGAAATCTCTGGGCGATTTTGACGGCTACGTGCAGACCTCTCTGCCGGAAATAGATGAGCCGGAACTGTTAGGATTACCGGCAAATATCGACGCATCGCATCAGGCTAACGAAGGCTTGGCGGTGGTGAAAGATTTGCAGCTACTGCAACATTTCAAAGAAGCAAAGCTCACTGAAATTGGGGACGATTCTGTAGAGGCTGTCAACATGTTATTGAATGTCGTCCAGAAGACGAAAGAGGTAATACGCTGCACGAGAAAGCAAGGCAAATTAGTGACGGTTGTAAACCGCCAGTTTCATTTATTTGCTGCTAGAGGGTCTAAAGCTAAACAAAATTTTGCCGGCAATCGATTAATTCGTTTTGAACTCGACGTGAATTCATTTGAAGATCAATTATCATCTTGTTTCGTACCGTAATACACCAATATAAAGGTAACGGTTGCTTTGTGGTAGAAACTGGAAAGGTTTGTGTCCGACCATGGAGAAATGGAGCAAATCAGCGCAGTGGCATGGTACTTTTATTACGAAGGCATTTTCGCCTTGAATTTGTCTGCCTACATGCAAGATCAGCTGATGACCATCGCTTCGCATGGGCGTAACCTGGACGCCCTGCCGAAAGAAGTTCAAGCCACCGCCAAGAGCATTTTGCACCACGAAGTACTGCATTTTATTATAACTGCCATGTTCTGCACCGTGTTATCCCTACCTTTATAATTATTTAGACTCCGGAATCTTGGCAAAATTTGTGGTGCGGCCCTGCAGAACCCGCAGCGTATAACCGCGCGGTGGAAAGGTTATCTCAAGGCGTTGCAGAAGGAATGGCAAAAGTTCGGCGAAACAATCTGTATGCCAGTCCGATTGATGTTCGCGAACTATTCAATCCTGAAAACCTTATTGCGTCACTGCGGCAACTTGCCAGCAGGTACTATATATTTTCAATCATTCCTTTCCTTGCATGCAGGTCGCTCTGTTTCTGCAAATGTTTCCCTCGTTTTCACGTCACAGTGCTTCATTTTTTAACGAGAAGCGAAAATTGGTATGAGTATGACTTATCCAGCTTTAACTCTACCATTTTGCAGAGAAACCGGTAGTCCCGCGGAAACATTAGTATTTTATAACGAGTGGTCACTCCGTGCGCTAAAATCCGTTTCTACACAACCGCGGTTAGCGGCTTGCATTTGGAAGGTGCGCTGTTCGATGGGAAGATATTGACTGAATGCCAATACAGCTCACCGGGAATCAATCTGGTGACACCTTGTCACGTGGCCTGGTTACCAGAAGTACGGATAACGGATAACTGAGCGAGGCAATCAAAGCAGCTCTATCTATTGTTTTTTAGAAAATTGTGCCAAAGCCGGATAAAAGCGAAGTCCGGCTACCGGTGTTCAACACGCCTGCCCGCGATAAATTAGCGTTTTACTTAATGGTTCCATGTGAAGGAAATCCGTCCAGATGGTTACGGGCCGGTGCTGCCTTTTTCCTTAATAATGTCTGATTTTGTAACCTATTGATATTTCTGCTGGCCTCGGGTGGTTCGAACTCCGAGGTGCAGTGTGATAAGATATCATTCTATGATTACTGATTTAAGTCCTAGTCCGCGACAGTATATTGTAACTCTTGCCTGACGATTTTCTTGATCTCATATATTTTATTTATTTTTTAAAGTTCACGTAAACCTTGTGCAAACAATGGTGCAATAACTTGCTTAGAATACAATAAATTAATAGTGTAAAAGACTCTGAAATTGTAAACCGTAAAACTCTGCATTCTTAGCATCAACGCCACTCTGAGCAAATGTCTTTAAAAAGTTTAAGGGGAAAAGCATATGCACTCCTCCTCAAAAAGTCAGTAAATAAATAACCGGTGCACAAACAGCCCCGAAACAGTGGGGTTGCATGAAAATCATAACGTCCACAATCCACTAAACTCTGCAAATCCAGTTTCAGTTTGTGATAATTTGATCGTGCTTCTGGATGTGCGGAGCCTGTTTATCGGTGATCGGTCTCAAAGCATTAGGAAGCGTCAATCCAGATGGCCCGATGAAAAGATAGTTGGACGTCATGGCGCCCTGTGTGAACTCCAGATTGAACTCCGCCACGGAAACGCCGCGTTCGGCCACATGAGGAGCAAACATGGCCGCCGGGTACACAACGGAAGAAGTGCCGACGACCAGGCACAGATCACAGGCATCCAGTTCGGAGTATACCGCATCTAACACAGCTGTGTCGAGCGGTTCACCAAACCACACTACATGCGGTCGGAGCAAGCCTTCGCATTCGCCGCAGCGCGGCAAATCTTTCTCCGGGATTTTATCCACAGGCTGGTCCGGATCAGGGAGACTAAAGAAAAAATTTATAAAAAAGCCTTTATATGACCATTTCTGTTGGATACAAAACGGTCACAAATCAGACAGCAATCAGAGGCAAGAAATGTCTAATCTTTAAACTAACAGCGGTCCAAAAAAAAGATGAAATACGCTACAAAATGTGATTACTCTAATACTCTTTGTTTCTTACGTAGGATTTACGAGGGCAGGTGTGATGGGGTACGGTAACATTTTCTTCCACGGTTCCACATTTTATACACTGTGTTTTGAAGAGGCTGCCATGGATTTCGATAACGTTCTTGGAGCCCGCTCTTTGATGCAGACCGTCAATATTCTGCGTTACAATGGTCAATTTACGTTTGTCGCTTTTGAGGATCTTTTCGGCCGCTGCTAGTGCAACATGTCCCTAAAATGCCAAACAAGAATTTTCTACTCGGATTTGGGTGCGCAAAATTTAATTCAAAATTTAATTTAATTGATAATGTGGCTCTGTTGATCATAAAATTCCATGTCCGAATCAGTCCCTCGAGAAAATTGCTGCGAAACTTCTCGCGTCTCTAACAACGCTCACCAAAATGGACCCATTCACTACTTTTGCATAGGTACGACACTCCGAAACTTATGAAAAGATTTCTGAGCTCTAATCCTATGCCGCCACGCAAATTTCACAGGAAACATACACGTAAAAGTGAAAACAACAACAAACTAAAAAAGTTAAAGCGAGTTAAACGAAAAAATTCCCAGTCATTTTAATTTCTGAAACTACGATACGATATCACCATTCACGGCACTTTACTTACGGGATTGGGCGCGGATTTGAGAACTGTCTCCCGTCTATAGGCATAAAACTGCCACACCAGCGAAGGGTTGTCAACGAAGGCCGGGTACGTGGCCAACTGCGTGACGTCGTATTTCCCCCAGAAACCACCCGCTCCCCGAAACGTCGAGATCCCGCTCTCCGCGCTGATACCCGCCCCCGTTAACACCACAACTCTCTTGGCACGCGCCAGTTCCTGCTGGAAGGCCTGCAGTTGGGCGTTCTGGTTGCTAATGTTGAGATCATCGTGCAGGGAGCTCATAAAGAGCCCCGCCATTGTCTGCGGAATCTGGAAGGTCTCCGGCGCAATGCGGGCCGGCAGGATGGGCTGGCCGCCGCGTCTGGAGGCCCGAAAACCCGACAACAGCGTCCTGAAGGAGCGAGGCGCGATCATGGGGATCGGAAGTGTTTGAACATCAATGGATACGGTTCAGGCGAGAGATAGGAGGAACTGGGAGCAGTATAATATCCGATCAGTCTCACCGCGCTTTTATAGATCCCTTTTGCAGTTCATATGCAACTTTATAAGTCACATGCAGGAGAGCAATCAGACACATGCATTAACCAACATCTCAGAGTGCAATTACACTTCCACACAGGAAAACGGGATGGTACTGCCTGCGAATATCGCGGGCAGTGGAATAAAGTATGGATTCAATCCGGAAATTCCGATCGCCAAATTTGGAGCGAACATGCAAAAGCAGCGAAACCGTAATTTAGTCGGTAAGCGCGGTCCGGGGGCGCTTGGATTAGTGACTGAAACCGGCACAGTAGCTATATTTTATTATAATATTTTTTGTGGCGGTTCTGTTTCCGTTGTTGTTTCTTTGTGTGCTCTCCCTTGTTTCATGAATCATGACAGTTCACCATTCGTATTGTGTTGGCATTTCTGCTGCTGCTTTTGGCATTCAGTTTGATTGGTTTTGACTTTGTTATTTGTAGTTTATAAGAATTTAGGTCTTTCCGATCTTTTCTTTCCTGTTTTTTTGTTTTGATTAATGACACAATGCAGCAAAAACCGGAATCAGCCGAAGATGTTGCTGGCGCGGCATCCGGGAAATTTGCATGGACCCTCGACGTTTACATGAAACGGAAAGATCTGGAAAATGCACACTGCAGTATGGAGCCGCCAGCTGAAGTGGGTTCCTTTTCGCTGACAGCCAGTAAAGATGATCCCTATGAACACCGGCGGGAATTTCACAACGATCGCAGCTGTATGTCGCAGCTGTACCGACGCGGACCATACAGCGTTGTTCAGGGTCTATCGATGCCGTTAGATAAAGGCTATAACACTTTCATCCGCCGGAAGGACGCTCGCGATCTTTCTCAGCGAGAACATGTTACTCACATGCTCAACTGGATTTCCCATCACCCGCAAGAGTTTCTGGCGTTCAGGTCAGCACATAATTAACTACAATATGCATTAATTTTGGCTTGCATTTGTTAATACTTGTCGCAGGCCGGAAATCGTTTGTTGGCGCGGGCATTTGGACAGTATCATGTCTTCGCCTTTTGAGGCTACTGAGCTTTCCCGTAAGCATGCGTTTCAAGCTTTTGTTACAAATTTTTGACACCCGCTGTGCAGCATTTACTTTGTTACGCATCTGCAGCGGGTTGGATTATCTGCGCCTGCAAAATGGATGGGGTGATTTATTTGACAAATTTCGATACGGTCAAGAAAACACAGCACAAGCAGCATCCCATCAAGAACCAGGAGCGCTTCGAATACTGGTAAGTTACTGTTTTTTGAATGCATTTTGTTCACTTTCGTTTGGAACTTATTGCACCAGTTGTGTCATCTGGAGGCCTACAAGAGACTGCATGGTAATCAGAAATTATCATTGTAATCTCTGTTTGTGTACCTCTTTATGTACTGTACGGCTTTCGCTGCATATATATATAATACAGTAGTACTGTAGTATCTGTTCATTCTGTTGTATTGTGTCATTCAGTTTGGAATGCTGCCGCATTTAGGGGTTATAAATTCGAGCAGTACATGACGCATAATCCAAAGGTCAGAGGCTCTTATGACGAGCCGGTTAACAACTTTAATGGCTTCATTGCGGTTCTGAAGCGGAAGATTGGCGGAACGCGGGTGCTTTTTGGCGCGGAAACGGACTGCATGGATCCGCTGCAGAAGGACACTCCTGCGCCTGGATGTTATGGGGAGCTGAAGACCACGCGGCTTCTGTACACTGATTACCATAAGTCGAAGTTTTAGTACGACGACGGAGGCAACTTGCTGCCAACAGTCATTTTAGTGAATGACTTTTTTGCTCAATTCTAGCAATCACAAGATGTGCAAAGTGTGGGCGCAATGTTCCATTGCCGGCATTCCGACCGTTATCGTTGGCTATCGAGATGATGCCGGCGTCTGCGTTTCGACGGAAGAGTTCCAAACTGGACGAATACCTACGATAGCGCAGGTTACTAGCGAAATCGTGTGCCCTTTTTGTTTTCTTCGAATTAGGACGGCGTTAGAAACTCCAGTACTTAATCGGTATTATGATGACAAGTCATTTGTATTTACAAAACGAATACTTTCAGCAAGTGAAATGTGTAATATGATGGCGTTATCGAAGAAATTTCGAACGAGCACATAGGTAATTTATAATAAAATAATTACGCCGTGTTGATGTAATAAGTCTGTACGCTGTGGGTTGCAGAAGTATGGTGCTCGCTGGTCCACTTTGGTGTGCAACAATTTTCTTGACACCTTTCTGAAACTGGTGAAAGAATACGTAAAAGAAGATTGCCAGAGGTAAGTCTGTATCATCATGTACCGTAGATACTGTAAGTGTACACAAAATGTCACAAATTGACTGCAGTAGTGTCTGATGGTTCGGAAATTACATCGTAGAGCTGTATATAAATTCGAATGGGATCCTCTAGACAAGTGGAAAATCACTGTTGAAAAATGGCATCCGCAGTCGAAATGGACATTTCTTCCCGATTGGTACGTGGAACAACGACCAAATGGTGGATAAATTTGTTGGTGGACCACCAAATGGTGGGATGGTGAATAAGGGTTATGGATATGCACTTGCACTTGCCAGTAGTGAATTTGGTTTCGGAGTGAAACTACGTACGTGCCACCATCTTGTTCTTTTTTTGGTTCTGTTAAGTATATAGAAGGCTATATTTGTTATCGCGTATCTTGCTATTGTCATAATATCTCCGAGTGTTGGCCCATTTTTCGCGCCTTTTTGCCTGATCTGTTTACGCATTATCCAGTTGCTTTTTCAGACCCATTTTTTGTTCATTGCATGAATAATACAATAGGCTATCAAATGAATCTCGGATGTGCTTGATTGATTGTATGGAATAGGAAAGTGGAAGCAATGAGTGCCGGTTAATTGTGAGCTACTCGTACTAGCTAGCCAGAATGTATTTTATTTACTCTCCAGCTAACCGCAACGACATTATGCAGTACTACGGCGCACTGGAATATCAGATCATCAGAGCTATTTGAACACAAATTAACCATATTGCCCTTGAAATTTAAAGCTATATTACCTACATGATGTGAGAAAGACAGTGCTATCTTATAAAAAACTGCAAGAATTTGTTTTTCAAGAATCACTGGACTGCTCCTCAGAAATGACTGTGCGTGCACTGTGGAAGAGTTTTGGCAGCGACAATTCCGATAATCGCCTTTTGGTATCACTCAAAGATAAGAATTTCATATCACCGGCTTCGGTGGCAGCGTGAACGTTGTCCACAAAAACTTCTGACCCGCTTGAGCTCTCCCGCTCGTTGTGCAGCTGAACCGGCACTTCCGATCCCAGTTCGGATAACAACCAGTAGCATGGCTGAGGACCTTTACCCTAAAACACTTTGCTTAATTCAGAACTTGACATCAGTTCCAATATAAATCATCTAATGTTTAATTTTGCAATGGCATCAATATCTGTAAATACGCTAAGTTTAAATTAGTTACGGATAGATTAGCTTGCTATATGCTCAGGTCTAGGTTAAATTCAGTGTGAACAAAATAATCATCTTTACCTTAATATCTATCACTCCTCTGAACTGAAATCTAAATTTCCCCCAGTTTCGTAAGAGGTGCTCCCGCCCTTCCGCGCTGATCTGAATTTTCATTGCTGGAAAATGAAAATAGATTTCGCTATGTGCCGGCGAAAACAAAATAAATAGTTTTTGCAAATCACCTTGCCCAAAAGAAGTCATACGGGAAGCGGTGTTTATTGTGTCACCAAATCTGAAAGAAGAATAGAAACAAAACCGGAATCAGTTAGACGTACGAATGGGTATTTTCATTACAGTTGCAACCAGCAGACACTACTGCTTTAAAAATAAATTAGTAAGCAGATACTTCTGTATATATACTTCTACTTCTGAGTCTTGACATGATTATAGACTTGTGGCATACAGATATGACTGGCTTCTGACATGAAATATACTTCTGTAGTAAAAACAAGAAATAAATGTTTATAAAAACACGTAAGTATCCACTGTCCCTTTTCGATGCATACATCATAAAAAAGGAATCCATTGATAATTTTTGGAGTAGCATCCACTTACAAACAATACCGAGGCATCCGTTGACCAATCACACCGGCCACACACGATCCCGTATGTATACCAATTTTCATTAATAGCTGAATTGTGTTTCCAGCCGGCAATTTGTCCTTCCCATCCAGCATGCCGGTGCATGTGGGCGGGAATGTTTCCGCTTCCTTCATCAGTTCCAGCGCCAGACTGGCAATTTCTCGCGAATGTTGCTGGCCGTTGCGCACCGGTACACCGCTGGCAATCTGCACATTCAATGCATAACGCATGAGGTGGCATTAAACATACAAAGCATAGCACAAGCATAGCATAGCACAAGCACAAAGTAAACAAGATGCTTCAATTAAACGTCTGCGACTGTGCTTCTGCCGACAGATCTAAGATCACCTCATTCTTAATTACACTTAATTCTAGTCATAGATTAAAAGAAAATTTGATTGTGAGCTATTAATTTGGGGGTATATAAATTCAAAATTATTTTTATTCGACTCCATTCCATTTGTTACAATCACTGCCCCTGAAAGGTTTTACCTGTGCTCAGGCAGGCATTTATGTCAACGGCACTTTTACGACAAACCGATTTACCGCATTGTGACTGGCTTTCCTCAATATGGATGGAAAGGCAAATTGTTTGGAAAATTGCGTGCGATGTATAACTTGTACCGTTATTTCAATCCGTGTACAAAATATAGATTCGCTTACCATGTATGAATCCGAAATAGTTTCTACTTTGTAAACATCGAAGCGCGGAAGTGTTGCGTCAAACATGGAATAAAGGTCATTCAGTATAGCCACAATCTGCAGTGGCGTGCTGGTGGCCACAATTAGTCCGAAATTTTCCAGTGCGGTGAATCCCACGGTCGCGGAATTGAATCCCTCGGGATCTATCCTTATTCCCTTTTTTAAAGCGCTCACGACGTGTCTGAAACATTTTCACATCGTTGTCTGTCGGCTTAAACGCCCACCGACAGTAATACGACAATTTAATCCATAATACCGACTCATTACGAATAATTATATTTCTATTTTAGAATAACATAACATAACATAACATAACATAACATAACATAACATAACATAACATAACATAACATAACATAACATAACATAACATAACATAACATAACATAACATAACATAACATAACATAACATAAAAATTGTATTCCAAATCAACCGGTAAAGGTGGGATATACTGGCAAATTAAGCAAACAATTAGAGGCCACTGGATCGCTATTGTTCACATGTACGTAAACTAAGCCGGCGTTTTTTCAAATTAACTGTGTTCTGAGAATCTTTTTATTATGTACATATATATACCATAGAAATTAGCAAAAGTTGTGGTCGTACTTAGGAAGCATTTGTAAAAGCAGTTCCTCGGCACGCTTTTTCTCTTCCGTAGCGCCTTGAGTAGCCGACTGGATTCTAATTTCCAGAGCGTCCGCGTGGGCATTAAGACGTTTCAGTAATTCCTCCACCAGATTATACTCCCGCTCAAATCCCGGTATGGATTTTAATTGATAGGAGATTTGCTGAATAGAGGGTCTGGCCGCGGGCTTCTCCTCCCAACAACGATCTATCAGTTCGGTAAATTTGGGAAGGACGTTGTACAGCGGGATTTTAGGTCGAAATGGAGTCCTTCCTTCGTGGCGTATCATTTCAATGATTTCTAAAAGTCAATAATGTAATATTAGATTATTCAAAAATTAACTGCGCTTTAAGTTATGTATGTGATAAACACACTGTGTGTAGTAACCGGGCATTTAAAAGTCATGCTATACATGTACATATAAACTTTTAAAAGTGCGATTGTCAATACTGTGCATGTACTTGCAAGCATGCTATTACAATACATGCCAACAGACCTTTGTCAAAAGACTTAACTGCGAAGGGATGTTTTTTTTGGGTTGGTTCTATGTAAAACTTTTTGTTTTCGATAGAACGAATTAAAAATTAACTCAGCTCACTACAATCTTCCAATTTATCTTTTTGTTTTTACTTTTTAGTTTACATGATGTTACTGATAGAGACAAAAAATGATTTGTCAAAAGATCACGCGACTTTACGGCTACGGCTAGCGTTTCCGTTAACTTTGGAATAAAGGTAAAACTTATCACAAAGACATCACGCTCCATTGGAAAATGCCAAAATAATCGATGTGACGGTGCACCATTCATAAGCTAGTCACGGCATATTGTTTACGCGCCAGACTGCTGCGGTGCGTCGGTAGCGGATGCACTTTTTGAGAAGCAAATATGTTGTTGGTATTACTCAGAAGATTTATGCAAATAAAATAATTTGATTTATCCTGCATTCAACACGTGCTCCGTCATACCTTCTGCGCTATAGTCGGCAATTTCGATTTCCGTTTGAAACGGTTCAATTTCACAAAGCAGTTCCGCCATTACGTGCCCATAAGAGTAAATGTCCGCTTCCCGGCTTCCTTGATAGATATTGACAGTGTTCCGCAATTGTTCAGGTGCAAACGTAATGAAAACATTATTAGCGGAACTGCGTTGATTGAAATCGGGCTGTGGACGCGGCAGGATGTCCAAGCGGAAGTATGCTACTTGCAGAACCAGACGGTTATCAAGGAGACAATTTTCACGGGATAAGGCACCGTGGTATTCTATTGATGATCCGTGCAAATATGAAAGAGCCTGTGAAATAAGTATTGCATTGTAAAGTCCATAGGAGCGGCGAAAACGCGCCAATAATTTGCAGCTTGTCTTTTTTAGAGTTATGACGATCACGCGGAAACATCTAGCCGACATAACTGGATAATGCGATAATGCACAATTATAGTTAATGTAATGTATTCTTGACAAAATTAATTTTCTGGTGACGCGGTTGTCTTATCGCACATCATTTCATCATCATCATCATCATCATTTTTATAATCACAAAATCGTAATTTATCATGTCAGGACATGGTTTAGAGTCTAAACGTAATTGGTTCCGGCTTTTATAAAAGGCTTGATTTTTGAGCATATCTGTACACCCTGTCCCATCCGCACTAGATTAGTATTGGTATCGGTTAAGAAATTCAGTATAATTTTCCTTACATTAGTTAGGTCAGAAATTATGGAATTCTTTATTATTGCATCAACTCTGATGGTCTGTTCGCGCATAATAGTAGCCACGCTTCCCCTGGATGCGATCTCACAAACCACACCCATCGCCGTATCCATAGGGCAAAAGCCGTAAAATTTTAGCAGATTGCTCGATGTGGCATTCTTCATCTGTTGGACACACGGAGTCAGCATTTTCTGCAAATACGGTAAGATAGAAGGTTGTATAATATGGAACATTCTGACCTTGAGTATCAACTTTTCATCCTGCACAGTGGGATTGAATTTAGCCAACAGGGCACTTTGTGCAACCATAACCGGCGTCCACGATACGTGACTACTGATCTGGGAGATACATGGGAACTGTGCACGGATGTCATTGTCGACAGGGGTTGTCGATCGCGGCGTTTATCCTATCAGCACAACATACTCGTACCAACATGTGACTGTTATCTGACACATTCATTCACACAAGATATGCTACATAATTCTTCATTTATTCTTCTACAGTAGATCTCATGTACCAGGCGATTTTTACCTCGCTTTTTTTAAAAATAGCCACATCACGGTGGGCATGCCCATTCATGTGCCCTTCTGGATTGTCGAAAATCAAATCATGGTACGATATATACCAGTGAGAGTCTTTATGGGTATCAGTGGTTTTCCTGGTGCGTCTGTAAATTGAAAATCCTGTAAAGGTCATTCATCACAACAATATTTTGAGAAGCAGCGTTGAAGGTGATATTAAATAGCAATAGGATTTATACAATCATAAGCCGAGACATACAATGCCCATCCTTGTGGTATCCAAAGGTTGCCGGTACTTACTTAGCCATTTACTTCGTACTTACCTAGCAAACCAGATTAATCCACTTCCGAGAACAATAGCCGCAATCGCAACGCCACAGTAAATGGCAGTTAATTCTTGCTTGGCTGAAATGAATTTTTCTTGCATTATATTGACTATAGCGCGTAAACTTATTTACTAACATCGCAAAGATATCTATCAAAAGTCAACAAAGTAAAACATGAATATAGTAAAACAACAGCTTACAAACGTGACAGTTGTCGCTAATGTGGTCAAATCCACATTCCGGTCTGTTAGGTGGCGGTGAATTACGGTAAACCCAGGTAATATTGTGGACAAGAGATGGCATTAGTTGATTTCGAATGGTATCATAAGAGAAAACTTCCTAAAAGTATAATACCAACTAGAAAAATCGATCGACGTGAAACTAATAGTGCAGATACACATCAGTTATTAAAATGACCAAGATCAATAATTATTTATGACCTTGAAATAAAAGACAGCGGATTGACTACAAAAATGCATATTAAACTCATCTTACATCAAAACCATATGTGATGTGATTCATGGCAATCACAACATAGACGTAGAGTTCCCGATCGCCGTGGTCCAGTATAAAATCACCAGTTACTGACGATACTTTTTGCCGTTGCAGTGCATGCTCCATAATTTCTCGCCCCTTTCCATCCCGGTCAGAAATTTGCTCCCAGTCGGTATCGGTTTCGTTTATAAACTGTATTATAAAGTACAATTACGATCAATTTCGGTTTTTCGGCATTTACATAGTTTTTCAACGACGAATTAGAGTGTGTACGGAAGATAGATGGTACCGGTATATGTAGAGAAAATCAGAAAACAGCAACTTTATAAGAACCAAATGTATGGAAATCGGGATGTTGCTAACTTAATTGTTTATTGGGCAAAATAAACAACAGATAGGCATCATAAAATTAATTACCTTTCCAGCTAATAAGACCGCTGTATGTTCCAAGGCAGTAAATGCACTGACCTAAATCGGATAAGCGCTCAACAGACTAAATATTAATCCTCAATATTTCACGTTTAATTAGCTTCAATTTTACTTACCCGCTCGTTCGACCCATAAAAAAATCGATAGTTTTGATAGGCACGATATTTTGTTTCAAGCTCGAAATTGATGAATTCTCCACCTTGCACCGTTTTCGGTGTTACAAAGTATAGTGACTTATAGGCTTCCTGAGCTTCCTGCAAATGAGTCAAGCGTTCATGTTTGCAGATTTTGTAATACTTTGTATGTAATAATAACTATTTCTAAAAAGCCTTCACCTTCCTTTTTTTTAGTTTTGATTGATAGCTCAAATTGGTAAAGATTCTTACGTCGTCATGACCATCATTCAATTGCCAACCCATATAACCATACATCGGGTGCTCCATGGGATAAGCTGTGATGTACACCTACACAAAAGGAGCGCTCACGAAAACGGCTTTCAGGAACTGCAAATGTCCAAATTCTGATTAAACTCAGGCTTTTACTGCGGCAAGGCTGCCCACAGCCAGCCACTTACAAAATTTCCGTTGGTCATCCCATTTTGATTAGCAGTAACCTAGGCATCACAATTCATAATAATTACACATCTATAATTCATGAAATAATTTATCGGTGAGGAGAGGTGGACAAGGGAGATTTTTTAAGACTCTAAATTTTTTAAGAGTTTTACAAATTTTTACAGGTTTTTTTATACATTTTTACAACTTTTTAAGAGTTTTACGAGTTTTTCTTTGAAGACTCTTAATTTTTTATCGGTGAAATTGATTGTGCAACAGTTAAATATTTTGCAGACGAAGAATTTTGTCCCGAAATTGCACTACTTTAATGAGCCGGTTGGTAGAAAAACAGAATAGATAATTTGCCGGTTAATGAACTATTATTTACTACATGCGTTGAAACCGTTCTATAAAATAATACTTGCCATTATATCTCGCGTTCGATTCCCATGAGCAAAGATAATTATAACTGGAAAAAATAAAACCACCCAGTGACCTAACGTCCATTTATTATAACTCCGTAATAAGCAATGCAATAACTTGTACGCACTCCTGCTTTTGGCTGCAGATTTCTTCAGATAATCCAGATAGTCCACAACCAGTGTGCGGCTGCTGTCGAAATGAAAATCTTCGACGTTCATATCCGGTTCGACTGCTACTATCTTCCGCACTCCTTCACAGGTCAAAATAAAAAAATCTCCCAAACTGGGATTATCATCACAGATTAGAGTCACAGCAGTCCAGTTGAACCGCCTAAGAAATTGCAGCATGACGACGCTGATAGTTCGTTGTTGATAAACCAGGAGCCGCAACATTGTAGGAAAACGTAATGGATCACTCAAATAATCACTCGACCCTCCACTGTAATTAAATGGCATCATGTTTTTCCGGCATGATAATAATTGACGAGTTAATATTCTAGTTTCTACTACCATTAATGAGATGTTAAAGAGAAATCATGTCATACTACTCTACAAGGTGCAATTTTAATTATATAGCACTGCGGCACGTTATAGTTAGGAATTAAAGTTGCCTTTAATATCGAACGATCGGTTCAAAACAAAGAGAGCATGTATCTAATTATTTCTTTGCATTATTTAAACTTGCTTTCATGGCACATGGCCAACGTGCCTTCCTGTGAAAGGGCAATTTGCGTAAGAAACGCTTGAATTCTTGTAATATTTGCTTTAGTAGTAAATTGCACTGCTCTAATACGGTCACGTTTCTTGCGCAACGTCATAACTGATACGTAGTTTGTTAGTCATGATGTTTGTAGGAAGAAACCGTGCAACTTGACGTTTATTGGCAGGTGTGCGTTAGCGACGGAAGTGGTACTGTACCATTATGATTACTCTCCTGTCTCTACCGGTTTGACTACCTACATTGCTTTGTAATCGGATATGAAGTTTAGAGGACTTTCGAACGGACCTGCTGAAATAAATTTTCTTTCCTCCAGGACTTAAGGGAATATGTGTAAATGGTTACCATGAACGGAACTGTCGCTGTATTTATTGTCAGAATTAATTTTCGGGTGATACGGAATGTAAATTCTACCGCTCTGCTAGATGATCTTGAACGACCTTCAATGCATTCTGCAATTTCCTGTAACAGCTTACCTCGAAATTAAGGGAAGGTTCAATTCTGAAATAAACAATTTATAATGATGAAATCATTAATATCTTTTGTAAAATAATCAGACGTAAATTAAGGGAATTGCACAATTCTTATGGTCTTCAGTTTTTAGTGCTAAAGGCATTAGTAAATCTCCAAAGCTATTTGTTGGATTAATTTGTTTATGTGTTGTCGAGCGCGTCGCAGCTGCGCAGACATACCTCGGGCAAGATCTCCGATCCAGCGGAGAGCAGTACTGCATGCTAAAAGACATGATACCAGTGAATTGGAGAAACATTTGAAGGATTTCGCGCTAGACATTGACGCAGACGCTATGCAAATCCCTGCCTGACACGTACCGGCACTTGACAATACGGTCACCCCCGCCGGCAACTTTTCAGCTTCCCGCTGGTGACTTTTATTGCGGATATATTGATACAAGTCATCCACCACAATATCCTCTAAATCATTGCATGTCCTTACGGATGGACTAATGAAATTGACCTTTTCAAAGTAAAATCTGGGGTATAAAACATTCAGTTGCTCAATGGCCATATCCGTAACTGGCCCGTAATAATCATAGCTGGAGGCAAGGGATGCATAAGGCATAAGGCAGACAAAGGTCACGTTAATCACAGAACCGCCGAGGGCGCCGCTGATAATCATACAGACCAAAACAAAGTTTCTAATAAATATTAAAAAATTTTCCGTTGTCATAATGTGCGATGATAGTAATGCCGATAATCAACATTCGCATACTGAAAAAAAGGTGATCGCAAATCGAGGATATGATTGGCATTACAGAGGATTAGCAATTAAAAGGAACCGGCTTCGGCATTAACCCACAAATAAATGGACAGTTGAATGGAAAAAAGAGTTGAAAAAGTCCCGTAAGCGATTACGGTTCCACATGCTTTCCGTGACCGGTGTAGTGAGAAGTGTTTACTCCTCTCCAGGTATATGTAGGCTTCAGGAGGTAAGATTACGTGCAGGTGAAATGTAGACTTCTCCACTAGAAACCGACAACCGAGCTACCTGTGCACTATACGTACTGCGCAATAAATTATTCGTCAATTAGCCGAACTCTGTTGCAGCATCGTTCCTAATCATTCTTAAGAGCTCTTGTTGGGAGATTTCGATTGCTGAGTGGTATTTGTGACAAGGAACACGCAACCTTGGCAAAGACGAAACAGGAGGCGCAAAACAATCCTTACTGTGATCCTACGTACTTGTACAACTGAACGCCCAAACTAATACTATCGATTGATTGCATCGACGAGCATCCATAATATACTTCTATACAATTGTACGTGTTACCTTGATGCCTTACCCGGACTGATCAAATCCTGTACATAGGCTCGTATAGCAGCATGGACGCAGTACAGCGCCACATTTTGCGGCATTGTAGGTTTTTAAGTGCTGAGAAAGCAAAAAAGGAAACCATTTTAAATTAAATAGAACAAAGTCCAGTATCCACAATTTCGAGAACCATACTCTGAGAAAAAATTTCAGCGCCGACAGATAGGTGGCATTACGTTTAGGGCCAAGTTTGAAAGAGAAAATTCAGACCAAAATTAATGAACAGAAGTACTATGAGCTGAGTGACGTATTATGTTGGATAACAACTGCTTTTGAAAACTGGCGATTGACCTTGCAGTTTGCATTCTGACCCTCACATATTTATTTGAATCTTGCTCTGATCGTTTAAATTAGGAAACCCTGACGTTCTGAACTAGCTGGCTCCATGACAGACATCAAATTTTGCTTTATAATAGCATTATATTTTTGCAAATCAAGAGTTGCTGTAGCACACAGATGACATCACGTTGATATCACCGCGTGAGACAACGGCTACTACTTGTGTGTGCCGAATCCCCGACGCCCCCCATAAATGGTCGTACTGTAGTATCAAGGAGATAACTATCAGGCGACACCTACCCAACTTCGTTGGCTGTGTTTCATTAATTAAAAATTATTAGAGACCTAATAATCTACAAATCAGATTACTGCCATGCACTGAGACTGGAGCTCACATACGCTACTTGCGCAAAATAGATTAGGGTAAACGTTCGATCATTGTATTGCTACTTTTCTGCATTATCTTATCTGAAATGATAAAAATTTGTGTGCGCGCAAGGTTACTGCGCCATTTCTGAAATCTTCAAACTGTAACATTCGTCAAAAATGACCTGTAAAATTGTGATTTAATTTTCCTCTTTTAATTCAAAACGTTAACACATTACGCTGGTATATGTCTGCAGACCGCACTACATTATAAAGTACGGTTGGTGAGGTGCTTTTGTAGTCAGCTTGAGTCTATAAGTGCTTCATATTCTGACACACAAGGGCACGTGTACCACGGCACGTGCACGTTGCTGTGGAATAAGTTTATTTTGTTATGGTTAGTCAAATTCAAAATGGGATCTGACGCGCCGTACTGCTTGGCCATCGATATTGGCAGTTCCAGCATCAAAGCGGCTGCGGTGTATGACGGCGGCAGTTTTCGAAACTTTGAAATCGGATTCAACAACAATCCCACCGAGTTTCCGACGTATTTAGCAGTCACTCATTCTGGCGCTGTCCTCATTGGCGAAGAGGCGAAAGACCATTCCACAATTGAACCTCATGAAACTTTGACCAATATTAAATACCTGTTCAACCGTAAACTGGAAAGGATGACCCTTCCGTTTCCGGTTGACAGGTGTGGCGGTCAAGTCAGTGTACGCGTGCAACATCACAACCAACGACTGAATGTGCCGGCGCACGCCATATACGGCGCCTTTCTGGCAGCGGCAAAAGAGCGCGTCGAAGCCATCCTGGATCAACAGTGCTTAACCGCGGTGGTGACTATTCCTTCCGATTTTTCAAACGAACAAAAAATAGCCGTGGAAGGTGCTTCACGGTTAGCGGGATTTACGCAGGTGGAAACCATGAACGAAGTCATTGCGGCCGCTAGTTATTTCTACCATATGCGCAACCTGCAGAACGAACAGTTTGTAATTGTCTGCAATTTCGGGGCATCCTCGTCGGAAATAGCTCTGGTTCAGATCTGTAATAACAACGATTTTGCTGTCCTGCGACGACAGACCTTGCTGGATATTACCGGCGACGCACTGGACGAAAAATTATTAATGCACTGCTTGCGATCCATGAACACTAGTGCCATACACTCAGATAGAAGCAGTGCAGAATCTTTAAAACAGAATTTGAGGTTACAATGCGAAGCAGCCAGAATTTCACTGAGCAACAAAAGGGAAGCATCCGTGGACGTTGGTAGTGTAATGGGCACGGAGAGCTCTTCCAACGTACCAGTGGATCGTGAATTCTTCGAGAGCATGTCGGATTTGTGGACGGCCTTGAGAAACACTTTAAGAGACATATTGCAGCTGGCGGTGTCGAAAACGAAACGACCTATCCATATCATCTTAACCGGTGGTGTCAGTCGGACGCCAAAGATTAGAAGTGTTATTGAGGAATGTTCTCAAGGCATGAACGTGCAGATAACAACTAACGTGAACCTGTGTAATAATGCGGTCGTGTACGGTGGCGCTCTGCGGGCAAAAGCGGCTTTCCCGGAAGAATTTTGTTATAGCGTAAATCGAGGACCGGAAGAACTCAATCTCCAAGATCGAATCTGGAGAACTCTCGAATCCGCACCTCTTGCACCGGAGTCCGGCTTCGGGGGTTTGGAACAGCTGAGTCCGACACCATCTCGTCGGTCTGGTGTTTCCAGTCGAAGCACATCGTCAAACAATACCAGTTCCAGTTCAATATCCAGGGCCTCCCAACAGCCTGATATTTTCCGGTTTATTGGAAACGAATTACTGACTACAGAACGAAAATATGTCCAAGATTTATATTTCATAGTTTCCGTAAGTTTTCGAAGAAGTCACGCTGCAATAGGGTTTATTGTCAGTACCATAATGAAAGCTAATAGTCATCTTTTAGGAATGCATGCCGTACTTTCAACAGAATGAGCTGCTTGCTCCCTCTGTTATTGGAAGGCGACACTTGATTTTTGCAAATTTGGAAGACATTTATCTTTTTCATCGCATATTCTTAACGGACATGGAATCCTGCGAACTTACTCCTTCCACCATTGGACATCTTTTTTGTCGATATGTAAGCCTTCGCCTAACGGATTATGTAAAGTTGGAATTTGTTTTACAACTTATACTAGTTTTAAGAATTCCAAGTATGGTATTCCTAGAGTTCTGTTTTAGCTTTCAAAAGTGCGTTCTAATTGCCATTTAACTGTATGCGTCTTATTTGTACTGCGGGCTCGGTAACGACATTCCGAAAATTTTAGCATTTTCCATACTAGTAGTACTAGTACTGCAGTCTGACAAAGTGATATTCCAGGAACAAGAATTTGAGAAGCATGCGCTATTCTGTCGAAAACAAGCAGAATCTACCCGGAAAGGATTGATTGCGGCGGCGAATCGGTTCTTCGAGGTACTTACACTGAAACGGAGGCAGACAGATTGTCCACATGTTGTATTTGTTATGACCTTTGGGAATGTATCGTAAATACGAATTTGCAGTCGCGTAAACAGAAAGCGATGTGGGTACAGTACTCATAAGTCATAGTTGTGTTGTCAATTCAGGAACTGTATGGTTAATTCAATCTAACCTGGTTAGCTAACCAAGTACGAAATCGGAATTATTTTTTAGTTTTTTTAAGTTGCATGTGAAATTTTCATACTTTTTACAGGACCAGAAATTCGTTTTCTCACGAGAGGATGGCGGGTTAGGCACATGTTTAACAAAACCTTTTCAACGGTTGGTGAAGTATAAAGAGTTTCTCAAAAGGCTGATTACAAAATGTCTTGAAGCTGGGCTCAATGAGGATCTTCCTGTATTACAAGTACGTAGGCGATACTAAAAACCATTTCAGCCTGTGTATCCAAGACTGTACTGATAATTGAAATGGTGAATAAAGAATAACAAACCATGTTATTGAATTTTGTATTGAGTAGGCGGCTTTGGAGAAAATGGAATTCTTTTTGCACCATGGAGACGATCTCGCTCATCAAGATTTAATTGTGGATCATGCCGGTGTTGCCCTTAATCAGCAAGGAAGGCTCTTGCGCCAAAATGAAATGTTAGTAGTGGTCGGTCGCCGAAGCCGGCTTATGCAGCGGCCGCGGCGCCGAGTAGTGTTTCTTTTCGAAAACATGATCATCCTTACAAAATGGAAAGCCGGCAATGAGGACAGGTGTTTGAAATACAAAAGACATATCAGAGTAAGTCAAGCTGGCTTCCGCTGATAAAAGCCAAACAATGCTTGTGAACGTCTAACGCAGTTGGGGTACAGGCTGCACAGCATAATTAGTTCGTTCGCTAAGTCTGGCTTTTAATTGGCAAAATAATTTTACATACCGTTTTTCACTTTTCAGACTGATGAGATCGGTTTAGTGGAGGATCCGAACGCATCGAACGCATCGGTCTTTCAAGTTTTCATTCGAACCACTCGAGATGAAAACATTTTCGAGTGCGAAGCGAAAGACGAAGAAACAAAACGCTCATGGGTGAAGGATATTAGAAGGATCTTAGAAATACAAGCCACCCACCATGCGCCACAGAGACTCCAAAGAAGGCCAGTTCCCAAGTTAATAGGTTGGCTCCCCAAATTTTCATAATTTACGAACTTTTCAAGCATCGGAGCGCGTCATACTGTATACTACTGCTTAGGAATTCAAATTACTTGCATTCTGAAAGTACGGCTTCCAGTGACCTTTAAGACAGATCTGTCAGAACAAACTAACAGTAAAGTATATAACTGCGCTGTAATTTAAAGGTTGCTGGATTACCCATATTCTGAATAGGCTAAACGTAACACAATGTTTTCTTCGTAGACCGCGCCAATACAATTCATGTGACGAATTTTCCACGTGAGGATTATAACAATGGGAGTGATGACCACCTGACCCTATACTATACCAACCGGCACGCCATGGGCCTAATAATCGTGGTTCACTTACTCTACCAGGTAAAAATTTTTGTAAAATTGTGTAGATGTCGCTGCTGAGACTTTGGTATTAATTCGTGTTTTCCTGATTTTCAGATGATGTGCGTACTGAACTGCAACAACGATTGCAACACCAAGGTCAAGATCGTAACGCACGAAATCGCTATTTCGAAGTTTAGCAGCACATATCTTTTGCGCACAGTAGGTGTCCTCTGTACGCGCCTATACAATGACTTCTGTTTTTTGTACTCGTTGATCTAGGACTGCATTGTATAACTACCGTAATTTGATATTGAAACTAGCAGCGTTGATGTGATATTAATTTTTGCTTTTAATGAACCGAAGTTTCGATGTTTTGTCACAGTAAGTGAGGTAAAACATTTGCTATGTCTTATAGTTAATCAGAGTTGTTCTGTGAACAATTGTATTCTGTGCTATCTGAAATTTTTGATAGCAAAACAAAAATAAAAAGCGACTGAGAAAAAAACGATTAAGGATTGGAAAAAGGATTGCAACCATGCTTTGCACTGCGAAATTCTGTCATCTTGTATGCTCCATAATGCCTCCATTTAAACTGAATTCTATTTATTTAGGAAATAGCTATTCTCACCACCCTGGCACCTCCTTTTGGCTGTTCTCATGACCTTTCACCACCTTTTGGCTGTTCGCACCCCTTTTTAAAAATGTTTTTACACCACCTTTTGACTAATGCCACCGCGTTTGCACAACTCTTTTGGCTATCCTCAGATTTTTATTACATTTTTTACACAGTGAGTTTTTTACACATAAAACACTTCGTGACAGATTATCAGAGCTTGCCATTAGCGGGGCATTTTCTTTACGGTTGGGGCCACCGCCGACCGGAAACTTTTATGTAAATCTGCTAGTGCTTATCAATACCGGCAAATATTAGCGGGTTTACTTATACCGGTTTCCAAAGGTCGTGAACGTATAATATGTTATACAAAATTAATATATAATTTTACTCTCACTTCTAAAAAAGAAAGATTTCCGTAGCAACTTAAGGTAAGTATCTTAAAGCATAATAATAAATATATAAGGAGGCGGGAACAGTCGAAAGGAGGTGGGAAAAGTTTGTAAGAATAGCCAAAAGGTGGTGCGAAGTGGTGGGAATAGCCACACCCATTTATTTAAGTCGCGACGTATGCCGTGAATGGGACAGTTGTAACCACTTGAAAAATAAATACAGAGATATACGTGTGTGCCTGTATATATAGAATGTTCTTGTAGTTTGGTTTTTCAAGGAAACGTAAAATATTGGATGATTGTTGAAGTTAATACTGACAACATTATTAAAGGCATGATTTGATATTAATAATGCTACCGTACGTTGACTCAACTAGCCGCCATTAATTGCGCCAGTTTCTCCACTCAGCGCAATTCAGAATTATTATTAACTGGAAAATTTTAACCGCTTTAAACCTTTTGCGGGAATGTTGTATTCTGAAACTAATCAAAGAAAAGGCTAAAAGGCAAAGTTCCGGTATTTTCGCTAAATTCTGTAAGATAAGTAGATGAGCTGTCGGCGAAAGCCTTGATAGGTTATCAATTGTTTCACAGTTAACACGTAGATACTGCGTCGTGTGCGACGCATTAAATGTTCGAAGAAGCTTGTACATAAAATTCAAGGCTCAGTTTTTATCCAACGAACCTAAGTTACGTGATATTTTTATGTATTTCTGCATCGGGTTGTGCTGAAAGTAGTTGTGTAAATTTAGTAAGGATGGCCGAGGAGTTCGCTGTTGGTATTGATCTTGGCACTTCCAACAGCTGCGTCGTTGTGTATCGCTTTGATCGTCTGGAAACGATTGCCGAGCCCAGTAGTGGACTACAAATTATCCCTAGCTGCATTGGATTTGACCAGACAAGTGGATGTTTTACCGAACTATTATACGGATTTGGGCAAAAACGCATCAAACTATTGAGCCGAAAAATTGTATATACAATGTAAAACGCATAATCGGCAAACAGTTCACCGATAGCGATGTGAGGATAGAACAAGGTCTGATGTCGTATGATATCGTCAACGAAGATGGTTATCCTCGCATTCGTGTTCAAGAACACGGACAACCCGTAGATTATTCCCCAGAGGAAATCAGCTCAATTTTGCTGACGTACTTGAAACGCACTACCGAAGAGTTTTTGGGAAGCAAAGTCAAAAGCGCTGTCATCACTGTACCAGCTAACTTCAATGATGCTCAACGGAAAGCAACTAAATTAGCGGCCGAAATGGCTGGTCTACAGGTGTTGCAGATCTTGAATGAGCCGACGGCAGCCGCTATGGCATACGGAGCGGATTTACAAGGTAAACAAAATTTATTAGTCTTCGATTTCGGTGGCGGAACTCTGGATGTGTCCATATTGGAAGTTGAGAATGCAAACCGTTTCCGAGTTCGAGCCACAGCCGGCAATATGCGGCTAGGCGGAGAGGACATCGATCAGCGGATAGTGCAGCACATGCTGAAAGTTATCAAGAGCCAGTACGGAATCGATGCAAGTCGAGATGAAAAACTGAAAATCAGGCTGAAACACGAGTGCGAGGCCGTTAAGAGGCAGCTCAGCTCCGTAGCTTCCAAAAGAATTGCAATTGCAAATTTATTTGGCACCAAAAGTTTTATTGCTAATTTTACTCGCCAAGAGCTGGAAGATATCTGCAGTGACTTATTTGAAAAAACGCTTGAACCCGTTCGGGAAGCTCTCAAAATGGCAAAAATGACACAAAAAGACATAGCTCATGTGATTTTAATCGGCGGTAGCAGCTATATTCCAAAGGTCCGAGAACTGTTGACAGCTTACTTTCCCGACGTGCCGCTACGAAAGAGCATCGACCCCAGTCAAGCAGTGGCAAAAGGTGCCGCGTTGTTGGCCAGCTCGATAAGTCTAGGTGGAACCAACCTGGATTTGAAACTAGAAGATGTGACCCCGTTAACGCTCGGGGTCAATGTTTTCGGCGGTTTTATGAGCGCACTGATACCTAAAGGGACCCGATTGCCGGCCGAAAACGAACAGAATTACACAACTTTTAAAAATGATCAAGAATACATTGATATTGACGTCTATGAAGGAGAAGATTCTCGGGCCAAGTCAAACCATTATCTAGGGAATTTCAAGTTTTCCGGTATACGACCCGCACCGAAAGGGGAACCGTGTATCACAATTCATTTCAAGGTAGATACCAGTGGGATATTGATGGTCACCGCTTCGGAGGGCGCGAACAAGATGTCGATGACCTTTAGGGAACACACTCAAGGAGGAGCAGGTTCTAATCCACCCGACGATCGCAACACTCAGCAAGCTAAAAAAAGACTGCAAGACGCGCTGGATAGAGCCAAGCGGGATGTTGCACGTGATGAGCAGCGGTTGATCCGCGTAGAATGTTTAGTCATGTGGTTCGAAGCGACGAAAAATATCGGCTTCCCTCTGATGCACTACGAGAGATGGGGACGCATTTTACAGGCTATTCTTTCATGACCTAGCTAGTAATTATTTTGCAATCAAAATGTTAATATTGAACCCCTATTCGTAGTTTTTTCCGCCGCAAAGTTAAAATTTCGCTCATTTTGCACCTTTTTTTGTAATACTTACTGAAATAAGTGCCGTAGTTCATAGAAATACCAAAGTACAGTTGATTTCAAAGATTAATAAATAGTTCGATATTGTAACGTGTAATAAAAATCAAAGTGTTCTTCGGCGCGAGCAGTGTGTTCATATTTTGTCGCGATCGCAAATAATAGAGTTAAACGCTTCATCAGTCGAAAGGTATAATATTTGCGTGGGTATGATATGATAATATGCTATCTCATTGATAAAGGGCACAAAAAGCATGTACGACAAGTGACAAGTGCTTGTGCTGTCTCGCGCGCAACCGCTTCCCCAAAACTGTGCACGGCGTATTTCCAGTCAATTACCCGCCGAGTAACCTATTAAGGTACCCCCTCAAGAACTGTTTAATTTGAAAATGTCAGGTGAAAATAGTGATAATGCTTCTTTTTCTGGCGAAAGGCGATCAAGTCACGTTAAACTTTCGAAAACAGCTGCCATCGGCATTGACTTGGGCAGTTTGAATGTTACAGTCGCCATTATCGATCAAGCCGGAGGACCCACCATTATCGACACCAGACAAGGTGGCACGAAGCTTCCTGCTTTCGTAGCTCATCTGAACACAGAAGTTTTTATTGGGGAAGATGCGCAAGCCAGCGTGCTGACAGAACCCGACCATGTGCTTTTTTGCATGAAACGCTTCCTGGGAATCAGTTCCAGTGAGTCTAATGAGCTAATCCAACGTTATCGGTTTCCATTTGCAATTACAGCCGAAGAAAATTATGTTTGTTTTTTCGGAGCACACAAGATAGATGCCCGCAAAGCTTTGCGCATTTTATTGAAAGAAACGGCCGCTACCATACGAGAAAAACTTCAAGTCGAGGGACCGATCCTATTTCCGGTTTGGATCACCATTCCAGATGCATTGCACACTGAAAACGAGCCAGCGAACACGGATGTTTGGAGCCTGGCAGAAAATACTCGGATACTATTTTCTCGACTCATTCCCGAAACACGAGCAGCGTGTCGGGGAAGTCTGTCGCATATTAAAGGGGACACAGTGCTTGTTATCCATATTGGAGCAGCATTTTCCGGGGCGGCGTTGTACAAGATAGTTGGCAAAGACGTGCAAAAGATGCCTCTGAAAACTCTAGAGCAAATCGTTTGCGGAAACGATTTTGATAGGAGAATTGTACGAGAATTCGCTACCATTATGGGAAAGGAAGTAGAGACCATGGATAAGCAGACGTATGAAATTCTTCGCAAACACGCCCAGGAAGCCAAAGTGAAACTGAGTGCAAACAAAACCGCTTCTGTTTACATTAACGACCTGGCTGATCAACAACCTGCTCACCGGTTTACTTTCACACGAAGCACGTTTGAATTAATCTGCAGTGACCTCTTCGATCACTTTAGAGAAGGCCTACGACTGATTCACAACAATTTGCAAGACTTTTCCGACATAGCTCTGGTTGGCAGCAGTGCGCGGATCCCAAAATTCAAGATATCGTTGTAGATATATTGGGAAAACGACCTAACGCTGCTGTTCTGGGCTACGCGGATATCGTTGCCGCCGAAGGAGCTGCCCTTTACGCCCACGAGTATGATTTGGAACAACCTTACCCTTCATATCGGCCTGTAGACGCTCGAACGGATACGGAACCGGTTCAAAAATTAGAACAAAATAAGAGCCTGGAAGACAAAGGAAAGATTCAAGAAAGCGACAATCCTGTCGCCAGAAACGAATCCATTTCTGCTGAAGAAACTGAATATGACGATACAGAAAGTAAAAACCAAAATGATTGCTCTTACGAAAACCGTATTTCTTCACCAGCTGCTGACCAAATCATCCAGAAAATCACTATGGATATGCATCATGATTTGGGCGATTCTACGACAGGAACAACAGTAGACCTAAACACATACGGAAACGCCACGGGAGCCGAAACGATTTGCCTGAGCGATTCCGAAAAGAAAATTCACGACTCAGATGGTCCATCATGTGTAACTGCTAAAGAAGTTGCTGTCACACAAGGCGTTCACTCCGAAAACACTCTAGAAGCGAATGTACCAGAATTGTGTGAAGAAGATCAGGACGATGCCGCTGACACCAATGCGACTTTCTCGAGTGCAATCGAAATAACTGCGCTATAATACTCGTATATCTGGTCTATTGGAGCATTTAAAATTAATAATTTGAAGAAATTTGCAACCTGCATAAACCTTACGCGTAAGCGAGTTCTAGTTACGAGATACCGGTATATCGCCTCCTGGCTGTACAGGCATGCGAGCTGCAAATTTTGCAATGTTGCAGTATGTACTTAGTTCTATTCGCTTACACTATTAGCGTCGGTTAAAGAGAAAGTGTAACAAGAATTGCGAAAAAGATGATAAATCTAATAGAAACATCAGAAGTTTAATTATCACGCAGTGTAACAGCGACCGAATTTTTGTTAGATCTGGTAGCCGGCCATTGCGTATGATTACACACAAATCATTTAGTGTACTGTATATCTATATGTTTAATAATAATCGAGTTCAGCCGTTTAACAATGCCAGAAATTCCCAGAATGTTAGAAAGAGCAAACTACTCTTCGTTTTGTAAAACCCTTTACATGACAAATGCACAGGTAACGGTGATTATCCATGATCCCGCTCTTCCGTTTTCGTGCTGCAGTTATCGGGCCAAAGGTTAAGTGCGTCTCTGCATGAATAACTGCAGCAGTATAACTCCCTTGAAATTGCGAATGCTTGGCGTTTGTGTTTGTAATCTCACCGTTTGTTTACGATTCATTGAGCAAACTGCAAAGCCCAGTGCCGTATTTTACTGGAGAGTCATTTCATTTTCCAAATATTTGCAGTCAGTATGGGGCTTTTGCAAATCTTCAACCGTAAACTCATAAGGTGAATGCTTATGCCTGCCACAATAGCAGGTGTTATCAGTTAGATAAGGAAACATTGCTGGATAGTGAGCCATGTACGGTATATGAACATAACTCCACTACAACCTGAACGCGAAACACATTCAGCCAGTCAAAAATTCACATATTGCTTAGTGCCCTAGCACACGTTTCGATATAATATTTTCGAAAAAAAGTTTTTCTTATTTCCGAAAAATTGTTTGTTGTCACTACTGAATGTTTGATGAAAAGTTGGAAAATCGTCAAATTAAAGGTAAAATAATTAAATCATTCTTAGTGAGAATTCGGTTATATGTGCTACTTTAAATGAATGGTTCTCTGTTTTCTTGTGTACAGTAAAATGAGTACAAGGAAGAGTCCAGCCATCGGTATACACCTAGGAACCAAATGTATCCGTTGCGCAGTATACATAAAAGGGCAGTACATCATTCTTCATAATCCGTGGGGAAGTGATAGCGTTCCTTTTTATTACGCTTTGAATAATGATGAGCAGAATGATTATTTACTGGGCGAAGATGCGCAGAATTTCTCTTTTATTGCACCGGATTGTTGTGTTTTTGATCTGGGCAAATTTGTCAACGAATTATCCGCAGAGAAGTTTGTCCAGCAACAAAGAAAGTATATGTTGCCATTTGACGTTGATCGTGACAAAAACGGGGACATTGGCGTTAAATTGAACCGACCAAATCACGACTTTCCAGAGTTTTGGCCCATGCACCGAATTTTAAAGAGGATTTTCGCCATGGTCAAAGATTTCGCTCGATACAACACGGATGTCATTACACAGGAAATAACCGATGTAGTTTTTTCCGTTCCACCAAATTGGTCATATCTACAAGACGAGTTTATAAAACATGTCGCGCAGCTAGCCGGATTAAACGCTTCCACAGTCAGCAGAAATCTGGCATGTTTTATTGGCTGGAGTACAGAACGCAGAGTGGTTCATGGAAATTACTTAACACTGAATATTGGCGCAGCGCAGACGCAGATTTCAGTTTTTCGAATCGCTCATCAACGAATCCACAAATTATATGAAAGCGTACCGATAGAAATCGGTGGGGAGGATTTTGATTGCCAGATGGTGCGCCATTGCTGTTTTCGCTTTGCCCAGGAATATGGAATCGATCTACTCCGAGGTCACCAGAATCTGTCAGCCATTGAAAGACTACGCTTCCACTGCGAAAAAGCCAAACGAGAACTGACCGCGGCGAAAACAACAGTTATCCACATCCCCAACATTGTTAACAGCATAGACTTCGCGTGGAAAGTGACAAGGGAAGATTTGGAGAGTATCTGCAGCGAAGAAATCGCCAAAGTCGCCAGTTATGTTGACAACGAAGTAAACAAGATTGACCTGCGCGACATTTACGAGGTGGTGCCGTTTGGAGGAACAACACGGATGCCTTGTATTCAGCAACAGATACGGGAAATTTTTCGTTCTTCCGTAATTAATCAAGCCGTTCGGTCGTACGCGGACGCAGCTTCATTGTACGGGGCGGCCAATGTTGCCGCTGCACCGGAGTTTTATGCGTACTTAAACGATCGCGACAATGAGAAGCTGTTTCATAGGCGGACAACGTACGTCAGTGATGTGTACGAACCGGAAGTGGTCACTGACCAGAAGTCCAAAATTCCAATCGTCGTCACTCGCGTTCAGAACGAGTTGATCAGGGAAGTCGAACCGGGTAATCGACTGCGGCCCAACTGGGCAGCGACGGTGCAAGTCGATAATGGAATCGGAGATTTCAACGATAAAACAATAAAATCAGTGTCCGATGATAAACCACTTCCGCCTATTAGAACCGTTGACGTGGAAAATGTCCCGCCGGCGCCGGTAGTGAATGAGCGACCACGATCGCTTCACAATGAGGAAGCTCAAAAAGTGACCCAACCGCCCGCTGCCGAACGTCAGTCCTCCTCGGTCGAAAATAAATTGCCACCAAGAGAGCAACTGACAGAAAGGTTTTCTGCGGAAGCCGACATCGCATACATCGAGGGCGACACGGAAGACAACTTCCGGGCGATGGTAAAAGTCTTCGAACGGAATCGTGAAGCTTACAAAAAAGAGCGATATCTCGCTTTCTTGGATTTAAAAAGTCGGCATGAGTTTTTTGCGACAAGGATCGAAGCGGGACTAATCGAAGGCATACTTGTTAAAAGGACGTTTAACGTTTTTCACGATAAGCACGCTCTCTCCCGAGTGCAGTTCAACACCGGGTACGAAGCGAAGGAATTTAATTTCTGGACACAACATTACAAAGATATCGAACATACGGAAGATGAACCAATGGAGGCTGACCAGCGCAATGGATATCCTGATGGTAGAAACAAGCAGCGTCGAGCGGCAAATGACAATGACCTGGGTGGCAGGTCAGAAAATGGCAATGGCAAACCGAGGACGGTGAAGAAGACAAAACCAAAGAGTTTTCTCGATACAATCCTAGCATGTGGAAGAGGAAACGGGGACGACGATTAAACGAACCCGAAACAAGCAATCTTTAACATACTTCTCTTTATATACAACAGTTGATTGGTATCCGTTCAGAATTTGTTAAGGAAAATAAAGTATCGTATGCTGAACAAAGCATGAATTTCAGTGTCGGGATTTTTCTACATTTCATACTTTAGATAAACAGAATACTTATTAATACAAACTTATTATTATAGTTTGACCATTGGTGTAGCTTGTAAGCGTTCCAGATATTGTTTTTGTCTGACAATCAATGTGTTTGTAGGCCATTTTGTAGCGTATTCTGTACATAACTTGCAAAACTGTTTTAACAAAGTTTTTATTAAATTAGCAGATTATTTGAAGTGGAGTATCATGTGCATGACTTTCTGCACACTAGTACTGCCCCCGTACGATATCATTATGTTTATTAATTAAAAATCTGGAAACTCAGCTCCCCTGTACACAGTTTTAGCTAAAATTGTACATCGATCTGACTTATATAGATGTATATAAATAGGGAGAGTATTTTATTCAACTGCCTTAGGGAGTGTACTAAGTGAAGTGTCATTTTTAAATGTTGTTTTGTTGCTCACAAAATACGGAAATACAAAACCTTTCAGTTCTCTCATCAGTTTCTCGAAACTCCCCCCAAGAGAAGTAAGTACTCCGCACCCGTATGTAAACATCAGGCTTCCTTGTTCTGCAGGTTCGACTTAATCTTTCTTGAGCAAAATCGACGGCGATTATTACCTTTGCAGCCGTACATACTTCTATTCCATGCATTTTTACCTACTGAATTACGAACTTCTACTAACCATGGTAAGAGGAAATTCTGTGAGTACTATGTAGTATTGTGTAGTTCTGTGAACTTAAATAAGCTGTAACAGAAGAGCTACTATAGGCTTGTTTGCGAACCTAATACCATGTGTATGTGTTTTTATCAGTATGATATCAAACGTAGCTTCGAGTACCTTCGTACTCGCAGATTGTTGCCAAATCAAGATAATTATAATTATAAGTTAACTGTCGACATCCCATCTTAATCTGTCCATTCTGTGTTCTGTGCTCGTACGTACAGTACGTATGTATTCAGTTTATGAAATCTTCGTACCGGCCGTTTTCTTACCGTGATAATTTCAGTTAATGCTAAGAGTGCTTTGGCAAATCGTTTATCTAATAATATTACGGGAATTGCAAATCTGCTGCTCGTAATTATTAACAGCGGCACAGAATTGCTTCATATTATATATTTACGGAAGTGTAGAAGATAGTGTACAGTAGAAGTAGTATATAGATATAGTGATGTGACTCGTCTCGTACCGTACAATTTTATTAACCGAAAACATTGTTGCAATTTATCCCGACATTAATATTATGGAATCATTCAAAGTGACAGCCGAAGATATCCTCACGTTTGAGCAAGACGGCGCAGTTTGTTTGCGAAATGTTTTCAGTCCCGAGTGGGTGCGCAAAGTGGAAAGCGGTATTGCTAAGAACCTGAAGCATCCCAGTGGTTATTCCGAATTTCTAAAGGATTCCTCCACCAGTCCTATTGTAATTTACAACGAAGGAATATATTTTAACGATTACTTCAACTGGAAAAACATTCCCGAATTTCAAGATTATGTATATCATTCCCCGGCTGCCGACGTGGTACAACAGCTGTTGAAAACCGCAACAGTAACATTCTATCACGAACATGTTTTAATAAAGGAGCAAGGTGCAGCAAAAGAAACACCGTGGCACCATGATCAGAGCTATTATCCCTTCGACGGCGAGCAGGTAAGTGCTGTACTGTATTTGTAACATAATCATAATTTTATACGCGTAGTAACACTTTGTACAGATACACATTATTACTAAAGGCGTGCTCAATCTGGATGCCGGTTGATCCAGTCGCCTTACCGACCACATTGCAATTTATTCGCGGATCGCATAAATGGGGATGGTTTTATCCACGAAAGTTTGCTACAACCTTAAATTACTCTCTAACGTCAACAGTCCTGGACCATGAATATCGGGATGTGCCAGACATAGCCAACATCCCAGAAAGCGAGATCCTACAGTGGACACTGCAGCCTGGAGACTGCATCGTTTTCCACATGAAGACCCTGCACGGGGCAAAAGGCAATATGACTGCGAATAATCGCCGTATATTGTCCACTCGCTGGTTTGGAGATGATGTGCGGATGGCGCAACGGCCGTGGGTGCCATCGCCACCCGTAACCGGCAAGCTTAAAGTGGGCGATCCACCTAACACTGATCCAGATCTATTCCCGGTTGTCAAGCCTATCTAAAAACCCAGGAGTTCGGGAGACTAATTAACGAATTTAGCTTGTTGCTCTTACTATATTATATTTGTTCCATTTGCACCAAATCTTGTTATGTATAGGCACGAAAGCAATCATGTGCCGTACCAGACGCTGTCAAACTCTAATGGTAAATTTCTTTTGCTCGCAGCGCAGTACGTTTCAAACAAAATAATGATAAATTATTAACCAATCGAAATTGTCGGATTGCATTTTTTAACAATGGCAATTGCAGAGCTACATGGAGACACGGATTGTACATGAAACCTAAAGTAATTAGCGGATGGAAACTCCAGCTGTTAATTGTGCGCTTTGAAATCGTAGATGCATACGTAGCAAGTTATGTACAAAAATAATAGTCTGGTATAATTACCAAACGATAACAATAGTAATAATATGCAATGAGGTAATAGGTAAGGTAATAATGCCGCCACCGTAATCGTATGGACACCGTGCTGCACTCATTTTCAAACAATGCGTAAAAATACAAAAATTCCAGCGACAAGCTCCAGCACTCGATCCCGTTACTGTCACACTCGCTTACCTGCCGGCCCAGTACGTGCGACCAGGCAAACGGAGCTATATAAGTGCCCCAGTGCCGGTTCGTTACCGTGCGCCGCATATGCCATCTTCACGGGGGAGTAATTCGTTAATTCGGCGATCCAGTGCACAACTTGGAGACTTCTTTTCCGCCCATTGTTTTTCTCTTTCATCAAACATTTCCAGAACGCCCGGTTCCGCATCCTCTAGCTTATCCCCATCATCTTTGTCGTATCCGATAAAAATAGCATCATTGTTTTTCCATAGGAGATCGTCCACGATCTGTACCGCTCCCTCAGGGTTAATGTTTATGAAACCACTGGTAAGAAGCGTTCCTCGGCACCCATCCACGTCAAAGCGCGTTCGCACCTTAGGTCGGATAGGTAGCGTTAATTCCGTGCAGACGCGTTTGACGATGGCGTCGCTGCCTTTAAGAGTTTCTATCAGTGCATTGAGATCGATTTGGGCGTTGATCGGGTACTGGTACTGCAGTCCGAAGCCAATGAGGACACCCTCCGGTACGAACGTCGGGTCACTCAACAGGTTCTGCAAGCCTTGCTTGAAGACGCGCTTGGCCTCAGTGAAAAGGGCTGAGCTGGAGTGAGAATTTTGGGATGTCGTCATCACGCAGGAAGAGATCGTAAGTCAGTGCGACACGGTGACCGGAGTGCACGCGCGTAACCTCCTGCCGGACGTCGCTACAGACCGCAACGTAAGCGAAGCGCGGCTCCGCTGGCTTGGACAAGTCGGAAAGATCTTTGCTTACGTCGAAGGTCCATGCTTGGCTGCCGCGACTAAGGATCATCTGGCCACCGACATGCGGCGTCGGAAAGATGAGACCAACGATCCAAAAGGCTTTCCCTTTGCGGCCGTTGGCGCAAAATTCGGTTTCGAGGCGTTACTTTTACCTGTTCAGTGAAGAGGAATGTTAGATTTGTTGAGTGTAAGATAAAAGATTCATATTGTATCAACTATAGTTGCCAGCCGTCGGAAGGACCAGTGACTATTTAGGAGCAGAGGCTTTTTAGCATAATAAAATTAACAAACCTCCCAGTTTACTAAGCCGACACAATAGCGAAGCTAGCGACATGCAGTGAACTGTCAGCCCCGTCAATTCTGACGCAATGGACTTTTTGGTCTGGGTGGGATCCAGTAAATCATCGCGAATACTTTGCAGCAGACCACTTAGCTCCACGTTGAATTTGCTCGCCACACGCTCGCTCTCCAGGTAACCTACGCTGTGCTCAGAAGTATCCACACCGTGTTTATGAAGGCGGATGCAGACCTGTGCCAGTGCATTCAATTGACAGATGTCCGCCGTTTGGAAAAATATATGTCTATCAAATCATCAGCAACAGCAAGCGTCAGCAACAGGTGCAACTTCAACGAACAGCGTGCGTACCCTATTTCGCCATCACCGCCGCCATAGAACAGCCCGCACTCGTTGGCCTTGACATCCATCGTACCGAAACTCACGCGCGGTCGACCCACGATGCAGGCTTTTAGACTCTCGATGGTTTCTTCTGCGGACGGCGATAGCGCCCTTGTCCCTTGACTTGGGCGTACATAAGTTCTGCAGTTTCGAAAGTGGGCAATGGGCATCGTTAGCCGATCACGATGGGTTAATTCAATGTTTCCTTAGTGTGCTACACGAGTAATCTAAAGGTGCAAAATCTGCAACAATCTGTTACATGAAAGTTAAAAATACTGAACCTTGCAGGCACGTCGAAACGGATGGAACGGTAGCCGCTTGAACGTGACAAGCACGGGCGCGGAAACATTGCAGCAGTTCGCCACAAAGGAACACAATACTTTCCAGTCATCTTTCCCTCAACAGCCTAAACAAACCTAAATCATACTTCGTTATTACGAAAACGAAGCAACAAGTTTGATGGAATGAGCTTGGTCTACATTAATGGTGCAGTGATTCAAGTTTTCTCAGATAGGTACATTATGGTACATGCAAATGACACAACATGTCAGCCACAGAGATGCCAAACCCATAATGTATTGACTACATATATAATATAGTATACTCGTATTGTCTGTATATTGTATATATCTATACTATAGAACTATGTGCAATACGCGTAGTTATAGCGCTGTACTGCGGGACTGAATAATTCTTTGAGGTGTATTAATGTTTCTAATAATCCAACTGCATCATCCGTCGACACTTACAGTGTTGGCTGTGTTGCTACCAGGAACACTATAGAAGAAGGAAAATTAAGAAAGCCCGTCATCGCTCACCTTGTCTAAACATACTTTCTTTCCATTTTGCCCTACACCGATACAGTAACTAGAGCAAAGGATGCTCACAGTGCTGTAAGTGTAAATAGTTTGCATGTAATAAGGATTGAATTGCATAGCATTGTAGCATTCACATTACCGGGAGTCGGTGAACTAAATAATTTTAACTTTTGACAACTGCACTTGCCGTAATTAATGCTGTTATATCTATATATTAATTTTATCTTATCTTAATGGGGTCATGATTCCGGACTTCAGTCTCAGAAGCTTGAGGAAACACGACCTGAACTCACACATATGTGGCAAATATCACATCAAATGTCTGCCGAAGATGCTGATAATGTACTGTGCAATCAGAATCAAAGGAAAATATTTTCTTCTTCGATGAGAAGGTGGGCTGACAGCTACTTTGTTTGAGGTTATTTTCGTAAAACGGGCAGTCGAAAAGCGAAAAATGAATACTACCAAAAGCCATATCGTTGCCGTCCTTGTCGTTGTTGCTTATTTAACGCCAGCTGGTAAGTTCATTTTATTGCTTAGAAAAATAAGAAAAAAGATTTTAATGATTATCCTTGGGCAGTTGGGCTGAATTTGAAAAGGGCATCCGTTTTGTAATAGTGCGTTCCAGGTGAAATACGTCTTACACAGTTTGCGTTTCATTTGGTAACGCGCAATGCAGTGCATCATTCTTTAACATTATCAAGTTGGCGTACAGTTTACCAGATCAATATGATCTCCGAAGTATTGTAGTACGAGTGCACTGTATATACACGGACACTAATGTACCTGTGCTTTGTAACCTTTACTTTCTAGCGTACGGACTAAGATGTTTCATGTGCAACGCTTTCATGAAGAGCCCCGTAGCAGGACCATGTCCAGACAATCCCGAATATCACGATATGGACTGCATGGATGATTCTGTAAAATACTGTCTGAAGTGGGATGGATCTTACGTCGTCACAAACACAACATCAATGGAACGAAGGGCCGGACAAGGTAACAAATTACGACGGGCCCTTACAAAATATAAATGCCCCTATACGTTGGCTGACGTACAGGCGCTTGACCATGGGCTGTGTTGTAAAATCCTATATAACAAGATTTCTGATGTTAATGATGGTTTTTCAGTCTTCACGTAGATACTTGCACAGTACAATACAATGAGCCGCAGGTAGTACCGTGATTAGTAGTACAGACATTAGCAAGCTCGTGAAGTACGTAATAACGTGCTTACGAAAACTTCGGTCATTATTTTAAGTACAGTAGTTTAACACTACAGTATGTACGGTACTGAATTAATGTTTTTCTTCAATTACTGTACATTAATTTGGCTCATTTTGGTACGTGTTTGCCGAACAGGTCCCTACCGCAACTGTGGCAAAGACAATTGGATTAAGGCATTTGTTGGCTCCATCCCTACTGACAGCGGAACCTGCAAACACGTCGAAGTCAACAACCAACTAATCGAAAATGAAGAAGACATTGAAATTTCTTTTTCCGGCACATTTTGCACATGCAATACGGAAACTTGCAATGGAGCCATGCAAAAATCGGCAGAACGATTTGTATTTCTTGGCGGTCTTTTAGGAGTGTTCTGTTTTGTTTTCAAAATGTGACCTACAATTATTAGCAAAAAACAAAAGAAGTGAAATTTAAAATACCAACAAATTAATTTATGCGGTTCGGATGGCTGCACTATACGATCGCGGATTTCGCGCCCCTACCGTACACTCAAGTCTCAATTGAACTAGTTCGTTTTTCCTAAATAAATATCTTACCCATATATTAAAGGGTGTGGCTGTTCCCACCACCCGCATCCCCTTTTGGCTATTCTCACGACCTTTCCCCACCTTTTGACTATTGCCACCGCCTTCGCACACCTCTTTTGGCTATTCGCACCTCTTTATATATTGCATTGACTTATGAGTTGAATTCCTGCCATGAACTGAAATGTTCCGGCAGTTTGGAACCTTCCGGACCCTGGTACTAGATACCCGAGCCATTGCTGCCTGTTTGCCCCAGACCTTCCTCGCGATCGGAGGAGATATCCGATCGCGATTGTGCCAAAGGAGGTGCCAGGGTGGTGGGAATAGCCATTTCCAGTATCAAAAAAGGGATAACTGATTGACGTTCGCTAGATTTATACGAACAGAGTAGATCAATGAGTCGATTTGTCATGTTATTAAATAGTGAATTCCATCAGTACTCGTACTTCTACCGCGCGGCGTTCATAGCCGGCGATTCATTTGTATGAAAGTACAATACAAAATATCAGTTATCTGTATGGTTTCGTATTTATAATCGACGCCATTCCAAAAATCTGTAAGTATATATTAGGGCATTTATGATTTCCTGATTACTCGTCTTAAATTTTGTACGGTACTTGGTGGCCATTAATTTTGTCAACAAAAAATACTCTGTACAGAAGAACTTTATGGCCGCCCACAGAAAAAGATGGCATGGAAGTCTGGAAGTATGGTATAAGATGAGAACGGTTCGACACGGTGATGCGGACATGTTGTTTGGTCAGTGTCCAACTCAAAAACAAATTATCGGAAAAGAATTTACGTGGGAATGGGATAAAATCATCGTTATCCACTGCAGATTTAAAATAACGCTGGCTAATCTACGAATATGACTGGTTCACCGGTTGATGATGCCGAGTTCACACTTCGCACTGCCAGTGTTAACAAAAGGCCGATCAATGTGTATTTACCTGCACAAGCTGTGCTAGCAGTTGCTCGATGACATAAATTATTACACAAATTAATCCGAACTTATGTATCAGTTGTTATGGATTCCAAAGGTCAGAAATCATGTAATTATAGGCACCAGAGTAACAACTACTTTGTCATAAGGCTAGCTACTTTGCCATAAGACGGTAGCAGAAGATAAGTTCTTCATTCCGGCGCCAAAATATTGCCTTTTTATCATTCTTTAATTTTTTTACACTCTTTAAATTTTTTGCATGTGTGGACAACTTAAAGCGTTGAAAATTTTCTATCATTACCGTACCAACAAATATGGTAACAAACACTAAAATAATAGCGTATTATACATTGTAGTAGTTTTACATATTATGCGGGGCACTGTGTGTTCATGTCAACGAAGCGCCGTGTCAATGAAGAATGCTGCAAGTGTTCTACACTTTGCTAAATTTATCAGACAGCTTTTCAATAATGATATCTCCGAGTCATTCTCCGATATGCTTCACATAATCAAATCTGTGGTCGACAATACACATACCTGTGATATTCTTAACAGGTTTAATCCTACATGAAAAGTTTGCATTCACGTATTTCCGCCTGTTTTGTAGACATTACACAAACATGACTTGCCGGTTATCTCGCAGAATATTCTACGAATATACAGTTTGCGCGAGCACACAGTCACTCGAATAAATTACTCAAGAAAATTGTTGACTGACCTTTTGAAAAACTTTTACATTAACCTAAAAGATCTAGTAGGACTCCGGTACATCATGAAGATTTGCTTGGCAGTGTCGACATTTCTATTTCTGTCATATGGCACTAGTCCCGGTAAGTTTAACTGTATCATATTTTGTGTAAGCCGGTACAAGCGATGTTGGATGTGCATATTTCAATATATCAAGTAACTATTGGATATGATCCAAGGTTCCCTGTGAGATTTGGGATAATAAGACAAATAAATCGTCGAGTCACTGCAGATGCACACTGTAGCTGCAGCAAAATTTTAAAAAATACTGTAACTTAATCTCAGCGGCAGTTGCGTAAAATATTTGTTTTTGACAGCAAAGGGCGACCTGTTCTGCCATGTGTGCAACTCCATTACCCAAGATACTATAACAGCCTGTCCAAATGAATCTCAGTATACTTCACGAAATTGTACCAGTTTACTACCGCGAGCGAGGTTCTGTGTGATCCTGAACGGAAACTACACGACAGTGACCAGCAAACATCCCCAAACAGCGCTCGGTAAGGATCCTTTTAAAGTTCTTTCGTGGTTTTTCATGTGAATAATAACGAGTTTGTGTAGGACTATAAAATAATAGCACGCTAATTACTGTTAATTCATGGCGTGATTAAATCCTCTGTGCTGTTTTAGCGGAAATGTGTTTTTTGCTCCAGGGCCCCGCCGAACATGCCAGTTTGATTTGGACCGCTACGAAATCTTTGATACACCACATCTACAGCCAGGGTGCCGTGAAGTGAACATCACGAAAACCAATTATCTGGCATTCGATTATTTTCATTTTGATGGACAAATCTGCCTGTGCGATGAAGACAACTGCAACACGGGAGACCGCGGAGTTATGCGTACCACGACACGAACTCCGCGAGGCAGAAATACCGGACACACTTTGGTTGTCATTCCGGCATTCTTGGTGTTTGCCTTGGCTGTGTTGCTTGGTCTTATTTAACAGGAAAAAATTAATAAAGGAATTTCCACCGTTATAAACTGTAAAAAATGTTTAGCAATGTGCGATATTTCGTAGCTCTCGGAAAAAGCGGCGCTTACAAAAAGGTTATATGCAAAATAATAATTTTAAAGTACTATTACAGCATGGTAAAAAGACGAAAAAGTACAGGATTTCGCTTACCGTCTACTTTTTTGATCAACTGTCTACTGATGCCAGTTATAACACATTATGTCAGTCTGCGACACCCTGACATTTTGATCACGTTTCTGTCTTGTTTTGGCATTTCACTGTCATTTTTTTAAGTGGAATAAAACGAAAAAATGTCTAAATCCTTTACCGGCGTGCGCCGTTTTACCGTAAGGGAACGACGTCTAGCAATCCAATCTGACTAACAATTGAAAATGTAGGGTCCACCAACCTTGACTCATAAACCGTCGGAATCGCGGTGCGACTCCTATCACTTCACCGCGCACAGTTACTCGTTAAACTCAACTGCTACGCGATTGTTACTTTGTCATATACCGGCCAAACGCATTGTTTCACCACGATAGACTTTTTTGGGGATTTTAACTGACCGGAAGCAACAACAGTTTAATTACCCTCGTATGAGCAAAACGCTATCCTACGACCTGGCCTGGACAATAAGAGTTGACCACGTTGTCTATAAACGAATGAGTGCCGGTCAATCTGTTTTCGGTGCCTAATAATGATGGAAGACAGATGGAAGTTTTATGGTGAGATTGCTTTCGTAAATGTTGCTGTACAGTTTACTGTAATTAATTGCATGTTTCTCGATCATATAATGGTTATGTTAGCACTGTGAATTATGCATTCATTAAGAGTTTTTATTCTAGGATTCCAAATAATTTTTTATGTTCTTTTTCTACTGGTTCCAAGTGGAAACGCACGGTATCAGGTAATTTGTATTATATTGCACCTAGACGGAACATGCTTGATTTGTTAGACTTGATTTATTTGACTTAATTTCTATTTTTGCTAATAATAATTTTGTAATTTCTGATAATTTCTGATCTTGCGATTTTTGCTTTGTAGAATCGATACAATCAAAATGTATGCGCCGTCGGCTCTCCGGGATATAAGGCTGATATTCTAAGCGGATGCGAAACGTATTTCTATTGCCATGCCGATGCATCTCGGGAGACATTCGCGTGTCCTTTCGGTATGCTCTTCGATGAGCGCCGCGGACAATGTGATACATGGAACAGTGTGACATGCCCGATGCCTGTCGCTCTACTTCAAGAATCTATGTCTCTCTCCAGTTCTGCCACGAATCTAGCTAACCCACCGCCGCCTTATTCCGGTTATGCCGGATATACACTACAGCCATCCCTGCCGGCACCGTACCATGTGGGCAGTCATCAAAACAATCACCTATCAGCCAACAATCTTCCCGCTACGGCGACTGCCCCGCCAACCAATCCCATGGATTTCTTGGCGGCATTATTGTTTCCACCGTTAGCCGGTCAGCAGGACTTGACGGATTTCGTTAACACCGCCCCCTCTGGTGTGCGCCAGTCCTTCCTGCGGGTGGCAGGTGAAGGTCACCTGCCAGCCGCTCAAATCAACTTGCAGCCCGGTGCGCCGCCAATGCCCGGACAGCAGTCGTATACGCCGTATGTGGAACCACTCGCCGGTGCCGGTCACCGTCCCGTGTTTAACGATGCTCCTCCGGGTGGCGGCCCCGCAAGTTTGGGAGAAGGAATGTCGCGGGGACGAGAGTCTCCTGGGATTACCAATAATCAGGCGCACCGTCGCTCCAAGCCATCACCGGGAGTCAGTCAACTAGACCCGGGAATGGCGGGAATGATGCCACCCGGCGGCCATCTCCAAGGCGGTCCACCAATGATGTCATACGATACGGGACCGGTGCCGCCGCATCTGCTGGGCGGACATGCTTACATGTTTGGTCAGCTGTCAATGCATAATCAGACAACGGCTATCGGCGGAGCCATTGGGCAGGGTGCGGCACCTTTAGCCGGACATCAGTTGCCCATGTCAATCAACGGCGCCGGACTGCCGCTGTCTGGACCCAATGCTCAGGTGGAAGCTTTGAAGCCAATTATGCGATCACTCATGCAGAATCCATATCAACCGCATTTAAGACGAATGGCTTCGCTGTTGGCATCGGGAACGCCGGTACGAAACAAAACTATACTGTCGTAGCACTTTCCTTAGATTCTTTCTGTAAAATTGGGTCGAATACATTTAAAGAACCTAAAATTTTAAATTGTTGACTCTGGCTGAAAGTGTTGTAATTAATTTTCATTAATATTAAGCGTACGAGACTTACTGTCCTGAGCTACGTACAGTTTTACTGTAATTGTAAATGACTCTTCAGTGCGATAATTTTTTGACAGCTGGATCCATTGGGCGCACTATCCAGTAAGTTCCTTAACGATCCCATGGGCGCGGCCGCGGTAGCTGATCCAGGGGTGGCCGCCGGTGGAAAAGGAAAGAAACCGGGTAAAGCTTTGGATGATGGACTGGTAGACGCTAGAAGATAAAAGCCGCTGCCGTAACGTGCCTCAATAGATCTCATTCAATGTCATTCGCGTAAACAAAGCCCACCTAGCGGTCAAGATCAGCGCCAGAGCGTTATGTCGTGACATCCGATACCCGTGAACGAATGCACCAGCTTCAGCGTGTCCATTTCACATACACAGACATGGAAGATGATGCATGTTGCATTTCCTGTTTTAATGGAAACACATTACGTAGTAACAACACCGCGACAACCGTTGTACAATGCCAGCGTTTCACTGGGCTAGCGGTTTCTTTTAACGTGAGGCGCATTTTCGCACTTTTTTTGCACCGCTCCTTATTCTTCGTTGTTCTGTGAAAAGTAAAATTTCCAAGTAAACCACTTACATACATAACTACTACGCCTGTGCTCCATACTGCAATTCTGCGAAACAATGTACTCGTACCACGTATTAAACCACATTAATACGCATACGTAGCTACTGTACTACGTCGAGTGTAAGCACATAGAGCATACATTTTTTTCAATCTTGTGCTCAGTATTATTTTATTAATAGTATATTATGATTTATTCTACCGCAAGTTGTAGCAACAGGATGCGCATCGGCACCAAGTCAGCGTACTACTTCTATGGAGGGAAATCTCCGAAAACATTTACGTACGTCTTGTTTTTGTGATTTCCTTTTATATATGGACAGGCAGTATGATGCAGTCGACCCAAACTCCACAGCCGTGTTAGACTGTGGAACCACGCAAACTCAGCAGTTTGGTGGTTGGCAATTTGGTTAGTTTTACCAAAGGGCCCATATTAAAATACATATAAGCTGGTTTTACTACGACTCATTTTACTACATACCGTATCTATATTTTTACGTACTAACGCGCACCGCGCACCCACTCCATCCCGCATCGAACAAATTTAATATCTGTTGCAACACATTCAAATAGTTGCAGTAGTAATATACGGAAACATGGCTACAAAAATCAAAAAACCATTTGTGAAAAGCCTCGAGACATTTTAGCCAAAAATCAGAAGATTTTTGTATATCGTTGCTATAAGAGAATTAATGAAATATTCTGCAACCAAGTAAAATACGAGAATTAAATTAACCTGCTAATTATTTTCTGTCACCTGCAGGCTACGGACATATTACTGCGCGCACGTAAACAAATAAGGAATACCCCGGTTCGCCAGGTAGCACTTTTTTGACGTGTGTTGTGCAGACCCGAGACGTGACGGCGACAGTATGTTTAAGTAGAGTTATCGCGCAATGTTTGACGTTAATTGGTACGTCTGGAGTACGTAGACTACGTAAAATTACAACGAAATTGTTACAATTAAAACGCATCCGTCCTGGCTCCGTATTTTGACGGTGCTCGGCACATCTAATCCATGAATGCCTTTTTACGAAATCGAACCGGGTACAAGTCCCAGGCAAAGCAAGTTTACATCGTATTATATACACAGTTCTGAGTGAGGCATATTAGATGGATAAACAACAACAACCGCCGCATCACTTATTGATGCACCTCATCGACCGGATAAGTTAAGCGTAAACCTCCACGAGTCAGGAATAAGAACACTATGCACAGACACATGTGCTGGCTACCACTGTTGCCGGCGGCCGTCGTACGTCGCAACGTGTTAAACAAAGTGGCCATGCCTCATTAACAGTAAACAAGATGCTGCTTGTGCTCCCCAACGCCCGCAAGATCAATCCAACAAACGTGACAGCGACATGCTACGTTCAATCACTCATGGCCATTAATTAGCATAGTAATACCCTAATTGTCCAACCGGTCCGGAAATTGGCGCACATTCAACCCGATTATGTGCAGTCCCTGCTGTTGTTGTCTCCATATGGTCTTCGTCCAAGTAAGCTTTAACTGCCGTGTACTCCATGTCGTTGAACGATTGCTAATCAATGCGGATACATGTACAACATACAGACATATCGTTCAATCAAAAGCGATAGTATTATTAGCTGGGATCAAGCAAACAACTGGAAAATCTGCTTAAAGCCGGGAGGTACTTTGCCTAGTTAGTCACGACCCATTCGCGGTGACCAATGCTTGGACAATCTCATTTTGACAGAACGATGCGCTTTATAAGGCTCTCTACTGTCGCTATCTTGTCAGTCAGTTGTTGAGCAATCATCTCTGTTATCTAAGAGTTTCCTGCCTGCTATCCGCCACCGTTTACAACCATGTCCACCTGGAATAGTCTCATCCTGGCGGTGTCTTGCGCCGCCGCCCTGGTTACCGCCGCACCGCCTGGACCGACGGAAACCCAACAGCCGGCCAAGATGCAGCTGCACGTCAGCGCCGGTCATCCCAATACACCGACCAATCACCACAACCCTCCTCCTTCCAATCCCGTCGTCGTGCCCAATCCCAACATTAACCAGCAGAGCCATCATGAAGCGGGTCCAGTGGCGGCTGGAGCGACCAACTATGAATCCTATTCTCCAGGGTAGCGCTTTGATCTTTCGTACGTATGTCTCTTGATAACAGTCAGTTTCGGTTACATTGCAGCTACAGTGGTGGCGGTAGCAATTATGGTGGCGGTGCGGAATACAGCAGTGACAATTATGGATTTGATTGTTATGGAAAGAAGCCCGCTCTTTATGGCGATGCCAATTATGACTGTACGTACGATAAAAAGTCCTACAAAGCAAATTTACGAAAAACGGATAACGGGTTACATATGGTTTATTGCCATAAAATATTAAATTTTTACAACAAAATTTACTGCTTGGAAAACGCGTCTTAAATATTACAGCTACTACATTCTAGCGCAGATTTTCCACTAAGCTCCCGTACGAGTACTACTACATTTTCAAGCAATTAATTACTATTGTGAATTATTTTTTTGCTTTTGTTGTCGTATGCAGTATTGTCATATGCAGTACTGAATATTTATTTGTGGTTTTATTAATTTTGATTATCGCTTTATTGGAATAAATAACCACTGCTGTATTGTTGGATTAAATAACCTTACAGCACTTACTGCATGCAGCAAGTTGTCGAAGAATGTGGGATGCTGGAATTGGTTGCAACAATTTTCATCACAACAAAACTTTTAAGCGGGTAATTTACGTGTCCATTGTAGGCAGGATATACCATGTATGCCAAGCCGATGGACGATCGGACACAATTAAGTGTCCAAAGTGGACAAGATTTAACAACTACCTGGGCATCTGTGACTGGCACTTTAAGGTACAAGTGTTATTAGCTCTTGTGTGGAGATGTTTGCATTTATTGACTCAGTTAATATGTGCTTGAGAAAGGTCAAGACGGTGTCACGATTTCAGCAATATTATCATAATATTCAAATAACTTTTGGTTTTTTTTAGGTGGACAATTACTGCAACCCTCTGCCCGATTACAAAGGTGATGGTTATGGATCTGGCTACAGCCAAGGCGGTTCTGGAGGCTATCAACAAGGCGGCGGTGGATATTAATTATGTGGTTTTCACTTGATCTCACTGCCAAAATATTATGTGGTCATTCCTAAAAGCCGAAATAGTCTCTTTTGTAGTAGCGAATTTTTTTGATATGCGTTTCACTATCGGTGTACGTTACTTACCAAAATCTGCGTCTAACTGCCGTCACCCGAAAAGATTTCGGTAATTTATTTGTCAGGCATATGTGATAAATCAACAATTGTAAAACAGCATGCATGATTGATTGCTAACAGGATCGCATCCTTGTGTGCATCACACAATTACAAAGTTACTTACACAGTTGCTTATATATGCAGATACTTTTAAATTACAATAATTGTGCGATATATTCTGTATGCAATGGTGTTACGCAAGGTCATAAATTATATGAATGATGTATCACCAAAATAATTTCTTTACTTTAAATTTAGGAGTATAATATTAAGTGCACCAAATTTCGAAAGGAGCGCACCGATCAAACTGTGGTACGGTCAGCGGTCACTTTAAAGAAGCTACCGTACATCTGATTAAACAATCACTGCAAAATGATAATACAGGTAACTGATGTAGTTGATTTCATGTTGGTCGCATTTTTGCACCTTGTGTTAAATTTCCTATGCACTACAGAGCCTTTCAAAACAGCAACAAAAAACTGTGAAATTGTTCTGTGACATATGAAAAAGGTCACTGCGGAAGATCGCATTATATCCATGCACCTGTGTACTAACTTATCCTTGCCATTCAGTTTTGCATTAAATTGGCTAAGTTAGATATGCAAGATGTCGACTCGGGTAGTAGCATTATAAACTAAATAAGCCACTAATTCAATCCAAAACAGATGCCAGCTTTTATACAAAACAATGCTGGCCATGATCATCTGAGACTGTGAGCATGGATGCGACCGCAGTAAAGTCTAACTGGTTAGAACGGACGAATAATCTTTAAGACAACGTCCTTATCCTTGCACGGTCTGTTATATATTTAGGTGTCATTGTAAGCGCACCCCGTAGGACCGCAAAACAAAAGTTACCTTACTGATGAGCCAATGAATTTTACGTCAATTATGATTATGAGTATCTGCACGGTTTAACCATATATACAAACTGTTTATTCCGACGACCGTAGCTCTCCTCGAATGGGCATTAAGCTGTTGCGCATTAGCACAACTTAACACTCGTCAGCCTCTTGACAATGTCCATATATCAATTTTAGAATTTGTTTAGTCAACACCTGGTTAGCATTACGCACAACCAGGAAGTACTTAAACCGGGGGCCGGTTAGAATGTCTCGCCACCGTTGTCTTATCAGCATAACTATTTCGTTGCAAACGTTTTCGGTAGTGCAGCTTCCGTCGCAACGGTTCGTAGATTTTTAGAAGATGCGGTCCATTATAGTGCTCACGTTATGCCTGGCGACTATGTCCAGTGTACGGTCGGAAGGTAAAACCAGCAACGGCAATGCGGGGTCGGCGCAGCCCAATATGGAGATACCTCTACAGGCAGCGGCCAGCAGCCATTCCAAACAGCTGAGGTATTGTAGTGCTATTTACCTTAATTTAAGCACTTAACGAGTTTTTCATTAGAAATATCCCTGTAGACTTTCACTTGAGGAAGCCCATACTAACAGTATTTCTGCTAGGTATTTATTTTATTTATCATATCTCATTTTGATAGCTAGTGGCTTGACCTTTTGTGTGTGGATTTGATTAAAATTCTGCCGAACGTAAAGGTTATGAGGCTAAAATATGGAAACGTGCATATAAAATATTTCAGATCTGGAGGGTACAGCATGCAGAATTACGGTTCCCTGCAGAATTATGGCGGAAATTCTGACAGCTACGGTGGAAATGGGTACGCTCATGCAGATGTTACAAATATCAGTCGTAGTATAAACAAATGATATCCGAGTCTGCAACCTGTCATGAAAAACTCCAAAGTGGAATGTATTTAGAGGTTACGAATCATCCCCTCTCGCTTACGGATTTAATTGTTATGGACGAGCACCGGCGCTGTATGGTGATGGGAATTACGATTGCCGCATCTTCCATGTGTGCCAAGCTGATGGACGCCAAGACACCTTGTACTGTCCGAAAAAGACCCGTTTCAATAATTACCTCGGCGTGTGCGATTGGGAAGACAAGGTACGGAGTAAACGTAGGAATTTCTATTGTATTCCCAATACATTCATAATAATAAGTTAATTTTATTTTACGGCTCTAATTGGTAAGGATACAACGGATGGGTGCTCGCATACGCATACTTATCTGTACAGATAGTTTTTTTCTCGTGGTCTGAGAAAACCGTGGCTCGTAAATATGAAATTTTAGGGATGAACTGTACGCATCGCCATATTCACAATAATTTAAAGCAAATGTGTTTCCAAATTTTCAATATTCGACACGCTTTTTCTCTTTCAACAGATTGACCGCACTTGCATGCCCTTATACAAAGAGGAGTACAGTTACAACGGAAACAGTTATGGATCGCAGAACTACGAACAAGGCGGATATGGTGAGCAACAAGGATACAGCGGCCGTCGCAGCGACTACGGTGGATCGCGAAGCCAGTATCGACGCCGACGATAAACGGTTTTTTATGTTTTTTACTTTCAAATGCAACAACACGCTGGGCTTTTCGACGAACATTATTTAAATCGTCGCAAACCGTTTTACACACAAACCCTTTCATATTTGCTCAATCAGGTAACGAGTGTTCGACATGTTTTGCTGTGAAAAAGCATTTTATACAGATAAAAAATCCCCGAAAGTCAACAATCAGTTGTAAACATCACAAAAGAGCTGGTGACCTCTACCTTATTTTACTAAAATTAACCGGCTCATTTGCGCGTTCTGCCGCACCATGGTTGGTGAGATCACTACTGTATCGCAGAAAACTAATCAGTTCCTGCAAGAGAAACGTAAATCTTTGTCGCGGATCGTGACCACAATGAACCTCAAATTTTGGCTGCTGCGCCATTGCCTGTAAGGATAATACCCAATGATCAGGCCAGAAATCTGTGACAAAAATTTAATTAACAAAATGCAGTGGCAACGAATCAGCCACTCACCTCTTTGCCAACAATAACAACAACCGGATATCCCGTTTTATTAGCATCATTCAAACGCCGTCCAATGGTCAAATCATCCCGATCATCACATAGAACATCTCCGGCGATTTCCGGCAATTCGCTCAAAGTATCGCACAAGATTTGAGTCAATGGGCCAATGGCACTTGCTTCTTTACTGCCGGACTAAGACAACAAGATCTGGTAATCGATGTTTGTCAACACTGTCTAAGCGAACGCGCGTGCGTACTTTAGGCGAAACAACGCACACTTTATACGGCGCAATGCGTAGTGGCCATCGGACCTGTTCCGCCGACGAAAGACATTCCACCGCACTAGCCACTAACCGCGTAACACCGATCCCAAAGCATCCCATAATAAGCGGCCTAAACAGAGAAAAGAAAAGCAGTCCGTGTAAATTTTCTTTCGTAACCGCACAGCATGGGAAATGATACCGGGATTTTCCGTCGACGTCGACGAAATTAGCTTTGAATGCTTTCGAGTACCGTTCGCCCAAGAGGAAAGCATGGGCTACCTCCATTGCGTGCACTTTGTTAAAGCTGTTCTCAATGGAACAAGAGGGGCATTTCACGGGGCCTGATTTAGCGGAATCTATTGTTAAAAAATAATGTAAAATGTTCAGCGTTCAATGGTTTTACAAGCTACGTAGTTATTCCAGAGCAAAACATGCTCGTACAGTCCCACCTATGACAATTTCTTCGTTGCATGCCGCATTGCACCTCTGACAGATCCAAAGCAGATCTTCGCCGACAGACTCACAGGGAAGAAGGAATTCGTGGGACTCCGAACCCCCCATGGCACCGGTGCTGGCGGAAGCTACAAAACATATGTATGGAGCGCACATGCAGCCAGCAAAAAACGAAAATCCGCTCGCCAACCTTTAATATACTGGACACTCAATGTTTTCAAAATCCTTTCATAGGCAGAACAAACTGCGTTATAACTTTCCCTTGCGCTGGTTTCGGACGTATCAAAAGTATATAAATCTAGAAAAAGAATACAAAAAATAATACACAATGGGGTACTTCCAGAAAATCTACGAAAACTTTGAACCAGCACACCTTTCATCAAAAACTCTCGCGCTCGCAAAACCCCATGCTTGGGCTTCATTTCATCTCGGAATTTTGTGGAAATCTATCACATTTGTTGGACCACTGAAGTCATCATCAATAAAGCCAGCCACAATACCTGATACAGACGTAATGGGAAGCGCTTTCGCGATGGATGGTGCAAGCTAGAAGCAACAAGTGAAGTGATGCATTCCTCGTGTGTCTGCAATGCAGATATAAGACATCGTAAAAATCATAAAACACACGGAGCATTTTATTCGAATACTCGCATTAAATCTCAGCTAAATATTTAAAGTCAAAAACAATTAACGATATAATTTTCAAGGGAATTTTACTGATTACTGAATCAAGTGTCAAATTTCCGTCAAAATCTGGTTAGCACACAAAATTAAATCTGATAATGTACGTTAAAAAGCGCTATCATTGACGTAAAGGAAGGTGAACTCAAGCCCGTAATTGTAAGAATAATGACCGATTTTTCCAAATAAAAATACAGTAGCAAAGCAAGTGACACAAATGTGTTACTTAAGAAACATCCATTATTAATTTACTTACAGGTGCTACACACAAATCCCTTCCTACACGATCCTTCGCTCGGAAAAGCTCCCCACCAAACGTCTGCCACCTGCCTGCAGAATCACAAGCAAATAATCCAAAATCACTCTTCGGCGCTCCACATTATCCCAACCAACCAGACGTTTTCCAAATGGAGGCATCCTGCAGACAAGGCATCCACAATTTCTGGCATCCAATCGCGCGCATCTCCTCATCGATGATACGAATGAGCTTCTCCAACGATCTCATAAATAATGGTAGCAGATTGAAAGTTCCGGTTGAATGCGCGGGACAGATCATGCCGGTCTCCAGTAAAAGCTGTGAGAAACCAGATTACCAGAACTGCAACTGTAGTTACCAATACTGCACAATGCACACCCAGGACAATTTACTGCAGCCCTCTGAGTCTCTGACTACCTTCTGACTTTTGGAAACCATACCACCCGGAGCACTTTCAAGGGATTTTCCGTATTCTGGAGCAATGCACGGCTGGAAGGTCTCCGACATCCGTGCATAATGCAATCTGCGAGAGTTCGTGAATGCATTTCGTGAGGCACGGAAGTTTTGGCATACAGACACTCCAAACGAGGCACGAGCAACCATCGCAGCGTTGTTAGGATGCATACAAATTACGGCAACCAACCACTAATCAGTTCAAAAGATTTGCGCATAAAAATGCGAAATAAGGATCATCAAATCAACAAATTATATAATGTGAATCCGTGGTAGTTACTCGTGTTTCATCCGATGATTAAAATTTTCAGTTTTAGTGAAAAACGTACTTTACCATGGTTAGTAGTCCATAAAATGAAACTCTACAGTACATACTGTAGCGATAGTATTTGTACGAACGATAAGACCGCCCAGTTATGATGAATCATTCCATCGCGTTATGAATTTGTCCACTTTACCGGCTAGTTTCCTTTCTCATGGACTTCTAGAATTCAGTCTTGTGCTCAGCTTGCTACAGCTTGCATCTACTTGATTGTTCCTCTTGCTGAAACCCTTGCTTACAACCTTGCTGTGTTCTTGATTCCCTTGTCATTAAACATGCCTTGAGTTACGTTGTTGCGTTTGACCGCTTGGGATGAACTAGCGTCATCCCAATCGGAGCCACCTGTGTAATTGTGTACATCAGTAAGAGCGTCCTCGGCCAGCATCGTTGCCGGCCGTGCCACCTTTCACACCAACAGCCGTTTAATCGTGGTAAAGGCTGATCGCCACCCCACTAGAACAGTAGCCAGATAGGCCACTGTTACATGGCGCTCCTGTAAAGAACCATTCCACCTGGACGCCTGCAGCCTGTACCAGCGATTTTCGTAACATCGCCACTTCCGACACCAACCAGCGGAAGTCCCGGAACGGATAGCCGTTTCGTGAGTGTTACAGTGACAGTTAAAGCCGTGAAATTTGCTTTGTTTGGTCTTGATACATTAATAACATCAAAGTTTATATTAATTTTCCGAACGCTAAATTAATTAACATCACTGTTCCTGTTGCGATGCCATTTTATCAGAATATATTAAAACTGCAAATATAGAAAAATAATTTTTGCTGCATTATTTGTTCGCGCTTTGGCTAACCGTTATATTACCGTTGTTCACCCGGCGCCGCTGTGCCGCCGTGGTCTGGTTCGCGCCAAAACTTCCTTGTGTATCGTAAACACTGGTCTAGATGCTCTGAGAGCACAACATTAACTGTCATGGTCCACCAGTTCAATGGAATCTGAGGAAATAAATTTGCAGTCTCAGCTTGGTGAACTCACCAAGGCGCAGTTGCAGGACATCAGCAACAGTCTAAACGTGTACATTAATCGGAAAGTCTCTAGGTCAGGTTATGTTGATAAATTATCTTCCTACATGTTAAAGCACAACATTACTTTGCCGAACACTTGTATCAACAATGATAACACTGGAAAGATTAACGCGCTTTCCTGTCGACATTACACGCAGCGTCAACGTCTGCTGTCCAGTCTTGGTCCTCTGCCCAACCGGCCCGCAGCCTTACACATGCACCGTCAAGGGAAAACAGTGGACAGAGCGCAGTGCGTGGGAATACAGCATGCACTCACATCAGCCACACAGAACCGGTGCTTCGACACGACAGACTGGAGCAACGTTATAAACAGGAAGAAACAATAATTACCTTTTCAGATGATGAGCCTTCCGATGAGTCACTCACTCAAACTGCTTTGCACAGCGCTCCGTTAGCAACCGCACAGAGAGAGCATGCCGCGCACACAGCCGCGCAGCACGCCGCATCCGCTCATACCGATACAAACATTACTACTGTACAACTGCCGCTTGATATTAACCGCTTGGTACAAGTGCTCGCGTTACAGTCGCGTTACGGATATACTGCAAAAGATTTCAATATTAAAGTCTTTAATGATACTCCTGATTATATTATCACTGCGTTCTTTCAACAATTCGAAAGAGCTGCTGACGCAATTGGATGGAGTTCAGAAGATAGAATTTGTATCTTACCTACATACTTTGGTGATAAAGCACGTCTGTATTTTGAGCGCAGTTGGCCCACATGTTCGAAATTAAATTATGAAGAGTGGAAATGCAAATTAATTGACCGCTTTTTCCCTATAGATTACTTAATGAAGAAACGCATTGAATTATCAAAAAAGGTGTTTAAGAAAGGGTCGGATATAAAGACATTTCTGATTGATTTGGAAATTCTGTTTAACGAAATAGATCCTCAAATGTCTGATTCGCATAAACTTGTTGAACTTCACCGCGCATTTTACAGTATGCCAGAATACAGGAAATATCTTATAGTTTCTCGCGCAGTTACCTTCTCTGAAGCTCGTTCTGTACTTGAAAAAGTAGCTGCTGCCGACACCGCAGTAAACATTACTGTACAATCCGATCAGACTGAAATTAAACTCTCCGACACTTGTAACCGTCACAGTGACAACAGGGTTACCGACGCCCAGCGACACCGTACTCGCCAGGAACATTATAATGCTTCAGATGACCATCGGTCATCCAGCCCGAGACGGCATCTTGTACGTGCTGATTCCTATCACAGCCGTAGAAATACTAATGGCAACCGGTCACCCAGTGCGCACCGCCGCCGCTCACGTTCCCCGAATTACCGTGCTCAGCGCCGTCCCTGCTCGCCCGACAGCGATTACAGCGCTGATAATCGCCGTACACATTACCGGGAACACCACAACCACACACTCGAGAGTGATCGTCGTTACACACATTATCGTGACCAGCACCGTAGTCCTTCGCCCAAACGTGACTACACAAAATACTGTAATCGAAAAAATTACAATGCGGAAAAGAGAATACATCCTAAATTTATTGACTTCGACAGCTACAGATTAAATAATGGAAAATTGTTTTGTCCTAAATGTCTGGATTTCTTCCATTCGTATGGAGAATGCACCAACTACAGCACCAATGACAAATATACCATACCGCGTATATGCCCTGATGACATTAAAGTTAATGTTCAAGGAGAATATGACGATTACATTAACTGCACGGTGGAACGCAAAGGAACTTCATTTCTATTTAGTAGGCAGTGGAAAGAATGAACACCTACAGGAAAGGAGAAACGTACGGATATGACTATGTACCTCCCGTGTTTTACAGTGTTACGGAAATTAATCTCTACAGCAGCCGCTCAGATAACCCGGCATCTCGCTGCAGAAAATTGTTAGCCGAACAAAAAGCAGAAATGAACAAACCTGATCTGTTAAAACCGCGGACACCCTACATCACAAAATTAAACCAAAATGTATCACATTCGACGAATTCCGCAGAAGGTGGAATTATGTGAGACATTACTGAGTGAAATTTTAACGGAACTGTTAACGCCTACATTACAACCGACAACCGAGACTAAAGCATCTTCGCAGTCAACACACACTTCCGTTCTGCAAGAAGTGCCAAACATTAAATATTCGCCACCAATGATATTAAAAGAAAAATTAAAGGAAATGGTTTCCATAATACAAAGTATTCGCTTGTCTTCATTTTACCAGCGATTAATGAGACAAACGCATATTATTTTCCCAAACGCAACTGCACCGACATCGCACGAAACCTCCACTACTTCCCCACAGCACCGGATAAACGCGGAAAATTTCCGGATACCGTGAGGGACCCCTTCCCAATCCCGGACATATCCAGCGGAACCTGATTGTAGGATTCTTCCGATCGCCGGATGGATTCTCGTGGTAGTTCAACGTGAGGGACCACCACGCCGTACGTTAAGGATCATCCCGGACCATTGTGTTGTATACTTACTAATTCCTAACGCTTTATTTTCCTGTTTTCTTATTCTTTTGTTTTGTTGTCTTGATGAGACAGGTATATCTCATCGCTACCGTGAGGGATGTAGCGATAGTATTTGTACGAACGATAAGACCGCCCAGTTATGATGAATCATTCCATCGCGTTATGAATTTGTCCACTTTACCGGCTAGTTTCCTTTCTCATGGACTTCTAGAATTCAGTCTTGTGCTCAGCTTGCTACAGCTTGCATCTACTTGATTGTTCCTCTTGCTGAAACCCTTGCTTACAACCTTGCTGTGTTCTTGATTCCCTTGTCATTAAACATGCCTTGAGTTACGTTGTTGCGTTTGACCGCTTGGGATGAACTAGCGTCATCCCAATCGGAGCCACCTGTGTAATTGTGTACATCAGTAAGAGCGTCCTCGGCCAGCATCGTTGCCGGCCGTGCCACCTTTCACACCAACAGCCGTTTAATCGTGGTAAAGGCTGATCGCCACCCCACTAGAACAGTAGCCAGATAGGCCACTGTTACAATACTGTAGACAGTAGTGTTCACTAGATTTCCGGTAACCCGAGCGGGCGACGCGACAATGTGGAAACAAGTTCAAACAACAACGCCGAGATCATTTAATTCGCTATCTTCTACCTTAAAAAATAAAAACCACTTCAAAAATCAGATCATTGTTTTTATTATTTCTTGCCAGTATACCATTCTCGCATTTAAAAAAAACCGAATACCAATAGCACCATAAAAATTATAAAAGAAAATGAACTGAAGATATCCATGATTTGTAAAAGATTCGCCATAAAAAATACTGTAAACGCAAGATCCTAATTATCACTCAATTCACTGTCCGTAAAATTAGAAACTCTAATAAAAAGCCTATCCACATGAGCCGAAATTAACTTTCGCATCAGGTATAAAAATTACTACTGGGTAGTCAGAAATCATCAAAGGCAATCGAACCCTCTATTTCCCTCACGTCAACCAAAACAAGGAAGTTGCTTTTTAAGCCATCGTCTTGCGTCCAGTCGCTCGCAGACTAACTTTGTTCACTTTCAAGGCTTGCTCTTTGGCTCGACGAACTGGCCGCGCGCTAACTACTTCAGTCGGAACACTCTCGCTTTTCATGTTCGTAGACCGCAGCGGAATACTGGAAGCAACGGAATGAAAGCGTTGTACTACGGCAGGCGAACCGCTTCCGAGTGTCAGACGCTTTCTGGGATTCAAGGCTACCGGCACTTCAGCAGGTGCAGACCGCTTCCGCTTGTTTTCCCGTTCAGCCGGTGTGACAGTGACATCCTCCCGCGAATCCACTGTGCCACGAGACGACGGTGAGACGGTGGATAATGATAATGTGTTGTCCGGAATTAATTTCTTATTGGCCGAAACTTCACCAACCTTTTTAAAACTTGCAGCCCACACTAAATTCGGCCCCAGACCAGGTCGTTGCGAATAGGCTTCTACAAACCATTTAGCGTTTAACACGTGACCGAGTCAAAACCAATGCTGTTTATAAATACCAAAAGCCGCAAGTTTTTCTTCTGGTGAAACCGCGAGTTTTTGCACTGCGTATTGCAAGCACTCCACAACTTTTTCGTCCTCCAGGCTCTGCAAAACTTCAGTTCAGTCCAAACTATAATTCTATAGCTGCAATAAACTACGTAATAAACAAAAAACTGACAAAAATGAAACCTCATCAGACTACAAAAAAAGTTCCGTAATTTTTGAAGTCTTTGCAATTAGCATGCACGTACCTGCGCCAGGGTCCATTTTGCAAACTTTAACAGGATGATGCCAGGGGAACAGGAAAACGTCCACGTATCATCCACCAAGCCGCCATCGGTGCTGACACTGGCGGTTTCCGCGTTTTTCGAAGCAGAATCGCCGACACTGAATGTTCGCACGGCTCCTTCGTCCTTCACGGTGTAAGGAAATGCTTCAGCCAAAGCAACGGGCAGTGCCCCTTTCGTAGGGAAATTTTCACTAAATACTTCCAGAATGTATTTCCAGGATACGCTGTTCAGATCGCTCAGCACATGTTTCTCCTGGGCCTAAAATCACAAAATTTCACTAAATTCCAAAACACATTCATGGTAAGCAAATGTGCGATAAGACTTTTTCGTCAAATCATTCCACCCCAAACGACAGCATAAAGTACAAGTTCAATTTGACTGCATCCTCTTACAGCTAAAACACTGGCCAATTCCACAGCGACGCCGTAGGCGGCTGTTTTGCAAGCGAGTCCAAACTGTCCTTTCGCGTCGTCCGTAGCTAAAGTGTCCAATAAGTCCAAAACTTGGATCAGTGCAGGATATTCCAAAGGAGAACAGGCTCTGGCTCGATAATTGCCCAAAGATACCGCAAATGCAACAAGAACTTCATCATCAATCTAAAATGAAAGTTGGCAGCATTTACAAAAATATAACTTATCAACGGTAATCACGAAGCCATAAACCAGGGGTGGAATGCCAAAGGGCATTTCGGCACATGAATAATCAAACCAAACTAAATCAAGGAACAATAATAATAAAGTCACTTCTATGCGCCCCAAAAATTTCCGGTCTAAATAAAATGGTCAATAATTTAAAGTGTTATAGTACGGTAAAACATAGTAGCAACGAATCCGTAATGTTGGTGTAAACGTGATAGAAGTACAGACGAAGCAAGTACTCTGCATTGCAAAATGACAAATCTTGTACTAGTACAATGCAGTGCAAAACATTATAATTAGTATGGCCCACTAGCCAGGCGTAATACGTTTTTAATTCAATAGAAATTACTGCAGTATTTCTTAGTTAATCTGATACAAGGCAAGAAAATCGTAATGTTCCACGATTATTGAGTGAATTTGCGAGGTTTACTGCCGCATTAAGGAAAACAAAAAGAGAAAACGCTTACTTTTTTTAACAAAACATACAAATGCTTTAATTTTCCGCGATGACCATGAAATTTCACTCAATCTCTATGTTAAAATTTTGTAATATGCATGCGCAAATTACAAAATGAATCAAATTTTATACTGAAAGGGTGATCAACCACTCCGCCAGTTAATTACCTACACCATAAATGGCTTAGTCTTAAAAATTCCTGTATTTTGCAGACCAGTTTGGGTTTCGCGAAAACCAATAAAGCTGACAGCAGGGAAAACTGTTCTTTCACGATCAGATACAACAGCAGAGGAAACGAAATCGGTGCGGAGATTGCTACAATTAATTTCCCCAAAACCAGAAAACACTTGACTGAATAAACCTCTATAGTTGCGGCAGTGTACCAGCGAGATCATTCACGCTGAATAAATACGGAAACCGCCTCGGAGTCGAAAGCGCGTCCCAAATAACCACGAAAAACCTGATCTCAGGACTCAGAAAATCATCAATAATAGTAACAACAAAAGAAACTTATAACATTCGCGTAAAACGAAATGTAATCGTACCGGTTAAAGTTCAGTCAGAAGATGTCAACGGTGTACCACTAATACAGTAGCATGAATCCGAAATGTGCCAGTAAGTTTGGTAAATCTCAGTTAACGACATACTAACCACGATTAATAAACTGAATCTGAAAAAATGCATCAAATTTCGCGGAAAACTTAAACACAGTAACAAAAAATTCCAAAAATAGATTCCAGCGGCAAAATTAATTTTTTTTACTAACAGAGGTAACAAAAAGGTAAACAATGAAATAACAAATTCTAACTGCAATTTTTGGGGCATATAGCAAATTAACTATGCGCCTTAAAATTTTGGGGCGCATATGCCGCATAGCACTGTCGTAATAATAATGCCTACAAATGATACTGAGCAGTGTACTGATTATGCATAGAACCAGAGAAAGTTCTACCTTTAGTGACAACACTCGCCGCCTAAATAAATTCAAAAATCGGCCTACCCACCTCTAAAAACTTAGCAGCATTAATCAACAGCGGTATATCGGCATATTTGGCACGTAGAAATCCAAAATACATGGCATCGATCCACGATCTAGCCTGCTCATACGGAACGTGATCGTCCAAGTCCACGGTTCGTGATAGCGTCGAACGACAAAAGGGTTTCAAGTACTTCGAGCAGGACGCAACAACCAACCTAGAACACAAGCAGTCGTTGGATGAAAAACATGCGAAGATGAGGTTGTTGATTGTCTGAGATCCCAATGCGCGGTATTCTGCATCAATATAAATTATATAATGAGTGCATTCTGGTGCAGCTTGAGGTTGCGTCTGCTTACGGCTTACTTGTGACACAAGATCTCCGTGGTCATCGGCGCATCGTCAGCTGCACTGCCATATTCCCCTTGAGTCTTTCTGGTGTTTGCAACAATGATTAAGTCATGGAGGGTTCCTTCGCGGTAACATTCTTTCTGAAACTCTGAAACTCCCGACCACTGCTTGACGTCCACAATCAAGGTATCCATGTGAAGATGGGAAAATGTGACAAAACCTGTCCAGCAGTGAACTGCCTCTTAATAAAATACCAGAAAGAAGAATTCTATTGTTGCAAAAGGCAAGGCTAAAAGCAGCACAAAACGTATATTTAACAATATATTTGTATGTTCAATTTATTTCACCCAGGACTGTAAGGACGAAACAGAAAGCCGAGGCAGTTCAGTGAGTTCACAAACGACACAAACGCTGCACAAAGCACGGTCCAAACAGTCGTATCTGTGATTCTGTCACAATTTCTGTGGTCCGTGTTTTTTGTGAAAAGATTTCCTTACCGGCTCCTGATGCATTCTGGAAAATACAGGTGCTGATGTGAATGCGCTCTATAATTTGCACAACCGCCTCAACGTTCATTACCGCATGGTGCCGAATAATCCTTGTAAATACAGTAATAATCCACACACCCAAAGGGTGGCAGTTTACTGAAGTTACACGGAAACCAAAAACTCATTTAAAAAACTGGGAAAGTAAATTTAAAGCACATCATCCCAACAAGGACGAAAAAGAATACCGAATTCTGAATAGAGAAATATTACGCGTAAAACCATAGCGGGCATACAGCCTGTAAACAAACTGTTCAGTTTGCTCGAGATCGACAGCGGAGGTCAGAGCTGGTGTCTTTGTGGGCTCTTCAGCTTCGCCCCGTTCCAGAGCACTGCACGACGACGCCGGCGTCAAAGGTGCCTATGATGAGATGACCGACTATGGCATGTTAACATAACTTATCGGTAACGGAACTGAAATTAGAGACGGTACTTACAGTTACAGGCAGTGGCATCGCCGGTGGTGGCGTCTTAAACTCCGTACTGTCCAGTTTCCTTTTATGATCGGATTACAGATCGCGGCGATGTTTTAAAATGTCAGTAACATCCGCAATATTGGATGGATCACCACCGGCTTCAGGATTGGCAACATCCATGCCATGCCATGGATTCCATGGATACCAACAACTGGCAACAAGACGCGTTCATCTGCCAAACTTCCATGCACAGCACTGCCCACTCGGATCGAATAGTAGTATGAAGAGCTAATACATCAAGAACACAATCATGCCACAGTGAAAGAAGTCCATTAATTTTAAAACAGATTCATTTCTGCGACTTGTATAAATTTTTATCGCAATTTTCCGGAACAAGCAAGCCTGTGAATTCCACCGGATCACAGAATACTGCTTTCCCTTGATCAATGCCTCCATGGCCGGAACGAAACCGTTCACGTAAAATCCCAAACAATCCTTAGTATTATTATATTTTTTACATACTCCATCGTAATGACTGCACAAGTACGGTAATAAAGAGAATTTGCGCTTATTCCCGTCATTTTCTTTAGGCAAAGCTACGAAACATACTGCCACTTTGAATAACTTTCCCAATTTCTTTTTATCGGACTTCTGACCTTCGGAGTTTAAATTGAGAAGTTCCAGTCTTTTAAGACTACTGGGTTTCTGGCACTTGCTGGTTACAGTAATTAAATTGTAAGTAAGTATCATTCCTGAAGTATTTACATCTATTAAGTATTCAGTTCTATAATAAGTGATTCTTTCGTTATTTGTTGCTGTACTACCATAAAGAACGATGGTTCCCCTGCTGTTTAACCTTTTTCTTTAGCGTAAAAATTTAATCCGTACTTCAAGCTTCGTTTAAAATGTCATTTTGAACCAAATGGAACTACAACTGTAAGTGTCGCTCAGTATCAAGTATGCAATTTTTGAGCAAAGCAGGAACCTTAAGAAAAAAACACAAAAAGGTCATAAAAGCTTTTTCAAATAAGAAAAATGGTCTAGAGTCAACTTTATTCCTTGGTCCAAGGTATACACTGGCTGGTATCCCAGTAGTGTCTTCGCTTTTTCGCATGAATAAGTATGGTGGGTGCTAATAAGTGCCACTCGCATAGGCGTAAAGGTGGGCTGCCAGCTGACGAAAGGACTGATCAGCCGGCTGAAGAACGACAGAATCGTAGCAATAAAATACACGATCCACCGGGGAATGCACAGCTTTGGCGATTCATACCCAAGGCCATTTAAAATGCGCGACATGAACTCCCAAAACAGGATCGGCTCGTCATTTGTTATATGGAATGCGTGGCCACCTAACAAGTTAAAAAAACAAAATATAACAAATATAAAAATTAAACAACATCGACACAAAAAGAAAACTATCAGAGAATATTACAAGGAGAAAGGAACGAAATGCGAAGCTATGAATAATGAATACCCCACACGGCACACAATTTTAAATTTTTATCAAGTAAATATAGTGCTGAACAATAGGTTATTGTACCGATGTAACGTACTCAGGGTAATGATTATGAAAATATGTATGGATATTATGAACGAATGACTACGGAAAAGGTTTACTGTTTACTAAACCAGATTTCCAAAAGTGATACATTTAGAATTTTACGGAGATCTGAGATAAAGGAAGTTAATTCATCAAACGATAAATATTCAAGAAGCGAAGAGAGTAATTCTCAAGTCTCATAATTACCCAAGGAAGGATTTTCCCGCAACTTTTCCGCGGCCAGAACTAATCCATGCACCACATTCTTCACATAAGTAAAATCCACAACATTATGCCCATCCCCAACTATATATTTCATTTTCCCGGCTTTTGCCGCATTAATCAGCACCGGAACAAGATTGGGATCCCGTGGACCGAAAATTCCATGCGGTCGGACGGCGATCGTCAAAAGACGACCGTAGTTGTACATGTTCGCTCGCAAAATCAACTGTTCCTGGTGAATTTTGGTTGCTGTATAGGCGTCAATGGGATGGACGGCGTAGGGAGTATCTTCATCATCCCCGAGGATATCTTTTCCTTCGTACACGACGCTAGCACTGCTCGTAAGGACGAGTCGACTAACCTGTGGTTTACAGGCGAAAATTTCAGATCGCATTTCAAGTCGCAAAAACAGAATTATCTGTTTGTTGAGCAAAGTTAGCAAACAATTTCGATTCACTCATAAGAAATCAATTTTCAGCCTTCAACTTTACGGAATAAAAATTGTATCAAAAACAGAAGGAAAATAAAAGTTGAATTTCTGCAATTTTCACTACTCGTTTTTAATTAACAACTAACAATTTTTTCCATATATCTGTATTTTAATCAAGGACAAGGTGAATCTACCAAATGTAAATTCGTCAAACATTAATAAAAAACTTAAACACTCATGTTCGAGCGCGCATAAAAGTGCGCGGATTCTAATACCACTAAATTAAAATCCACAGCACATAGCTATCAAATTTTATCTACATAGCCGTCGTACCTGTGCTGCTTCGCAAGCCGCGATCACCGAAATCGTTCCTTCAACATTAACCTTCCTGAACAACTCCTCGTTATTACTGGCCGGAGAAGGAGACGCGCAGTGAAAAACGACGGAGCAGCCGTGCATGGCATGCACGAGAAGGGCCTTATCACAGAGATCTCCCACGTGGAACTCCACTTTATCGTCCTCAAAGGACTGCACAATGTCAAATACGCGCACATGCCAGCCGCGCTCCTTCAGCTCCTCTACGAGATGCCTCCCGAGAAATCCGCAGCCTCCGATTACCAAGCAAGACTCATCCGAGTGACTGCTGGATGTTCGACGATTTGACGAAGTCGGCTGTCGGTCTGCTGGCAGTGCTGCTTCATCGCCGCGATCTTTCCGTGGTCGAGTCATTTCAGCCGTCACCGGTATCTAAAACTGCAGAATGCAGAGCTAAGCAGACACTGAAAGGAAAACACACTTTAACACAGTAACGAAATAAGGAATTAGCGTGACTGCCGTGACAGAATCTCGCATCGACAATGCGAGTCGGTCGTTCATCGCAACGAAGCATCGCATTTTAAGCAGCGACAAGAATTGTCGAAAAAAGGGAAGACCTGGAATACTTTGCAGGATAAGCACGAATGCACTGAATCGGATCCGTCAAAAATACTTGACAAGTGAGTGCAACAAGCTGTTGACTTACTAAGCACTTACTTAATTTCTCTGGCAAATTATGCTATCCCGGTATCCCGTATAATCACAAGATTTACTTCATAAAACGTTGACGCTTTTCTTACTTCAAGGAACGTAGAACCATACCTAATGCAGGTAGCAGGTAATCAGATTACTAGTAGAAAAATGCGAGAATTCGCGCCTAATACTACTTACTCAAAATTTCAGTACTCGTACCTATTCGTTTAAGTTGTGAATTGCATGCGCCGCTCGACTACAGCGCGGCAGCCAAGAAGTCGATGAGACAGATCAGCTGTTTCGATTCACTTCCTGTGAAGTGTAACCCTTAATAATATGCCGCTATGGCTCAAACTTCAAAGATCGAATAATAGTACGAGTACATGTACCAACTGCAACTAATACGACACCGGATGCATTCAACAGAATAAAATAAGGTGAAAATTTTGACAGGTCGCTTTACGATATGCCATAAGTACTTACAGCAGCATGCCGGAAGGGCCATAATCGCAAGCATTCTTTCGATTACACTTACTTTACGAAGTACTTATTTTCCTTGCGGAAATCTTTGCAAAAATATATCCTGCTGGGCAAACCCTTTGAGCTCAATTAACTAACCATAAGCTGTAATAATACCAGATTTTGTGTATTTGAAAAGTTGGAAACCGCCAATAAGCACGCTTTGTTAACTATTGTAATAATATCGCGGTGCTGGGACAGTGAGTGAGACACACCTACCCGCAGCGCATACACAATACACTTAACATATTGTACAAAATAAATATGAAACAGCTGCTCTGCTTGTATCATACCGTAGCTTGCATCCATAGAATGCGCTACGATAACAATTTTGTGAACGTGTCATTCTTCTCTAGCTGCAGGTATGTACGACACTTTTTTGTTTGCGCTACGATAAGATTACGATAAAATTGTTTTATCTTTTAGGTTAAAGACAGAAATGTAATTTCCTGGCTTTTGCTCATACTTTTTTGATGATGTACACTCATTTCTTTAATATTTCATAGTTTCATTTTCCGTTGTTATATTATTACTGTGTCCAGCATTCATCGTACAAATCCTACCCACAGGATCCACCACGGTATGCAGGCACGCATTAGCTTTACTCGTTGGTTTAGGATTTGGGCAGTTTTTCGCGGATCACAATTCTTACTCCAGTTGCGCTTCTAATTATTTCAGGCCCAATCCAACCGAAATTTGGTCATTTCCAAGTTAAAGTGGACACAAAGAAATGCGGCAGTCAAGCGTGCTGAGAGTATTTAGAACCGCGGATTTGATCTGGAACCAACACAGAGCCCAGCTGATACCTCAAGCTCGGTAAGAAATACATTTAATGTGAAGCAAGCCTAAAGTAACTGTGCTAATCATCGTAACGAGTTCGCAACGCAACAGGTGCATAACAGTTACTAATAACTATGTATTGCATGCTTATGTATTGCATTGGATTTCTAGATTCCACAGGGCAGTTGGAGATTTTAAGTGTAGTGCAAATCTTTTTCATAATTGTAGCTCTCTCCATATTTGCATTCCACAAGAATACAAAAAGCGTCCTGACATCAAGCTGAAAGAGAGCTATATTCATCAGCCCTCTGAAATTCCTTACCTGGCGACTACATTGGGTCGATTAATTGATTATCAAGCGGAAAAAATCGGAGATCAGATTGGTTATGTCGTGAGTTACCAGAACGTGGAAAGGACCTACGCCCAGTTGCAACAGGATGCAGAACAGCTGGCCAGTGGACTGCTTGCGCTGGGGCTCAGCCCAGGCGATCGACTGGGTAAGTAAAACAGGTGTTTATATCAAGTCATGTAAAGCATGTTTCTAATTTTTAATGCAATTTCATGCTGTTTGCTCATTGTTTTGGTTATCACTATAGAGTACTTAATTGCGCTGAAATGGTGTTAATGATGTTGTTATAATTATTTACATACGTACTTGCGTTGTATAGAATTTTAATCTTATTTCTTTCGATATTATAAAACTTTACATGATGCCCCGTTCAGAGTGGGCTAGCGTTTGCGATTTTAATTACCGTTGAAATATTAAAACACCTCTACGAAAAGTAATTTCATGTGCCAACGAATCGTTTGCCTTCTGAGTAAAGAGCGCATGGTTCGGTAAACAAGTCACAATTGCACACTGGAACGCGTATGGGGTTTCTGCATTATTCCGTGATGTTTGCTTTACCAAAAACAACTACTTTACAATTAATTCTGCATGACTCGCAAAATTTTTTGAGTTGTATAGCTTTGACCGAAATACACTACCGGTAGTTTGTATACGTTGTATTACGCTATCGCAGTATCGCACATACAGATACGCTGCTTATCGGTCAAGTGTAGTTGACTTTATTGCAGCTGACTGCTGAAGTGCTGATTGATTATAATTATTTATGTTGTCAGGCATCTGGGGTCCCAATTCGTACGAATGGATCGTTACGATGTTTGCGGCATCCAAAGCCGGTTTGATATTAGTCAACATTAATCCAGCGTACAAAGTCTCCGAGTTGGAGTACTGCTTGAACAAGGTCCAAGTGAAAGCTATTGTCGCGGCAGAAGGTGTGGCCACACTAAAGTATTACGATCATTTGAAAAAAATCTTCCCCGATATTGAAAAAAGTGATCCTCACAAGTTACGAAGCACGAGGTAAAAACCGGGAGCAGTGATCTCTTACAAGCGACGTGTTAACGGTTCAAGCAGGAATGCCTTCATGGCCATATTGTCAGGCAGAATGTAATGTACAAAAGGATAGATTGATCATTTGCAGATAATGACAAATATAGCTGTCTAGCGAAATTTTGTCGTGTATCTTTCACGAAAACGTTGAATATAGAAGAATGCTGATTCGAGGATAAATTTGTAAAGGCTTCTTTGCTTTCGTCCGTAAGTTCATAATAACCAAATGCATACGCCGTATAGAATACGGATTGTATTTTATATTGGTAGAGCTCCTCATCTTAAACACGTCATCATGATGACCAACCGTCCAAGGGACTTCCCGGGAACGATTCCTTACTCCGAAGTTCAGAAGATGGCAACGCACGAATATACGCAAGTGGTGCATAAAATCAATCAGGAACTGCAGCCTGATGCTGCATTCAACGTTCAATTCACTTCCGGGACGACAGGATCACCGAAAGGCGCTACATTATCTTCGTTCGGCTTGATGAATGCTGCATATTTTTCCGGTCATCGCCTCGGTGCTGGAACTGAGGTAAAGTTATTTTGTGGGTTCCGTATTAACGTACATAATTGTATTTTGATTGCTTATTTTGCGATAGATTTATGTTAATGTTTTCAGTCGCGCTCAATTGTCTGCCCCCTACCGTTGTATCACGTGTTTGGCTGTGTTGGGAATCTGGTATTGGCGACAATATTTGGAGTAAAAGTTGTGTTCCCTACTGAAAAATTTGAAGCAGGCGCAACACTGAAAGCCATTCAGGATCAGGAAGGAAACACGGTTTCAGGTAATGAAATGTCATTATTATTTTTCAGTTTACAATTTGTTGTATAGTGGTATTTAGTATTTACCGTTACTAACTTACTACCCTATGTTCGGCCAGTGCGGCAGATATGAACGTTTTCTTGCTGCTGTAAACCGCGGCTACAGACTGGACTGTATGCACACCGGTCAGCGCATTAGTTGCATAAGCGGGTCACCTTTAACGGCATTGACCCCGTACTTTATCAAATAGTTTCCCCCTTCCATTCGAATAGGGTCTGCAAAAACTACCCTCACGAGGGTCCCCTATTTGGAAGATCTAAATAGGGTCCCATACTTGAGGGGTTGAAAATATACACTGGTAACTCCAGAACACTAGTTGATAAATATTTAATACGGTAATCATAGCTTTCAGTGGCTGCTCATTTGCAGTCTTCATTTTGGTGAGTTAGTACAGGGGCTCCACGAGACCCCTGACGACCTCGGGACATTTTTTTAGAGCAAATCTGACCTCGGGATAATTTTCAGCGCATTTTTCTGATATAGAAACCATTTCTCAAAATTTTTTTCGGAAGAAAAAATTTCTGACTGCCGGGGCCCCACACGCCCCTCAAATACCTTGGGCGGTTGCAATGGCGCCACAAAAATATCTTTTATTTTGGCCTTCTGAACACTTTTTCTATTTAAATCGATATCGCTGATTCTGAATATGCTATCAGAAAAATGGTTTAATTCGAAGAAAATAATATTTTTTCGATAAAAACAAAATTTTGCGAAATCAATCCAAAAATTTTAAAACTTAAAATTCTTCTTTCGTATAACTAAAACAATTTTTCTGACAACATATTCAGAATCAGCGATATCGATTTACCTAGAAAAAGTGTTCAAAAGGCCAAAATAAAAGATGTTTTTGTGCCGCCATTGCAACCGCCCAAGGTATTTGAGGGGCGTGTGGGGCCCCGGCAGTCAGAAATTTTTTCTTCCGAAAAAAATTTTGAGAAATGGTTTCTATATCAGAAAAATGCGCTGAAAATTATCCCGAGGTCAGATTTGCTCTAAAAAAATGTCCCGAGGTCGTCAGGGGTCTCGTGGAGCCCCTGAGTTAGTATCAGATACACTTTGTAGTGGGTGCCAGGATGTGGCCTTGGGATAAATGAGTTTTTATTATTGCAGGTGTCCCAACAATGTGGCGTGATATGTTGGACCATCCGGAATTAGCGAAATTGGATTTAACGTCTTTGAAATTTGGCGTTATGGGCGGTGCCCCTTGTCCTCCTGAGTTGGTTAGGGAAGCTAAGCAGAAAATGGGCATTGAACATTTTACGGTAAGTTTGATCAGTTTTATGTTTTATGAAAGCATGAAATTCAGTCGTTTGCTTTCTGCTTATTTACCCACTTCAAAGTGTGGTTATGGCTCAACCGAACAAGGACTGTCGACTTTCGTTGGTTACTTGGGAGATCCACCGGAAGTGTACACAACCACGACAGGCTTTCCCTTAGACCACGTTGAGGTGAGTTCACGAAACCATACTACAGGAGCCACAAGTAAAAGCGACAACGCCACTGACACTGTGAAATATTTTTGTTGTATTTTCAAGAAAGGAACAAACGATAATGTGACAATTTTTGTCTAGGCGAAAGTTGTGGATGCCGATGGAAAAGTTGTGCCTATTGGTATGACTGGAGAACTTCTCACACGGTCGTTCGGCACAATGCTGGGTTACTGGGGGGATCAAGAAAAAACTAGTGAGACCATACGGCCTGATAGATGGATGTATTCCGGGTAAACAGCCTATAATTTATTTTAAATGTTTTATTGAATACGGTAGCAGACACGAGAAATGAGTCTCCATGTTATGCAATTATACCTGGGGGTCAGTTTATTTTCGCGGTTATACCTGGTGATCAATTTATTCTCACGATTCTACCTGGTGTAAGTTTATTTATTCTCCTGATCATCGAACTGTACTGCATTATCGAAGTGTACGTAATTATTCTTGCAGGGATTTGGCAACCCTTACCGTGGACGGATATTTGAAAATCGTTGGTCGAGTAAAAGATATGATTATTCGCGGAGGAGAGAACGTCTACCCTGTGGAAATCGAAAATGTTCTTCACGAGTGTGGTCTCGTGGACGATGTGCATGTGTGCGGTGTGCCGGACGAGCGAATGGGCGAAGAAATTTGTGCATGGATCCGACTGACACCGGGTGAATATCAACACGATCCCAAAAACCGAGAAATTATTGAACACGAGATGCGGTGCTTCTGTCAGAAACACGTGAGTTGTTTTTTTCCGAGACTTATGATAAATTTCTTTTAATTTTGTTCGTGATGTTGCAGCTGGCGAATTACAAAACGCCAAAATACTTCGTATTTTTCAAATCAAATGAGGATATTCCCATGACCGTTACCGGAAAGGTGAAGAAATTCCGTTTGACGGAACTGGCGATCCCAAAGCTTGGATTGGATAAGCTAGCTGAAAAATCGGATGCAGAGAACAAAACAGCTGCGCCAGAAAAGGTCGCTGCAGTTAATTAACACGTATACTGAAGTACTCATACTGCATGCCAATCAATTGCTCCAAAAGTGTATAAATTTTATTTTTTCAGTCTTTTATTTTGTCATTGATTCACTTATAGTATTACTAAAAAGACATTATTAATTCCGCTATTTGGTTGTTTTACCCAGTACTTGAGCTATGATAGAAATTTTGGTTTTCTGTGGTATCATTTTTGCTGTACAAGAATCATTGCCATGAAGTAATGCACCCGAATTGTTCACATTCCAAGTGGGAATAAAAAGGTCCGCTAAAAACTGCTGAGCGGAATGAGTGGATTATGCGTGACAAGTGTTCGGAAGTGTCGCGTGGGCTGACTGATACGTCAGCCATTGGTGAGATGTCAAACGGAAATCAAATCACCGGTTCCGTATTCCTTTTTTGATTTGTTTTTCGATTTCAGCAAGTTGAGCTGCTCGACTCATATCACTAGACAATAATCGATGGACTTCGCCAAAGATTGCGAAATGACAAAATTGCTTAGGCAAACATACAGCATTTGAGCCGTAGTGAATTATAAACGGTGCGTGTCTGGAAGTGCACTATACTGCTATACGTAGATATATCTATATTATGCTTATGTACAAATATACAACTATATTGGTTTCCGGCTTTCATGTTAGCCATGAACTTGTGTTGTAAACTTTTGTTTGATAATCTGTGCAGTAATAAAATTATCACATGTTTCAAAGTTTGCAGGATTTTTCTTTTTTTCACGGCAAGTATTACAAAATAAGTTTTATATATCTTGGTTCTCACAGGACATCTTTGCTCAAATACGGCATACTGAAAATAAAACTTCGCGGGTACTGCACCACAAGCTTTGGAATGATATCGATGCTGACAAATAATGAATAAAGTGGCAAAAGAAAGTTTTTGTTCTTCCAACAACACTTTATTGGTATTAACGGTGTGTTTTGCGTTAGAGACCAATAATTACGTCATTCTGTATTTTTTGTGCGTTTTTGTCATATGAAGTAACTGCGATATTTTTCGCCTAAGATACTAAATGAAGGTTTAGTAATATCGAAAGCCGGTCAGTTGTACAGGAAGATAGTGTTGAATTTGTCAAAATTAATGGAACATTGCTATGCTTTATAGTTTATACCACTGTACGGTTTAGAGTACAATACATATAGTATTATCCTAATAGAGTTTTAGGGAACCGACCTTCCGCGTTTTGCGGTCGGTACACATTTCATGTCATTTAATGTTGCGTCTGTTGGACTGCTGTGCATATTGTCAGTTATTCTCTGATGCCGGGTAATCAGTTTTAAAATGTTATTCGATTATGACACGATGATATCCGCTTATTGACCATTCTTTCTCCATTGAGAAAAGTGCTAAAAGCCACAACTAGAGCGTGAACTGCGACATTCAAGTAGCCTGGTAATGCGAAAATTAAAGAGTATTCGCCTACACATCGGTGAGCAAATAACCCATAAATGCTGTGCATCCCACAGCAATTTTCGTAGAAATAGTCGAAATGACTGCAAATAAATGATGGATCTGTTCCTGTGACAGTGCCACAGTTGACAATAGGATCGTACAAATCTCAGTAAATCGTAATAAACAGAATACCAGAATCTCGTACACAGTAAAAAGAATCTCGCATAATTATGTTATCTCGTATTGTGGATAGCACAGCAACTGGCTACTATAAAATGAAAAGTTATAGCAAAGAGTGCATGAAATGCGCGTAAACGTCTTTCAAGAGTCAGAATGATAATTATGAATGTCGCTGTACATGTGTACGGCCCGGCGCCCGGGCAGCTGCAAGACAATGCTTACAAAATAGTACAAATTTGGCCGTAAAAGACTGCTGCGCAAGACTGCCGCGGTTATCTGCCTCATGGCTATGGACGCACACTTGTTCTTCCCTTTTGGCTTTTGTATTCAAGACAGCAGTAATCGCCAGCGTACATTCCTCGACACAAACACAACTGCATACTGCACTATAAAGTATAAACCGCGGCAGTGCGCGCTTGAGAGGTTCTTGTCGTTGGCGTTTTTCTTCAAGATTTTTCTCTCCAGTGATTTTGTTTGCGCTTGAGTTGATGAAATAATTATCATGGCTGTTTATAGCGGCAATGTAAAACCGCCACCAACGGCCGCCTCATTCTCTATCATTCGTACAAAGCAGCCGGACTGTTTTCCCGTCTTCACCAATCAAACCATGACCGCATCCAACAGGAATCCCTCTGCGCCGCGGACGGGTCCAGGTAAAGTAGATCTACGCACGAAACTTGTCGATTTGTTTGTGAGCGGGAAGAGAATTTCATCGCTTCACATTAGCGGGATGTTCCTGTCATTGCGCGTAATATCAATCGTCAGTTATGCGATTGACCGACATCCGTAAAAAAGGATGCGTGGACCAGCTAGTAGGCTAGTAGTATGCGTGAAATTAGATCGGAATGGAAACATCTAAACAGTTTCCGTAGAGCTATTCTTAAACGTTTTAAAATACATTTTTGTATCTGTGAACTGTGCACTGTGTCCAAATCGTTTAGCATTTATATACTGGCTTTAAAATATTAGTTAGAATTTGCTACAGTTTTATTGGCTGGATAGCGATGACTCACGCGTACGGCGACAACGATGGTATATTTAAAAAACAGCGGTAGTGCCGATGAGTGTAGCGTAACCACGGCTTCCCAGCCCACTTTTTGCTCGCTTGACGTTACGTTACCATATAATAAAAAGAAAGTGCCAAAAAAACACAAAAGCCAAAAATAGACCTGTGGCTGCATAGTAAAGACTGAAGAGGTTTTTGACTTTGTGTGTGTTTATGCACTTGCCATCTATACGGGGACCACCTACTAAGCGGCAGTCAAACTCAAGCGTTTTTATGCTCACACGGGCTTTTTTCCCCAGGACCAATATCGCAATATAATTCCGCGGACGACGATTATCACCCTAATCCAGCCACGATGACCATGGTATTGGGCAATAATGTCGCGGCTAATCGGGAGATGGCCCGATCACCGTCGCAGAATGGATTAACGTACGAGTATTTCTCCATTCCGGCCAGTCCATCACCGACAGGATCTAATCGCTCTGCCACGGATCGCGAACGATTGGAACGGAATATTGAACGATGGGAAACGGAACGCACCACCCGGCGGAATGTCTATCCAGCCGGAAATGGGACAAGTGAGTTTTTTAATGCCGCTGCTTAGCGTGGATTAGGGTGTAATTGATTTTACCAATGTGCCACTATTTTGCATAATTGCGTCAATATCAAAATGGAGCGATTTGGCTTGTGAAATTGTAGTTGCCGATTATGAATTAGGATAGGGTTTCTACTATTGCATAAAAGAATTCAACCCAATTGATAACAGTCGTTTTCTTAGAATTATAAAAACATTATTTAAAAACTCTTGCAAAAAAACATTTATGCCTGGTACAATTAATGACAGAATATATATTGCGCTTTTAACAGTTGTCGTAATTATGTTAAACCTGTGACCGCAAGATACAGTAACCGACGCTTTATTTCTGTAATAAGAAGTAACCGCACATGTCGCTTTCGAGTGCTAATTTATGTACCCTGCGCTCGCGCCAAAACATTTCCTTATATGTTTATTGTTTACTCCTGCACGGCTCCGAGCAAAAACAAATGAACAATACTGCGGTTGTAATTCTATTACGACGCTCGATGTGTACGTTATACAAAATCCAACAGACATTGTACAGTTTTCTGTGGTCGTTACTGAATCCGCCCCAACGTTTTCCATTAAATTTGGTCGCTTTTAAATGTTGATCCTTTGTAGCTGTATAGTTTAATACGTGTTTGATATACCGTGGTTTCGTCGGAATCTTGGTTTCCTTATTAATTGCTAAAATATACTCTAATTCATTCTGCCGACGCTCGATCTGTGCTTTCAAAAGTCCAGTTATTCCACTAATCATTTGAAAAATGTATTATTCCGAAGTTACGGAAGTTTCTGAATACAGTTCAGGTAAATTGCTTATATCTGTAGAACAGGGTCCGCGCACATTCGGTAGATACTGAAATGATGGCATTATATAAAAACTCTTTTAGGTATTGCGTGCTACATTAATTTTAATTTATCGTCATTTTACCGAAAGTGCACTGTTATACTATATATGTAATATTTGATAGCATGTTTATGGCAACGCAAAGTATCCGATCGCGACTGCGTCAGTATGTAAAATGTAAATCAGTGACTGAACCGCCTTACAAGCATGCTGGTGAGATTACAGTAGTAATTAAATATGATTTGTAGGTCTGCAAGGCGGAATTAGAACCCCACAAAAAATCTCCGACATTCGTACGGCGTACTCACGCAGTACACCAACTATCGGGCCCGTCTCACTACCGGCGCCCGGTACGAAGAAAAAACAACTGGAACGGTCGGTGTTTGAGAAAGAAGCGGAAGTGAATGCATTGACCAATCTTATGGTCACGAAGATGAACATCCCACTGGATCCCAACTCTTACGGTGCGCCCGAATAATTACACATTATCCGCCTCTAGACGTAACACAGCGCAGTAGCGCATGATGCGCTAATTATTAGGTGCCCAATGATCAATGTTCACTTGGCGTGTCCGGTGTTGTTCCATTGCACTATTTAAACCGCGACACCGTGTGTGTTTTTGTAGGTCTGTGCACAAAGTGTCTGCGATCGGTTAGATTCGAAGAGGAAGGATGTACGGCACTGGAGTCGTTATACCATACCCGCTGCTTCTGCTGTGAAAAGTGTGGTGAGTCGCATGAAGGTTTTTAATTATGGATGGTTACGCGTCTTTATCGGGTTGCCGGGCTAATTTGCATGTAGATTATCAGTTTATTCCACTGATGACGCACGACTGCCCAGGGACGGGAATTACCATAATAATGTGTTCTACGAGGGGATAGCGCGGTTTATTGGAGTGTAGTGTTTTTTTAGTCGAGAGACCACTCACCGCTCACTTAGCGGTGCCGGAGGGCACTGCTCACCCGAGATACAGTTTGTTTGGGAGACGTTTCTATTTTCCCGAAAACGCGCCGCCTCTACTGCATGACAATTAATATGTTTTATTCTGTGCCTGAAACTTAATGCAGCGAACAGTTGAACAAATTGACGTTTATGGTTCTTCTTTCGTTGAAATTCAAAATGTACAGTTTCCCGTGTGTAAATTTTTCCGCGTCACTTTACCCTCGCAAATTTTCGATTACTATGCATATGTAAGTTTGCACCGGGTTGCGCCTTTGTCCACAGCTTGAAATGCGTGTGAGCAGGGTAGTCATGCTTTTGGTGCGACTTGCAAGTACACCTACCGTGATTTGCTGTTTCTGTGACCTTTATTTCAACGATCTATTTTGACCATTTTCAAGGGGATGGGAGATGTATTGCTTATTGTAGCGATTCTTTTAGTAATATTTACGTCGTATGTTGCAGGAAAAGCCCTTAGAGGAAGTAGTTTTTATGTGATCGATGGGAAGGCTATGTGCGAAGCTGACTACATGGTAAGGAATAGTCACTAAAAGTATTTTCGAAGTCGATTTCCTGTCTTAAGTTGCCCTTGATCATGAACTTCTTAAGATTATAGATCTGCTGTGTAAGCTAATGTAGCCATTTGTTTACTGAATTTCTTAAATATCCACAGGACAGCCTTGAAAAGTGTGCAGCCTGCAAAAAGCCCATTACAGAGCGCGTAAGTGCATCTTCAAACAAACATATGCATCTCTTACATAATTACATAAACAATCAGCGCTATTTTGAAACCAATTATGGCCATTTAGAAATCGTTAAAATATTCTAATGAACGTTTACAATAACTGCCTTTGTGATGAACATCAGCGATTGCGCAAGAGATATATCTTGGGGTGAACTTCTCTCATCCGACGACGTCAGCAAAGGAACAGCAAATTTAAACAGATAGTAAATAGAGCAAACATAAGGCTAAAATTGTCGCCTGTGCAACCGGCGGAATGGCGTGAGAAAAGTTGCCAGCTGGTTTTTGAAAGCGTGGCTATATTGGGTACTGTAGTGTTGTTAAAATGAAAACGGAAGCACATTTCGTGAGTCTCTTTTAGTTATACTAAAGGAGAAATGTTGCCCGCTAAGCGCCTTTGCCGGTTGATTTAGATTCTTCGCGCTACCGGGAAGCCCTTTCATCCGAAGTGTTTTGTGTGCGTTGCGTGCAAGCAGTGCTTGGATGGCATACCGTTTACGGTGAGTTATTGGCAGGCGATCAGTCTTCAGCTTTTTTTCACTGGTTAATTTATGGATGACGAATTGACTATCGTTAAGACAAGTTGCATGACAATTGGTATTTGTTGCTCAAATACCACTACAGTAGCGTATGCTACAACTGCGAGATCGATTGTAATAGCTACAGTACAATTATATTCTATGTTGTGTTGTGTACAGACACATTCCAGTTTGTGTCAATATTTATTGGTGTTCGCGGGTACAGTATATCTTTGATTTGTTTGTTAACAACAGGTTGATGCCAACAACCAGATTCATTGCATAGACGATTTCCATCGGTAAGTGTAATAATTTCACGAGACATTATTACATAGAATTAAATACACATAGTATTAACCTAAAATAATAATATATGAACCTAAACTGCACGCTGGGTAAAAAATGTATAAGTTGATTACAGTAAAAATATTGAACCTGGTAGTAAATAATGTGATCTTACAGAGTTATAGTATTAGAGAAATAAAATGGGCTTACGTTTCCTTTGCTGCAGAAAATTTGCTCCGCGATGTTCAGTATGCAGTGATCCAATCGTACCGGAACAAGGTCAAGAAGAGACCGTGAGGATAGTTTGTATGGATCGTAATTTCCATCCCAAGTAAGCATGGATCACTTATTTTACCTTGACTGTATGGGGTCTGTGTCTGTATATTAAACAGATTGCCAAATTCGTTGTAGGTGTTATCGTTGTGTGGACTGCAAGACAACTCTGAGTTCGGAAGAAGAAGGCCGTGGATGTTATCCCATGGATGGACAAGTGTTGTGCCACAACTGCAACATCAAGCGTGTCCAAGCCCTAAACTACTGAGTACCCGATTTTTAATTACTTTTATTTGGCGGTTTTTAATTTGTGCCTGAGAATAAAACTTGCGCTAAACCATAATTATTATGTCATGCCTTATGATTAACTTGACTGCTGTATAAAATGCTGCGAGAGAATTTATATTTGCACTTACAGAATTTAACTTAACTCTTTATCGAAATTACAATTATACTATACTTTATTCGCTTTGACCATATTCTTGGTGTACTGTGATGTGGATTTATATAAAGCGGGGTCGGTCTGGGGCAGTAAAAAGGTTTATGCATATTGCACAGTCATATAATGTGCCGAATGAAAACAAATAAAATCAGACTGCTGTATTTTGTTGGCTGTTTGAAACTATAAATTATCAAATGTTTATAAACACGAACGGCCTTTATAATGTGAGAAAACAAGTACGGTATTCTTCTTCAAAAATTAACAAGGCACCAAACCTTTAGGAACACAAATCTGCTGACTCTGGTCAAATATCAAACCTTTAGCACAGTTAAACTCTAGCTGAGTGAAAGGCGTCAAGCACAGCAGGAAACTGGAACTGCATGGTTTGGCTGGATTCTGTAGTCGGCTGCCGATGGGAGAGCAGGTACCGAAGGATTGTTGTTTACTGCCGGGTGCTTTCACGTACTGCACGCGCTGCGACTTTTCGCGGAGGAAAAGTTTCGGTACAGACTTCCGCGGTGGCGGCGGAAGCAATGGAGGTTCTAAAGTCTCCGGAATTACAGGTGCAGAATCTGCCGCTTCGGTAGCGGTCTCCGGTGGTGGCAGTTGAGGTATGGATGCACTGTTTCCTTGAAGCTGGTCTTCTAGATTACTGCGGCGCAGTTGTTCTTCGAGGCTTATGACATTCTATTAGAAAAAACGCGACTTTAATTAAGCAGTGCTTGAAAACAAGAAATAAAATTAGATTCAGAGTACTTGAATATATATACTTCAGTACACTACAGCTAATTAATCTCAGTCTAGACAGCTTTTACAAAATCGTTAATTGAACGTAATTCCATCACTTGGTAAACAACTAAACTACATAATTAATTTATTATGATTTATACACTAATCTTCAAATTTAGTAATAATAACAATTTTAAATTTTCAGTCCTTTGTAATTTATGCATATTGCGGCTTGAGCTCTTACATTCTTCTTCATGAACGGTACTGGTGGTGGCGTAATGGGAATTCTTTGTACACTTTTCACAACTGTAGATGGTACGATCTTTGCCGGTGGAAGCTGTTTTGGGCCGAGCTCATCATCTCCAGTTTGTTGCAATCGGTTGTCACCGTTATCGTTGCCATTTAGTTTCGAAAATGCATCATCATTGCGGTCACCTTTGAATATTAGTCGCTGTTGTGGCGGCAACACGGACATACCGGTCGTCGTTCGATACCGGCTCTTATCCATCATAGCAGCATAACCGTAATATCCAGATTTTGGCGGAATCACTTCTTTGTACTTGGGCTTGACAACAGGTGGCGTAATGCTTTCCGCGGAGTTGGCACGAATCATCTTCCATATCGGGGTCTGCTGATTCGGATAGTTTGCATACTCGCAAAGTCGTGTCAAAGTCGGAATACGGAGGACAGAAATAATCGATGATGTTAAAACCACCGAGCTGATTGGATTCGCAGACAAAGTTCCGCTTCCCGCACTTTTCAACTACAGTCACTGCAGTGACCTCTGCGCTAGGAGTGGTCGATGCACTAATGCGGCAAGTAATATTTACAGGCTTCCCGGTGTCCAGATATAAAGCGTATTTAGGCGCAGTTGACGCTGCAAGTCGCGGTACATCACAAATTTGCATTTTAGGATACGAACACTTTCCTAATACCTGGAAATGAAATAAAACCCTAGCGGTAAATGGATATATGTACGTGCAGAAATATTTCATTTGTTTTGCATAATAGTATGGAAAGTCTAAAGTGAAAAAAAATCGACAAAATTAACTGCAGATTTTTTGAAAACTGAAGATACGAGAAAGCAGTTTTAAACATTTTCGATGCATCCCCTTTCCCTAAAAGTACTTATGCAAATATCACGTAAACACATAAAAGCAAGTCCAAAAAACAGATCGTTAAAACCGCTGTCTGTATCTCGTCAGCATACTGTGAGTATGTAGACCGTAGTTTACCTGAACACATGAATATTCGTAAGGAAGGAACGGCTTCTTGATTTTTGGGCAGTAGACCTGCGTTGTACATGCGCCTGTTTCCGGCGCACTAGTTGCCTTCTTTTTTGTAATATCCGCAACACAGTACTGCGGAATATTTTGGCTGCTCGATGTTTCGGAATAATCATACGCATTCCCATAAGCACGATTCATTAATTTCGAGCCGGCATCGAATGTATCACGTAACGTTTGAACCAGCGGGAACTTCTTTCCATAACAGAATCCATTGAAATCATCAGTCGTTAATGACCATATCATAGCTATGAAAAGTGACAGTGGTCAAACCGGAAAACAGTTTGATCTGAATAGAAAGTAGAACGGTTAGAATCTATGTGTGCCTTGCCGTACCTCCGCCCAGTTTGTTCCGCATGATATACAGAGCCTACACAAAAAACGACCGACACTTAATACTTATACCACTGTCATGCACAGTGTGTACTAAAATGTCAAGTGCAAAATGATACATTTTCTGTACAATATAGTTGTCTGACCATTGGCAATGTAGAAATCCTGTAAACTGCTTAACGCTACAACATAATTATAGAGTTATACCTTAGAGCGGGCTGATTTCGGGTTTTCATACGAGACCCACTCATTTTTTCGGTAACAAACAGGCACACCCGATGGATCCATGGCACTAATCCAACCCTTTTCCAATTTCATTCTTCTGCATATCTACAATAATCCATGTTGTTAAAAATATCTGGATGCCTTTCATAAAGCATAATATACAAAATCCACTGAAACACTCTAAAAAATTTGGTAGCTACTTTTATATGGGTGCTTTTACGGTTCCGTTTGGTTCAAATTGACCTTATCATAAAAGGCAGCTATATACGTCTCATGTCGAAGGCAACAAGAATTTTGCCGACATTAATCCTTTACCAACGGTATCAAAAGTGAATTAAAATTCATACATTTCTTAACTTTATGATACACTTAAAAGTAATTGTTGTTACAGACTTGCAGCGAGTCGCGACAAGGACAGTGATTAGGGTTTTAAGACTGCTGAGTACGCACCTCATAAAACGCCAAATAACCCTTCTCCTTGGTGACCGGTCCGGCATCGCCAGATCCCTCGTGTGAGCCGTGCACGACGGGCGCTGCATCGCGTGACACTCGAAATGTAACGGCATATGTGGGAATTCCCAAAATTATCTTTTCACTGGGTACTCCCTCCTGCAGCATACGCTGGCACGCCCATTCCTAGCGCATCGAAAGGATAATCCTGTTTTACCAACCGCAGTCACAAGACAAACACGACAAATAAAATTATCCCTCGTGCTTCTTCCCAGATATAAGCCTTACCGCGTTCAGCTGCGACTGCCACGATGTATCTTCCGGTCGTTTCGTCAGTGGATTATGGGGCTTGATTTCCGATGACCACGACGCTCGCGCGTAGTCATACGTCATTAAATTCACAAAGTCTACGTACCTAACACAAAGGTCACAAGGTTTATGTTCGTTTTCATGACTGAATTATCATTACACAGATATATTTCTGTTATTTACCATTTGGTTCAACGCTAAAACTCTAGAGTAGTTTTAGTGTTGAATAAATATAATACGTATTCACTGAACTTTTTAATATGTGGAAGGGTTAATTAAACTTAACAAAATAAATCAAAGTTGTACAAGGTACAGAATACAATAAAACCAAAACTAATACAAAGCTACAGGTACATAAAACAAAAGAGTACCTTGCATACGTTAATAAAAACAACGTGAGATAGCATTATAGCGGTATCAAACTTACTTTCCGAGAGATTTCAAATCGTAAGATTTGTCAAATTTATCCGGATGTGGCGAAATGGCTGCTGTTAGGAGAAGTCGTTCTTGTCCATTCTCCAGCTGCTCGGCATCAAAAGCATTGCGCAAATCCTGTGTACAAATGGTATGATATTATTGTGCCGTGGGAAGGGCACTTCCCCTGGAACTTTGTAGAAAAACCCACTTGCAGCAGATCAGAAAAGTTATCCTTATCTTCCGGACGCGATCCTTCACGGTCAGCCGGATATTCCCAGTCGAGATCTAATCCTTGAAAGCCGTACTTCCGCAGAAACGTAATAGCTTGTTGAGCAAAAGCTTCGCGCGTGTCAGACGAACTGGCCATGTCGGAAAACTCTTTCGAGCCGGCATTCCACCCGCCCACCGCCAGTAATGTTTTTATCGGTTTTGACCCTCTCTGAAGTTAACATTCACTCTCAAATGGGGATTTAGGCTCATTTAGCCTACTCAATAGAATAACCACCAGTTTTGTTGCAGCATTCACTTACGTTAATTTGATTAAACTTCTGGTATCCGCCATACTGACCCGTCCCATCCAGGTCAACTTGTGGATCAAAAGAAATAATTTCTCCGTCTTTAATAATGGCGAAAGCATAAATTAAGTGCGTGCATGGTGGTGGGCTGAGGGAAAACTCTGCACCCAGTCTGGAATCGACTCGGCGATACACCGCCCAGGATTCATAATAGCACACGGTTTTATATGATGCATTAACAAAAACCAAAGAAAACGATACCGTCAGTAAACATGCAACAGACTGATAAATTTTAGCTCCATTTTGCCGACAATTCATCTTGCGATTAATCCTCGATAATTGCCAAATCGCAGCATCCTTGTTCAGAGAGAATTTCAATTTAAAATGTGCCCTTTATTAGAACGAACGCATCCTGCGTGTGTGGCGGGTTTTGCGTTAACGCTCGATAACATTCAAAAATTTCTGGTTGTAGCAGAACAATCAACTCATAATGTACTGAGGTTGCATGTACTCATACTCATAATGTCACGACTTCACAGAATCGGCTAGAAACCAACTGACCGACCACGTTAATTTCAACGCTGACCTAAAAGACTCGCTCCATTTATTTATCGTACAAACGATTGGCTGTTTTTAACGTTCAAAATTAACAGTGTACACTCACTAATTAAGCGACTTGGACTTCCTTTAATATTCCACTCAATTATTCATTTCCTAGAGACTAGAGTACACATTAGTTATATGTAGGAAATGCCATAATCACATATCTGTTACCTTACATAGCGGTGTGATGCTCAAAAACTGTCGACAAACAAGTGACATATTCTGTATGTTTACTAAAAACCGGACGGATATTCCACGCATTAAACTTTTGTACACTGCGATGTAACCAGCGCGCACCTGAATGAAATCCATAATAATAAAACAGCTGCCATAAAGTGCCCATTAATACAGAACTGGAATAAACTGAAAGCCAAGCACAGAGTATGAGATGCTGTAAGCAATGTTAGATCAGAATCAAGCAGCATTTCAAATTTCATTGATCAAACCTCACAACCAGGTTTTCACAGATCTTTATCCCCTTTCTTTGCTACGGGAGAGGATATCTTCGGGAGATTCTCAGTTTCTTTTTCATCATCCGGTTGATCTTTGTCGTCATCCGGTTCATTAATGGATTCCCGTGAGCCATGCCGGAGAAGAGTATTGAAACTCCGTGCACTGGAATTACTGTCAGTCGTCTGATCAGAATCTTTTCCGTTGTCTTCCTCATCGTCCATATGCCGAACAGGAATGATGCTTCTACTTGGAATCTGCAACAAATGATCGTGCTGAACGCGAATCGTCTACCCGAAAGAAATTTGTTATAACAACGCCGATGTAATAATACCTCCGTAATAACTTCGATATGATCACGCAGTCGTTGAGGCTGTGTCGGACTGCCTGGTTCCAACTGAGGCTCCGTCTCGTGCACAACAGTAACATGTTTCCCACCACTGGACTTCAAACTCGATGCACCAGGTGAAACCGGTCCACCAGCATCGCCCGATGGGCCAGCTGCCACAATTTTCGGAATAGATGGCCTAGAAAAACAGAAGTCGTCTGGTAAACAAAGTGGCGTTCATGTGCAGGAATTAAAATTAAAGCTATACCGAAAGGGAATTCTTCGTTTTAAAAGATGCGAGTAAACACAGCAATTATTACTGGACACGATAAACGACATTATACTTTTTCGATCTTTTTCGGTGCCGTGGTCCACTGCCTTTCGGTGACAGGGTCGGCGAATCCAGAGAGCTGCGCTGATGTCTGGTAGGGTGCACTGCGTTGGGGCCATTTAAAGCTTCAATCAAGGAGACCACTTCGTAACCCGAAGGGACGTTCTCATCGGCATCTCCGTGATCACCTGCGCCCAATTCTTTCTTCTGCAAGGCTCTTATCTGTAAGAGCGCTCGGAAAGGCGCTCGGCATATTGGACAATTGTTGGCTTGATATCGCAAAGATTCTGCGCACCCATTACACAAGCACAGATGTCGACAGGGAAGAATTAACGTATCTCTTGTGTCCGACATGCACACCACACAATCTCCACTGCTGTCTTCGTATTCCTCATCACCAGAGTCATACTACAAAAACAAACACCAGCGCATAAAACATCGAAATTCTGATCCAGTAAAATATATCAGTGAAAGTGCAACTGGCATGCGCTATTAATTCCGCCTGCTGATCGGATCGATCTGTACTTTCAGAAATATTTTGTGGTCCCATCGCATACGCCGTACCAACTGCCATAAAACTTACATACCTCAGTGCTGCCAGCAGTTTTATTCTCAATTCCATAAACTTCCTGTAGAAGATAAACTAAGCCTTGGATGTACAACTTTTGCTTTAAGGCCTTCAACGAATATGTTCCGTCCGAAGATTTCTCAATGACGGCAAGAGTTGCATGGCACTGCCGCCCATCTAGATCAGAGAAGATGTTTTTTCAATCATCAATCATCAGAGTGCATAGGCTCCTTTTAAGTTGAACAGCTTTGTGCTAATCGCCGATCACTGAAACAGTTGTAGCGGTGCGTACCTTCTTCATCCTCAGTTGCGCATTGAATTACCACAGGAATAACCTCTGTTTCCTCGTTATAGAGCAGCTAAACGGAACAACAGACAACTGTACATCGGACAAACTACGACAGACTGGCTCTTTAGTAGCCCACTTGAAGCGCACCTCATCTTCCGAAAATCTACTCGGATCAAAAACGTGGGATACTTGGTTGAACAGCTGGTTAGCTCCGGCTTTATAGTAAAACTTCTCGGAATTCAGCGACGTATCACGGGATGTGTAACTGCAAAGACAAGCAATCGAAAATATCAACTTGACGCTGGATTCAAAGGAAATACGAACGTACGATAGCGAATGATTCGTGGCGTCCTCTTTGGCAAAATACATAATCCGCACATAACAGGGAACATCCACATCGAAATTGAATTCCAAGTTGTATCCAGTTCCCATGCCGTAATCATTAAGAATTCTGAAAACCAAAGACATTTTCAGAAATTCCAAAAATGATTAAAAGAATAAAACACACAGACATCATTATCACTGCAACCTGCTCTAATAAAAAATATAGACGACATGGCTGCATTTCATCGTAAATGTTTAAAGTATACAACTGTACTAGGAAATGAAAATCTAAATTTTAATTTGTGCTAGTTTTTAATTTGGCACTTTTTTTAGAATGCCAAACTAAAACAACTGTACCACAAATTTCTGAACAATTTTCAATAATAACTACTATGTATCTGACCGCAGTTTGTACCAGAAATCAGGTTTTGAAATCAACTGAGCAGTTATTATTTATCATTGATAATTGTGAGCGCTTACCTCACAAGACGTAAACTTTCCCGTCGGATATTCACGACGCATTTCAACGGTTTCGCAAGATCGTTAGTCGATGGCATCACATAAGGAAACTAGCAAATAAGTAAAAACTGCATCTTTCGTTTCGGAGCGATACGGCCAATACCAGAAAAAGCATGCTTATCCGTATTTCAAAGCGAAAACCTACTGGCACTGGTTTTGTATTTAGAAAATTCAAATCGTTGTTATCTCCAAACAAGTATGCTTCTGGCTGGGGAGAGTCAAACCGTTCCCCTCCCATTATGAACTGCGTAGCAAAGTATGAGCCTACAAGCAAACCAACAAACGTTAAGGCACAGCAGAATAACCAACTTTCGTACAAACGAATTGCAGCTTGCTGGAAAGTATTGCTTCTGCTTACCAGCTTTTGGTGGATAACGGAAAGCATTAGCCAAAGATCCAGGATCGCTGCTTTCGGGATTTCTGGAAGTTCTAGATAATATGGCTCCCATTGTGGATTACTGAGCCAGAACGTTTTAACGCTGCAACAACACTAGCGAATTTGATGCAAAACACAAGCAACCCAACCTCTAACAATCATAACAATAACATCATCTTTCTTTCATTAATTTTAACACGGAATGCTAATCGATCAGGAAAAACACTCGTGCGAGCGATGCTGCAGACGCATGCTGGTATAATTCAGCGCTCTCAGTAAAACCAACAGACTTGAAAGTGCCTGCCGTTGAACTACGAACCGGAAGACCGAAAAGCATTGACTGCATTATTATACTACCAGGTGAATACCTGCCTTTGCTTGGTGGATTTCGCGATGACGTCACAACGTTTAAATAGTTTCATTCATTGTTATCCGTTCTCGTCAGAACAGCCGAAAGTTTCCCGCCAGGATGCTGAACTTCCGGTGCGCAAAAAAATTAGAAATGGTTTAGCCTATTCCTCTATTGATAATAATATTCTCTACTCTGCAGTCTGCACTTATGCCTTATGGCTTATGGTATATTTTATTTATTTATTAATACAATGGGTAGTAAAAAGACTTTATATTATACTTATTGCTAGTACAGGCCCAGAACCGCGCTCTAGGAATACAAAAGGAATGAATGAATGGATGAATGAATGTTAATTCATTCCTTCTGTCCATTCTAGCAGAGCATATTGCGCATACAGAGTATACTATATAGATGATGAGTCATACCACTGAGTCACCTGAAAATAACACCGACCGACGGCGCATGATAATTCCACAATTTTCTGCGTTTTCACAAGTCACAGTCACAGACTCGTAGTTATTTATGAATCAAACAAAATTATCATAACCGGTTTTCCGCGGTTTTTGTATCTGTCCTGTAGGTGTGCTTTACCAACAAATAATTTGCACCGTAGGTAGACTCTACTTGGGCGAAAAATATTGATCAGTAAAGCCGAAGGAGCGCGTACTTCGACGTTATGGTACGGTAGAGCGCGTATGTACTCATTATTGTAGTGTACGTGCCGTGAGGCGTGATCTACATGTACAGGCAGTACAGCCACCGCACCAAGCGCCGATTCGAACGATGACGAGATTTTCCAGCCCAGTTTAGCAGTGCCGCCACTACGTATGCTTCGGGGTTTATAAACCCGATGAGGTGCTGATTTGATTTCTTTCGTCGTTTTTGATTTTGCTCGAGAGCGAACAAGGTGAAAAGGTTTATAGTTGCTTCTGGATTCCAAACGTTCAGTGTGTCTGAAAACAGTGATCGCGTGATAGATATTGTTTTTGTGGTTAGTTCGCGGCTATCAGCGATTGTCTTACAGTAGAGCTGTTCCTCGTCCGTCTTCACCTGTTGTTACAGTTCAACAACTACGATGGTGGATAAATGCTTCATCACCATTCCAACCAAGCCGACGATAGAAGCGGAGCTGAAAAAACCTCTATCTAATGCCATAACAGCAGTGTATTCTGGCGAGAGTATCCAGGATATAAACCAGTCCTTGGATGAACTGGATAAACTGAGGAAAAATGCTGTGTGTCGCATTCTGGACCGCCATGAGTCATCCCTTGAAATCTTGTACAAGTAAGCAAGGGGTAAAAACATGATCACAGATCATTGCTTATTAATTTTTTTGTACATACGATTGTATATTTTAAATACCTTTTACTTTACACGCAAATGATATGAATAAGTTAACTTACAAATAATATGTGATGATTTTACACATAACGTTACGTTTCCAAGATTTCCTAGGATTAGCGGTTAGTTAACGTGGAGAGAAACAAACTGTTGTGGCAGTTAAACAATTCAAATTGTGCAAATTGTTTTGTCCTCTCATTAAGAGTATGCTTCAGATAGTGTATAAACTTAATTAGCAGCATACTTTTTCCACATATGCACGGTATATCGAATTGCGGAATGTTTGTTAATTAATTGTGTGATGTGTAGTGTATTAATGTTTACTAATTAACTGTGTGAATAACGTGTACTTGTAAACAGTAAAAAATTATTATGGTTGTAGGTATTATGATCAGTTACATTCACTGGAGATGAAACTCCCATCAGCGGAGCATCAGATACCCTTTAAGTGGAAGGATGCGTTCGATAAGGGAGGATTGTTTGTCGGCCGGATGTCGCTGAGTAGGTGGAACGGGCCTCTGATAGTCTGATCAGGATAATCTGTGCCAGGTCGCGATCAGTAAACAGTACCTTGACCTGATCGTGTCGCATACATCTGTTGGTGTGACATTTAGCAGAAGTCCAAACTTATTCTGGTCTGTGGACGGATATTTTGACTAGTTATGATGACTAAATAAAATTTTAATGATAATATCGAAAATACTGAATCTGTTTTCATGAGGACTAATTAGCTTCTGGCTGAAACTGCCTTAAAAATGACACTGTTTGGGTCTTTATCTTATTTAAAATTATTATTTCTGATAAAGGAAGATGTGGTTTTTATAAACATTTTGAAAGGAGTTGTTATTAATTTACATATTTTAATCTTTTTATTCTCATGGTTTTACAGCTCAGGCGTCTCTGGGATTTGAAAAAATCTGTGTTATGTTCAACATCGGAGCCATGTTGAGTCAGATTGGGGCGAATCAAAATGTGGAATTCGATGACGGTCTTAAAACTGCCACCAAATATTTCCAGCAGGCGGCTGGAGTATTCAACTACGTGAAAGATCATGTGTTGGCTGCCATTCAGCAGGATCCCACTCCAGATCTGTACCCAGATTGCCTGAGTGCTTTGATCACTCTAATGACCGCTCAAGCACAAGAAGTCCTGTTCATGAAGGCCACTAAAGGTATCAGCGATTCCGCAGTAAAGTCATAATATATACTCTGGTAATAATTTTTTGTTACTGTATAATTTTATCACTAAAATTTCAGCATTTGTTGATAATGTTACAGAGAAGATGAAGGATGGTGTAATTGCCAAGGTCGCGGCACAGACAGAGGATTATTATGCCGATGCCATGAAACTGATGCAACGGGAAAGCATTCGTATGTGCTGGGAGAAGGTATTAAAATTAATGACAATTTTATAGGAAGTTTATGGAATGTGACAAGTACACTACACACTGACAGTTTGCGTCGCCACAGGACTGGTTGAACATTATCGCTTGCAAACAAGCTGGATATCACGCCATTGCCGAGTATTATCAGGCTCTGGTCCACAAAGCCAACAAGGAAGTCGGCGAGGAGGTAGCACGTTTGAAAGTAAGTCTGTCAGACGATGAACATGAATTACGCATCAGTTCCGTTAGTATAATCAGTGAACCGTGAAATGGATTCTACATGTGCGATATGTCACTTTGTCACGTTTGCTCATTCTACAATAGGCGAACAGATAGTCGTGTATTGTTGTGTGATAAAAATATGACTAAGGAATTGTTCATTTTTGAGCGGCATTTGAAAGTGTTTTCTAATGTTCCATTGAAATCTGTGGCAGTTGATTTATGTTTTATGCAGCAAGCGCTGGAATTGATTCAATATGCACGGAAGAAGTACGACACACCGGCTTTTCCCTTTAAGTACGCTGAAACAATCATTCAGCGGGATTACGATGCGGCGCGCAAGGATAACGATTTCATTTACCATGCACGTGTTCCTGATATGAAAAGCCTGCAGCCGATTGGCCGTGCTCCACTGGCGAAACCAATTCTTCCTTCTTTTCCGCTTTCAGATAAATTTGTTGGTGAGCTTTCGTTTTCTGAATATATACTTTGCCAGTGTCGGTATTGACAAAATTCTGTTCTAGATTTATTTGGCGCTTTGGTGCCAGTGGCAATTCAGCAAGCTACTACCGCACATAACACGCGAAAGCAGGAGCTGGTTAACCGCGAAGTGGCTAACTTGCGCGAACAAACGCAGTTGATGAATGCGTAAGTGACTGACCATTTTACACCTCGTAGTCAGTGATGTAACGGACCCATGTTCGACGTCACAGTTTGTTGGCTTCGTTGAACTTGCCGGCTGCGTTGGAGGACTCTTCAGGTGTTGATGTACCCGAAAGTGTTCGTCAGAAGGCGGCTAATATCAAACAAGAAGGCGGATTGGATACACTAAAGGCCACCATGAACTCTTTACCTGATATGCTGCAGCGTAACAAGGATATACTAAATGAGGTTTGTAATGCTGATGGTGGCGCGTTTAATATGGAATTGGGATGTAAACAGTAATTTAACGATTTTTTTTAGTGTGATCGTCTTCTGCAAGAGGAACTGACTTCCGATGAACAGCTCAAATCGCAGTTTGGTCAACGTTGGAATCGAATGCCATCGAGCCAGTTGAGTGAACCACTGCGAACGGAATCAGCCAAGTATCGCGCCATCGTTTCCAATGCGGAGAAAGCCGATGCCATTGTGCGAGACAAATTTCAAAAGCACGAACGCGCCATGTACTTGTTGAGTTGCTCAGATCAAGAGCTGGTGCAGAATGTTCCATCGGCCAATCCCGTTAAGGGCCTGCTGAGTAGCCCGGTGGTCAGTAAACTGCGCCTATTGTTGGACACTGTCGATGCTATTAAATTGACGCGGGAGAATGCGGAGAACGATCTAAAGGCTGCTGTTGTTGAAATCAGTAAGTTGACCGGTTAAGAAGTTGAGCAAAAGTATCATGTTTACTAAGAATTCTGCAATACTTTGAATGGCTTTCGTCATCGATCTTTTTAATTACTAGTTGTTCGGTAGAGGTCTTGCATCAGTAGTTGCTGCCTTGTTAGGTGTATTTTTTGTGCAAACAATGGTTACAGAAACGCAGTCGAAGTCGGCGCGAATTGGGTTAGTCATAAGAAAAATGGCTTGCGCGCCGCAAGTTAATTTTTCATTGGAAAATGTGAGTCATAGTCTGTAACGCACCTATGAGTAATGCGCTTGTTGCTCTATGTGGAGTTCAGTGGTTCTGTTTGTAATTTCTTTTGTCAACTTGTGGAGCAGTGTTCAACAGGTCAATAATGTGGCTTCACTATCTAGCAGGTTGCACGGTAATGGATGGTGCAGAAAAATAAACTATCGCTATAAATTATAATCATGATGATAATCCCGTTGTATTGCAGAACCACGTCTTCTTCAAGAGCCCAGTATGCCGGCAGATGCCGTATATGCTTTGTCGGTGGAGGAGTTGAACCGTGTCCTGGGGCCTATTCAAAAGAGCATCCACGAGACCTTCACCCTACAGCAGACAATAATGCCGGAAATACAACAACTGAATGCTGAATTCTGTCAACAGAAGAGCGCCAACAAAAGCGCTGAACAGCGCGAGACCGTACTCAAGGACCTGGCTGCCGCTTACGATGCATTTATGGAGTTGAAGGCCAACCTGAATGAAGGAGCCAAAGTATGTTGAGTGGGGATTAACTAACTTGTCAGTAATGTTTACTTTATCCATGACGAATGTTAATGGACTTGTTACAGTTTTACGGTGACTTGACCGAATTGTTGCTGAAATTCCAAAGCAAGATTGGTGATTTCTGCTTTGCGCGGAATGCCGAGAAAGAGGAACTGCTGCGGGCAGTGCAGGCTAATATCATCAACAAGCCCACAAGTGATTCAGGCGTTCCTAAAGCGCCATCGTTCCATGAAGGTAAACAAAACTCCTTCAAGCTTGTTGGAATAGCCCTGTAATAAATCCAGTATGAAATGTTGATGGCTTCATGCAGTTCCGACCAAGTTCTAAGGTTGGGTTAAGTGCTTATCATTTAGTGATGAAGATTATTATGAAATACATGCCAAATGATGGATGCGAGATTTTTGCGTTCGCCTGTTTATATTTCTGGCGACATCGACCATTGCCTTGTTTTAGTTATGCTTCATCGTTCGTTCACATTTTAAATTTTTTAGAATGATTTTCATATTTTAACCAATAAACGTTTGCTTCTGTCAACAGGGACGGAGGTCAGCCAAAAACTGCTCCACCGCCACGACCTCCTCCGCCCAGCAGCGGCCCCGGCGCCTCGGCTCCTGGCCAGCCCACTAATCCACCACCAAACGCCACAAGCTCACCTCCCTCATATCCACCTCATCAGGGCGGTATGCCGCCAGGCTATCCGCCACAGAACTATCCCAATCAGGGTTACAATCCCTACGCCGGGGCTCCTGGAGCGCCCTATCCGGCTTTTGGCGCGTATAATCCGCCTTCTTTCAATCCGAATATGGCGTATAATATGACGTATCCGGGAGCGGGCGGACAGGCCTATCCTTATCCACCGGCGCCGGCGTATCCTTACCAAAACCCTTATCCACCGGGTTACCCCCCGGCCCAACCGGGAATGGAACACTGGCAGCAAGGTCAGCAGCAGGGAGGATACCGGCCATCGTGAGATGCTGATAATGGATCATTTTTTCTTGGTGTTTATGGGGAGGATGGGTTGGATTTTGGTTATATATTCCAGTACTGTTTGTTTGGTTTGACTGGCGGCGCGGTTTGGTTTATTTTTTTAGTTCGCTTCGTTTCCTTTTTAATTAGCGGTGCTAAATAGTTATTCAGAGTGGATTTTTAAGCTAATTATTGTTAACCGTTCGTCGTAACTAATGTTTTAATCGTTTGCCATAATTTTGAATTTTGAATGCTTTTTCGTGATTCACTTCACATATTGTTGCTCTTATTGTCTAGTTACCGTTATTTAACTCAGCATGGAAAATTGCAGACTAGATTTATAGCGCTTGAATGTATGCGTATAATTACAGATTACAGCCGACCACCGATGGCGAATGAGCTAACCCGATAAAATTGTGATAATCTGGAAAAAATGTCGTGTGTACGAAACTTCTGTATACTACTAAACTAGGTGGGCGAAATTCTGATTCCGCACAGCGTGCATTTCAGATGTAGACGTCAGAGAACGGGTACGAGAGTAAAGGTCACGCACAACCTTTACTAGATTTAGGGATTGTCTGTTTTCCAGTACTTTCTTTTCTGGAATACTTGGGAGTAGTTGAATGAGTTTTCCGGTCCGATAAAATCACCTACTCGGGTAGCCGTTAAATTTCATATACAGCATTGTTGCATCGTGGTAGTAGAAGTTCAAGCTTTTTTGCTATTTCTACAACTATGTGCAATCAAAAAAATTAATTTACGGATATCTGTATACATGTAATTTAACTTCGCAGTGCAAATACGATAAAGCATTATTCTTCTTATATTGGTTATTTCCGATGAATAACTTTTTAGACCCATATCTTCCGGCACAAAACGGTAATGCGATAATGTGAAGTAACGTTCGTTTTACTCATTTTCATTATTTCAATATGTTCAGAACTTCAGAGGCTGTGTATAAACACATAAATGGGAAATGCAATCACAGATCAACGAAACTGTGCACAATACTGTAAGTTCTACGTTTCAAAAGTCTAAAGATTTCCGAAAGAATGGATATTTTAGATTTTGTGCAGATATACAATATACATATTTGAATGTTAGGCTTTAGTTTCTTGGATACTTCTTTACATCTGTATATGCAGAAATGTTCTGTGAGGCACAACACGATCTTAGTTAGTCCTTAACACTTAACAGTGCCAGGTCCTTTGCTTAACATTTTTGCACAGCATATAAATTCATTAATTTGTTGACAATTTATATGCCATTCTGCGCACTGTGCGATTTAGTAATCTTCTAAAAGCACGAATGGCAACGAACACCCGCCTTTTGATATTCGCTAACACATTAAAAAGGTCCGGCAAAAAACAAAACCGGCAAAGCACAGCCGTTTCGGAATTATATTGCCGCAGTAATCTTGGTCCACTGAGATGATCAATCTTTTTAAGTAATTCCGCGGATATTTTACAAGTTGCTGATTATATACGAGAAAACAGCTGCTTCGGTGTTCTCTGAATCTTGCTTTAACACTCGCGCATTTCGCTGGTGCATTTTTTGTCATTAAGGTCAATTCCGCTGATTACATGAACATATGCTAATCGCCTATCATGCGGTAGTCAACAAAATAAAAAAGTGATCGAGCATTTCCTGTATCAAGTAACCCACTTAGCGGAAGTGTTCGTAACGGCGAACCCACGAAATGCCAATCTTATTTACGCTGTACAATGCTCACGCAGCATCGGGATTATACCAGAATCATACAATGTAACGAAATTTTAATCGGCTTTGGAACGTCGAGGTTAGAAAAAGTTAAACTGATGTAACACATTAACTACCGCGTACGCGCGACATCGCCATCTAATTAGCAATTAACATTATCAGCGTCTGACATTAGGAATCGTCTACCGTTGGATATCCAAGTGAGCCAATTTAATTATACTTAATATGCACTTGAGTGCACATAGCGAGACAATTATTGCGCAAGCACTGCTCAACGCATCACCGTTCCATACGAAATACGCAACCAATGTATTTTGCCGGTTTGCAGTGAATCCTCTTAAAGCCGCCACTTCCCGTCGCAGCAAATTATTTTCTTTAATTGCTTCCCGCCGAATCAAAAGAAATGCTGCGAACGGCAGCACTTTGATTCACATTTAATAGCGTTAATATCCACGTCGGACGTCGCTGCCGACTCGACTGCAATCCATCATTATAGCAGCTGCTGGTGACGCGTTTCGCGCATAAAGCATTATAAAAAACTTTTGTACGGTATATTCGCGGGATCGATAAAATACATTTCCGTGACTTTACTGCAACGAACGTCTTATTTGTCGGGCAGTGAAGGAGAGCGATCGTGAGTGAGGGACGTCTATGGATACGGCTAACGTAGACGGAGGAAAGCCAAACCAGTACTTTTTGGAGGATTGGTTATAAGTGTACGGATATAGGCCAATTATTTTATTGGGGAGATCATGACGTCCACGGGGAAGAAACAGCGGCTTAAGGAGGATCAGCACTCGCCGGTGGAGATTACGCCACTGAAAAACGATATCCTCAAACAGGCCAATGGACTGAATTTCCAACTCAGTAATACCGCAGTCGATGATAAAGCAGTGCTGGCCCAACAGCTGGATGTGGTGGAGAATGGAGGGTCACCGGGTGAGGATGACCGCGAAGGGTGGGACAGCAAAGTGCAGTTTCTGCTGAGTGTTATCGCCTATGCAGTGGGTGAGTATAATAGTTATATGGTAGAATAATTATAACAACAGACCATAACGATTGCGGCATATATACACATATATATATTGTGTCAAATGCACCTACTGAAAAATTTGTGTTAAATCAGGTATCTTCTGTTATAGCTGTAGCAGAGCCTAACCAATTTTTTATTCTGTAATATATTGTTTCCTGCAAAGAGTAATCAAGATTAGATTACCTGTAAAAGTATGCTTAATCAAAAATAAAAGCACATACATGATATTCGATTTAAACTAGCTTCTTGCTTGTGAAATAAGCGGAATATAACGTTAACCGCTTATTTTTAAAGATAGTTTATGAATAAAATATAAACTTTGGGTGTCTCGGTATACATATATATGTACAAGGACACAAGGTATTCTCCAGACAGGTAGAATACTCCACATAAACTGGTGATACTTTTTTAAAGCCTGTGTCGCTGATATGACTGCATTTTAAGGCTAGTATAAGTACAGTAATACTGTATTGTAGAGTGCGTTTTTGCTTTGGATTTGGAATATTACAGCAAAGCTGTCCAAATTTGGACGGCTTCGCTGATAACCCCCGGCTCGGTTTAGCAAGCCAGGGCGTTATAGGGCATTTTGAAATATGGAGTAACGGGAAAACGCAGCATGTTTAAGGGAGTCGGGACATAAGCATGCGAACCCTGGCAGCGAGACGGCTAATGCAACCGGAGACAGTCAAAACAATGACAAATGTGCTCCAATTGCACCACGCGGTGTCTGAACGTATTCGAGAACTGTAGCCAAAGATCCGGTTAATTGACTTCTGGGATCGCAGATTTGCACAGCATATCAAGAAAATTAGGCGGGCAGTTAATTATCATAAATAATGCTTCATATTACGTAATGCATTCTATACTCTGGTTTGTTTGCTGATACTGTATACTTTTATGCACAGGTTTGGGAAATGTTTGGAGATTTCCGTACCTCTGTCAACAGAATGGAGGAGGTAAGGCAAACGGCGATGCGTGCAACATTAAACAGTGTAAAAAAGGTGTTTGAGCGATAATCAATACCGCTAAACATACAAAGATTTCAATTGACAGCCTTTTAAAGCAGTACTTTATGCCCCAAAGTACACATTAAAAAACCAATTTACTCACAATAACTCTTCCGCTACAGAAATAAGTTGTATTCACGCGGCGAAGAAGCCGCTCCAAATGACTAAGACGATGTTTAGTGTATCGAATGTGATTATGCAAGGATGTTTTGGGAGTAGATACGATTAACTTTCATGTTTATGTGTTGTACTGAACTTCGCAGGTCCTGTTTTCGATACTGTTTTTCAACATAATCGTTTAGATTGTGTTATAAGTAGTTTATGCGGGAACGGGAGCCATGATTAAAAGATCACGTTCAAGATCGATGATCACATACGACATAATACACGTACAATTGTACAATACTTATAAGTAATAAATAATAAATGGCCCGTCACGAAAGGTTTTGAACAGCCGGTAAGAATATCATCTGCACACGGCGATCTATCTCTACCATATGCTGCTATTTATTATACATTCATTATAAATTTTGCATTTGGCACTTTTTATATTTGTAGGCGCTTTTCTGATACCTTATTTCATCATGCTCGCTATCGAGGTTCGTGGCACTGTTTTTGAGGGAGAGAAAGGTCAAACTTTTCTCAGGTTGTCTATATCCAAAGATAAGGATCCGGATGTCTTTTTATGATATGAAAATTATGTTTCTCGAGCAGACGCAAAATCGTTTTCTTGCAGTTAATTTATTTTGTAATAGGGAATTCCGTTGTGCGTTTTGGAACTGGGCATCGGGCAGCGTCTGCGGTTGGGCAGTATCGGTGTATGGAACAAAATCCATCCGTACTTGGGTGGGCTGGGCATAGCCAGTGCGATCGTGGCCTTCCTTGTTGGAATGTACTACACCAGTATTATCGGCTGGTGTTTCTTCTATTTCCTCAGTTCTTTCCGTACGGATCTCCAGTGGGCGGAGTGCCCAGTGGTACCCGGTACCAATAACACCATCGAGCCGGAATGCGAACGAACGTCTCCGACATCGTACTTTTGGTACCGCCAGGCACTGAATATCACCAACGGGATCGACGACTTTGGAGGAATACAATGGAAGTTGGTGGGAACGCTAGCCTTATCCTGGATCACGATATGGGCGTGTATGGCGAGGGGAATCGAAAATTCTGGCAAGGTACATGCAGCCATACAGGCATTCTATGCAATGACTATGTCGTACGTGCGCTTCGTAATGTAATTCAACATGCATATGCCACGAGTATTTACAATAATCGTGGCGTGACAATCGTGACTTAATTCTTTCTTCTGCAAACGATGGATGCTTTTGCATATTAAGTTGCATGCAAATAGTGGTGACCTTACGTCGGAGCTTTGTTGACAAAGAATGTTAATAATAAATTACACCTTAAGCAACTTTGTAAAAAATTTCAGATCATGTACTTTACTGCCGGATTTCCGTATTTGGTCTTACTAATCTTTTTCGGGCGCGCCATTACGTTGAAAGGGGCATCGCAAGGAATTATGCATTTGGTCACCCCGCAAATGGATAAGCTGCAGGATCCCATCGTGTGGCTGGATGCTGCCACGCAGATATTTTACAGTCTTGGACTGGGATTTGGCTCTCTTATTGCTTTTGGTTCATACAATCCGACCAAAAACAACTTTGTTAAAGATGCGGTGGTTGTTTCGCTGACCAATGCCTTTACTGGGATATTTGCTAGTTTTGTTGTGTTTGCTGTGTTGGGATTCAAAGCTGCATTATCCGTTGAAAACTGTGCTTGCCGGTAAGTTTCCGAAGCAAACAGAAATTGGATATATTGTACGAGTATTTAAAATTGTCTGCGCTTAATAGATTAAATTTGAACGAATAAGACCTTAAATTGCTCTCATTGTAATATAGTACGTTTCGCATGAGAGGTGCGACATAGCGTAATGTTCTAAGATTTTCACCACACGCTCGATCTTGTTGTCTGTTTAGATTTCTTTCCGATATTGGACCATCGCTGACGATGACCCCGTGGCCAGCCGTCGAGTACCAGAACATAATTAGCACTTCAGATTTGTGTGTCGAATACTACCATCTGTTAGAATCGAATCCAGCTACCTACGGAATTTCCAAAGATTCATTTACAAATGCTACATGCACCAACAAAAGTTTCTGAATGAGGTGAGTGTTCCAACAGTAAACACAGCTTTGTCTTTTACCTGTGTCACCGTGAAATATTACTGGTACCGCAATAATTAATCTAGCGGCATTGATTGTTTATTTCGTGAATGTTTTGCAGGCTTCTGAAGGAACGGGCTTAGCGTTCATCGTCTTTACAGAAGTAATGGTCCAGCTACCCGGTGGCCCTTTCTGGTCAGTGATATTTTTTATGATGCTGCTGGCTCTGGGCATGGGCTCCATGTTCGGCAACGTTGCCGGTATCCAGGCCAGTATTGAGGATCTCAAACTGCTTCCGTGGATGAGAAGAGAAGTCAAATCAGGTATGATTATGCTTTTTAGCACTGGCACACGCAACCTGATTATAAACACTACAGATAATCCTAACGACTGTTTTGCAGCCATCAGTTGCGCGATCTCTTTTCTAATTGGACTGATATTTGTAAGCCGAGCCGGTATGTATTGGATCGGATTGTTTGACAGTTTTGTCGGATCCTTTTCGCTGCTTATTATTGCTTTATTGGAAATGATTGGAGTTTGTTGGATTTTTAAATACTCAAGGTATGCAGCATGGTATACTGGGAAATTAATTAAGAGTTGTAGAACAACATTGACTGTTCAATTTGCTTCGATTACGATGGATGCACTATTGTCTACGCTGGTGACCTATTAAATATTTTATGACAGATTTGCTGCTGACGTAAAGGATATGACCGGTCAAGCACTAAGTTGGTATTGGTCCGTAACCCTTCGATTCATCGCCCCGGCATTGATAATTGTCGTGCTTGGAGCATCTATTGCCATGCGTTTTATAAACGGCGTTTCGTATTTGGTATACAGTCCGGAAGATGTGAGTTACCACTTTTGGCCAGTAATTTCAATAATCATGCGGTATACCTATAATATAAGGTGCTATCACTATTATTGTACACGTAAGTCTGTCATCCTCAACAATCACATAAACATAAACCTTCTGTTGGAAGCTTACACAACTGGGTACAAATCAAGTACCTAACGTCACAGATTGAACAATGAATTTTTATGGTAGGGCTTAATGCACTCCACGGCGTACCCCACGTGGGCACAGTGCATGTGCGCCCTACTGGTCATCGTGGGCGTAGGTCCGATTGTGCTCGTGGCACTCTTCCGGATGACTGGACTGATCAAGTACGAGCCAGATCCCAGTCTAGTCAATGCCGGCTTCAACACGTCAGCTTCCACAACCATGTTTGTGCGCAGTGGACTAGATGACCTTGACAATGAGCCTCGGACGTATGGGACTTACTTGTTTCCCACAACAACAGGCACTGCGGACCAGCTTCACTAGATTAACAACTGCAAGCGCTTTTTTTCACAATTCACTGCGATAAACAAAGTATAATTAATTGGAGCGAAGTTATGCAAAGATTTGGCGGAGATTATATTAAAGGTTACCCTATATATATGTACCTATATAGATATGAGTTCCGTTTTGCATATAAGCCGACATAAATTGTAGTCATCGAGTCGAAGACTCTTCGACTCTTCATAATACTCAACGCTTAAAATTTTATTAATTGGCGCAACAATGATAGCAGTACTTAAAAAGGCTAAACTCTCAAATATATTGTTAGCTTACAAGTTAGCTCAGGAGTTTCTCCCAAAAGTGAACAGCCGGCCACCGTTTGTACACAATACGGCTGAGTCCTTCGAATTCCCCGCCGGTCCCATAGCGGGACCCACTTTCCGGTATATCCCGGCCCGTGTGCCGTAATTACAAGTCTCACAATGATGGCCTAAGCCACGACCGGCCCGATTCCCGTCCTCGTAGAGAGGGAAACGAATCCCGTTTGACGTTCGATTCCAGCCCTAAAATCAAACTCCCTATATCGGCTGCAGTCCGTTAAATAACGTTGCATGCACAATTTTTTCAACTCCCAAAAATTTACAAAGCAAGCACAACGATGATTACTTGCCAATTGCACACTTTTTCACTTAACTCATTTCATTCCATTTTTACAAGACGCAGTGTCCAGTTGGGCAACATCCGTAACATACAATAATAAGAAAATACATGAACGCGACAGTTGAGCTAGCGCCGTTTTAACCATCAGCATCAATTTGTCCATTGAGATAAGCGCAAGAGCGTGGAGGCGATCAGCACCGTGAAAGTACTCTCATCGCCTCATGCCGGCGAAATTGGGAGCCTAAGGGGTTTACTAAGTAATACTAAGTTTACTGAATCGGATCAGCAGTAAACAGCAAATTAAACAGCAAACCTTACAGAAAGAAACACAAAAAGTAAAGTAAAAGAACGGCGATCCGGTAAGTATTAAAACAATAAAAGCCGGCTAGAAATTTTTGTTTTTGGTATTAGTCCGGTTCAAAATAGACCGGAAATTTAGTAAATCCTGACAATTGTGAGAATTCTGCAAAAGCTGAGTAACGCACGAGATAAGATAAGCGCTCATAACTGGTCCAAATTGCGATGAGGTGTCTTTTGCATGTTTGTATCCACGCCGCAAATATTCGTAAATGTTGCTCTAGAAAAAGCTACTCGAGAGTAGAATATTCGAGCGTCAAAGTCGCCAATTTGGATATTTCTCATGCAGACTCCTGTGCACACATTTTAATGCTTACATTTCACCGCGATATTCCGTAATCGTACACCTCCGTAATTATCCATTAATAAGTACTCTAACGCCTATCGGGTATCGTCGGCATTGCTACGTCCACAATCGTAATAACTAAGTAATTAATAACATTATAATTAGTGTTAATTGCTCATGCGAACACATTCTGGTAGCGTAAACCAGAAAGTGCGCGTAGGGCGCATAAGTCTCTAACATAACTTATAAGTTACCACGACATGTTAAAATGTCTAATTAAAATTAATTAATTAATAACGGGCTCATTAGAATTTAAAATTTTGCAGATAAATGGTGTGCACTGTATAGAGTATTGATTAATTCGCTGACCGGCTGACGTTTATTAACTTGCAACTGTAGCGTTAATTAACTGTTTTAAATTAATCGTTAATTACAGGAACTTTTTTATTTTTTTCATTAATTTGAAGCACTGAATTCGGTAGGCAATACATATTTTATAGGTAAAGTGCAAACTGCAAAGTAAAATTACAGACTGGAATGAAAACACACCATAAAGCAAAATGTCGCACGGTTTTGCGCTCCCAAAATTGCCCGCTCGATGCAGATATGTGATGCATCATTGCCGTGCAGTTATTTGATGTTTGTTAAGGTTCAAAGTTCGATTTTTTTAAGCGTGTGTCACAGATTTCCTTCGCTGATATCTTCATAACTGAATTTTGAGCCTAACTATTGTCTCGCTGTACATTTTCGTTAGGAACTTAGGGCGTACGCATCACGTATTACGTCACGCTACGCCCTGCATCGATCACTGCACTCTAACTTGTACGATATGAGTGTACAATGTACATCCACAAAAGCGTAAACACAGGTTTATAAGATCAGTTAAATATCAGAGACAATCAGTTTTCTAGATGTTTTTCTTAAACCAATATGCATCCGCTATTATTTCAAAACCAGTTCTTTTTGCAAATAAGGGACATTATTGTTTAATTGCTGCCTTGCGATTTCGCATCGAAGATCGATTACCCTTCCCATCGGCGTTAAGGCGCACCAATCACGCCACCAGCGACGATCGATGTTTCATAACCCAGCCAGTTATTCCCGAAATAACTTCACCACCGCAACACAACCGACGCGCTTTCGGCTGGGATTCAGTCGACCGGACGTGTGTAGTCGGGAGGATGTCTTGCAAAGTGTAACAGCTATTTCCCGATGTCCATGCGCTCAAAAATGTGCTTGGATAGTCCCGTTAAGGGTATCGACGGCGATCGTTGCCAGTGCTCCCGGAAGCAGGTCTGCAGCGATGCTGGCTGCAGTGGCAGTGCGCCCTGCAGAATGACCGCCGATACCAGTGTCCAGTCCGAGTGCGGGGCAGTTGCGCCTGCCGCGCGGTTCCCCACTGTTCCAACGGGGAATCCGGCTACGAGTCGGGATCATCGCAGCCTGGTACCGACCACTTTGATTATGTGGAATTTGAAGGGAATATTGAGGGTGTGGATTTTGACGGGGATATCGATGGTATAGAGTTTGATGATAATTTTGACGGTGTTGACTTTGAGGACGGGGCTAATGTGTTGAGTGCAGTGGAGATGCTGCGACCGACGTCGTGGCTGTCCGCGAGGGAATCGTCATCCTCACCGACGCCGCGGGCCCATGTGGCGAAATTCCTTTGTCCGCGCTATAAGGTGTATGAGGATGCGCCGTCGGATACGGAAATCTTTACGGGGCCCGCTGGAGGTGATGTGGCCATTGAGTCCTGTGGATGGGAGGTGCAGATTTTCGTTGATAGAAAACCCGAGTAAGTAGGCGTAAACACTTAATTCCTCTCGTATTTCTTGGTATTTAATTTTGGTAATTTGTGTCAAAATTGTAAATGCGCTGACGCCGCCAACTATTCATACACTGCACTCTAATATACTGGGATATGGCTAAGGCTATTAAAGAAGTGTTACACATTGCCAAATTTGTACGCTTTGTTTTTTGATAGATATCTTTTTGCAAACTTTTAAAATATTTAGAGTTTTATATTGATTTATGACTGTGTTGGTATTAAGACGGGTGCATTAACGATGCCGAAACTGCAAGCAAAAAAAGTTAAAAATGGAGCAATCTTCCATTTTAAAATTGGATTTACCTGAAGGGATACTTATTTTTCCCGAAATTCCGTTGTTTACGCATGAGGTTGTAACGTAACAACAAAGTTAAGCAACTTCTGTCAACAATTTGTGAAGTATTTTGGACTTCGACATGCTGAATTTCGTAATTAACAATAAGTGCTAAACAACATTAGTGATCAAGAGAAAGTTGTTATGTGAACTGCATATCGAGCATGTTTCTTGTCTTGATGTGCTTGATGCTTTATAAGAACCCAGTTACATATTTTTTTGTGATATTAGTTTCTGCGTTCATCTGGTTTCTTTATTATTTTGGATGTTAAAACCTTTTTCGAGTACGGTTGTTGAATGTGTTGTATGGTTGTATTGTTAGTTGGAACATCAATGTGTTCGGCAAGAAAAAGGATTTTGTTTTTACGCTGTCATGTGAATGTGACGTTGAGCACGATTAATAAAAAAACACTTCTGGGCAATTTGCCCATGACACCACAGTGCGCAGAATCTATCGCCTAAGGAATGACATCGTTAAACAAAGATTTCTTTTCAGCCCGTTAATTACTGCGAAATGTCACATGAGCTGTCACTAGACTGCGAGGATGTTTTGATTTTTGGTGTTGTTTAATTTATCAAATTTATAATGTAGGGTTATTTGTACGGATCGCCTTGTGGTCCGCGATGCTGACGTCGGAACTATTCAGATTAATGATTTCCTTATTGAGCCGGATAGCGATTTAGGGTGTGGATCGTTTTATACGTTTCGTTTGGCATCTTCTACAAAAGATCATGGGCTGTATGCTATCAAGTCAATTTCCAAACGAAAAGCTCAGAAAAACTCCATGCTATTCAAGTAAGCATTGCCTGACATTTTATGATAAGAATGCATGTCACTCATTACGACCAATTTTCAGACAGTCAAAAAATCCGTTTTTGAACATTGAGAGGGAAACATCGATACTAAAGAAAATCTATCATCCGAACATCGTCAAACTATTCGAGATTATGGACGATCCGGAAGAAGACAATATGTATTTTGTATTCGAATACATGGACCGTGGTTGCATTTTAACCATTCCAACTGGTAAGCAAGCTTCTTAAACTATTGCATGCATGCCGCATTGTAGCGAGCACTGATCAGCGGACCAGATGTATTCGCGGAAGCGTTCGAGTGGTGGTAACTGGAAACGTTGTTAGACGTGTTCTCAGTATTTAATATAGAGCAATAAACTTCCCTTGGTGTATTTATAGATACTCCATTGAAAGAATCAGTGGCCATATCGTACATGCGCGATGTAAGTACTTATTACACCCGTTATGATATTTGCGATTATGTGGTACCGTAATATTACTAAACAGTGGTATTATGGTGGTACCTAAATTAAGTTACAGTAATCGTATTGGATGCCATCAGCCATCAGGTATTAATAGTGATACAGTGATACTTGAAACTGGTTAACAAAGAAATATTATTAAGAAGTCGCTGGCAGCAGCTTGATATTGTTTACGGCTTGGGATAGATTTGCATTCACGCGAGCGTGAGTCCTCTTTAGCGGAACTAAAGTTTATTTGATGTTTTACTATCGCCGGAGGTATCGATTTTTCCTCCCAAGTCGGACGATCAGCATTTCGAATTTTAAGTGCTTCTCTGTAGAGACTCACTAAAAGGGATCTTTTACGTAGTGGATAGTGCCACACCGGAAGTCATACGATTTTGGCGATTTACTTGTTTAGTTTGCGGGCTTTAGCATATCGAAGGGACAAGGTGACGCGTCACATTATCCCAGTATCGACCGTGGTTGTGCAGCCTGGTTAGCATGACTGCATGAGACAGGGTGGATTTGATTGGCTGTAATTTTATAAGTCAGTGTAGGCAAAAATCGTCTGGATTTGAGATAATTTTGTGGAAAACTAATGGTGTACTTCGCGAAAGCACATACGATTTTCCTCCTAGAGCGAGCAATACCGAGCGTTAGGCTTTGCCAGAGGCGTGTTGTAAGCCGGGTGACTTTTCATGATCATGCTGATACCTATCAAAAGTCACGTGAGTTAATTACTTGCGAACGTCAATACCGACGATGGAAGTGGCCTTTAATTGAGGATCACGTCAGTTCCATTTTAATTAAAAATACGTAATTCCATTGCATGATTCCCGTTGTGAAGAGGTTGTTTTCTCAGGCTTTGTACGGCGTGGAATATCTGCATTCGAAGAATATCATCCATCGCGATCTCAAACCGGAAAACATGTTGTTGAATTCCTTTGGGAGGGTAAAGTTAATCGATTTTGGATTGAGTTTCGTCCATGAAGAGGGAAATGACATCACTCGTCTACCCTACGGTACGCCGTCGTTTACTGCTCCGGAATGTCTGGATGGAGAATTACCGGAAGGCTATTCGGCACGAGCCATGGAAATGTGGGCGTTGGGTGTCACGTTGTTTGCACTGCTGTTTGGACAGGTGCCCTTCTATCACGATAATCTCTTTGAACTCTACCGGATGATCCAGGAAGACCCGGTTGTTACTCCCACCAAAACATGTTGTCACATCTCGCTGAATGTCCGTGTTTTGTTAAGAGGGTGAGAAGTGATGATTGAATATCATGAGTATTGCTAATTAGTAATTATGCAGTTCTGTTAATACTGTCCCCGTTAATACTAGCTTGCAAGCTTGTGGAAAATTAGTAATTGCCTTTGTTTTTGTTCTGTTAAAATTCCATTGCCGTCACTGAATCTTCCTTTCGTCACAGACTGTTTGGGAGGAGGATGCAATTTTTGCACTTTCGAGATGATATAGTTGCAACTGATCTCTTGATGCGTCGTTGTTGTTGCAGGATGCTGGAAAAGAATGTTAAAGAGCGCTTAAAGTTGAAGGATATCTTGTCTTCGACGGTGTTCCTTTGGAAAAATTCATCCTATTATCTTCCGGAGCGTTGTACGACCTGCCAGTATTATAGTCCTAAATCTTGCCATCCGGTTCCGGTATGAGTGCGCTTCATATGGAATCAACTTCGAGTTTATTCAGATCATTTATTCATGTGTTTCATTCAGTCTTTCCAAATTCAGACAGCTGTTTTATTGTGACGGTTGCGAAACGATTAAGATAACAATGTGCAACCTGACGTTTTCGGCTTAAATCGATACTTTTTAGCTTTTATTTTTCAGATCTGGATAATTTTGCCTGATTAGAGTTAACTTTATCTGCAGAATGTATATCTCTTTAGTCAACCGTAAAATTTTTAAGTTTGTTTGAATTTATAATTTGTGATATGGAATACATTTCGTGAAAAAACATTATTAAAACGAATAGCAGAACATTTTTAGAGTGTTTATCTGCGCCTGATTGTAAACGAAGAATACAAAGATACAAGCAGCAAAAATCCAAAAAAACTGCAACAATGAATTTAGACTTGGAACGAACCTTTAGGCAATGACGCTGTAGTGATTGTACGCAGAAGAAAAAAACGTGAAAAATCACCGGAAACATGCTGACGAGGCCAGCAGTGACCAGTTAACTGAATGTGCGCAACGACAGCCACACTAGTGAATACTCATAAAAATCAAAACAAAACTTCTACAAAACAAAACTGTAATTGATTTTTGAAGATACTACGTCTCGCCGACATGTAGGAGAAGACATAAAGCAAACTCCTGACCGTACTCAGCGTCAGTGGGGTTGCGGGCTGACCTTCGCGCCGGGGACTTTCGCCAGAGTCTGCAAGTTTTATAGTTGTCACAACGGAACGTATATGGAATATTAATTATTTTATGATAATAGTTGTCGCAACGAATATGGATGTTACTGCATATACTTGGTTACTTGTCACAAAAATACTATAAAGTTTTTATTGCGAGCCAATCAATCCGTCGATATCAGGGATGATAATAAATAAATATACACCTTCAAGAAAATGTAGGTTGGGAATGGTTTCAAAAATTTTGCTCTCGATTGATAACTGCCATTGTAAGAGAGAAAGCACTATATAATCTCTATATAATAATCGCGTAAGTTTGGATCATCGCGTAAACTGAAACAAGACACACTCATCGTGTTACACATGGTTAAAATGCCAATAATTATTGCAAATAACAGCATTCCAAGTGAATAAACTTTCGGCTGCGTCGTAAAAGTTTAACGTAGCAAATTGTACGAGTATCCAAGGGAAAATAAATTTCATGTTATTACCTGGGACAAATCGATACCGTTGATGGCATGGATAGCCGGTGGAATTTGGGCGATAGCCTTCGTTAAACCCGTTAATAAATCCCCGTTAGCACCACCCAGAACCACAATTTCATTGGTTTTGGCCAGCGGTGCGGCAATTTCGTGCGCGATCTACAAATAAAACTCAGAATCACGGCTCATAAACTTAATATTGGTCGTAAAATCACCGAGTATATTTCTACGAAGAGGTAGCATAAGTAAGTTTTCGTCGTCGAGCTGCATGGACACTGTGAGGATTGTCCAAAAGTGAAAAAAAAACATCGAAACATACGGATGGCAGTTCCGCAAATAGAGCGCTACGTAAACATTTTTTGAAACAGTAAAACAATTCTTTTTGCAACTTTCGAAGAGGCTTTCAATACAGCACTGTCTCACAATTATTTGAATAGTGTCTACAAAACTCAAAGTTGTCCACCACTAACCAGGCCCTGACTGAACCGAAGCTACTTGCACTACGATACGGTAAGATAGATGCATGGTAGCATACCAGCTTGTTCCTTAACATCAGCTCAGGATTGATGTAGCCAGTATTAAAGTCAGTTGATTTAAAATAATGGCGACCACGTAACAAATTGTCTGTATCGCTGCTTACCTTCGGCAGTGCATCCAGTATCAGACTAACTGTAGCCGCATTTCCGTACTCTTTGTAAGCGTAGGCACGCATCTTCATGGCTTCAGCCTCGGCTTGACCTTTCGCATGAATTGTGGAAGCTTCCGCCCCACCTGACAAAAGAAAGAGCGTTGTTATTGAGAAATTCTGCAGATCTTTGCGATTGCATTCTGACAAATAATATTTTACCAATAGCACGAATCCGGTGAGCTTCAGCTTCGGCTACACGAAAGCGTCCGTTACGGTCTCCTTCAGCGATTAAAGCCACTCTAAAGTTCGGACGTATATTACAATATTATATTTATTAATTAATTTATGTTAGTATATATTATATAATATTAATTAATTTAATGTTAGTAGTTGTCACAACGAACCGTTTGGCTTCGTAGTCAGCGGGCAACGTGACTACCGTTTTCAGCTCCTTTTCCCGACGAAGAATTTCCTTTTCTTCGATTTCAATTTGCTTCCTACGTTCCACCACTTCAATGTTGATTTCTTCCGAGCGAATCTTCTGCTTTTCACGAGCCGCTTGCAATTCGTACGCCAGCTGAGACTCGGCTTTCTGAAACGATCAAAATTCAGTTTCAACGACTTATAACAATCTGAACAAAAAAATAAACACGAACGCATAAAATGGACGCAGAGCAGAACGGCAGAGATATATAGATACTATTAACTATACAGCCCCCACGCATGAGAACGACGGACAACCAAACATTTTTTCATTTCTGGGCTGATTGCGAGACAGTAGGCGCTGCTGACCTTCGTGTTAACTTCCTGTTCGAAGACTGCCTTCTGCAGCTGGTACAGACGTCCGGCGTTTTCAATATTCGTGCTAGCCTATTACAAAACATCGCGTATAACCACGCAATCTTGCACACGAAGACAACAGAGTACTTTGAATTTGACGTCCAATGCCAATCGTTCGTTTTCCGCTTCCTAATGAGAAATATATCAGATCGGCCCCAACGATATGGATTATACTGCTTTATCCCGCACCTGGATACCAGCGTCCCTCTCCGCCTCCGCCACACCGATGTTAGCATCCCTTTTCACAATAGCCTTTAATTGCCACAACAAAAAAGACAATAATGTTAGTTAATTGCCACAACAAAAAAAGACAATAATGTTAATTAATTGCCACAACAAAAAAGACAATAATGTTAGTTAATTGCCACAACAAAAAAGACAATAATAAAGTTAGTTAATGCCACAACAAAAAAGACAATAATGTTAATTAATTGCCACAACAAAAAAGACAATAATGTTAGTTAATTGCCACTACAAAAAAGACAATAATGTTAATTAATTGCCACAACAAAAAAGACAATAATGTTAGTTAATTGCCACAACAAAAAAGACAGTAATGTTAGTTAATTGCCACAACAAAAAAGACAATAATGTTAATTAATTGCCACAACAAAAAAGACAATAATGTTAGTTAATTGCCACAACAAAAAAGACAATAATGTTAATTAACTGCCACAACAAAAAAGACAATAATGTTAGTTAATTGCCACAACAAAAAAAGACCATAATGTTAATTAATTGCCACAACAAAAAAGACAATATTATGTTAATTAATTGCCACAACAAAAAAGACAATAATGTTAATTAACTGCCACAACAAAAAAAGACAATAATGTTAGTTAATCGCCACAACGATAACTTACCGTTTGCGCACGACCCAGTGATGACAGGTAGTTGACGTGATCGAAAATTTCTAAAAACAGCAGTTTTAAAATGAAATGACGAGATGGTACACGGAAGGGTTAAACAATTCTGCAGTCGCCGTAATTGATACGCAGCCAACAACTGGCAACAAGTATTAATCTACCTTTGATCGTGAAAGAAAGGATTTCGATGCCCATTTTTGCCACGTCCGGGGCCGCTACCTAAGAATATAGAAACTTCCTAGAACCAACTTCACAGAAAGCGTGCATTCCAGAACACCGTGCTCCCAGTTTCCCATCTGCGTATGTACGCTCAACGCGCTTTGCGCTTTAAGTAATTATGCGCGCTACTTACTTCCGTGACCTGGGCAGCAAAACTTTCTCGGTCTTGATAGATCGCTTCCACGGTTAAGCTACCTACAAAGACGAACAAAACATGTTTCACAAACCAAAACCTATATTTGTTTACAGGTAAGTGAAAAAAGTTTTGCAAAACGTACCCAAGATAGCGCGTAAATGACCTTCCATAGTCTGAAGAATGACCTCTTTAATCTCCTCAACAGAGCGTCCCAAAAACTGCACAACTGCAAAACACTGATTTAAGCAAAGGGAAAAATATTTCTGAAACCGGGCACACTTAAATTTATTTTTCACAGAAACACAATAATTTTGACACGAAATTTGATAGACGCTACTTGAAAAATTTTGCAGACCATATTATTAATTTTTTATAGTTACAGTGACTGGGAGTCTTACTTGCGTTTCCTAGAAGCTCTTCCGATCGCGTCATAACCTGTCAAACAGGAAATAACATACAGAATATGTACAGTGTGGGAAAACTCATTAAACCATGCTCCAGTTTCTATCCCGTAGCATTCTAGCTACCAAATTTAATCCGTTAACAAAACAGAGCGGAAGCCAGTGTGTATGTACTTACTTTGACTTGCGCTACGCCCGTCACTGTCAGCTGGACACCTACAACCAGGCACGAAAACGCGTAAGCCACAAGCAGTTTTTATCGATCGCTTGGAACTTATGATCCCCAATTTTGGGGTAACCGACACTCTCTGTTTACCATAATAAGCGGAGTGTGCCGGCAATCTACTTGAAGTACGGCTTGTCATAAATGCTACAAACACTATCGTATGCGTTAATACCACAGCATCTGCTGCAGCTCAACATCAACACTCAAAACTCTGCAAAAACGAAGCCACAAATGTGGCGCGACCGTCCCAGCACAACCTTAAGAGTACTATAAAAACTATCAACTAAAAAACTATCAGACTAAACTAAACTAAACTAAACTAAACTAGACTAAACTAAAACTAAACTTCTTAGTAAGTAAAACTATCAGTTAGCCAGACAAACTGTAAATATTATGGAATTCACAATTCTACGCCCATTGAATAGAGTGTGATATCCGTTAATAAATAACAAGCTCGAACCAAAGCAAAAATTCAACTGAAAAGGAAGTAATAATTCTCATTTTTAATACTGCCAATGATAAAACCTTCAGCAAATAATGGTTAAAGTACATAATTATGTACGAAGTATTGATCGCTTTGGAAAAGGCCTGGAAAACGTTGTTAACCGAATCCAATCTAATCTGATAACAACTGATCAAACAGTGCAAATACCGACAGAGATTTCAACCAACCGCTTGTCACTACCGAAATTCAGGCGACAGATTACAATTCATAGCCACACAGCTTGCCGCTACTCTCTTTTCAGAACTATCTGACATCACTGCGTAATGACGTCAATCGATGAGCACAAAATGACTGCATGCATGTCGCACTTACCTTGGCTAGTTTCCACGGCGTTACACTGGGGTTTAAGTGTCATCACTTCCAGTGTCAGACGCGAAACGTCTATATTAATAATATTGCAAGTGCATGGAATAAAAAAAATCAAAATGAGTCGAAATACAAAGGCAACCAAACAAAACTGCGAAATCTAATAACTGACATAAATTTACACAGTGATTTAATGATTTTAACAGCCGCGAAACCCGATATACAAATGTGTCCCAGAGAAAATCGCAGTAATTTATTATTTTTAACGATAATTTATCTCCGGAGCTAATTCAAAGCCAACTTTACCTGACACCCACCACCAAGCCCAAGCCCATCCACTTTCGCGAATAACCGTGCGCCGCTCAGCGCCGCAGCATCCACCTGTAGGACAACACATTCAAAGGTATGTTACTATGTATGGCACTAATCCAATGCCTGCATCGATGAGCAAAAACGCCCGGAAATGGTGTAATCGAATTTGCGTCACATACCAGAAACAACGAGGAGCTCGTTAGGACCTGCAAGAAAGCCACATGAACAAGCATTCGATATTGTAAGAAATTAAGCGGCAAAACATACGCGTAGAAAAAATGCATTAATTTCATCAGCCGGTTCTTACCTGTGGTGTGAATATTTCCCATTTCGTTGACTAAAAAGTGGAACGTTCGCTTATGACTGACTGATTGGTCAGAGTCAAAGTGATCGTACTGAACTTCAAAAGAAGCAACAATCCGCAAGTTTTTTGGATGCAGCAAAACGTCCACAACCGAAACCTTGTTTACAGATGCCCGAAGTTGTAAATTGAGATCAAATTAAATGCTTCTCAAACAAATGGCGAAAAATAGCGCAAGCGAAGCCAACGCGAAGTGCGATGCAGTACTTACGCTTATTACAGCCACCTACCTAATGGTAAATAAGTTGAAACGCCGTCAGGATATTTTGCGAGAGCTCTCGTACGGTACGTTCAATTGCAGTACGGTAGCCAGCCGCCTCGAGCTACGTACGTAACTTTTAGTGGGGGTAATATCGCTTTTAACCCCCTCGGTAATCCGCCGAGAGTTTACTGCTCGACGCGCTACGAAAGCGTCTTCTTGTCAAGCGAGCGAGCGAAGCCTTTTTAATTTAAAATGTGTGACGTGACGAACCGAAGAGCCGGGTTCCCGGGGTCCAGGGGCAAAGCCCCTGGTTGGGTCGGGGCGGAGCCCCAATATGCAGGCAGCCCCCGCTGAAACAACTGAGAAGGTAGTTTAAAATTCAAAACCTAACCGGGTCATTTTTGACGAACCCGCCGTAGTAATGTACGGGGCGTCCGGAAATTTTGACCCGGGGCGGATTCTTTGAGCGACCTCCAGGTGGAGCGGTTTTGGGGAACCGTGACGTAAATTATAACCCGGTCATTATTAACGAACCCGCCGTAGTAATATACAAGGGTTCCGGAAATTTGGACCCAAGCCGGATTTTTTTAGCGGCACCCGGGTGGAGCGGTTTTGGGGAACCGTGACGTAAATTTCAACCGGGTCATTTTTGACGAACCCGCCGTAGTAATGTACGGTGGGTCCGGAAATTTGGACCCGGTCCGGATTTTTTTAGAGCCCCAATTGGAGCGATTTTGGGGAACCGTGACGTAAATTATAACCCGGTCATTATTGACGAACCCGCCGTAGTAATCAAGCGAGCGAGCGAAGCGAGCGAGCATTTTTAATTTGCGGTGCGACATGCGGAGAGCTGGGTACCCGGGGTCCAGGGGTTTGGGGCAGAGCCCCAATGAGCAGGGGTGCGGGGGGGCGCAGCCCCCGCTGAAGCAATTGAGAAGGTAGTCGAAAAATCGAAAACTAACCGGGTTATTTTTGACGCACCTGGTGCAGTAAATGCATAGGGGATCGTAAATTTGGACCCGGTACACTCATACAGACCGGCCTGGGTGGATCGTTTTTTGGAAACCGACATGCGGGGAACCACCTGGGCATTTTTCACGAACCCGCCATACAGATAGTATGGTGGGTCCGTTTTTTAGAACCCGGTCCGGGAATTTTGCCTTCCCTGCTTGGTGCGTTTTTGGGGAACCGACATGCGGGGAACCACCGCGGCATTTTTCACGAACCCGCCATACATATAGTATGGTGGGTCCGTTTTTGAGAACCCGGTCCGGGATTTTTGCCCGCCCCGGTTGGTGCGTTTTTGGGGAACCGACATGCGGGGAACCACCGGGGCATTTTTGTCGAACCTTCCGTACATATGAATAGGGCGTCAGATATTTAGGACCCTGTCCGGAAATTTATCCGGCCCTCTCGGTACATTTTCAGTATAAGAGTTAGCGTAACGGATTTATATTATCATTACCTAAACACTGTTGCTAATATCGTACCCGTGAAAAGTTATTTATCGCTGTTACCGTAGCGGTTCAGTCACTACCGCTAACGTATCCGCAGTACATTTGCAGTTGCCGCGGATTATCGTGCATTGTAACGGGCAACCACTATTCGCAACGGAGTACCATTTCTAAATTGTTGTAACGATTTTTTGCTAGCGTAAGAGATAACCGTTTCTACGGTTACCCTGATACGCTATACTGTTACCTGTTACCGTTACCGTAACGGTTTACCGTACGTATTACCGTAACTGTTACAGTTAGCGTAAGGAGATACAGCGATAAAATGCTGATGCTTTAAGAATTGACCGTTTTTATAGAAAGGGCTCAAGGCGACGCCAAACATGAATAAGCGCAGCAAAGCACCTGGCGCAGTAAGTACAGCGGAACCACTTCGTTTCTCCTTTTTTAGAAATACATTTGATTTCTTTTCGCTGGCATTAGCAAATTTTGTTTCTAAAAAACTAATACGAAACCCAAAAAGTTAACTGAATGTACAACCACGGTATTCATTAAAGGGGAATTTTGCGGCTTGCGCCCTGCCGAAGCCTGCATGTTGTGTGTGTAGTTGTAGAGATACGGCTAAGAAACGCATTCCTGCGATGGAAACCTTTGTAACATGATTCACAACATTATAAGGCCTTCAGCAAATGTTGGAAATACTCGAAGGTCCTCAACCAATATATAACTTTGTAGACCAGTGGAGTTGAGTCCGGTCATTCAAGCCAAACGTCACCATAAGATCATACCGAGTAACATTACCTTGAAACGATGACGTAGCAAACCATGCTAATCGAAGTCAGGAACCGTTACTACCGCCACTATCGTTAGCAATTTTTACCTACATTAGCGCTGACTTTACAGGACCAATTGAACTGCCTTCATTTTGTAATGACTCGAGTGGTGAAAGCTGGTAACGCGTTACCAGCTTTCACCACTCTAATTGTTGCGTTACCAATAATAAACGTTACGCTACCATAACTATAACATGTTATCGTAACTATCTCAGTTTCTTTTACCGTAAGGGCTACCGTAACAACTATTGTTAGCGGATTGCCGTTACCCTTGCTGTTGAAACTGAAAGCGTAGCCAATGGCCGAGCAGCGGCCTAAGCAAGCCCAGCGTAGAGAGCGGAGCAACAAGTGAAACCAAACGGCTCGATTCTTCTTTTTCCAAAAACATTTTTTATGGTGTATTTCGAACGTTTCATTATCGCGATGATACAGAAGCGAATAGACGTTTCTACGGAAATCGAAGGCGGAGCCGAAGGCGACGCCGAGCTGCGGCGTGAGCAAGCGTAGCGCAGCGAGCGGAGCAGCAAGTAAAACCAAAGTCTTTCTTCCAAAAAGATTTTTTACGGTGTAGTTCAAACGTTCCATTGTAGCGATGGGACAGAGGCGAATAACCGTTTCTACGGAAATCGAAGGCGGAGCCGAAGGCGACGCCGAGCTGCGGCGTGAGCAAGCGTAGCGCAGCGAGCGATGGCAAGTAAAACCAAAGTCTTTCTTCCAAAAGATTTTACGGTGTAGTTCAAACGTTCCATTGTAGCGATGGGACAGAGGCGAATAACCGTTTCTACGGGAATCGAAGGCGGAGCCGAAGGCGACGCAGAGCTGCGGCGTGATAGCGCAGCAGCGAGCGGAGCAGCAAGCAAGTAAAACAAAGGATTATTATTTATAAAAACAAAGGCTTCGGAAACGGTTTTGTCTACAGTTCAGTTCAAATGTTTACTTTTCGTCATGATACTGTACAGTAGCGAGTAATTGTTTCTAAAGAAATCGGAAGCGGGGCCGAAGCGACGCCTAGCGGCAAAAGTAAGCGCGAGAGAGACTAGGCGCTGGAAGCAAAGCAGCAAGTAAAACGTAACGAATTTTTTCTTTTTCTTTTCGCTTTCTTTTAGCCTTTGTTTTAAAAAAAAACAAGATTTTAAAGATAACTCTATCAAAGTGCAAACTTGAATTCTTGCAAATAAAATGGGAATTTTTTGAGTGATTGATCAAAGTTTCTCATTTTGTGCTACACCATTAATTTTCAACTTCTAACATGAGCTCATTTATAGAATTGCATATCAGTTTATTTTGAAAATTAATAAGATAAACCTAATTGATAAAATTTTTTTTCTTTACTGAGAAAAAATAATAAAGATCCATGTCAAGGGTTTTTATTATTATAGAAAGCGTCGCATTTAATAGTCACTTTTCACGAAAAAAGAAAAATTGGTAAAACTCCCATTCCTGGATTATTGCCACCAAGCACTGAATGAAGTACTGAAACGATAAATCGTTTCCGCAGCAAATTAGTGGAAAATTATTGGACACAGAAATTTGAAATCTCCGCCGGTGCGTTTCAGAACCAGTGCGGTTCCATCGGCATTCGCGTCTTCTTTTGTAAATCGTTGTGCAATTGCATCCGCAGATATCTGAGCAGATCTGTTGATAACTCGGCATATGCAAAAGATACAAAAAAGCTAGGTAGACTCTCAACTACTTGGTTAGGTTGTTGTCTCACCCTGCCAAGTCTTTTACAACAAAAAAATTACACGCTCGCTCGCTTGCACTAAGGGCGGTTACGACCTTCTATACTTGTTGGTTAATTGTGTGCTGATTTAATTTTTGAGGAATTTCATCCTCTGTTGACACCTTGGCATTGTAGAAGCAGAGGAACTATTACTGAGCGAACTCCAAAACCTTTTGACAAGACGAACGTGAGTGGACAGTTTTTTATAATATTAATAATTTTGTAACTTCATTGAAATCAGCACAGATTTTGGATAAACTATCTGATCATGTACGTTTGGAAAATCTGATTATTATGGCCACAAACAACATTCAAGTGGTCTTGGAATTAGGCCACACAGCCCTGTGTCGTCAAGAAGGTAATTGTAAGCATCAACAGATAAACGAAATTCCCTATCGCGCTTAGATAGGCACTGAATTTTGCTCTCCAATGCAGGCCATTTGACCCACGACTGGGTGGTATTTCTGCGCGGACCAAAAGAGAATCCCAGCGCCATCCAGACCATCATCCGCAAGGTGGTCTTCACGCTGCACCCGTCATTCCAGAATCCGATCCGCGTGGTGGATAAACCTCCGTATGAGATCCGCGAATCCGGTTATGCGGGTTTCATCCTACCCATTGATATCTACTTCAAGGGACGCAGCGATGACATGCCGTACCGGATCCGTTTCGATTACGATCTAACCATTCCGCCTAACGAATCCATCAACAGTCTGCAGACGGAGAAGATCACCTTCCGCAATCCCTCGGTGGACTTTCGGAGGAAACTGCTGGAAGGCGGGGGATGCGGGGTACTGGAGACGGATCTGGACGCCGTGATGCCGGGCAAACGGTTGGTGCAGATGTTCAAGAATCCGGCCGCGGGACACGGGATGCACGCCGGGAAGCTGGAAGGGATTCCGTCGTTTGAGGAGTTTGCCCGGCTCTTCAAGATGACGCTGTCTTCCACGCAGAAAAATCAAGCGAAGACGGCCGACGGAAAGCGCATACGGAAGGCCAGTAGTGGGTCGAGTGCCAGTTCGACGGCGGGAGAGAAAGCCAAGCGTCTGCTGGCGCCTGCGGAGGAAAAGGCGAAAAGGGAGAAGAACGTGGAGACGACGGCCGCGGCAGTGCGAAGCCCGGTGCCAAATGCGCCTGTTGCTGAAAAGAAAAACGAAGGAGAGAAAAAGGCTGCTGCGCTGGAGTCAGTGGGGAAAACGGTGAAGATTTCCAAGGGGGAAAATCATCGTCCTCCAGGTGAGCGAAACGTGGATAATCAATTCTTGTACGAACATTAATTTTCCGCAGAATTAGTTTCCTTTTTTCATGTAATTTAGCGATCGAACAACAGCAGTGATTTTTAAATGGGGTTTGCGCTAGGAAATCCTCTTTTTTGGTTTGCTTATGCTTGCTCCCAATGGGTGGAAAAAAGTGTTTTGCTTTGTGTTTTATTTTATCGGTTGTTAAATTTCCAAGTTCAAGAATGATTCAAGAATTTTTCTTTTATTCGTAATAATTATCTCTATCAGTCTTTCAAATTTATTGAATGGGGATTCAATGAGACCCTCCTAACTCAAGTTTTACTCTCCATAAGGAAAACGCGGTTGGAAACATTTGATAGGATAATTATGGTTCTGCAACAATTGCTTATCTGTGAAGTCAGGCTGGTAATGTTTGCGATAATGAGTTGACGATAGAGGTACTGATATGCGATGGCGCTGCGATTTAACATGGAATTAGGCCTATATTCCGTATACGCGCTTCCGATCTAAGTCGTCCCGCACTGTTGTAGCTATTGATAGGGCACTATCGAGGTTTAGTTTGTGTCAAATTTGACTTCGATGTTGTTGTAATGCCCCGTAAATGGTACAATAATTACTGAAAGGCTCATGGATCGTTTCTTTAAATCTGTTCTTTTAAATTGCAGTTAGTGCAAAATGGTTGTAATAGCATTCTAGTGTGACAAAACTTTATCAGAAATGTTTTAGTGAGGATTCTCGAAAGTTGATGTTTTCATGTTTCCTTTACCGTGAACGTCTTCATTCTTTGATTAACTTCGGTAAAATGAATTGAATTTTATTATCAACAGACATGCTTGCTGAATTTTATTTCCAATAAGTAAATAAATGCGATTACAATTGTACTTGCAGGCTGTGGTAATGCCAAAATAGTTGTACATAACGTGGACTTGTTTTTAGTTTAAAGCACGTTCTTTAATGTCTTAAGTGAAGTTTAATTGCGAATATGAGGCCATGAGCAATGCGGAACGCCACATCGGTTGTTTTGCTATGTATCGTCGCAGCCCTGGACGCGCCAATAATTATTATTGTTTGTCAATTTGCCACTAATCTTCTTAATTGTAATTTAGGTTCTATCGGTGCACTACCAGCGAAAAGTGAAGTGCAGCGTCCAATAAGCGGTTCCGACCAGCCGCTAAGCAGCAAATCCAATAGAAAGGGTAACAAAACAGCATTATCTCCTTCAGGCATCAACACATCGGCAGCAAGCGCAACCAGAACTGCCAAGTCCGTACTGCTGCAACCTGATACGAACACCTCCAATCACTCTCACACTGCTCAAGTGCCTGCACCATCATCGAACAGTTATTCGCGGCCTGATAATAATGTTAATATTCCCGCGGAATCCGATGTATCACCATCGCCACACAACGTTGCCGCTTCCTCAGCGGATAGTGTGGCTAATCCTGCATCCGCTTCCTTACTGGGCATTATGACTCCGCCAAGTAGGAAAACCACACCGAGGGGCTCCAGCCAACCGTTAACACCTCACACTCCCTACTTGTCCGATGAAATGAATGACGAAATTCGGCAGCAGACGAGTGTGCCGCGGATGTTGTCACCGTTATCGCCACCGGAAGACTATCCCAATGATGGTTCATCCGTGGATGAGGATTTAGCGCTGACTCCTGGTAAGTTGCCCGTGACCGTTCGACAGAATGTTGCTGATACTTCAGTATGGCAGCTTTTTTATAATTTTTTTTTTTACTGAGAGAAATACGTATGGAGCTTTATTTAGCTTTAGGCCACTGCATTTTTTAGGCCCTCGACGCGATTCTACGGGCTTCTCTCCCGCGCAAGGATTGCCAAAAGATGGTTCTTCCCTTCATAATCCTGACAGTTATCTCCTCGATCTGACCAACGATGGCTTCATCTCCGGTATATCCGATCCTAGTGACACATCTCCTGAACCGTCCCCGCAACACCGACCACCGGTGAAATCTAAACAAAAGAACTCTTCTAAAACCACACCAGCAACCGTTAGTCTCAGCGCAGTGGAGTCGGATTTACGCGATGTCCAGATTAATCATAAACCCATCAGTCCGGTGGATGGACGAGACGATGTAGCATTGGACCCCGTTAGGGTGAACGATATAAAGCCGCGGGCTCTGTCGCCGGCTGAGGAGTTGGAGCGGTATAAGCTGCAGGTGGTGCTGAGCCAGTTGACTGATCGCACAATGATTCAAAGTATTGTGGACGTGTTAGTCCCTCTAGGAGCCTTCAATGTTGACGAAAAGGAGGGGGTTCTGACGTTTAACACCTCCATGCTGGAAAAGCCGACCGTGGAGATTATCAAGAAATTGGCGCGGTTTGAGGAGTATACCTTTGAAACGGAGGAATAACCCTGCTGCCTTATTGCACAATGGTATTGCCTGCTACACGTGAGGATCTGTTTTGATCGAGCTGGTTCTGCCGTTTCAGTCGGTCCTGCTCAGTTGGTGTCAGGGTATTTTGTTGTTTTGTAGATACTTGTACTTACAGATTATTAGTTTTGTTTAAAATGCAGGAATAAACATTTTGAGAATACACCGAGGTAGCTGTTATCTATTGTTAATATTAAAATTAAATGAACGGTACGGAAGAATTTATGAATGTCTGAAATAGGCTGGTTACAAAGGTCACGATGTTGCGCACGCTGTTAAGATTAAGCACTAGAAAGTCATAAAGCAGTTGTAATTTCATCGCCAGATTGTATGTGAACACCCTGCCTAATTGGAAACAAGTTATTTGGAAGTAGGGAGGTAGCAGCGAATGTGATGGCTGAAATTCTGCCAACAGCAGCCTCGCTGTTCGCATCCCCTGGGTAATGCCCATCCAGCCACAGTCCATCCGGTGCAATGGCGGAGCCCGAATGCAGGTGCGCATCCAGCCTCACACCGAATTGCTGGAATGTAAATAATGTCAGCAAAAAATGGATGCGTTTTGGCAAAATAGCATCACTAGATAGCCAATGCTGGAAACATAGATAATGCATCTGGATTAGTTAGAAGACGTAACAGCTTATAGTACCTGTGGCCAGCTGTAGTGTAAGTCCAAGAATCATCACTTTAATTGCCGACATTCTGATCAGTAACTGATCAAATATAATTAATACACCACAAAAGCTGTATTTAAAATTTAGAAGAATTCTCCGAACAAAACTAGCTTTAGTATCGATGGGCAGTCGAATGGCTCAAACCACGAGAAAGTACGTAAAACTAAACAGTGTGTCCAGTTAAGGATTTGAAAACTGGATATCTCTCATCTTCGAACCTACAGTACCAGCATGAAGTTTACCCTTCCTCCATTGTCACGTAATTGCCGCTTTAATTATATGTCCGAAAGCGGAAGTGGACTGATTCCAGTGATATGACTTTGTGAAAATTGCAAGCACTGCCGTGTTGTATAATTTATTTTGCGTCATAATGTTACTGTAGGCCAGATTGTCTCGGATAAGGAATGTTTATTAGGAGAGAAGCTGTAGAATATAATATGTACATTGTTATACTGCATGCAGTGTTTGTGGAAATACAGAATGCTAAAAGGTAATAATTATGACAAATGAGTGACATTACTGCGGTTGTGCGGTAGTGATATGAATTACGACTGTTATGTCGCGATATGAACATCAATAAAGAAATATTGTAAGACTCTGCATGTTCCCAATAATCGCATGTGAATGCTAATAATTCTGTGAATTATCGGATCAAGAATGTCAAATAAGCGAGATTCACGATACCAAAAACCATTTTTTTAATGGAAGTCATATAACACAACTGTTTAATATCATAGTCCGTAGCGTTGAAAAACGCATATAAATCAGTCCAGCTACCAAAAGTCAATCGAAAGGCTGCTTCAGTAGAATTTCTTAATAAATTGACAATGTAGGTATTCGCATACATAAACACGGAAAATCTTATTCAAATCATTAATGGTGTCATAATGAATGTTTGCCAGGTTATCAGAGTTCTTGTGCCATACGCTGGGAAATGGTGTCGAAATTAAGTGCAATACTCTTACGCCCTTCTCCACAAACGGCCGATAATCGTCGTCCACCCAGGTCTTGGCCGGCAATGGGTCGTGTCAAAATACACCGATTTTCTTCCCCACGTTTTTATCAAACTCAATTGCGTCAGCCGTGTCTCTGCCGCATTCAATCGGGCAAACTGTCCGCGAGCATTGTAATAGAAATTCCGCAATGTTGTGTCCTTTGTACCCAACAAATCCAACAAAACTAGCAAATCCATGCTATCCAGTTCGTCCATGCTGGCATCATTCGGAGCAAAACGGTTACGAGTGTTTTTCAGCTTTTCCGATAACTTTCTGGCACCGTACAGGGAATCAGTGGCGCTCCACTCGCCGAACGCCTCTTCGCCGTCGAGAAACAGTATCTGTAAGGTCACATCGAGTTTCTTATCGCGCTGTTTCAGGAACGGTTGGAGAACGGCCGCGGTGTCGATTATCTGTGCACACGGCACGGCGGAATCCGTGGCTCCGATAAACTGATAATATGGATCGTATTTGGAGTCGAAATGACAAGCCAGAACGAGACGCCGCGGCGCACTGGGATCCAGTGTCGCGTAGATATTGGTCATGTTGCGAGCTCCACCAAACCATGCCGGTGGACTCGCCATGAAATTGTGCTGCTCCACAGTGTATCCTAAACCTTCCATTGTTGATATCAAAAACTGTCAAAAGCGTTTTCTTAGTGTAATACACGCAAGTTTACAGGTGGTATGCACCATGCACAGTGTTTTGATACATACACTTAAATCAAATTAATCTCGCAGTAAAACTTAGATTCTATATTTAGATTTTACGATTGTTTTTCGATTAGTGAAAAACATGTTAATTGAGCTAAATACTTGTGTGTTGCAAATATTTTCTGGTAAATATTGTACTCGTACCTTTGTACTTTTGCATTATTAGCACTGCCAGAAAATCGCGGAATGGCGATCGGTTTCAGATAATTCATAAAGCGTTCCTGATTTGAAAGGTCACTGAGGATCCTGAGAGTGTCCGCATCGTCCACGGTGGCTGGTGCGTGGACCTTCTGTGCCGCCACCCATTCCGGTGCCGCACGCAGCAAGGAACGAAGGACTTTACGCAGTGTTGCTTTGTCCTCATGGACGCTATGTTCTTGCGGTCTCAGCTTCTCGGAGTTCTCCAGATCGTGTTGGTACGTGTGGGCACGAAGAGACGACGCACATAATAAAATGATTATGATCCTGCAACACCGGACGCAGCTGTTTATTTCACTTCGCAGTAGTTTTACTTCGCTATTTAGTTCACTTCGCATAACTTATATTTTCATTGTTTTTCAAAATTAAATTTCAACGTGCATATAAACAATAACAAATTTTTGTCAGCTGTATTTGCAAACAGAATAAGCTTTTCACTCAGATAACTACATTACCATTTTCTCATTCGAAATGAAATATGAAACTATTGTACCCGAATAAACGTTTCACTTCTAAATACCCGGCATATTCACCCTGTCACCTTAAAGGTAGTATGCGTAGTACACATTGATTTACAGCAGGTATCATACGAAAGAATCTGGAAAGGGAGTACAAAAAAGATTATAACGGTATGTACAATTAACCAAAAAGCGGGAAGTCAAAAGCAGTCCTAATACTAATAACAAAAAAGCTTTCCCAAATTCCTAAATTGACATTCTAGACTACGGTTTACGCTGCTATGCAGTGGTAGCACTGTTGGTAGCACTTTTAAAATCATAGCTGTATGACAAGTACCGTAATAACAGTTGACGGTGTTAAAGTTAGTAGATTCTTCTGTTATGGTATGAACGCTATAGTGCGCCATTTACACGAAAACTGAAACTAAAAAAATTTTAGAACCGCTGTTAGTCTTTTATTATAAATTGTTTTTTCTTACAGGAATTGATTCCCAAACCTTTAGAGCACGTATATGCATCGCAGACGTATTTTTGGCATACCTAGCAACTTGCCCCTTATAATCAGCGTAGAAGGCGAGAAACTCCATTATCTGTACACTTTGGGCGGCTGACTTTTAGATCCGATTGTAAATCCCGTTGTCTCCCGATAAACGATGGCAGCAGAATTTTTTTGGCTTAAGACTTGTAACGCTCCGAGTACAACAACCATACTATAATGCTACTAACCCTTGCTCTATCGAGAGTTAATAACACGAAAGTTTCGACCTTACCTTTGCGAAATCCAATTAATATTGCAAAATTTTTGCGTAGCACGCGTTTTGCATATCGACATGGAAAGCAATAATTTCTGCTGACTAATTTTTTGTTAAACATGGTACGAAAGCCATAAGAAAGGACAACGTACGGCACAGAAATTGCTATGCATAAACTAAGGGAATTAAGCAGTTTTCTTAAGTTAATAATGAGTTTTCATATAAGTAAGTACCGTAATAATAGTTGACGGTGTAAAGGTTATTATGTTAAAAGCTTTTGAAAATATTTAGCGAAATGAAATTCGGTATTAACTGCTACATTAACATTGGTGTAAAAAGCAGTTATTAACGTGTTTCAAGCCCCTGTATTCAGTTACTGCACCGCAGAAAATCTAGTACTCTGTAGTATGTACGTATTACTGTACAAGTTGCAGGAATCAAACCGTGCTCCTGTTCTTGTCGTCGTGTAAAGCATGCTTACTGTACAATTTGATTACACAATTATTATAGGATGCAGTGAGCAATATTATATTGGTATAGCTAGAAGGAGTACCGTTTAATGAACCGCTTGTTTGTTCCGCGTTAACTTTTGTTATGCCCTTTTTGCTTTGTGGTGGTTAAACTATAATTGATTACGTATAACACTATAGAAAATTCAAAAGATCGTGTTATCAGTCTTTCGAAATTTAGCGAATACACGCGGCGAGTCGCGTGTATTTAACAAAGTTGTTTTATTTATTTGTTTATCCAGCCAGTCTGAAAACTAATCACAAAAAGTTTAAAAGAACATATGCGAAGAACTACAGTATGGTAGTATGGAGAGTATATTATACTGACTGTGAGAGTTAGTACATAAACACAAAACGGTCCAAATCCTAACTTAGCTTTATTTATTATTAAGTTACTATGGCCTCTTCCTGAAACTCCAAAGTTAGTGGCAAGTGCAACACCGTAGCAATTCAAAGCTTGGATTCTTCTGGTTATCCTCCTTTCTATTCATTCAATACGGTCCAAAGCCAGACTTGGTCATAAGTATTATCAGTTCCATTGTGGTTGATCCTCAAAATCATGGTGACCTTTCTTTAGCAGTTTTCTGGTGTTTTCGTCAGTGTTTTTAGCACGATTTCTATAGCCAGAAATTACTTTGCCATAATTACAGTAGCTGGTCATTGATTCCTTTCCTATCGGCAAGGACAAGGGAATACCGTCATTATAATTATATAATTTTAGAATAGCGCAGCCAATAACTGTTCACAGTTTTGGTGACGATATTATTGTTTAATACTGATTGTTGAGGCTGCAACAACCTAAAAGACCTTAAAAATTGCAAGCAGTGGTTTTAAATGCTTTCTTACCGGCAAATTAGTAGTTCCCTTTCTTGGCTATTTCTCCACTTCTGAGTCAAAAATTGGCAGGAAAAGACACATTTAATTAAGTATTTACCAAATTTTTGCTGCCGAACACCCGAATGCAGAAGTCACGATAATTTAATCTTACCATTCGGCGGTTTTGAAACCAAACTTTAACCTAGAAAAGCAAGCCATGATGGAATACATTAATAATTGGTCCGCTTATTTTACGTCAGAGCAACTGCTAAATAACAACAAATGCGATTTCCAGAAATTTATTTTTAACTGGTATGTATCTTAATATTACTTTCAAAAATAATGGCTGCAAAATTGTTTAGTTTTCTGTAGCAATGACTAGTAAACTGTACGTGCATGAAATATTTTTTATACTCCTGTACACGCCCAAAGGACACGCGCCTCCTGTCATACGCCCAAAGGATAAACAAAAAATGCGCTCGAGTTAGTAGTTCTTGTTTGTGTAGCACACGTTTATATTGGATTTAAAACTGTACATTGGTTTACCTGGGAATCTTTTAACCCCAGTGTCTCGGATAGCTTTTTTCTGTCTGGTTTGCTGATATATTTTTGCGTCTGAAATCGATCTTCCAGACGCTGACGTTGTAGATCAGAAAATACCGCTCTGCGGGATATTCCACGCCTGGGCTTTGGTGTTTTATTAGACCATAACATTGGATTGCGCGTCCATGAAGTCGTTGAGGTCACCACTGGCCGCACTAAGTCTAAGGAAACAAATTACCGTTCCTAATAATTATTTCCAATAGCGTTGAAACTATAACTTTGCACACACTATCCGTACCCGAAAAATTAACTGCTGTAGAACGAAGGTGACACTAACTATTTAGTAATTTTTATGCAAAAATTGTAGAAACCAGTACCTACATAAGTCATAAGCCATGAAAACTAGCAATTACATAAAAAAAATATTTCGATACACAGAGTTCATGTACTTAACTGCTATAGTTTTCAAAGCTTATGTGCGTCCCGGTTCCTACAATTTTAGCATTACAACTACTAGGTAGTAGTTAGTGCTGGAGTGCGCTGGTAAAGAAACAGTATACGCGTACCGGTTATGTTACGGCTCGATCCTTATGTGTCTGACTTTATTAAAATGTAATGATTGAGCTCAGATTCTTGATTAGTTTAATAAATAAAGAAAACGCAGTTGAGTTTAATTTGTATAACTACTTAGGGTATCATGCGTTTCTTGACTGCAATTTATAGTACATGTGTTTTGAAAAGAAACGTTACCTGGACAGTGTTTTGGAGACGACAAATGTTGAGCGGAATCATTTAACTCTGAACTATATTCCAAGTTTGTATGAAGCATAAGATCGTCAAGCGCTGTAATTGTGGACAGTTTTGTGTTTGGGAGTATTGTAAATGCTCCATGCTCTGTAAAACAATTCATCTGCTATTTTACCAGCCGACTTATTAGAATATTGCAAGTGCAAAGCGCATATATATACTTTTGCAATCGTATTAAGTTTACGTAGGAGGAGACGGTTTGACAGTAAGGAGGTTACTCTGGCGCAATGTGTATTGTACATGTTGTTACACTTGCAGTGCGCTCACCATTGTAAAACATAGGATAAAAGACACTGCCTAAATTTTCAAATTTATTGATTTTATTCCTTTTGGGGGTTTAGAACTGGACACATAAAGGATTAACCTGAAGACAATGGGCAGAAAAAATATGCAATATTTTAAAGATTACCGAAAACCAAACTTCAGCGCTTTTTTAAAAATGAAACTGTTATCAGATCAAGATGATTGTACCTCATTAGTTTGTATGGTGAAGTACTGTACGAGTTATTAATAATACGCATAGTAACTTACTTCTCAATCCGGAAGGAATAGGATTTCTGTTTAGCACTAAACTGCTATCAAACGCGTCTTGCAGCGCATTATGGCGCGCCAAATGCTGCTGTAGAGCAGTGATGACCTTTACGTCACCATGTCGAATTTCTGGCTTCACAACGTTGACGCTTGAGATAGAAATGCCAGGAAATGTGCACCAACGGGCCATTTAACAGGAAGCGGTACCTGCAGATTATTATTCATTGGCAGATCCATGTCAGCCGGAATACACAACGAAGAACGAGATCCCGAAACAGTTTCTTCTTGCGCGACATCTTCAAACCACTCAAACTCGTAGCCGTACAAATCTCCACCAAATAACAAATTCGCATTTGACATTCTCCTTAACTTTCACAACACAGCAACCATTTAAGCAGTAAACTATTTATGCTTGTTTGTACAGCATACGAGAACATCAATGCATTTAGTGTGCATAATTTCGACAGTATCAGTTTGCCGCATTCACATCGCATACAAACAAATTAGGGTGTAGTAAAGTAAGCGGTTCTCCCAACAAGATCGATTACCAATAAAACTAGAATGTTGATCTTAATAAATTATTGCACTTGTAAGGAAGATCTGAAGTTTATATGTTGCATTTCGAATTTGCTCGAACTTGCTGGTATCTACAAACTTATTCTGAGATGAAGTATGCATGAATGTTCAGATCATGCATACATACAGCTCCTTGTGTAAATGGCAATTTGTTGTACAATCACAGCTACGGCAAATCATTGTGGAAGCCTCCCATTTGCGCTAACGCTAAAACTATTAGCGTTGTTGTCACTTCCATCTGTTGGCCAGAAGCAAACGGCAAAGCAATATTAGGATTATACATTAAGCTATCATGATCTTTATTTTCCCTGCCTGGAAAAGTTTGGCGAGAGCACTGCTGATAGCTCTGGTATTGCAACACTTCAAATTTCATCATGGATTTTTAAAGATTCCTGGGTAAATTGTAAGAGGTGACCGCAAGAAGCAAGGACTGTAACCTAGTGCCGGATAACATAATAGAACCGTATTCGTCGTCTTTGGGCTGTCACTATACGTGTATGTTCACATTCCATATTGTAAATGACAGTTTGAGTAAATACCAAGCACGGGTAAGTACCAAAACTGCAATCAAATATGTAATAGGTGCCATATCTGCAATAGTAAAAGGGAAGTTTCATGCACACAATATTAATTTAAAGCAAGAGTATTCAAAGTTTTTTAATTGTCTTATTGCCTCCGTAATCTATCAAGTAAAACACAATCATTGTGTATGGTATCTAAAAAAAGCGGAGTTTGCTAACGGTTTTGTTGAATTACAATACATGTCATGCAGGTGAAAGTTTTTCAGTAATTTACTACGAGTACCGTACTTACATACATGCGCGGGAACGACATCGAGAATTACTGAATATTTATATGTACTATACAATACGTAGGTTGTACAGTCGATTCTGTGTCATCATACAGAAACTCTAGTTTGCCCCGTTTCATGTTGGTGAGTTTAAAGTTGCCAAATTTAATACAAATGTCGGTTGTGATTGTGAACTTAAATAGTTCTGGAACGATTTTCACTTTCAAAAGTATTTAACATAGTTAACAACCACCACTACTGGTCCACTAGGATAGTATATGTAACAAGATTTTCAATAAGGCGCTGAACTGACGCAACTGCCGCCGGTAACATAGTGCCACAATGGTATATACTATATATTCCCTAGTTTATTTTCGAATATCATAAAGCGGTTGTTTTATACCTGCAGCTATGCTTGCCAGTTGCCGCTATGATTTTATTTAGCATCATGTCTGAAAAATGCAGTTGCGTCTACGGCAGAGACCCTGAAGCATAAACCTTTAGGCAGTGCTTTGCGTTCTTTACAGTTTTATTTTTGTGTGGTATTAGGAAGTTGCGCATCCTCGCATGGACTGTTAGGGCGATATCATAATCGACCGGTTTAGTTCGAATTCGAGAATGCATTTTTCCGTGTTCAGATCCTCGATAAGTTAGTGATTACAATGTAGGAACTACGGTTGTGGAAATTGCAGGTTTTTGCAGATTAGAAAATGGTTGAGGTAGACACGATAGAGAAGACGGTGTCACACAGCACCATAATTAATGGACACAATGACACGTCTTCCATCACCGTCCAGCATACGGATGTACACGGAAAACACGATTATCTTGCTCCGAATAATCACCAACTGAACTCTCCAGGACTTTCTCAAGCGCCGGTTTTTGTTGGCGGAACTATTCCTGCAAGCAGTTTTGAAAATGTTCCGGGAAATATTATCGGGAATGTGGTACCGGAAAAGAATGGCATACGCCATGAAGACGATGTTGCTGCATCATGGGAAGACGAACGACAGCACCCTGGCGGTGAGATTTCAAATGCAAAAGATATACAGTGAGCTGTTGGCTGAGGAATAGCTATTAAATCCTAATTTCGGTTAACTGCGTAAAGAGATAATCAAGAAAAACAGATATAACCCTTACTAGCACTTGCAAGTCTTAAACTGACGACTAAATACGCACGTTGCGACCAAAAATACAGTATTACAAATTTAAGGCGCAAATAACGCTTGATAAACTCCCTAAGTACTCATGTAGTATTCATTTCCTTGCGCATTTTGAAGATAAAACTTGAGATTAATAAGTAACACAATATTACTTCCTCGAACAGATGCATCCGCTGAAAAGAATACCGGGGCTAGCGAAAAGGAGACAGAAAATCCGAACGTGGTAAACCTTCCTTCGGTTGTATTCCTGCCAGGACACAGTCCAATGAGGCACTCTGTCCCAGATCGAGCAAACACCAACGGGCCGCGAAAGGAGCAAGTTCCCGGTATTTCCAGAACCGTTAATATACTGTAATGAAAAGGCTAAAGGATTAGTATTTTCTATTGATGCAGGCGTTGAATTCCGCAAAATGTTGTTCATATTGTTAATAATTACAAATCTGTAGATCATGAAATATTAAATAAACTACTTCATTTGCTCGTACTTATTTATGTATATAGATAAAATATTTTGTTACTATCAAATATATAATATGCATGTTATTATCAGTACACACTATACAGTATACGTATGCTCGCATGCATTTTGCAGTATTCTCCTTTTCGCAAATATTTCTTTCTGCAGTGGGATCAGCCAATTCACCAAATAAGAATGGTTTTCTGGGCGCAGTTTCTGCCAGTTCAGAAATTCCACCACATTTTGCTCCATCACCTGAAAATGCTCCACAACTCTTTGGCGTCCCTGCTGCGATAACCGGGGAAAGAAAAGGCTACTTTCAAGGGGAAGCGGTAACGACAGAGCACACGATTTCCGCTCCTGTTCAAAATGCCGCCGAGACTTCAGAAGCTTCCAGCTCTTTCCCAGCGCATCCGCCTAAAATCTCGAACCAACAGCCACCGCCCGGTTCAAGGATTTTTTATCGCGACCATATGAATATTCCAAATATGGGTGGAGATAGGCCGGCAGGCTTCGGGAACACTAATGCCCTCGGGCAGGAGAGCGATATTGGTGGCCATGTAAACAACATAAATACTGCAGTCCAGCCTGGCAATGCGAGGCCGACAACAGTGGCAACTGCTGCGAATGCCAACCAGCAGGAATCACCATATTCTCAGCGCTACGAGACTGCTGTTCCTTACGTTAGCGGTAAACCTGAAGCACTGGAAGACACTAACAGCGTGGAAATTAAAAATAACCAACATGGAAATATGCCAAAGCCGATAATGACAGAACGGTCAGTTCTAGAAAAGCCGCAAGCAGTGCGCAAAATTGGGAACATTTCGCAGTTTGCTCACGATGGTTCACAGCCTGAACTGGTCAAGCCAGCAAATGTTCGTGAAGATAACGGCAAAGCGTTTCCGGTTCCTGTAACAAACAAAGAAATACCAGAAAATGCAGTGGACGCGCCTTGGCATGCGTCAAACCAACCAGCAAAATCTGAATCAGAACCGGTAAAAGGGCATGGCCATCGGGATCAATTCCATGCCATACCTCCAAAGAATCCAACACATGGTATAGCTTACGACAACGGCAAACTAACAGCGCACGAATTACCGCCGGAAGGAAAGAATATGATATCGGACGATTTCAAAAACAGTGCATCAAATCTGCAGCCAGAAAAACCTGTCCAGAAGGGGGGATTATCAGAGAGAGAAAATGCAATAAGTCATCCTGTTGCTGAGTTTCCAGTGCAAACTGTAGGAACGCTAGTGCATACAGAAAATACTAACAATGGGAACAAAATTTCTGAGCCTCCAAGGCAACGCCATCCTTATCACCACAAAAACCTCCACGGATTCAACGAACATGCCCAAAATTTTCCAAAACACGATGAAGTAGAGCTAGACAGAAACACACCTGATATCCCGCCTGGAGAAGCAGCTGTCGATGAATTTGCCGATCATGCACTGGGCACCGGTAATCAGGAAAAGATCGACCAAAATCCATCACGAAAAGAAATTGGCGACGGCGGAATGTCACAAATTTTCGATGCAAAACGTGCTCCCCCTAAAACCACGCAACATGATAGCCGTCCAGATGAAAACAAATTTTTAAACAAGTTGCCCCAAGGCGGAAGAGAAATGATACCCGATTACGGTAAGAGTGGCAAACAGACACCGTCTGCGAAACCGCTAGTTTTACCGATGTCACTTACTTCGCCGCTAGAAAACGATAATTTCTGGCCGGAAAAGAAGATTAATGACAAAACTGCTCATCATCATAAATCCCCTCCATTTGATAACGCTACATCGGCTGCTGGGCAAAAACCGCATCATAAAGTCAATAATACTGATTTTCCAAATCAAAATCAGCAAACTGCAGAGTTTTCAAATTTCCCAGGGGAAATAGGTATAGCGTATCTTAACGCAGACCATCCTACAGCGGATAGTATGCCGCAGAATAATGCGCGACCTTCCCGAACGAAACCCGAAGTTTCTTTTGTCGACCACTATCATCACAGGGCCAGAAATTTTCCATCCGATGAAGGGATTGCGATGGATCAAGAGCACAAACCAAGCCACGACAAGAAACCTGTTGCCGCTGAGCCGCAGTCTGAGACACAACCGGGAGTGCTGGCATTTCCCCAGTTGTACCCAGTCGGCCCCAAGCTCAAAATACATTAAGCACGCAGTTAGCATCGGTGAAGAATGTTCCGCTTTTCGACGATCATCATCACAGAGCGCAGAATAATCAGGACGATGAATTATGGAACGAACGACCGCACAGTGTCAGGGTTCATTATCCCAAAAATCAAGAGCGGGCGAAAGGTCAACATGTCGCTGCAGCAATTTTCCCAACCATATCGGACCATGAACAACTGAATCGCCCATTTGGTGGCGATACCGAGCAGTACAACAATGAATTTGTGTATTTTCCGGATAAAAATCTGAGTCAGCGCAAAAAGGGCGAAATTCCGCATGAGACGGGTTTTCCGCTAGGGCATACGATACATGACGAACCCGATTTATATCGTCATCGCATTAAACCGAACTCACCGTCAGGAAGCCAACTCGACCACGATGTGTTTGGAGCAGGTGAGAAAAATACTGCAGCACTGGCCGGAAGACAAACGAATAAACATTTTGCGGCTGCTCCAGAGATGACTTTTCCTCCACCACAATTTTCCGAATCAAGCGTAATTGGCAACAACGAAGGCAACAACTTTGGGCAGGAATCTGCATCAAACATCTGGGATGACTCTTTTCATCTCGAGCCTAAAGGTAACGCTAAAAACAGCTTGGCCAATGAAGCGTGGACTGGAACTGAAAATCGTAAGCTGGCCAACAGTCATCCGACTGTTGTACCTGGTGCTACACTAACCGGCTATGACTCTGATCAAGGAATTCAACCAGAGGAAGCTGATTTTGATCACAGTGACGAAGAGTTTAAAGATATGCCAAAGGAAACTGGTACCATGAACCAAAACGTACTCAGTAAAAGATTGAGTAATATGCCACAAGATGGAGCTCGGCCACTTGTTTTACCGGCAAACGAAAACGGCAACGTGAATCGGCATCGAAATCTGGCTTCGTCGGAACCAGCAGGCGAGCACGATACGGTTGGTGTGATACCAACCAATGAGCTACCCAGAAAATTCGCGAGAAATGACGAGGAATTCCAAGAAAGCAACCGTCCGTTTTTAGGGGCTTTTACTCCAGCAGTCAGAGCAGACGCGTATCAGCACAAACCCCACGGCCAGAGTGCTAATTACAAGCCAAACCTGTCAGTTAACGAAGAAGAAATTTCGCCGCCTCCGCCAATTACATCCTTTGGGAATTGGAATCAGAGTAACGGCCATCGCACTACCAATTTTATTCCAGAATACAAGCAGCAACGACTAAGTTTTTCGCGACCTTTACCAAATGACAATAGTTACATGAATTCCAATGAGTTCGATCGCCCTGCATATAGCGTGCCAAATGCCGACCACTATCACCACCGTTCGGTCGCAAGTGACAGGCAACCATTCAACGGGATAGGAGACAACAGCAAAAATTCCCATGCGACAATGGATGGAAAGGGTCAAAGCGGGCCAAAAGGGACAGTCGTATTGCCAATTCCCATCGCATATATGCCGGCTATCGAGCAAATGAACGACTCGCCATATGTAAATGAACCAGTTGATCATTATAGACATCGGCATGCGAAACCTATTACTGGCTGGAAAGCTCCTGAAATGGACTACGAAGAGATTCCTGCAAATAAGCAACTTCGGTTTGGGCCGATAGCAGGGCATCGCGAAGATACCGAAGCAATGCCTGAGGCATCTGAAGATCAAGGTTCATTAGTTTCCATGTCGGCTTTGCCGCTTTTCCCTCGTGGAAATGATAACGCTGAATATCACACACCAAATCCTCAATCACGGCATTTTCCAAACAAAAATGATAATTACAGCGATGCGAAAGCGATCCCAGTACAGCCAGTTCCCCAGACAGCAGATATATTCAAGCTGCCCAATGAAAACCAGAACGACAAGGACGCGCAACATGGTCAGAAGCTTCTTCATCCACCCCGACATATGGGTCCACCGACTGACCCTTATCAGCACAAGCGCAATCTCAATGGCGGCGCTAGCCACCCTGCTTTCGTAGCCAACAATGAACCGTATAGCGAGCCTGATAATTTAGCCAACCTAGCCAGATATCCTGCAGATTACAGCAACGCACATGCTCCTCCGGATCGTTCCTTTAAAATGGCTCCTGATCAGTTAAAAAATGTACCTCCTGGCCAAAGACTTCCTGACAAGCCTGGTGCAACTGAGAACAGGGCTGAAGAAGAAACTCCTGATCAGCTACCACTAACTCCGCATCACCATCACCAGCCAATGTCCAACTTCATGCTCCAGAACACGGGACTACCTAATCCCAGTGGGGACGAAAACATCAATACTGCAGCTGATGAAAGAATGGAAAACTTAGGAACACCGAATCATTTTACGCAGCCGGCGGGATTTTCACCAGATCCGACAGCTGACGAAGAATTACAGCAGATCGGCTCGTCTAACAATTATCCAGCTGCAGGCACTTATAAACATCGTCCTCATGGTCAACTTTTGGAGAGTTCGTTACATGAAAATACCCAACCGGAAGGCGGTTCATCACACATTAACGGTTACCCATTGTCAACTCACAAAGCAGGACTATCCGCCTTTCCACCAAACATTTATAACTCGGAACATCCAAGAGCTAATCCAAATTCTCACCACGAACAGGGAAGGACGATTACCCCGCCTCAATTGCCGGCAGGTCAACGCTATCCAGTTTCTCCCAGGAAACTTGAAGAACAGCCAGCGGTCGCTCACGAGCCACGGGCCTTCGATGCGTCTCTTTCATATGGATATCAACATATACCACCTTACTTGCACCATGGTCAGGGAGAGAACTTTGCTGATTATCCTACTGACTCCTTCGGCAAAACAGAAAAAACAAGAAATACAATTTTTGCGCCTATTGTATTTCCGCAATCAGCCGCACCTTCTGCTGGTGAAGCAGATTCCGAGCCATTGTTTTCGGAGGAAGATTTTCCACATTTTCAGCCAAGGCCGGGAAATGTGCCAGTTAATCAACGCGGACCACAAGACGCCAAACCTGCGCTGGAAAACCCGAATTATTTCGATAACGAAATGCACCACGTAAACCAAAGACTGAACACTGCTCCCTCCGCTCGACCTTGGGACGTGCATGGTGCTACTGCGATATCTGAAGAGAACGGCCATCCGCCATTCGAGCCTGACCATAGAAAATTCGTCGTCTCACCGTCAGACGAACACTGGGCACAGGATCATCCAAGAAACGTTTTCGTTGGCCACACCTCTCCAGACTATACCAAGAATATTATGGACAACAAATTTCGAGATATCGATCGAGAACCAGGATATCAGAGTCCGGGCATGCAAGCAGAGTACCCGAATCCAGAGGTGCCCAAAGGGGCTTCAGGACTAGAAGGTCATGGGATGTTACCGGATAAAGGGAATGTGGACAGATTGTATGGAGAAGATAACCCAGTACTAAGGAATCCTGATCCGAAATTCCACCCGTATCGTCAACCTTTCAATGAGAAAATTACCTGGACGCAAGCTCCAATAATTAAACCGGTAGATTTCGGTGGACATCCATCCATCGTTTCCGCGTTCCAGGGCGATGACAGCGCCGGTTTAACTCATGACCGTCAATCAGGACAAGATCTTGACCGCACGGCAGACGCTGCGTTTCAAACTGCACCGAACAACCGAGTGAGTCCCCGCGATGATGTGAAAGGTCATAGTGGCCGAGCGAAGCCAAACAATGAAGATGCGATCGGCAGACACCGAGACGCGACTCCCTCGCAAAAAGCTGATTCGAAAACACCACTCGCCGGCGGAGCGTTCTTCCCTTTGAAATCTTCGAATACGGAAAGAGCAAAGTCCCGTCGCTCCGAACCTGAGGCAGACCAACGACCAGTCTCTCCCGCATCGGCTGGTGGTGATGCAGCTGCGTATCAGCCGTACGCGTATACCGAGTACCCAAATCCTCCCCCCGATGCCACGGCTGCATGGGGGAATAAAACGTGGAAAGGTGCTTTACCAGCACTGGCAGCGATGTCGTCCCCTTTTGTAACTGACCTGTACAAACACAATCCAAATGCGACCTCCATGTCCAGTAAAATGGACATGTCCACACAGTCCTCACAGTCGCTCCAGGAATTAATGCAGTGCTCCATGAGCCACAGTTCTACCGTCGGAACTTCCATGATTGGCTACAATTTAATGGTGTCCTTTGTTTTATTTTTGGTAGGTGATAAATTAAATCCATACAAACGTGTTTCATTTTGAACTTAGTGACGCTTTTAACTTGAGAAATTTATTGCAGATTGGAATGGCTATATTTTATTTTGCAACAAGAGGCGCCAATAAACAAGAGCGAAAGCAGCTTCTGGAGCGACGCATGAGCACTGGCTCTGAGTAAGTGGACAAAGTAAAGGTCATCTTCCGTAACAGTAGTTCCGTTTCCACTCCTAGCGATCCGCCATGCTTAATGGTTATAAGTATTAATAAAAAAATTATCCGAATTTGGCTTATTCAGACTAATCATTTCTGTTTGCAGCTGGGTAAAAACATTTTATTCTCAAAAGATGGTAGAAGAGAAACCAACCGGGGTGACACGAGCTACATCGACAAGAACCAGCTCGGAATCTGCTAGCGATGTTGTCAATGATGCGTCTTCAGCGGAACTCGGATTTTTCCTTCCCGTCTGTAAGAAACATTCAGTCAACAAGCTAGCAAAGTGAATATTAATCGTTTCAACGTTTGTTCCGCAGTTTGGTTTTGGAGAACTGAAGAGATGGAGCGACGCTGTGGCAAATCGGCAACTCAGTATCTTCGGTTTTCGGAGTACTTGATTGCCTATGCATCCTTAGTGGTCATTGCTTCCACGCTTATCATTCTCCCGATCAATCTTCACGGATCCTTGATTACCACCAGGTTGGAGTTTGGCCGGACAACTATTATCAACATTGATCCGCAGTGAGTTTGATAACCACATCAGAAGCTAGTTGAGTTAAAAGTGTCAAACTATCGCACCTGGATGCTCGAAACTGCTGTAATGTTATTTATGGGGAAATTGCAGATCAAATATTTTATGGATCCATGTGATCTTTTCGATCTTTTTGTTTCCGCTGGCGTTATTGTTTGCCACGAGGTTCGTTCAGACGTTTCGCGGGTACGGTAAACCGGATCGGTCAACAAAGACATTGATGATAACTAACTTGGGAACGCGGTACGCGTCGGAAGACAAAATCCGGAGACATTTCGAGTAAGTTTGCTAGATCTAACATGTAAGTCTACTCCCTATATTTAGAGTTTGCTTTTGCAGTTCTTATGTACGAGTACCATCTCTATAGCTAAACATGTACAAGTAAACGTAAGACGTTTTGTATTAATATTTAGAGGGGCTTTGTGTTTAGGGAGGGTCATCCGGACGTTGAAGTCTCCAAGATTAACCTATCTTATCATACTAATAAACTTCACCGGTTGGATAAAGAACTGTAAGTTTTTTAGTTTAACCGGCACATATTGTGCGCACCATATGTCAGGTTTTTATGGGAATTTTCGCTAGCCTAACCAATATCGACCGCAAGTATTTATTTAATTTACTACATGAACCTTTTCGAAAGCGTACCAGTTACTGGTGAAAAGAATTGTTGTTTGCTGTTAATACGATGCGTTTGATCCAGTAAGCATATTTCTGTTAATTACAGACAACTGTGCATCTCTTGTTCGAAGTACTATGAGAAAACTTTAAGACCGGGGTCGGAGCCGCCGGTATATTCTAGAGATAACTTGTGCACGCGATGTTGTTGCTGCTGCTGTGACGTTGCGGTAAGAAGCCTCGTCTGGAATAACTCTGCTTTTAAGAACGCTAATTTTCCATTTTTTCCACAGATTGATGCTGTTGAATATTACAAAAATCGAGCTGCAGAGCTGGAAATACGGATTGAACAACTGATTGATCGACCCAGACTTCCCAACGCAACTTTCTTTGTTACTTTCGAGGAAGAAGAAATGGCAGAAAAGTAAGTGATATGCAGTAATCTTAAGGTGAAAATCCGGTAATTATCGAGTATTTTTTTTAAAACGCATCATTCAAGTACAGTAATTTGAGAAGGTCACAAACCTGTTTATGCTGACAGAGTCGCAAAACAATATCGTAACCCGATGAAAGCACTGCACAGTCCACGGACGGAATTCTCCAAGGAATTGCAAACTAAATCGTGGTCTGCTCAGTTTGCACCTTTTCCGGATCTAATAAAATGGTAGCCGGAACTTACATTAAACTGTTTATACAGAGTGCGCACACAAAAGTGGTAAATTATAATTATGCGTTTCCTTTGATGCCGCTAGGCAAAATTTGGAAACTGGAGGCTTACATTGGTGGATTAGGGCGATTGTTTTGAACGTTCTCCTGTTCTTGTTTCTCTTTTTCATTACCAGCCCGATCATTATCCTAAATGCTCTTGGCGTTAGTCAGTGGGCAAAGAATGTAAGTCCTTAATCGAGCCCAGGATTGTTGTAGGATTTTTCATACTTGTTCACTTTTCGCACACATCCACATCTTTTCTCGGGCATAGTAGTCTCAGTTTGATCAGAATATATAAATAACCCACTTTACTTGTTAGTTAATTGCCGATTGACCGATTCATTAATATTCTTAAAACTACATTAGCTGACGATGTTTGTGCAGTAAATACCGTATCTTTATCATTTTGTATACTTTTATGAATTTACTAAACGTTTTATTTTGCAGCTCGTTATTTTGAATCAAGTTATTCCGGGCATCTTAATGGTGGAGCTGGGATTCATTATTGGCGCTCTTATGAAATCTGTGACTATGCAGACCCGCTACCATGACAAGTAAACCATATGTATTGTAACTTTGACCATAACCAGTTTGCGACATTTGTATTGTACCAGATACAAGAATAATTAAAGGCTTTCAAAAACATTCTGGAATTTTAGAATTCGCGAATTTATGGTTGCATTGAAAGGAACCTTCAGCTACACCTTAATTGCGCAGCTTCTTCTGCCAACGTTTGGTCTAACAAGGTAACAAACTTCTCTTATTTTTAAAACGATATATACCGAGCAAGCTTAGTGGCATATATTATTTAAATGTTGTATCTGTATTCAATTTGTTCCAAAAGTGAGCTATATTCTACAGAGTTGTCTGTAAAACAAATATTTTCGTATCAAATTGATACATTGTGCCGTCTGTTTCTAGTGCGAAGGCCCTTTATGACTATTTAAAACAGTCCAGCAGTTCTTCCGGACAGTTCAACTGGGCGTAAGTGCTTGTATATAAAGTGATTAATAATTTTTGTTCAAATTAAAACAATTCATGTACCCTTCGTTATTTTGCAGTTGTTTGTTCCTTCCTGATTACGGGATGGTTTTCGTGACCTTTCTTATATTCCAGTCGCTATTCGGCTCCAGCCTGGTTTTTTCCCGAATATTGGAACTGCAAATACTGGTGTTGAAGCGATGCAATGCTCGCTCAACGCCGAACGTTGGCTTCTATCCCAACGAAAACAACCATTCACATTTACGGCGGGATACTCTCGAAATTTGGTGCTCTTTGCCGTCACGATTGTTTTTGCTTTTGTTTCACCTTACGTTTCGCCATTAGGTACGGCAACACATTAATAATGTCGTCTTTTCTATCGAAGAAAGAATATTTTTCTTAACGCTCAAGTTCTTGAAATAATTATGTTAGCTGTATTTATTCAGCAACGTATTATGCAGTTTTACATCCTGTGCACTTTATAGGATTGTTGGCATTAATGATGAACCATGTCGCGGAACGATACAGCATCTTTTTCATTAACCGGCGCTCCGAAACACCAAATCCCGTCCACCGGAGTGCAGTTAATATATTTTTATTTTGTGTGCTGCTACAGCTGATCATGATGATATTTTTTACTGCCATCCGTGTCGGAAACGTTGGCACTGGAGTTATGTTACTTGCCGCCATTGTGTACACAATTGTTCTACTATACATTTCCTGGCGGGAGGAGTTTGGTAAATTTCAAAAAATCCATTCGACAGCCATTGGAAGCAAATTTCTGGTACACATTGACGAAGACGATGATGAGGTCAGGATTGGTTGTACTCTGTCGATAGCTTGAAATCTGAATAGAGATACGTTTACAGGGCTCATTTGATCCCATGGCCGAATCACAAGCATACGAAGCTCCCATCCTGCGCCGGTACGAACTATTACGACCTTTAACATCCAAGCGACATTCGTCGTGGCGAGAATCTTCTCCCCCTTTGCCAGATTAAATTAATGTCTTATTCTTAAATTACGTATATCTTATTCTTATTATTATGTTTTTATTCTTATTACTTATTTTTAAATTTGCCTAAATATATTCCAGTTCATTGTATTCCAGTGCCAATTTTGCGGGCATATAAAAATATTCTTAAATTTATTCCAATTTCGTGGGCAGTTATCTACTGCACCACCTGCATTTTGATGGTAGTTCATCTGCTGTGTAAAATATATTATTAGTGCTACGCGGCACATCGCCGGTAAGTACGATACAAATTAAGTACAATTAATTGCTTAAATTCGTTGTTACAATACTAAAGCCCATGTTATACTTCCACATGACGGCCAATATGTCTAGCATACGCTGTCATATATGTGATCGGCATTCATACTTTTATGCTGCACATTTTTTATGCTGAACATAAAAGTATGAATCGTTTGCATAAAAAATGTTAACATGAGCGCATGATGCTCGCATGTTGACTATGCTACATAAAAAATGTCATAATGAACCTGCTCATTTCGACATATTTTTATGTCAACAATATGCTAGGTAAAAGCTGTCGCCCCATGTAGGTGGCGATATCACCACCACGGGCGGTTAACGGTTTGTTAACACATTTCTGACGAGTTGGTTCATACTTCCGTTTCATTTTACTGGTGATAGCATATTGCCATTTAACATACGGCATAATCATTTTTGGTTTCGTGTTTTAAATGTTGAATATGATTATGTCGTATGCTGCTTATGACGCGCCATCATTTTGGCCGTCATATGGAAGTATAACATCGGCTTAAGAATTGTGATGTGTCATTTGCTTTGTGACTTGTGAGCATATAGTAATCTAACTGTACTTTTATACTTTACTTTTATACTGACATTCTATTAGGCTATCTATTACAACAACAAAAAACATATTACAAGTTGAATTGCAACTTCACACTGTAAGTACAGTACTTGAGAGAATCCAGAGAGATTATGGACACCAATAATATTGGTTGCACAACTTGTACTGCCTCGTTGTACAACAGTGAACTATTGGATTGGTACAGTATGCAAATTTTCCCTCAGAATTTAAAAATTATTTAAGTTTGTGAAATGTATGAATAAATTCTTAAATTAAAAAACTAGATAGCAACTATCCATAAGGACAGCGTGTCTCTACACTCCCTACTCCTGACAGGCCGCCTGCTGCCATATTCGTAACTTCGTACAAAGTACACGTACTGGCCATGGAGTCTGGAACGACAGCCTTCTGGCAGACCACAGACACAGCCCCACTTACGTACAGTACAACCACATGCCAAAACTCACGTGTGGATAACCATTATCAGCTGCCAGCGGGCTTGCTTGCCAGGGTTTACACTATTTTACACACTAGCTAGTGCAGTGGTAGTTTTTCCAGTTTGTGGCATTTTACATTTTTAATTTTATCTGAAAGATGAGCGCCATTAAGTCCATAACTCGTGAAAATTTTCAAGATCAGCAGTTTAGTTAGTTGTCAGTATTATCTTGCTGTCGAAAGAAAGTGCCTGTTATGATTGATGGCACGGTTTTGTTATCGTCTATTACGATTCTAAACTTTCACTACGAAGTACGGTGCTAGCTTGTGGCCCTTTGGGTACGGGTGTGCGATTTGCTGATTTTCATTTGTTGTTACTGTAATGACCGTCTAATTGTAGCCATGTGCTGATTATTCATCAGTGACAATTACACCACACTTGCAAAACACGTGCACTGAGAGATTGCCCGCGATTTGGTTTGTGGTGAACGGTGGTGTGAAGAGATTTTGAGGCAGCCTTTGGTTTGTGTTGCGAATTCGAGCTGGCGATTGCTAATGCTGCAGCTGGCCCATCGAGCCAGAGGGATCGCGGGCACTGTTTTCGCTGGATTATGGGTGGGTGTATAACATCGCAAAGGGAACGCAGTCCTCAGCCTGTTCGACGAGTAGTCTCAGAATCTCAGTCAGCCAACAACTTCAGCGCAAACTCCGAAAGTCGGGAAGTCACCAATGGAAGTCGCTATGAAGGAGGTAACTTCAGATTTCGGGAGTAATAATTAATATGTCCCCTCCACAAATATGAACCACTTAATCTATCCTGATTTCTTACTGCTTTCATGATTTTCGAAGAAGCATACGCTTTAAGATCAAGGGGGCACTGTTTTCTGCAAATCATGATATCATCAGACACCTTTTTGATTTTCGATCTTTTAAATTTTGATGGCCGGAGGTAGCAGATTGCCTTTTCAGGATTTACTGTGCGTAATTGATTTTAACATGTTCGTACTTTATTTGACGTAATTGATTTTTCCCGATTTTTTTAATGGTTCATGGATCTGCAATTTTATTTGTGAAATTGTGCATTGTGAATCTATGGTGCTGCGATGCACTACATCTGTTCTGATTTCTGATTTTCTGTATGATCATTGTTATGATCTTTCCGGGCATGTAACATGTTGACATTCTTTTATGGCGTACGTGTACATGGTTTATCTTATCTTGCAGCTGTAGCTATTGGTAAGAATCAGTCTCTGAAGAAAGAGCGTCTGCGGTGGCGCAGTCAAGTGGCTATGACGGAAGGTCAACTGAAGCAGAAGCGTGAGATATTTTGGGAAACGGCTCCAGCTTACGAAGGAAAGAAAGAAGTATGGGACGCTCTCCGGGCCGCAGCCCAAGCTGCTGAAAGTAAGCCTGTTATGCCAGATATTTAGGGTATATGCCTGTGCAGTTTTGAGAAGATTTTCCGCAAAAAAATTAAAACGTGAGTTTGAAAATATGAAAAATATCAGTTTTTTAAGAAAAGTCCATTTCTGAATGAATAATTGATTTTTTCTCAAACGATTTTTGCTATTTATTTAGCTTTTCCCTGTTCAAAATACTTGCACAAAACGCTGGATTAAATCGGCATTTTGCTGTTGATGTTTTTCTGTCCTTTTCGTGATCCACTTTCCCTCATGAGTATTTTGTAGGACATTTCGCAATAAATTGAACACGACATGCTAGGAGTTTGATCTTTCGTTATGCGAAATGGCTGAATAGTTGCGGAAGTGCAGTACAGTAATCTTCGGTCTGTTGCAGCCAACGACTGGGCTCTCGCACAGGCAATTATCGATGGCGTGGGAGTTTCAATACCTTCTGGTGAGCATTCAAGCATGTCTGAACAGGACTAGATCGATGTCACATAAAGGAACTGTACCGGTACACAGTGTGTAATTAGCCTTTTCTTTTATTTATCGTGTACTTCCTGTTGAATCAATCGCGCCGCGTTTAGCAGGAACATAACGTCATGCGTTAAAATCAGTCATGCTGGGATTAAGTGAACATCCATAATGCTGATAGTTTTCTGTTTTCGCGCGTGGCAGTACGGTGCAGCATTTTGTATCTTAATAACCTTAATAGCGTTTGGTCTTTTGTAGGTACGCTTTTGGACTGCTATGACGAGTTGGGAACTCGCTACCAGATTCCTCCGTATTGTCTCTCATCTCCGCTTAATTTGATATCCGACGCTGATCTCGGCAAAGATGAAAATAAATCCACTCCCGTTAAAACTGGTAAAGAATGCCCTGTATGAGTTTTGGGAATTGCGGAATCCAGTTCGAAGAATTCTATTTTGTAGGAAAAGATGTGGCTATCAAGCTGCGCTTCTCCGATTCTGATAAAGATGTGAAGTTCCCCGTTAATACGGAAGAATCTATTGCGTCGTTGAAGAAACGCGTGCATCAGTCTGTACGGAATGTCGATCCACTCGATCAGCGGTAAGACGTGTACAGAGATATGCCAGTGCACCACATCATGATTGCGCAATAAAATTCGTGACGGTGAAGATTTGACGCTGGCCCATAGACACATATGCTATAACTTAAATTTTCAAAAATTCATAACTTTGTTAATTTTCGCGTTAATGTTTTGTGAGTATGCTTTAAAAATATAGAATAATATCTACTATTAGGCAAAACGATTTTTTTCTGTTTCCGTCTTAAGGTTTGGCACTGAGAGCGTGGTTAACATAGCCGCCTACGAAATCTTTAAATCAAATTAAATGACTTCTCCATAGACAGCCATGCTAATTACGTAGGCACATAGTGCGCAACCCTAAAATAAAATCGAAAAACATTTGTTATGCCTACTAGTATATATTATTCTGTATTTTAAAGCATATTCAAAAACATTAACGCGAAAATTAACAAAGTTATGAATTTTTGAAAATTTGAGTTATAGCATATGTGTCTATGGGCCAGCGTCAAATCTTCACCGTCACGAATTTTATTGCGCAATCATGATGTGGTGCACTGGCATATCTCTGTACACGTAAGACTACTGCTTGACGCCTTATTCAAGTACTAGTGACACATACATAGCAGAAAACTAATCGATCTAATGTTGCTGGCTTATTACATATCGATTACGCAGATAAAGCCATTGGATGCTTTAATGGGAATAACTGTATAAGTGATGACGAACACGATCGTGATATTCAGATTGTTTTGGTGAAATTTTCTGGGGCATGTTAGCATATCATTTTCTATATCGTTTTCTACTGACAGTTTTACCCGATATGGGATCAGAGTTATAAAAAATATTTGTATCCAACAAAAAGTATGGTGTGATATCGGTTATTTTTACCCCTACTTTAAAACAGAAACTTTGAATCAGTAATCGTATTGTTAGTGTGTGGTTGTGCTAGCGTTTACGTTCTAATACAGTACATGGCTTTGAATTAAATGGTGGTCTCCTGTTGCACAATTACCGGTAGTTTGGTGCATTTTCGTATCAATACTCTACCTGTAGTTCTTATTGGAAGTGCCACGATATCAGCAACATGAGATATTGATTTTAATTAAACTCTGTGCTGTTTGCCCTTGAATGTTCAGAGCTGATGTTTGCAAAAAGAAACAATATTTTTTCGGGGATGTGGTATGACATAGCCTGGAATTTTCTTGAAAACTGGGATGAATGTTGACTCTGTTTGTTATGTCTTTAGGTGGTTTTTCGGGGGTAAACTATTACAGGATCGGTCCCGACTGTCAGAGTTTAAAATCCGACCAGGATATGTGATACAAATTATTGTTAAAGCTCCCAAACCAGCCTCTTCTCCTTTGTCGTGATATGGTTTTGTTGCGTTTATGCGTTGGCTGCTGTTCGCTTACACGCAGAATCCTTCTGGTAATGCTTGGAAATGGATTTCTTCCATTAGTCCTCGATGGTGCTTTCTTTCTAGCAGTTTTCTTGTACAGTAATTCCCCAGTCGTTTTCATTCGTCGTATTATGATATTCGCTTGTGTTCTGTTTTTGTTTTAATGGTATAAATGTTTTGGAACTGTTTTTGATTTTGAATGCTTAGGTTGTTACTGACTGGAATGTGTTCCGTTTTAAGGTAGCACATATTTATCAAATGTCTCATCACTTTGAAATTTTATCATGGATCTGTTGTACAATTACAGTTGGTTGGCTTTAAGCTGGCCAGATTTATGGTCAGTGTTGCCGTCGATGTTAATTTGATTTGTTGATATCTGCAGTAGATATTTCAGTGTCTCGGCTAGGCATTCGTGTGAACTCAAATACGCAGTCATGTATGCTATTAAAAAAATCTCAATTCGTCGAGTAATGGACGCTGTTTCTGTCCAGCCACTGGGGCCAAGCAAGCCACTCTGGGAAAGTGTACAAAAAGAAAAAAGCATAGTTTCAATAATTATACGATAAATTACCACCCTGTAGTAGGGTATGAGTATAAATATTATCTGATGAGCTTAACAATAAAGCGTGCAATATTCGGACAGTGTAAATTGTATATCCGATTTTTCATTTTTATACATGTGTGTTCTACGTTTACAGTGGGCGGTGCCGGGGCGCAGTACCGATTCACTTCTTTACTTACCACGAGGAGCGCGACGTGACGATGTTACGTTATATATTTTACTTTTACAAGTAAGTACTTGAAGTAGAGATATTTCGTTTTTGTGTTCAAATTCTTTAAGTGATTTGCAGCTAATTAACACACTCAATGCGTGTAGCGCACTGTTATTACATACTCGTACTTGTTCGGAGCCGCGATAATACCATCAACTGCGAGTAGCCATCAATTATTTCAAAAACAGAAACCGAATTCGTTTGGAGTAATACAATGTGGACAAGTGAAGTGCTATAGAAATTTACGAACATACCGTACATACTGCTCGCTATTGTTGTCAATCCCGGTGTGCAACTGTAATTTATACCTAATACGGCTTATTATTGTGTAGCAACACCGCATATTTCTCGTGGTCATACGTAATTACGTGAGTGGTCGATGAAAACTTCTTCAAAAAATTTTTTGACACTGGCGCCAGTGTCTGTGTAAACAAAGAAAACGAGTGCCACATGTTTGACATAGTTATAATTTGTCATGATGCTGATAGTGAATTCGAAGGTACTGCTGCGGTTTGATGTCCGTCACGTTGACATGACGTTCCCGTACAAAATCTGTAGAATCAAGTTTTTTTTACAGCAAAAGCTGCTCCGCTAATATTAAATTTCACTTTGAGAGGCAACGTAGCTCTTTTATTTTGCGCTTTTTATATGAGTGGTGAGTACTTCTTCCTTATTGAAAACCAATCGTTAGAATGAGTACTTCTATCGTAAAGAATTTTATCGTTCCCTCAATGGTAATTCTGACTATGACAAAATCTACGATGGTTAATGCGGTGCCACTGCCCGCAAACAGTGCGACTCCTGTACTGGGTAAGAAATATTTGAAAATATTAATTTTTATGTTGGGAAAGTTTTTAAAGCTTTCTGTATGTTACACTTTCTTTACTTAATCAATCTTGAGTTCTGTAAGTTACGCTGATAGGTACCTAAACGCAACTCGTAGATATGAGTACGTACTGTTCATGCAAGGGCTTATTGTGCTACCGGTACATTTGATTCCCACGTACTGGACCAGACAATATACCCTACAATGTTGGAAACCGTATAATTATAATCGTTTGGGTTTTAGTTGCAAATCCAGTCCCTTCTATCGGTGCTAATCCATCAGGTAGTACCAGTGCAGGCACCGGAAATGCTGCCTCTCGCGTCGATCCGATGGTTGGTGGTAGCGGTGTGCCTTCCAACTGCCAAACTTCCATCTGTGGTCAGTATCCGGCACTGCACTGCATAGCTACTGTAAACGTTTTACATTTTTCATACAGAGAAGGCCCATATTTGCTCCAAAAATAATTTTTATGATTTACCCTGGGTTTACGTATCGCTTTACCATTAATCCAAATCAAACTGATGATCATTACGTAGTGCTCCGCCTAGCAGTACGCTCTAGTGCGTTTCTCGTCAAAATAATTCAACGGCAAAGATATTTAGTTCCTATGCTTTCATTCGCTAAGCCGAAACTATATATCTATATAATTCATAACATTTTACATATTTTCCATTGTAATTAATGCCTTGTGACGTAAATTTTGTCTGTTTGTAGCACAATGTTCACTAACCCAGGAACTCGAGAAAGTCGTCGGCATATCGGTGTATTGCATACAAAACTGCGGAATCTGCCTCCCCGGCAGGTGAATTGAGCAAATTTGGTGAATACATCTGGTTCTACCACGTTAAAGCATCGTTGATGGCTCACATAGGTGTTAAACAAATTACTGACTGTTGTGGAAAATACCGCAGCGCTCACAGTCGTTGTTGTACTATGTTTATTTATAATACAAAAGGTGCAAGGCACTTGTAATTTGCAGCTTTCATTTCGTTAGTCCCTTGGCGTTTACTCTGCTTTAAAAGTTACACTTGCATACGTACCAAAATTTTAGGCTACTCGTAAGAACTTGTAACTGTTGTGCTTGCTATAAGGAAACTATAACTTAGTACGTGAAGTGTTGAGAGAAAGCCTCAAGTGAACTTAGCAATTAAAAATTTGGCAGACATTTCAAAGTACTGTAAGCGCATGTTTCTCGTAATTTTAAAACAATAATAACCGCGACTACTACATACACGAAGAGGTTTTAGTCCTTTTTTCCTTGCATGTTTTCTTGTAGCGCTTAACGTAGTCTTATCTACCTAACAATTGTAGGTCCTAGTATGACATGCCTATACGGTTTTATTATTTCGTCTGATTTAAGGCGCTCGTATGTTCTCAGCATTGAAAACGTAGATACTGTGTATGTACATCGTGATTCGTGACACGTATCGCTTAGGGACTATCAGTATCCGCTAATACTGCGTAAGCTCATAAATTTTCGCTGATAACAATATTTTCAAAGAGTTGCTGGTGGATTTTGGACTGTTGAGTAAATCAATATGTGCAACCAAACTTATTCAAAATCTATAATGTATGCAGAAAACAGCTAAAAGCTGTCAAAGGTCACTTTGTCCGCGACAGCTTCCGGGGTCAAGATTACAGCCAGTGCAAAATAATACTGAGACTGTTTGCAATTTAATACAGCATTAAAATTAATTACAGCAAAGTTAGGGCAATATAACTACGTAGTTATAATGCTCCAACTTTGCTGTAATTAATTTCTGATCTGAAAGCTAATGAACGATTTTACTTGAAAAAAACGGTTTGTGTATGAATGTCTTGTATTTGGAGTTGTAAGCACTATTTATATTCTGCATTTACGTACCACAAATATCTATATATTGAAGAGAACGGTGCAGTATTCAAACAAACTATTGTTGTTCGAACGCAGTAAAAACGAATAATTAATACGTATACCATAATCAAAACATTGAAATACTTTATTGCTTCGGAATATGAGAGTCAAAATATCGGAACAAACGGAATAAAATCCATATTACCAAAATACTATCCTCATTCACCAATATAAATCTGGACAGTGTCCAGCTGTACCATGAGATCATAATGAATACGGCATCCTTCCACAATGGATCGTGACGCATTCAGGACTAGGTAATGCACATTCTCAGAGCGCCTTATCATTGCTGTACATTCCGCTGCTAATTGGACAACATTCTCCACCGATCAATTAAAGGAAATGGTGTATGCCATAAACAATAAAGGTCATAACCGTTGGAACGAACATTTGAACCGCTGCTGACCTAACCGCCTGTGCGATAACGACAATCTCGCCATTCTCGTTCTGAATGTGATAGTCGTGCTCCTGAACCGGAAGGTGTGTCAGTTCCAGGATCTCAGGGGTAATGCTTTCCGTGGTGGTTTTGGTGCAGCGTTCCTTCCAGCGAAAATCATGAAAAGGAATTATTTTTGTCGGGTTGTCCGAATCCGTTAGATCGGTGACCTTACACTTGATCTTGACTTCACAAAGAAAAAAGTCACCGTTGGACGTTGTGCGATCGGAGTACGAAACAAAGCCACGCCCAGCAGAGCCCCATAACTCTTGATGATGATGTAGCCATGTGTGTAGCCAGTGACCGGGATCATTGTTATCGCACGAACAGGGAATGGTGGAACCGAGCAGCCCGACACATTGCAGTGACTCCGTGCGCATGACGTGGTCGAATAATCCCTGCTCGAGCACTGTGCCCGAGGGAAAGTGTTCAAACAAAACAGCTTCCAATCCATTTAAGCCGTCTAAAAATTCCTTAGGGATTTTTGGGAAACTGGCCAAGTAGTCAAAGGCTATGTCCAGTAACTTGAGGTTGTTCATGTTTATAAACGGACTTCCCAGATCCAGTTTTGCCGGTCTGGTCCCGTTAGCTTCCGGAAACGGGTTCCAGTGTTTAATGATCAGCGTATGGATGTATTCCGCCACATCTTCAAACAAGTACTGGTCGATGAGGAAATTCAACCGCGGAATGTACAGTTTGACCGGCAATTTACATGGGCGATCTTTGTACAATCTGAAGGAATTCTTCAGGTCATCGTAGGACAGGTTGTTGCAAAATATACTATGGTACGGAGCGTTGTCCACTTCCCTTATTTGATCGAATAAAATACAAGCGTCGCTTAACATTTCCGCCAAATACGTTCCTTCTTGGTTCGTATTCGTACACGGGTCAACCGGTACTGAAGTCACCATACGAAAACGCGAGATCATGATTACTGAAACCGTAAGAATAAACACTAAAATACGAAATTTACAAGACGAATCCATGGTTAAGACTAAACCTTGTGTGTACGTTAGAGCCAACACATTGTTAAAAGCAACTGCGAACTCTAGTATTATTGGTAACGATCAACAGTGTTGAGCTACGGTACAAATGTGTACTGGAATCGTTAGATTAATTTTTGCGAAAGCAGCCTCCATCCGTTGAATGCATGACCTGCTAGTTGTGCGAAATTTAAACTTTATTGTTTGCGGTTGGGAATTATAATCTCAAAAGCTTAGATAAGTACCGTTAGATAAATAATCCAGGTACCTGAACATGCGCCAACCGGAGCCGAACCTGATATAATTCGAGTTAAATAAGTGATACATACTGTATTCTGTAACAACACGACTTACTTGCTAAAACAGTGGCGTACTCTGTACGAATCTGTAGAGGCTTGCATGTACCGTGTAATTACAGTACCTCAAAAAAATTTTACCACTTACCAGGTAACTGTTATGATGTTAAAAATGTGAAAAGGTAATTTTTTTAAACATTACCTGCAGGCTGCAGCTAGCATTAAGGCTTTAAGCATAAAATGAATAAAACTTCCTTCTTTTGAATACGAGTGTGCACGCAATTTGAGTGTAACCATTGAGAAAACTATTATTCACCGCTTCACTCTGCACAGGAAGATGCAGCGAATTGATTGTTCGTTCGCTCTGTAGTCCTCTGTACAACGGAACTGCCAGAAAAATATTTAATTTGTCAAAACAGTTAATCAGATCTTGGAGTTCGACAGTTTGTAGCGCTTTGCCACAGTGCAAAATGAACTCGTACTGTATTTTAGTATTTGTAATTAATTACGTTTGGATGCAGAATCACTTATAACAAAAGTATTCAAGGAGTGAGTTTACATTTAGTAGACTGAATGCTTCACGGCTTGCCTGCAGTTAGCAACAAAGCAGCGCGTAACAACTGGTGCCAGGTTTTACTTTATACTGTTAATCCGTTTTGGAGTATGACTTATAACTAGTACTACATATCTGTATTGCAAACCATATAACGCGTTAATTTTGTTTGCAAATTTGAAAGATGGTATGGACATTTAATTAGCAAATTTTGTAATAAACCAGTCAAGCACCAGTGAAGTGAATGTGACCTTAATACTCGCGCAATGGTATTATTTTTTATAGGGGTTTTTAAATTGTTTTTTAAATTGGCATCGATCTCGTTATGCTCGTATTAGGAAGTAATAATTTCGGCTGCTCCATGGTAATTGCAAAACATATTGATAAACCGATATGCATAGCGAAAGGTAAAGTATTATCTGAAATCAAATTTTCCATGGTTGACCTTTCCGATATCATGTTTCACGTTCTACTCTGTATATTACGTACGCGGTATCAAAATCGAAAAGGTATCGGCTCATCGTGACAGATTTAGGGCTTTGTGCAGGCCACTTGATAAGCTTGTTCGAATTTATGCTTGTTGACATACATAGTGGAATTCAATGTTTTGTGAAATATTATTATGCATCCATACTGTAGTTATTTGCCAAGTGCACGAGTTGTCCTGTAGATACGACTTGCACAAAGATGGGCAGTGAATGGCGTATGACTTTACACAACTGCTGAAAACTAGCTATCGTAATAATGACTACAGCAGTTTATGAAAAACACCTTTCATTATTTTTCATGCCAACAAAAAAAAATAATTCCAGTACCCTCGTATTTGTTTTAAATGCCGGATCCATTTAAGTTATTATCCAACTTGTTGGAAAACTTTGGTGCCGCGTTATGGCAGTATGTAAAAATAAGGATGTGAACAAGCCATATTGGTCGCCAAATTTGGCGACCAATCAAATCAAAAAATTAAATCAAAACCAAAACTTGATTTAAATCCATTTGATTTAAATCAAAACTTGCAAGGTATTTAGGCAGTTTACTGGCCTTCAGAGCCTTAAATTTCATCGGCAACAGCATACCTGAAGAGTTGGAGGTGACCTTAGTTAAACTGCTTCTAGGTCCTCAAACAGCGATAGTGAAAAATGCTTAAACAGAGTAGTGACCTTTGGTATTATGGCGCAATTGATGTCAAACTAGCAGACCTTGTTCTTAAATCGACGTATACGCCGCGGCGTAGTCATCTATGTGGATCCCGAAAACGGCTTTGTGGTTAATTTTGGTTGCCTTCACTGCCGCTCAGAAAGTGTTCCCTTTGGCACATGTGTCGATTCAGTATTCAGAAAGGGTCGCTTCCGGGCAAATGTCGGCGAGACAGTGCAGGCGCTGTGGCAGGACAGCCCGCCTCGGCCATGGTGTTAGTATCCTCCTAAAGTTCTTGCGATGGGCTCTGACGTATGTGGGGCGAAGATCAAGGCCGGCAAAAAATGGACTTTGGATGTCAGAAAGTGGGAGCAGGTGTTACCGGCGGCTGCCTGGACGACATTGCAGTGGCGGCATCAGTTCCGAAAGCACACTGTAGAGCTTCCAACGAACAAGGACTTGCTGGTTGTGGTAACGAGAAAGAATTTTCGCTCGTTATGGTATCGAGCAACAAAGACCATCAGTGTGGGAAAAAACGAAGGACACTGGACTTACATCTCGTCCTCTGCAAAAATGTTGACGAAACTGGAATTGCATGGGTAAGAGGGGGTTTGCTGGTTTTATTGCATAATTTTTGGTATTTTTACGTTTAAAATCTGATTTACGTACTTATTACTACTGTATGGTTTCCATAAATTTTACTGATGGTTTAAAGACTCGTAATTACGGTACGTTCAAGTAAATAAATTCAGTCACAAGTGTATTGTTATTGTGTTAGGAAAATCTACTGTCCGAAATGATGACGACGAGCTTATTCCCAGGAACGTGCCAACTCGGCCGTATAATTTGGTAAAACGATTAAAATAATATACATATTATTAATTTCGAATTATTTCAAAGAACCATAGGATTACGAGTATTATACGCAGCCTCTATAACTACAACTAAAATTTACAGCAGTCACCTCATACAATGTATAACAGTCAAGTTTGGCAGTTTTAACCATACTATCACCAATGCAATATATGGCTATGAGTATGGCTGGAAGTGAGCCTGGAACATTAATTTAATCGTAGGCACAACACTTCTATGGCGATTGTTTCTGCCACAGCTGACTGCTACGACCGCAGCTTTTCCGGCTAAACCTTCTATTGTCCAATACCTAAATGATTGAAATTTTAGGGTTACGTCGATTTTTTGGAATATTCTGTTGACTTTCTGCCGCTGGACCTAAAATATCGGAAGTTGTGTCATTTCTCCATGCGCTAAACCATAGACCAGCTGAAGGTATCGCGTGTGAGTCGCTTTTGGAACTGCACCGTCGAACCGATTAAGCGCCGACCTGAGCAGGCAGTTGACCTTACGGCTGTGGAGACTACAACTGAATCACCGGGAGTGATCCCGAAGACACCACGAGCCATCAGCCTCATCTTGTCATATCGTCCATTTTAAAAGCAGAAAAATCCGAATTCCGACGGTTATGATTGCACACCGTGCCGTGCTGTATGGGCTGCTGACCTTTTTGAATGCTCCGGCACCCGATCCCAAGGCTTGATTTCGTACGCGCGCCTAGCGAGCACAAGCGGATACAGATTTCGAGCACCCAGCGGATCGCTTGGCGAATACACAAAACTGTTTGATTCAAAATGGCTATAACTTTATTCTGCCGTCATACACGACAACTTCTCAGGTATCAAAAATCTTCCCAAATGTTTCTTCGTCTTTTGACGCTTTGGTTGACAGATTTCATGAATCAGATCCTGTTATAACAAAAGATTTCATCCAGAACCAGATCCCGTTAAAACAGGATCTAGTTCTGGATGAAGTCTGCGAACCAATGCGTCAAAAGATGAGGAAAATTGTGGGAAGATTTTTGATACCAAAGAAGTTGTCTTGCATGATGGCAGAATAAAGTTATAGCCATTTTGAATCAAACAGTTTTGCGTATTCGCCAAGCGATCCGCTGAGTGCTCGAAATCTGTATCCGTTTGTGCTCGCTAGGCGAGCCTACGAAATCATGCCTTGGGATCGGGGCAGATTCGCTTGGGATCGGGGCAGATATAATTGTGTGGATAAAAAATACAAATATATTACATTGCATAATATTATTATTGCGTACATGTGATAGAACTACAGACGTGAGTAGTAAGTACAGTGGAACCTCCTACTTTGAACAACCCCGAACGCTGAACACCTCTGAATCTTGAACAACTTTTTTCGTACCGGCGCTTCTCGTAATGTATAGCATTAGGGGGGACCTCTGAACCCTGAACACTCGGCTATGTACCGCAGTATGCTTACATAGTAAATTAGACCTCCAGACATGAACAGAGCAGTTAAGCAAAACATCCGGGAAGATCAAGTGTTCAAGGTGTTCACTTAGATCATCGGTAACCATTCGTCTGCCGTTCGGTATTTTTATTTCGTGAACAAATTTTTAGCTTTTAAATGAACATCAAGGCAAGTACGCCCCAGACAAGTTTACCGCTGCTCATTCTGATAAAAAAAATCTATTCTCGCTAATTTTTCGGCCGACGAATATTAAATTTTAATTTTTTTGAATTGTAATTGACGTCTTAAGCTTTTATCTTCCCCAACACGACACAAATCATACATTAAGCTTATTAGCTAGCTACATATATATTATACGAATTCAGGGGCCCCCTAAGAAAGTCTCTGCCCCGGGGCAGTACCTCCGAACCATGAACACCTCTGAACCCTGAACAAGAAACTGCGTACCGAGGGTGTTCAGGGTCGGGAGGTTCCACTGTAACTACATGTACATACACCTCTGGGCAGTAGCAGTACTAGTACTAACGTACACTTAACAGTCTGTACAATATATATTGTATTTAATTTACAATTATATATACAACACAATAATGTTGCATGCAAGCGAAAGACGATTAATTATTATCGACCTGAGCACAGCGAAGGTCCTCTAATAATTAAATTCATTGTAAATTGTAAACTAATTACAAAAAATTGTACGTACGTACGCCAAGCAATGTTTCAAAAAATGTATTAAAGGAATAGAAATATATTTCTACTCCTTTAATACATTTTTTGAAACATTGCTTGGCGTACGCGCAGGTATTGCGGAAATGGTAGACTAGTGATTCACAAGTTCCTCCAGACATCGCACTTCCTCCAAGTTTTCCGTTGGGATTTAATTTTTTAACCCTTCGTAACATCACCCTCCATGCTCTTCTTTCACTGCAAGCAGCATATGGCAGAAGGCCTCAGCGACTCCGATTTTGCAGCCATATTGAACAACTTAAATTTATAAGCCGGCATTTCAGATAATATTATTACTCGCAGGTTGCATTGGTATACATCCTACTCATTGTCAGTAGCGCGTGGGCTGCATGGAAACCAACGACTCGCGACTACTGCTCCGCTTTTGCACTTGCAAAATTCATTTTTTTGAATTGCTACGTACAGAAATTTGTTACATTTTGTAAATTTGCTATATGGTTAATGAACAGTAATATGCGACGAGTTTGCTGAATGCTGAAGTATACTTTTTGTTTAAAGCCTGTGCCGGCAAATTTGTATTTTTGAATGTAGGCTAATATAATGGGATCGTCTGAAATGCGGGCTAGTAATCAAATAATGGTTTAAAATGCGGGCAACATCGTTAAGTATCTAAAAAACCGAATTAATTTTTCCCGCACATCTGTTTTACGCAGACTTAAAATATTGATGATATTAACACGTTTGTCTCGAGTCGATTTGAAATTAATAACGTTCAGAACTTCAGATCATCTTAAATTGCTAGCCGCATAGATCCAGTTCCCAGTTGCACATCTAACTGGGTTTCATATGGTTAGTATTTTTTTACGTACTACAATATAATATTATGCTTTTAATACTGACTATAAAATTTGGATTGGTGTATATATCTATACCGAACTTACTAAATTATTCAACTTTATACTGTCCTTGAAATAATCACAGCAATACGGCTGGTGTCATTCATTCCGCGAATGTTATTTCCGGACTAGCTATTAATTTTTTTATAAACAGTTTGCAGGTATTATAGCACATGTACAAAAGTAACAAAACCGATTACGGCTGTGGCATGTGGAAATACCAATAAATGTAAAGGATCCAGCTACAGCGTGAAACAAGTAGATACGAGGTATAACACGATTGAGTGCGGCTGAGCTTTCCGAACATTAAGATTTTTAATTAAACCAAGATCATCGTGATCAGAAATAAATAAATGCTCAACCTGCTGACCGCTTTGTTTATTCTGGAGGCAAAACTGGAGCTTCCACGGTCGGTTGAAGAAACGGTTGGTTCTGGTAGTTGCACCCGCTGTTTCACTGGGCTGGTCATGTTTTCCTGACCCGCCGAATCAACCGGCACAGCCGACGAAAGTGGCACTCTACTGTTTACAGTCAGCTGTTTGGATGTCTGTGCAAAGGTCACGGTTGTCGTTGTGCTGTCGGTGGTTGTGCTCGGTGGCACATAGGGACACAAGTCCATTAACAATCTTTCGTCCAAATTTTTCTGCACTGCCGATCCGAGAACATTCAAATGGCAGATCGCATCGACTCGACAAAAGTAAACCGTTCCGGACATTTGATCTATGTAGTTTATCCCCTCTCCGGCCCATACTCTCCGGTGGCCGTTGCGCAACCACTCGCTCAACATCCGAAATCCGCCGGCATCGCACGAACAGTTGAGTGCCGACTGAAAAATCCCAAAGCATTCCAAGTTGGTAAGAGAAAAGAACAGATTGGGGTCAAACACGGCCGTAACTGGTAAGTGCTCGAACTGCAATGCCCGTAGATAATGTAAGCCATAAAAACAACCAGCATCCATTGGCATTAATACACTGTCATAACCATTACGCAAGAATGATACATCCAGAATTTCTAAACTGCCCAAATCGGCAAACGGACTATCTTGCTCGTATGCGCACAAGTTTTCCGGAGATATATCCTTTATGGTTAAAGCAATTAGGCGGGAAGCAATAGGCGAAAGTAAATGGCGGTGCAATGGGAAAAATACTTGATTTATATACAAGGAGATATTTTTTTGGCAGTCATGCTGCAAATAAAATGCTAGACTTTGTTGCAAAGCGTCGTACGATGGATTCGTACAAGTAATGGCATGATAATCCCGGAGAGTATTGGCCGAAAACATTGTTTGCAAGATGCACTCTGGCTGCGAAACACTGCCTGGTAGTAGTGCAGCATACTGAGAAGAGCAGAGTAACCTTTCTTCCGGTCTGTGTGTATTATTAGTAAGAATCAGGTGATAATCTTCAATATGATCGCTGTACACATATAAACCGGCATTTCCGCAATACAACCCGATGCAAAATACTAACAGCCGGCATAATTCCATGACAGAAATTTTGGACGCTTTATAACAGATACGTATGATAGTTAATAATTTATATGATCTGGATCATTACGCACGGGCATTGGTTAGGTCATAAAATCCTGCGTGTGCGGACCGGATAAGCGGCATTTGTGGAATACGTTGGCCACGGCTATCTATATACAGCACCATCCAGCTGACATTTTTATTGATGATTTTATGAAGAATGTTATGAAAAACTCGTTTTTGTCAAGCATCATAAAATGTCGAGGGACTCTGTTGGACTAAGAATGATTAGTGTGCACTGTACATTTGACTGTGTAATGTAATTTCTCATCCTACCGTTGCTGCCGTCGACAACATTAACACGCCATTGCTTAGAGCGGACGTGAATGTATACATAAGAGATGTATGGGCATATGCTGCGCATGTCATCTGCGTAGTCGTCACTTTGGTGGAGGAAGGAATTTTTATTCGTACTTGTGCTGTAAACTGACTAAAAATTGTGACGGAGGGATGTCGGAGCAATAAATAAACTATTACAAGTGTAATAATAATTGGCTTGTACTAAATGATCCTTGTACTGTACATGTGCTGAATGATGCACTTTGAAGATATGCGAAACGAAAGCGCTAATATTCTACATGCGCCACTGAATCGCGATACTTGCATCGCCCTAGTGCAATAGATATCTAAATAAATAAAGCTTCTACAAACTAACCAGTAATTGTTTTCTATTGTGTAACGTATGAAGTACTGCAAGTACTTAATAATAATGTTTGATATAATTTTTTATATAACCTAATTATGGTTTGCTTGACTGTCATGAGTACGTGATCATTGTCTAGCAAATTTCCGAAATTTTTTATTATCATTATCATAGAAGAATTCCCATGCGCATTAATTTTTGCTTACTGTTTTTGTCTTATTAGTCATAGTAATTATATCAATCACTGTGAAAGGTGCGGTAAATAATGAATTTAACAATTACAGGTGCAAATTACTCACTGAATAAATTATTCCGAGAACGTTTCCGACGTTCGAAAACACAGTCATTGCCAACCAGTAGAAGTATAACAAATCCCTCCATTGCTGAATGCTATTATCCGTGTACAGAGTACGTATAGCTTGATCCCGATAACATGAACCGATCGCGAAGATAAAAATTGCATTGTGTGTACTGTGTAGTAGCACCAAAGGGGACCATTGAACTACAGTAAACAGTTTCACCGGTTGCTTTTCACCAGTAAACAGTCTAGCGCTAATGATCGGCTGATCTAACATCTTCCGTATTCGCACTATTTAGCTGTACAGTCAAAATTTACCACACAAAATATACAAAAGATTTGTCACATAAAATAGCGCTTCTGGTTTTGAGGGTACTATGGTTTTTGCAATGCGCAAACCCCGAAATCATATTGATATTTCTCTAATTCTAGCATAGAACATCATTATTGTTTTTTTATTGGGTATAGAATTAACAGGGTCCGATTCTCGACTTGTTGGAAATGGATCTTTTTTTACTGTTTATTGCGTTGTCTGTCAGTCTGACCACAATTACGGCACATCAAGAATCAAATTCCCTCAAAGATTTGTTATCCGTAAGCCTGACCTTTCTACATTATTGTTAACAGGTCTGGGATTTACTGTACGTGAAGTAAAATAATTATCTTAATGATAGTTAAATTATACGGAATCTTTAGAGCGGAAAATCGAACCGTGCAACTAACGCCGCTTGTTCAGATATCTCCGGAAACTGGTACAACCAACATGGATCGGAAATAATTTTTACTCCTGGTGCCAAATCTTCACTTTCTGGAACATTTGCTTCCACTGTTAGCCTTTACAAGAACAAAAGGCCCACCGCAGGTAGTAACCGAAGTAAAATTGTTAAAGCATCATCAATAGTGTGCAGCGGAAAGAAGTTCAGTGTAATGACTGCATTAGCCTACATTTGTTACGGTTAGAGCGAAGACGTTTACAAAGTCAAAGTTTGCCCGTGCATAAGCAGTTTAACTAATTAATTTAATAATTAATTAATTTATTTACTACGCATACCACTGTACACAGCACCATCAGGAAAGAAGGTTGTAAATTAGAATATACACAGTAAAATTTATTATGACCTTTTATCATAATGCGAAAAACGCTGGGGTGCATACACGTGGAGGTGGATTAAATGAATGTGCAGTGCGAATTTTGATAAGATATTATTGTGACGTTCGAATTAACTAACTGCAAGCTTAAGCTCGCTTTATATGCAGATCCGGTGAACGGAAAGCTGGTTGGGTATCTCCAAAGGGACGGTTCATTCGGATTTGCCGTCATTTGGGTACCATAATTACGAAATGAGGAGGTAAAAAAAGTTCAGCAAAACCCATATGCACAGTTTTTTATATCGTAGGACAACGCGTCTAACCAGACCACAGCTTATTCCGGAAATTGTAAGTACTTTAAAGTTAAATTTTTGCAGTAGATTTGGTTTTTGGATTAACCAACTTAAACCCTAATTACAATTATGCTTCGACGATCGGCAATGTGTGGTAATTCACCCGGCGATGGCGAAGCAATTGCCCTACAGTAGCCTTAAGCTTACACAAAACTAGGTAGGTATAACATGTACAGTATGCGGCTTTAGATCTGTACTTAGTTGTACAGTGTGCTTTCGCGTATTCGTGTAAAACAGTTTTGTGCACTGTCGACTTAAAACTGAGTTCAAAACTGATGATTGATTATCATGGCGTGCACAAAAAAGTCCGCTATTACAGAAATTTTGGGAATAACACTAGGCGTCTCATAGAACGCCCTAATCTTGAAAAAATGTGTAGGTTATCCTGATGAAAACGGAGAAATCCTTATAGCAGCATGGCATCTTGCTGAAAAACAACATTCCATCGGAGATGCATGGAAAGGTTTTAGGTACACACCACATACAGACGATATTCACTATAAACGGAACTGCTTCACTCTTACATTTCGCTTTTGTGATTTTTAGATCGGGGCAAGATATTTTTACAAGGCGCAAGCGGCTCCACCACTTCAGTTAGTCCTTTGGTAAAACTAAGCGCACCACGGCAGCACACCACGCGAAAAAAGCTGAAGTAACATAAAGACTTCGAGTTTTTAGTGTTTCCTTTTGCTGGTCATTAAGCTATTTTTCAATGGGTGCTGTTCTTATGAAAATCGTAAGCAGCGCCTGCGTTGCAGGTTTGGGCAATGAGTAAAACTCAGTGCAAATCTACGTACGTACGTACGCGAAGGACAATTAGTTTGTAGTAAATTAAAATGCTGGCCACATCGATGTAAAGGTATTATGCACAATTCCAATGGATCAGGTTTGTCTGAAAGGTGCACAATTCTAAGTAGCACTCATTTTGTTGATTTAACGTCAATCGCAACCGCAAGATCGTAAACGAAAATGCCATACAAAAGGTAATGAATCTAATGATTGTTTTATTCCCTTGTCGTACAAGTGAGTGTACAACTTATGACGCAATAATTTAAAACATCGCAATTTTTTTCAATTGTATTGGTTTTTATGTTATTAAAGATCAGGATCTTAATTTTCCAACATTTACCAACCACATTACACCGTACACGGTCAGATGACCCTGACATGGTACCAAATTCGTGTGCATATCATGTACGAAAACTTTATGTTGCGCGCACAAATGGTTTTCACGCCAATATGTATACTAAACGTCTGGGGAGAAATGTCATAAAACAAGGCAAAAAAGTGTTTGGGGGTGCACGAAAGTGAAAGTTTTCATGCAGCCTATACACAAATTTGGCACCACGTACCGGGCCAGTTCCCTTAAATTAGTCTTGCTACAGCTTGCTCCGAATCTTGCTAATTAGTTCTTTAACCGCGCCATTAATTTTGCGCTTTTTATCCCGTGTTTATGCGTTTCTTCCTTGAATTATGCTTTGCCTACTTGCAGTTGCTAACAACTCTTGCGATGACCTTGCGTCACATTACTTAAAAGCGCAATGTGATAATCGTCCATCCCAGCCGTTATCACCCTGTAAACGTTAGCCAGCTTCCGGGCAGCATCACCATCGCCCATGCCAGCCTTTACAAAATAACAGCCGACAGACCGTGGTAAGATGGACTAACCAACTCATCAGAACAGAAGTCATACCGGCGGCTGTTATAAAATTCTGTAGTCGGCAGGTTGCGGTGTGTGCTGCTAATAAGCTAAATAATATTTCCTTGCGCATATTTGTGTGTGAACACAAGCAGGACATCGTTGTGAAGCGAAAAATCTGCTCTATTAACTAGTATTTTTTCAATGAGATAATTGTTACAGTTATACTTTAGTCATGGTTTAAGTTCGTCCTTGCAGAACAGAACGTCTTGTGACGTGTCGCGTGCCTGTGCGCCCTTAAAAGATGCCGCACATCGCGCGTGCCGTCTTAAGTCTCAGATACCGAATGAGCAGTCCCCTCTCATGCCAACGGGATTCTGGGACAGATTCTTCATTCATTCATTATTTTCGAGCGATGATTATTAGAGCATTATTAGAGTTACCGAACAAAGTGGTTTTGCAAATTATTTAAGGCAAATTAATGAGGTGACGGAGTTTCGGTCACAGGGACCTGCGCTTAAAGTAGCAGAAGCAGATGCGTAATAACTGAATATGGAAATATTTTATGAAGACTGATAAAAAAAATCCATCAAAATATAAATACTTAGGTTACGAAGTGACGAAAATGCTACTTCTACTGAAACTACAAGAATTTGAACTAAAAGTAACTTTAATTAGTTTAATACAGTAATTTCACCAACAATGCGGTAACGCTAATGTGCACTGCGCAGCGCAGTTACGTGTACTATTCAGGCCTTGACACTCCAGTTGGCAATTACGTGAAGAATACGTAACAAGTTGATCCGTATTAAATGAATCATGCATGATCTGGCAACTTTCGTTTCACACACATTACGGTTTACTTGGTTTACGGTTTCTTCCAGAAACTCCCAATGATACAGTTTGAAGTTAAAAGCGCCCGCTTGGATAGTAGAGACTAGAAACAGACCATTTATTTGAAGTTTAACAGCCACAGAAGGTATGTAAGCTCAACTTGGACAGCGACAGTATTCCACGAATTCTGAGCCTGCGAGTAATCATCAGTGTGCCTTCCAGTTTCAAATCAGTCCGGGTCTGATCCCGTCGTCAAGGAGTCCTGGCGTACTGGAATCGTAACTGGAAGATCCATCTTCTGCCAGTATTCTTAACAAGACATGGCTTATCGGGAACAGAAGATAGTTAGTGTGCCATGTGCTCTGAATTATTTGAGCTGGTTCGTTATTCGCGTTTTTCTGTGTAGCTGTTACGAGTGCAGTCTCCCGATGGAACCAAACGAATCGAAGTTCCAGAACTGTCCAACTCGGAGTTCCTTCTTCGCTTGGTAAGCCCGCAAAATACTTTCAAAAACGGAGCGTGTATGTATTACGACTACTTCCAGGTTGGGGAAGCGTTCGGTTTGCCCGGAAGTGGTTCCACATGGCGCCTGTTTCGAGATCGCGCGAAAACTCCTCAGTCGCAGATCTTCATGGGTCGCCAAATGCTTCAGCAGCTGGGCTTACGGTGAGTCACTTGGTGAACTTGTCAAGAATGTTTCTCGGTACCAGACATCTAGTGGGATTTTTTACTTGTTTTGGCGAAATGGAATTGGACGCAGATTTTTTGCGAATCTTTTAAGTATAGAGGTATTCATGCTGCACTGCAGTTTTGTTGTTCTTAATTTGGCACTTAATTTATTTCTTATAAGTGTGTAAGAGTTAAACTGGCTGCTAACATTTCCATTTATTTTAAAAAAATCGCATATAGTTTACTACTTACAGATATATAGCTCTATATCCTTTTTTTCGAAGGAAATTGGCTTTTAAATTTTTCAGTGCAGTATTTTTACTGTATTTTTTATCTTACTTTGTAGTATAAAATTATATTTTTTGAACGAATTGGTGGTTATACTCTGTTTGGTTGGATCTGAAATAGGCAAGGCGACATGCTGTACCTGGATTTTCTTCCCGATGCCAAGATGGATGTGAGCAGTGGACTGTCGCCGTTAGAAATTGCCCGTCAGCGAACGGGTTCTAGTTTCTCTTCAGCCTTGGGAGTATCGCCACTGACGAAGGACCGCCTCATTAGTGAAGCGGGTAGTCCGCGTTCGTCGGAGAGCGCGCCGACAGCGGATATTGTGGAGGACGAAGTGGATCAGTTGCTCTGGCAGCAGAGCGGTGCCATTGAACGACCAAAAGACGAGCGCATGTGCGTCGGTCGGATTCTTGTTGGTCTTGATGGGATTGCCCAGCTGATTGTTTTCGTTACAGGTGCAAGCACGGAGCGAGTGGCAAGTGCATTTATTGTATTCCCATTGAGCCGTTTGATGAGGAGTATCTCCAGAGTCGAAATCCACCCATTAAGCACATGTCTTTCCATGCCTATCTAAGGAAATTAACCAGTGGAGCTACCAAGTTGGTTTACAGTGTATATGTTGATGTCCCCAGTTAAAAAATGCAGCAATTTCTAGGGGAAAGTTTGCGGCTTTGAGTGAAGTCTCCTGTCGAATTAAGCCAGGTTGTCCGAGCCATTTACCTTGGCCAGAAGGAATTTGTACTAAATGCCAGCCCAGTGCTTTGACGTTGAATCGTCAGGTGCGTATTATTATTTGTTTGTAGCGCAGCGTGGTTTAAGATTGAGATTTGGCTATTGCAGCGATACCGTCATGTCGATAGTATTATGTTCGAAAACGCGGAATTAGTGGAGAGATTTTTGGATTATTGGCGGCGAACTGGACTGCAACGTGTTGGAATCCTGTATGGAAAATATGAACAGCATAAGGATGTGCCTTTAGGAATTCGAGCCACGGTGGCTGCTGTTTACGAACCACCTCAGGTAAAATTTCTGATTTCCACTAAGCATTTGTAAAAATACCAAAATTAATAATTCGATATTGAGACATTGTTCAGCGTTTATCGGCTTAAATGAGCGTAAAATATATCCTCCATACCCTCTGCTGCTGTCTTTCCATTTCCACTCTTTAACTGCGGAGTCGGATTTGTTGAACTTTGTTCAGATTTTTACAACAATGCACTGCAATCAACTAATCAGTGTATTTCACATAACATTTTTGCCGGCGTTGATGAATAGTAATTTTTTCAGTTGAATTCGGAAAACAGTTTAGAACTTCAGGAGGATCCCAATGGGGAAGTTATAGATTGCGTGGCTGGAAAGATGGGGTTGCGCCGTGTTGGCTGGATTTTTACGGATTTGGTGGCGGAAGATGTGCGCGCCGGAACAGTGAAATTCTTGAGAAATAAGGTGCTCTAACTTGAGAAATAAGGCGCTCTAAATACCTGAATTGAAGTCGGAATGTAATCTGTCGTATTTAATGCTGTTACACGATAATTATATTGTGCGGCCATTGATGACAGTTTTATTGCAGGATACTTATTTCTTAACCGCAGAAGAATGCATTACCGCCGGAACATTACAGTGCCAGAATCCCAACCCCTGTAAGCTGTCTCCAACTGGACAATTTGGATCCAAGTTCGTCACAGTTGTCGTAACAGGTGCGCAAGATTTGACAGCGATATGTACCCTACTGTAGATGAATTACGGATGAGCTGAATAAGTGATGGCTAAATTCTGGTTATTTCGAATCGGTAAATTAACCATAATACCTGTCCCTGTTTTAAACGTTGTGTTGTGACTCAACGTAGTTCTGTTCGTTTTACAGTATGTTATGTAATGTTATGCTGTGTTATATTGTAGCTATAATATTATAATTTGTTATGTTATAGTCACGGTATACATGTATGTTATATTACAGGATGTTACAGTCGTCTCCTTTTTTACGTATTCGTTTTTTATTGATCTTCGCCAGGTGATAATACGAATCATATCCATTTCGAGGGCTACCAGGTGTCGGAGCAGTGTATGTCTCTCGTGCGGGATAACTGTCTCGTGCCCACGTATGATGCGCCGGAATTAGCCTATGTGAAAGAATCTACTAGTCAACAGTATGTCCCGGATGTGTTTTATAAGGAGAAGGACAATTACGGCAATGAGGTGACACGCTTGGCACGCCCGCTGCCTGTTGAGTACCTGATCGTGGATCTACCCGTTTCCATGCCTAAGGAACCCAAATATACCTTCAAGTTGAATGATGGGAAGACGCCATTTCCCGTCGAAAATCGCCTTGATCAGAAACAGGTGGGTCTAAACAAGACGTAGACGAAAATATCAATGTGTATTTGGGGACTTATTTTAATTATGTTAAATAGGTTTGATGATGTTTAATTTTGTAAGAAACAGCTGAAACAAGTTTGAATAAATTATTATGTACATAGGACTTCGCCACGTTGATCAGATATGCATCTCAGTTCCGTTCGTTCTTGGATGTGATTTCCGACTTCCATGTGTTACTTTTTATGGCTACCACGGAGGACATTACGCTGCAGGTAACTTGTATTAATCTCATAAAGAAGCTGCTTCCAGAGATTTAGGATGTGTTGTAATGTTGCTGTTGTTTTGTGTGCGCAGGATGATGAATTAGAGATTCTGGCTGCTGCTGTGATAAATAAGGATGCTTCAGTTGCGAATGATTGGGCCGCCGGAAGTGCATATTGGCAGGCGGTTCAGCGTTTCGTTGTTACTCCAGGTTTGGGCACGAAATACTGCACGAACTTGTAATGACATGAAATTGCAGTTGATTATGGCTGAACTTTTTATGTATTGGTATTCTAGTTTTGTTTTTATTAACTATACTGGAAAAAGTGGACGAATAAATTTGCTTTGGCATATTTTGTGTAGGACAAGAAGCTGCTGGACCTTCGTCGCAGTATAATGGAACGACATCGAATGGTGAATGGATGTGCAGACACTGTACCTTTCTCAACAGCGGAACTGGCGGCACGTGTGAGATGTGTGGACTTCCGCAGTGATGATCGGTGCTTAAAATACAGATGCCTTATAATGTGTCTTGTCTTCTATAATAGTATCCTGGAATCTTTATGCTAGTTCTTTGTATTTTGATACTTTCTGAATTAGATTTATCTTTGTAAAATATAACTACCTCCGTGGAGGTTTATGTTCATGGTTTGATTTTGCTTGCGATTTCAAGAAGATAGATGATGCGTTGAAGAACTGCTTTGCCGTGCAATCATCCGCATCCACTTGGCGTGGTCGTCAGTTTATCAGGTGAAAAGAGCTTTTTGTTACGGTGAAGGTTCAGGTGGTGCGTGGACTAGGTGAGATGGTCTTGGCCTGTGTCCGGTTGCATCCGTCTCATCCAGTAATGTGATATGTGGAACGGCGAACGATGCCAAAGAGCATCGTCGGCTGTGCTGAGATCATCATGGTGGCGTCTTCGCCGTTCAAATAGGATCTCTTTTCGATTTAATATCATTTAGTCGCAAAATCTTGCACATTCATTAGTATATACTAGTGGCCGATAACATAGATCCAGATTTTGTAATATTGTGATCATGCCCCTTTTGGGTGAATGTTTATGAATCTGTAGGTTTCTCAAGATTTCGCATCTAAAAATGGAAATAGTATGTTGCGCTTTTATATTATTTTCGATATTATCAAATTCTGTGATTGCCGACCATTCCGATACCGCAGACGACGATGACCGGCCGTATGACCTTCCGGTACGCACCCCGAAGCCATCGTCGGTCTCCCAGCGCACTAGAAATATGTTCAACACGTTGGGCAATATGCTTGTTGGCAACAAAAAGAGCTCGTCTGCTCCCGCTCCCCCTCTGAATTTCAGTGAGAAGCTGGATGACTATCCTCCTTATCCAGGTGATAATACGGACAGCACCTATTCCGGTGGCAACGGTGCATATTCCAACAGCTACCGACAGTCATTCCAGAAAGTGATATATATTGCTGTACCACTGAATGCTCTAACGGCACTGTTGTCCACTGGTCAGCTAAGCAGTGTAGGATTCGGCAGTATCTTCCCGGCGCTTCCATCGTTCGGTTCCAGAGGTTTCGGGGGATCATCGGCATACGGTAGTGGCAATAGTTTTAGTGGCAGCACGGACTACGGTGGCGGTGTGGGAGTCATTGGGACGGTGGGCGGTAGCAGTGGTTACAACGGTAACGGCGCGGCTGTGATATCTGTGCCGGCAGCCGTACCACCGCCACCTCCACTGGTTGCACCGGTGGGAGGCCTTGGTGGGGGTAACACGTATGCGGGAGGAGGGGGAACTTATGGTGGAGGCGGTGGATACAATGGTAACGGACTTTCAGTTGGACCGGTGCTGACGTTCGGAGGGAATATAGCCGGGCCAGGGACGTACGGTGGTGGAGGCGATTACAACCGGGTAGTTGATTTCGACACCGGCAGTTATGGTGCCGGAGCAGGGGGTTACATTGGAACGACAGGTGGCAGTTACGGTGCTGGTGGAAATTCGTTTGCCACGGGCGGAGGCGCAGGAAACTATGGTGGTGGTGGATTGGCGGTTGTCACGTCGGCAGTGGCACCGCCACCACCCACATTGGTCGCTCCGCCGCCCGTTATTGCCGGTAAAACTGTCAATGTTTTGACATCGTCGTTAGGAAACTAGTAGTTAGCTCTTTCAGTAATTACGGTATCCGGTTTGTTCATAGTAATTGTACTTTTAAACGCTTCGTAGCTTCTACATTGAATAATTACGCCTGTGGTAGGGTTTATATATCAAGAATACAGATTGTAAGCCTGTATCGTAAACAGTGATATATGAGCTTAATTATCTGAAATTAAAGTATATATCTAAAAAATATACCTCTGTATAATATGTCGTACAAAAAGTTATTATTCCCGGCTGCAGTGGTTGGCGATTGAAGCTGGTTATTATTAATCAATTAATGTTCTCGCAACAATTTTCAATTGTTGTGACCGATTAGGAAAACGTGTACTAGTACATTAGTATACGTGACAACTGACAACAGCTTCTCGCGCTTAGGTTCACTTCCTTGTCCTCGCGGTGCTGGCTATTACCGCCATCCAGTAGACTGTAATCGATTCTATCGATGCGTGGACGTGTCGCAGACATTAACCGGAACTGCCTTCAAAGTGTATGAATTTAACTGTCCCGCAGGTATTGCTTGGTACCACCATGTCCAGTTATGTACTATAAATCCAATGATTAATTTTGATGTTTACCACATTGCGTGTTACATGCATGATGCATCTGTACTTTCAACAGGTACCGTATATTCCATTATGGTATGGGTTTGCGTATGGCCGTATCAACGAGAAGCCGGCACATGCTACGTCGCAGCACCTCTTCCACTTCCGGTGCCGGCGGTGCCCGTTGCAATCCCCGGTCCAGTGGGCATTGGTCACGGAGCGGGATATAACGGTGCCAGTTATTCCGGTGGCGCTTATGGTGGCGGTGGTGGTAGTTACGGAGGTGGTGGTGGTAACTACGGTGGGGGTGGTGGGAATTACGGCGGCACCGGTGGTGGCTACAATGGGGGTGGTGGTGGGAGCTATGGTGGCAGTAGTAGCGGGTACAGTGTGGGCGCGGTCCTTGGGAGCGGAACTTATGCGTCATCCGCCGGTTCATACGGCTCGTCATACAACGACGACGATCGCAATAAGAATTTGGATATCGATTTCAACGGAGATGAGTTTACCACCAGAAAGCCAAGGAAAAAAGTTTTGGCTATCACAGGAGGGGAAGATACAGCCACCTTTAGACCCCGCTGCTTGGGTGTGGTAAGTCGGGAGATAATAATTCGACGACGTGATTATATATTTTGCGTTGTTGTGGCTTAGGGCTTTTTTGCGCACCCTTTTGACTGCACTCAGTTTGCTCAGTGCTGGAAATCGACCAGCGGGGATATCACTGGTTACTATTTTAAATGTCCACCAAAAACAGTTTTTAATCCGCGAGTACCGGTGAGCAGGAAAGGTGATCTTTTTACCAGTTACAAGAAAAAATTCAGGTTCTCTTGCATTTTTTTAGGTTTGCGATGATGCAACCAATATGCCGGATTTGACCACCAGCTGTCTGCAGAAGCTTTTAAAAAGCCAATGATTTTACTTGTTAAATGTATAGTGATACTATTTACTGGCGTGAGCAATGCGCGTGCAATTGTAGAGTTAGTAATTTCCGCCGGATGGAAATTCTCTCTTCTTTCCTTTTTCTTGGAACTGCACAAATACTGACCGAAAATTGAATGCAGGAAAAAAATGCAGAAACTGTAGCCAGAATCACGCACACAAAACTACTTTTTACATCAGCTTTTTTATGTTATTTCTGCATTCAAACAATCTTTTTGTACCAGCATAAGCAAACGAATCTGAATAGACCAATTATTCTATTCGAAATTTCACTACTTCTGCATAATTTTCTACAAAATAGCAGGGCTAATTAATTACGCTACGTCTAAACGTGTTTAAAAACTCTGTTTTTTAACAAAGTTGTTTTCTTAAGAGCCATCTATCAGTTACGTATTCTTTGCCATTCTGCTTAAAGTTACGCGTTTATAAAGCCCTTGCTTGACACTAGTGTCGGGATTGCTTGATACCGTATTTATCGAATTAGAAGCCCAGGGTTACAAATATACAAATGACCCACGGGGTGGGCTCCAATTACGGGCATGGGCTTGTATTTAGGGGGGGCTTCAATTTTTCAAACCAGCTTTTTGGCATTTTTTAATATGGGGTTTACGGTATTTAATTAAGCCCATGGGCCTCTATTTCGGGGGGGGCTTATAACTTTCAAACGGCCTTAGGGGTGGGCTCTAATTACGGGGGGGGGCTTGTATTTTGGGGGGGGGCTTCAAATTCGATAATTACGGTAACTTATAACCATCGGTTACAGCTCCACAGGGGTTTCCACAGTCTAGTTTAATATGGTCCCTGTTTACCATCGGCAAAGGTAGACCGATTGGAATTGGCACATGAAGCAAACTCGATTATTCTCTATTGAAAGAGGAGGAAACAGGCAGAGACAGCTTGACGTACCCGTATAATTACTGGTGGACAGATTCCCGGTAAACATAACTAATCTGTGCAAATATTTCTTAGTAACAACATTGTAATAATAAAAGGACAGAAATAAGAATTTCGCTTAAATTGACACTAAATGTACACAGAAGACTGTGAAGATATTAGTCCTTAATATCGCTGACTTTAGGCAAAGTCAACTGCGCACAATCACCTTTGGAATAAGACAGCAGGTAATCATAATGCCCTTTTTCTGCTTACAGCTTAGGACAAAATGGTCACATACCCACCCAAAATTTAATAACAAAACCAAACAGAGTACGACAGAAAAACAACCACTGCGCACAAATAAATCTCCATTGACTCGTATACTAACTCTACCACCGCAACAGGTGCAAATCACAGTATCACATTTTAGTACTTGCGGCGTGCCCCGCCATTATAGAGACACGCGTTTAGGCGATTTTTCATGGAACGAATCGCAATATTCTGGAGTGCACACTTCTTCCCAAGCATCTTTTATCAGAGGTTCTAGTTCTCTTAAATTTTTCGGGAATTTCTGCGCCATAACGTCTTTCATTTGTCCCCACACATTTTCGATCGGATTCAAGTCAGGCGATCTTGCTGGCCACGGCATCACGTTGATGTCTTCCGTCTCGAAGAACTTTTTCATGGCTGCGGAGGTGTGACACGGTGCGTTATCCTGCTGATAGGTGAGATCGCGACCGTTTTCGTCCAGGTAAGGAAGGAGTTGATCAAACAACACCTCTTCGTACTTCTCGGAATTCATTGTCCCCTGGAATCGCACCAACGCAACTGGGCCTGCAGCGCAGATCGCACCCCACACTGCGATTCCTCCCTTGTTTTGGCGTGACTGTTTGATTTGGAGGTTTTCGGAGAATCTGCTTTCTTTAGGAAAGAGCCATATCTGTTTAAAAAGCAAAAACTTTGAACGGAATCTTTCAGTGCCTGGAAGTGCTAGTCAGCCCTACGTACGTATTCGTAAGTGTGAACACCACTTCATACATACCTCGACTCGCCCCCCTGACAACTTGAACGTACATTCGTCCGAGAAGATCACCGAGTGGAAAAAAGCAGGATTTTCAAGGAGCTGTTCCCGCTTCCACAGGCACCAATAGATTCGGTCTTCTTTATGCTTTGAGGTTAGTTCATCAGCAACTGCTTGACTTCTCCGTGCACCGTATTCTTGCAGTCTTCGCAGGAGGGTTTTGTGCGGGAGTTGAAGAGTTGCTGCTGCTTTAACTGCACTCAGTGTTCGGTTTTCTTTCAAAAAATTTATGGCTGCTTGGTCTTCTTCGGCTGTTGTTTTTCTCGGTCTTCCTTTCTTATGTTTCACCTTGCGTTCACCCGTTTCCTTGTCGTATTGATGCAGCACCCTGATCACCCAGCTTTGCGATTTTCGGACATATTTGCTGACTTTGGCTGAACTGCCTTCTTTCTCGTACAACGTAAAAACAGTTTTGACTAAATCTGCATCAACATATCTGCCGCGAACCATTCTACCGCCATATTTTACGGAACGAGTGAAATAAACAAAAAGAAAACAAAGCAGAAACGGAAGTTAGAAGTTTAATAAAATCAACATTATTATTATATTTAATTTGCTTGAGCCGACGGTCAGTCGACAGCCGGAAGTAGTTTTGAACAGAGAACGGCCGATTGCGCACTGCGTACTTTTGAACAGCGAATGGCCGTTTACGCATTGTTTCGGGTTTTGGGCCTATGCGACCATTTTGTCCTAAGCTGTACTTTATTTCCTCCTTTTATTTATTGTGGTCGGGATATAAAATGAATGTACCGCCAGATACTATAATACCATGTGTTAGTGTCAGTTAGGATTTTGTAGATGGATGTCCTTATGAGATTCTAGCTTTTTAAACATTCTATAGAGCAAACGTGATCTGTGAATGCTTTAGCTTTGCTGACCTTTCAGCTTTACAAGTATGCCATGTCTCTACAATTAACTGACAACCCCGGACAGCATGCCCTTTACCCTTTTCGAAGGCCGTGGCACAAGATAAATGAATCCTTGAATGTGTCGGACGGACACAGCTATACCAAAGTATTCGGGCATAGTAACCTTTCTCAAGCGCCAATAGATACCGGCTGGTTTGCATTGCTAATTTCCTTGAGTTCTTGTGCGATAATTTTGAATACTCTGGTACTGCTGTCATTTCTATCAAAGAAAGTTAAGCCATCAGCCTCTGAGGCATTGATTTTCAACTTAGTTTCCGCTGTGCTGATGCAGAGCTCGTCGAAATTGTTTGTGATTACCCTGTACTCGGGGAAGGTCGTCTACAGTCATTCGGAAATCGTATGCAAAAGTATCATGTTTTTCCACATGTTATCGTACGATGCCATAACTTGGTCGGATCTCATTTTGTGCATTAATCGCTTCGTTGCACTATGCGTACCCCAATACTACAGGTAAGCGACGAGAAAACTGAGTATAATTATTATATTCTATCAAAATTCGGTATATCAGTCTTCATAATCTTTAATTTATCAGAATATTTAAGAAGCGAGCAACAGTGGCCGCATTTCTAACAGTGGCATGGAGTGCCGCCTTCGCCAGCGCCATTCTCCCCATTTTTGATTTTCGCGGGAGTTACAAACAGATCCCACCGGCCAATATGTGCGCTTTCGCCATTTTTGGCAAAGCCGCCTTGCTTTCCGGTGTGGTCTCATTACTTGCTCCTGTGTCGATTACGGCCATACTGTACTTAATAGCGGTGGTCCATCTCTTACGGAAAAGATGGAAAGGTCATCTAATCGATCAGGAGGTGATCAAGACAGTGACAGAGCATGGATCAGAACTGGCTCATTACCATGCATCCAAACTGAAACGGTGCCATCGCATGTTCATTACGATTCTTGTGATGTTCTGCTGTTACACCGTTTGTATTTTGCCAATGCCGCTTGTGCAGTCCACAATGGCCGAATATTTCCTCACTCATACTTGGCTGCAGTTGTTGATGAGAACGTTAACGCAAATGGCTCATATTCTTATTCCGGTAAGTTCGTAACGAGTTGAAAAAATTAAAAGAATCAACACAAATTTTTTGCTGCAATTGAGTGCGGATGGTTGGTTGAGTTCAGTAACTTTTCCTTGAACATCCTGAAGTGTCGTTGCATGTATCATTGATCAAGTACTGCATCAGAAAACTATGTGCAGGTTAGTTTGCATATTGATTGCAAAAGATACATTTTAGTACGAGTAGTAATTTTCATAACTACAAACTGGTTTTATTTTTAGATTATCCTGTTGTCCATGAATCGCGAATACCGACACAGAATACGGGATTTGCTTTGGACAGTTATCTGCAGATAATATTAATATCGGACGCTCTTCTGTTCTAGATGTAGTTAGACCTAATTTAATCCATGCTAATATTTAACAAATTCGGCGTACTAATCATGCAAAATAGATCGAAATGTCTTAAAAATCGTTGTTTTTCGACAGCACCATACCAACTAAGAGGAATCACTATCTCAAAGTACCAAAAACACACCTGCAGATTCGGCAATATTTACAATGCAGTACAAAGGAAACGAAACTCTAGATTAATATTAATTTATTAAGCTGTACAGTAAATTAAAAGCATCTCAAAATGGAGCCCACCTACAATGTACTCACATAAAACATGATAGACCGAGTACCGGTACATACGGATAGTGCCATAAGTAATCGTAACGCAACTGCAGACTATAACGTATTATATGAGGACATGTGGGTGGCTGCATTAACAACCTTGTTATCGCGAGCATAAAACAATTTTACTGGTCAGATAGTGCGAAATCTTTTTGGAAGCAGAAAATGCACGGCTCCCTGAGCTTCTATCCGTAAATACATTAAAATGCGCTTACCGTACAACAACAATATTTTGGAAGAAAATGCCACACACTGATTGTGTAGAGATGAATTCGAAGCATCACAATATTTTTTTGATTCCATAGCAAAAGCCATAACTAACTCATAATGACAACTGTAAGCACACCACACCACGGTCACTTAACCGCGCTAGTCATTTCCAGCGTTTCCATTGTTGCATTCTTCTGCTGGTTCTCGGCCGGTTACGCTGTGGTGCAGATCAACATCCCCCAAGAACTCATCCTGCGATGGATACGCCAAACATACTGTATCCGTTTGTATGGAATCCCAGAAATTCCTTTTTCCGTCACATCCAATTTTAGTCAGTTTTATGACGATCCCAAAGTCGCGCTGTGGTGCAAATACCTGCCCAGTGTGTCATCTCAGTTTCGCACCAATACAGTTTTAAGCATTATATGGGGACTAATTGGAAGCGCTCCGCTTTTGGGTGGAACTCCTGCTGGATTTATAGCCAACGCTCTTATTCCTAAACTAGGTTTCCGAAAGATCTTCTTTATCGCCAACGTCTCGTGCACCATCGGAGCGATTCTGTCTGGATTAATTGCAACGATAGTGTCGTATGAAGTGTTTATTGTAGGTAAGGTCACATCGCATATAGGTATACTGAGTGCTTATGACTTATGTTTGTAATTGACTCAGTGATTTATGATTAGGGAGACTATTCATTGGCATTGGATATGGACTTTCTACCGCTCTAACGGTTTCTTACATCGCTGAGATTTCACCGGCCAATCATCGTGGCGTTTTGGGGGCGTTTCCGTTAGCATTTTTCAGCGTAGGAACACTGTTGGCGACCATCATGGGCTTTCCACAGGTGTTGGGGACAGCGTCACGTTGGCCGTATATTTCATGGCCGTTACTGGCACCCTGTGCAGCGTTTTTTCTGTTTTACCCTCTTCTGCCAGAAAGCCCGCGTTGGCAGTACCGCACAACACATAACGTGGACAAAACAACAGCGATTCTCCAGCGACTGCGGAACAACACAAATGTGCGACCAGATATGGAGTTAATCGAAGCAGAGGACCGACGAGCACAGGAGCAGGGCGCTAAAGTGTCCATAATCGGGTTGTTTCGCGATCCATTTCTGCGCTACATTACTCTCATCTGCATCGCCGGCGTGATGGCACAACGGTTCACCGGCTTCTCCCCATTGTGTGTTTACTCATATGACATATTTCAGCAGTGTGGTTTATCCACCGAAATCGCCATCTACGGGACAACTGCTCTGGTAAGTGTGCAGGCTGTGGCGGCCACTGTGGGAGCGCTTATAATCGACAAAGTGGGTCGACGTCCGCTCCTGTTAGTTGGCCTGAGCGGATGCGCGCTGACCTTGACAGCCATTGTTATACTTACCACTCTTTTCACATACGGTTTATGTGACCGGTGTGCGTACGGTAGTCTGGTGGCGATGTTTATGTTTATGGTGTGCTATGCATGCGGTCCGGCCATTATTCCCATTCTGCTGAGCGCTGAATTGTTTGGAATGACCTCACGCGAATCAGCCACAACGTTCATCATGGTCATCATACAGGGAAGTACGGCGTTGATTGTGGGCGTGTTCCCCATTATGCGAGCGCATCTGCTGGAATGGACGTTCGCCATTTTTGCGGGAGGGACCATCGTGTTGACGCTGTTTTTATCGAAAGTCACCATTGAAACCAAAGGGAAAACATTCTTGGAAATCCAAGCCAAACTCGAGAAACGATACTACGGGGAATCAGTGGCGAAACCGCAGACTGTGCCAAGTATCTCGTAGAGTAGGCGATAAGCCTTCATAAACAATTATTCATCAAAATTTAGACACTGGCAAACCACCGGAAAAGTACTGCGTTGTACTGTGTGCGATTAAAGTTTTGTACGAGTACTTGTACAGTTGTACGTATTTCTGTCAGCGGCACTCACGTGTACAATTATTATTAATAAAGTTTTTTGCTGGTATACGCCACATACTGTAGTTTTCCTGAAACGGAGAAATCTCGTAAACAGCTGCAAGGCAGAAATGCACTGCGTTTATTCGTCATAATGGTGACAACAAGTATGAGCATACAATACTGAATAAATGGACAAACTAGTACACCAAGTACAATTCTAAAAATCGAGTCGCAATCTGTAAGATATAATTATATACATTACTCGTAGGCGATTAACAATCACAGTAAAGAAGGATTTGAAATAATGGGGCTAACAAGAAAATACAGCCATTTCGCAGTGGTGCGTTATGTATCATAGTTCAAATGAATTTTTGTGCAATAAAAAAAAAAACAATCAGTACAATCTTTTCATTCCAGAATTTGTGCTCATGTTGCTGATGGATCGTGGTAAAGCTTTTAGGTCTGCGATACTGGGTATTGTAATCGGAACTGCAGTGTTATTATAACGTTTTCTGTGCCCGCTAAAATAACGTTTCTCCAGCGATGCCTGAATTTCAAGAAAGGTCTTTCCCTTCGTTTCCATCAAGGTCAGGGACAGGATTACCGCCAATATCAGAGTGACACCGGCAAAAATTACAAAGGTCCATTGCGATAAGTACACTTGCATAACCGGAAAGACGGCGGATACGACGGCTGTTACGCCTTGACACAGCATCATGATTAGTGTGGTGGCCGACTGCCTGGTCAGTAGTCCGAACATTTCCGCTGGCAGGATAAAAGGAACACTAGCTGGCCCACAAACGTACACCATGATGAAAACGAACAATGCCGCTAAATTTCCATACTCACACCCAACACAAATCCGGTAACTTGTTAAAGCTGCAAAGGTCACCATGGCGATCAAGCTCATCGCGCACCCGAATAATCCGATTAGCATCAGCGGTTTCCGTCCGGCTTTATCCATTAACAGCGACCCGATGACTGCAGATGCCGCTTGCAGTCCAAGTAGACCAATAGTTCCATAAGCGGCAACGTCCTTTGAAAGGCCACACTGACGGAAAATATTGGACGAATACGTGTACACTCCTGGATAGGCGGTGAGCCGCTGTGCAATGACAGCCGTACAACAAATCAGCACGTTATAGCGGAGAAAGCCGTTACGGAACAACCCGATAATTGATACTTTGGTGCCCTTTTCCTTAGCTACACGGTTTTCCTCCTCAATCATCTGCAGATCCGCTTGCACATTGAATACGTTGCGCAGCCGCTGGAGAATCTGCGTAGTCTTCTGGACATCGTGGGACTTTTTAAAAACCCAACGGGGACTTTCCAGAAGGAAGGCGTACGAAGCGAAGAAGCAGACACAGGGGGCAATCAAAATCAGCGTTAAATATGACCAGTAGTCATCAGTTCCCAGGATTTGGGGTAGACTGAATACTGCCGCCAACAGCATCCCGATGCTAAAGGAAATAATCGGAGCCACGCCCAGTGCGCCACGGAAATTGGCCGGAGTAATTTCGGCGATATACGTAAAGGAGATGGCGCTGCCGAATCCAGTACCGAAACCCAAAAGGAAGCGCCCTACAGTGCCTACACCGACAAAATAAATGATGAATACAAGTAAATCGTCGCGTACTTTCCGGAATACTTAAACAAAGATTTAGGCCAGGAAACCTGATACCATTTCATTCTAGAAAAATAATTTTGTATTAACGTTAGCGTGCGTCTTCGCTAAACAAAAATAGTGTGCCGACCATTTAACACATAAATACAAAAAATTAAATCACCTATTATAAATATCTCGTACGATCCAATGGCTACCACAAGCGAGCTCAGCGCCACTCCGATCGTGAGGAACAAATTGGTGATGAAAAACATTCTACGGAATCCCAACCGGTCAATCAGCATATTGGCGGTCCATACGCCAAATGTCCCACCCAGTGTAACAGCTGCACCGATTAGGGCCCATACAGCGTTCAGGTGGCTGTTTTCGCGTAACTGACCCGACACTTCATCTTCAGGGATGATAGTACACCACAAGTTCGAGCGATTCGCAAAACCGCTCCCTTCAGCACCATGTTCCGCGCTGCTGATGTTTTCTATACGCCCACCTAAACGAGCACACTGTGTTTGCCGGATCCAGCTGAGAATGAGGTTTTGGGGGATGTTGATTTGGACAACACTGTAACCCGCCGGAAACCATATGGAGAAGGCGAGAACAATGGTGGAAAACACAACGACGCCAGTTAAATGACCATAATGTTTCGTGCTGATCCCTGTCATGGTTAATACTCTACAGTGAACGGCTATGTACTACTACCATCAAAAGTTATAGCCAAATGATATGCAAAATCAACTCTTCCATGCGCGCATTGAAAAAATTTGCTTAAAAAAGTAAATGATCTAGAACGTTTGTGCCGATATGCAACAATATCTCGCTGTTTTAGTCGTCAGCTTACTTAAGTAGTGTTAGGTAGCACGGACAAACATGTGCCTTTGTTGTGGTATCTCTATATTGCACGCATTGGTACGGATACTCGTACCAGTCGCAGTCGTCTGCTTCAATTATAGCGTTTTCAGATTTTCCACTAAACCGTTTGGCGCTTTTTTTGTCATTCTAGGATATCATGACTTGCGAAATCAGTACGCGCGAGTAGTAAAACTGCTCTAGTGTAGCTGCAGTAGGCTACTGTACTGTAGTGTAGCGAATCTTGACCCGAATATCGACATTCCGTCGCTTCGTACCGTAGCTTGCCCGTCTAGTTATCGTGCTTAAACTCATTATTAGTGATTAATTGTAATAATCAGTCGTACGAGTATTTGTGCAGTGCTAGTACCTGATTGTGCCGTTTTGTAGCATGCGCAAAATCACATTTTTTACGCAGTAGATTCAAGCACGAGAAAAGAATGATATCATCATGCTAAAGGATGACATCAGTACTCGTGATATCAACTATTCCAATTTTCCATAGCATTACTTCCGATTATCCTCGTAATTATATTGTTTACTCTAATTATTGTTAAGTAATCTGCAGATACGGAAAAATGAATGAACATAATGGATTTTTCATTGAGATGATGTCTAGGCAGGCGAGACGCAGTGTACGGAGAAATGTGAAAAAATGAATAAGTGTCTCATACTGATGTTGCAAAAGGGTTTACTAGGTAGAGAAAACATTTAGAAATTTTTTTGTCATTTTAAGCTAAGTCTGGATTTTAAGAAAGCGGGATCAGTGCTGTACGCTTGGCCAATCCAGTCCCACTCTTAAATTCTGCAACGGCTGGATTCGGCTATAGTTAAATTGCCACCGTGGATCTAATTGTCAGAAACATGAAAAACAATAGCATACATAATCTAGCCACAGCGAGGTACTTTTGGACGCTAGCTCTGGAACACGAAACTGGGTAATCTGCAATTGCGCGGCTTGAGACCGGTGAGGCTTTGCCTATGCGGTTCTGCCAGCGGATTAGCACAGAAATCCTACGGGTTCCGTATCCGTTCTGGGAACATTTAAAAACACCACCGAGGAAAAAAACAGGTAAATTTTCTGTCTCAAGCGGTTATGTGATAGTGCTGTAGTAATGCGTTGATTTTTAATGCGTCTTTCTCTTGCTTGTTCTAAGTTTTAAAACATCTTCTTTACTTCTTCACGACGACTCGTTGTGAATTACTTCCATTGTTAAACTTAAACACAGCGCTTACAGTCAGTTAATATAGTATGATTAATCGACGTACAGTACTGTACTAGTACTGCACAATGCACAAGATCGATGCAACACTCACCAGTCAGCAAAAGCACTAATGGTAAGTAGAACGAAACCATTAAATTTGTGCTAGACAGATTGCAAATTTATCTCAAATTTAGAAAACTGAGCTCAAATCAATTATAATGATATTCCGGGCGGGGCCGTGAAGGATTTCTCAACTTCCGGTCTTGACTCGATTTTGTTAACCGTTGCAAAAATTTATAATTTTACGCACAGCATCGGCATAATATATCTGTATATTATGACATTTTATTTTAAAAATTTATTATTTTGATATCTAAAACAATGAATACAATATAAACGAAGCTCCCGATCGCCTTTGGTGGTAAAAATTATTTTATGCTTAGCAGACCCACACCCATCATTAATCACATTTTTACTGGCCGGTTACAGAGCTCGTTTATCATTAACCTGGCGCGCGACTTTGTAATTACAATTCGTCAATCGATACTCTGTTCGACACAACGGATTCAGTTGATTGTGACATAAAGTAACTACTGGGCTGCTTATTAAAGGTACTCTTACTCAGATCAATGCGAAACAGAACATTACTACGTCAAAAAAATTCACCAGAGCTACTTATGATTAAACTAACTAACTCGAAAAGGGGAAGAGAAATTGGGCAATTAATTCTGGTGTGGATGAATTTTAGGTAAATTGTTTCCTGTCAAAGGTGCATCGAAGCCATTTCCTTTATCGCCCTTCATTTTACTGTAGTATCGCTTCTCCAAGAGCGCCTGTATTTCCAAAAAGGTTTTCCCTTTCGTTTCCACAAGCGCCGTCGCCAGATATGTAGCCAAGGCAAGAATGATTCCAGCAAAGACAGTAAACGTCCATTCCATGAGATTGACTTGCATCACCGGAAAGACAGCAGCAACTATGGCGGATACGGCTTGGCAAAAGATCATCACCAGTGTAGCTGCGGACTGCCGCGATGTAAGACTGAACATTTCCGCCACGAGCACAAAGGGCACACTGGCCGGGCCGGTTGTGTAGAACATGATAAACAGGAACAAGGCCACCAAATTTCCGTACTGACATCCAATGCAGACTCCATATTTTGTTAAGACAGCAAAGAGTACCATGAATGATAAGGTCACCATGCATCCGAATAGTCCAACCAACAGCAATGTTCGTCGCCCCGCCTTGTCGACCAGAAACGAACCCAGTATGGCAAACAACATTTGTAGTATCAAAAGTGCAATTGTTCCGTACGCTGCGATTTCCCTGGATAAACCACACTGGCGAAAAATATCCGTTGAATAGGAATACACGGCTGCGTAGGCTGTTAGACGCTGCGCACAGATTGCGGCAATGCAGACTATAATGTTCTGCCGGAGAAAGCCATTCCGGAAAAGTCCACTGATGGACACTTTAACGGACGCTCCATCCTCCTTTGCTGCTTCGTCTTCTTTTTCGATTAATCGCATATCCGCTTGGACATTCGGATTTCCGCGTAATTTTTGAAGTATTTGGCTTGTTCTGTCTATATCGTGGGTCTTCTTAAAATACCATCTTGGACTTTCGGGGAGGAACAGGTAGGCGGTAAGAAAGGTCAGGTTTGGCAGTAACATTATCCAAGACAAATGGGTCCAGCGGGCTTCGGTTCCTAGTAGCTGAGGTAAGCCAAAAATTGCTGCCGTAAGCATAGCTGTACTAAACAGCACGATATTGATAACACCTAGTGCTCCTCGAAAGTTTGTTGGACTGATTTCCGCCACGTAGACCCCACCGGCAGCGCTGCCAAAACCACAGGCGAATCCCAAAATTAATCGTCCTAAAACAAAGAATTTTTGCAAGAATGAATAAATTTTACGTCTATTCATAAAAAGCCTGCGCTTTCCCTACATTCCCTATCTTTTATTAAAAATGATGATAATATGTAAGATGAAACATATAATTATGTATATGTAGAACTGGTTGTATGCATATGGTGATAAAAATATTCATTTTGTAGGCCGGTCTTTTCAAATGCACGTGGTGTACGAACTACGAAGTACGTGAGAAGTTGTCCCCAGTTTGCCAAAAAGGGCTGAAAAATCATTATTTTTTGTTAATGTTTAGAAAAATACTGAGTCCCCGATGCTTCCCTCAGACAAAATTAAAGAACGGCGGTCGTAATAAAGCTAAAAATGTTTATTGCAAAAGAAGGCAGCGTTGTAATTGAAAAATCGAAAACGTCCAAAAAGTGCAATTGGCCACCTGCAAGTAGTTTTAAACAAATAATCGTTACTGTTACGAATTACAGACTAGCACAATGATGTCGTACCAATGCATTATAACATGTTGTATTGTACACTATGAAAATTACTCTGTATGAGTGCATACCAATAATGAAAATTTCGTATGATTGTGTTGCAACTGTGATCCCGCTGAGCACAATCCCCACAATCTCCAGCACACTTGTCAACAAAAAGATCTTTCTGAATCCGAGCCAGTTGACAAAATAGTTGGCAATCCAAACACCGAATGTGGCACCCAAAGTAATCCCGGAACCTATGAGTGCCCATATGGCGTTCAGCCGGCCGTTTTCACGCAACTGCACGGATGTTTCGTTTTCGGCAACAATTTTACACCACAAATAAGCCGGATCATGGTCACTTCTGTTGACCGCAGAATACAGACCAACCGTTGGGCCTAAGCGATTGCATTCGGTTTGACGAATCCAGCGTAAAATTAAACTTTGTGGTATGTTAATTTGGACAACGCTGTATCCGGCTGAGAACCACACTAAACCGGAAACGATAATGGTAGACATAAATACAACGGGGGTCAACTGACCATGGTGTTGAGTGCTGATGGGTGCCATGAAAAATGACTTCTTTAATAAAACAATGCATATGTTGTAGTCAGCGCATTAATTAAAGTCAAGCGTCTCGCTGATCCTTCCACTGCAGGTAAAGATACTTCATACGATGGCAACAGCGGTGTAAATATAAATAAACAGTAATAGAACGTAATCTATCTCCGATATATATGTAGCCAATTTCTTACAACAGCCAACTGTCACAATTACTTAATAAGTACGTGTCGAAAACTGTCAATAAGAACATTGGCAAACTTTAACTGACGAAAAAAACACCCCAATTGTTGAACGATATTTGCCTCCTGACATTTCTGACACTTATGACAATGCCTTTTTTATGCTGTTCACCTGCCTGGCCGGTACGTGACTATGCGGCATACAATGGAAAAATATGTAGATCCAATAATCCAGTGTTTTCTTGAATGCGCTTCTATTAAATCCAATTATAAGGTTAGATCAATTCGAAGGCGTAGAGCAGAGATAGCCTTCGATGTGCCTGGAAACATCAAGTACACCGCCACGACTTCCAGCCGGATGTTTGCTATGTTTTTACGCATATCACATTGTTGTTGTTTGCATTTGCACTTTGCAGTCTTACACAGCGGGAAAAAAATTGCAAGGTGATTTTCTGCAGAGGTATGGCAATTTGGCTCAAGTATCCTCTTGATAACGTTCATCCTGTACGACGTTATCGTTACAATTAGCCTTTCACTTTCATGCATCAGTTTCAGATATACTGCACAAACTACGTATACCGAGTCATCTAGGTAGGTTTGCGGCATTGTCAAGATTACGATAAGTGAATTTTTCGCAATGGATATTAAGTCCACAAATCCATATCTTTTGTGAAATACAGCGCTTTATCGACCAGAACTGCCTAAAGCCATCTTCCCAAAAAATTTCAACTTTTTTTCGATCAGCTTTTGTTTGTAACCTTGTCCTTTTATAGGTACCATATTTTGTGCTAACATTAATACAATGTATGTAAGTGCCATTCCAATACATCTCGATCTGAGAACAAAGCGTACAGAGCATCTGAGCCATTAACACGCCCTGTTTTGCCACTTCGAACTCGGCCATAATTGCAAAGCGTCACACTTGCAGGAGAGTGATTGTGACCTTTACAGTAACGTGCAAAGTGCGGACACATTTTAAATATTATGTAGTATGCGACTACGTACTGTACGTACACAGGCAGTTCACAACTTCACGCCAATCAGTCCAATGGAAAATAAAATAATAGAAGCAACTGGTAATTTTTTTGCAATTTGCCTTAGGGTGCGGCAATGTAGTACATGTTGTTTATACGCATTTTAACACAATTATTGGTTGTCTCTGCTCGTGCAGACTTCAAAGGTACAGCATGTACTGAACCCAGGATTGCGCAAGCTATATTTTTAGCTTTACGGTGGAATTTTCTGATATCTTACGAACGCTTCAAAACGTGGCTTGTGCTTTCAAAAGTTAATTACCTATAATCACAGCAGAAATTAGCTTGATATTTCCGAACGAAAGTTCTGAAATACCACAACATAAAGAACGACACTCTCCCAAATTACACTACAGTCTGTACAAAGCCTGGAGGATTTTGATTTCTGGTCGAAGTCTGCTAAACTTACGGCGTGCAGTTATGTTTCCGATACTAACCATTGCGCTTTTCTTAGCGTTTGCAGTGATGGTTTGTTCCATTGGAAGAGCGTTTTCATGATAACGGAAGAATACGAAGTGTGGGATGGCCTGACGGTAAGAAGTTTGGTTGCTAATAAAATGCTAATAAAATGAATTTCAACCGGCAAATCAAACAAATCTTTTACGCGCTCGCAGGATCACAATCTTCCGTAAAATGTGCATTTGGATAACGCGATTATGGGAATATTATTATTGCATTTAAATATTCCGAGGCTAATAAGGATGTGCTTGCAATCCCACACCACGAAATTCTTCCATTGTTCCAGCCTTCTGTCAAAGCCTTTTTACCATACCAGTCTGGCAAATCTGGACTCTGAACGATGTCGCCGACTCACCGCTTTGTACTACACTCCAACAAGACCTATTTTTCGTTTTTCTTGCTAAATCGGAAAAAACCACAATTAAGCATTGTGTTTCGTAAAGCACCAGTTTTTTATGAGATCGACACTTCACGAGTTTGTAATTAAAACGTTTCCCATAAAGAGAAGAAATGACTAGCCAGAAATTTTCGATATCTTCGTTAACCGCACACACCGGAAAAGAAACTATAAATAGAAAACTTAAAGTGGACAAGATAATGACATAGACGTGTCTGTCACATCTTGTAACAAAATTAAAAAACTCAATTAACCCTCTGAGAACTTGGATTTTTCGGGATGTTTAGCTTGATTGTGCTTAAGCAGACCGATTTTGAACATATATCCCATACGGCATTCGGAGCATCCATACGGAAACTCTTCAAACTTCATGCGGTTTTGCGGTGGGACATATTTAGAGAGGAGGCCCAGACGCTTCTTTTCCTCCTTAACTTTAGCCAGCTTCTGCTTATAATCTCCATGGACAGTGCGGATATGGTTGCGCAAAGATCCCGTACCCGACAACAGCCTGCCACACTGATCACACGGCAGTCGCTCCGCCAGAGAAGTGGCAGTGTACGGCCCTTTCACTCTTATCGAAACTTTAGCTCTGCGGGGCTTAACACCATTCACGCATGTCCTCACATGAACCTCCAGTCTCTGGGCATTGCGACACAAACGACCACACAAAAGACATTTCCGGGATGGATCGTTATTGTGCCAGTTGGCGCAGTGCCGGCCGACCTGACGGTACGTTGGGAATGACTCTTCACAGACAGTGCACGGATACAAACCATTGACTGCGTGCTGCTTGGTGTGCGACGTAAACCCTTTATCCATGAAAACATTGCAGTAACAGCATCGTTTATGGGCAGCCGACGCATGGAGCTTCAAGTGGGAACTACTTAAGAACTTCTCTCCGCATGCATCACACTCATGATGCCAGTCTTCCTGGATGAACTTCAGCTCCTCGGCATGAGATTTTTCCATGTGGGTTTTCATTTTCCCCCGGCCTAATTTATCGGCATACTGTCCGCATATCAGACAGGCAACTTCGGCTTTTCTTTGCAAGACATGGGTCGACACATGTTCCACTAAGTCTGCGAAGTTCTTTCCCGAGAATTCACATCCCGGACATGCCAGATCCATCTGCTTAGCTTCGTCTTCGAGCAACCCATCGTGCTTATAAAAATGCAATTCCAATAATGACTGGCTAGGAAACGTTTTCTTGCAAGTTGAACAAAAATATTTGGAAAATCCCGTAGTTTTGATATAATCAATAGCTGCCGCCCGATCGGATTCGGTAGGAACGAAGGCAAATGTCGGATGCATCTGTACAATAGAAATTTTAAAACCAAAAACAAACGCTGATGCACCATTCAGTGTTAATGTACCATTGACAAAACATTCAATAATCAATACCCAACGTCTAAAAATAAAACAATAAAAATAAAAACTGTAAAAATAAATAATTAATACCGTTTATGCTGTATCCACAGAACCATAAGGCCAGAAACACTAAATCGTCTAAATGTAATTTGTAAGTAAAAAAGTAAAGACAAAAACACGTAAGTACATCTCACCTGACTGATATGATTTCTTAATCCTTCATCGCCACGGAAAATAGCATTACACTGGCTGCAAACGTGATTCATGGTTTCTTTTGAATATTCTTGATGTTGCGTTATAAGATGCTTAGTCAATCCAACAGTGGATATCCCACAAACAGGACAGCTTTTTCGCCGTCGGGGATCAGTTTTCTCCTGTCCTTTTGGTAAGCCTTCTTTTGGCTTTCCTGGTGCATCTGATGTTGCATTGTGTTGATCAGCGCCAGCGGTTACCAAACCAGCAGCAATAACCCCAAATGCAACAGTTTGACTTGCAGTGGGTTCAGTGATATCTAATAGTGCGTCTGCTTGAGTGGCAGGGGATTCGTTGGTGAACAGTGCAGTCCAAACATCCTTCGCGTCCTGCTCCGAAGATGGCAAACCATTATCCGGAACGTCCACGGATTTCACTCGACGCTTTCGCCCTCTTTTCTCCCTCGTACCTCTCTTTTTTCCACTCTTCGATTGTTGTGACAAATCCCAGTGTGCATTATTTCTAGATGCACAAGCAGAGAAATGAGATCTATCCGTTTTCCCTTTCTTCTGAGTTCTCTTGCTGCCAGCATCCACAATATCTCCCAGATCCCATAAAACGTTCTTTGGTATAATTGGCTGGGAAAGTAAAGATAACAAAATGGACTGCCCACTGGTTACCTCGAAGTCGTCGCTGGACGTCGGGTGGTTTTGCTGGAGTTTGGATAAGCGCTGACTTCGTCGGACGCCCAACATGACTGACTACCAGGCAATCAACAAGAAGATGCTGGCCGTTAGGCAGTATACCACGTTAAGCCCCAATCTTCATTATGGTTGCAAAGATACATTAAAAAATTCATGGAGACAGTTTGAAAAGTTCGCAGTATGTAGAGGAACAAACCACTTTTACAAATACCGCAGTCATAATTTTTTAAGTACGTACCCCCCTGAGGCTGACTACTCGTAGCTACCAGACCTGGGCAGTTATGAGATTTCGACTCATAGTTAGAGTTAAGAGTTAATCGCAGCTCGCGAGTTACGCTACGAGTTAAGTTAGCTGCTAACTAGAGTTAACCTTCTTCATGAATCATCTTCAACATATACCGATAGATTTGAGACTTATCTGACATAAATTCTCCCTCATGTTTGACCCTGGCTTTTAAGAAAGGAATGACCGAGCGCCGGCAACGCTGAACTTTTTACTAAGATTTCGCTTCACATGGCTACCGAAGTTAGTGTAGCTGTTTGACAGCGTTGACCGCATTATTACGCTTCCCTAATGGGCAGGTAGCGAACAATTACAGGTAGCAGGTAGCGCACAGACGATCAGTTCCCGTGTGATTTTGGTGCGGAACATGATTTGTCCTCTCGTTGACAAAATTTTGCTCCGCAAAAAATTACGTTCTCTGCACGCTGTTAATTGAGCTCAAATTGAACGATCACACTCACTGTCAGCATGGACTCTCCGATGCATATTCATCGACCGAAGCGTAGCGAAGGTAGATTAATACATACTTTCGTTGATTTGTGTCCGTTACGAAAGGTCGTTACGAAAGGTTGTCACGTAAGCCATTTCCAACGAGTAACTGGAAGTCTATGCTTATGTTCCTAAGTCGTTTTGCAAAATAATATAAAATTTCATTATTCAACATATAAAAATAGTATTAAAATACTTAAACAGTTTGTAATATAAAATGTAGTATACTGTACTCAAAGGAAATGCTGCGCTCCGGTCTGTCAAATGCACGCCAACGTGCATTTTTCCTAGTCTAGTCAAAGCCTTGGGCGGTCGTAGTGTACGTCTGCTCGAGAAATTTTGTACAGATACTTTTGTAATTATGGCAATTTATGCGATCCACGGTTAACATAACATTTTTTCTGATATTTTCTATTTTTTAATTTCATTTTTGCTTTCAACTGAAACCTCCAGAGTTACGTTAAACTCGAGTTGCGCTATATTATTTTTGAGTTGCGCTAGAGTTAAGTTTTCATCCTGGCGAGTTAAGCTTCAAAGTTAAGTTATAACTCGTTAACTCGAAAAAAACTCGCGTTAAGTTAAATAGTTAAAATTAACTGCCCAGGTCTGGTAGCTACTGCCTTATCACCGGACCAAAAAATTGAGTACGAGTACTTAAACACCGCCGACCGTGGTCAGCGTGGTGGTTGCAACTGCCACACGGTGTTTAAGGACAAAACGCATTGCTTAAAGTACCGGACTACCGGTACTTGCTTCATTAAGTGAGGAATTGTAAGGACTAAGGACGTAGCGAAAAAAAATGGTCTAGCAGCCTGCATATTGCAGCAGGTTGGTTCTGCAGTGAATCTGGATTCACCAGCTAGTATTCCTGCGCCTCTGACACGGAACGAATTTGGCCGGTAAATACCATTGATTCCAGTCTCCAAATTGTCAGGTTACGTACTTACTTGGTTCGATATCGAGCAGCGGAAGATTGCATTACAGTACATAAGTGTGCCACGCTATTTTTCCATATTTTCATAACTTTTCATTAACGTGACTCTAGCTCGACCGAATTTGTATATGTGCCGGCGCATCGAAAATAAAACAACTGACCACCAAGAATACCACCAGCAAAAATGCATATCTATACGTAAACATCTCTAGGCATATGTACGAGTACTGTACATCGTTGCGTTTCGATTAGAAACTTGTCTAAACAAGAATTAACCACCAATCGTACACAGCAACAAGTAGCGTGTTCACAGAATATACAAAACCCTGTGCAAATTCGCTTAAAGTTCGTAGCGAAGATTTAAAGTTCCAACTCGAAGAGAAAAATCGAAATAACTACCATAGGTGGAAGGCGCGTTCACCTAGAGTAAATATCTATGGTAAAAATTATGATGTGTCAATTAAATTATCGTGGGCGGTAAAGCACGAGCGCCGTGTAGCGTTGGGCATCCTGGTTGCTGTTGTTTGTGTATGTAACTCCAGGATTAACCGGTCAAACAGACTGTGCAATAGTACTGTCATTGCTGCTAGGCGCTAAAGATCCCTTGTTCCCGAAAAAATTGTCCTCGAGTTTTTTCTGTATTTCCAGAAACGATTCCCCTTTCGTTTCGGTCAGTGTAACCGAAAGGAAAAGTGCCAGCACTAGCGTAATGCCGCTGAAAATCGCGAAGGTCCACTCCATCAAATACACCTGCATAATAGGAAAGACCGCCGTGACAATTGTTGACAAGGCCAGGCTGACGACCAGCACCAAGGCGGATGCGGATTGTCGCGATGTCAGTCCGAACATCTCAGCCGGCAGCAGATAGGGCACACTGGCCGGTCCAATAACGAAGAAAACCATGAAGAACATCAACGCTGCTAGATTTCCATAACGGCACTCAGTGCAGATGTTGGATGCAGATAATGCCGCAAAGATGACCATAGCAACTGTACAAAGGGCACAACCGAATAGACCGGTTAACAGAACCGGTCGCCGCCCGACTTTATCCAACAATAGTGAACCAAGGATGGCCACCAGAACTTGAAGTCCCGCCAATGCTACTGATCCATACGACGAGATCTCTTTGGCTAAACCACACGTGCGAAAGATTTCTGTTGAATAGACATAAATTGCGGGATACCCAGTAAGCCGTTGGGCAGTGATAGCCAGTAAACACACCGCAATATTCCTGCGCAGAAATGGATCGCGAAACAGACCAAGAATCGATACGCGCTTCTGCGATAGTTTTTTTGCGTGTTGCACTTCGTTTTCGATAATGGCGACTTCAGTGTCCACGTTGTCCGTATGACGCAGACGCTTTAAGAGTTGCTGTCAATTCTGCAGTGCCGCGTACATTTCGGCCCAGCCAACGCGGACTTTCCGGTAACAGCACGTACAACAAGAAAAATATGATATTGGGTGACAGAAGTATCCAAGTCATGTGCTTCCAGTAATTGTCATTTCCCAGGAACGCCGGCAGCCCGAGCACGTCGGCCACTAACATCCCGCAACTGAGTGAAGAGGCGATGAGGACGCTCAGCACACCGCGATATTTTATTGGGCTGATCTCGGCAGCGTACACCACACAGGCTGAACTTCCGAAACCGGCTCCCACTCCGAAAATTAAACGTCCTACAAAATGTATTGATCAACAAACTAGGAAAATATTCTGCTGCAAAAATTTGATTTAAGCAGGTAATAATTTAGCTCTGCTGTTGCTGTTTGAGTTGCACAGAACTATAATGGATAAAATGCTTCTCCAACCTCCAGTTCGGCTAGACACATTTTTCCCCCTATATATAAAGTGTTTTGTACGATATAATTCGTATAATTCGTTTGCGCATAACTCGTATAATTCGTATATAACTCGTATAATTCGTTTGCGCACTTACAACGAGTAGTTACTGTAAGTTCTGTAACTGTTAATCACTAGCAGAAACATGAGAAGATGTACGAGCAATGAAAAAATATCTATCTGTAAGCATACGATTATACCTATAATGAACATTTCATATGACGGGGCAAATACAATACATGCAGCGGCAGCACTTCCAATAACTCCAACTACGTTGCTGATCAAAAAGGTTTTGCGAAATCCGAACCGTTCGACCAAGTTGTTCGTCAATAGTGCTCCAACGGACACTCCTAGCATCACCGAAGATCCTGTCAGACCCCAAATAGCACTCAGACTACTATTATGACGCAGATGCAAAGATAGTTCATTGTCTGGGACAAAAGAGCACCATAACAAGTTTTCGGGATGTGTTAAGTTAGAGGTTAACACCCAGCTTTGTTGCCCAGAAGCAACGGTTGATGTTGAAGTACGCAAACACTGAATCTGTCGAATCCATCGTATGATCAGATTCTGCGGGACGTTAATTTGCGCAAAACTGTAGCCAGCATTGAACCATGTGGTCAATGCCGCAATCAGTGTCGAGAGAAAGGTCGTTGCAGTTAAGGAATTATGTGATTTCAGACAAGAACTGGCGCTGGTGGTGACCTTTAGTGCAGACATCCTGACTGCAGTTTTTAAAGTTCCCCGTGTTATACTTTTACAAAACTGGTACACAAACAAACACAAATATGTATACAAACACTCCTGCTTTAATTAGTATAGCTACGTATATAGGCACCATTTTAAAAATACAAATACCGCTGTATAATTGTCCATTGTCCCAGTGGACAATAGTTGTAATGATTATTATCCTGTGTACTAGGAATCTGCTACAGGCGGCTCTAGTGGTAATATTCACTAGTTATGTAATCCGTGGTAAGACTACCGCATGCAGAAAAGTAAATTACCGTGTCATGGTGCATGACAGTATGTATGTTGTGCTTATGGCTGGATCAGATTTGCCACTATAATAAGTTCGTCATGTCACCGGCAAAACCGGCAACGATTACGCACCACCCTTCGGATTCAACATATACTTGCTTATAATTGTAGACGAAGGTGACTCTGAGTAGGTAACTATAGTAGTAGCATATTAGTGTCGTCATCAGCTTTGTTTTGTTTGGCAAACACTTTCTTGGTCAGATCATACGCGCAAATGTGCAGGAACTGCATTTTTCTACGTAGAGTTTGTAATTATAGGTATGTACAGCTACTTGAAAATTAGTAGTACTACGCAGTACGCACCTGTAGATGACTGCTCAATCTGTATTTCAATGGACTGTTCTGATTTCGAGTATTATTCTTGCAGCACATCCTGAAGCCACAGCAGAACTTACGTACATGAACTATTTCGCTGAAACTTATTTTCTTGTTAGCAGCTACTTCCTAATAGATTTAACGGTGCGTTGCTTACTGCCTTTAGCAATTAGCGCCTCAACTGCCATGAAAAAATATAAACCCAAAAAATGACAGCGGAATATTCAAAGCGGGATTAATTAAATCGGCTTAATATTCAGATTTTGCCATACAAGAATAACTTTCAGACTTTCGGCTGGTAACACAATTGCTGTTTGGCAAATAACGACAAATTATTTTCAACAAGCGTATCTGTAGTTATGCGCCACGAAATTTTTGTTCGTTGTTGCCGAATCAAGCGCAATATATACTTTTGAAAATTTATGACAATTAAATTGATGTAGCAGTTACTCTTCAGTAATCTGATACAATATTATACGAGTATTTACTTCAATACCACTTGTGTAACAAATTTTAACATTTTCTTTTGCCAGTAACGAATTCAAAGTTCTGACAGCAAGCTGTTATAAGTGACGACACATGCTGTAATAATATTAGACTTTGCCAGTACTTATCAACATTTGTAAAACAAATCCGTCTGCTACAAGTCTGATAAGTCATATTGTCAGCAGGACCTCCTGTTGCTTCCAGGTACGTCGTATTTTCCCCCTTGACCACCAACTCTGTGATAACGTGTCAAAGCATAGTACCCTTATAATGGTAAACACAGCATAAATTGACGCGTTATTTTTGATTTATCGGCGCTAATTTGAATTGACCTTTGAATTTACCGGTAAATGAGGTGTATGGAATTACTGTAAGTACATTTTATCGTCGGGATATGGATATTACGAAGAATGAATTCGATAAGACCGGTTTTATTTCTAGTGTCCGTGACTCCGCCACGCAACGCACAGCTGTACAACGTACATTACGTTTGCTGGATAGAAATCCTTTTAACCCTTACATATATAAACTCATAATATTATGGGTTTGTTACATCAAAGATTCAGTAGCAGCAATACTGATAACATTGCGTTGCAGTTTCATCCAGTAATTTGTATACTCGTTATAATATCTGACATCGCACACTCAGTTTGTAGTGCTTTAGCGTCGCGCTAAACTGTTGTTCAGGTAAGTACTCCAGTATTATACCATTATGATGTGTAGAGTTCAATATTTTGACTTTGAAGATATAATATGTCCTCAATATATAATTGAACAGCTACAGCATTTAATAATTTTAATAATTGCATTTGTCGACAACAATGTGCGCTATCATACATACCTAATTTCAAGCCTTCCGTAATGTACGACGTTTATGGGATCAGGCTTATTGATTTGTGTGAATTCGAATCGCTTGTTTGGATGATACTTGGGCTTACAATTGAAAAAAACGATGAAAAACCACAGTGATATGATCATGATTATCCGTTGTTGAAGGATGTTGAGTTGACAATGCAGCGTTTCTCATAATGTATTCGATTTTTTTCTGGCACAGCGTGATGGGACAAAAAACGACCATGCCTGTGCAAGTATGGTGTTTTTATATGTTATGCATCGGATTCTGATTTTCGTTCTTAGCCAGGCAGAAAACCATTCGGTGAAAGTTTTAATATAATATAACCACCGCACTTTTGTACTCGTTTCCTTTAATCCAGTACTATGGTTAGGACGAACCATAGTGCTGGATTTAATTCTTTCAGCATTTTCTAAAACAGTTCCGCTTTATACTGCTGACCACACGGTGCAGCTGTGCTGACACAAACTAGACATAAATTTAGTTAAGTGATGCCGTACACTGATAGCACAAACAGACACAAAAATTATGTTCAAAACTTTTTGAATTTCAGCATTTGCGCGAATATTGTAGTGGGATATTTCGTAATATGGTATTTGGTTACATTGTTCCCTGCGTTTGAGAAATTAGCAATCGACAAAATTTGCCACTTCAGCGCACAAAAAACAAAAACACTATGCATACCTCACGTACGCGTTTAACAAAGCACGCTCCCGGCATAAAGTGACAGAGGGGCATAAACGGCTGGATGATCCATATAAAAGTCCGAAGCTGCTTGAAACTCCAGACAGGCTGTATCAGTTTGTGCCGTTTCGTGATTCTCCCTTTGCTTCGGCGGCAATACACATTACCATATGCAAAGAGCGGGCTGCCAGGTTCAACCATAACCGTAGCGCTACTATCCGCATTTTCATCCGCAACCACAGTTTGCCGTTAACGTTGTTCTGGTGTTCGTCGATCACATAGAATTCACGGACAAATTTCATTATAGTTCAATATGGCCCTGTCCGACTTCCAGACAAAGAAGCTCATCTACTTGTACAGAACTTTTTTCGGTATGTATGTATGCACATCGGTTAGGCTGTATATAGCCGTTCTTGATAGTGACCTTTGTGAAATATCCATGTAACTGGCATTACTTATGCAGATACTGACAACAATGGTACCATTGAGAAGGACGACTTTGACCTGCTTCTCAGCAAGATCAGCAAACTCCGCGGCTGGTCAGCGGGTAGCAGCCAGTACGCGACCCTACAGCAGCGCCTAGACGGTATTTGGAATGAACTAAAGAAAGCCGATGTGGATGGTGATGGGCAGATTTCCGAAAAGGAATGGCTGAAGCTGTGGTCAGATGTCATTTTCAACAAGTCCAACGGCCAGTGGATTCAGTTGTATCAGGATTTCATTTTTGACGCTCAGGATACGAGCGGGGATGGAAATGTTGACGAAGGCGAATTCAGTGCCTTATTCACGTCGCTAGGTGTACCGGCGGATCAATGCTCCAACGCGTTCAAAACCGTGACTGCTGTGAGTAACTTCTAAAAATTTTTTCCCAAAAACCTTTTAATTATTATCTTTGTAAAACAATTTTGAATAAGGCTGGCTACTTTAGTGTGTGCCAAAGCATAAAATTCAGGCTGGCGCAACGTCGGCAAAAATGTGCATAAGTATAGATCAGATTCGATCATAACTCGTGTGCAGCTCAGAGCACATATTAAGATAATGCAATTTTACAACCGTTTCATTCGTTATGAAAATGTTTTATTTCTAAGCTACTTTCTATTATTTCTTAAGTGAGTGAGTAGCATTTAGTGTAGATGTGACATATATGCATATATACGTATGTTCGCTGCTGTTTCGTATTCAGTCAACTGCAGATACGTATATTATGCGCCCTGTCTGAGCCTTGCAGGCATGCTTGATTGCAGGGGTTAGCACTTAACAGATGGGAGAGTGTTTTTTATTCTCAAGCTCAAGTGTTGAAATCCGTTTTAGATGTTGTTATTAAATTACAACATCATTGTATTAGGCATTGTTCGCAATCTTTGACAGTACATACGTATTTATGATGTCTATTTTCGGCTGCACAGGCACATGATAAATGAATAAGCCGGTAATGATGCTATGCCATCCATGTCCCATCAGTAAAAAATGCACAATACTTACTGTGCACCAGGTCTGCGATATCAGAGTTTTGCTGCATTAAAATAATTTAAGGTTGCGTTTGGTTTTATTGAATAGAGTTCACCGTTAGATAATTTTGCTGAAATTTAAAGAAACTGAACAACTTGAGGTTTTTTCAAGGTGCATCTTATTCCCATTCCTGACTAAAACATATCACACCAGTGGACATAACTGAAACTGTTAAAAGTAAAAACATTAAAAAGGCTTCATGCATGATTCATCTTACTAAGAATACGGTATGATGGACGATAGACGCAACTAATCCAACAATTTTTTTGAATTTAGTAAATCCATTTATGTTTTATTTCAGGGTGGATCGCCGGTTATCACGAAGGACCTCTTCGTTAAGCGCTTCCAGGAGTTTATTTCCTCTAGCGACGTGAGCGCGCCGGGAAATTCTATTTTTGGTTCGACTAATTTTTAAAGCTAATAAATGCCTGATTAGTTTCTTGACAATTTACTTTACACTGACTAAATAAAATTACGTTTGGTTTACCGTGGAAAATGGCCCGAACGAAGTGTTACATGGATGTTCAACGATTTTTTTGTAGCGACAACTCATTATACCATTGTACACGCTTGCGACCGGCACAGATACAGTGCAAGTCGATGATGATTTTGTGACTAACGGTTTCCGATATAAAATCGATCTCCGGCAGTTTATCCGGTTAAAGATTTAAAATAGGAATTCATTCTGCTTGGGCAAACGCAGAAGTGTATGTGCGTTCGCCTGTGTTATGTCATACAATATTTCTACCACAACCCCTTGTTGCCGGGCTAGAAGATGCATATTACACCGTTCTGGTCCCTTCTTGAAGCAATGATCACTTGGAGAATGTTTGAAGAATAGACTTATGTGATTTACTCATTGAGCCAGCGGACAAGGGAGATTCCAGCGGATGGATCAGAAAACTTAGAAAATCAATCAAAGAAGTCCGATTTCTGAGCAAATAATAAATTTTTTATAACGTCCCCCGGCGCAGGCGTATCTGAGTCTGAACATAATCCAGCGACTAACGTTGCTTCTACGTGCACGCCAAACAATGCATCGATCACCAGAACCCAGACAATCCAAAGCAACAAACGATTCACACTTCCACTGCTTAATTTTATTTTACCACTATCCAGCATTTTACGTTTTTCTACATATTCCATTTTTTCGTAATAAAAGCACGACCCAAATAGCATTTAGAAAACTACGGTAGGAAAAATTCACATGCAAATACTGTCGCCTGCCTATACTGTACTTCTACAGTTTATGGCAGGTGCTACTGAACTCTACCCCCAGAATTCAACTGTTTGCAGTGCATATACATAGATGCCATTTACACAGTTGGTACCGCATTGAGATCGGGTCGCATTTCTTGAGCAATGACATCTGTGTCGTCCATAAGTTCCACATCCGGTACGCCGGAAATACGAAAGATGCGTATTCTGGTATCATTACTGACCTGCAATAGAACACCATTTTTAAACATGAACAGCGTTCCCGCGCACTTATCCTTACCAATGCTACCACTGTTCCCAAAGCATTGGTACAGAAGAAATCCATTTTCGATGTTAAGCTGATGCTTTTCATGGCCGAACTGATTTCCGGAAACATGAGAATCCTGACAATAAAAGATGCATAAAGACATAAAAAATATACATACGCTGACATAACAGACAGCGAATAACGAACACGTACAACTGTGGCCTGACCATCAGTTCGCTTTTACAGAACGCCCGACTCGATAATTTAGTCGGCTAATTACAATCCACATTTTTAAAGCCTCAGTACCTTTCTTCCTTGCTGGCGATAAATGCCTGTTTTTCACAAGGAAGCATACAGATTTCTCCATCAGTTAAACCAGATAGCAGAAGGACGTCGGCGGCTCGAGTTCTAATAAATCCTAGAAGGTTGATACCCGGGGAGCTGAAAATGCGACATGCCGTTAACTGGCATCCGACAAATAGTTCTCATGCTTTTCTCCGGGGTTTAAATGCATTTTCAAAAATAACGGCAGTAGACTAAAATATGTTTCGAAACGCAATGTGTTTAGGCTGCTAATTTACTCCACAGCTACTGATTTTCATACAACATGACCACCCTGAAACCACTTCTATGCCAATTAAATGAATAGTTATGCTTACGCTTCGTTAGGCTGATTATTCGAAGAATGCACGGTGCCGGCATCGACAGTAAGCGAAAGCTCCAGATCTTGCTCTTCATCAGTATTATGTAAATAATGTTGGCGAATAACAATTTTCGCAGGATGTTGGGCGGTAGCGTAGATAATTTGTGCAGCGGATTTGTATGGAATGTTTGCCGGAGTCGTCTCGTTGTTGGCTTTATCACAGGCAACAGGATAAATATAGGCGAAATTTATTCTGTCATCTGGGCCGTCCGCTTTATAAACGTCATATTTGCGGATCATTACGATTTCCCGCGACACCACAGTGGCAATATTGAAAAAGGCTAACTCCAGCGAACTGATGAAAGCCATTAGCTCCTGTTTGGCCGATTTTTCTGGCCGATGGATGTACAGGGCTTTCGGTGGTGGTCGATAGGCAATCTACAATTGAAATTCGACCCCATAAGGACAACCAACCGACAACCATTGCTGACAAGTTTCATCTAATATAAGATTTTTACCTGTGCGTGCGCCTGCAGAAACGGCCCTCGCATATCCTCGCAATCTGCCGTGAGCCATTCCTTATAGTAAGGCTGGAAATCACTGCGACTAAGATTTAACGGTTCCGGCAAATCACTATCCAGAAAGTACGCATCGACCCCAAAGAACTTCATCCGCCACTCGGGCGGCTCGCTTATCTCTATATCATTGGTTGATGGCATGACGAGCGGTCCAAAAAGGTCTTGCAACACAGATACGACGTCATCCAGATCCTCTTCGCTCAGTCGACGCACCGTGCTCACCGATTCATGGTTAATATATTCAGACTGCATAATCAACCACTGAATGGCTGTAAAGCAGCGCTTAGATTCCGTTTCCATCATCTGACGTAAAATAATGCAAGAGCCAGGAAGATACTATCAAATCGCCAAGAAAATGGGCGAATAACTTACGTACTGGAGCTCAAACATTTTGAGCATGAAAGATGCACAGTTTTGAAGCACTTGATCGAAGTGGCTTTCCACTGCTCCAACCGCGCCAAAGCGTTCACCGTTTGCAATCCAGCGGCCCAGCATCACAAGCGATACCATACAGCATTCAAGCGCTCTAAGAATAAAAAAGTTTTCTCCAATGATCACTACCAGTAAAACTAACCATAAGACTCGCATCATTACGAACAGAATCAACATATCGTACACATCTAACTACGTACTAGAAGTCATAACCAACTGAATTTATCATCGCTGGGGACTGCATATGCCGAATGTGAATCTATATTGAATTGTTTATCCTGCTGATTACGAATACGAAAACCCTAAACTCACTTGCGTAATGGAAGCATCACATCGACCCGAAAAGTTTTTAACGACTGGTCCAGGGCTGCTTCATACTTCAGCAGGTCCTGCGTGGTAGCAATGTGCTCGAAGAAATGTTCCAAGGCCGGATGTAGTGTTCCCAACACAAGCTGCTCCATTAGAGCAGCCAGCAGGAAATGTGCTGCGGATTCTTGTGTAGCTAAATCAGGACGTATTTCTTGGGAGCGACTGCATTCTCGTTCAAATTCCTTCAACAGACTCCGTACTTTCTCCTCAAGTTCCTGACGATTTTCGTCCTTTACGGAGCTTAAGCGTTTAAAATAATTTTCGATAGCCTAGCACATCATACAAACGGTCAAATTAAAACTCGGAGGCAAAAAAAAAACGAAAACCGTACTCACTCGTCTATATGACCACAAGTAATCGCTGTGTTTGGCTAAGATTTCGATCTCTTCGAAATGGCGATTAATTATAGAGGTATCGTACTGCAATCATTGGCAATCAACGAAACAGAATTACGAGTTAAACAAGTGTTCAAATAGCTTACGACGAGCTCCTGATACATGCCGGTTTCATCTCGTATAACAATCACCGCGGCTTCAAAATTTTTATTCAAATGGAAAGCACACATATGGGCAATCTGCATAAAGTCGGGGTTAACACTGAAAAAGACAACATACATATTTTTGAAATACCTTGCATGGCAGATATTCTTGGAGATCCACAAATGCCACGGGTAAGAATCCATAGGCGTACATATGAAGATTGTAGGAAGATGTAACGATTGACAGAATAGACAATCTGAAGTGAACCCTTTTACATTATTAACCACTGTAGCAGTGAGTTATCACGTTATAACCTGGACTTCATCACAATCACTACCAGAGCCTACAAAAACACATTTGCTGACTTACGTCTTTTGGCTTTTCATTTGCAACGTCGGATTAATTCGTTCCCGGTCTTTGCTACAACGATATCCGTCAAACGCTTTCCCGTGCAGCAAATGCATGCAAGTTACCTAGCTTCGCTTGTTTGGCTTCTGAAAGAAAAACAACAATTTACCAAAGTGAACAAGGTACTCACAGAACGTTACCTACAATTTCAATTGGGGACAGCCCAAACAACTCAACGAACCTGGGTGCAAAAAAACTTTCCCTCCAAATTTACTGATGCATAATTAATGTGCTCGACGCAAAATGACATGCAAGTGACAGCAAGTCGCTAATAAACGGTCGACCGGAAATGTGCGGTCGAAGTAGTGATCCGAAAATCACAACTTTCCACTTACGCTGTTTTCGGGACAAAAACATCCTGGACATAGCGCTCAATGTGATCCTCAAATTGCCGCTTATCCTGCATTGCCGTCATCTCCTCTGGTGTCCAAAACGGTGGCGACCAATCAATCCATTCGATTTTATCGTCAACATTCAACTCCACGGTCGTCTCATGTGTTTCCACATTTTTTATTACGATTTTCCCACTGGAATATGCAATGGCTAAGGCTGCAAAGGGGAATGCACTTCAATTATAAATACCGTCAAACTCATACTGCAATTACGCAACATGCTCGAGTAACAAAAGCTGCTTTTGTGGAATTAATAAGCAAAAACTCTAAAACTATTAATTCACATACCTCGTCCGTCGGGACGCCAAGTCATACAAGCCACGGTATCGCCAGAGAGGAAATTTACTGGTTTGTAGTTGGCAACTTTCATCCAGTCGTTATTATAAACGTTGACCTGTAACAAACCAAGTGTCAGCCTCCACCACTATAAAAGGTTTTCGCAAAAATAAAGTTTTTACTTCTCCTTTGGCAGTGGCGTACGCGATCAGATCTTGCTGTGTGGAAAGAGCAACTTTGGTGATGCTTTGGCCAGCATTCCGATCCTGAACGAGCAACAAAACCTCCTTTGGTGGCAGAACAGGTTCAGTTTCTGCCTCCTCCATCATGCGATCAACTGTATTAGGTCAAAGATATAGATGCACAATCCGTGACAATCGCGACTGTCCAAAGTTCCAAACGAATTTAAACAAAGTACGGATAGGAAATTTAAAACCTAAACAATAAACATCATTACTTTAATATTTTACATTTTTACAGTTTTACTCGTATGATTGATAAATTCTTTACAACATATGTACCGCGAAAGCTGACCGCCCTCGGGCATCGGCACTCTACAATATGACCGGGGTTTAATACCATTTCCGGGTGGGGCTCGCCTCCGCAGTGACGTCATGTACATACATTTCGGCGACATCGATATGCCGCCGAAATATTGTAGATTTTATACATTGTAGTTTGTAGATTTAAATAGCCAAAACAACTACATACCTTTTACATTTCAAGTTGTAATAAACCATGTTAGGCTTTGACATTTTGTTGAGCGGACTGACTGCCGGACTGCTTTAATATGGAATATCTCCGAAACTAAAGGACTAATCGAGTACTAGTAGTAGTACGAGTGTACAAGCAATAAGCATTACTAAAAATAAGTCTTTACTTGCATTTTGCAGGCCTGTTCGTGAAAGATCACAAAATGCCGGACGTCATCACGCGGTTTCATGAGAAAGCGGTAAACCTCTATCCTTGGATGCCACCTGCGTAGACACACTCGCGGGCTCATAATTCTGTTTACCGCACCCGTGTCAAGTTTCAACACTGAAGCCGTCTAGAGCAAGTCCAAGGGAAAGACAGACAAAATACAGCTGGCTCTGTGGTCTTAAAGATGGCATTTCGTCCCGGCGACGTTTAAATTTTGCGGCGGAGATTGGGTAGACGGTATCAGAAATCTAGATCTGGTGCTTTACTACCCCCACCCGGTTATGCTAGGTCCATACTTCAGTTGTAATTCGGAATACAATAGAAATCTTACAACAATCGTAGAAAAAGTATGCACGACAGTCAGCTTTGTTGTAGCATTTTTTGTTGTAATTCTCGAAAGTATGGACGCGACAGTTCCAGGAAAAATGTTGTATTTCGGAAAATTTGTTGTAGATTGATGTGGTAGGAGGGAGGGGCTTTTCTTCCTTTCTACAACAATCGTAGTCTAATGGTAGATCCAGAATGGATCCACAGACGGAGACAGAAACGGAATCTATCCCGTGGAGTGAGCGACACGATCTGGGTCGCGAGCTATGCGGAAACACAAAACGTCGCACCGTAATCGCTGACTTTTAATAATATTGAAAATTCCGACAACAGAAAATCAACACTGATCGGCGCAGCTCGATCGTAAAGCGTGGAGCCCATTCAACAGCGTGCAACGCTGTGCAGCACGTGCTATGCCGCGCCCACTAACAAAACACAAGCCAATCAGAAGAGAGACACACACAGGCCATAATCCAAAGGCGTAGCGCCTAGCGCCACTGACGTGAACGCTAGTGATCCCGGTCTCACATGCCTCTGGGGGGATGCCGAGCTCCTGTGAGGCTGGACACACTCCCGAATCCACGAGAAGACGACGGTCGCCGGTGTCTGTGTGTGCTCAAAAACATCAAATTCTCTTAATCCATTTTTATCACATCAATTACATAAAGGCACAATTTCATTTTAATACGATGTGAATAAAGAGATCCAATTATAAAAATACTATCAAATCATTAGAACAGATCAACAGTAACAGATCAACAAAAGTATTAATCAAATTGTAGACTAGGATCCTCCATTTCTGACTCGTAAAGGTCACAGGTCCTGTCCACCGTTCTCCGCACTTTGGCCCATTCCGCTCCGTTGAGCAATCCTGCGCATCCGTAATGCGACTTCATCACAATCCGCTTGAGAATCAGGTGCGTATCAAGTACGACTTAAGAATACTGCTTCATCTTTGGAATATGGTGCGTATCAATTGTACGACTTCAAAATGAGATCCATAAAGGTCATGGAGGGACGTCAATGAAGACAAGCGTAGTTCGCTTCCTCCCTAGTAAAGGTCATCCTTTGTTGAGATGATCCGTTGAGATGTGCGACTCATTTTGGGTTAATGGTCCCAAAGGTCATGCGACTTAACTTCCAATACGGTGACTCTGTTGGGCAATTGATGATCCCAAAGGTCACCCCACTCGTCAAAATTTCCGTTAAAGGTCATGGAGGGACTTAGCCAATTTCCTGCGGCTTTCAAGCACTTCTTCGCTTGCCTCCCTGGTAAAACTTGCAGTTTGACCTTTCCGTCGCACATCCAACTTCAGTATGCCTCGAGCGGCCAGAGTGCCGGCAAGTTTACCGTAGCATCTCTGATGGGGCCGGCTAGTTACCGCATTGAATTTACCCCATGAAATTTCCACATTTAATCTTTTACTCTTGTTCGCCGCTTGTGGCTTACGTTATTACGAGAAATCCGGCTCGATTACCGTAGTTTTTCTCGTTTCACCTTTAACACTGAATCGCTTAAGAAGAGTGCCGGCGCAGTTTACCGTAACAACTCTAATGAGGCCGGCTGATTGCCGCATTAAGTTAACCTCATCAATATTCCACCTGTTGTCTTTCTCTTTTTCGCCGCTTGTGGCCCCGTTTCGTATTCAAGAGATCCGGCTTGATTACCGTTGTTTCTCTTGTGCATTTATAACACTGAGTCGCTTAGAGAGGAGAGCCGGCTAACTGCCGTAACTACTCCCTTGGGGCCGGCTTTATAGACCGAATCAATTTCAACCCCAATAGATACTCCACATGATTTCTTTTAGGCAATTCTGTGCTATAAACGCTGCAAACAACAAATACACAAATACAGTTTATGTTAACATGTCACGTCCTTTATACAACACCATTTGCATCTTTGTGACGTACCGACAAATGCCGTAGACGTCCTTTTAATAGTGTGATCCTAAAGGTCAACACTATTCCATTTCATTTGAATCGCCCTCATCATTTCTCGGCGGGCGTTTCTTAGCGCTTTCCGGTTGGTTTCGGTCGGAAGTTCGGTCAACTGGTTCCGTCGAGTCAACTTCCATGACCTTTGTCGGGTCAACTTCGCGCTGGCCACGACCTTTACCTTGGCGGCTGCGCCTAACCGCCTCAAGTCGATGGCGTGCGTCATTCTCTTCGAGTCGCAGTCTGCGGTTATCAGGGTCTTCCGCCAATCGACGCTGCACGTCGGCGAGATTATCCCGCAGCTGTTGGTTTCGGATGCCGCGTCGTCCCATCTGGTTAGGCGCACGGTCTGGACGACGGTCACTTTTCTTCACTAAGAAATCATCAATGTAAGTTTCGATTCCGTCCACCGGCTCGACGTAGTCGCTTCCCAGGGAATCTTTAATCTTATTAATCCTTTCTTCTACTTGGGATGCGTGGCGCTGTGTCAAGTTGCCCTTTTCCATTCGTGTCTTGCACTTTTTCAGCGCCTTGCGAGCCGTATGCGCTATGCTGATATGTTCCATCGGTTGTCCCAATTTAGCGACATGAGCTCGGAAGAACGGTGGAATGTCGTCCTTCATGGTATTAGACACCAATTGGTTTTGTGTCTTGTAATGTGCCAGTCTCGCAGCAAAGACCTTTTGCCCCATCCTTTTTGCGGCATAGTCCTTAGGATCCACCTGTAGTCCTATCGACGCCCTTGCTGCAAGCAACTTGAAAGCTGGGTTCACATGTCGTAGAACAAACTGAGCCACGTATTCTTGGCGTTCGGGATAGTCTCTATAATAGAACTGTGTCATCCCGATTGGATCAGTTGTGTCCAGCGGTACATCCAATAAACTCAAATCCACCAAACTATGTAGTCCATTCCGTCGAATAGGGAGATAACAGTCCCGTACTGAGTCGCGGTGGATGAATAACTGACGGAAAAGTCCTTGTTCCACTCCTTGTTTAATCTCTCTCGCATAACCCGAGTCGAGTAGGAATTGGCTCAACTGTCTCAGAATTGTGCCAATTTTGTTGGCTTCAACCGAATCCGGCTCAAGTCCAAAGTATCGACAAATTTCGACCGTTTGTTCATCAATATCAGTCGTATTATATTCCATGTCGATGGTATCCGGTTGTCGGTTATCAAATCTGGAGTTCTGTCGCTGATCAGCCCGGCGATGATTATCCGGTTCTCGTTGACCTTCTGGTTCCCGTCGCTCTCCTGACTCAGGCTGCGACGGTTCGTTACTCGCCGGTTGTTCCGGTTGAAGGTCACTATCCAGAATTACATTTCGTCGATGGGTCACGTTCTCTTGAGACGTTTCCGCAATCGAGCTAGTCCCTTCCATCGCATCGTCTTCTTGTACGACGCTCACAATTGGATCCACTACATGAACCACTGACTCCACCCGCTGATACTTTGGGGGTGAATCTTCCCGTTCAGTGCTTGATGACCTTTTATTTGCGCCCGAGTCAAAGGTCGCGTAGAATGCAGCCCTCTGTTGCCATCTTTTATCGCGTGGGTCGGGCGTTCGATTTCGCGTATGTTCGCGTCTTCTATCCCATGACCTTTCGGGTGTTGACATCCTAACGTTACGATTACGGAAAGCAACTTCCGTCGGCACCTGATGTCCTTCCTTTTCAGGTTCTGTACGGAATGTCTCCGCGCGCCGTTTGTCTTCACGTTCTCTGGTCGCTGCCAATAACTTCGTTGTGTCGATCTTCCTCTGAATGCTCATCTCTGTTACTTCATCGCCGTGGCGTACCCATCCTCTTCCGCCACGGTAATCCCTGTCGCGGGACCGTTCGCGTGACCTTTCACTGTGGTAGTCACGTGTCCTTTCACGAGAGTGTTCACGTGACCTTTCGCTCCGTCTTTCAGAAATCCGTTCATGTTCACGTGAATGTCCGCGTGACCTTTCTCTATGCGGAGGGGATCGTGGCCGTATGAAGCCTTCATCCCGTTTGAAGCTTCTGAGTGCTTGCAGCACATCGCTTTCAGTTCGGCGAGATTTACGTAGATTATCCATACGTCTTTCGACTTCCTTCTTTATGTATGGCGCCGGCGCGAACCCGTCTTGCAATCGTTTCTTCTCCCGCAACAGCATTTTGAATATCTCGTCTGACATAGCAGCCGGATCTTTCGTTAAGGTTTCAATCTGAATGATAAGCGACTGTCGTACGAGTTGCATTTCGTCTTCGTTAAGGCTGGCCATGCCCGGGGGTGCAGCTAGACCCGACGTACTGGGCAACGCCTCCCGTGCGGCCTGTTCGCTTGCCTTCTTATTTTGCGCATTAATTTTCGCGCGGAGTTCGTCTTCCATTTGCTGAGCTCGCATCTTTTCCTGGTCCTCTGCGAATTTCTTCCGATACGCGTCCGTATGTGGACACTTCAACGGCTCCAAGGTGTCATCCCAACCAGGTTCGTTGTTCCGGATCGCTTCCTGGTAGCGATCCTCGAGTAGCATTCGCTCTTCCACTGGGATGCTGCCGTAATTCCTTGCGCTTATCAGATTGCGGAAGACATCCAGGTTCCCGCGTTTGGCTTCCGAGACTCCAACAAGTGAGACGATATGTGGGTCATCCAGCTTGTGAATGCATGCGTAGCACGGAAATCTCTTGTCAACCTTTTTGTTATTGCGTAGACAGTCCGGACACTTTGGATTGTAGCCCGTAAACCGATCGATGTCTGCCGCCGTTCCCGTACGTTTAGGAGTGGCTTGACCTTTCTGTGCCATTTTTCCGCTTCAGTCTGTAATTATAAAACAATCCGTCATATTAACTTTTCCACGTTAATCCTTCCATTTCCTATCCATATCAAGGCTTTTCTATCATTTTTACGCCTATTCCGTTTCTGAGCTGAGACTTTCCTAGCTCCTGCTGCCTTTTCTATCACTGTAACGTGGTGACCTTTCTCACGTTATCAGCACTTTCTGACTACTGTGACCTTTTCTATTAGTCCTAGTACTGTTTTCAGTTGACCTTTCGTAACACTTTTCGCTTTCGTTTTAAACTGTTTTATGCTTTTTCTGTAATATGCAGGGTTCATTACTCGCTGCATATTACACTATATTTTCGGATTCTGTTTTATGATGGTTTATACGGCTTGAAATCGATTCGGCCATCTGGCTTAATATGAAGCACTTCGTCCGCGATCAAGGCTTCGACGGCGTTCCTAATCCACTCTTTATCGCTTTCAATATTCAAATCTCCCAATTCGTAATTGACGGCCATGAAGTTTGAAAGGTCATTCCATGACGCTCCATTGGTACCGCCAATGGCGTCCAGAGCTACATCTGTGATGGCTATCTTCCAGGCCTCCAGTTCCATTTTCAGTCTGGGCGTTCGTTCCGTGCCCTGTTTCGGAAGGTAGTAGACGACTTTGTTGTCCTTGTTATATTTACATCCCAACTTTCCTTCCTTATAAGCTCGTTTCAAGACTCGTTCAGTCATGTTAAGTGACGACCTTCCGTTCGTATTTATCGCCACTTGTCTTTTCAGGTCTGTCCCAAGCATTTCCTTTTCCCGAATAATCTGGAGTGCAGCTTGGACTTCGTTCCATGTACGATTATTCACGTCCAATGCCGGCCCTAACATGTAATCTGTAGCCTCCTTTGCCGGTGTACCGCTACTTTCTGGGAGGATGTCGAGTCCGTTGGGTCAGCCGTCGCTGTCTCGTCGATCCTCAGCTTTGCCAGTGATCCTGATGATGACCCCGCCGATTTTGGTTCGCTGTCTTCTTTCCTCTTGTGGCAAAGTCTCTTGACCTTTAGATCGCCGACCGACTTCGATCGTTCCTTCTCAAAGACGTCCTTTAATGGTATGAACAGTGATTTGTGAAACACCTGGCGCGCCGAATCCGCTTCAGCTTCTGCCGCTGCCTTATCCATCGGGAGCATGACCTTTTCTTTCTCCCGTTTGTCTGAAGCTTCATGACCTTTCGGTTGAACTTCTGCGGTAGTTTCAGATGTCTCTTGACCTTTCGGTTGTTCGCCTTTTTCTGTCGCAGGTCCAGAAGGAGCCGTTATAGTAGCGTCATCGTCGCCTTCCGATTCCGAATCCATTGGGCCTTTTGTCTTCGATGAAACTGTGACCTTTTCCATGTCCTGACTGTCGGACATATTACAGTGGATCTGTCTTTCCGGTGGTATTAGACCGACTCTCGTATATCGGATCGGGTGTCCTTTATGTGCATTTGTCGTAAGGACGTTCTGTTTAATCAACTTTGCAATACGCGCTCGGTTGCCGTGTCGATCTCCTTTATCATTCCATTTCCGTCGTTCCAAACTGCGTTGATATATTGGCTAATCCGGTGACTCGTTGACCCTAATGGGCTTGTCATTCCTGCGATTGCCCTTTCTACTCGCATTGGGACCGCTTCATTCGGGGTTGTCAGCGCCTTATCCGAACTGGCTGGTCTGAACAACTTAGCCTCATACGAGAAACTCGCGTTTCTGTATAAGTTTTCCTGCGTTCCGCGCGAATTCCAATACGACGTCGAACTTTTGTTTAGTGAAGCTACGATGTTGTTTCTTCAAATACGTCTTCAGGCCTGATTTAAATTTGATGTCACCGATGCTGTTCCTATTCGTATGAAATTTTCCGCCCGTTATACGCTTTGATTATTTCATCGACCGTGTTCAAATTATCATCATCTGACCATCAAATTCTTCGTCTGAGGTGAAGTCCAATTCACTCTCTCCATCTGGTTCGGCGTATTGATCATTGCCATTGCATCAACTTTCATGGTTGTTTTGACTCTTCTTCGGTCTTAACGGGCTTCGTTTCTTTGCTTTTTGTCTTTATCCTGCCTCCAAGCTTCTTGGCTCAGTAGTCCTTGATCGTTGTTTTCGAATCTGTATGTGACCTTGCACTGACCGTCGAAGTGCTTGAAGGCTCACTTCCGATGCCTGATTCACGCGACGTCTCCTGTTTCGCTTTTTCGCGAATCTGTTTGTCCTTGCGCCTTTGGCGGATGCGGAAATGACATGGGGACAGCTTGTTTCACCGCTATGACCTTTCCTTTGAGTTTTACGGTTCTGCTGTAGCTGATTGAATAACTTTCTTGACTTCGTAGGTGTCGATGACCTTTCTTCAACTTCGCCAACTGACTCGTCCATCTGACATCATGCGACGCTGGTTCATCTTTTCTTCCTGGTGCTTGTGCTATCGCTTTCGTCACCGCTCTTCTTATCTTCTTCCTCCTGTTTTCTTCTTATCTTCTTCCTCCTGTCGTTTCTTGAGGAAATCGCCTTCTTAACCTTGTCACGGTTCATGGCCTCTTCCAATCTGGGCGCTTTCTCGGTTTGACTTTTGAGGGCTTGACCTTTAAGGGCTTTTTATGCTTATCGGCCGTTTCTTCTGTCTGAGCCTTCTTCCTCAGGTGGGTCCTCGTCTTCCGACTCTGGTCTGTCGTCACCAGGTGGATTACATAATGGGCACAGTTTGTCTATCACACTGAAGGTGCTCATGACTTCCCTGGGCAATCTCTAACACTCTTTGTAGAGAGCGTCTGGCCCTCGTTTCAGTTACATTTGCCGACGTGCCTTGCGCTCTTCCGTCTCTCCGGCTCCGCCTTCTTGTGCCGGGGGCTGGATTTCCAAATGTAGTGTCTCTGTCAGCTGTCCCTGTGAGGCGACCTCCCACAAAGGGTTCTTCTTAGCGTCGTAAAATACCGTTTTGTACGATCCGTCTTCCATCTGTCTTGTGAGTCGGAATGTGCTCCATCGATTTCCGCTCGATGCCGCATCATGCTGATCAGTGTACTCGCTTGAACCACGGCATCTGTCCGGTCACTTTCGTATCAGATCCCATAACTGCTCAACGGCTGCCTGATTCGCATTTCGGGCGCTCTTCTGATACGTCCCATGGAGCATATGGAACCGGGTCTCCTGTTATTGGATCGACTATCACTGCAGTTATGGTTTGCACAGCTTCCATTACCACCGAAAAGTCTGAGGGTGACCTTTCTGCTTGTCGCCTCTGTATCTCAGACCGACTCATAATCATCTGACGATCGTTTCTTCGGATCTGGATCCGCCGTCGGTTTTGAGCGAGTTCTCTCTTTGATCAACAGTTTGCCGTCCGTTGTGTATGTATATGCCACGTGGTCATCATCTGTGCCCACTTTGGATACGGATCCATGCGTCTTCTTCGGTTGCAACTTTAGATACCACGTGCTTCATCATCTGAACGATAACTTTGGGTTATGACGTTCTTCTGGGGAATAAACTGTAGCGCCTCATTGACTATCGTTTTTGACTCTTTTCCAATGGCATCCTTGACTGACCTATCTCGCGAGGGGATTATACGAGTCGATCTCTTTGTTCGTTTTCTTATCGACTATTCGTGCGGTGACCTTTTCGTTCTATATCTTCGCCAGTGTACTTGGCCGTAGCTTCTACACTTGAAATCGAATTGACCTTCTGTTCCAGCTGGTGTGGTGGCGCGCTCTTTCACCCACTGACTGGCCTTGTGGCTTTGCCGGCTCAGCTGGTGTTGCTTTACCTGA